TTGTAGTGGCGTGGCCGGTGGACTTGTTCGAGGTAGAACTCTTTGCTGAATTTGCTGCGGACCATTTGCATGAAGAGGGGTTTGTTGAGGTCGAGGAATTTGTGTTGGGTGTAGTCGGTAGTGGCGTCGGTGTCTTTGGAGAGGTCTTCGGCGGAGGAGAGGCCGGTTGAGGCGTAGACGGGTCGGGTGGGGAGGGTGGTGGTATCGACGCCTTCCGCGCGGAGAGTGTTGGCGCCGTTGGCTGTGGGTGGGAGGGGGACGACTGATGATGGGGAGGTGGATTTGGTTGCGGCGTTGAGGACGGGCTCGGTCGCTGTGAAGCCGACGAGGCAGTCGTCGAGGATCTCGTAGGCGGCTTCCGTGTGGGCGTGTGATATCTCGTCCTTCATGATCTCTTGGACATCCTTGCCGGCGTACTCGAGGATCAATTCGCCGCCGCCTGGGTGATCCTCGATGAAGGAGGTCACATCGTATACATGTTCGCCTATTGTCACATAACACGAGTCTTTTGTATTGTGTGAGCGGACTTCGTCTAGGGGAATCGTAGGGAGGGTGCGCGACGGCATCGTGACGGTTGCTGTCGTCGACATTCAAAGGAGCGGCAGTTGTTAAGGTCTAGGAAGAATCGGTCGCTTTTCGCAGGGTACTGGGAGACAAAGTACAATCTTCAGATCAGGCGGAGTCGGAATAATATTTCAGGCTCAGTCATTCACGATCGTCACACCACGAGCAACGAGCAATTAAACGTATTTCGTAAGATGATCCAGCAAATCTTCCAGAGCAAATCCGCCCGCAGCCGAGACGTGAAGTCAGGAGGCGACTCCGGAAATCTGATGCGCGTCTACACCTGTGGTCTTTGTCACCGACCGTATCACTGTGGCAGCGTTTCTATACGGACAGCATCACATCTCTTCTATCTCTCTACGCTACTATTGCATCATGCCTTGGATGTCGAGGTCGAGGTCGCAACGCTGTGGTGGCGATCGCGAGTAGCTTTGACCGTTGGGAACGCCATCCTGCTGCCGAATGACTATGATGTGTTTTCCAATTACATCTAGGGCGCGATCTGGCCCAGCTGATAGACTGTTGGTGCTGAGGGACTACCCGGCCTTTGTGGCTCCCATGGAATATCATCCCGAAAGCTGCCCATGAGTACATTCAACGGCGTTACCTCATCCACCTCGTTGACGCTGTTCTTCTCCCTTCTCATACAACACCTAAAGCACGGTGGCGCCAGCATAGTCATGGCCTGCACCACAAACAGCCAAACAGCAGTCATGTCGGTGTCCGATGCTATCGAATTCCTCCTGATAGTCAGCTCCGTCCACATGATGAGCGGCCAGATCGCCATCAATGTACCAACGCTGCCACCTATAACAACCTGGTATCGATACCACCACGGTGGCACCTTGTCTTGTGTTGTCATTGCAGTACCAAAAGCCAGATTGAAAGCCGCCGCAGCCGTAAAGATCAACATGATGGTATCGACGATCTGAATCCAGCAGAACCATCCATGCCAGCCCTTCCCGAATGTTTTCCACCCCCAGAACCAGAACTGATACACACCATAGCCTTCTGTCTGAGATGTCGACCAAGATGTCCATGCAACGACGTTGTTCAGGATCATAACGCCAACCGTGCCATAGCCAAGGAGGTAAGCTGAGAGTGCGTTGCCCGAGCTGACGCCTCCCAGGTACGTGATTGTGAAGCAGAAATTGAACTCGGATACCAGCAGCGACCAAGCATGGAGTTGCTTGTGCCGTGCCGCCGAATACCATTGGAGTTGGGTATACCAATTGTAGACAAGAAAGCCGATATTGCTGGGACAGTTCGAACCCAATCCTGCGACAAATTGAGCGGGTGATAGTAGCATGCTGATGTACAGAACGATGCGGTTGGTTGCACTGAAGCCTTGGACGATCTGTACGCTTGACATGATTGCGGACAACGTAAAGTATCTGGTGCTCAGGGGGCCTTGGAATGATCGACAGATGGATTACGTGCTATTATATGTATTTTCGAATGGAACTCTGAACAGTCAGTCGCCCATGGTGAAGCTCGAGCCTTTTGGAGGGGGCATCCTCGTACTCGTGTCGCAGAACCGTCTGCTTCAAAGAGGCATGGTGCGGGCTAATTCGCAACCGGCTATACCTAGGCTTGCTGTTTACTTGGTTGGGAGACCTTGTGGCTGCATGTGGCCATTGACATAGCCGCCCTCGCCTATGCTTTATCTTACACTTAGCTCGACTGCGACTTCATCCTCCTGTCAGTACACGGTTAGACATCGCCATCAACAAAAGAATCATCTCTGGCCACATCAACCCAGACTTCGAAAATGGAAAGCCCTGTCTATACAACAACGGACGGCACGACATTAACTGTGCCAAACTGCATTCGCAAACCCGTCGACACATTACAGTGCTACTGCATCAAGCCAGACAATCCAACAGCATGGCAAACGATCCACTACAACTTCATCTGGACAGTGGACCGCTTCCTCTGGTTATTGGGCAGTGCCACGATGTGGTATCTGGTATACCATTACGTGGTGAAGGACGTTTACCATAAGCTCGAAGCGAAGAAGCGCGCGGACATTCAAAGGGAAGCGGAAAGGATGGTGAGAGAGAAGGAAGCAGCCAAGGCGGAGGACGACTTGGTCGAGAGAGCCCTTGAGAGAATCAGGCGTGCTCGGGCCCTTGGCAAGAGCGATGTCCAGCTGACCCAAGCGGAGATTGATGCTTTGGAACGAGTAGATCGTGGTCTGAATCCTCCACGATTGCCATCGATGCCTCTTGCTGCTTCAAATCCGCGAGCTCATCCCAGAAGCAAGAGGGCCGCGGCCGTCGACCAATAGTCGAGGCAAAGATAATGGAACTCGAGGCTGCCAGTGCTTTTAGTTGCTTACCTATGCGAATGCGTCGCACATAGGGGACAGGAATAATCGATGGAGGTGGAGAGGTCAATTGACGAGAGGCGAAGCGAAAAGTGGTGCGATGGATGTGACAAGCCTTCTCAATACCACTGCCATGGCAACGAGGCAAACGTCACGTCTTCCTCAGTCACCTTTCATGAACTGCTCAGCAACGGTTGCCGCGCAGATGATCAACCTCGCGACAACTTCTCGCCACTTTCGCGGTCTACCAACTCAGCATACCACCCACTATCCCACACTTCTCTCGCAGGTGCGCCCGTCGGTATGCCGGTTTTCGCATCATGACCAGCAATCCATACGAGTTGGCGCCTGGCCACGTTCTATTCAAGCCGAAGAACAAGTCTCGGTACTGCACGGTCGCTACTCTGAAAGACAATGAGGGCGGCTTCAGTGAAGACGATGTACGCGACTTCATTCAATTCAGTCATCAAGGTCTGTTCAAAAAGCTCAAAGGACTGCCTATTCCGTCCGATCACGTCGAAGAGCCTGCAGATCTTGGCTATGCTCATCTTACCGCTGCCGAATCCGTTCTCACCATGAGCGCGTCCATGCAGCTCCCCGATGGTCGCCCCCGTCGTGGGCAGCAAACACCAAAGACAAAGGTCTACCTTGATCGCACTCTCGAGTCGCAGCACAAGCGCCATATCGAGTCTTTTGTTCTAAGTAAGTAGGATTCTGAAGGTCTTCCCTACATCGCTAACATCAAGTAGGCGGGCAGCTGATCCTTCTTCGCAAGGTACGCAAGCCTGGAACGCTCATCATATGCTCTGCGCCAAGCTGTCAGCATGCCGTAGGAGCTGGATCATTCTACATCAGCCTGACCGGCCTGGACCAGCAAGAAATCCACTATGGTCTGGAATGCCTAGAGATCCTGTTCACGGATAAGCCGACCACGATGGGCCGAGCCAAGAGAGTCTTCAACCACTTCGCTCTGGACGGCGTTCTCGACGATGACGTGTTTATGCCGCACAATCTCCCATCCAACTCACTCGAAAGCCGTATGCTTCGTCAGGAGAAGTTGGACGAGATCCAAGATGTCATCAAGGAAGACCTGCAACACGAGCTTTCACGATCAATGGCCGCCGACTACACCATCGACAACGACAGCCTTCTGCTGCAACGTCCTGCAAACCTCGAACCTCTCCGCGCACGCTACAAGAAGCAAGGCTTGACTGGATACGATCAACATCTCGCTGCACGTGGCGGCAAGGCGTCTCAGGATCAAGACCATCAATCAAGTGCAGATGTTCCGCCAACAGCAGGCACCTTTCCTGTCGATGACGGACTGGATCTCATCTGCTATTGCCGAGAGCCAGTAGGCGATGAATACGTCGTACAGTGCTGTCACGAGCTCTGTCTCATTGGGCGTTTCCACATCAAGTGCTGCAATGAGGAGGACTTCGATATATACACTGGGGACTTCTATTGCGAGTTCTGTGCCAACCTCGCCTGTTCAAATCCAGAAGACGAGAGCACTGGTGAGCTACTTGCTGGAGCTACGTCAGATGCTCTGGCGATCGAAGCTACGGAGATGTTGCCAGTCAACGACCATTACCTCGCAGAAGGCGTCCCTGAAGTCAGCGAAGAACAACTCGAAACACCTTCCGATGAGTCGCCTCGCACTCCATCAACTCCTCGTACCCCTAATCAGCAACTGAGCGTCGATGTGAGCCACCTGTCGTCGCCATATTCTGGCTCGCCCACCCGATTCGTCACCATCAACTCTCGTCCAGTTCGACAAGATGGATCACCCACACGTACAGGCCTGGACGGTATCTTCGAGGATAAGCCCAAAGTCATCGGTGCACTGGAGTCCACTGCCAATAATAACGGCTCTTCTCCGATCACATTCATGGATTTCGCCCCGTTCATTACCTACGAAGCAATGCCAAGTTCGACCGGGCTGCACGAGAACGAGATCATGAGACTCGAGGGCTGGCGCTATTGTATGCCGAGGAGCAAGCTCCTGTCGAGGCTGCCCCACGACATGTTCATCAATGTTCTCAATGCCGCCTACGCGCCGAGAACTGATATCAAGATCGCTGCAGAACAGTGGATCAACACGATGGTGCACTTTGGTGGCAGAAAGCGAGTCGTCTTCGACAAGCTCAGCAAATGGCTCAAGTACTAGGCTGCTATTCTACATGGTCATGAATCATTATTGTTTCAGAAAGACTATTCAAGGATTCTGGGAGCACTTCAAGTCACGAGATCCTCGATAGCATTTGAACATTCCAGGGGCGTCTGATCCAGACGAGCTCGACATAGAGAGTCGTTCTATGGGACCCTCTCCGACCGAGGTGAATGAAAGAGAAATCAAATCCAGCTTTGTCGTTCAGTGACTTCCCTACTCCACGTGTGATTTGTAGATCATTTTTGCTTGACAGCGTGTTGCCTCGTTGCCTTACAGCGAACATATATGAGGCGGCCTCCATTGCTCTTCGCTTCCATCGTGTCATGACGGAGTCTTTCGCATTCACCCAGCTACTCGTCAGGCTTGGATGCCATACACCACATGGCGACATCTCGTAACGTCCCGCGGCCATGGCCACTAACGTAGACTTCGTGCTCGGCAGCAACCTTCTGAAGCAAGAGCAGGCGCGGAACACTTCCAAGCCGAAGTGGTTATTCGGAGTCAAAGCTATCGATGCTCACCTCAAGAACGTGCTACGGGGCGAACAGCTAAATGGACTCGTGCAGGTCACGGACGAAGGAACATCGACTCCGCTATCAGTACATATCATCGCCAACCATCTCTCAGCGCCACCTCCTTCTTGAGATCTGTCGCGACTAATGTCGACCCAATTCCTTCCGTCTTCGTGATAGCTCCACCAACAACACAAACGACCCTCGCAATTGCCACCCACCTCGAAGCTAAAGTCGCCTCCACACCAACCGCCACCCGACCGGACTCCATCGCCCTCCTCTCGCAAATCCAGCTCCTACAGTATCTCTCCCTCAGCGGCCTGGCCGAGAGCATCGGTGACGTGTCCGCGGCCCGTTTCGAGCGCAGCTCTTCATCCCGTCCACCAGCTGCCGCAACCATATCACCACCACCACCAGGAATCCTCCTCATCCAAGGCCTATCCCCAACCCTGACAGAAGCAGCACGCCGCCACGGCGCAACCCACACAGCCGCCATCGCCTCAAACCTGCTGCACTCACTCACACACCTCAGCCGCACATATTCCAACCTGCTCGTGCTGGTTGAGCTGGATGCCGAAGTCCAGAAACCCTCTGCCGCCATCAACACTCACGCTGCTCAAGCAGCGCTAGACTCAGCATTCACCTCTCCCAGAGGCGAAATTCTGCTCCTCGGCCCCGCACCCACGCCTTCAATGGCATTTGGAGGAAGCACGGCCTCAGTGAGCGCCATCCTAGAGCAGAGCATGGACACTCTCATCGCGGTGCACGACGGGTTCGGGCGGACGAGGGAGCATGACCGACAGGAGAAGAAGAAGGGTGGGCCGGATCGGGGCAAGAGCTTGATCATTGAGGTGGTCAAAGATCGTGCGGGTGGAGAGGTGGCGAGGTGGTGTGTATGGGTGCAGTGAGGCTGACTCTCCTTGCGACGAGGCCTGAAGAGTCGATTGCAGTCACTTCGCGATTGGGATCAAAGCGTGGTGCTCTTCCCGTGGGATGACGAGAGCCTTTAGACACAGTCGAGACCGTCGAGAACAGAACATCGCCCCGCCTGGCAGCGGGAGATGCTGACATGGCATGGCATGCGACGGGGAAAGGTTGGTTCTGGGAGGAGAAATATTCAAGAAGTCGAGGGCATGGCACCTACTTATACCTGTTCAACACAGCACAGCCCCGAGGATAACCCGCAGGCATCACTTCACGACTCAGAGATGAAATATTCACTGTAATTTGCATGACTCCAGGGACAGTCACTGGTCAGTGCTTGTGGGCATTTACTTGGAAAGGCAGATTAATAGCAAAATTCACCGTTTAGGACGAACCACGGACGACGTCACTACCATTTCAGCGATTCTTCAGCTTCCTCTGAGTACGATCGATCTGGGCCGCTGATGTTGTAGCCACGTAGCGCGTAAATGACTCATAGTTCATGGTCCAGTCCAGCGATCGGCTCCAGTAAGCCTCGGAAGGTTACTCTGGTGATCTTCCAATTCGTCTGTGCAAGGCTCTCTTCGTCTTTGGGATCCGCCGCTGTCGGCTTCACCGTTGCTGACGAGTTCGTCTCGTTCAGCACCACCGCGTCGCCGTCCTCTCCCTGCATAGTAGTCGTTTGCCGCACAGAGTCAGAAGTGTTGTCGTCTGCCCCTTGTCCCTCGACCTCATCACCATCTCGCTCCACAGCTAAAGTCCAACGCATCCCCCATCCCCCCAGAACCCGTATCTCATACACAGCAACGCCCGAATGGAGGAGCATAACATTTCGCCAAACCGCTTCCGCCAGCACCTTGTCGAGAACCTTCTCAGCAGTAGCCGTCTTCTCGTCATTCGAGCCAGTGGGGAGTGGCCAGTAGGGATGTGGTGCATCGCCTTCCTTCCGCTTGCTTAGTCGATAGCTTTGCGCTGCACCGTCGGGCCTGCTAGCACCGAGCACTGATGCTGATCCTGATGATCCGTCGTTGCCATCGTCGGCTCCTGGACCTACACCATCAGCATTGTCGTATCCTAGCATGCTCCTTATCGTCCTTGCTTTGTCGAGGTCTTGGAGAGCCTGCCGCCGCTCAAAATGCTTGCAAAGCGCAACAGCGCCGCTGCTCATCCGCGTCTTGGGCCGCGGTGAGTTGTTGAATGCTACACGAAGTTGGGAGTCTGGCGGCGGCAGGAGGAAGATGGTGCCCTTGGTGCGGAGCAGACCGGCGCTCCTGTAGAGCGTCTCAGCCTGAGACGGGCTGGTAGACCACGGGAGGCGGAGCGAGGGATACATGCTGACGGAAATGGAGAGTCTTGAGGGGGATGGTCGCCTGGGTCGCCAGTGGAGGGCAGGGCGAACGAGTCTGTAATCAGGTGGTACCGATGTTCAGAGTGGACTTTGATGCTTTAGCGCCTTGCGCAAGGCATCTCTGAGGCAGACTGCTCGAAGGCAGCCAGAGTCGTTCCTTCATGTGTGCGAAGTACACGTTTGTCGAAAGTCTTCAAGTGAAGCGAAACACGAAAATTTGTTCAAGCTCTTCACAATGGAACGCGGTGCCTCTGGAGCCGAGCGCCGAGGTCGAGGGCCGGGCACATGAGTAAGGCGACAAGGACACGATTCAGACTACACCGACATACGATCAGGCTACAGTGACGAAGATCGAGACTCTACGCCAAGCTGAGATAAAGGCGGAAATTGAGCACGTGGATAACGCCCTCTTGTTACGGAGTCTACTCGCGGCGAGTGTTGGCTTAAGTAGATATATTCAAATTACAGGCTGAGCTTCAATCCCTCGCAGACAGCAGCAGCATCACAGAGAAGATGATCGATCCGATTCTGATTAGAAGCTCGACAGAGATGCCTTCTCGGGACTCGGGCTGACTTTCTGACGATACGGGACCTCATCTCAAGATCTATGATGGCATGCCTTCTCGTTGCCAGAGTGACTTTTGCGAGTAGTGGACAGAGCAAAGTGGTTTTATCGCTGATGAGTAATGGCGGTTGGGTGATCGAATCGCTTGCATCGATGAATGGTCGACTTTCCTTCCCACCACCACAAACTTCAGGTCGATGTTGACGACATCTAGTAGGCGTAGAGGATCAAGAAAGCAACCATCAACGCGAAAAGACCGGTGGCCTCAGCGAAGGCGAAACCCAGAATGGCGTACGAGAAGAGTTGACCTGGTAAAGAAAGTCCCATGTTAGCACGAGCCATGTCTTGGCGAAGGAGGGGCTTGGCAATCTCTAAAATTGAGATCTCGAAACTCACCTCGGAGAGCAGGGTTGCGGGCGACACCGGTGATGAGGGAGCCAAAGACGGAACCGATACCGATACCAGCACCGGCAAGACCAACGGTGGCAGAGCCAGCACCAACACACTTGGCAAGGACGACGATAGCAGCAGTGGTGCTCTCAGCAACGACACCGCGGGTCTGCATGGCGTTGCGGACGATGTTGGAGGTGAGGTTGGTGCGGGCGGCGTTGGAGATCAGACCGTGGCGCATGGTGGTAGGCTGGCGGGTAGAGCGGATGATTGAGCTCTGGATGGGGGCTACATTTGAAAGAGTTGTGAGCATCGAATCGTGATATCGGAGCTGTAGATGTGAGGTTCTTTCGGAAGCTTACCCTGAGAGGTGGACATGAAACGGGTTGGCTGCTTGAAGGCCATGCGGGCGGCAATGCCCATTCCCTTGTTGGCGAACGACATCTTGCAGGCGGATGCTAAGGAGCGGAGATGAGTGTGGGATGGGATTTGATGCAAGATGTTCGAAGACGAGTTGATGGAAAGGTAGCTGTTAAGTCGATGAAGGATGAAAACACAGGAGAGAAGCTGGGAGCTCCGACAGAGCTTTCGCACTAGTCCTAAAAGATTCGAGAGATGAGGCTTGGCGAGAAGGGTCTAACGATGGCTTCGTCGGTCTTTCGTTTCACTCTACACTCTACGACTCAATCCAGTGCCAGAAAATTATGGTAGCAGGCACTTGCCGTTGTAGGGTTTAGAGAGATAGTATCGTAGTGATCTCAACGCCCTCGAAGCTCGAGCTTGGAAAGCGCTGAAGGCCGGCACCGACAGTCCCGGAAATTGTTGGAAGACATCCGAGCGATTCCAGCCGGAGGTAGTTCTCATTAAACCCTGGTGCAAAGTACTACGCAGCCTCGAGGCAGTTGCGTTCGTGTACAGGCAATGCAACGAAAGGGCGATCGGTCAACACGGACAACCCATAAACTTCCAGCCCAACACACTGTCCTCTGCACACCCGTACTGAGAGTGGCCGCCTCCAAAGCCACGTCGTAGTAGATCTTAAAAGACACAATCTGTGCCCCGCGACCGACGACGCCACCCACCTCACATCTCACATTCACCCCACCTGACACTCTCGACTGGTGCACATTGTTCACGGCCACCCGCCCAACATGGCCAACATAAACTGGCGAACCATCAACATAGACGCCTATGACCCAGAATCATCCACAAACTTCGACCTCCAGACGGTCCTCCCCTCGACTCTTCCTTCGCCCTCCACATCCGCCGAATCCGCCCAAATAGCCACTCAAGTCCGCCAGTTGTTACGAGCCGGCGACTCCCTCGGTGCCCTGCAATCCGCCCTCGAGACCGCGCCGCTTGCCGGCGATGAGCAAGCGAAACAAGTGCACACTACGACAGTACTCGAAGTGCTCCAGGGAATCAGGCAAAGCGAAGTCAGCAAGATCCTGAACGAGATGTTGGGCCAGCCTGGCGGCGCAGCTCTGGGGGATACGTTGATGAAGTACTTGTATAAGGGAATGAGACAAGTAGTGGTGGTGGCGGTGGGAGCAAACAGGGGATGAGTCCGCAGGGAACGGGTAGCGGTGGGTTCAGTCAGATTCAGAGCAGGAATTTTGGGGAAGGGGGAGGGGGCCAGGTGATGAGCGTGCTGCTGAGTTGGCATGAGAAGTTGACGGAGGTGGTGGGATTGGGGGGAATTGTGAGGGTTATGAGTGATCGGAGGACGGTTTGATCAGCAATGATGGATGGATCGATCCACAGGAACAACACGTTTGGGAAGGTCGCCTTCGCTGGCAGACAGAGTCGTTGAAGCACTGAAGCTCTGAGAACAGGCGTGATAAGAAGCGTCGAGCGCTCGCTGCATACTGATAGACAGTACAGTGCTGGGGTATCTTAAAAGTCAGACAAACACGGACATAGTTAGAAAGTAGCCTCCTGTGCCTCACTGCGCCTGCTGTTCTTCAGCCGCAGCAGTAGCAGCAACAGCAGCGGCGGCCACCCTCCCAACCCCCAGTACCATCCAGTAACTCAACTCCCTCCTCCCATCATCCACGTCCCCCACCTCCTCCAACGCCTTCTCACTACTCTTCTTCATCTTTCCCCCCTCCCCTTCCTCCTCACCAACCCTCCACTCCAGCCTGACCCGAATCGGCACCTCAATCACATCCTCATCCTCGTCCAACTCTCTCTCCAACCCCAACAAACTCGTCGCCGGCAACACCTCGATCACCACACTCGCCCAATTCCGCCCCTGATCATACAGCGTCCGGCAATCTGCTCGCCTCCGCCACCACCGCGAGCGCCTGAGCCTATAATGCTTTGATTCAATGGGTGGTTTCCGCCAGAGGCGAGTGCATCATCCCAAACATCTCCACTCTTCCCAATCTCAAACTGCGGACACAGGATCGTAACCTTATGCGCATGCCTCCCCGGCGTCAAAGCCGGACAGCCCAAACTAACCTTGATGTTCTCGAACTGTGGATTCTTGAGCGTCAGCACAAACTGCGTTGCTTTCCCGGGCTGCAGCACAACATCCCCGCCGTCCGGAGTCGTGGAGGGACGCAAACCGCCTGATACAGGCAGGGGCTTGAGGATAGCGAAGGGAATGTAGTTGAGCGCGATGAGCTTGATGCGGTAGCGCGTCGACGTGGGTTTGAACTCGGGCTTGACGAGGATGTGCTTGCAGGTGGCGCAGCGTTTGGAGCGTTTGGTGCGCAGGAGGGTGGGCATCGGGCGGAGGGAGGCGGTTGTGGGAGCTGGCTGGGGGGCGCCGAGATAGGAGGGGTGTTGGAACAGGCGTTGAGTGGTCGAGGTTGTGTCGGAGTATGAGGTCGGTGGTGGAGCTGGGTTGGGGTGGGAGGGGATGAGGAGGCCCTCGACTGGAGTGAGGGCTTCTCGCATGACAGTCGGTTTTGAACGGGATTTCTTGAGACCGGAGGATCCGAGGTTGGAGTAGAGATTCATGATTCGTGTGAGGGAGGAGGGCGAGGAGTAGGCTAGGTCGAGTGCTGATGCTGGCAGGCCGCTGTCACCACTGGAGACGGCTGTGATTTGGTCCTTGTAGAATGTTCGTAGCGCTTTGAAGCGTGCTGTGTCGTCCATTTCTGCTGTAGGTGCTGCTTCATCCTTTGCTGCGTGTTCGCCGGCTGGGGACAATGGATCCTTGGCCAAAGACGACGACCTCGAAGCCTCACCCGTCTCCGACGTCTTCAAAGGCTGCCTCACCCCTCCCCCATTAGCAATCCGATCCAACTGCCCCCTCAAATTCGTCGGCTTCTCAAATTGAATCCCAATCTCCAGGCTCGTCCACATACAATAATTACAATTCAGAATAAACGGTCCATCCCTTACATTCCCCACACTCGCCGTAATCAACTGCGAAGTACAAATCGGACAATTGAAACAATTCCTCGCGCACCGATTCCCCTCAGACTTGACCATCGAACTCGGCGTCTCGAAGAGACACGAGGGGCAGTACCAGCAGATGATCTCCTCGGTCACGCAGCGTGGACATTTGATGTCTTGGCATTCTTCGCAGTAGAGGAGGTGTTCTGGTGGGAAGAGGGAGAATGCTGAGCGGCGGTGGGATGGTTGGAAGGTTGTTTCCTCGTCGTCTGAGGAGGTCTCTGGGTCTGGATTGGGGGCTTCGCGTTTCCATGCTGGACGTTGGTTGTCGGAGCAGGGGCATGAGATGTATGTGTAGGGGAAGTTGTTCATGGTGGTGCATAGTCCGTGGCGCTGTGACGTATCAGGGAGATATGGTAGCCATTGTGATGTGATCGAGTCCTTCACGTTGGCTGGAAGTGCTGTACGCTCCCGTGGAAATCTGGCAACGGAGTGGGAGGTTCATGGGTAGGACTCTGGGGAAATATATCTGCGGAGAACATTTCCGCATCAAAAGTTCCGTCGACATCATCACATGGAGAGGACTCTGTGGTACAGTATGACTTCTATCTTTTCCCATGTCGAGATCATTAGGGCCAGACATTGACTTGTCCTGACCTTACCACTCGCCATGCGACCACAGACTCTCCGGCCATGGCTGCACATCTCAGCACTACGTAGGATATCTACACCCATCCGCCGCACCTACGCCGTCCAAGCACCAGGCGCACCCACCCTGCAAGTCTTCAACGACACAGTCAAATACCTACAAAAAGAGCGCGCAGCCCTCAATGTTGACGAGTCTCGTGCCTCAAGCTACCTCAAAGACGAAGTCGCCCGCCGCCTGGTCGACCGCCTCCTCGACATCGACCGCTCGTTCCCCCAAGTCCTCGACCTGGGCGCCAACAGCTGCCACATCGCCCGCGCACTCTCCGAACCACCACTCCCTACAGAAGAAGACGCCTCTGCTCCCACAAAACCAAAAGTCCCCCTCTCTCAACGGATTCACCACCTAACCTGCGCCGAGACGTCGCTGGCTACGCTCCACCGCGACGATGACTTGCCAGAACCCGCAGTCGCACTCACGAAAACACTCTTGCCTTCTCTAGAACACCTCCCCTACGCCCCCAACACCTTCGACGCGGTCCTCTCCTCTTTGTCTTTGCACTGGATCAACGACCTCCCCAGCACCCTCGCCTCCATCAACAACATCCTCAAACCCGACAGTCCCTTCATCGCCGCCATGTTCGGCGGCGACACCCTCTACGAACTCCGCTCGTCCTTACAACTCGCAGACCTCGAGCGTCGGGGCGGCGTCACCCCACACATATCGCCCTTAGCGGACGTGCGGGATATCGGCGGACTACTCAACCGCGCGGGGTTCAAGCTGTTGACGGTGGATGTAGACGACATCGTGGTGGAGTATCCGGATACGTTCGCGCTGATGGCGGATGTGCAGGCTATGGGGGAGGGCAATGCGGTTCTCAGAAATGGAACGCTAAGCAGAGAAGTACTGCTGGCGAATGAGGCAATATACAGGGAGTTGCATGTAGGTGAGGATGGGGATAAGGGGAGAATACCGGCGACGTTTAGAGTGATTTATATGATTGGGTGGAAGGAGGGGGAGGGCCAGCAGAAGCCGTTGGCGAGGGGGAGTGGGCAGGTTAATATCAAGGATGTGCTTGGGGGAGGGGAATTTTCGTAGTATTGTCAACGGTAGTTCAAGGAGATAGTCATGCCTCGGGGCGTTCTGGCCGCCACTGGGTTTCAATGCATAGGCATGGGAGGTTTTGTGTGTCTTAGGAAATTGTGAATTCGGTATGCTTTCTGGTTCTATCGGGCTATTGATGAAGGATGTCTCATCTTTCAGCCGACAGATAGCTTTCTTGAGATTTGCGGAACAGTCGATCGAAGCATCTCGAGACCGAGGTCAAGTGGCTTTGATCCTCAGACCCGTCGTCAATGCCAACGCAACCTTTCCTGCAAAAGCAGCCCCACAGCACATCGACTCAGCAGTCGACTCTGCCTGCAGTGTTCCATGACTTCCTCTCGCATGCAAGGGTTCCAACACCTTTAGTACTCAGCACCACCACTAACGGGGAACTCGAACCCAGTAACCCGCCCGGTCAACTTCCGATACACCTCCGCATACGTATCGAGCCGGTAATCCACGCCACCACGCTCCTTCTCATCCAACACGACCTTCAGCACCTTGCTTCCATCCTCCTTGGTGCGAGTGCGCTTGCCCACAATCTCAACCGGGTAGACGACATCAGCCAGGATCGCATCGTGCACGGCGGTGAGTGTACGGGATCGAGGACGCTTCTGCTTCTGGGAGGTGCGGCTGCGATTTGAGCGCTTGGGGCGGGGGAGAATGCGGCGCGAGGCGAGGATCAGGACATGGCGGTCGGAGAACTTCTTCTCGAGTTCGCGGGTGAGGCGTTGTTGGATCTTGTGGAAGCCCGGGAGGAGAGGGACCGGGACGAAGATGACGATCGCATGCTTGTTGTGGCCGACGTCGAGCTGCAGGAATGTCTTGTTAGCCTTCTCTTCATAGCCTCAAACTCTACAGAAATGTAGTTCGATTGAGCAGCTTCTTACCTCGCGAGCAGACACAATCTGCAGCGGTCGCAGAGCAGCCTTGAGATCTGGAATGTTTTGCTCGAGGTCGTAGAGAGCGCCGGCGATGTTCTGCTCCAGCTCGGAGGGGTGGGCCCGCGATGGGCTGTTGGCCGCAATCTTGTTGAGAGCGGGTTGAGACATGGTTGCAATCGACAACAATTGGGGGGTGTCAGGTTGCGAAATGTCTCGTAGAAAGGAGTGCAGATTGTGGTCGTGGTGCAGATGCGGTCTACGAATCCGCAGTGAAATCTGCTGCCAAGCCTGAGGTGTGCGATTTACCCGCCAAGATTTAGCTCGGGCTGTCCCGTCGTATCTCGCCAGAGCTGCTACATTAGGTCACTATCTCGACTCGCGGTTTCGCCGGATCAAACTTGCCGATCCACTTGAGGATTGGAAATCCAAACACTCAAGGTTTGTGGTTGTCACCGGCACATGTCACTGATATGGCACAGACCCGCCTGATGGCTATGAAGCAGGCCTCGTTGACCTCGTCACACATGCTACGAATTCGATGGCTTTGTCAAGAAGGTCTGCTTGTTCACTTATGTCACCGAGGCCGGGCAGTCTAGAGTCGGCACCAAGCTTGCTGTCCCGCGGCACCATTGTCAGCGTGAACGGCCACGATGGAGGAAAGTTGCCAAACTTGCCTCTCTTGGGTTCTGCAAACTCCGGAAACTGCTATCGAGACTGACTCGCAACTGCCGTTCATTTTTCCTCGCAGCCGGAAGACTAACGGCGGGCGATTGCGTTATGACATCAGGACTGCCACTATATAAAGATGCCGTTGACGAACACTATTTGAGCCGCCACGGAGGGTACTGATCGATCTGACACAGAATTAGCCCCACCTTTACACAGCAAACATGTCGACTCCGAAAACAACGAGGCAGTGGGTCGTGAAAGATACTAAGAACGGCTTCGACGGTCTGCAGTTGCAAGACACGTCGACATCCCACAACTTGGCGACAACGATGTACTCGTTAAAATACAAGCCGCGTCTCTGAATTATCGGGACCTGATTATACCTAAGGTATGTTTCATACGGACGTCAACTCATGAAGCTGATGACTGCTAGGGGCAATATCCATTCCCAACCGCTACACCCGTAGTTCCCTGCTCAGACGGCGCCGGCAAGGTCGTGGCTGTTGGCCCAAAGGTCTCTGAATTTAAGGAGGGCGATGTTGTTGCGACGCTGTTCAATCAGAAGCATCAGGCTGGGCCGGTCAAGCCAGCAGGTATCGCATCAGGGTTGGGAGGCGCTCTTGACGGTGCGCTCCGAGAGTATGGTGTATTTCCGGAGACTGGTCTCGTCCGTGCACCTTCCAACACGACGGCGAATGAAGCATCGACTCTCGTGTGCGTATCTGACGGCATGGAACGGTCTCTACGGCCTTAAGCCATTGCGACCTGGCGATTGGGTGCTCACACAGGGTACTGGCGGTGTGTCACTTGCAGCGATCCAGTTCGCTCGCGCCGCTGGCGCGAATGTCATCGCGACGAGCTCGTCAGAAGAAAAGCTCGAGTTCCTGAAGAAGCTCGGTGCGAACCACGTCATCAACTACAAGACGGACCAGAATTGGGGAGAGACGGCCAAGAAGCTCACAACAGGCGGCCTCGGCGTCGACCATGTGATCGAGGTTGGTGGACCAGGCACAATGAAGCAGTCCATGCTCGCTATCAAGCTTGAGGGGACTATTACGGTCATCGGTTTTCTGGGCGGAGCGACCGCGGAGAACACACCTTCGACGCTCGATGCTCTTACTCATCTATGCACGGTTCGGGGTATCATCGTTGGCTCGAGGCAGCAGTTCGAGGACATGGTTCGTGCGATCGAAGCCTCTGATATTCATCCGGTGGTGGACAAGAAGGTGTTTCCGTTCGAGAAGGCAGTCGATGCGTACCAGTATCAGTGGGACCAGAAACATGTGGGCAAAGTCGTCATCGAGGTCGGTACTTGAATCGGAGATGATTGGTGGAAGAAAGGTGCTGCGGCCTGTTCGCAAGACATGCTCGAAGCGTGTGTGTATCTGTTTATAGCTTGATCAGACTGTACGCATTTGCCAAAAGTACCTGTGACCTAACTTAGGACTTCAAGACGATTTCATCTTCGTGATCATCAATCATACTCTTTGCGGAAGTTTGACTACTTCGGACACTCATGAACTGCTGACAAAAGAAGCGTATTGAATTGGAGGTAGCGACCTCGGCCAGTGTGGAGGTGGAGATTCGAGCGACATATATACTTCCCATCCATCCTCTCACGATGGGACGCCCTTGAGATGATCAAATCGCACTTGGCCAGTACTTTCTTGATCCCCAAGTGAACCGCCCCGCGCACTTCACAATAGACTGAGATGACTATATGCTAAGGACAGCCCGTCTGGTACTCACTTCTACCTCTCGACCACTCATCATACACGCAGATACACTCCATCGACCATTCAGAGCAACCCGACATCACAACCGATCCACCAAGATGTCTACCGAGAGCAAAGAAGACGTCGTCGTTCTCTACGACATTCCCTCCCGAGAGCCCTGCAGTGCTTGGTCGTTGAACCCATGGAAGAGTAATTCGTCCTATCTTCCTATTCCCGAACAGCAATCCATTCATGTCCGGCGAATCGCTAACGGTTTCCCCTCCGATTGATCAGCGCGCCTTGTTCTCAACTACAAGAACATCCCCTACCGCACCGAATGGGTCGAGTATCCAGACCTAGCTCCAACGCTTTCGAAGCTGGTTCCCAAGCGAGAGAGTGCGACGCATTCTACTGAGGAGTTCACGAGCCCTACTGTGAGTTCTAGCCCTACTTCCACAGCATACTAGCTTCTATGATTCGAGACAAAGGAAAAAGTGACTCGTGCTTCGAGTCTGCTTCACCAGCTAGTGGGAAGGAGAAGTCTCAGCAACTCTACGAGTGAGTTTCAAGGGAATCTTCGAAGATCGTGAGCTCGGGAGCCCAAGCTGCCTACCAACACACCACTCATGTGCGGCGCAATACAATACAATGCCCACTCCGGCTCGCCCTCCCCTATTCGTCTGCGGCGCCAATCCCAGCCTTACGGCCTCCAGCCTGATGCTGGCTTCGCTCGCGAGGGCCACCGTCTCCCCCCACCCACCCTGAAGTCGTTGATGCATTAGAAAACCGACCATCCCAGACAACCAGCCAGCCAGGCTCATTCCCCAAGTCAAAGTGCTCCTCCCCGAGATCATCACTGATCACACCTCTACACAGATCACGCTTCCCGACGGCACAGCAATAATGGACTCCCTCGCCATCGCCAAAGCCCTCGAACAGCTCCAACCCAAACCGTCCCTTCAACTCGACTCGCCTCTACTCGACAAAGTCACCACTCTGATCTTTCAGATCCGCACAGCCCTTGTCCCAATCTTCATGCCCCTCGTCCATAAACTCCTCCTTCCAGAACGCTCCGCAGAGTATTTCCGCCGCACGCGCGAACAGCGCACCGGCCGCACGCTGGAGGAAATCTACAACGACCCCGAAACCGGTGGGGCTAAAGCCTGGGAAAAGGGGGAGAAGGACGGCTTGAGAGAGCTTGGCGAGCTTTATAAGCGAGCAAAGAAGGAGAATGGTGGACCATTCTTGGAAGGAAAGGAGCCTGGGTTCGCGGATTTTGTGGTCGCGGGACAGATGAGGATGTTTGAGCGACTTGGTCACCTCGAGGACTATATTAAGGGGAGTGGGAAGGAGGTGGGGGAGATGTATGAGCGTGTCGGCCGTGGTTGGAAAGGGATGATCATTGAATTGATTGAGCTCTGTCTTTGCGCTGAGCTTTGACAAGGGGCCTCGGACCAGGAGTCAACGCTCAAAATTGCATCAGTCATTCTGGAGGCCCTCCTTTTGAGATCATCGAAATGCCTGTCAGCCGACTGGCGCTAGCTGACCCAACCTGTCTCCTCTTTCCCCCTCCAGAGTCGCTTACTATGTTCAGCTAATCTGCAAATCATAGTCATAGCAGAATGGACCCTCAGTCGTGTCCAAGAGGTCTCCAACCTGAATACTTCCATCCTCGTTTGGCTCCAGATATCCCCAGTCAGGTAACGAACTGTCCAATGTCACGAGATCCGATGGCGGCACGTTCCCCGCCGTCATCGTCCCACTAGTCCCATCCGCTTGGTCAGGATTATTCCTCTGCCACGAATCCCACACTAGATCCACAAAAGTATGCATCGGAAACCAGATTGGATTTTGCACACTCACAAAGATCGAACTCATCTGCCCCTGGGCACCGCCGACTTCGAAGTGCGCTCCGCTGTGGATGCCCAACGAGCCACCACCAAAGACGCCGTTGAGCGCGGTCTCGAATGCCGCTGCGTCTGTCGCGTGGGTGGCTGCAACGATGGAGGAGGCATTGGTGTATGTGCTTGCGATGAACGTGTTCAGATCGCGCTTGAGGCAATTGGGTTGGTACGCGTAGGCGTCTGCTGGCAGAGTGCCGTTGGCTAGGTATGGGTTTGGGATGTTCTTCATGGGGACAGTGAGGTTGGCGAAAGGACCTGTGGTGACGCAGCCGCCGCCAGTGCCTTTGGGGAGGGTGAAGTTCGGGCCTAGGACGATAGGGCCGGAGTCGAGGTATTGGCCGTCGCCGGACATGGAGAAGGCGGAGCCGTCGAAGGTGGTTGCGCTGGAGACGTTGCTGGAGGAGGCGCCAAAGTTCCAGTATGGGAAGCGGCCTCTGTAGTTGCAGAGGGAGCGTAGGTCGGATTCGAAGAGGTGGAGGAAGTAGCGGTGCCAGGTGAGGAAGAAGCCGCTGTTGTGGATGTATCTGTTGGCAGGGTCAGTGGCAGCTTCTTGAATGCTGGAGGATAGGTGTGTCATTGTAGTAGATGGAGTCATTGCTGAAGGGGACTTACTGGGATCTATCGACGTGGACCACGGCGTAATCGAAGCTTGAAGCAGGTCAGTTTTCATTCAGAACAAGTCCGCGATCTCAAGTTATCGACGATCAGGGAGGACCTCGCGGAGGAACTCACTATCGACTAATGGCAACGTCTGCGTACGGCTCAACGCCAACCAGTTGAGACGGCTGCTGCATCATGCACTTGATCGCGTTGGTATAGTCCCGCCGCTCTGCTGGTGGCATGGACATGAAGTTGACTCGGGTTGAGGTCCAGTTGGCGCAGCATTCTGGCCATTGGCGCTTGACATGACGAGGCCTGGCGTCCACAGAGGCTGTGATGGCGAGCAATACACTAATGAGGGTTGGGATGAGCATACTGAGACCTTCTCAAAGATATGAGGCGGGCTCTGCTCGGTGGTTCAACAATTATCGTCGTCGCCGAATCTTATATCACAACATTTGTTGTTGTAGCATCCCAATTTCGCTTTCCCAATCTCCCATTTCAACCAGTCGAGACCACAACATCGCGTGGGCGTCGACAGACGCAAAGGACCACGGCATGTGGTATGCATGCTTCCCCGCCTCGTATTGTGGTCCTGTGCTATGCATGTGCAATCTGTCAAATTCTTTGTCCGTGCAGTCTTGCCTACCGTAAGTAAGGAGTTCCGCTCGACACGACGACGTCGAAGAGAATCCCGACGCGGCGATTGATGGAGTTGGCTTGCTGGATTGATGTTCTCGTGCTTCATACGAGGGGCGAGTCCGATGTGTCGATCCATGTTTGCTGAGCGTCATGGACGCTTGTTGTTGACGTTGAGCACCAGGCGTGGGACTTGCGAAATAGCCTTGCTGTAGTAGTCGAGACTTGAATGTAAATATTGCGATCTACGACACAAGCTTCATGGCCATCCACTGCTCAGGGCCCGCCTGGTGATATGAGTGTTGGTTGCCGGATGAGATTCTGTCACCGACTGGTCCTGTACGACTGTGGAGCTAGCTTAGTGTTTTGTTGTGTCACTGTGAGCCTGATCAGTGATGATGGGAAGATCAAAGACAGTGTACGATGGTGGTGGGCAAGGCGGCCGCTGGCTTGATTGCATGGCGCATGCACTTATGTGCTTACATCATTGCTGAGCTCCTTCCCCGGCGGCCTCTGCATCAGCAGATATCGACGGCAGGTGCTCGCCTCCCTTGAGCATTACCTGCCCAAGCTCCGCATCGATCTCCGCCTTCCGCTTCTTCCACTCCTCGACCTGCGCCAGATTCTCTCGCAGCTGGCTCAACTCCTTCTCCGCATTCATCTTTTCCTCCTCGCTACCTATCTTGACCATGTCCCAATCGTAGCCTTCGTCACCTAGTCCCAGAATAAGGTTGTACGAATGATACTTCCTCAGACTCGCCCGTGTGCTGATAGTGATAAGCGTAATCCCCTTTTCTTTCGCCGTGTCGTACAGCACGCCCTCGACATCCGAGCTCACTGCACTCGTGCCCTCGTCCATGAAAGCATACTTCGGCTCATGGTACAGCAGCCTGGCTATGCCCATCCGCTGCTTCTCGCCGCCGCTGAATACATCCTTCCACTCCTTGCGCGTATCCCAGCCACCTTCTCGGCTGAGCAAGTGGCCCAGCTTGGCGTCTTCAAGAATCTTTTCGAGGTCGATATCGCGCTTGCCGGCCTCGCGCATGTCCATCTCGGTGTGGGGGTAGATGACTTGGTCGCGCAGAGTGCCAATGCTGAGGTATGGTCGTTGAGGGAGAAACATGATGCCGTCTTGGCCATGATTCCGTGATCGACTGACGAGGCCGCGGTAGACGGGCCAGAGGCCAGCGACGATTCGTGCGATGGCCGATTTGCCAACGCCGTTACTGCCTGAGATGAGGAGATGGTTGCCGGAATTTACGACGAACGAGAGCGATTCGATGAGTTCGTCGCCTCCGTATGGATAGATCGCTGGTGCTACGATTGGTACGTCTTCGAGTCGGACGCCATCAAAACCTTTCTGTACGGTGCCTTGGACGTCTGCAAGACTGTAAAGCTCAACTCGACCAGGACTTAGTCTTCGCAAGTTGCTGCCATACGAATTGGCGTGGACTCGATGTAGTGTCGAGATTAGTTGGTAGACTCGCGATGTATAGCCGGCTAGCTCTGATAGATCTTTGATGCTGTACATCATGCGTCCGCCGGCGTCTGCTAACGAGAGCATGAGTCGCTTGTTTGTGATGAACTCTTTCATGTGGCCTCCTGCTTTCGGTGCTGCATCAGAGGTCGTGCTTTCGCCAACACCTGCCCATGCTGGCAGATAGACAGGGATCGAAGTAATGATATAGCCGAATGCGGACCATGAGTACTTGAGGACGAAGTCTTCGAGCATATTGTACCGTACTTTGACATTGTAGATGCCCTCCATCCATGACCTAAGCTCCTTGAACGACTTGTTGAGGTACACCTTTTCAACATCAGCGCCACCGTAGAATGCCACCTCTTCTGCGTTCGCGATCAGCCGTGAGTGCAGGCCACGGAATTCGCCTTCCTTCTTCCCCTCGACCGCCTTTAATTTGCCGAATGGTGGCGAGAGGCGTCGTAATAGTGTTGCGGTCGCGAAGTAGTTGGCCAGAAGCCCGCTAAGTGCCAGTGGCCCCAGTGATCGGTAGAGCTGATAGTTGAAGACGAAAATGTCGACAAGCGGCTTTCCCAAGCTCGAGTACAGACTTGCCGCAGCCTGACAGAAGAGTGTCAGATCCTGTGTGATGAATTGATCGGCACCTTCTATGCCACCGTCCAGATTGTGCAGTTTATAGTAATTCAGATTCGCATTCAAATACAGATCGTGGATGTAGCGAGTCAACCTCGTCCGAAAGGCGATCGAGATCTTCGACTGCAGGAACTTGATCATGGCATTTGTGTACGAAGCCAATGCACCGACCGACAGCCAGCGTAGTATGCCGAGCAGAAAGGATTTTCCTTGTCCGCTGACAAGGTCCCGAACAAGCATGCCGTCTAGTCTTGCCACCACCAAACTGAGATACGTCCGCAGTAACAAGAAGACTCCATGACTGAACAGTAGAGCGGTCTCTTTACACCGAAATCGGGGTATCATGATATTCAGCAGGCTGAGGAACTGATGCAAGAACGCCAGATTCAGCCCTGGCTTCGTTGCTGGTGGCGGGCCGTGGCCGTATGCAGGTGTCGACGCGCCGCTAGCAATCCTAGTCACTCGCGGCGGCGTCAAGAACAGCCGTCGATGTGCATCAAATGTTGTGGGTCTTGTAGGATGTATCACCACCTTCGATGTCGTCGCGCCCTTGGGAACGTATATGATACGTGTGCCATCTTTGCCTCGCAGGCCAGAGTTCTTGCGCACAAGCCGCCGACCCTGGGCCCGGTCCCGCGTTTTGGCTACCCACCAATTGTAGCCGCCGTACGAAGAGGTGATGATCGAAAGGAGGAGCGCGGCGGTCGCGGTAAGACGGACGGAGCGCGGTGTACGGCGGAGCTTGGATCGGAGGAGCTCGCGGTAGTGGGTGACGATGACCATCAACGGGTCCTCTCGCGACTGGGCTGCCATGGCCGCGGAGTACTGAGGATCGGTCACCTCGGTAAAGGCATTGTATGTGACTATGCGGATGGCTCTGGGTACAAGATCAGTGTTGATGGCAGTTTTAGAGGCCGTGAGCTAGGTCTAGGTAATGTTCACGTGGAAGGGAGCAAGATCGAAGTCGTTGTTTGGCATGTGCCAATCATGTGCATACCGGCGTCACCAGACCAAAAAAGCCGAGGCCTCGAATATGCGGGCACATGGACGTCATGCTTGGCGGCTTGTGGGGAGCGCTGCAGGGCGGCTCGGCCTTACTCTCCCTGGGCCCTTCATGATCGTAGCAATTCTGTCAATTCCTGATCTATGAAACGCCACTGCTATGCATCATCTCTGGACCTGTGGGTGAGATATCATTAATGATTTGGAGCGACCTCGTGATAATGCCGCTGCGACCAGAGCGCATCTGCGAATGTCTGTATGGACTGATTCGGCTCAGAATATCAGCAACACGTTATCCAAGTAATGGCAACAGTCATTCACAGGTTGCCGTTCGCCTTCGACTTCTGCTCCGGTATCTGCAGCAATCAGCATACGTCAATACAATGCAGCTTCGGACGGTTCACCGGTGTCAGAAGGCCATTCCCATCCACTGCGCTTTCGAGATTGCGCAACACCAGCAGCTCCATTTCTCGTTGTGTTTCGTACCTGTCAGGCGTTGTTAGCTCCTCCTCTACACCTCCGCCGCATCCACACTCACGTGTTCGTCCCAATATGAGGCACAATGAACGCCCTATCATTCCTGAGCAGTCCCTCATGGACTTTCGGCTCTTCCTCAAACACATCCAGCCCAACAGCAGATACTTTTCCCGAATCCAGCGCCTCAACCAGATCCGCCTCCTTGATCAGACCACCCCTGGCCGTATTGACAATGACGACCCCATCCTTCATCTTCGCAAACTCCCTTGCCGAAATGATATGCCTCGTCTTCGCATTCAGCGCCAGATTCAACGACAGCACATCACTCTGCGCCAACAGCTCCTCAAACGTGACATACTTCGCGTCCCCCTCCAGCTCAGCCGGCAATCTACTCCTGTTGTGATAAATGATCTTCATCCCAAACGCCCTCGCCCGACTCGCCATAGCCTACACCACACACCCACAACATTAGCTCTCGCATTCCAACCAACCTCGGCGAAACCACAAACAATAAGCGAAACCCGCTAAACGACCATCAAACAGCAGAGAAAACTCACCCTGCCAATCCCACCCATCCCCAAAATCCCCAACACCTTCCCAGTCGGATCATGCCCAACCCTCGTCCCCTTTCCCCTCCACTCCCCCCTCCGAATCGCCTCCAACGGCGCCACCGCGTACCTCAGCGCCCCTAACATAAGGAAGATCCCCGTGTCCGCCGTCGCATTGTCCACCGCGATCGGCGTACTACTAATCAAAACACCTCTCTCCGTAAATGCATCAACGTCGATGTTGTCGTACCCGGCGCCGTTGTGGCAGATGTACTTTAGCGATGACGGTAACGCGGCGCAGATCTCGCGGTCGAACGGGCCAGTGAGGGTGGCGGAGGCGTTGGAGCGGTAGAGGGCTGTGACGGAGGCGAAATCGTTGGACTTGAGTCTGGAGAGGAATTGAGAACGTGTGCCGGTGCGGAACTCGTGGAGGGTGTATTTGGTCGAGAGCGCGGACCATTCTGCTGTGGTGTGGGCGAGGGAGCCGATTAGCAGGACTGAGGGCTTTGCATGATGTATATGTATATAACGGCGACCAGATTCGAAAAGTATTGAGGGCTTGATGCGGGTTAGCTAACCGGGGCTTGAGTGTGTGGAAAGTCAGAGAGAAGGAATAGTCAGTATGAGAGTAGCATCAAGACCACGATCCGTACAGAACTCGTCTTGGCACGGCCCTAATCTATCGCAACGAGCTATGCAACAGGAGAGCAAAGCGCATGAACACATCCGGTACAAAAAGTGTCCCCAGATTGGCATTATACTCCGTACTCGTGCCGTCGGTATGTCGGTCGGCGTTTGACGTTTTGACCCCACCGCGTCCGGATTTCATCGTGGGGGCACAGTCGACTTGAGGGAGCATTGGAGTTTTGCCTTTCAACTCTCGTCCAATAGCCGAGCCGACATAAAGCCTTTCGAGACCACATCGTACGGCATCGTCGCCGGGTTGGAGACAGTGATGTAGTGAAAAGCTCAGAGTCGCCCTGAATAAGAGGTGTGGTTTATATTAGTGAAGTTGGGATTTGTTGAAGTGATGACTGTTCGGCAGTGAAGTTCACACCTGGGGATCGCAAATTCATTCAATTCCGACTAAACACTTTCATTACTCGACAGAATCAAGCTTAATTCCATAACAATCGAACTCGCGATCACTGTCGATAGATCCAGCCGACGCCGACGCCGACCACGATCAAGATCAGGATGGGCGAGATGGCTTCCACAGAGAGCATAAGGGCATTGGTACTGCACGGCGCAAAGGATTTGCGACTGGAATCCCGCGAAACCCCCAAACCCCAACCCAACGAACTCACAATCGCCATCCGCGCCACCGGCCTCTGCGGCTCCGACCTACACTACTACAACCACGGCCGCAACGGCAACTTCGTCCTCCAACACCCCATGTGCCTCGGCCACGAATCCTCCGGCACCATCACCTCCACCCCCTCAACCACCTCCACCACCACAACCTCAAACCTCAAAGAAGGCGACCGCGTCGCCCTCGAAGTCGGCCTCCCCTGCCGCGCCTGCCCCCTCTGCACCACCGGCCGCTACAACCTCTGCCCGAAACTACGCTTCAAGTCTTCTGCCAAAACCCACCCGCACTTGGACGGCACCCTGCAAACCGTCATCACGCACCCCGCGGACCTCTGTCATAAACTTCCCGAGAACGTGACGTTCGAGCAGGGCGCACTAGTCGAGCCCCTCGCCGTTGTTCTGCACGCCGTGCGCCGCTCCCAGGGCGCTGGGTCAGGCGGCACTGCACCTCTGGTGGGCAGTAGTGCGCTCGTGCTGGGTGCTGGCGCGGTGGGGATGTTGACGGCAGCGACGCTGGCCGTGAGCGGAGTGAGTAATATCGTGATTGCGGATATTGATGGGCCGAGGCTGGAGATCGCGAAGGGAATGGCTGGGGGGAGGTTCAGGTTGAAAACGTTCCTGATTCCGAAGAAGGCGAGCCCGAAAGATACGGAGGAGGCACTCAGCAACGGACAGGATCTTGCGAAGGAAGTTGCAAAGGTTGGAGACCTACCTGAAGGATTTGGATTCGACAGGGTGTATGAGTGTACTGGTGTGCCGCCGTGTGTGCAGTTGGGGATCTATGCTGCGACGGCGGGCGGGATGTTGGTGTTGGTGGGGATGGGGAATCCGGTGCAGACGTTGCTATTGGTGCGGCGGCGTTGCGGGAGGTGGATATCATTGGGGTGTTCAGGTATGCGAATTGCTATCCAGCGGCGATTGCGCTGTTTGCGAGTGGGCAATTGGATGGGGTGGCAGAGGCGTTGGTGAGCCATAGAGTGGGGTTGGAGGATGGGGAGAGGGCGTTCAGGCTTGCGGCGAATGCGGCGAGGGAGGGAGAGGATGAGGGGAGGGCGGTGGTGAAGGTGTTGATTACTTCATGAGCGATGGGGTTTTGCGACCCGTGAGACTGGCGGAAACGCTTGACAAGATGGCATCACAGACCGAGGAGGACACTATGCCAATCGGCCGGGGTTTCGTCGCCTGAATAGCATCGGAACAGCTTGACCGTTTGTCACGGGCAACTTGTGCCTATTACACCTTCTAGCAGCACTTCCAGGACAGAGTGCGTGAGCCTATGAACTTCGTCTCGAACCAAGCTGAGGAATCCTCCTGATCCATATCTTCCATCCTGGTGGTTTGTCAGTCATGTCAGCCAACATCGGGAGTATTTGCATGTCGCCTTTCGACCCGATACAACTGTACTCTCGTAGCCGTACAGGTTCTGCGCTGCCCCAAAACTGTTTGCCGACGCTGAACATCTCCGTTCTGATGCGCATTCCACTCAGGCTGCCACAGACACGGAGTACAGCGCGTGCTCGCTCGACCTAGCTGTAATCGTGTAACGGGGTGGACTGGGCTAGCCACGCGTACGGATCTGTCATGTTTCCGGGTGGCTCAGGCAAACCTTCCCGCCTCGAAAGCTTAAGTCGGCAGTGGGAACAGGCGTCCAGAGTCCAAACCTACCTGTCTATGCACTCGGAAACACTGCGGCTTCCTTTTCTGGCGCGAGACTTTCCAGAGATGTGGTACGATATGTTCTTTTGTGGTGCGAATGGCATAGTCTCCGAAAGGCGATCGAGGATGGAAACCTACGCTGGTCTCTAATGCTCCTTTCGTATGCTGGCCTATCAGGCCCCATCGAGCGCTTCAAGATCGCACGTTGACTTTGCGCCACGTGATCCTGAGAAAGGTACATGGATGGGGTGTGAAATGTCTTGGTCAGCAAACCGATGCGGTTCCTATACATACCCATTCAATGGGAGGGTGGATCTGCTATGGCGCGTGGTTCCACCAGTAGCTGTGGATGGTCTTCAGCAAAGGCAATCGTGCGTTCGTCAAGCACCATATGCTGGGGCGACAGTCCGCTAGATGTTGCTGCAGGCAGCAGAACTCTTCATCTGTCTTTCCAGGTCCAGGGTCTTTGCTTTCGCCTTTGAGCCAGTCTGGTGTTGATCTGCTGTCCGATAGCGGAATCGTGGTATCGGGATCTCTCCGTGGGTCAGCCAGGAGCCATTTTGCAGTGTCCGTGGCTGCTTGTGGGCCACAGTCGGGTTTGAACGTGGGCAACAGTTGGACTGACTTCGGTAATCACATAGACCGATCTGGCGATGTGAGGCGTGCGCTTTCATAAGGCTGTCGCTGAGTTCGAAATGGATTCATCATCAAAGAACGAGTATTGGTCAATTTGATCACAAATATCTGAAACTCCTCTGGGAGACCAAACGTAGCTCGAAGCTTGTAATGCCACCACTCCGCAGTCCTAGACAGCTCCTTTGATGGCCACGGTATGGTATGGTCACTGGTCTCGCTGCGCGACGGAGGAACGCCAAACTTCAGGCCTTTTTCAACTTCCAGAAGGCCTCCAATCCTACAGCGGCGGATCTGGCCAAGGGTCGTGGCTCGGGACTTGGCATCGGACCCATTGCGATTTTCGCTTGGTGTCACGTATTGCATACGGCGCTGGATAGGCCCAGGGCTGGCGTAATGATCGATTCCGAGCAATGTCTGGCTTCCAACTGTCCAGAGGGCGACGCGTTGAAGGACAGTTCAAATTCGCCCACTCTGCCGCCAAGTACTCGCCCTGGTCTGTGCGCGGAGGACTTGTGCGTCCACCATTGACAAATACGATGATGACGCTATCCAGGCTGAATATCTAGTCGCCTCCTCAGAAAAGTGATCTGCTTCTTAAGCGATGCGATCTGCATCTGGCGGGACCGTAAATTTGGAATCGGTCGGTTTTTCAGACTCACCATGTCCTGTCCTGTCTCACTGCTTGGCGAGCAAAGCACATGTCGTTGACGACCACTCGACAAGCCCTGGTATGCTGAGGACACAGTTATCCAGACTGCCCCTCTCACTCGATTTGTCTCTCAAAATTCACGGATTGTCAGTATTGCGGCCGATTGGAAAGTCTTGTTGTGGACGTTTTATCTCCATCGCCAAGCCGGACTTTGCAAAGTGGCCGAGGCGGAAGAGCACAAGTTGCGAGGCTGGCAGTAAATCCATCAGTAACAAAAAACGCGATACCACACTGCGCGAGCGCGGGCGGCGTAGTGCCAGCATGGCGCGCGTTCATAGATTGCCGGGCTTGGTCGCGCTCAACGGCAGCCTCTCCGCGTAGGCGGCTTCTCCCGAAAACGACACAATGAAGAGGTAAAGTAGATGCATTGCTGTTGAGGTCAAAGCGTTTCATCCGATTGTGACCGTCGAAAGTGCGAGACGGTCGGTCCCGAAGCACCTTGATTGCGAGCTTCTGGCCCGAACGACGTCCGCCAAAATGGACGTACCGTGATCTGGAACGACGGGGCAAGAAGAAGTCAACCAGAGCAGAGACTTACCACAGGTGCTCCAATCAATGGGCCACTGGCACGCCTTCTACTGCTGTAATTATGTCTCTCGCACTGCTGTTGATTGAGACCGTGATGACTCGGAAGATCTCGAATTGAAAACGCTCGGACAATGGTGAGGACATTCATGAACAGTCTCCCAAGGCGACCTCGGGAGTCAAAAGCAGTAGCGGGGGGCGTACGCGCAGCCGGTGCAGCCCTACTGGTGGCTTCGGTTTGGCGGCCGCCTGCGCCTAGAGTGCCTGCATGCTTAGCGGCGATCCCGTTGTATCAACAGAAGTTAGTGCAGGTGCCCAAGTCAAGAAGCGCTTAAAGCAGCATTGGACAGTCGCGGTATAAGACCTTGCCTGTTCCAGACAATGCCATTTGCAACTGCTTGGGGTTACGGATTTGTGCATATATCAAGCAGTTCGCTCGCATGCAGTGGCAGTGCTCAATTCGATGCACTGCTGTACTCGCCTGGCAAGTCCTTCGAGTCAAGCCAGCCCGAAGCTGATTACAATATCTCTGACGCATCGTGATGAGAAATGATATTGTCAACGGTGTCGCAAATAAGTGGTCTCCACCGCCTACCGAATGGAGGAAGTTCTGATGTATTTGGTTTCGCCAGCATCATGGCAGTCACCACTCTTTTCCTCGGCGGCATGAATTTGGAGCCTCGTCCCACAAGACTTCTCTTCACTGCTGCTAGGATCTGTCGCATTCGTAACCCTGAAAGAGATGCTTAAGGCTCTTGTCTCAAGCCTGGATGAGGCATGTGCTCGGAACGTGTATGCCGATACCAAATACAGCAATGCATCCTGAGTCCTGCCGAGCCGTGCTCGTGCTGGAAACGGACATCGACTGCGCCGGCACCGAGCTCTGAACCGCATATGTAGACTCTGCAGCTGAGGAGGCAGAAGCAATGTTCCTTTTCCGTTCCCCGAAGATCATGGAAGTCGTCGCTCCTGCACTGCAAGTCATTTGACTGAGGAAACAATTCACTTGATATTCTCCGCGTTGACGTCTGATCACAGTGCTGACCGTGAGACGCTTATTCATCGAGCCTAAGGGCGATTGTTCGATATCAGTGTGGCTTCGGGACACTAATATTGTTCTAGAAACAAATGCATGCTCGTCCGGCTTACCACTTGAGGACTCGCAATACCTGTTTTGCGCGATCGAATTAATCAGTGACAGTCATTTGGCAAAGCGATCTTTCGAAAGTTGCCGGTACGCGAGCTGCTGGTTTCGGGGCCTGAGGCCCGCGGGCCAAGTGCAGATTGAGTTACTCCCAGTGCGATTCTGGCAACTGCCATGGGTTCGACCTAAACGAGGATATCGTATAGGAACATTCGCTCGATGTTCGAAGCTCAAGGTTCGCTTTGCGAGATCAAGTTTTGCATCTGTGGGGCTGGCTGTACAAACCAACGAAATCGTTCAATGAACGAGATGGCAGGCCTGGCGGTCGCTAGTTCGAGCTGTGGTTCTAGGGCTGAAACCCTCTTGGCCTTGATCTCTTAACGACAATAGGCGCCTTGCCCAGGCACGGCTAACAGGGCTTGCTGAAACCTGTGAGTTGTACGGGAGTCGATGCGATGATGTTAGGACGAGGTCAATATAATGTCTGCGGCCGATAGGGCTGGAAGCCTTCTCGCAACTCCTCCGTAATGTTCGCTTGTTGCAGCCCAAATAGTGGAATTTTGTGTTTCATCGTTCGCATATGCGGTCTTGTCGTTTAGCAGTCTACGGAGCAATCAACTCTGGGTCCGGCGCCGCTACGGCTTAAATGCTCTGTCCAAGTAGGTGGACACAGTGCCGGAATAGCTGATCTCGTTGGCGCTGTTTGCATGGCTTCGCTGGTCCTGAACGCACAGCACTTGCTCCTGTTCAGCTGAAGCAAGTTGGTGCCAATAAGAACGTTTGACCAACGGCATGGATTTCCAGGACGGGTAGGGCTGGCAGTATGCGCAACGCTGGACAGCGGGGCTGTAGTTGCAGCCAGCCCCATCGCAACGAGAAGACGGTCATTGTGTTCTGTTCTGTATCGTATTGAGACTTTTACTCCATCTGCAGGGATCCCTTGATCATAAATGTTCACAACTTCATGATTTGCTTTTGCTTATCTCCTGTAAAGCCTGTCGATTCTGATCCACGGGTTAAACCTGGATTACAATTACTTTCAATCATTCAAGCGGTCGGCAGTACTGAGTTGAGTAGCGAGCAGCTACGGCTTGCCACATTACAGTGCACCTCGGCGACGCAGCTGCGATACGCTGGTAGAAGATACCACTGGCCCCAGTGCAGTTGGAAGTCTCGGGCGACAAGAACCTCCGCATTCCGAATCATGTGAGTGAGGTATTTTGCAATGTGCATACTCCACGACGTAATGGTACTCTCGTACTCCGCGTTCCGGGCGGACGAATGCGGGAGCGGACTTCGTCGTTGCGTTATGCACAGGCAGCAATGGCATGTTTCGCGATCACTTGACCGATGATGTTGAACTAGCAGCAGTGTACACCGGAGTGCTCGGAAGTCTGTAAGTAGTGTCGCGAATGGATGCAATTCCGTAGTCGATGGTGAAGCAGGAAGTGTATCGCGCAACGACGTATCACTCTGGAGGCATGTTGCATGGCCTCGGCATCGGCACCCCATTTTGTCCGTTGCACTCAGATGTCGCGGTGAATCTGCCTTGCGTCATGTGACAAAATGCTCTCGGACAATTGGTAGTATTGTCGTCCAAGGCTCAACGATGTACTTGGCCGCTGGTGGCGACCGAAACTTCACGCGCGATTCGACCATGCTCGGAATCCACGTGGTCCCAGCAACGCGTCAACCCATCTTGGGCGACGTCAGAGCTTCCAGCAGGATCCAACAATCCGCTGCCATAGGGACTGCTTCGTATCAATGGAGCTAAGGTCGTTTCTCGATTTCTCGCTGCTGGAAAGAGATACCACTTCGTCCAGACTGGCGGGTGAAATGGAGCGCCCTGCTTGCTTCACGGCTCTTATCGATGAGAGTACCAACCTGAAGTCACTCTCTTGGCGACCAAAAAAACTGCAGAGAACGTCAGTGGCTGCCACAGATGGGGCTTTACGACTGTACCTTCGCATCATTTATGATGATTCGCTTGATTGATGCGACATTCGGCCTCCCGGCATCCCTCATTGGCTTTCCCCTGTACGTGGCTGTGAATGAGTGCCATGGAATGAAGACTGTTTGGTGCTTTGCAAGCCCGTTCGCACGGGCTGCGGATGCTGCTGCAACAAAGTCATACTCCCACGACACAGTTGACTGCTCTCGACCATCGTCGCGTTCAGGAAGAAGATCGTCCTTGAGTATGAAGGTGTACTTCTTTTCATCACTTGCTTGATGGTCGACGATGAGTTCGATGCCGTCGTATTCTGAGAGATTGAGCTTCAGCTCTCCAGCTGTACGCTGTGATGCAAATCCTGCCCCACCAAGAGTCTTTGTGTCGAGGTGTCCACAGAAAAGGGCCTGACCATCTTCACACCGCAGATGTGACTACCAAGGGAACCCGTGATTAGTGCTGGCCTCCACCGGACACATTTCAAGGTCAGGCGTTACATGAACCATAGTCGCGGAACGTACCTTTGAATGGCCTCCACGGACTCGATCGTCACTTGATATCCAGTCTTCTTCAGACCAGGTCCTGTGATCGGGAATATCAGTAAGCAGATTGGCTGTACCGCGAGAACAGGCATACAATTCGCCGCCGTAAAGGCTGCGGTAATTTCCATTGAGAACTGCCATGAGATTCGGACGTGGTCAACGGCACGTTTTGAGCGAGCGAGATTGACAGGGTTCCTGCTTCAACTGATCATCACCAGGCACTACAGCAGAATAAAGGTAGGTATTCGACTAGGTAGCTTGGAAGCAACAAAAGGCAAGCAGTGCGCAACGTTCATGTCGAAGATGACGTCACGCGTTGAGTAAGGTATACGAGGCAACAACGATTGGAAGAGCAGTGGTCTCTGGACGAATTCGTCATGTATTATGACTCTTTCGAGTCGCTCACGGGAATATACAGTTTCTGATTCATCAAATTGTCTCGTCGGACACGCTCATAATTTTGCCGTGGTTCCAAGTGCCTATGCCAATCGGCACCGCTTCAGATTCCCTCCGGTCCTGTCATTCCGGCGACATGGACGTCCATTATGATCCGGGCCCTGTGCCAAATGCCCTTCTAATGCAATATGCATGGCGTTGACTGTGAACGGCCTCCTCGCAGGACGGCCAAGTAAGTGAATGTCTAATTACAAGGTATGTCAAACAAGTGCAGTGGTGGACTTGTTGAGCGTGAGACTGGCGTGAGCGGTAGATCAAAGTAATTTGGTGGCGAGTGTTGTGGTGAGATGTCGAAAGAGTACGAGTCCGTCAGTGACGGCGTCTGTTGAGAGCAAGTCAGCTGCTGTACCGATGCAAGGGCTTAGAAATAGCTCGGGCTGCGGAGATGGGTGATGGGGGTGGTGAGAATTACATGAGACTGAGAGCTGGGGCTCGCATACGCTTGACTTGATGGCACATCGAGACCCGCCAGTGATGCGTAGTTCATGGAAAAGGAATTCATCAAGTCGTCTTCGCCGAAGACAGGCTCTTGCTTGGTGGCGTAGTTTGATGGAAGCATTGTGGGAAGAGTAGGCGGTAACGAGTGGCTGTAATCTGTTGGGTATTGGTACTCGTAGAAGTAGTTCTGCTGAGCGGTATGGTACGAAGGCGAATGTTGGTACTCGTGCTGCAGGTATGATGTGGTTGGAGGATAGTTTGAGTACGCAGTTGATGATGACAGGGAGAAAGATCTCGATGTGTCAAATGGTACAGAGTGCTCGTCGAGTGGAAGTATCTCTGGTGAAAGCTGAGGAGCCTCGCCAGACAGGCTGTGCTTGGAGGATTCCCTGGTCATCGGGTGTGACTTGGAATCCTTGGACGATGCGATTGAAGCAAGCTCTGAGTGCTGAGCCTCAGGAGAAGCAGAAGAAGACCCAGCGCGACGCTCGAGATCCTCAAGCCTTCTCTTGAGCTTCTTACGGTAGTTCCGCTGTTGGAGTGTTAGTGCTGCAGAACTTGCGTACATGTGCGTCAAGCACGTACCTGGGCGATCCTGTTCTGTATTCTTCTCCTCTCAGCAAGATCTGATATCTTAGTCCAGTCCTCGTTGGGGTTAGCAGAGGCACTGAATGCTGAACTAGTCGAATGTGCTGTTGTGTATCTGGGCTGTTGCGAGGCCATGGCCTGTGTGTATGTGTAACTAGCACTGCGCTGCATGGTGACGGTTGTTGATCAACTTGCCAGTCTTCAAGTATTTGTTGAAGTCACAGTGGTTAGACAGTACTCGACTTGGGACAGGGGCAGTAGTTGTAGTTGTGCACCCAGCCATGGGAGGCCTCGGGCGATATATACATCCTGCCCTACCCAGGTCGCCGATCAGGGCGAATCCAGAGGACTGTCTGCAAGCTAGAGCAGAAAGAGCAACATGCGAATTATTCACCCGGGACCAGGATTAGAGTACAGCTCGATGGAGCGGGTGCGTGTGCGCGTGCTAGTCGACACCGCTTTCCTCGTGGAAGGTGACCAGGGTGCGGGTTCCCGTACGCTGTAATTAGGTTACTGAAAATACAACAGCCAGGGGTCGTTTGGGCGAGCTCTGTTTCGAACTATGCCCCTTACAGTAGTGGCCACTGCTGCTTTGTGGTTACCAGAACTCCCAAGACCCGGGAAACCGAGGAAGACGAAAGTGGGACAAGCGGTAAAGGCCTCCTTCGTTCATTTCGCTGCTGCGCCCTGATGCCGCTATCCGCGGCCGGCTTTTGCCTCTTCCAGTCCCCGGCAGCACCAGCACTCACCCTTTCCCTTTCATCTCTCCATCCCAGAGAGGCTCAGTAATCGCTCTCAAGCACCCCAAACGGCATTTTACTCCAGTTAAAGACTTCGTTCCACAACCAAGAATAAGGCTGCATTTCAAGAATCCAGAGCTATTTTCGCCCCCGAACGCTTTGCTTCGTACCCATCGCAGACCTTTGGTAGGGCGGATGGATCTACTGCTCGCATTTCAGTACAATGTCATTCAACGCTTTTCGATTACGGATTGCGTTCCATCCTGCATACATGCCCAGCAAAAGCGTGCTCTGGACCACTGGAGACGCGATGGCAGGATCCGAGGCACTATGTCGGTAGAAACAAAAGGATGAAACTCCGCTCCTTGTGCGCATTCAAGGTCGCATCCACTTGGTTGCGAGCCAAACTATCGGAGCAGTATACGACAAATCTCAAGGTAGCCTCTTCGTATCCTACACAGGGTCGACCCACCTTGTAACGGCTCCCAGGCCCTGGCTTGCATCCTTGAATTAGCCACTTTGGATAAGGTGTTTCCAGGAAGGGCATCTCCTGGATATCAAGCATTGCTCAATGGCACTCTCAAGCTCTAAGAGCCACTAGGTGAATTGGATGGTCGGCGAGTGTCATATCAGCCCCTTTATCCCATTGACAGGGCTGATTGCTTTCAGGAAGGCAGGCGAGGATCCACGAAGCCCATACTGCCAGGTGGCAAGCGAGAACAGAGCGCTGTCAATATACCCAGGCGTAACGAGAGAGTGGAAGAGCTTGAGCTATCGAGAGAGCATATTTTCTGGAGACTCCCGATGGAGGAATGATGATCTTTGTGCAAGACCATGCTAGTGCACCAATAGCACAGTTGATCGACGAAGACCATTCCGAGATTCGGAATCAAGAGGTATACCGTCGATCCTCGGACGCGGAGTGCCCAATTCGATCACAGCATCTCTATACAGCCTACTCTTTCTATGCGTGATGGTGTGATCTATCTCGATGAGCTTGAATGCGATCTCTTGCCCAAATTACGAGTAAACGAGCAAAAGAACCTTGACGTGGCTTGCCTCGCCCACAGAGCAATGGTGCACCCAAATTAACAGGTGTGATGGAGCTCGCAGAGCTCGCAGCAACCACAGCAGCGCCGAAGTGGAACACGCACGTATATCTGGAGCACACGCAGCGAAGATCAGGCGCTATTCAACGACCCCTGACATTGTCCAATGGCGACATATTCTCGCCGCCATCACAGTATTTGAAACCGTCCATCCAAGATGCGAGGGACAAGGATGGTGTAAAGTTACCCGTATGCAAACGGGTATCCTAACGGCCAGGCTCGGCATTTTAAAAGGTTATTCTCGTAGGGCTGATGACAAACATGGAGGCCAGAAATATCTCTTGCTTAACTCCCCAATGTGTTCTCCTTTCATCTCCACCATCTCCACCCACCGCGAAGCTAACAGTCACGCATCTTGGTCCTCTTGCAAACGGCCGACAAGGCCGCCTTTCGCAACCCGCTATCTCGCGCCCTTGGGTGGCGGTCCTGTTATTGCATGTCGCGCCTTACTGCCGCGCAGAAGGAGGGTAGCTTTCCACGGCAGGATCGCGCGATGAGTTTCGTTTGAGGAAGCCACGTTGTAACGACGCTCCCTACTTTGGAAGTTGCGAGACGATGATAGGCCAAACGACGGCGTCCCTGGATCCGATACACTTTTCCGCATCAAATGAGACAGCTCCTTCAGCCCAGGTTGACCCGTCAAGATGACCTTATCGTGATCCATGGTTGATTATGCCCAAAGGGGGACTGGGTACAATTCTTCCCATTGGAAATCTTAGTGGCCCCGACACGACTGTCATGCAGTGTAGATCTTGTATCTCACCGCAGAACACCGCACTATCCACCATGAAACCTTTCGGAAATCACCACTAGCACCATGGTGTCAACTTAGGAGGCAACATTGTTTTACTAATAACGGTTCGTCTGCATGCCACCGGCGCTTGATGATGTGGAAGCACAAGTCAGCAGAACTACGAATTAGGTGTGTGCCAGTCCTCACTGAAGCATCGTTCGCCCCAAACTCATGCCAGCTGTCCACGCGATCTTGTGTTGCCTTATACCGTTTACACTGCGATCTTGGGACTGGATGTGGCAGCCTTTGGACCATACCCAGCTCAACGAGAAGCGCCTAAGCCTCTGTTGAGTCAGCAGGCCGGGCAACTGTGTGGCAGCGGCGAAACTCCCACTTTGGCAATCTCCAAGGAGGCTCGTATGAGGACTGCGAAAGCCCTGCACAAACATCGATGCTACCTCTGGTTCGATCCTGTGAACGTCAACTAGCATTGAAGTCAATCCGCGGGTGTCTCTCAACAAGTACCAACAATCGTTAAGATTCGCCATCTACCCGGACACTATTTTCCAATAGCTACTTGATGGCCTTGAACAAGGTGCTTCCTACCCGCAATCACGAGTTTCAAATACCTCTTGCTCCGCATAATCTCAGGATTTGTCGACTAGGCCTCCCGATATCCCGGCAATACGACGGCTCAACTCCTGGGTATCATTCACTCCATGAGTACACCCTGCGACACTGCCATTGCTTCGTGGAGTCCACACACTGCGCACGTGCCATCACGGCTGCACCACATTCGAGTGGGAGCCCAGCAACGAATAGCATCTTCCGCAGGGCCATGGACGCAATCATCCTCCTCGTATTTTATTGACCACTTTCCCAATCAGACATGGGAATCATGGTCCCGAGAATCTGGTCACCGACTACGGCACGCCTCCCGCCAGTCTGCCTGCGACGAAACTGCTCCACGCGGTTATTCTTGCGAGTTTGTTGTTGCAGATGGACGGAGACATGGCCCACAGTCTACCTTGGGGACGACCTCTCTTGCAATCCAGGTCTCGGCCCCCAATATAATCATGCCTCTGGCATGCCTAGAGTACGATCATGTCGTGGAAGTCTCCTAGCGCTGCTCTGGATGGATTGCTGTTGTGATTGTGGCTGCCTCTCTGCAAGCCTCAAAGTCAACGGTTTGACCGTTGTGCCGTCGATCACTCTCATGATCGAGGCACTGGACTTGTGTACTTGGCACAGACCGCGGAGGCAACAACAGGAGCCAACCCTCGTTGCACCTTCGCAGAATCGTCGACAACTCTTCACCGACCGTCAACGCACGGTATGCGTTGATAGCCGGAAGAGATCATAGCCGGCAGAGCTGGACCCAGTGTTCTGGTCGATCAGCGCGACTTCGACTGTTACGGCCGCGGAGTTCCCCAGCGCCACCAGTTTGACGATCATCTCATATTCGAGATTACGCACAAGAATTCCGCGCCTTCTCGAGGACTGGGGATCACAATACGTATCCAGTTTCGAGACACGGTCCACCTGATACGAGGCTGTTTCCACTTTATCCCGGGTATCCTGCATACCTCGGTTTTTAGGCAACCTACTCATCCGGACTCAGTCATTCTTGACACGAATACAGCGAGCAGCGCCTGCTCGAGAGCGATGGGGCCAAAATAGACACACCGTACTTCTGTGCCAGCACGACACTAACGATTGAAGCGAGCTCGATACGATACGTGCTCCGCTAACGTCTGCTAGGGTAACCAAGACTACAAAGGCGCTGGTTTGGCCTTGCAATGATTTGGCCCCGAGGTGAGCCCGACAGCACGCCGAAGCTACATGCCGATGACATCGATAGTACGCTTTGGAAGCTTTGCAAATGCAACGCAAACCAAGTTCACCCTGATGGACTTCACAGGGAACACTCTCAAAGCTTAAGCAGCGATGCTGACTCTCGTTCGAACGGAAGTCTCAGCACCTACGGTATTGCGCACCTCGTTTGCAGGCGGGCAATACCCAGTTTCTCTTAAACATTGAAGCGGTCTCGCAATGAATCTCCCTGATCTGCAAAGCCGTCGATCCTCGTCCATTTGAGCATCGGCATCGCGCCGATGACGGAAAGCACCCGACAGGATGCATTGCGTGTCAACTTGTGGGCATTTTCGACGATCCTACATGTAACTCAAAGCAGTGTTCGCATGTCCTTCGTGAGCATGTCTGGCAGAGTCTAACACGTAAACCACACTTGGAGTGAGTATCTTATTCAGACGTTCACATGACGGCATTGCCCGCAAGTAGAGCTCTGCAGCGAATGACTCCCAGCCGCAGGGCGTCCACTGATATCACAGAACGGACGGACCTGACCAGCTGGCAAAGGTAGGACCGCTGTCGGCTTGAGAATGGGACATCATTCACCGTATCAATGATTGCTCCAGCACGTCCTTGGGGCTGGACCAGCAAAGGAGTCCATTATTACGATCTCCGACAGGCATTGCCCTCTAAGCGAACAAAAGTTCTACGGCGGCAAGATTTACGGGTCCCAGCTGCTACTATGGCCAGCTACACTCCTTGATGGCCAACGATGATACAGAAAGTGAAGGCCCCATGTTCAAGGTATGAACTATGGCAGCTTCGAGCTGTCAGTGAGTCTACCCGGTAGGTGCAATGCTGTTTCTTTGAGCTGTCGCGCCCCTTTTCCGATTACTCTATCACGAAACAGTCAATATTGAGTTAACGGGTATCGAGCAGACCTTCTCCTAGCAAACGGCAACTGGCTTTTCCGTTGCACTTGCCGAGCTATGGTAGACTGCAATCCTTCGCAGCAATAATGCGACACGTCACTGTCTCGCCGCTACGGTCCTTGAACCCTGTGCATGCAGATTGGAACGTCGGTGTGCCTTTGGCGCTGAGCTCAATGAGGAAGGGGGTCTGACCCAATAGCATCGACGCTCCAAGATCACGGAACAAACAAAAGTTCTATAGACCATGTCTTTGCATATTTGCCTGTGTCAGCTAGATCTAGCCCTTTGGCAGGGACATCTCCTTCTGTGTTCCGCGTCAGCAGATCCCTGTTTGCCATGTGGAAGGAGCAGCAGATCAATTTGGCTGCAACCTATCATGGTACTTGTTGGACTTCCAGATCGGGATTCAGCATTCGGGATCTGGAAGGGAACCACCCTGCATGATTGGAGGATCAATGGCTGTGTATCGGGGATGACCGAGGGTTCCCGTGAATTCAGACGGTTAGCTGCGCCATGCTTACCGTACAAAAGAACCTACATAACAGGTACAGCAACGGTAGATGCACCTGCCTATGCCGGCGCTGGCTTGCATAGAAAGCGTGCCCAGAATGACGGGAGAGCGCTTAATCCAGAAGACGATAGTTTGCGCCATTTGCAGCAGCCCTGCGGAGGTGGCATGCAGGTCATTCAGGTGGGTGTTAGTCATCGCCGAGTCCGATGTACGCCCGTACGTGTCCGCGCTTCTATTTGGTTGGCACGAGATAGCTCTTCAGCCGCACATACACATCGGTGTTGGTTGGCCGAGAACACCTTCTAGAAGGGTAGCACCGGGTTTCTTGTCGTCGGAAGTGGTAGTGGTGTTAGGACTTAACGACGCCAAAAGTCCTTTCGGCAGAGCCGCACGCTTCAGCCACCTTCGGCTTGAGCAAAGATTTCCCCAAAGAGGAACATATCAGCGAGATGCCTGGTATCTACTTGAGGCTTTCGTGTCACAGCTCCATCGTGAATAACAACATCAAACCTTCGGACTCTAGCAACTACATGCTTTCCCAGTCGACAGCAATGCGACAGCGTGCAATAATTGCGCAGTGTCCTTTCGTGTTGCCTCAGGCGTGGTGGAGTCGCGCGTCGCGTCGGTGTTAGGGCGTAACCAAATACAACACGCATCTAATTCTGTTCCATCGACTCACGCTTGTACCATGCCTGAAAGCGCTTTGATACATACAAGTGCGATACCGTCCATATTCGACCGCGAAAAAGCAGCGACGACGATAATGATGCCCCGACGGGACGACCTTCACTAACAGCCCCAAGCCTGGGCGGCACCAAGCACAACAAATCGCTTACAAAGCCCGAAAGGTTCGATCATTGCATTATCCCGCTGCATTGTTATCAATTCGCATCAACGATTGCTGCGCAACACCGACTCCCTCTCCGTCGTGGACCGCTGCATCGGTGTGTCACATAATCTGCCCTGGTTGCCGTCGCGTACAAAGTTGTGCCGCCAAGGGCGTTGACCGACGCACGAGCGAGATCAAAGTCGCGACGACCAACGCAAAGCGGGTCCGGGCTTTGCGACTTCATCACTAAGCAAATTATCAACCACGGCATACCACTCAGGGCATTGGTAGGTACGCTGCCTCATCGATGCGCAGTATCTGTCACGTGCTTCGTCGATCCATCGATCAATCACCAATCATCCCAAATCATGTCCGACCCAGAATGAGTGCGGTCCGTCCAAAGTCCAGATTCCAAATCCGCGGACGAGGATAAGGTAATGCAAAATCCCAAACTTAGCACGCATCGGCTCTATGACAAACATTTCTACGTCCAAAGTGTTCATTCCGTCGGTAGAGGAGTCAATATTCTTCACGGGAATGCGGACAGCAAATGTACTCAATGTCGCCACAGGTGGACGAATAGCAACCTCGACCATGAGCTCGCCTTCGGACGAGTGGACTTGGTGCGCACCTGCCTCTTCTATTACCTTCAGGCACGAATGAACCAACTAGGCAGTTGGCAAACGCATTTTGTTACTGATTGGCCGCGACGCTGGTCCAAGTTCTCTGGAAGCAGGCAATGCTCTCGTTGCCACAATCCAGTCACCCTTCCTGGTCAGGCTTGACATCCAGATCGACAAAGCGCTAACGTTTCTAACCACAGTGTTGCCCAAAGAGAACTTTCCCTGTCTGGATAGCGACTTTTCAACCGATACAAGTAGCTATGTATCGACTAATGTCACCCCTGAGATTGACGCCACTAGCGGGTCTACACGCCCAACGCCACAATAAGGATTCGTCTTGCGAGATTGTTTACAGGATCAGGGTATCTGCTTGATACTGCTATCACATGTTTCGTTCCATCATAACACTCGTCTAGGGCGGACTCTGTGGCGACGATGGATAACCCGAAGGCATCCCACGAAGCGCCCAAGTCCGGACTGCGATTGCCAATTGCCCTATGCAATCAATCGAATGCCATGGAGCACGCTGCGCAACATGGCAAAGACTTATTGCCACTGGAAAGTAGGGTCTACCTTCGAGCGTTGACATGATGCTAGGCTCCCAAGGCAGCCATCCACAGTCACCACATCTCGCACAAGTCACGTCATCGCGCGCGAGTTGCCATGTGCTGTGCATTTCCGCGACACTGTTTCATCGATCGTACCATGGGGAGGCCTTCGAGTCAACGTGTGCTAATCTGACGAGTACTATCGTATTGTAGGCAGCATAGCTAACACCACCTCGCCGACTAGAGACTCCATCTGTACGCTGCTACCAGCCATCCCTCTCCTGGTTGCCTGCGACACAGCTGCTCCTTGCTCCACGATGTCTCCCCACAGCTGTAGCATTGGAGCCAGATTAAATTGTATCAATCCTACGCTCTTTCGGCCGATTGCTACCCTATACAGAAGTTGCAAGTACCCACCGCAAAGTAGGTACCCTGGGACCCTTCACTGCTGGGGCGCCACGCGGACCTTCCAGTCGAACTTAGGTACATGATTCATGTCATCCGGTCTTGTCTACGGTCTTACGCTCGTATCAACCGGCTTGAGATGAATCTCCCAACAACTTGAATGTCCTCGAGTGAAGATGCTCACATGCAGCGCCAGGGCTGTACTGTGACTAAGCGAGCTCTGCCCCATCCATAGGTAGACGTTGCAAGCCCGGAAGTAGAGCCCATCGAGACAGACCCAGTCTAGTCTACCGGTCTGACGAATATACTCGCCCTCCATGCAATCTGCCGACTGTCGCCTTTCGTGCTTGTGGCCCAGCTTCATCCAACGCATGATCTACTTGGTCTAGTATGTGCTTCATCGACCAGCGCACGGTCAGCATTCATGCATGAACCACCCCCGATGGTCGGGTTCTCCCAGAATTGAGTGCCTAGGCAGCGCTAGCTGTGATGTTCTCAATTTTGAAAAGAAATATTCGAACTTTGCCTAGCGCGCACCGTATGGCTACTCGATCTACTCAATGTACATGCGTCTGCGATGTATGTTCACACTGTCCGTGAACCTCCCGCAGCTAAATCCCAACACGCGCCCGAAAAGACTCCAGAATTCTTTGTGCGACCCCGAGCAAGCTCACGAGCTGCTGCTTGACCCGTCCCTGCAACGCTACCCTCCCATACTTCAATCGATAATACGCCCCGTACACCGCTGTCACCAGCGCAAGCAGCTTGAGCAATCTCCCAAGACCAAGCTTGATCGTGCCCTTCCTTGTTCGCACCGCGTCCCAGTCCCACCACTTGACAAACATATGCCGAATGCTGGCATCGATTTGACTGCTCGGATAGGTCGACGAGTTCCACCCTGTCTTCGGATTGACATACCAGTTCCCACATCCGCCACTGTTGTAGAGTGAGTTTTTGAGCTGGGCTTGCGTCCAATTTGTCCATTGTCGTTCAGCAGACTCCTTGACTTCGTAAGTGCGCACGTCTCCTTGAACGATGCCCTTCACGAGCTTGAGGATATAATTCACAGCGTTCTCGGTCGCGATGATTACGGAAGTATGACCAGTCACAGTGTTGGGTCCGAAGACGAGGAAGAAGTTCGGAAAGCCGTCCATCGCGAGTCCCATGTATGCCTGTGCACCACCGCGTTGCTTCCATACTTCTTCGAGGGATTTTCCATCTCGGCCGTACACGGTCAAGGGGTGGAGCCAGGCATTTGTCTCGTAGCCGTTTGCCATTACGATGACATCGGCGTCGATTTCGCGCTCTGCGGTGGGGTGTTTGCTGGATGTGTCTGATTCTGGTGGATAGTGTCGGCCAGGACCGAGAGTCACGCTAGTGGCATTGACTCGTGAGATGGCTTGCGTGGTGAGTTCGATGCGCGGGTCGTGAAGACTGCCGAACCACCCATCATCAACCACGCGTCGTTTGCAAAACACCTCGTAGTTCGGCGTCAAAATATCGTGATACTTCTCGGGTGCCGTCTTGCGCATGTAAGCAAGGAGCTCTTTGGATTTCGCTGCACGATTTTGGCGAGCCTTTTCGGTTGGTGCGAACAACATATACCATTCAGCTTCTATGAAGGTGAACATGAGCTTCCTGAAGGAGTCTTGAAACCCAGGAATGTACGTGTTAAGACGAGGTACCCATTTGCGCCAGACTTTGCGCCCTTCAGGCGTGATGAACGGAACCATCCAGGGCGGAGAGCGCATCAATTGCGTGACCTTTTTGGCGCCAATGTGTGGCTTTATGAGCTGTGGGACGACTTGTGCAGCCGAGCAACCCGTGCCTACCACAACGATAGACTTGTCTTTCAGAGGCACATTCTTATCCCAGCGAGCAGTGTGCATGATGTCGCCCTGAAAGCTGTCGAGTCCTGGTAGGTTCTTGAATGGTCGGGGCTCAACGAGACCACCGCAGGCGCTGATGACGATTTTGGCGCGTATCTTCTCTGTCCGAAGGACGGCTGTACTTTCACCGTGAGTCTTGGCGTATTCAGCGCGCTCGTTACTGGACATATCGCCGACGCCAGGAGCGAGATGGTCGAGCGTGACTTCCCATTCCTCGTCGCTCTCGACCCAGTTCGTCGAACGAACGGAGGTGTCGAGCTGGATCTTATCGATGATCTGGAATTTCTCGCATACATCGTAAAGATAACGCGCGATCTCTGGGCCGGGTGGCAGGAGATCAGACCACAAAGGATTTTGGGCCCAGGAATAGCTGTACAGTTGTGCAAGCACATCACACGCAATGCCGGGGTAGGTGTTTGTGGTCCAGGTTCCCGCGATTTCTGGGCGACGCTCGATTATTCGAAATTGATCGAACCCTAGCACTGACCGTAGCCGGCAGCCCATGGCGATGCCAGACTCGCCAGCGCCAATGATGACCACGGGATAGTATGTGTAGCCATTGTTGGCTCCAGCTCCCCCGACATGGCGGATGCGATCAACTCTAGGAGCGCGAACCATGTTTATCGCGAGCTTGGACGGCCTGAAAGCTGGGGAAGCGAGCTCTTATCAGTGACGCCGTCGAGCTGCTACCAGCGCCAAGTCTGGGGTCTTGTACACCAGCAGCGTAATCTGGAATTCGCGCTGTGTGCGGCCGCAACGAATAGACTATCAGATCGAGCTCTCTGTGCGATTCCAGGTGTGGAAGGCTTTTGAATAGGGTCAGGATGGTACTTGACTTTTAATCTGCGGAGTTAGGCCCCCTCGTTGCGAGAATGATCTCCGCGACCCCGGACGTGCTCGAGTCATGGTCCAGAAAAGCCTCGGCAGTACTTAAGTACCGACGATGGGATCGTACGAAGGTGAGAACAAGCGAGGTCAAGGGTTAGGGCTCAGACGAGGGACCTGGGATCGGTCCCCTATTGCTAGGAACTTGGAATCTAGGCCTTGCGAGTCAGATCTTGCTGACCTGACAACTAATCACCAAGAAGCCAAAAATTTCGGGACACTGCTCGTTGATGCAAGGCGTTGGTCTCTGTGACGCGAGGACTTCTTCGAACAATACTTGCAACGAAGCTGAATGCCATGGCTTGGACGCTTGACCCGGCCACTCAGTAGCACGTCGACGACACGTGTGCCAGGCTATGTCTGTCCGAACTCAGCCGTGCGTTGGATCACCTCCATATCAAGGGTGCCTAGTCTGCCGTCATGGGACGTTGAACTGTTTCGCGAAAAGGCCTTCGAGCCAGCACTTCCTCATACCTTAGCTCGATGCGCAGCAGCAGACCTTCCTGCCACTTCTCTATGGTTCACACATGATTCACATCCATTCAATGGCGTCGAGTCCTTGAGTTCTGTTCCGGTAACGTTCGAGTTGAACCTGGACTTCTGGAAGCAGTATGAGAACGAGGTCGTGCCACTGGAGTTGAGGCGGACAGACGAGGAGCCACGCTTCGAACGCAAAATGCTTCCACTGAAGGTGTTACTGGACCACGACTCCTCCGTCGCCAGCGAGAGTAGCAGCACTTCCATGACGAAGCGCAGTGTCTATCTCGCACAATGCTCGTTATCGTCACTGCCAGCTGCGCTGCGCGACGCACTGCCTTTGCCGCCGCTGCTTCGGGCTGGCAAAGGTGATATCTACGATTCGAGCCTGTGGATGGGCAGACCGCCAACGTTCACTCCAATGCATCGTGATCCGAATCCAAACATGTTTGTTCAGCTTGCGGGTCAAAAGGTCATCAGACTCCTGCCGCCTAACGTGGGCCAGCTGGTATTTCGGCTAGTGCAGCAGGCTGCCCACAGTGACAGCAATTCTAGATTTCGAGGCAACGAAATGATGGTTGGGAAGGAGAGCAAGGTGATCGAGTCCGGCATATGGGGTTCGGAAAATGAGCGGGAAGTTCCTCCAGTCGTTGAGGACATCACTGCCGTTGTACAGAGATACGGCCAAGAAGCGACGCTGAGCACTGGAGAGGGTCTTTTCATACCAAAAGGCTGGTGGCACAGCGTGAGAGGTGTTGGGAAGGGCATCAATGCGAGTGTCAACTGGTGGCACCGCTGATGAGAATTTCCGTCAGTATGTCCATCATGTGCTGGCAAAGCTACCCTTGCGCAGAGCGGCACCCTTGAACTCACGCAGACTGGCGTTCTAATAGCACATGGCCTCTGTGAAGCCTACGGCCCCGTCGCGAGCCACTCAGGACATCGGTCCGTGTCCCGGTCCTCGGATTCTCGACGTCCCTCATTAATCACCGATACACTACTCATGGCAGGCTGAATGAGCAATGCCTGTCCACAAGTCTCATACGGTATGGAGGGCCCATTCTGTACGGACGGTGACCATGCTGGAACAAATTTGCGGAAGGCGATGTGATCGCTTGAGTCGATACACCGCTGGGTCACTCCTGGGGTATGTTTGGCGAACGGAGCTTAAGTAGGTAGCTAAGGCCACCGATCTGGCAATAAGACTGCCTTTCACAGCTTCGCCTTATACAGACGCGTTTCTGAATCACGTAGCATTCGCAATTTCGTGACCGCTTCGTAGAGGCAACGAGGATCATGTATTTCAGTACGCGACATGGGTCATTGATACTCGCCGTCACAACGGAAAACATGTTTTTGCCACGCCGTCCGCCAAGACATGAAAAACGTCACAACGACTCTGGAGCACCTCCTTGCCGCTTTGCTCGATGACAACCACTCAGTCCATTCTAGCTCAAGTCGGGACGCATCTCGAGGGCAGACGCTCGCTACGGAAAGCCAGCGTTTTTGAACAACCGACGTTGCAAGGGTGACAGCTTGATCCGCACATGCTTGCGCCGAGGGCGTTCCAAGAGCAGCTGCAAGTCAGAGCACTGATAGCGAATACCGCATCTAGGATCACTGTATTGTCAAGAAGGTAACAACATTAAACGAAACGTGTCCAAGGTCGTTGTCAGCCTATCTCGACCGGAAAGTGACACGAGCGCGAACGAGACCCCACCGGCTTGTACCACCGCTAACCACATCAAACCCCCGATTGCTATGGCTCAAGCACCGCGTAACATCCTCGTCGTTGGCGCAACGGGCAAGCAAGGAGGTGCTGTATGCCGTGCTCTCATCGAGCAACCACTTCCTTTTGACTTCAAAATTCTCGCCCTGACACGAAACGCAAACTCAGCATCCGCGAAACGCCTCCAGGCCATCGACAGCGAACGTATACAGCTTGTTTCCGGCGACCTCAGTGACGCGGAAGCAGTGTTCACCGCCATAGACGCTCCAGTATGGGCCGTGTTTCTCGTCACCAATCCTTATCATGGCAAAAACGCGCCTGATGGTCGCAACCTGGAGACAAAGCACGGCATCGACATGCTAGAAGCCGCGATTCGGCATCAGGTGTCCCACTTCATATTTTCTTCCGTCGACAGAGGCGGAAGCGAAAAGTCACTCACCAACCCAACCGAAATCTCACACTTCGCAACAAAGCACGAAATTGAGCTCGCGATCGTGGATAAAGTCCCGAAGGCGTGGCATGACATGGACTACACCATCCTCAGACCCGTGGCATTCATGGACAACCTCGGCCCCAACTTGTTCGGGCGCTTATTCGCGGTGATGTGGGCAGATACCTTGGGAGATGAGAAACCCCTACAACTCATCGCGACGAAGGACATTGGACGCATTGCTCGTCAGGCGCTGGCAGAGGCAGAGGACGAGGGCTCGAGGTTTCGAAATAAGGGCATCAGCATCGCGGGAGATGAGCTCACGCAGCGAGAAGCGGACAAGATCTTTTGGAAGCTGTACGGGAGGCCAATGCCACAAGCGTGGGTGTTGGCGGGAAGGGCACTGCAGTGGGGTGTGGGCGATGTCGGTGTGATGTTCAAGTGGTTCAGAGAGGAAGGCTATGGGGCAAAGATTGAGGAGGTGAGGAGCATTGAGCCGAAGCTGATGGGGCTGGAGGAATATTTGAGGGAAGAGAGTGGATTCTTGAGATGAGTTGCACTTCTGATTACGTCACCCACAAAGGGCACAGCGTGTCGGCAGAGTCATCAGGCTGTGACTTCAAGTAGCGGGCGTGCTTACCAAGTCGGTCAGCTTCCGTTCTCGAGCCACAAATGCTGCCATTACGGATTCCTCGGACATGGAGGGCACTGAGGTCCTGGCTCTATCATGCTGACCTAGTTTGAGGGCTTGAGATGAGCCTCACTCGAGCATCAGGACGAAAAATTGATACCTCATGGACTTTCTGGCCAGGGAGGGCGCTGTCCACAAACGCCCAGTACTTTTTGTCGCAGCCCGGCATTTGTCCCTTGCTCTCTGTTTACTAACGATGATTGTATTCCAGAAGCCGAATAAGTCTTCTGTGTCCATATGTTCTGCAATCGATCATTATACTGCCAGTACCAGGCAACTTCACTTCAAACACGAACGTCGACATGTCTGCAGTCATTGTCATGAGGCTGGCCGCTCCAGCATCCCCAGGATTTTCGCGGACTCGAATGTGGAATTCGACGAGCAGCTGGATGCGTCCCAAATGGTACCAGTCTCGTGTCCGCCGCGCCGATGCGATCGCCGTTAAACACGAACGCATTCCAGACTCTCGCAGCAGCTGATCCAAAGCTCCACACAACCGTCGCTGATGGTCTCTGTCCTGCGAAGGCACCTCGCAAAGTGTTCTCAGCCAGGCCTTGTATCGCACTCTGTGCGCCCGTGATCCGGTGGTTGTGGAGACGACGTGAGCATCAGCGCCATCGGCGATCCGTTTGAAGACCTCCATACCAGTGAAATGTCGCCGGATGTCTCGAGTTTCGGATCCGTATGGGGAGTGCTCTGTGCCGGCCACGCTCTTGATCTTGCTGAGCTCTGCTAACGACAGTATCGTGAGTCTGCCGCTGGTGTCTGGCAATCGACAGAAGCTTTGATTCATCTGTTCTCGCGTCACAAGCAGAAATGTCACTGACGACCGAAAGGCTGGCATAATTTCGAAAAACATCTGTCTGCAAGCCAGGAGGGGCGCCGCAGTATCGGCAATTGATAGAGCGTTGACGCGCACTCTGATGAATTTCTGCCCGAAGGCCTCCCCGTCGAATACATGGGCTTCTATGATATCGTCATGGGAGAAGAGATATCTCCAGACCTTGAGACGGATCTCGGTAGGAAGCTTTCCCAGCAGTGGCGCGGTCTGCCCGACTATGGGACGGAGCGGGTCGACTCCATGTCGGTCGATGGTATGATGTCGTGACCATCGCAACGCGCGTCGCGCGTGAGACTTACGTATAAGCTCGTCGAGGGCGTGCTGATCACGGGCAGGCAGTTCGGGCATGTACTGGGCGTTTGCGGTGGATCGGGTTCCTGGCCAAGGATGGCGCTGAAGCCTGAACCCATCTCGCTGCTCAAGTTGATGATTTTCAGATGACCTTCACCCGAGCGTTTGTCAATTGGACAGGGGTTTTGTGAGATTGCTTGATGGGGAGGCCGCTGTCCGAGATCGACACAAATATGCTGCGGCATGCGAAATGGTCGAGTGCTTGGCCTAACAGCTTGCACTGGTCGGCAGCTGTACCTGCAGACCAGTCACTTCTCATTACTCATAACTTAGAGATGACTGCCGTTGATGAGTATTAAATCTGAAAAAGCAGAGCTTATTTAGTCTGGTCACGACTTCTGAGTTCCTTCTAGCACGTCAGCTTTCCCGTGGGCAAAGAGTACCTTGACCTGGTCGCAAACCTGTTCGATCGAGTACGCACTCGATGTCCTTCTTTACAGCTCAGTGCCAACTCGCCGCAGCAGCACGATTATTCGGCGTGGTAACATTATCGACCATGATATCAGGCGTTCGGACGTCCATCGCTGCTCTCACGAGGTGACAACATGCTGCCTGTCATTGCAGCCTATGTGTTAGTTGAGCCATGTGACTTGCAAAAATTGTATGTATAGCAAGCAGACTCAGGATCATCGTCCATCCAGTACCTTTCAAGGCCGTTCTATGAGTCAGCGCTTTCTTCTCTCATTACTGCTCGTGGCTTCGAGCGCTTCGGCGTTTCTCTAGCCACATGAACCGTGCTTGTGACCAACGGACAGTAGCTATGTCAAGAGTACCTGTTAGAGCCTCGACGCAGCGCGTGAGGCGTCACAGAAAGCCAGCAGATCGTAATCGCCGCGAAGGACCATGAATTGCTGGTGAGGGAACATAACATCCTTTAATCTCATGCTGACAGGCCACACGTGTTTCTGACACCCGGTAGGTGGGCTTGAGGGGTACAGGGAGTGTTTGATGTTGCTGAAAATAGGCAGGGTTGGCGTGGGTTCGATATCTTTTTGTATCGATAGGAGCATCTGGTCCGGGCTTCGGGATGACGATCGTTAGGCTAGGAGATGGGCGCTGTTCCAGCTTATCTTCAAACATGGGATTTTGACATCCATGGATGGGGTTGCCTTGTTTCCAAGACTCCTTTCGGCATTGGCTCGATATCGTTTCTCTGTAGTCGCATTCTGTTGCCAGCAATGCTGTACAATTCTGTGCGTCTGCACGCGCTACCTGTGGCCTTTTGGTTCTGAACATGTCTACCGTCCGTCGGCAAGGACGTCAATCGGTTCCGCAGTAGAGTGGTATGGCAAGAAAGAAAGTAGGGAGACAAGCATTGGACTCGGGGAATTCTACGGGCGCTAACCGCTGCGATAGCCCCGCACCAGCTTCAATTTGGACGTGATCCTGAAACACCCCTTCAGTGCCGCTCGTGCCATCTTGCCATGCTCACCTATCGATGGTCTCGGCACTAGCTAGCATGCTGCGACGGCAGATGTGTCGCAGACACCTGCATTGAGAATCCGAAATCAGCTCTGGCTACACCTTCATACGCACAGAACCCTCCCAGCGAAGCTCGAAGCTTGCGCCCATGCATCGCGGTCTTACGCGTCGCGTTCACGGACATGCTGCAGGGGTGAAGCATGTACGGGAAATAAAAAGAGCAGAGAGAGCGCGAAAGTCGTGGTTCTAGAAGTGAAGGTCAGTCGCAGTCGCGTGACAGTTGGTGCTAGAGTCATCATCAAACGCACCTCCGCTTGATTGTTTGAGAGAAGCATCTCGCCTCTGCGTGTTCGTTGCGGAGGCGAGTCTCCGATCCAGGTGGTGCTGGATGCAAGATGCTTGGACAGTGAGGCCAGGTACGTACACGTTATGCCGCGTGATGATGATCCCTGTCAGCCTTGATGGCCGCCAGCGCCAAAGGAAGTCTCTGTGAAACGCAACGCTAGTCGCGGGCTTACAAGCATTGGCCATTCCTTCCTGAACTCTGCTTTCGAACCCTCAGGGTCGACCATGTGGTTTGTCTCCCTTTGGGATCTAACGGTGGAAAATATATCCCTTCCAAAAGCAACATCCCAGAGATTCGGTTTCATTGTGAGCAGGGCCGACGCTACGTGCGCTCTCGACCATACAACGGATCGCTACTCGGCATGGTGTGAGGAAGTACAACTACATTCGACTCTCTCCATGACAGCCTCACGTATCTGAGCCGCTCGTGCGCGTCTACTGTCTTTCGTTTCTTGGGCATTCGCCTCCCGCAGAAATTTTGGGTTTGGAGGTGGTTGGGCAGGGCATCTCATTCACTACACACTACACAGGCAACTGCCTCGCCGTCGCCCACACAGCCCATTGTTCTCTTCGAACAATGCAACGCAAGCCTTCTTTCTCCGATCACTCTTTGTGCTGAGCACCACATTCATTGTCTCCTACAACAATACCTTCCATTCCTTTGGTCTTCAGACTGCGCCAGAACAGCCTCGAACTATACTCTTTCGCTAAGGTCAACAGCCTCGATGACTCTTTGACCATTTCACTCCTTGTACACCTATACCGCGCCACCTACCTGACAGTCCATAAACATCTTACACGAAGCGCCGGTCGCGAGTTTCGCAGGTCGAAACCTATACACGATAACAAAATCCAAAACCAACGATAAGAAAGTCACCAGGATCCGCAATGCCACGACCGAAGTCCTTCATTTCGAGCCTCTTGGCATTCTTCTTTCTTCTTACACTCGTCCTATCTCACTCATGGGTCGAGCAACTCAATGTCATAGCTCCAAATGGCACTATGATCGACCCACCAGGCTTCCCGCGAGGCAATGCTCCAAGAGGAGCCGGTTTCAGCGACACCCAAATCGTCAATCTTGTCAACAAGGGCCCTGATGTCGTTCCAACGGATATGATGTGCAGACCCTCCCAGCAGAACTACGAAGCCAATCCAAGAAGTCCACGTCTTCAAGCCGCTGCAGGTCAAGCCGTTGCTCTGCGGTACCAAGAGAATGGCCATGTCACCCTTCCACAGAACAATCCAGGCAAGCCGGACAATAGGGGCACGGTCTTCGTCTACGGAACCTCTAATCCACAGCCTAGCGACACGTTGATGGGCGTTCACAGACAGTGGACCGCAGACGGCAAAGGTGGCGATGGACGAGGTCGCCTGATCGCTACGGCCAACTACGACGATGGACAATGCTATCAAGTCAATGGCCAACAGATCTCACAACAGAGGCAGCAACAATTCAAGCACAGCATTGCTGCACCTCAAGGCGCTGATCTGTGGTGCCAGAACGACATCATGCTTCCTGCCGATCTTCCTGCTGGCAAGCCTTTCACCTTGTACTGGGTTTGGGATTGGCCTACGATGCCGGGAACTCCTGGACTCCCACAAGGCAAGCAGGAGATTTATTCTACATGCATGGACATCGACATCGTTCCGAATTCGAACAATGCCCAGGGTACGCTGAACGCAAAATCATACAACATAGTTCCACAGGACATTGGCAACGCTGCTGTTGCCTCACAGCTGCAGCAGCTCGGCAACGCAAACGCTGTGCTCAATCCAGCGGCGATCCCGTTCAAAGGTCAGCCGAGTTCTTCTGTGAACGATGGCGGTTCAGGTAAGCCTTCTTCTGCGGCAAAGTCCTCAGCTGCGCAAAGCACTGGCTCAGCCACACCAACGAGCGATGTCCCTCTTCCAACGAAGTCAGTGACTAACGGATCAGGTGCACCTCCGCCACCACCTCAATCGCAAGGTCCGTCAAATGGAGGCCAGAACGGAGGCCCCAGCCAAGGCGATGCAGGTCAGGCTACTCGACCACCTGACAATGGCAGTCGCCCACCCTTTGCCGCTGCTCCTGGTACGTCAACATCGTCCAGCTCCTGTACAATGGCCAATCAATCTTCTATCTCAAAGCTAACCAGTTCTCCTACTGCAGGCGTCTTCGCAGGAACTCCAGAGTTCGGTACAGGTAGCGGCACTTCAATCAGCCCCAACGGCGGCAGCGGCACCAAGAGTGGTATACAAGACAATCAACAGCCTCCTGCTGGCCCAGCGCCAACGGTTGGTCCAATTGGCAGACCAGGAAACGTTGTCACTGTCAGTGAATGGGTAACGGAGACAGTGTACAAGACGAAGTATGGTCGGAATGACAGTGAGTCTACCACCTCTCCTTCTGTTGCCCCAGCATCTGCTCCGGTCTCGCTTCCAACGGTATCGAGCTCGACCTCTGGCGGCATGGCCTCTGTCACTACAACTAGATCAACCTCACCCAAGGCAGTGATAACCGCAGGAGACGTTACCTACCAGACGGCCAGTGTCGTCACGGCTTTCTTGGAGACTCTCATGCCACCTTTCAGGAACATATCCTCGACAATGCCAGCAGTGAGCTCGGGAATCAGCAGCACTGGAGCCGTCAAGGTTGTGCCCCTATCTGGAATTGCGCCAGCACCAAACGTGAGCCCCAACTCGACGTTGCCACAAGTTAAGCCCATACAGCGTCGAGCCCAAAGTAGTGCCACGTACCAGGTCGTGGCCGTCACGGATCCACCCGCTGCTTTGGGCGGCTCTTCGACAACGACGCCGCCACGCACTACCCGGACGTGGACGAGGGTCCCAACTTTGATCCGCACAATCTATCGTTCTGTGAATCATGATGATGATGGATTACAAGCGCGGACCGAAGCTAACGAGCCTCGAACAGACACCGAACTGCCTCCTACCGCGACTGCCGGTTCCGTCGAGGCTCGATCCACCTCACAGCCTTGTGCAAGACGGCGACCTGTGCCGTTCAGGATACGAGGTCGCGCGCCGCTGTATATCCTGCCGGATGAGGTTGAGGAGCAGGTTGGTGGCGAGGACTGTTAGCGGATCCGAGAGCATCTGAACGAGGAGGAGTAAGCCACAGGCTTTGACGACAATCAACCATCAGTGTTGACATGAGCTTCTCAGAGGCAGCCCTGAGGGAAGACATTTCGATTCGTGCACAGGAGATTTTTTGATACCCCATTTTACATAGCAGGCACGTTTTGCATTCTTGGACATGGTCTTGCATAGCATGGAGTTTGAGGAGATAGCATTGCATCAGATAGCATGAGGCTAGGAGTTGAGGTCGCAATTCAGAATTTCATACGACATTCAAATTCCCCTGAATTGTCTTTCACGAATTTTAAGTGTCTCCTGGAGTATGTCGCCGTCGAAGTGCCCGGACTAGCCAAAGTTTTTAGTCGTACTGTCCAGAGCGTCTGATGGTCACATTTCGACAGAGAACAGTGATTGTCTCGGAACACCGGACGCCGAATCGCTTCCCTTGTCAACTCTTTTCCAGCCTTTGTCTTGCCCTAATAGAGGCCACCCTGCCAGCTCCCTCGAACTTCTCTGGTCCGCTCACTCGTGGGTCGCTGATGTCTCGACTCCCGTAAACTCGTGCCCGGCGCTGCTGCCATTACTCGAGCAATATTTCCGCTTCTCAACACCCAGCACTCCCATCGCTAGTCCCTAGACCCTATTCTCGCGCATCTGAGTGCCGTTTGTTCGCTGAGCAGCGGCCAGCTGTTGTGAAGTGAGAGGTGGCTTGCCACCGTCATCGGCGCCTTGTCGCCACCTTGCGCCGTGGCTGAGAGGGCCGTACTTCCCAACATGTTGATAGAACGCAAACATGATGCACGTGCTATGAGTTCACCGGTCAGTATGGGGTCATCGTGGTCAGGGGTTGTGGCAGAAGACCGATCATGCAACTCGGACATGTAAAGTACTTACCTTGCAACAGTAGCAACCCATCCAACCCACAACAGCACCAAGCTCACAATGGCCTTGGCATTGTCCCTGTACCTTAACGGCGGGTCGATCGCCTCCTGCGCGATAGCCAGCTGATCCGCCGAGTCCGCAGAAATCCAGGCTTTTCCAGTGGCGACGATCACGGTGAAGGCTATGGCATCTCCCAAAGCCATGATCGAGACGACGACTGCTGAGATACGCCATGCCCAGCGGATGTTCATGGGTTCGTAGCGGGTAGGAAAAAAGAGGTCGAAGAAGAAGGCGGCGCCGAATATCGTTGCAACTGCGATGCCGACGAATATGTTGTAGGCCGCAATGCCAACGAAATTGTCGTTATGCACGTGTGCGGAGGAGTGCAGCATCTCGATCTCGTCTTGCTGGTCGACGTAGTTGGACAAAGCTGCAGTGCCGACGGATTCGGAGACGACGCAGAGAATCATGGCGATTTGGTAGACGACGAACTTGGTGCGCCTGAGATGGTAGTCTCGATTGCCAAACATGTAGGATGACTTGAACTTCGACCATTGCAGGTCGTGGAGGTCAAGGCCCCAGATGACCACCATCTTGGCGGATTAAGATACTGCTTTCTCGGTCAAAGGATGATTGCCACTGCTGAAGGCTTTCTGTGTGCACGAAAGTGTTGACAACTGATAGCAACTCGTGCGACAGAAAGGCTCTTGTGAGCGAGCAGTTCGAAAATCGGGATCAGTGCAAACGACGTATATTGAAAAGGAAAGAGCGCCTCTGAACACAGAATAGAAATTGCTGTCAAGGGATTTCTGCCCTGTGACTTCCCTATTCGAAAAGACGCGTTATGTTCACTTAAGCCGCATTCCGAGTCTTCTGACTGAGCCATTAGCTGCGAGATCTTCTGCTCACTCACCGTAGAATGACGAGCAACAGCATGCCGAAGCATCCGCGGGGGCGAGAGCCGTATCAGATCCCAGGGAAGTCCGCCCCGTTCTGGACGCGAGGTCATCCGGCGACCAGTGAGATGCGGGCATTCTTTGCTCAGTAAGACTGTGCTTGAGTGGGTTTGCGGATATAGTCGAATTACGAAGGAAGTAATACTGAACGGTGATTGAGGTTCAGGAAGGCCTCGATGGCCTATGACGTATGGCGCTCTCCACAGTTCTGGTGGAAGCGAACTCCGAAAGCCTCAGAAATCTACGACAGCAGGCCTCCCTTGATGTCCTTTACAGTCGATAAGACGATCCTAACACAGACGTCGTTAGTCTTGCCCAACATACAGGTCGCATGGAGGGTAGCACTACCAGAATTTTCGCTCAAGACGGAAAGTACTCTTAGAGACTGGCTAGATTGCTCATCTTCAGCCACGACCAAGACACCAAACCAACGCTTAGCAAGCTTGATCATGCTTACATACTCTAAACTGCGCGTATCGACCAAGGGCGTCAGTCAGAAGCCCTTTCGAAACTCTCTGGGGCTCGAGTGCGGTCATAGTGAAGTCCGGCCGGGAACTCGCTCTCGACGAAGATGTATGGCCTGATCTGGGTCGACGACAAGGTCCTCTCAGAGAACTCGAAAGTCTTGCAGGAGCTGCGTGATCACAAGCAACTCACAGGAAGGCCGCTGTATCCTGTGTTGTCGCCTGAAACTTGTTCGAAGGCTATACTGAATGCTGAACCATGATGTTGGCCGCCTTCGGAGTATAGATATACTTTCGGCTTCATGCTAATTTGACGTAGGAGGCAAACTTACCAGTCGTCAGCGTGATTCACCTCCACTTCTTCGAGTTCTTTTGCAACCTCAGACTCAACGACAAGGGTACATTGACGCCTGCCGGAGGGCGCCTCGGCGCAGAAGCTGTGACATCGACGCCACTGCCGATTCTCGCAAATGCGATTCTAGCAATAATGACCCACCGACCAGTGCCAGCAGCTCGGTACTACCGCCTGCTCAACGACTCGAGCGACAATCTCGCCAAGGCATCACTGTCCACGCTGACCACGCCACAGGCACAGAAGTTCCTCGGGTCATTCCTTGCTGGTGTCTTCACAACGCTCACCGCCCTCCTCGTCTTGTATCCACTTGTGGGCAGGCACCTTCTCTCATCGCATCTCTGCGTCAGCCCATACATCCAGCAGCTCACCTTCACACCACATCCCGAGTACGCAAATCTATCACATAGCTATGATGCGCTGTGGGAGGACATGCTGCCTGCAAATGGTGGATTCCTGATCGATAAGGCGACTGGGCGTAGTGAGGGCATCACGATGTTCCATCAACTGCATTGCCTGCAGCTGTTGAGGATTGGGCTGCAGAGAGGTCATGATGATGGCATGGGCAGGGGAAGTGGACATGTGACGGATGGGAAGGGGCAGAATATGCATGCGAACGATGAGCATTACCTGCATTGTCTGGACTATCTGCGGCAGGTACGGTTTAGTGATTCCACCATATACATGCCACTTGCGCCTTCCTTCTCCTATGCTGCTGCTAAGTGGCGTTGACCCGCGCGACTGATCTGCTGACTGCTATGGAGTAGACAAGTCTTTGTATGGCCGATAGTACGATCGAGAAGACCATCGACAGGAAGAAGCCGGGCAGGAAGCTGGTGGATGGCTACGTCACACATCGATGCAGTGACTCTCGACGACTGTATGATCTGGTAGCGGCCCATTCGTTGGCAGGATGAGCTGAGTCGGACATAAACTTCGTGCACTCAATACATCCTGTCATAACACCCTGTGGGACGGAACATAATTCATTGAAGTCATTCGACCCCTCAAATAGACACCTCGATCGAGCAAATTATGCCAACTGCAGCAAAGGAAAGCGCTCGCTATGTTTGCTTGATACCTGGTACTTGGTATTCATCACAACGATCGCCAAGACGAGTTACCGCATCAGGCGTAGCCAGTGCTATTCTTGTGCATTGATACGTTACTTTTAAGCGAATACGTTCTTGCTAGCAAAGTGAATACAAAATTGGTTCGCCATAGACACACATAGAACACACAGGCAGAACCCTTCCAAAGCAAACAGCAGTCAGGCCGCCGAAGCAAGCCCTTCTCCACCATATCCACCATACCAATCTATCGCTGTTGAGAAATGACAGCCTACAAGACCCTCCTAGCCCAAGTCCTCGACGCCGCATCTACCCTCTCTCCAACACACATCTTCTACCTCGAAAAGAACTCCCACTTCAAGCGCCAGCACTCCTCAATTTACGACTTGACCTCCCACTTACTCTCAACATACCAAACCGACGGCTAGGTCACGGACACTTTCCTCGACTCCACTCAACGTGTCCACCGCGCGAATCCCGCCACGCAGCCAACCTGGCGGGTTGAGCGGCCGAATTGGTACAGCGATGCTTCACTGACTGTAGTTGGTGGAGATGATGGTGTGGTGGTGGCGAAGATGCATGCCCCGACACTCTCCATAGGGACCACGAAGATCACCTTCCCAACCACGCTAGTCGCTCCATCAGGCGGCGGCGATATCGACACCGCCGAAACTATAGCGCAGCAGCAGCACGAAATAACCTTGACCCCAGCAACGATGACGACCACGCGGAGGGATTCGTCAAGGAGAGCGTGCCATTTGTGCGGGCGTCTTCCGCTCCATCGACCCCGGCGGATGCAGGAAAGAAGCCGGATCGTGGTTCCTTTTCCCTGTTCCGCTCGAGTGGAAGCGGCAGCGCCGGAAAGAAGATCGAGATTGCACGCTACCAGAGCTTCAGTGGGAAGTATGAATTGGGCGGCGTGTTGGTCGCGGACTCGCGAGAAGTTCAGGGTGGAAATGATGGAATGCTGATTGTGGTGCTGACGCTTGTCGGACTGTTGAGCGCGAAGGAGAGTTTCAATCGTGTTAGCGCTCAATCGTGATTGTTTTTGGTTTGATGGCCGGCAATTGGTGGTAGAGATGTAGCTTTGCAGTTAGAATGTGAAGCCCTCCGAAGTCTGAAGCGACGATCAGGCCATCATGACCGAGTCCGATTGAAGCTCGCCATGATCGAGTGCAGGACAGGCAACACACCTACATCACTGAGCAGTGGTCAACACTGTAGAGTTGGGTCATTAGTCACTTAGATTGTAAGCATGATGTCTGAGACAATGCGAGCCGAATGACACTAGTCAAAGTCCACGCAAGTATTTGTCTCGTAGACTGGAGCACACAGTACAGCGGTCATTGGGAGGTCTGGTGGACGACAAATGGATATCCCTGAATGCCCGTCAAAGCTCGCTATCGGTCGGAGAGACAGGAACGCACTGTCTCTGGTTGATTTCAGCCCGCAAGTCGCGCCTTGGCTCAGCAAAGTCTTGTTGTCGAGAGTCATCGTGCGACTGTTTTCTCTCTCGATCCAGCAGCACCTGCAACCATGTTTCGGGTACGAACAGCATCAGCTGCCATCATGCGCTTAGGTGCGGCACCGAGATGCACTAGACATCCAGCTGCAGCTGTCAAAATATGATGCCATGCCGGAAGAGCACGAAGCGATTTGGTGTAGCGGTACCTGCATGCACGATGCGGTCAAGAAAGCAAGGCATTTCCGAAAGATGGAGAGTTGAAGGCAGGTTTTAGTTTGGAGATGTACCTGCCAAAGTTCTCTTGCACCGCCACTGCGCCTCACTTCAGTACACGTTGCTCTTCTGGGCAGGCACATCCAGAATGGAGCAACTACCGACTCGCTTAAGTGGCTGAGCACGGCGAAGATCTCGCTGAAGCCGATGACCTAAGAACTCGTGACCGGCTGCTTGGACTCACCGCACATTTGTGTCCTCGGCCTTGTCATGTGCAATGTATTCTTGTCTACAGCAACGGAGTCAACCTCATCCGAAAGAGGCGTATGTGCCGTACTGCCGTGCTTTCATGCATCTGACTGCATGCACGTGCACGACATGTCGCTAAGGGTCGTCGTCATTACACAGCATCATCTGATGCGAAATCGAGAATTGAAACAAATTGAGAGCTTCCGAGCGCTTGCTGCAACGCCGTTCGCGCAGTGTTCCTGCCTACACTTCCAAGACATGGAGGAGAGCCAGCTTATAACGGCCGGCCTGTTGTGCGACTTCGCAGTCACCTGACTAGACTTTAACTCGAGGACATTTTGTACGTTGCAGCCAATCGCGACGGAGAGCAGGGATCATTATTCTAGGTGGGGATATCTGGGATCTTTAGTCTCTTGTCAGACCACGAATCAGATGTCGCATTCTTGTGAATACCAGGATGCCATCAGCTGCCTTCCGCGAGCTAAGCTGGTCAGTTCTTCAACATTTCTCATCGACTGGTCATGCGCCGATACCAGACCAAAGCCTTCTGTCTGACACTGCATGTTCCCCCAGTCTGTGCTTGACCACTCGAACCAGTTCAACGGCTGTTGAGAAGCCCTCCGGAAGTCTGCCACAACCCGTTGGAGCATGTCCCTTTGATGGTTTCGTTGAAACGGCTACGGCCTGCACCGACGCATCCCGCTCTTTGGGATCGATCAAATGGGAGCGTGGACATGGTCTTGAGATCCTTATCCATGAGACAATCGACCTTAGTACGGGGTAGGCTTTTGTAGCTGTCGGCGGCAACCGCGTGTAGAGATTCGCGGATGCTTCGAACTTCAGGATGTATGATTGACGCCAGGGGTCTTGGGGCTGGCGCAAACCTTTGCGTTTACGTGGACGTTGATCGTAGAATTGATCGGACGTTTCATCTCCAAGGGGACAAGTGAGGGAGCGCCATCTGCTTGCTCGTTGCCGGAAGGCAACTGTTGTCGAGATTGTCCATGCAAACTCACCACAAACTGGGGTCCTTGTCCGTGAGATCAGCAGCCGCCAGGCACTGTTTGCCTTTCGGAAACGAAGGACAGGAGGATTAGGCTGGCCCGAGCTTCTGGAAAGATGTCAAACAACTCTTTCCGGGCCTTGATCGAGAAGAGCCATAGGGCGAAGTCAGTGATTTCGGACCCTTGACCAAGAACGCGCGAGCTGCATCTAGAGGAGATTGTACATCAGCACATAAGACCAACAGGATGTTTCCAATAACCTCGTGCGTATTGGCAATGGCGCTGCTCAATCTGCTACGCAGACAGCCTCATCATCGCAGGAATCGAAGTGATTTCGATTCCGAACTTTTCGCAAAACACAAGCAATCGAGCTGAGCGGCCAACGGCCAGTCAGAGATGATGACACACTGCGAGGGCACGCGTTTGCATATGCAGCTACCATGTAGTCGGAATAGCCATGGTGAGAGGAGCCGGGCGGCCTTCAAGTTGGTGAAAAGGAGATCCATTATCGCCCGTCCCTAAGCTCGAGTCCACAAAGTACAATCGACGTTCATGATCAAAAGACGTAGATGACACAAACAATTGATAGCCTTCGTCAGGCATGCCCAGCGATCGCCCGGGCAAGGATGGGGATTCGTAAAGGTGCAGTAGTCAGTGTTTCCGAGCGTGGCTGAGCCCCGAAAGACTGACCTGCAGCCATGCAGGTCTTTTCTCTTGCTCTTTTTTCGCCTCTTACGCTTCTTTGGGTCTCGCCATCTTACCCACTTGGATGCATATCGTGCTCTCACGCCATGCCCCATCGCGCACGGCTGCAGCCAGCCAGTCATAGCCATGAAGCCGGCTTTTAGGCAGGGTGCATATAAGGTAAACGGCCAGACTCAGGTTCCAGGTTCCTCTTCTTTTGTCGGTCGTCCCCGCCCTATACTACACCCTCCCACCCCTCCCCCTCCCATTCACTACCTACACCTCTGGCATACAACCACCAGACTCTCCTCGGCGCGCATACTATTCCGAAGATACGGACCGCCGCAGTAAACACCTCGACTTCACCACTCTCGCCACGCTCCGCCATATAACTGGGATAAACGCCACCACGACACTCACTACGATTTAGGACCCCAAATCTCGTTATTGTTCTTATGTCAGTTTTGTCGACCAAAACGTCCATATAACACACATAATGCCTTCGATATTACTACCCGCATCAGCGGCGGCTTTTGCCCCCAGATCAACATGCAATGTTGTCCTCGGATCAAAGTCAGAACCATGGCTGACAGCCCGGATAAAAGCCGTCAACAAGGTCAAGCGACCACTCAACAGTGTCATGCAAGTGACAAGATGTTTAACAGAACTCCTGTCCTCGCCGAATGCTATATGGTCACTGTGCTCGTTAATGGCCCCGAAGCTGCCTGAGTCAGAGTTGCGCAAAGACTCAAATCCTTTGGTCGAGGCGCTCTTCAACTTCCAACTGGTTCACATCGAGGCCTACGTCGTCCATGTCGACATGGTCTCGCAGAACGAGGTCGCCTTCAAGTTGACTCAGGACACCATCGACTCGTTAGTCGAGCACCACAAGGAGGTCTTCTCAATCGACACTGCCGCCAAGACATGGGCATGGCCCGATAAGGATCAGCAATTGAAGAAGTTGCAGGAAGAGTTTGTGTCGGCCGCGAACAAGTTCGTGTATCGCACAAGCGTGCAAGCGCTCGAGGGTATGGAAGAGGAAGGTGCTGGAGAGTTGCTGTGTGGCAGGAGTGAGGATGTCAGATCTGCCATCACAAATCTCTTCGTGCCTCTCCTCCCACCGCCTCCACGAGTGGTTGACATTGTCCGGCCAACGCCGCTGCTACCTAGCTCCACAACTACAGAGCAATGGTGGCCTTCGCAGCACGTTCAGGCAATTCAACCCGCACCGGTCGAGGCATGGAAGATTGTACCATCAAGTCCAAGCCCAGTGTCATCTTGTGACTCACATCACAATATGTGGCCTGTGGTCAGTGCACAAGATGTGTCACTTCCATCGCCGACACCCTCATACAGCAACGCATTCAGCTCGCCTGCCTACACAACGACGACGTACTACAGCACACCGGCTTACACAGTGCCAGTCTCGGCCGCTTTCAGTGCGCTTCCTTTACCAAGCACATTGACTCAGCAGCCATGTAGTACTTCGGCGGCTATCAGCACCTTCGGATGGGATCGTTACAATGAGTATACGATGCCATACGCGACTGCTATGTGATCCAGCGACCAGCGACCTCCGGGACTTTCCTCAATTCTATCCCATCGGGCTACCTCATACCAGTAGGCACAGCTCAATGTGACCATGCGGCATCGATACAGACGAAAGACGCATGCGAGTGTTACTATCATCGGCATTACATCATGGACGGCGTTACAACATTTTGATCGACTTAGCGACTTACAAGGATACCACTCTGCGACATGACATTTTTGGGAACCATTTGCTTTTTACCAGCAGGCGATTTGATTTTCACAACAGCGATTTCCTTGTGTTGAAACGGCTCCGCACCGACACCCGCGGCAGGATGGCTATTTGCGCTTATTATACAGCAAGTGTCTAGTATAAACCGGATATCCCTGGATTGGATATTTAATATCTCCCGCATTTTCGAAAGAACGGACTGCCTCACGGCTCAAAGAGTTTTTGGAGAATTCTATGCGCGGATGGATTATTTTTCGCCGCGGTGATGATTGTCATGAGAAAATGATTTGACGGCAGGCTAGCTCTGCTTCTTACTCGGCTTCTAATGATCAAGTCACCTGGTCTGCGCCTGGATGTTACACTGGGTGTACATTGTGAAGGAATGCAAGGACAGCGGCACAGGTGGGAGACTGGTTCATCTGGTATGGACAGTCTACCGCCTTGCTGTGCCTTCTGAATCCTGGACTGAATAAGGAGACCGGCATGCTGGCTTCGACAGAGGCCTCACGTCCGCGACTAGGTTGCATCCGTCTTTCTCGATCTGTGATCCGAGGACGGCGCAACCAGAATTACCCTTTTTCGGGTTGGGAGGATGGAAGGTGCAGTGTATAGGTTCATCACCTATATCTCGACTGGATTCGAGAAAGCCTCGCGGACTCACTGGCTTGGGTCGGAGGAATCAGATGCAGGATACACAGAACAACTCATCTTATATAAAAAAGAACCACACAGAGATTCTACATCTTCTATACATCTCTCGTCTCGTCTGTCCACACTTCCCGTGTGCTCCACTTGTCCTCATGAACCCTAACACACAGATGACATGTTTGAGTCAATCATTTGAAGGACACCTGAGTGGTGCCCTGACGTTCTTCGTGCGCTGTCGCATGCACCGATCGTGCGAGAACCGCTGACGGCGGTTACGAGTAATCGACAAGTCGTCCGAAGTCCCTCACAGCGACACTCGCCAGGACAGAACCGAGCCGAGGCCGCCGACTTTAGGGGCCGAATGGGGCAACAACGAAGTCACCATGCCTAGAACAGCTAAAGTTAGGCTTTGCGGGCGAGGACTCCAACAGGTTGCTGACGTAGGGAAGCTCGGGGGATGATGCTTGCTGGTCAATGCGCGCACGACCTTGATCCATGCAACCAGATCACTTCAGCTCAAGCTGCTTCTTACAAAGAATTGAACACCCCGCTGCCGTGTGTAGAGACACAGAATCGTCAACAACATATGTAGAAGAACGAAAAATCAGCACTATCGCTTCAAGAACCTGTTTTAGAGCTACTATTTGGTGTGAGCATACTAGTACTGACTCCAGCCAAAAGCAAGTGACATCGCTTCCATCTGCTTCAACAGTACCCCGCCGTCGCCCATTGCACCATGACCACAGCTCGAATTCACGGCTCAACAACCCGATCCTGACATCTGATCTCGACTGCTCGGTCTCAACGCGACCATGAGCGTTCTTCACGACGCACTGCGCTCGCTGGGCCCCGCCAAGTTCGAAAGTGATGTACCGACCTCACCAGAAGACCTCGATGGCTACCTCCGGGGCATCTTCGACGATGCGCAGCTCGTGCTGGACACGATACCGATCGGGGCGCCCGATGCCTCCCCGGGCACCCGTATGAGGTCGCACACAGTGTCTGCGTCAAACGCATCCGAAATGTCGGCATCTGTCGCCCGCAGTGACCCTCCTGCTCCAGACCGCATTGCGCTACAGAAGGAATGGGGAAAGCCTATAAAGATCGGCCAGAAAGAGAACCCACTGGGCATGTCAGTGTACAAAGCGGCAGGTAAGGATGGTCGAGGAGCTTGGTTTGCGAGGCGGTCTGTGCATGAAGGTCTGGGTTTCGATCGGTTCATGAAGGCATTTGAGACGGAATTTCCGACGTCCTTGGCTGTGCAAGGCGCTCCTGGTGAAGGCAACGTGAGAGGCATTGGAGCAGAAACGAGAGTTGTTGACATCACTACGCCGCACCTGGGCAAAGTGCAGGTCTACCGGCTGAGTGCTCAATTTCCAGGACCGACGACGCCTCGAGACTTTGTGACGTTACTGTTGACTTCGACCAAAGCGCTCAAGCCGGCAAAGGAAGGCGAGCTGGTTCCGAGACACTACATGATCGTCTCCAAACCCTGTGACCACCCGGAAACCCAACCTCGAAGTGGCTTCATCCGTGGCCAGTACGAGTCGGTGGAGTTTATTCGTGAGATACCTAGGAAGTTGAAGGCGTCCGCCTCCCAGACTGATCTCAGTCATGGTGGTCATCAGAAGCATGGCCATCACAGTCTAGAGCACGACGTCCCCGTTCAGAACGCCGAGAAACACAACACCCTAGCTCCTGGCCAAGATCATCGCTCACGAGACCCTTCGCCAAGTGGCAGGAAACGCAGCCATACCGTCGATGTGCCCGAGAACCACCACCGAGCTAGCGGGGATCAATACGATCCCGATGAGAATCCGGTCGAGTGGATCATGGTCACCCGGAGCGACCCTGGCGGAAGCGTGCCTCGGTTCATGGTCGAGAGAGGAACGCCAGGTAGTATCTGTGCTGATGCGGTAAAATTTCTGGACTGGGCATGCCAGCAAGATGATGACGACGCCGACTCACCGGAGACACCACGGAGACCGTCCGTGCCTTTCAGACGAGAAAGTGCTACGAGCTTCGCAAACCAGAAACATCTGCTTCGAGTCAACGAGGAGACAGAAGCCTTTCCAGACGCCCCTGATACCACTATCACTGCTCCGACGCCGGTCACCTCACAAAATCCAGCAGAATCTGCAGGGTTATTTGCCACTGTCGCAGGTGCTGTCTCAGCATACGCACCGCAAGCAGTCCAACAATATCTGCCTCTAGGATACGCAGACTCCACAGCTCCTTCACAAGGCATAACCAGAAATTCAACAATGGCTACAACCACCGACGACAATGACGACGCCTCATCCACCATCTCCTCCTCCCTCTCATTCGCATCCGCCGACTCCCACCTCTCCGGCGACCAGGTCCCAACTTCTCCAACCGCCAGCCTAACCTCTTCCCTCTCAAAGACAAAGTCACCACAGACGCCGCACGAGAAAGAACTAGCCAAGCTCTCTGCCCGCCGCGCCGCCTTGGAGCAGAAACACGCCGCCACCGTCGCAAAACTATCCAGCCAGAAATCCGAGAACACCGAGAAGGAAGCCGCCGCCATAAAGAAGGCCGAGGAGAAACACACCCGCGAGCTGAAGAAGCAGGAAGAGCGGTACCAGCGCGAAGTTCAGAAACTCCAGGAACGCAAAGAAAAAGATGCGAAGAAAATCGAAGCGCGCAAGAAGCGCCAGGGCGAAAAGGACGAGAAAGAACGCCTCAAACGGGAACGCGACGAATTGAAAGAGAAAATCGACGTGCTTGAGCGTGAACGCGACCTCTTCATGAAACAAGTTGGGGAGTTGCAGAAGGAAAACACGAATCTGGCTGCGCGGCTTGGGCGGTATGAGTCTAATAGTGACCTTACAGCGCGAGATTCGGACTCGGCGAAGTCTTCGACGGCGCGGCTATCCTCGTCTTCAAGGTCGAGCACGCCTGTGCCTTCGGTGCCATCCAGCTCCTCGAATCTAGCCTCGTCTAAAAGCCTAGGTGAGCAGCCGAGTTTGAGGCCACAGCTTGGTGCGCATCAGCGGACTGCGTCGGAAGATCATTTGTACACGAGATCTTTGGCGCAACAAGATAAGCAGCCAGGCGAGGGGCAAGCGAAGGAGAGCTTTGGGAACAAGATGAAAGCGGTGACGTTCCATGCGATGGGCATGAATGAGGATGGAAAGGAGGGTGGGAGTAGAAGTCGAAGTGGGAGTCTGTTCCGGAAGAAGGAGAAGGAGGAGAAGAAAGCGGGAAAGGTTGACGGAGCGGCTGCAGCGACAGAGACTTGAATATGGGTCCGGCGTGGATTAACAATATATTTGTGTGTATATATGGATCATCTAATGCCAGAGGTCTAAACGTTGTATGCAGCGGAACAGCGACGTAGCTGCTTCTGGGACAGCTCGTACGCAGAGACTTGGCCAACCTTCGTATACTCATTGCATATTGTAGGGCAGGCACAACTGGAGCCAAGATGGGTCGACGTCTCTGTTGTACACAGAGACGGACCGATTGACTGCCAAGTCGGAACGTGGACGCCTTGTGTGCCTTCGCCAGAACTCTCACACAGCCACCATTTCCCCGTTGCAATCACCCTTCAAAGTCCCTGCCAGGGGCCAAAAATACATTTAGCAGTAATCGTTCCATCTGAAACGGTCCGTGGTTCTAACGGTCCGTTGTTCACATATGATGTTGCCGCGTCTCTCACAGAAATCAGGTAGGTTCGTCTCATCCATCTCTACCTGTCCAAACTGCCAACCATGTCAATCCGCATCTTCGTGAACAACTACGACCCCAACACGACCGTCCTGCCCACCAACACAACCCTCACCGGCTATATCGAAGTCACAATCCGCAATGCCTCGCATCGTGCCTCCCTCACACAGCTTCCCCTCGTGTTCTACGGCCGCTCCAAAGCCACCATGACCTACAGCGAGTCGACGGGTACCGGCAACGATCACCGCACACACAAACACTACTTCAGCAGCAAAGCTCTCCTTTTCTCCCACAGCTACACCCTCACCAACCCCACCTTCACCCCCGCCGCCTCCCGCCGCGGCGAAGACGGCGGCATCCTCACCTTCCCCTTTTCGTGCCTTATTCCCACGCACACGGAGCCATGCCCGCCAGAAACCACCGATCTGCACCGCGCACACGTCCTGAATCCGCGGCCACCGATCTTCCCCGGAAGCCTAGGCTACGACCCACCCGGCACAGGCCTTCCATCCGCGCCACTCCCAGACACCTGCCTCGACTTCCACGATCACATCTCCAACGCCAGCTCAACCACCTGCTCCGCCTCGATCCGCTACTCGCTCAAAACCGAAGCACCGGGAGTCTCAACCAAGTCCAAGCTTTGGATGGGCGATGCCGAAGAGCGCGCGGACGTCGCCATTTACAATCCCATCTCCTTTCCCTCGGGTCCGCAGCCGCAGATCAGCTTCTGTGAGGTGAGGTATGAGGCAACGGCACGTTCGCTGCGTTTGCTTGCGAGCCACGGGAAGGAGGCCCAGAGAAGGCTGAGTTTTCGGGAGAGTATGCGGAGTGTGTTCCAGAAGGGGAAGTTGCCTTTCGTGACGCTGGGGTTGAGGATGAGCGTGCCGGACGTGTTGATGTTGGACGGGCCCGATGATCAACCAATTCCGATACGAATCGGGGTGGCGAGACTTGCGGCGGGAGTGGGTGGTGAATACGCTGGGTCTGATGATGAGAAGGGTTCGCGATCACGTTCGCGCTCGCCTACCCCGAATCCCAGCGCCACGCAGGGATGGGACAGCAGTAACGGCTACGACAACAAAGACCCTATGCAACAGCAACAACCTCCCACGATCCAAGGTCAATCATCGCAGTACTCAACACGCCCCAACGAGAAAGTCCAGTATCCTCAATACCTCTCACCAAATCCCGGACTACAACCCCAGCGACACCAGGACGATCAAATTCCCAACCCAGCAATCCGACTGACCCGCCTCACGCTTTCGCTGGTCTCCCTCAACTCACTCCGAGGCAACGCTTCTGACCCGACCAACGACCCCTTGGGCACGGAATACCACTCCAACCCGCGCTATCACCCCAACATGACCTTCGTCTCATTCAAGTCCGCGCCCGTATTTGACTGGGAGCCCTCCAAAGATCCTTCGCAACAAGTCTTCCTGCGTGTCTCGTCCGACCAGCAACAAGATTATATCGACATTGGACAGGTACTGGGCATCACCACATCCGACCTACGAGCCGCAGGCGGGAATGTTAGGGCCATCGGCGCGAACAGCGACGGGAGTCTGCAAGCGGGCTTCAGCACGCCGAACTGGTCGCGCGAATGGATGCTGGAATGGGAGGTACGTGTGGAAGTAGCAGGCGACAAGGAGATCAAGTGGAAATGTCGGGCGGGAAAGGAAGGGCCAGGGGAGGGAGGTGTTGGTGTTGGGCTTGTAAGAAGGTAGGATGATGGGTCTCGGGATGAGGCGTCGACTGATGATGGGAGGGCCGTTGAAGGGTTGCGAGGGAGTGACGGCGAGCGGGAGGTAAAAGAGCGTGTCGATCAATAGTGTGATACTATAAGACTCTTGGCGGCCGCCACAGCCTGCAGTCCTCTTCCACAGAGTCCGCCCCACAAGAATCATGATGTACTGAAAGTAGTGGAATTAGTAGAGTATATGGATATGGATGCAAATAACGAAATGCAAAGTGTGCCACATGCTCACAGCCCCGGAGGCCGCCCCAAGGCTATAGACTGGTATCAATAATGTTCACTCAAGAAGAAGTGCCTCACAGGGCGCCCTCTGTGTATGCAAATGTGTGCCGCTGTGTGTGGCGCTGGCCAAAAAATATGCAGTATGTGCTTTCTTCCTCTCCATTCAAACCCCTCAGAGTCCTCCGAAGGGCCTCAAATAATGCTCACCCAATTCGTCAGGTGGGACTTCCCTCCACGAGCAACTTTTATGTCGTCGAGCGCAATTGACACAGCGTTTACCCGCAGACCCATGAATATCCTTTAAACACGCGAGGCCCGCCCGGCGGCAGCGGTCGCATGCTGGCATCACTGTTGCGCCATTGGGCAATCCTTTTATCTTGATCCACATCGCGTATTCGAGGGGCGTCCATGAGTTGGCATCGGGTTGAGTGGGTTCATCTAAGGGCGACAGCGGCTGCTCCTCCACAGGGAGGACTCTGTGGGCGTCTTGTTGTGGCTGTGGGCCAACATCTCCTGAGGATTCGTCAAAGGGCTGCGGCGGCTGCTCCTCTACAGGGAGGACCCTGTCGGCGTCTTGTTGTGGCTGCGGGTCAACATCTCTTGACGACCATTTTGGAACCCGAGGGACCTCCTTTGCCTTATCGGGCAGAGTCCTCCTGGTGGTCCCACTGCTAAGTTCGAAGACTTCCTCGTCAGATCGCCGCACCCTCGCTTCCAAAGCAGACATCGAGTCATTGTTCAACGGGCGTAGATCCGACTGCCTCTTATTTATTGCGCGCAACCTGTTGTTCACAGCGCGGAGGCCTTCATCCTAGTTTGGCTCCGTTAGCCCATTCTACGAGCCGTCATTCCAGTCTGGCTCCGTAAGCCCATTCTACGAGCCGCCGTAAGGCCATTGTTGACCAGCACCCTGACCCTGCTGCTGCTGTGGCCACCCTTGTTGTCCCGGCTGACCTTGTTGCTGCTGCTGCATGAACTGCGCTGGTTCATTCCTCCCCCGTACATGTTCGCCTGCTGCCTCGCCATCGGGTTCAGACCAGGGTAATTGCCCGCATTCATAGCCTGTAAGCCCATGCCAGGCCCAATGAGGTGCTGACCACCCATGTTCTGAGTCTGGCCCTGCATCATAGCCATCTGCGGCGGCTGCATCTGGTTCGCGGCAGCATGAGGCGACGGATGACCAGACATGGCAGGCGAAGGCATCTGATTCTGGTTCATGGCCGCGTACTGGCCAGAGCTCATTCTATGCAGCGGAGGCTGTGAAGGCGGACCACCCCAGGACGAATGTGCTGCTGCTTGTTGCTGCGACGTGTGGGGAGAGAAGTTGCCAGCGTATTGTGGCATGCCGCCGGGCGTTTGTGATGACATGGATAGATTGGAGGACGATCGTTGGAATTGCTGGTGTTGAGGCGTGTTGAACTGTGATGCGTTATCGCGACCGTAGGTGCTACCCATCGAGGGCTGTCGCGACGGGGACTGGAGTGGGTTCGTTGGCATAGCGAATGAGGGAGGATTCATTGCTTGGGTTGTTGCTGTGTTGCTGGGTGCTTGTGTGACGGACAGATCATTACTCGTACCATCAGCGCCGAAGGGATGAGAGGCAGAGAAGTCGCGAGCTGTGTTGACGTCAGTGCCTTCTGGCGGAGGCGTAGTAACCGGTGGATCGTGTGGTCGCTGCCAGTATTCCTGTACAATGTTCCGTCGATACTTGGCTTGCTGGTTGATGGTTCTACTAAAATCTGCAGCATGTGTTGACTGTCCAGCCATCTCGGCTTCCGAACTCGGTCGAGTCAAGTCCATATATGGCGGTCCTGTGAGATCTTGCCGTGGTCTTTGTACGTCTCGGTATTTGGGGTCGTGGGTGTAATCGAAGCTAGGGATTATGCCCATCTGTGGTGCCATGCTGTGGAAGCCCATCGGACCATACTGACCCACTGAAGTGTAGACAACGTCTCCATATGCGCTGAGCTGCCGTGCGCTGAGTTCCTGTGCCTGCGCTGCTGCTGCGGCTTCTCTGGCTCGAGTCTGGCCTGGTCGCTTCTCACCAGCGGGATCGTCCTCTGTGAAGCCTTGCTTTATCGCCTTGGCTTCCCAGTAGTCATCCCGAACGCGACGACCATCTTTGATGACTCGGCTGCCGAATTGTCGGAACATCGATCGCGCAGTGACGACGGCTATTTGACGTGACCTGTAGGAATAAGGCAATATCTCCTCCTGAACAAGCTGCTCTTTCTCCTTAGGACTCGCTATGATCTTAAACAGCGATCGATTCTTGTTGAAGAGCAAATAGCTGTCGCGGTACTGCAGTGTTCGCGCACACTCCGTCGCAAGCATGAACAGCTTCTCGCCGCGTCCAGGAAGCTTGAATGTCCGTATCTTGTAGTCGCGACCGCCTTGTAGGTAGCCCATGGTGTCCACCTTCTTTTCGCCATTCTCGTCGAAGTCGCGCGCAACATATTCGTCGCCCTCTGGTCCCAGCTGGTCTGTTGTGTGATCTCTTACAGTAGGTAGAGCTTTAAGGGTGGTTGGTTTCTGTGGCGTTGTCCGTGGTGGCGATGTCTGTGACCCGCTGCCGGAAGGAAGTCCTTGCGACTTCATGTGAGGTGTTTGTGATAGGTCGGGTGATATCTGGCTGGCAGGCGTAGGTAGTGAGTCGGCATGGCTGGTGTAGTCACCTGAGGTACGAGGTGTTTTGGGTGGCCGACCACGCTTCCGTGGCTTCGTGTCATCTGCATCGCTAGTCAGCGCATTGATCTGAGATTGATCTATCGTCGGACGCGATTTGCGACGCGGTGCGACAGCAATATGTGCTGTGAAAGGACTCAGACATACCATCATCGCCTGTGTGCAGGTAGTCGCCATATCCGGGGTCCGGAGATCTACTACGCTTGAGACCACGCGACGAGGGGTCGATGGCATTGCCGGTCAGCGCTATATGAGGTCAGCATGATGTCTACATGGATGCGCAAGGTCATAGACGTGACCAGGGAGGGTAGCAATGCTTACGATTGAGCGCTGATGGATCAATGGTACCGTCGCTCATCTGGGCGACACCATTAGTAGGCTGATGGGTGGTCGAGTAAATAGACATCTCCAGGGTGTGGGAGGCGAGATGTAGGGTGCGATTCTGTTTGGGACCGAATATCACATCAGAGTGGCATCGGACAGGCTGTCGTGGGTGAGGTGACTCGGTCGCGCAAACCTCAGGGTGCCTGCGTGAGGTAAAACGAGCTCCTGGGATGTGCGACAGTGGTAGCCGCGGGTAGGACGTGTGCCTGTGGGAGGGTGTGTGCCGATCCTAAAGTGTGGTGGGAGGCGAGGATGGTGGTCCGCTGGTTGATATGTTTCCGGCGAATATCACCACAAGGTACCGACCCTCATCAGCGCGACTCCGAATAACTGGATGCTGGGGACGGAGAGAGTAACACAATTCAGCTGATGGGTCGCGTGGATGTCCGGAGGGTGTAGCGGTGCAGCCAAAAAGATGAAAACAGATGTAGTGGTTGCGATGGTCGATACTCGAAAGGTGCAGGTCGTCAAAGATCGATGGAGCAGGCCGCTATTCAGCTATGTAGCGAGACCTGTCCTGCGCCTGACTCTTGCTCGCTCGCAGTGGAGAAGGCCTATTTGGCCAAGCCCGCAGCGATTGAAGAGAAGACCGTTTTAGCCGGCCTGCCGAGCGAGAGCCGCCTTCCGTCGGCGCTGTAAACTCTGCCACGAGCTGTACTCGAGGCTGGCTTGTCAAAATAGATGTTGACGCGTCCGAGGCAATAGTAATGCTGAAGAAAGGCCGATCTGATTTATTGCTACAGTACGTGTCCGATAGGTGAATCACCGCGCCCGAAGCAGATGTCGGGTCGAGCCTTGCAGCCAGACTAGGTGGTGACGCGGGACCGTACAGACACATACAGTAAGCGATTCGACGGATACATCAGGAAGAGCTCAAGACTCTGGCTCGATGGCGAAAACGTCCTGGTGACTGTACAAAATGCAGCCGTTGATACTACGTTCCTCTACTACGAGCGCATCGATTCGTTCTCGCTACATCAACAACGACGAGAATGTCGTATAAGTGCGCTACTCATGAATGAAGGCGCTGCTAGCTTTGCCCCAGACGTCGCGAGATCTCTGAGGATAGCATATCCACGGCGCGATTTTCCACTCTGCATGACGGGCATGAACGATCTGCTGCAGCGATGCAAGGTACCCTTATGCGCTGGAGCGTCCCGCACTTTAGTCTTACTTCTCTCGCTCGCCTCAATCATGTTTTATCTTCAAAATAATTCGGATAGGCATGATTCGCATCGTCTCTTCTCGTCATCGATGAAACATACGAAAATGGTCTCTCTCGTCAATGCCTCTGAATGACCAGAAACAGCAAGAGGAAAAGCAATAGCGCATGCACAGACCAGGGGGGCACCCTGGACATCATTGACAGCTGTGGGGTCCATGCAAGACATTTGGATGCACGATTGGCCTAAACTTCCAGCTTGAATGGCCTCTGTTCACCAAGCGAAGACGAGCGAGAAAGTGAGACGAACTGTTCTTCTGCTCACGCGAGGCCGAGCGCCAACGAAGGCTTCAGCCGTCGCCCATCGCACTGCCTTCTGCATTCGCCTGAGGTTTGAGGCAAGTAGCATTGAAGAGCTTGGCATCGCGATACTATTATCGCCATTGAAGATGGCTGGAGATGGCGATCCAAGCTGAAGTTTGAGGGGAACTCTAAAAAGTCTGTGCGTAGCTGATCGCCACGGCTTCACCAGAATGCGCAAATATTTCCAATGCATAGATCTTTGCGGTGCGCATTTTCGCAACAATCTTGTACGATGGAAGGGTCATCTGTGCATCATTGGCAATAATGGCACAAAGAGCCGTACTCAACTCATAAGCAGAGCATGTGCGGGTTCCCTGGCTGTCGATTGCAATAGTCTTCGCAAATGGCGACAAAACTTGCTGTGGGGGAGCCGCAAGCCTGCCCGAAATCCGTTGGTGGCTTAAGATCTAAGCCTGTTCAAGCCTTCACGGTCAAAAGCCCGAAGCTGAATGAATAGCGAATGGTTCTGACTTTCTCCGTGCGCGCTGCCGTTTACCGTTTACCGGCTTCGCTTGAGTGTACCTTTCCCAGGAATGCAAGCTGGAACATAGAACAGTCCCCGACAGCTCTTGGTCTATGCTGTCGTCGACAGTGGATGCGCCGTGAATTTTCGACACATGGATAATGACGTTCTCGTTCCGTGGAGCAGACCCCGCGTATTCATGGCTTTAGCAGGGATGCCCTGGCTCAATCTGTCGACGCCAGGTTTCAACAATGCCCATCAGAACTTCAGACGTCGCCTTTGCCGTATCCAGACGAGGTCATCTGCCTGTCGCAGTAGAGAAGCGCTGCCCTTGTGATCTGAGCGGAAGTCAAGCCTTGATCGATGGCCAATGCCACTTAGAACTCGTGCTTGTCATGTCACGGTTTCTGGCAATTCGGCGCAACCCGGATCGCTGATCGAAATGATGCCTCACGTCGTACAGGCATTGCTCAGTTGGAATTCAACACCGCTGCGCTAGTACCCCGTGCCTGTGCTATTCTTGCTAGTCCTCTCGTGCTGACAGACGCAATCTTTGCAACTGCTTGAGCAAATATATGCAGCAATTCGTGGCGCTGATCAAGGTCATTGGGCATGCTGGGCAAGCTTGATGATCTTCGGGCTTGGATCGTGGCATTAAACGCACGGCGCTTGCTGCGGCCCGGCGCATATCTTAACCTCAGGCCACTGCAATGCTTTCTGCACGTCAAAAGCGCCTCCCGAAAAGGAGGCCAGGATTGGCTTACCAAAAAAAGAGAACACAGCCAATGTTAGCCATTGTACATTCTCGTAGCATATGTCTGCCTATGGTTGTCGTCGTCTTGACGTCAGGAATGATGAGAATGTGCTTCCGCAAATGCTGTGCTACGACGGCACAGATCTTGTGTAAGACCCAGTATTATGGCGCGAACCGATCCACGACTCTGGTCGTTCAACCTCGCCTAAGGGGTTCGGCAGGAGATTTGCAATATGAGTAACGCTGACAATGTTCCAAGTCCCTGACATCGGATCTGATGCTGTGCAACGTACGAGTCCCGAATGTCATTTTGACCAGACCCGATCAGCTGAGATTGTGATATGAAAGTACACCTGTCAGAAGCGGCACATATAGCCTGACTTCTTCAATCGAGGCAATCGTATGCCGCACGGTCTTCTACCAGTCCCGGGTGTCGATCATGGCAAGCCAGTTGACAACGGCCATCGCCTTGATCAAATTGCCTTTGAGGTCGAGGTGGACGCTGTCAAACTTGCTGCTCTGTATGCTCATGTTATAGGTGCCAAAGTGTTCGATCCTTCGTTTTGCCGACTCCTCCCGGACACTGTGCTCGAATACCTGCAGGGCTTTGTCACCCTGCGTGAGCATCCACTGGTCTGGCTTGCGAATGCCTGCAGCGTTTGGAGTGACCATCAGCCTAGACCATAGGGACTCTGAGAGGTAAGGAGCCCGGTCGAGAATGCTATGACCAATGCCATCAAGCCAGTTCAAGGTGGCCTGGAGGTCGAGATCGTTCCATAGACCGTGCCCAAAAATGAATGCATATGGCTTCGCCGGCTTCGTTGTGGAGATTAAAGCCCGAAATCGCTCGACTTCGATGGGATCGAGTGGAAAGCGAAGCATGAGCTCAATGACTAGGTCGACTGGCTGCTCGCAAGCAAGCGAGTGCGGATCGTGCTCGAGGACGGAGGAAGTAGAGTAGATGCCCTGTACACTGCAGGCTTTGACGTCCATCTGATGGTTGCAGAAGCATTTGTTCCTGGAGATGGTCAGCTCTCGGAAGTGCGCCAGTGGCTAGAAGGCGATTCTTACATCTCGTCTTCATTGAAATTCCAGTTCGTGACGGCCTCCTCAGGTCAGCATTGTATCCATTTGAAGGACGCCCTAGCTGGAGACTCACGCCATACCCCAGATCCTTCCGCAATAGCACATTGATAGCACCAACGACATGCCTCATCATGCTGTCACCCACGACAATCACCTTCTCAAATCTGCTGATGATTTCACAGACTTCCTCTGTCGTGTACCACCGCATGTCGCAGCCTCGAGGCATGTAAGGAGCGTCAAAGCCCGCCCGCCCGCCTCCAGAGACTGCTGTGAGAAATTCATCACGGCTCGAGCAGAGCGGGCTGAATGGTACATGTAGGTCTTGAGATGAGATCTGACATTCGGAGTGATTGCGATACTTGTAGTTGGCGAATGTGTCGACTATGTCAGGAAGGCGGTACTGCGTGCCTTCTTCGATGGAAAGTGACCGCTTAGTCGACAGGACCTGATTGCCGAATTCTTGAGTGCTGCAGAAAGAATCGCGCGAGGAGCCGCGCTGCGACCAGTCAGTCATGCTTGCTGGCTTCTATGGCGTGTGAGGACTTACTGTGAGTCTGGAAGACCACTCTCGTGCTACGAGACCAGATGTAAATGCCACCACGAATAACGTCAGGTGCACGACTGTCCTAGTAAAGAGCTTTCGTCTGAATCGTCCGTACGCCCTGATGACCGTCTGTTTCGCGCGGCCAAAGATGTGCATTGTGTTCAAGGGTGATGTTGGTCGTGGAGATGATTCATGTGCATGTAAAATCCAAGCAGCGCCCACCCAGACAAGAAAATCCACGATGGCTTATTCCTAAGTGACGCTCAAGTGAAATATTTCAAACCCGCCAACTCGACAGCGAACGATGCCAGATCTTGCGCCATACGCGGCAAAACACACTTATAGCATTCGTGGCCCAGATTCGACTGAGCCTACGAACAGTTCGTCGTGTGGTAACTATCAACATAGTGGTCAGCAAGGACTTCATGCTTGCACTCTCAGAAGTGGCAGCGTCTTCTGCCGTCGCAAGTCGATTTGATGTTCCTCCTCCTGCCACCTCAATACTTCATTCTCCGCCCGCTTGATGGTCGCTCCGCGCCCAAGTCCAGTCCCTAGAATGCCTTGATATTGTTCGGCCTCTTCCTTCCGCCGCCTTGACAATCGCGACATTTGTACTGTCATGTCCTGCCAATTCTTCAGTCCCGTTTCCAGGCATTCTTTACATCGCTCTCGGCCATTCTTTTTGCCTTGCTCATCCATGACCCAGAGCACAGCTTCGGCGGCCTCGACACTGTCGCGCGTCCAACTCAAGCCCTTGATTTTCTCCTTGTCGCCTGACGCGAACAAGATTTCGCCAATGTACGTCATGAGTCCAACTTCTTCGCAAGCTTCCTTCAGCGTGTGGAATGGGCGCTCATCTCCATCTGAAGATATTCTAGGATATGGCTTGTCGAGCAGATAGTTCTTGAGTATCTCAATCCAGGTCCATACCGGATGTTTCTCTGGGCCGATGGTCTTTTGTACCTTCGGCTCCTGAGGCGCAGCAGGCAGTGTCTTCCTTGCTCTGAGAATGCTCAAAAAGACTGCCAGAGCGTCCCTGGAGTTTCCGATTTGTGCTTGATGAACGCCCAGCGCGGTCGTGACTCGGAAGAGGTTGCTCGTCACAAATTCATCCTTTCCAGCATTAATCGCCCCTGTCTTATTGTTGACGACTTGCCCTGCCGACTCAGGGAGCGCTGCGGTACCGATATCAAGCGCCCAGTCGTACATATTTCGGGCAGTATCGTGAAGGCCTTTGAAATCGCACCATTCCGCGTAAGCCAGGGCAGCATCAATCTTCTGACTGCTGCTGAACCCGATAGTGGTCATGATCTTCATATAGTAGACCTCAGGCTGGGCGAATGCGTTTTCAACTTCGTCTTCGTTGGGCACGGACTTGCGCCTACCGTACCGATCTGGCCGCATAGGCTTCGGCCTAGGATTTGAAGGCCCTGGAATGCTTTCTCGTGGATAGAGCATGTCGTCGTTCCCACCCTTCTTTCGAACCATGTCTTCTAGATGTTCTGCTGCATTCGCCGCGCCCATCAAAGCCTGAAAATACCCTCTCCGCCAGGGAATTGACTTCATGCTCACATCAAACCCGGTCCGACCAACACCCGCAACCAGGGTTTCTCCCTTGAGTATATTTTGTCCATCTTGGCTTTCATTCTCAAGACGTTCCAAAAGGTCCTTGAACTCCTTTCCAGCATCGCCCCAGTCAATATAGACCCTCACGCCCTCTCCCTCGTAGCCGTTGGCAATCCAGTGTGCTTTCCGTAACTTCCACCTTGACCAAAAGCTCCAGTCGTGCGGAGTCGGGTATTCGTTCTCGATCTTGGTGTGACTAATGCCTACTTTGAGCCATTCAATTAAAAATACCGCGGTCCAAAAGCCTACACCAATCTTGAGAGCATTCTTTATGCGTTGTTTCCACCTGCCCTTTGCTTCTGTAGTGATATAGCGACTCGTGGGGGTGTAGCCTGTCTTCGGAATCGCCCTCGAGTACAGGAACGGCAGTTGTGGTCGATCAGGAGGTCTTGACAGGCGTAGCAGAGAGGACTTGTTCGCAAAAGGTCGGCGGCCAGAGAAGGCATTTGCGTATATGGAGGGCAAGGTAGCCTGTCGGGGTCGGAGGAAGCAAGTGGGCCGGCAGAGCGCCATCGTGTTGGTGCTCCTACATTGCGGCATACCAGACTGTGCGCTTCGAGTCTGGGCGACAAGCACGCTGTACAGAGTAGCAGCCAGTGCAGAATAAATGATCGCTGGCGTCACGCATGGATGTGAGAGCAGTTGCTTCGTGCCTCAGGCGACCGTACTCCTACTGCGGTCCACAACAGCCACATCGCAGACGCGCTCCGAGACTCGGACCATGTCTACCTGCCTGCCCTCGCTTCGCCTACTCGTAGGTAGGAACTACCTACCTGAACAATCTTGAGTGAGGTATGGTAGACGGCCCAGTTGCCTTCCCGATCATCTTGCAAATTCATGGTTACTTCCGAGATTTTAGCTGCCCTCATCCTCATGATGGGATGCGGCCAGAGGAGATCTTCACTATTCAATCCACAATGGCAGTCCTTTGACGCATTCTTTTCATTCCCCTTTTACTACAAATTTGGGCAGGTTTAACCACCAGCCGAACTGATTGACGAGCTGGAGCTCGTCAGAACCGAGCATGCAGTGAACGCTTGGCCATTCATAAATTCACTGGAGCCTTCTTCGTCGATCATTGATCGCACGCCGCGGGACGCGAATACGACACATTTTACGAGCTTTTGGACTTCCTTCCAGCAGTCCGTGGCGTCCGAGGAAATATTCTGGAGCTGTACATCAGGTCACTGACCATCGCAGCGTCATCGATTGAAAGTAGAAGCATATCACTCATCGAAGAGGCTTATCACTTCTTGCCGGAAGGATTCCTTTGGACATCAACCATCCGAATCGGGTGTCCTTTGAAGTCGAACTAACCCTCCGAGTGGTGCCTGGAGCGTTTTATGCCACTGCATATACTGAAGTCTTGGCCATCGAAGACCCTGCTTTAGGCATAACGCTGCGAATTAGCCTCTGCTAATCTGCGAGGGCTTGGGCTTCGTGTGGCTTGAGGCAGAACGTCGTTGCCTTAATCCACAACGACGTATCTGTGATCAATATTTGATGTCGCATTGCAGGCAGTATAATTGGCAGCTTCGTCCTTGAATATCAATGGCGAAACCACATTCATTGACATTTGTTTCGCGACAGCATATTTCCTTTCGACGTTGAGAGCCTTCCGACATCATGGCAAGCGATGTGCCCTTGACCACAGACATTCCAGAAAAGCACTCGGAGGATAAACCCGTCGAGGATGCCGAGAAGTCCAAAGATGAAGCAAAGAAGCCGCCATTGAAAAACTTCGCCCGTATTCTGTCCTATGGATCAAGGGTTGACCATCTCTTCATGATCGCAGCGCTGTGTACTGCGGTACGTGCCAGAGCACAGCATACTGCTCGCCTCCCAGCCCCTATATGTACATTCCACTGACCGGTATTGGTATACAGGCAGCATCCGGAGTCCTCCTTCCGTTGATGCAGATTGTGTTTGGTAATCTAGTGGGCGAGTTCAACAACTACTTTACTCCTGATCGTTCAACTTCGAAAGCAGACTTCGATGATACCATCGACCGCATGGCGTATGTCAACTTTGATATCCGACGCTCTTGCCCGTCCTTCGCTCAAAGGCATCTGACCAACGTGCAGGCTATATCTATTCCTTCTCTTCATTGGCAAATTTGTCTTCTGCTACATCGCGCTAGTAAGCGCTACCCAACGTTGTCAGTCTGAAGCTAATGAGACAGTTTTCCTTTCATACCGTCGGTCTACGCATATCGGCTGGAATTCGTCTCTCGTACATGAAAGCTCTTTTCGCCCAACCGATAGCAAAGCTTGATCTAGTGTCTGCTGGTACAGTGTCCAACACAATCACATCGTCAGCAAATGCTATACAAGTCAGCATCTCGGATCGGCTGGTCTACCTCTTTCAGGGTCTGGCTCTGATAATCGCCGCCTACGCGGTCGCTTTCAGCTACTCGTGGAGTCTGACCTTGGTCGCGAGCTCAGCGATTATCTTCATCCTCGTTGTGTACAGCGTGACCACGCCATATGCGCTCAAAGCACAGGCCGTTGTTGACAAGTCGGACGAGAAACATGCCACCATCGCAGGAGAGATATTCTCCTCCATTCGGACTGTGTTCTCCCTAGGTGCAGAAAAGTCTCTCTCGGACCGGTACATTACGGCTGTGAACGAGTCCGAGCGAGCGATGGCCAAAATGGCACCCTGGTACGGCATCCAGCTCGGTCCCGCATTCTTTGCGTTGTACAGCGCATTCGCACTATCATTCTGGGTCGGGCTGAAATTCTACGCCCAAGGCATCATTCCCAATGTGAACTCCGTGGTCATCACCTTCTTCTCCGTACTCATCATTGTGTCGATACTCGGAAGCATCGTTCAGCCAATAATGAACATCTTCAAAGCCATCAGTGCCTCGACATCATTCTTCGAGATCATCGATGCCGAGAAACCAGATGTTTCCGGCTTGTCGGCACCTGAAGTCTCGTCACACGAGGACATTGAGCTACGTGGGGTCGCATTTGCCTATCCGTCTCGGCCGAGTGTTCATGTCCTCAGAGGGCTCGATGTCAAGTTTGAGAAGGGAAAGACCACCGCCATCGTTGGCCCATCAGGCTCTGGCAAGAGCACAATTGTCGGACTTCTTCAACGATGGTATGGTCTTGATCACAACGTTCTTACGGAGAAGCCGACCACCCCTTCAGATGCTGGTGAAAAGCCGAGCGTCCAGAACTCAGGTTCAGTATTTTGCGGTCAGCACAACATTAATGCGTTTGACCTCAAATGGTGGAGATCTCAGGTTGGCCTTGTTCAGCAAGAACCATTTCTGTTCAACGACAGCATTGTTGCCAACGTCTCGTTCGGACTTCTCGGAACGCAATGGGAGAGCTGCTCTGCCGAAGAAAAGCTCGAACTTGTTAAGAGTGCTTGCAAGGAAGCCTTTGCAGATGAGTTTGTGGAGAGACTGCCCAAAGGATACGATACCATAGTAGGAGAATCGGGCATCAAGCTATCTGGCGGACAACGTCAGCGCCTTGCTATTGCCCGGAGCATCATTCGGCGTCCAGCGATACTGATCTTGGACGAGGCAACATCGGCCATCGATGTGCGCAGTGAAGCTATTGTTCAGAAAGCGCTTGACCAAGTCAGCAAGGATCGAACCACAATCGTGATTGCACACAGACTGGCAACGATCCAAAAGGCTGACCACATCATCGTCCTAAGACACGGCACAAAAGCCGAGGAGGGGACGCACGACGAGCTGCTCAGACTCGATGACGGAGTCTACAGTGGGCTCGTCCATGCACAACGCATACAAGAAGATGCCGTCGACAATGACCTGGACGAGAGTGTAATCGCCAAGCCAGAATTACTGCGCAGACAGACCACGGCTGGTCACAGCTTCGTGATGCCCGACGCACAGCTCGAGTCCTCATCATACAGGCCTATCGGCTTCCTTCAGACCATCGGCTCGACCATCGTTGGACAGAAGGTCAGATGGTATCTTCTCGTCCTTGTGGTTATTGGTGCTATGGGAGCAGGTGCCTCCTTCGCTCTACAGAGCTGGTATTTCGCAAAATTGATTGAGGTCTTCACTTTCACCGGCCAGAGACTTGCCGACCAAAGGGACTTCTGGAGCTTGATGTTCTTCATCCTGGCTATAGCCAATGCACTGTGTTATCAAGCATTGGGGCACTCTTCCGGCATTCTTCAAAGTCACGCCACGTCATCCGCGCGAAGGGACTACTTTACGAACATGATCCGACAACCGATACCCTTCTTTGATGGTGAGGAAAACTCCTCAGGCTCTGTCATGGCGAAGCTGAACACCAATCCGAAAACGCTCGGCGAGATCCTTGGACTCAACGGCTCCTTCCCATCCATTTCGATCTTCAACGTCGTTTCTTGTATCATCATAAGCTTCTACTTTGGCTGGAAGCTCACCGTCGTGGTACTTTTCTCCGCAATGCCGATTCTTCTCATATGTCAGTTCTTTAAGGTGCGAAACGAGTACTACTACGATCAGATGAGCGCCAAAGTCTTCGCAGGCAGCTCCTCGTTTGCCACGGAGGCCGTCGGAGCAATCCGAACTGTGTCTTCGCTGACCATGGAAGACACAATCATCGAGAAGTACTCCAAGCTGCTGTCGGATCAAGTCGCAAAGTCCGCTCGTCGGGCGACATGGGCGATGCTCATCAGTGCTTTCTGCGACAGCTGTGAGCTAGCTGCCGTGGCTCTAGCCTTTTGGTACGGCGGAAGACTTCTCGGCACGCGCGAATACAATCCCACACAATTTTTCGTCATCTACGTCGCCATCATCCAAGGCTCCCTCGCCGCCGGCCAGTTCTTCTCGGGTGCTCCTAGCATCGCACGAGCCACGCAAGCTGCTAACGAGATTCGCAAATTACGAACCCTCAACCGTGTCAACGAAGACGAAAATCAAGCCGACCAGAATCAGCTCAACAGCAACCTCGGCGCCACCATCGACATCTCGGATGTCGCCTTCACCTACCCAACGCGTGATATCCCCCTCTTCAAGAACCTCTCGGTCAGCATCCCAGCCGGCTCCTTCGCCGCCTTCGTTGGGCCCTCGGGCTGCGGCAAAACATCCGTCATCTCCCTCCTCGAACGCTTCTACGAGCCCCTCGCCGGCACCATCACCTTCAACACTATCCCCATCAACTCGATCCCAGTGAAAGCATATCGTAAGCATATCTCCCTCGTCGCCCAAGAACCCCGCTTGTTCAGCGGCAGTATCCGCGAGAACCTCGTTCTCAGCATGGATGACCCCACGACTGTGCCAGACGACCAAATCCACCAAGCCTGCCGCGATGCCGAAATCCACGACTTCATCATCTCCCTGCCAGAGGGCTACAACACGCAACTGGGCCAGTCCAGCAACACGGCTCTATCCGGCGGGCAGAAACAGCGACTATGTCTTGCGCGAGCGCTCCTGCGTCGACCCAAGCTCCTACTCCTCGACGAAGCAACATCCTCGCTTGACAGTCAGTCCGAAAAACTCGTACAGCAGGCAATCGAGCGACTGGTGGGCTCGGGCCGGGAGATGACGGTGATTGCGGTAGCACACCGGCTTGCAACGGTGCAGAAGGCGGATGTGATTTTTGTGTTTGGGGAGAGTGAGAAGGGGAATGGGGCGAGGATTGTGGAGCATGGGAGTCATGGAGAGTTGATGAGGAGGAAAGGGGCGTATTATCAGATGGTTATGGCGCAGGCGTTGGATCGGTGATCTTGGGGTGGAGGTGGGTGATGAGATGTCGTTGCAGCATCGACGGGGTGTCTTAGGGCTGTTGGCGGAGTGTCGACGGGAATTGTCCTGGGCGTCTCACCGGAGAAGCGACGGGATGTCGACTGGTTGTGAACGTGTTGTTTCCGGAGGAGCCGCCGGGCTATCGACGCGGATTGTCGACGCGCTGCCGCTGGAGTCTCGTCTAAGCATCCAATGGCATGGCACATAGGCGCTGGCGTTTTGATTTCGGGCAAAAAGCATTATTGTCATCTGGCATCTTTTCTCCTCTCTAGAAGATGTACCGAGAATCTCAGACTCCGTTCATGTACAGAGGCCTCTCTGTAGCTTATTCCAGTCCAGCACGGGCACCTCGTCCTCCCCCGGTAACGGCCTATACCCTAACGCCTCCTCCAACATCCCCACAGCAGCCATCAGCTCATTATCAAACCACTTCCTCGCCACGACCTGCAACCCAATCGGCGCGCCCTCAAACCCCCCCTCCTCCCACATCCGCCTCACATCCTTGTCCTCCTCACTCATCGCCTCCCAGTCTTCAGGATACTTGTCCTCTTCTGCCTTATCCTTGACTCTGATCGGCGTCGGAATCACCATCCCAGGGTAATCCACCAAATTCCACAAGCTCGTATAATTCCAGTATTTCGCCGTGTCATGCATACTCGCTGCACCAACAAACACAGGACAGAGGACAAAGTCCACATCCTGCGCGTTCCAGTGTGCGAGAAACTCCCGACGGAAACGATCGCGCTGCCAGCGCTGCTCGGCGATCTCGGTCGCGTTGAGTTCTTGCTGGGGCGCCTTGCGGAATGCCCAGGTTGTTAACGGTAGTTCGGGTTCGCCGGTAGCAGTGAATTCGGCGCGGAGGTGGGACGGGGTTTCGGGGAAGTAGAGTTTGCTGTGGAGGAGTTCCTGGCCGTGGGCGGCTTTGTAGGAGCTGAAGGGTTTCAGGGTGAATTGGGAGGCGAGGGGGGAGGACTTGATCGTGGAGGTGGCCCAGTTGAGGGTGCGGGTTACTGGTGGGTGGGGGGTGATGGCGCCGTCGTGCTTCATGATGCCGATTTTGAGGGGTTTTGAGAGCTCTGTGGCGAGGCCGGTCCACGGTGTGCGGATTATGGATGGGTCGTGGAGGTGTAGGTTGGCGGAGCGCATTACTCGCATGTAGAGATCTGCGTCGCGGAGGGTACGACACATGGGGCCGCCAGTGGCGAGGACGTTGAGCTCTGCGGCGAATCCTCCTGTGGTGAAGCCCTCGTTGCTCAGCATTAGACTTGTGGCTTGAAGCCATGTATGTTGCAGAAGCCAGCAGGTCCTCGAATGCTTCCGCCAATGTCCGAGCCAACGCCCATCACAGATCCGCGCAAAGCATTCAGGGCGGCTTCCCCGCCTGATGAGCCACCAGAAGATAGATTGATGTTGTAAGGATTGAGAGTGCGGCCCCAGAAGCTGTCTGTCTCTAGATGCATAATCGACTGCGGTTGATTGGTTTTGACGTAAAAGACGGCTCCGGCTTCCCGCAAGATCTTGGCTGTGAGGCTGTCGTGTTCGATCTTCTTCAGCGAGTACAATGAGCCCCAGTCGGAGTACCGCTCGGTGATGGCCATGTGTGCCTTGATTGAGATAGGTAGGCCATGCAGTGGACCTATTGGTTTGCCGTGTTCCTCGAGATGCTTGTCGAGGTACTGAGCCCGTTCCAGGGCTTCATCTTGGAAGAAGTCGGTCAGGCAGCTGGTGAGCTGATGAGCTATCGCGGCCCGTTTGCAGAATGCTGTGGCCACTTGGACTGAAGTGTACTTTCGACTGGCGATGGCTTTGAGCAAGCTAGTTGCGTCGTGGTCCTCAGTGATTTCAAGGTCTGTTGGAGTGAGGATGCCGCACGATCGGGGTATCTGCGTGACATCAAGTGGTGGCTTCTCAACCAGGCTCTTGTCGAGATGGTACTCTTCGGGGATGGCTTCGTTCAGCGCTTGCACAATCTCAGCTCGTTTCTTTTCGTAGTCGTCAGTCCCTTTGAGCATCGGCTTTCCCTTGATCTGTGGCAGCGCTTTTGGCGCCATGGCGGGTATGTGAACAATGCTCAAGTCTCAGGTCGACATATATTGGTGAATAGAATGGCAACCTTTCAGCATCAAATGTGGTGCAGACAGTGGCGGTCGTCTCACTTTTACCAGGCGAATATGTAACAATAGACACTCGTACGAGGCTTTCCTGCTGGCGAATGCAAAGGTGTACTTACTGATGCGCTGTGAGGTTGGGAGAACTCTGTGTACCTTACTTGAAAGTCTTATCGCTTCAACTTTGCAGCAGGAAGTACTACTGCCCGCTCCAAACGTGGGAAGGCACTATCGAGATCTGCCGAGACTAGGCACGACATCTTATCATGTCTGTTGAGTACAGGTCCCTGGATTACAGGCGTGATGACTCCGGAGTGCCGAGTATCTGTTACACATGAATCGCAAGTCTTCGGCGAAGTAAACGAGGCGCCTCGATGCGGCCATACTTGACGCTGGAGGGCTACCCGTGGGTGATTGCAATAGAGCCTCACGGGCAATTCAAATGAGAGAGACGGTACGAATTGACGTTCATTTCCGCAGTGCCTCTCTGGCATTTTCAAGCGTTTGGGGTTCCTGCAGGGTTGCAAGAAGGCAGCCGGGGGTTCAGGTTTTCTCCCATTCCCCATGGGTCCTCCTAGAACGCGCATCGTTGAAGATGCACTTCGGGCATTCAAACAGAATTCAGGCCGTGACTTGATACATGCAGACAACCTAATGATGCAAGATTCACGGTCTGGTAAGGACATAAACGTCTCTCGGCCAGCTGTCTATCGCCAACATTCAGAAGCACATTGAGGATGGCGCGATTGGCAGGATGTGGTCCTGACCGGTCAGCATATTGACGGCACGCTAGGAGAATGAGGTCGTGGTTTCGTTCTCGGTCTACCGCCTTTCTGTCGTAAGCTGCTACCGATGGACAACAGCAGCATCACTGAGCCCAGCTGGAGTACTACTCATTGAGCCATTTCACCTCGGACATACGTGGATCGGCTGAAGATGATGAGTGATGAGAGTTGAGAGATAAATAGGCGGTGTTATGTTATGTGGTAGGCGCGAGGTTGGCTTTATGTGGGGTTCTTTCCGGCCGGAGAATCTCGTGAACCGACTGCCTTTCACAGCGGTGACTCGCACTTCGACCGAACCCACTGCCCACCGCTTGTGCAAGATTTTTTGCATTATCTCAGCCCAGCTATTCTATTCTTGCGCCTAATAGTCACGCCCGAGACGAAGAGGCGACTTTGCAGCAGATCCAGACCCGCAACGGAACGTCATCTGCAAGACACTTCGATCCACCGCTAATTTTCATATACCCGACCCAGCGGTGCTAGTAGATTCTCTCAACTCTCAGCACCTTCACAAGACATCTCCTGCCTTCCTCGCCCTCGTCGACGGCGCTATCCCCTCCTAGCGCTCCTACACCTTCACCGTGGCTACCCAAGCCCTGCAAGACTGGGCCTCTCACACCTGGACAGCCATCCGCTCCAATCTGTCCTTGGAGCAGCCTCCAAAGCCGACGTCCTTCAACGATCTTCTCCTCGAGCTTTTCACCACCTATTCCACCGCTTCCTACACCACAGTCGCTGCTCTTCTATTATCGCTCATCTACCTGGTCTACCGCTATCTTATGGGCGACCGTGGCTTCCTCTATGGCCACGGCCAGGGTCGCGCCTCGCCTTACCATAGCGGCCTTGGTGACGTTCGAAACATGTCGAATTTGTCCAACCACTTTGAGTATTTAAGCCACGATGATTATGAGCCACGTTCCGCCACCAGAGCCTCCTTCTCCACTCCCGCCTATGACGAAGTCAACGACAATGATCCGAATGCCCCAGATCGCATTCACTGCCGATACATGCACAACAGCTTCTCCGTAGACTTCCCCGCGTACTCGGTCAATGAAGAGAAGACAACAGTCGAAGATCTCCGGCGAAAGATCGCAAGCAGGCTCAATCAGGCTGACTCACGGCTGAACGTCGACCCGAGACAGGTGCGACTCATATACAAAGGTGGAGATCTCAGAAGGAATTCGTACTCTCTCAAGCGATATGGGATGAAGCAGAACAGCGAAGTCTCTGTAATTGTGACCGAGCGTCCAAGAAATTACAATCACCACAACGACTCCAACTCAGACAGTGGTTCCGACCGGGACTCAAGGAACAGGGTTGATCCAAATCCCCAACGCCTGCAGCGGCCACGGGCTCACTCATCTGTTCGCTTCCGCAGTGATGAGAACATTCCTGTCATGGAGTCTCGGACTGCCGGCGGCTCCCATCTCAGCCCCAACGGCTACGTGCCCACCGCGACACACCGCAATTCTCTGCGTCCAGATCAGGCATATGCTGGAAGAGGACGTGACAACGATGACGGATACGGTAGAGGCCGCGAAAGAGAGCCGTCCAGGGATGCTACACGACGACAGCGCGAGCCCTCACCAGCTGCGCGCCGTCAGCCATCGCCGGCCCCTGCGACACGACGTGCGCACTCTCCTGCCCCTCCTCCACAAAGACGCGGCGCATCTCCGGCGCCTCCACAGCAGAGACAATCGCCTCCCGTTCCAAGCGCAGATCCGAACACACCACTAGGAAAAGTCCAAGCATTAGCGAGTGTCTTCCGGACACAGTTCCTACCGTCTGCGACCAAATTCCTGGTATCAGCGCCCTCTGATCCAGCGGCGCGCGAGAAGGAATACTTGAGACTGAGCGAGTCGATCATGGCCAAGGTCGTGCTGGCTGCAGACAACATCGAGACCGGCAGCGACGCTATGGCTCGAAGCGAACGAAAGGCTATGATTACGGAGGCCAACAATATACTGAGGGCGCTGGATGGCGTACGAAAGCCTTGACCGAGTGGGCTTTTGGTCTGATGAGTGGATGGTTGCATTGCTGGCGTGGCATGGAGGATTCGAGGCGAGGAAAGGACCATATGGTTGGTCCTCGATGGATAATCCTCGAAAGCTGCAAACGGCAGCCGGACCGAGTTGGTATGCGAATTCGTGTCGCTGGCTTGAATGTTTGATCGGGAGGACAGCAAGCGTTGTCGCTACGGCGTCGCCTGTGAGCGGCCAGACAGTAGTCGGAAAGGAGAATGAACCATCTCCAACGTCTCAACATGTGTCTTGTTCGCTGTTTGCTGCCCTTCACCGTTTCCCCAAGAACTTTAACCCCTTGCTAACCTTCCTCACGTCTCGATACGTCAGACTGATCCTCGTCTCCCTCCTCTTTCTCCCGCCGTCAACCTCATACGCCGCCTTATCACCCAACAAATCCCAATTCGCGATCTCCTCCGGCCCCAGATCTTCATCCACCTCTACTTCCGCAATCCCATGCAACGTCTCCGTGTACAGCTCGCCAGTCGTGACAAGCAGACTCCCCGGCTCCTGGAGGACGCGCCACTTTGGCCTCCTCGTTGCCACTTCGTTGCTCTGCAACCCCGAATCATCACCCTCTGCAGAATCATTCGTCGACACAGAAGTAGAAGGCGTCCTCTCGTAAATATCCAACACCGTATGTCCACCCAAACTCACAGTCGCAGTCACCGGCCAATACGCGGGTCCGTCTGTGTGCGGCATGATTCCCTGGCCTGGTTGGTATTCGTTCACCAGTACGTGGTTCGGCGCTTTGTGTGGCGAGTCGTGGAAGATGCCTAGTTCCGAGAAGCTCGTGAGGATTGGGTCCGTGAGGTAGGTTGGGAGAGGGGTGGTGGCGAGGAGGTTGTCGCGATTGGTGCCGGTGAGGGGCGAAGGGAGGGAGAGGAGGCGGCGGTGGGTTAGTTGGTGCCATTTGTGGGGCGGAAGGGAGGTGATGGTGTTGAAGATGTGAGTTGACTCGCTTGGGGATAGGAAGGAGGGGATGTAGTAGGCGGTTGGGGGAAGGGAAGGGATGATGTGGTCTTGTAGGATTCGCGGATCCATGATGCATAGTATCGTGGCTTGGAAATGGGTCGTGAATCGATTGGAAGACTAGAGTAGTAGGTCTTGCAAAGGAGGGATTTGAAGTATTGCCGTGTTAAGGCAACTGCACGCCTGGAGCAGCGAATCGGTTGAGGCGCCTAGAGCTGGTGGCGGGGCAGTGAGGTCTAAGCGGAATGTCGTTGCCTTCTCTTGGTTAACGCACCTTCTTACTTGAAAGTGTTATGGAGATTGACTCTTAGAAACTTCCATAGTGTCGGCAGCGCCGACATCGTAGTCTTGCTCTCCAGTCGATTGAGGCCTTGGCCACGAGTATGATGAAATACCGTCGGTCTTCGAGATCTTACGGCGCCACGCCTCGGGCGTGCCCTACGTCATGACCTTACAGGTTTGTCCAACTCATCTAGTGTCCTACCACCCGTGGACTTCTACGCGTTCTTGTAAACAATCTCCTTTATATCATCCTTTTAGATGCCTCTGGACGCGCTGTACCAGCAAGTCAAGCGCGACCGTCTTCTTCGTTACGAGCAAGCACTCGCTGATGGCACCTACCGACCTTATGTCTGGCCATGGGACACTCTCCCGGCTTTGTGGCTCTTCCTGGGCGTCCTAATCCTGCCAAGGCTTTCTCTTCGCATAGCCGGATTCTTGCGTCCGCTTCTGATACTCTTGATGGTCGGGCAGGGACTATGGACTTGCTATCGGTGTCGTGCGATTGATATGGCCGGCGGCTACGGCATTGGGCTTACGAATGATTGGTGTTTCATCATGGCTGGCGCCTTGCTTGTCTTCAACGATGTGAAGGAGGATGTCAAGCGGTTGGAAGATCGGCCATATGTGGAGGGCGAGAAAAGTACCTCGCAGAACGGATCGACTTCGTCAGCCGTGGATGAGAAGGATGCTAGACAAAGAACGGGTCAGCAGCAGCTTAACGGAGCTGAGAGAATCGCCAACAAGACTTCTGACCACACAACCTCACTTCAATGGCAGACATATCCAGACTCTCTCGGCCACTGCAGCGAATGGATCATCGACCTGCTTACTTGCTTTCGGGGCGTAAACTGGAGCTTTCGCGCGCCATTACTTGGACCTATCGAAGGGGTCCAACCTGCCTACCCAGACAGAAAGCAGTCCAAAGCATCACGATCGCTTCGAGTCGAGAAGGACATCTCTGTCGTCCGCGGCAAAGCACTCCGCGACATCGTGTTCTGGTACATCATGCTCGACCTGGCGAAGACTCTTGTCATCCACGACCCATACTACTTTGGCTTCGCGGAGCTCGATACTGCGCACCCACTTCAACTTCTTCGGGGACACAGACATCTCACAAAACTCGCACGCCTGTCAATATCCATGTTCAGCGTCGTCGTTGCACTATCTTCGATCGTGAGCTCCTCCCTGACACCCCTTTGCCCCATCCCAGCTGACACATGTGCTCACTCGACAGTTCACACTCTGCCCCCTGATCTTCCCCATACTGCGCAAAGTCCTCCCACCGTCAACCATCGCGACGCCTCTCAGCCATCCATCGATGTACCCACCCTTCTGGTCACAAACCCCATTCACCGACATAGCCAACTCCGGCCTCGCCGCATTCTGGTCCAAGGTCTGGCATCAAATGTTCACCTTCGGAATCTCCCAACCCTCCCTATACCTCACCCAACACATTCCCTACCTAGCCCGCAAAGGCCCACGCTCCCAGACCGCAAGAGCAGTCCAACTGCTCACCGCATTCCTCGCCACAGGCAGCATCCACGCCATGGCCGCATGGACATCCTTCCCAGCGAACCCGGCCAGACCGCCGCGACCAATCTGGGGCAGCGGGCTGTTCTTTGTGCTGCAGGCACTGGGAATCATGGCGCAAAGCACGTTCAGCAGGGCTGTGTCGAGCAAGCGGTGGCCCTTGTGGTCAAGGAAAGCCGGCAATGTACTATTCGTGCTGGTTTGGCTGTGGTTCACGGGACCGATCTTGTCAGATGACTTTGCAAAGTGTGGGGTGTGGCTATTTGAGCCGATACCGATATCGCTGTTCAGGGGTTTGCTGGGGGAGGGGTGGTGGTGTTGGGGCGGGAGGTGGGCTGGGCTGATTTACGGGGATGGAGTGCCTTGGTACAGGTGGGGCATTGCTGTTTACTGAATTGTGCCTCACGCAAAGGGACTGGGCCTTTCACAATCATGAGCATTCTTACAGATATCGAGAACTTGATCGATCGACAGACTGTGCTATTGCTGGCTTGTGCTGGGTGCATTGAAGTGCTTGTGGCTTCTCGACGGACTTAATCGACTCATGAAGTGGCTGGTCGTCTGCTGCGAACAACACTTTCGAGAATTCGGAACCAAGGCACGCGAAGCTTTGGAGAACGGCACAGCTCTTCCTATTCCACCAGCACGATACAGTCCCTGTCCGCTGAAGCTGCGAAAAGGCGTGGCGAGGCTTCAGGAGATTCGAGCGAGTTAGAGGAGCTGGGGTCTCCGGCCGTCCATCGAACCTAGCTTTCTTCGCGGTCGCAATGTACTCGTACTCATCCTCACCATATACTGCAGCTGGACGGCGACGATCGGGAGCAGGAGCAGCTTACACCTGCGCACCTGCCACGGCAGGCTGCATAATCTGGGCAGGCTCTCGAGCGATTCTGACCGGTAGCTGGGCAGCTTCTCGAGCATCTCTGGCCGGATCCTGAGCGGCCTCTCGAGCATCTCTGATAGAATCTTGGAGCGCCTCTCGAACATCTCTGATAAAATCCTCACCGTCACCAGCAGTCTCTTCAAGCTTACTTGAGCGTCCAACTGGCCTCTGACGAGACTTTTGAGAGAGAGTCACGACTGGCTCTGATGACCGTCAGACTGGACTCTGACAACCTTTGAGGGAAGGTCGACGTTACTAAGCCCATAACTTCACCACTACCTGACTTCATCCTGACGACGCCCTCACTCCTCACTTACCTCCCCATCATCTTGCCTCAGAAGATGCCTCTATAGATTAGATGTCTGAAATTTGGGCTAAAAACGAAAGAATTTCGAGAGTAAGCGCTCGAGGGGGGTTCACGCAGTAAGTCGTGAGCCGCCTAACATTATTGCTTTTTGTCTTGCTAACGATGAGAAACTACGGGGACGGCGGGTGGACAGTCGGTAGCCGCGAAGCGGCCACCAACTCACCACCAGACGGTGTGGCTCAGGGCAAACGCGAGCGCAGCGAGCGATCTCGTGGTCGCACCGCAGGCGCGTGGGCGGGTGGGGAGGCGGTGGCCCCGAAGCGCTCCCTAATAGAGAAGGGAGTGGAATGTAGTAGTCGTATTGGAGTGTAGGCCTCCAACATGGCGATAGCCTTGCATCAACGAAGCCTCTCCTACCCCCGTCTCCTCCTCCTCCTCGGACAGGTCCTCAAACCTCACCGGACCCTCCTTTCTCCCCTTCCTTCCTTTCCTCTTCCCTCGGCAGCTCCTCAAACGTAACCGGCCCCGCCCTCCTCTCCCTCCTAACCCTCAGCTCAAAAACATCAAACCGCTGATACCCGCCCACCAAGTCATGGAACTGCTTCGCCTCTAGCCCCTGATCCGGATCGATATCCGCAAACAACACCCCTTCCTCATCCCTTAGCATCTCCCTCTCCGTCCTCTTGCCCGTAGCCTCGTCGATCGTGAACGCAGGCACTGGCGTACCAGTGGGATCCAGGAACATCGATGCAGCGCGCGGTGAGTTTCGCAGGGCGTATTCGAATTGTGCGCGGGAGGGATCGGAGGCGGGGAGGATGGAAAGGAGGGTGTCTATGTTGGCTTCGGAGAGCGCGGCGGCGGACATTATGCCGTGGCATTTTGCTTCGAAGCAGTGCTTTTGAGGGGTCAGCTGAGTCAGTGCATATGCGAAAGGACTAGAGAGGGATAGTAGGACTTACTGCTGAAGCACGTATCCTGTTTGCCAGGACATTGTCGAAGTTCTTGCTTTTCGGGGGCGGCGATACTGATTGTGACCTCGAGACATGACCCGAAGCTGTAGAGGCCGCCCCGCCGCCGCCACCGCCTTCCATTGGCATCCGCGTAGGCCATATAGCCGGCCATGTACTGATATGCACATCCTGGCCCTGAGACATCATGGCATATCGCGCCAACGGGTTCGTGTTCTCGCCACAAATCAGCGTGCCGACCTTGAACCTGTGCCTTTGGCTTGCCCTCTCCTTCACATCCACCCGATCATCACCTGTCTCCCCATCGATCCGTTTCGCAGCGACATCCACAGTCCTCAACCCCTCCCCATCCCCTGCTCCCCAACTCAACGCCTCAAAGAACGTTGGGACCAGCTTCCTATGCAGTACCCTAACCTCGCCCCTCTCATCAATCAATAAGTTCCCGTTCCACATCGTCCTGGTCGCATCAGCACTTGCCTCCTACCGATCAGTCCCATTCCAGAGTAGGGTACTTACCCGCCCCCTGTACTCCACGGCGCCCGCTCACTAAACCCCAAACTCACCCCCACCCTATGTTTCCTCGCCGCCTCCCGGATAGCCCGAACCTCCACTCCATCAGCATACACGCTCGCTCGGGCGACGCCTCGAAGAAGAGATGCGTCGATGGGGAAGCGGGCGGGAGGAGAGGCGACCACAGGGGAAAGCCAGGGAGGAAGGACTCGGGGAAGGCGATCAGGGAGGTGTTGTGCGGGCGGCGTGGGCTATGGTTTTGGTTATGAGGGAGGTTGTGGCGGTGGGGTTGAGGAGGTATGGGGAGAGGTGCGCTGTTGCGAGGCGGATTGTTGGGCGGCGGGCGACGGCCATTGTCGTGGTGTTTGTAGATGGTGGACGGTGGTTGTTGCAGGTGTAAACGGATGATGTCGTGAGGCAGCGGATAGTTTTATCGTCGATTGTGCGTTGGTGTGGATGGGCAGGTGTCGTGTGTGCGTTTGCTGCTCGTGGATTGACTATCGCTTGTTCATCCTGGAGAGATATATGTATATATGTTCACCACGTATAGTGCTCCAGGCTTCCTAGTTCAGGGCTTATTCAGTTGAACGACATTTACGCTGTCGTCTCCTGGAATATATACGCAGCGCCTTCCGCGAGGTCTGTTACAACAATTCGAGTCACTAAGACCCGGTCAAGAGCGATGCATGATGCTAGGGTGCTTGCCGTTTTCGGCCTGGTGGTCAAGTACATCTGGGGTAGACCGCACGCTGATCTGTCATTCGGCTGTAGTGCGGTCTATGGGCAGCGCGCCGCGGTCCGACACGTTGGAAATGTGCACAAAGGAAAAGTGGAAGTCAGAACAACGTAGATTGGTACTCAGTATGGCTATCAATTTGAGTGCCATTTTCCTGAGACGGGTGCTTAGACATGCCAGAACATGGTCTCGTCTAGTGGTATTATAGTAGTACATCTTGACCTATTTACACAGATTTCATACAGCGCCAAAGAACTTCCAGGGCCAAGGAAAGATAGCGCTCCTCAGGGCCGTCCCAAATCTCGCCCGAGCTGCGCGATACGCTCAGCAATGAATTTATACGCATTCCTGAGCTGGTCGGGCTTAAGAAGCCGACGACCATGATGAGGATCGCTGATGAGGCGAAGCTCCTGTCGCTCCGGCAAGCCATGTCGTGGATCTATGGGAGTGGACTGCGACGATGCTGCCGGATTGGGCTCTCCAACGGAAGGAACGTCTTTTGCTAGGCTCGCATCGGATACCGCCGATGCTTTGGGCAGCGGCTCAAGCAGCGTCGGCTTGGTACGATTGTCGCGGTAGGGCTTGAACGTGGCACACTCAAGAACTACCTGTGGGCGAGCAGCTGACTTCGCAGCCTTCTTACCAACTCGCTCCAGTTCTGATTTAGACACTTCTTCCTGTATCGGTATTGACCGCAGTTGATATCGCACAGTGTCAGCGCTCGACAAGACATACTCGATGGGTGCGGGTTCGTCGGTATCCGTCTTGGCCAGGTCCTCGCGCAGCTCAGTCGGGATGCGAAAGGTGACAAAGGACGAAAAGTTCGGTAGTTCGTCCTTCCCATTTCTAGCCTTAGCGAGATATTCGTTCATCTGCTCCAGCAGCATGGGTGTGTTGCTGAACGAGGACTCGACGTAGATGTCTTTGTGCAGCTGCCTCACCATGCTCACGTCTATCGGGGCTTGAGTGACCGCGATGTTAAGTGATGTCTCTTTCAAGGTCGCGGCTACCCGCGAGATCGTGAGCGGTTGACGTAGACCCATGTGTGGATGTTTGCCCCGAAGATATACTTCGACAGTAGGAGCTCTTGCCACGAGAGAGACGGGCTTTAGTACCAGTCTGAGTCGAATGGGCTCGTTGCTAGTGTCTCCATCGTAATTCGGGGTAGCAGAACTCTTAGGACCCTGATACGGTGGCAAGCTTGCGAGTAGTTGAGCGAGCATAGGCACGTCGTTGATGAAACAAGAGCTGTTCCCTGGCCCAGTGGGCTCAAACAACGTCTTGCTAGCAGCGGGTAGCGAACGGACATGCTCAGGAGGCCCCTCCTTGGCGTTGGCATGCTCAATGTGGTGCAGATTCAAGCAAGATGTGCTGAAAATTCGGTACGGGTGTGCTCGGAGGCTCTACCTCTCCACGTCGCCCTCCCTGTGCCCAGTCGCCGCAAGAAATCACTCCATTCAGAATTCTCCACGGTTGTGTCAATGCCTACGCCGTGAAGTCGTCCCCACTCGTGAGGCTGCGTTGACCACGGTATGGAAGTATCTGGATAGCAAGGCACGAGCTGTAGGTCCTGTGAGTCCAGCGCAGCCACCACAGAAGCATCCGTGGCAGCCAAGACCGAGGCGGCAACAGATCGAAGATCTCGACGTACGCGGTCGGCAACGCCCACATTGGAAGACCAGGAGCGCAACAAGACGCCCGTAGCTTTTCCCGTACCTTTGCCTTTGCGACGTAATGAAACGCCAAGCTCGGCTCCGATAGACTTGAGCAAATGTTCCAGAGCATCTTCTTTGTCTTCCGCAAGGAGGACTCTACCGAAGCCCTTCAAATTGATGATCTCTGATCGGCACTGACGGGCCGAAATGAGCTTCTTCGCTTGAGCAACATTCTCACGAGTACCGGTGATCTTGACCTTGTCTTCGACGGCATCAGATGACTTGGACTTGTGTGATTGAGGTTTGGAGATGATTGTGTGTGTGGCAGCAGCTATGGCATCGAAGTCTCCGGCTGTGACGCTCCAAAGCAATCGATCCGAGGCCCTAAGGACGAGATTTTCTGAGTAGGCCTTCTCCAATCCCGCCGAATCTTCGTCCTGGTGCTGTTGAACTCGGCGATAGCCCCAAACACCTCTTCCGATGATGAAATCCGTCACTTTCGTCTTAGGCAGATGGGCCTGAACCCTCGAGCCCGACTCCCGTATGTACCTATGCAACTGAGCGGTGGAAAAGCCCAATCGGATCGAGTATCTCAAGGCACGCCATTCCGAGTCTGTGAGAGGGCGCTGATCGTTTCCGAACGTCGGCCGCAGACCGTCAATGTGCTCCTTCACCTGAGCCCACGGCGCGGGGGTCTTTGCTTCCTCGAGAACCTCTGCAAGAGACTGCTGTGGCGCATCGTCACCACCTATCGATCCCGGTATTCTTCGGTCTTTCTGCGATAGTACTATGATTTCTGAGGGCTTCCCAAGTGATTCGACTCCGATGCCAGCAGTCGGAACTGGTTTGAAAGACCGATCGGAACCTGCATTCAGTCGTACACGACGAATCTGGCCGACGGATTCCTGTTCATTGTCTACGTCGGCCTCTGTGACTTGGTGGGGCTCGTCGTATGTGTCATCGATCAGTGCAACTGCAGCACTGCTCTGATGTCGTCGAGGCGCAGATGTGTTCGATGCGATGGAAGAATTGGGCGAAAATGCTGCAGCTCGGCGCGCAAGATCCCGCCGACATCTCAGACAGCCGCTGGCGAGTCTATGGCCTCTGCTCAACATGAAATGGAAGGAAAGGTGGCAGAGGCCATGCGGTGTCGAAATGAGTACGACTTCAAAAGTTGCAAGGAATTAAGCAGGCCGTCCAATACTTCAGCCTCATCGTCTCGACAAGGCTGACCGGATGACACTTCTCGTCCGAATGGAGAAGCTTCCTGCCATTTTGGAACTTCTATCTGATTTTTGTGATTTCATCCATCGTGTTTTGTGATTTCATGTTTTGTGATTTCATGTTTTGTGATTTCATGTTTTGTGATTTCATGCGTCACAACGCGCTCTTCTCGTGGGCAGGTTGTGAGCGCATAAACTTAGGAAATTCAGATAGAACTCCCGACACTTCCCAAAAGAAAAGGCAGCCTTCCCGATGCAGCCACCGTCCTTGCTCTCACTGTCGCCCTCTGTCGCCCACGCAGTTGCGGCCTACTGCTACCGCACCTGCACCTGCCAGGATCTCAAGTCGTCACGCAGATCAAATTCCGTAATATCGTTCTCGGCCGTCTGCTTCTTATTTCGCATCTCCTTGTGACTCTGCTGGATCTGCTGATCCAGACTCGACCGCCCACTAATTGTACTCGACTGCGACAGATTCGTGCTTGTCGCTCCCGACCCACTTCCGTGCCTCCTGTGATGCCCATACGGCGCATGCCGTGCCATCTCTGGAGTCAGGTGCCGCGGCGTGACTGTCCTTCTAGAATCTGCATCGCTCGAACTGCTGCCCATGCTCTCGTCGCGATTATATGTGTGCATTGGGTGGTTCGAGCGGTTCGATTGATGGTTATTACGGTGGTGATGGTGGTGATGGTGTTCCTTGTGCCCGCCGTCTCCTCCAGCGAAGATATCTTCGATGAGCTTGTCAGGAGCCATCTCGCCGGCCTGGCAGGCCCATGTGGCGGCGAGCGTGCGCCGGTATAGGTCCTGCATCTCAGAAAGCTCTCTAGTCTTGCTGGTGATGCTGGGCATATCGTCGCCTTCGCCGGCTTCCGTGGATAGCACACCTGCGATGCCGCTCATGACCATGGCTGATTTCAGTGGGGGCGCAATGAAATTGGTGTCGCCTTCTGTCTGCTTCATCTTGATTCCGATCTTCAGGGTGGAGTTGATCTTGCTGTCCTGTAAGAGGTACCGCCTGACGATGGCGCCATCCTCGCTCTCATCCTGCGGGTCCCGCTGCTCTACGGCTAGTTCGTGTACTTGCGTATACTCGGCCAGGTTGAGCTTGACATTACCCAGTGTGACACGCCCTCCCCTGCCACCTTGGCTGTATTCCTGCACGATCTCGAAATGTATGTCACACTCTTGCAGCATCTGCGTCTTCTCTATCGTCATGCGTATTGCCAAGTCCTTCTGGAAGTCCCATACTGCTTTATGATCGTGAATGCTCGCTTTGTCGGTCCGTCCGCGATGCTCGGCGGCGCTCGAAGATGACAGATGCCATTTCACATATGCTGTGCCGGCGACCAGTGGGATATTGGTCAGGTCAATAATGCGCAGGGTACAGTCGAACTTCGGCTGTATTGCTTGTCAGCGGGACATCAGTCTATTATACGGTCGCTCCCAGCATCGTACCTTTCGTCCTTTGTTCACTGTAAAGTTCAGCGCTTGCTTTCGAAGCATGGAGGCATACATGAAGATGAATGCGCCATAGCACAGACGGAGGTCAAGACGATCAGGACTTACCGAAAGCCTGCATGGTTGTCAAGTGCAAAGAAGCCCTCGAAGGGCTTCTGATACACTTTTCCGACGCTCGAGCCGCCTCACGCTCACGGAATCATTTCACGTGGCATGTGCTGCGAATCTGACAGCACCGCGTAATCATTCTTAAGGTTCCAGATGAATATCTGATACCGTCGAGGATGGATGCTACGGAAGGATGGTGCAGGTGGGGAACATGGGGAGGGACTTATCTCGAAGGATTGCCTCATCGCCTAGGCCGGATATGTTTGGCGAGAGTTTCAGCCGGCTCTTATCCACGATTCTGCCGACCGCTTCCCTTGGGTCACTCACAATGTGTCTTGCGAAGCACGAGCAGGAGGGATCTTTTCTACGCGGCGGTCCCAATAATTCTGTATGCTTTAGCATTTTTGAACAATCTAGGTTACTCGACCTCCTTTGATGCACGCCGTCCACAGTCTATACTGGTACTAGTATTTTACAAACGTCTGTTGCCTCGAAAACACTTCAAAACTTATGCACCTCCTCCTTCTTATACCCAAGCTCGCCCAAAATACCACCGAGACTGCCCTGTGTCCAGCCAGCCATGCCCTTCGCGCCCGCAATACTCTCAATCATCGCCGGAGGACCCGATACCAGCACTTTCACATTGCGCTCAGACATCTTATTCGGCATCACCTTCGACAACATGGCTTTGTCGATGTAGCCCGTGTGGTAGAGTCCCTCGCCTTCACTACTGGTTTTGCTCACGGTGTAGATCCGCGAGAATCGGTCCGGAAACTTCTCGGCCAATTCATCGAATTCCTTCTTCAGGAGAATGTCCTCCTCGGTGTTGTTGGCGTACAGTAGCGCGACCTTGGTCTTGTCCTCCGGATTCCGAAAAATGGCTTGTGTCAGTTGGTAGATAGGGGTAATCCCTGAACCGCCAGCGACGAAAGTCATGTGTGAGAACTCGTTAGGCTTGTAGTCGAGTTCTGCTAAAGGCTTGAACTTCATGGTGTCGCCGGGTACCAGGGAATGCATTTTCGTTGAGCCCTTGCCGCCGGGATAGTGCTTCACCATGAATGATATTTGCCCTGGCGTATCTGCATCTGATCAGACTCGACACGAACACAAGCTCATGAGAAACTTACCATTCGGACTGATGGGCGTATATGGTCGCATCACGGGTATCCAACCACCTTCAGGAGTGTGCTGTGTCAACAAGGAGGCTGTAATTGGCGTCAGTCTGGACCTTCCAATTCTCGCTGGCACCGCAAGGGCCTTACTGATGGGGGCAATGCCAGAAATGGTCTCGTTATCCGGCAAAGCAAAGGTGAGCTTCTTCACATTGTGGTTGACCATTTCCACGCTCTCGACTTTCAACTCTGTGAACCCTTTCCATGGCATCTTCTTCAGAGCGGCCTTGGCATCAGAAGGTGCTGATTCGGCGTGTGCCTGTGTGCAGCCGAAGGCATTTGAGTTGTATGATCGTGTTGCTAGGTAGCCGCCAGTGACGGCGACCGACGCTACGGCAGCATAGCGGACCGCTGGACGTGTAAAAGCAGACATGATGAATGTTGTACAGAGCTCTCTCCTGATCAATCCGCCGTGTTGGGATGCTATGATTCAGCAAAGCTGCCGCTGCGTTTCTATGCAGTGTTGACCTGATTGAGACGAAGAAAGCAATGAGATCTATACAGGAGTAATGATAGGTGATAGGAAGGACTTATGCACATTTGACAAGGGCATTGTCGAAGTGTTGAAGATTCGATGGAAGCAAGGCGTAGCTCATGCCGGCCTCCGTTGTGGGTCCAAATTAGACGAACCAGGCCGGCTATTAAAAGCACGCTCGCGTCCGATTCGGTCTTGAATCTCTCCCACGCCCGATATTGACACACTCGAAAGCCTGAGACCGATTCCTTCGCAACGAAGGCCACGTAGGACTAATCGTAGCGGTGCGCCTTGTCGCGCAGCACGTCTTATACGAGAATCTTGCCCGCCATGACTCGCTGCTTGAACAGCTACGCCCCAATAAACGACAGGTTGAGGACAACAGATATCCAGGTGTGAGGTAAAGCACATTGGCGCATCACGAAGCAGAAAGTCGTGAGTCAAGTATACCATTGCCGAGATCATCAAAGGGCAATTGAAGCTGTCCGAAAATCGCTAGCTGGTCGGTTCGAGATGCAGCACATGCGGGAGATCTTTCACTTCCATGAAAGGCATTTCTCATACCCAGAGGAGGCCGTCAGACCATCACAACATCCCGCGCCCCATCACTCATCGAAGCAAACGGACTAAATCCCAGCTCACTCATACTCCAATCATGCAGCTCTGCCAACTCATCTCCCTCCTTTTCACCCACTGGCTTCGCGAACTCGAACAGAAACTGCAACATCCACCGATCCATCCGGAAGCTAGCCTCCTTACTCTTCTGACACGCCTTGTGGAACTCTCTGAACCTCGTGAAGCTCGCGTCCAGCGTCGGCCAGAACGTCTGTAGCTTTGACAGGATCTCGAAGTTCTTCTCTAGCCGCGATCGTGCAGCGCGGATCTGGACTTCATCGGCGCTGAAGAGCAGGGTGTGTAGCTGGACGGTCGAGGCGATGACGAGGATGTGGCCTACCATGGTGTAGTACACCTCGCAGCCGGGTTGCGCAAAGGCACGGTAGGTGATGTCGAGGAGGCCGGCGGCGTGGGACTTGCATTTGTCGGCGTAGAAGCGGGCGAAGGTGGTGTCGTCGTAGGCGTCTTCGTGGAGGAACTGGTAGTAGAGGAGTTGGCCGTAGTTGTAGTAGCTAGGTAAACGGCGACGAACATTGGGCCCAGGCCAAGGGACGTGTAGCGGGAGAGGTTGGCGTGTGTATCCTGGAGCTCGATGGGAAGATTGTTGTACCAGCCCTCAAGCCGCTGCGTCAAATCGTCCACTGTTTGGTTGTGGCCTGTTTGAAAGACAGGATAGGATGCTGCGAGCTGATTGAGGTTCTGAATCTCGACCAAAATTGCATTAAGCTTGACCATTTGAGTGAGCAGGGAAGCGGCAGATTCTTGCATCATGGTTGGACTTGGTAAGTCGAAGTCCTCGCGGCGAAGTTGTAGGAACACAGTCTCTTCCATCGGATAGGGGACATCGCTCCGCGGATGTATCGAACGTGGGATGCCAACACCTTTCGAGCTCCAAACGTCAATCATGTTGAGCGTCCACCAAGCTCGTCTGTTCACTTCTTGTTCTACCCGGGACGGCATGGCCATGTTCGGCAGATCCAGCAGCAAAGCATTGCGGCAGGCGATGCCGTAGCATACCGCCTCAGCTTGAGCATCACCTTCGGTAATGGCATAGGCCCCAATCAGCACGCTAGCCTGGATGGTGGTAAGAGAAACTTCTCGTAGGTTCAACAGGTGCTCTGCTTCTTGTGCGTACGGCCGGCCGCGTATTCGTGGGTCAATTTCTCTAAAGAATGGATCGGTTGAAAATCTGGCAGATAGACTGATGATTCCAAAGAGCAGTACATTTGGTAGAACACCATTGGCAACATCCTGCATCACACTGGGTCGATGAAAGATACTGTGGAAGGTGTCATGGATGTATCGAAAGTAGAGCTCCGTGAGCTCGATGCATAGCGCTCTCGATGGTATCGATACATTGACAGACTGACAGCGCTGGAGGTCATGATCGGAGTGGCTGGCCGTCTGGGATAGAGGCGACAACTCATTGTGTATCGACCACGAACCATTTGGCGCAGTCGCAGGGACTGTAAAAGAACATTGAACGCCGCGATTCTTGCAGTAGATGCAGGGTGAGCCGTCACCAACTGTCTCGCATTTGCGCTGGGCTTGATGTTAGCCTCGAGTCATGGAGCAGCATCTCTGTGCTTCTCAGTGGTCCCAAAATGCACTCACGCGGCGGTTCCTACATGCGACTATACACGTCAGTGATACTATGCTTGGTAGATTGAATGACGGTATTCTCACCACAAGCTGTAGGAGGTCTCATGCTGAACTATTCCTCCTGCTCCACAAATGGCGGGAAATGGCGGCTTTGCTGTAGCTCTGTTGGATGCGGCATTCGACATGCGAGGTCGAGGCATAGGATCTCAGGCGCCCTCTGACAGGCATCTCTGCGTCATGTTCGATTGTTTCAGGGGCCGTTGAGTATTCTCGCTCGTACAACGTGTTGACGAAGTGGAAGAGAAAGCTGTGAAAAGGCGGAGAAGGACCCGCATCCCCCATCCTCGGGACAGTGCCCGGGTAAACCTTCATTGCCACATCTGTATGTCTAGGCATCAAGACCTCAACGGGCTCTCATATACTGTCTGTGAAGATAGGACACTGTATGGCTGTGCAACACAGCCATACATCTCATGTTTACAGCTTACAGGTAGGCTTCGCCGGCGTGTCTTGAGGTTGACCTCTAAGACCTATGGGCAGCTAGTCTTGGCACATTTGCAGCGTACTATACCGCCTCTCCCGTCCGGAAATCTTCAGAAATCACGAAGTGCCGAGCCAGCAGCCAAGACAAGATTGCTAGCTTAAGCCAGAGCTCGAAAGATGCCTTCAAGGAGAGCGTCGAAGGTCTGTAAAAGTCGCATCCATGGCTTGACCAGGAACAGGGATGCCAGTCACATTATTCTTGACTCAATGAAGGATTGTCGTGTACTACAACGCAATCCCGACTTGAATGTCCTTGCTGCGAAATTGGTGGCTGCAAGAGGTGGACATAAGCTGACGGGGAAAGCGCTGGGTCCTGCGCATCCCGCGTTTGAAGCCGACGGGAAACGTAAGAGAGGTCCGCATATTCCAAGTTGAGTGGGTAGCTAATAGTCCAGTGCGTCTGATCGTTGTGTCGCTGCGGAGAATCCAACGGTGTTGTGTTTTCATACGCTTGTTTACATAGTCTTCCTGGGCTGATCGAAGGCATTGATCTTAGCTTCCCGCCACCAGCACGTAGCACTTATGAAAGCGCCTGGCCCAAGGACGATTGATCCGATTACCGTGCCGAACAGGACGTATGCGACTCCGGAAGGCTCGCATCCCACGTTGATGAGCTCAAGCCTCACTTGGAAGCACCACAAGATCATGGAAACGAAGGCAGCGGCCAGGTCCACCTTGAAGATAAAGAACAGTGCAGAGTTCCATGTCGGATCAGTTGGTTGACGCGGTGTGAAAATGAAGTCCAGCGTATAAGTTGGTTCGTTGGACGTGAAGCAAATATATAGAAGCGCCACATGTGGAATAAAGCCGGCCAGGAAGCTGAGGCCATACGTGATGTTGAGGTACAGTACGTCCGTGTCGGGTGGTCCGGCCTTGCCACTTGATGACGCTTTGGTAATCCATGCCATCGGCACCCAGATCAAGTTGATGAGCATGGGCGTGATCTGCCAGAATGCTAGATAGGCTTGCAGACTCCGGCTGTCCTGAAATTGGTATGCTAGTCCGAGCGACGGGATGACATAGGCCAGCAGTAGGGCGGCTGGCAGAATTGCCGCTTTCGTGACCGGTGTTTCTCTCGTGAAGGTCCAGTATGTAGATCGACCGGAAATCCAAGTATACAGAGCACACCAGACGGGTACGAAGACCGCTGCACCTACAGTCTGGAGTAGCGTGTAAAGGACAGTTGTGCTGCATTTAAGTAAGTGATTGTACATTGAAGCCAAGGTGACGACTTACAAGGTGATCAAGGCCCGTGCGTTCCTGACCCGGATCGATTCCACAGCCAGGACAGTCCAGATGGAAGTGAAGTTGAATAGGAAGTACACGAGCTGCAGTCGGGTGCCCTTCGATTGTGTTGATATGGGATAAAACACTGCGACAAAAAAAGTGAGTACCGCGTCGATCGCCTCAATGCCGGTGTAGTCTCTTCGGATCGCGACCTTGGACCCAGGGATGAACCATGGTCCGCCTTGTGACAGACGTCCGAACTCTTCTGTCAGGGACAACGCGGCAGGCGACAACCTCATGTAGTAACCTGCAACGAGCAAGATCACAGCGTAGCCTGTGTAGAACAAGCGTCGCGGGAGCGCTTTCAGTCCCGCGACCGGAGCTTTGTGCCGAGTCATTAGAAGAATCCCGGGTTGCGAGACCTTTTGTGATCAGGCGGTGACTCTAGGTGCCTCCGAACAACTTTACGTCCAGTGTGTTGAGGGCAAGCCATCAGGGGTAAAGATATGGACTTATAGCAACGTCGAAAGATAGTTTGCTGATCGGACAGCGCGTGAAGGCAACCCATGCTGCTGACATGGAGCCGAGATTTGTTCCTGGGCGGATCGGAAGTCCTCGTATGCATGACACAGTCACAAACGGTCGCGTGCACCTCGAGCTAGTATAGCGCATCGCTTTGCCACGACGACTAAGGCTGACCAGCAGTATTCTTCGGTGAACGAACGCGGTCTCATAGGAACGAGACGAACGAGGCGCATTCGAATGCGGGAGAAACACAAACTTGCCTGTGGTTCCAGCTAAGAGCCGCCCATGCTCTCCCCACGTGCCGCTAGCTACGCCTGGAACCCACAGTACTCGGTAGCCTTGGATAAAGGATCCGGCTTCGTCAGACCAAGTCAATTTGAATATCCATCTGTCTTCTGATCCGGCGCTGTCCTTCGTTGCACAGTATCTTCGCCTCGCGAGCGACAGTGCAGACAAATTTATCACAGTATGGCAGCACCGTTAGCCGCTGCCCCGCGAGAGGTACGTCATGACTTCGTCTGTGACTTTCGCACAGCTTGGTTTGACATTGAGAAATCGCCAGCTTGCAGACATTCTCGCTCTAGAACAGTCACTTATATTGCCTCGATTCACCGCAGATGATGCCTTCAGCATAGGCGTTCACCTTCGGGAACGTTTGAGAGAACTGTCGCAACAGCCTGCCGTGGTCTCGATAGCACTCGCCAACAGCAACAACCTTTTGTTTCACGCTGCATCTCGATCAGGTGTGCTGCCTGACAACGACCAATGGGTGGCACGCAAGCGTAAGACTGTGCTACGATGGGGCGTGAGCTCATGGTATATGGGCAACAAGTTGGGTGGTAAGGAAGATGTGTTCAGGGACAAATATATGCTTGGGGAGGCCGCGGGCGAGTATGCGAGTACGCAGCCCGTAGATCTGGGAAGACTAAGGTGCATGCTGACCTGTGCGCGCAGTCCATGGCGGAGCGGTCCCGGTGAGAGTCAAAGGGGTTGAAGGAGTCATTGCCGTCATTGTCGTGTCCGGACTGAAGCAAGACGAAGATCACATGGTGGTGATAGAAGCGTTGCAGCACTTCCTGCAGGCCCGGACGAACCACCCGTTGGAATAGTGGCTTGTAGGTTCAGATCGACGCTGGCGATGGTCGGGGCGCAACTGCCGACGAATATGCTTTTCGATACAGACTCCAGGGCTGAAGAGCCCGTAAGCTTTACTTGAAGTCTAACCAACTACCACTCTAGGAACCACAGGCTGGGGAGCGGAAATGAGTTATCGAGTCTCCTCGTCTGGGCTCTAGGCGACGCCTGGCTGCGCAACACCCAGTGAGTGATATGCTCACTAATACAGCGAAACAGATAGAGTATAAGAAGCGGATACGAAGAAAACGAAGAGAGCGGAATATAAGGTATCCTAATCGAAGCGCCCAGAGTAGAGGTTTCGGCTCAACGGCGGCCGCATATTTCAGGTAACCGTTCAGCCCTAAAAGGAGTAGGGCGCCACGCCGCATCTTGCTCAACTTCTCCAGTGGACAGGGGGCGGCATGATGCCTAGACTTCTGACACCCTGAGCCTGTTTGGCTTACTTCAGCGAATCTGTTCGATTCATTTGCTCTTTCGGTTTACTCCGTGCGCAGTCGCCTTCTATGCTACCTGGGGACGTCACTGGTATAAATTGCCTAGCTAGTACAGTAGGTAGGGCGTCCAAGCTCCCTAACTTTCATGGTCTATGTTGGGGGCGAACTTTCTGAAGAAAGCCAACAACACAGCATGATGTCCACGAGGTATAAGGAGTCAATACTTTTCAATGTTCGAAGGAGCGTCAAGTGGTGATCTTGGACTTACATCAGTCTGAAATGGTCTCTGTTTGTGCGCCGATACGCCCCTCAGACGCTGTGGCTGAGACCATTATCGTCCACGAGAAGACACGATGGCTCAATGGCCTGGTGAAGAAGGCGAAGCATCCAAAGGTCCGCAGCGGATGTCTGACCTGCAAGCAACGCAGGTTGAAATGCGACGAAGGCAAACCTTCATGTGCCCGATGCGGCAAATCCGGGCGTATATGTGCTGGATATGAGCAGCTCTTCGCCAGGTCGAGTACACAGCTCCGGATCAGCTACGCAGAACCAGACTCGTTCGCGAGCGAGGAGGACAAGTTGTTGCAGCACTTCTTGGTGGAAGCAACCCAGGAGTTGTCCGGATTCAGTCTTTCCCTGAAGCAGTTCTGCGGATCCCTGGTTCCCCAGATGGCATTTCACCCAGCAGTAAGGTTCGCCCTGTTGACAATAGCGGCCAAAACACAAGCAGCCGCGCTCAGATGGGACAAACGACGTCGACGTAGCGAAGCTCTTGAATGCAAATCATCAGCGCTTCTGTACTACAACCAGTCCATCAGCAATCTGACGCAGAAGGATCTTTCCGAGATACCGCCAGCTGTATATCTGGTCTGCGGTCTACTCTTCGGTGCCAGTGAGCTATGGCCACACATCGACATGCGCCCTACGATTCATGTGCTCACCGCCTTTCAAATTGTACTGCGATGTGCCGCCACTCTGTCAGAAGAGGTACAGAGGAGCATGTATCCCTTTTTAATTCACATGGGGCGGAAAACGCTCGCATACGCGGACGACATACCCCCGGACCTGGCCCCAGCGATTGCTCGATTCTGCTGGGTTCACATCGAGCCAGCGGCTGTTGCTGACACGTTTTCGTCCACAGAGCAAGCTTGGGCAACCATGGAGGATCTGCATAATTTCACGTGCACTTTGATTAGACCGGATGTTGCATTCGACAACGACGCTGATACCAACGCTCGTGATTATGCGAGGTCGGTCGAACAAAGCCTGCTGAACACACTCCAGACTGTCGGCGAAGAGGAGGCCATACAGTACCGTGCAATGCTGATGCACCACAGGACTTCTCGAACCATGCTGGATGCCAGGCTAGGCTCTGATGAAGGCATATACGACATATTTGTACCAGACTTTGAATACATTCTCTTTGAGTGTGAAAGCCTGATGCGAGCAGGAACGCACCCACCAACGCCGGGCAAAGGACCCTGGCGATGCGAACTGGGCACCTTGGCGCCACTATTCTTTGTTGCCACGCGCTGCCGTGTAGCTAGCCTGCGACACAGGGCTATAAAAGCATTGCACACGTCAAAGCATAGGGAGAAGGAGTGGAACAGCTGCATCGCCTTCATGCTTGCACGGCTTGTCGTTCAGACAGAAGAGAAGCATCGACAGCCGAGTCTCGGCGGGAACATCCCCGTCGAGCACAGGATTCAATTGGACTCGGTCACATTCAACAGAAGCGAGGAGCAAATCGTGGCGACATATCTCAATCCCACCACGAATGAGTATGGTACGAAGACATTGTCATGGAAAGCACGAGACGCCATTGATGACGACTTTGAGTGCGTCTCACTATCTAGACAACGGCTACAGGCATCTGGCTACAGCGGTATACTGCTTTGCCGGCCGTCCATTCAATGCCAGTGCGGAGGTGAGCCAGGCAACGAGCGATAATGATGTGCATACGATGTATAAATTTAATGATTACAAGGAAACCATGAAATGTCGACGCATCTGGCTCAGTTGCCTTTTGAGCATTGCTCCTAACGACACCTACTCACGTAGTTTCATGTCCACACCCTTTATGACAATTCACGGGTCGAAGCGCTGGAGGCCACCGGCTTCCCTAAGGACTGCCGGCAGAGCCCTTCGACAGTGATTACCTCTGCTAGGCATATGCAGCCAGGAAAGTCCCACGCAGTGATAGAGCACAGGAAACAATCTATGGACGTCGTGGTTCACCACTTGTTGCGGTCGAACCTTCCACCGACATGACGAAATGACGAAAGCATGGGCAGAAGTCTCATTAAACTCGTCCCAGTTCACGTACCTGAGCACACGGTTCCAATCACACGCCACTCACCCTGTGCCCGATCGAGCTCCAGATCGCGCTTGCCTTCTTCGAGTGCGTAATTGTTGCCCGATAAGGCGACATTGCCCTCACTACTGCTGAACGGAGACTCTCGCTAGCTGAAGGAGATCTTCCTTGCATGAACCATCAGACATTCACTACTGAAGGTTTCTAAAGTAAGCTCTGTAGGGCCAAGGTGAATCTTCTGTTGAGTTTCGACTCCTGTAATCATATAACTCCTTTTAGTCACTCTGTCAGGCTTCTCATACAGCGAACGCATATGGCCCATGCGCCAATCATACAACTAAAGCCAACGATAGTCATCTACTCGGCGCGCGGTCCGCAGACGGAAGAGGCGCAGTCTTGCAGTCTGGCTCACGACTGCAGCGGATGCGTCCATAGCTCTCTGCGCTGTCGCTCTGCAGATGGAGGTCTTGGTTGATGTCTGACTGCCCAGACCCAGGCGCTACTAAGTACCTAAGCGGTAGGTGGGCTTAACCAGCAACCACAACACTGCCTCGAAGATCTTCTCAAAGTCCATGTTGTCCTTCTACACGAACTACAATTCAATGCCGCGCGCACCGTAGGATCAAAATGCTTCTACGAAATGCATCGAAGTCGTCCCGCAGCCAATCAAACAGCGCCGTTTAGCACCCAAGAACCTTGGCCACCATAGGGGTTGCCTTAATCGGGCAAGCTGTGGCGACGGAGGCCAACTTGCCGAATCTTTGCCTCAGGCACAGCAAGTCATCAGCTCACCCCAAACCCCCAAAGACAGTAGCTGTTCGAGCATGACTGGTCCGTGACAGAGACATGTGGCGATCTTACAGCATGGGAGAATTAGTAAGCAGGAGAGATGCTGGGCAAACGTTCCGTAGCGAGGCGGGATTCATGCATGCAGAGTGATCTGCGCGCCTGATGTCTTGGGCGCGACATGACTTAGGTCATCAGAGCCATGCAAAAGGACTGATGACCAATGTTTGACCAAGACACGGCATATTACAGGCGAGGTTTCCAGGAGCGGAAAGTAGGCACGTATATGGCGGAAGATGCGTGTATGGCAGTTGCATTGCCCAATGAAACTGGGCGTGTTGCTGTTTTGCTGGAATTGGCATGCAATGTTCATTAAGTATTCCTGAGCGCTAGAGCGTTACTCACGGCTTAGCAGTTGCCTTCGGATCCGACCTCCATGGAGATCTTTAACAAGGCATTGACGACGTTCCCACGCGGCGCCAATGGTACTTCAGCAGCGAAGTTGCTCGTGGGACCGATTAGCAAGTGGTCCGACCTTTGGGGAAACCATTCTAAACACATCTGTTGCACTCGGCCGGGTCCAAAAGGTGTCGACTCTCATCTCGACAATGTTCAGCATCGCTGTGTCTTTCGCCTTCATCTCCTGCGATCTTCACCATAGCTCATTTCCCAGCCTCTGCTGCAACCGCTCCTGTTGCGCTCCCGATCGACTCAACGTGCCAACAGTACACACCGTTGTCGCCGGACATCCAACCCAATTCATGCTCTCGAACGAGCTACACGATGTGCTAGGCCGTCGGGCTTCGGCGCGTCCTCTGGCGATTGTTTGAGCAGCACCGCCTCGACCGCTCGACGACGGGGTTTCATGGACCTTAGTTGCGAATTCACCGAAACGAGTTTCGTATTTATCGCGGTCGCTGCGAGACCCACCCTTCGCCTCGGTGGCTTGCTGAAGGTCATGGATGAGATGTGATTGGCATAGTCCACGACGCAGAAGCTCTGTGCCTTCAGTAAAACACCAACCCGATTGGTGTTCTCATGTGAACCTGTCGATTTGACTCAAGTGTGAACTCTGGGATGAAAATCCACGTTCACGGTTCGATCTGTGCCGTCGAAACGGATGGAAGCAGCATCCATCCGCAGGCCAAATGTAGGTTCACGATGGACCAGACCCTAACAGACGGAGAGGGAAGCCATGACGCTGGCCAATGGTCGAACTGTGGCCTCGGCACCAGGCACTCGAGCATGCGCAACTCTCACGCGTGCGCTGTCGTCTTCATCATTATTATTATTGTTATTCGAGGTTTTTCCGATGCTCAAGTCGTCCACTGAGGCTGCAGGGTGTGATCCATAAAGGCTTGCGAATAGGCACTGTTGTCGTTCCAGCCAACCATAGCAGTGCCCGGGAGCCATGCTTCAGCCATACTCATTGCGGGCACGGAGTTCACGTCGTGGCTGCCACTTCCGAGGCCATTAGCGACTTTGTCGCTGTTCGTCCGACTTATCTGCTGGATCTGCTGCGCCTGCTGTTGCAAGGATGCGTGCATCTGGCGTATGCTCCTTCCCGTATCACTGTGCCCCGCGAGCTGCATTTGGAATGCGTTCGATGTCGACGTAGGACTGGTCCAGGCGGATGGAATATCGCATCTCAGATCAGGGAAAGGTCTGAAGAATTCCGGCCGCATCGTCCATTTCGAAATATCATGGATGGCGGTGCGGAAATTGGGAGAGAACTCATATGCGCCGGTCTCCCAGTTCTGCATGAAACAATCTCGGAAGTCGTAAGGCCAGAGAATCTGAAGGCAAGTTTGGAACATCTGTGCAAAGAGATTGCCACAGTACTTATGCTGCTCGTGAACAAAACGCTCACGCACACCAGGCCACACAAAGTAGTTGATCGCATACGCATGTGGTTTGGATTGGGAGGGTCGCTGCAGATACCAGGGCGGCAGCTTAGCTCTTCGTTCGGCGGTCGGGTCGCGGTGATATTGCAGCATGGTGTGCAGCATGTACATTGTCGCAAGACGCTCTTTTGGTTCTGTCTTCGTGAACATGTGTTCGTCTATGCGGCGCATGATCTTCCATGACGCTGGTAGCTCAATCTGCGAAGCCACCTCATCCCACGAGCCAAGCACTACGCGGACAGGAATGTCCTCATCGAGCGCATCCTCTTCGGGCATGATGGGACTGATGCGTCGATAGTTCTCCATCAAAGTGACGTTGGCGTATCTCCAGAAGCTGCCTCTCGAACTAGATGTGCTTGTTGGATCGCGGCAAGAATCGCAGGCATCGTTCTGTATCTTTACGGGCAGGTCAACGCTAGGCTTAGCGGCAGGTGTTTCGGATTTTGCAGAAATTGAAAGCTGGCGGGACGCTTGTTGGCTGGAGCGTTGCCCGTCTGAAGCCATGACTTCAGCTTCTGGTAGCACGGGCGAAGTTGGCGAACCGGTGTCAGTGAGACTGCTATTTCTTACCAGACTGGCTGGACCAAAGTCAATAGCATTCATGTCGACTTCGGAAACGTCATTCTTGCCGTACTTGTCGGTCGCACCTTCCAAGCCGTAGACAGCCTTCTGCACGCCTTTCAATGTATGTGCCAGAACGTCTCGCTCCTTCTCTACCTCGGACAACCGCTTCAACAAAGATGCGCTTCTCTCGTCGCCATCAGGTTGTTGCAAGTTCTCGACTAGGCTCTCCAGATAGGCTATTCGGGACCGCGTGCGCTCTCTGGCCTGTCGTTGACATTTTCGATCGATCTCGCGCTTCTTCAGCCGCCGTGCAGAGACCTCGTTGTTTGTCGAACTCAATATGTCGTGGCCTGGCGAAGAGCCCTCTTGTTTCGGCTGCTGAGAAGGCATCCTCGTTGTAGTGAAGTATCCCAAACGACTAGATCCCGAACCTCGATATTCGGTAGTCTAAGGACATCCTGCTGCTTTGAAGGCAGCCGGACACAACTTCTCACGCAGTTGGGTGTGTTGGCGAGTCTGTGAGTGAGGTAGAATCGGAAGGTACATCGGTCAGTGGTACGTCAACAGCTCGACTGAGCCAAACAGCCGGCGGTTGGCTGATACGTAACTTTGAGGAGGCCCGTGCTAGGGATCTCCATCCTACTAGCTTTGCCTCGCGGTTACATCCCCTTCTCTCGAGATCACTAGCAACAGAGAGGATTTTCAGTCCGTGGACCCGAAGCGTAAGCAGTCAAGGCTCCTTTGCTCCATCCACAGTAGATCGCCACAACGGAAGAAGTCTAGAACCTCCAGCCCTGTTTGTAAGGCAAGATGGTCATTTAGTATCCACCTCTATTGGCTAACAAATCTGTTCAGTGGCGATAGTCAATCTCGGGTCTTCACAATTTCATAATGCCCCCAGTTCAGAGGCGTACAGCCGAGAGATTGCCGGGGCCACTTGGAGAAAAGGCTGCTGATCATCTCTGAAGACACCCGCCTGCCGACGAACCATGAATGAAGGGCAGCGAATTGTGTGGTAGTTCTCAATTCTTGGCGAGAACGCAGTGCCCTGGAACGGGGATGCCTCCCCGCCCTTGTCACCGAAATGGGCTCAGATGTACGCCACATGAAGCGGTGGATGAAACGATTGCTCGCATAACCCAACGACGCGAGCTGTACAGGGCAGGTACACTGCAGCGGCACCATGTGTGGTTCGTGTTTTCCAAGCATGGTCTCATGCTCGGCACACCCTCACGCGGCCGTTTACGCAGGCACATTTTTTCTTACCCTGCAGACGATTTGTCAAATGGTGAGAGAATGTGATGTTTCCGACCACCCGGTTCGGGGTCCAGGATTTCTGGACCATACTGTACATTGCGTGAGGTGGGCGATGATACCCAGGTATCGTTCTCTACACGCTTGCATGTGCAGACTCGCAGGGCAGAGTTTGTGGTACCATCTTCAGATACCGGCGGAAGCGGTGCCGTATCAGCACTCCCAAGAATGCGCGCATTTTCGGGTCGATTCTGATTGCTCTAAATTGGTAGCCTTGTGAATAGCCTTGCCGCGACTTGCCAGCTGAAGCCAAAGCTAATTCTCCAGGGCTTCCTCCAAGACCACCTCGAGCTCCGTCCGGGCAAACTCACCAAATGTGGCGCGTGGATCAGAAGTCAGGTCATCTCAACGGTTGCCGGGCCTGCTACGACTCGGCAAATGACACGTCGCCGAGAAAGACGTTGAACGCACGTCTGCATGAATTACAGCATCTGCAATAACGTACTTCGCAGCTAGTGTGTGATACATCCGGCTGTGACACCGACGCACCATCGTCTTTCTCCTCGGAGGATGACGCCTTCGAGGAAACTCGTTTGGATCCCAGACAAGACTACAAGCAATAATCAGCCTCATGGAGTTGTGGAACCTCGAAACACTCCAGTCTTTGCCTCTAGCAGGCTAACTTTCCAAATTGTCCACGTGCTGGGGCCGTACCTAGGTAGAAGAGGTAGGTCGATCGATCTCTACCAGCATTAATCTGTAGATTGATGCATGTCATCTAACCATACTGACAAAGGCCTGCCACATATGTCATCCTGGAGCTGCGTTCTATGCACTGTTTACAAAATGATGCAATGCAATCCGAGTTTGAAGAAAGATTGATGCCCAGCAATAATGCAGCCACACCTGTTCTTGACATCGCCAAATACCGATTCCTGGCAAGTTTTGACGCGTCGGAATTCCGGTGAGGCTTGAACATGTCCTGTTCTGCATCCCAACTCCGATCATTGCAGTCAGTGCAACCATAATGTCTGAGGTTCCAGGTACACCTACAGGTCATGAGCGGCTGACACAATCATTCATTATGCATCACCTGGACGTTGTGTGTGCCTCAACGACTTACGAGTATTGATCGCAAGGCTCAAACCATGCTATAGGTTTGGCGGGAAGTTCCACTGTCGATCTACGGCTATTGACATAAGATGTGTTCTCAGCGAATGAACAAGGGGCGGACTGACTACAGGCCTGAGCACCTATGTACCTAGGTGCAGGCGTGCTTCATCAATTATCCAAAGCTTTGGATGCGGCTTTGATCATACTCTCAATCCAAGACAAAGGTCAATGCGAACCTCGCCGTTTCATACCTCGGATCACCGGCTACCATAGTCCTATGCCAGATCGGCACTGCCGGTACGAAGTGCCGTGTGTGCAAAGCCAAAGTCAATGTGTCCGTCTCGCCGACTACGGACAGCCACGGTGCACCAAAGATCGCGATAATTTTGGCGAAGCATTAACTTCATTGGATGTTCGTGCGCTTCAATGCTGTGGTCGTCGGCCGACAGGTACCTAGGTACAAGTTCAATCTGCGCCATCAGTGATTAGTAAACGTAAGCCAGACGAAGAACCTTCCGGTGTAACTGTGCTCGAGACGACGCAGGCATGTTCAAAGGTAAGGTATATCTGACTTCTCGCCACACTCGAGAGCATAGGCTACAGCGCGGAACAGTCACATGATCATGGCTGAAGTAGGGCTTGAGGTAATGACTTTTTAACCTGTCTGCACTCAACTTCACTCCGGCAGACCCATGATCCCGCTGCTCGCAATCAACAGGGATGTCTTGGAGCTCAATCGCAGCCAACAGTGTACCCTCAAGCCTCGACACTACTGCAAGAGCGAGGTTGAACCTGCCAGGAACAGTGAGCACTGCATAAGGGCACAGGGTGTCTATGTCGTCTTCGCTGTCGGCCATAGCTTTTCGAACTGGGCCCGATGCCTAGCAATCTGACTGACAAGTAAGGAATCAGGAGACTCGATGGAGCCGCAGTTGCAACGCCATGCCAGCTCCTTGGTCACGAAGGTGAGCCCATTCTTGAATCACCAATTGCTATTCGACCAAGAAATATCAACACAACTGTCTCCCTAAGCATACCCCAAAGTCCAAAACCTCTTCAAATTGAACTCACTATCCTCATCCACATAACCATACACCTCTCTCACCGTAGCCTTGTCCCCATGCACCTCCACAATCTGCGCCGTACGCTTCACATCCTCCACCAGCCCGTCCACCGCCATGACCAGCGTGCTCATCGGGGTCATCTTCATGCCCTGGAACAGATCCTTTGATGGTGCGATGTTGGTTTCTAGCACCGCGGGCGCTAATGCGTTGATCTGGATGTGGTGCGGGAGTAGTGCGGGCCCTAGGGAGCGAGTGAGGTTCACCAGAGCGGCTTTGCATGCAGCGTAGAGTGGCGCGACTGGGAAGGCGTAGATGCCGGCGTTGGAGGCGGTAAGGACGATGCTGCCGCGTGAGCCTGTGGTGGGAGAGGGTGTGTTGAGAAGGAGATAATGGATGGCGAGTTTCGTGGTGTACAGAGCGCCGGTCATGTTGACGTCCATGGTGCGTAGCTTTGGTTTCGTGGGCTCGAATGGTTCTGAAATGGTTGGAATGGTGGTGGGAATGAGTGACTCTTCGCGTGAGATTCCGGCGTTGCCCATCACAACGTCGATGTGCCCACAGGTGGTATAAAGGCCTTTGAAGGCTGATGAGACGGAATCCCAGTCTGAGACGTCACATTGGTAGTACGAGAAGTTGGCTTTTGTGTGGGTTGTGGTGAGTTCGTCGAGCAGGCCGGCGGGTGCCTCAGCGTGGATGTCAAAGACAGCAACGTGGTCACCTTTGCTACCAAAGTAGTTCACCATGCCCAGGCCAATGCCTGAAGCGCCACCTGTGACTATCACCACCCGCCGGCTCTCCTTTGTGCTCATGATCATGTTGGTGTACGAATGCTTCCAATTTGGAGTTACTGCTGTTCGCTAGAGCTGCACCTTTACAGCTTCACTATTGATCCAGTCAAAGCTTTTGAGAAAGTCAACACTCCGAGGTCTTCCTCTTTGATTCATTGTCCGCTTGCTCCTGCCCCACGTGGGGCTTATCCTTCTCCAGAATACTTAACGACAGAAACCTGGAGGCGCTGGAATTCTCCCACCTGACCACTGCCCAGACAAGAACGCCCGCACGCCACTTTGCTACCCCTGTCATTCGGGCCATGATGCCGGAAGGTTGATGGTGGGCGAATTCCCGTCGCGAAGCCACAATGCACAGGACCGACGATGAGCCTGATGCCGATGATACGAGCACGTCACGAAATTTAGTGCTAGCGAGACGCTGCCAAAATCGCACGTAGCAAGGGGACAGGCACTCACGGCCCTCCTAGCAAGCTGTGGGCCTGCTGGAATCGACTTTGTCTCGCCGCTGCGCGAATCACAGGAGGGGATGGTCGGCATCAGTCTATAAGAATATTGTCTCCTCTCTCGAAGGGTGAATGTACACTCTGTTCCGACATCAAGATCAGTCGTCATCTCATGTCAAACCTGTCCTTATGTTGGCATACAGTGATCTCGCCCAAAATCGGCCATCCATAGAAGTGTGATCATCTACGAGATACGGCCTGTCCATCATAGTCTCCAGGCTCTCTCTGGTCAGACCGATCTCATTCAACCATAGCTTCACATCTTCACTTGACTCCGACGTCGTTGTGAGAACACCCTCAGGCCCAGGCACCAGTACCGGAACGACTCCTCGGATCTTGATCATCATGTCTGTCAGCTCGGCAAGAGCTTCGCCACCGGCAAGCAACTCCTGAGTATCATCCTCACTGCACACCAGCGGCATCTCTCCGACGCTCCTACACCACCAGACCAGACGTTCTGCAACGCTCAGCATGAGCAACGTCACCAGGTAGGTCTCAAAGACGAATTTCTTAGCCGAGTAAATGCGCAATTCTAGCTTTCTCAGCAGCTCTTTACTCCTTGATGTGACAACGTTCGCCAGGATTCGAGTGACCTGAGCTCGTAGAGACGATGTCAACGCCAGAGAAAGATCTGTACCGAGCTGATTATCAGCGTCGGAGTGTTTCGCTGACAAGATGTCGAGTGTAATGCTTTTGTCCACGAGGAGCATTGAAGCTAGCCAGCGTTGCAGTGCTAGCGATAGCAAGTCATCGCCGTGTCGCTCGGCCAGCTTCAGGCAGAGACGAATTGTCTTCCGCATCATTGACGACTGCTCCAGCTCCAGTAGCTGAGAACGCTCCTCTCGAATGTAGCGATCGAACATGTCGTCCTCTATGCCACTAGCCCCTCCATGCTTGCCGTGACGCATCATAACGAGACGAGCCTGGCATCCCTCTCCAATCCATGCCACGTGTATGTTCACAGGCGTAGCGATTCGTCCGAGGGAGACCTGAACGTGTCCGCTATGGCGAACTGTGGACGTTTCGTAGTCATCCTCCAGCGCCAGCTCTAGTGCCGCACGCTTAAGCACCGCTGCCTCTATCGCACAGTGCTCGTGAAGCCTGTCTCGACGGCAGGGCTGCGTCCAAAACCGACTATTGATCAACTTTACGCACACATCGCATGGGGTGTTGCCGGTGCACGGCTTCTTGAGCACTCGGCAACGGACACAAGCCCCTTTTCTCCGCACATCTCGAGCCTTAGTCCGCTGCTCCTTGGTCAGTTGGCCTATCCTCCTCGGTTTGTGGTACCGTTGCTCCAAGCTTCGGCTCTCAGAAGTGCCTTTGCTGACTGAAACGAGACCTTCGCTTGGGAGGAGTGGTCGCTGCTGATGACCAGCACAAGAAGGAGCATCGACATCGTCGCTGGGCCACTCCGGCAGGGCCGTCTGCGCAGTTAACGGATCAGCCTGCCGTCCTGCTGGTGGTAGTCGACCAACCGCGCTCAGAGCTAAAGTACCTGTTGAATTTGGTCTTGGTGGCTGTGGATAAACCAGGATTGGCGGTGAGTTCATGATTGAATAGAGTGATCAGCATTGTAGTATCTTGGTCCCTATCCCTTGAACCGTCTGACACGGGTAATACGAGCACTAGGACGATCTCCTGGTGAGTCTCGAAGAACCTATGATGACCACGACAATTCAGTGTGACAAGATCGCAGTTTCTCGAATGCAGAAGTCCTGTGCATCGCACAAGCCCTCATGAATATCACGGAAGCATCGATCGTCTTGACTGGCGAATCTACCTCCAGGGCGATCGCGACTTCAAGGCCTGGGCAACACGTTCGTCGTCTGCTGGGATGAGGCAACTACGACCGCTGCGCAAAGCATGGCTGTCTGTGAGATAGCTGATTAAGGACAAAAGCGTCCAGGTTGACCGCCATTGATGCGGTGGAGAAAGCTTTCTACGCTATTCCTTATCGGACACGCATTGACAGACGTCCAGAAGGCGTCCAGGCTGGCTCGACAGGAATGGGGTGCGATAGGAGCACGTACATCGGCGAGCATGGTGGAAGCGCGTGACGGAAGATGAGCGATGAAGATGCGCAGTAATTCAGATGAGAAATCGTCGGATAAAGTCACGGTGAGCAGACATGATGTTGAATATAATTGTGAAGAACTCTCCACAAAGAGTCGCTAAAATGCTATATTCGCTGCATTGAACAATCCGCTTCTCTGGATCACACATGCATAGGATTCGCTAGTTTGTCTGCTGAAATGATGGCGTGTCGTGCTCACTTTGGACTGACGACGATCCAAGTACCGCCGTAGTCCTTGAAGGCCTCCTCAATCTGTAATTGTGTTTCCTCCCAGGGTACCTTGAACGACCCTGCATTGAATTTGACAGACGTGATCTCAAGCACTCTGTCGCTTTCGCCTTTGCTGTGTAGCTGATCAAGCTGCTTTCGCAAGTCCTCAAGCGCTGTCTTCGTTGCAGTGAGAACGTCCGCCTTCTTTGACAGTCCTGGATTCTTCGTTTTGGAGTTCTTCCTCCCATACCCGTGGCTCGTGAACAGACACGCAATGTATACCTCCTTTCCAATCGCCTTGCTATCCTCATCTTGTGGCAAGATAACAAGACAGCTCCCCATGAGTTCTTCGTGTGTCCGTTCTTGACAATACTCATACTGAAGCTTATACGCCTCCGGGAAATGCTTCTTTAGGTGCAAGGCAACTCCAGCTCCCCAATTTCCAATACAATTGCAAGCATCTGAGGGATTGTGGTCAGAAAGCAGTGATCAGATGGGGGCTTCCATCGCACTTACGAACAAGTACACCGCCGTTAGGCACTTCTTCAACCACATCGCCCGTTACTGCGTCAATGACGAATTTGCCATTGCTCGGAGCCATTGCTCTTGCGTGAAGCGAAGTGTGAGCCTCTGATGATCAAGGTCGTTACGTTGAGAGTTAAGCCGTTGAGGCTGGGCGGCGCTAAAGCGAATGATGAGCTTTGGAGGTTGAGGTCTGTTGCAACGAAGGATGAGCCTTTGGGGTCGGGTGGCATTCAAGCGAAGGGTGAGCTTTAAGGGTCGTACGGCGTTCAGGCGAAGGATGAGCTTTGGTGATTGAGGTTTGTTGCACCGAAGGATGAGCTTTGGACTTTGAGCGGGTCTGAAGCGAAAGGCAAGCTTCTTGTCAATTGAAGAGAGAGCGACCTGGCAATCGTTGGAGAAACTCGAATCATCACTTTCCGTTTTGGAAGTGACGCAAAGGCCAAGCTCAGGGCCAGCAAGGTCGCTGGCATCTTCGTCAGACTCGCGTCCTCTCTCTAGGCAGCTGAGAGCTTTGTCAAACTCCATCTTCCCCATCAGATACTTGAGCTTGTTGCGCAGTAGTACCGACCTGGGTGTAGTGAACTGCTGCTTCCAGGCTTTTTTGGCGATGCGTCTCTCCACACCCGGGGTCCTTCGTGTTGGGGGTGACGGTTGCCGGATGACAGCTCTGGGAATCGATACTGCGTAAGCCATGGTTGGGCCAACGATGAGGTGTTGTGTTGATTTGTGTTGCGTTGAGCGGTCTTTGTGAGTTTGTGGATGGTTGAGCAAGTGTTGAGGCGGGCATGTATTCGAGCAGAGTATACACTTCAATGAGTACCTTCGCCATGATTACCTTGACCATTGAAACCTTGACCGGGAGGACCTTACCCAGTGTCCAAGAAATCATCAATCAATGGTACACCCATCAATAGGCATTGCCGCTGTTGTGCGAGCATCATGATTGGCTGGCACTTGATTTGCTGTGGATTTGTCGAGTCCCCTCAGCAGTCACTGCACCTTTCCGCCGACAAGCGGGTCTTCACCTGGAGCCAAGCTCAGTTATTGTGACTGTTCGAGCTGAGCTGGCTCCTAGTGGGAATTATACTTCTCAGCTGACTCCCGAGTGACTCCTCTGACCTTCGAGATCACGGGATCGTTCATCGCCGAACCGATAGAAGTCCTCAAGCAGGAACAGTCCTGCCTTTTTCGGCTGCGCCAAGCACTGAGCGGAAGGACGGGTGGAGCGGAGGCATCCCGTACCAGCCACGGCGGACTCTCAGGCCCAGATGACTCCGGTGATTGTCCTTTATGCTCACCTTACAAAAGTGCCGCCCGCAAAGCCAGACAGAACTGTCAAGAGTGGAGAGCGCTCTATCTGTTCAGACCATCGATTTCCTGTATCAAGCCAGCTGGGCGGCCCGCCCGTACTGCAAAAAATGATTGGCGCTGGACTGCGAGGCTCGTTCGGGGTGCAGGGTGTTTGAGGGCGGCAAATTGAGCATGCTCGGATTCGAAGCTATGTTCTGCTGATGATTTTGTATACTCAAATATGCAAGCAACGGTCCTGATGGTCGTTTCCAAGATATGTGTACTAGCCAAAGTTATACGTCTTACCTCCAACCTGCTTCGGTGGGTCCCCTCGTGTTCGACGGCCTTCTACTCTTTGAGTGCATCCATGCTCCTCTTTCTGAAGATGTCGAATATACTCCTTCTCGGCCTCATCTTTCGCTTACTCATCTCAGTTGAGTTCAACAGCTTCGATGCAGACGTCTCAAACACCGATCCGGGTCTGACGGAGGGTGTCGTGCTGCGCAAGTCCGAGGGCAGAGCCCGTCCACTGTCCATGGTATTCTGCATGCTGGACCTCTTGGTTCGGCTCTTGGTGCGACTCAGCGTACGGAAAGCGCTGGCGCCGTCATGTGACTCTCGCCCCATATTCTCCATCTCCTGAAGTGCTGTCATACCGTTGGTTGCCAAATTCGACTCAGGGACCGCGTCGTAGCGCACGATGCCTCTCTTGGGACTGATACTTAACGACTCCTGCATAAATTGTTGCAAAAGATGTGCACTGCGCTTGTTCTTCGTGGGTGCAATCTCCGGGGAGAGTGCTGTGATACTCATCGTATACGCCGGTTCTGAGCTCCCTCCAATCACCATGGGTATATCTGTGGCGACTAGTACCATGACTGATGCTTCGGGTCGGTGGTAGATCTCAGAAACTCGAAATGAGAGATCGATCAAGAACTCCTGCTCCGAATCGAGCTGCACAGTGTTAGCTACAGTCATGGCTGGCGTTCAATACTTACGCAGCAATTAAGCTTGACTTCAGCTATGATCATCGAGTCTCGTACCACACGTTCGCGCGCACTGTTTTGTGGCTCTCGGTATGCAAATGCATCGCTGTAGTACTGGCTCCTTTTCTTCGACAGATGTGCTCTTGACCAAGACTGCTCCAGTGATGCCGCATCTGGTAGGTCGCTCGATGTACCATATGAGACATGGCGAAATGCATTGTCGTTGGTCAACTCCGGAGGAGTAGACTGGGCTCGTTGCATGTTCAACAGTTTCGCTGGAGCTGGAGACGAACGGCCGTTGATACGAAACGAAGCATCAGGAGTCACACCTCGAGGTGGTGTTGGGAAAGCGTTCTCAACTTGAGAGGCCCGTACGTGACTGGCAGTTGACGTTGGCGTGTGTTCGTCCATCATGACAGTCATTGACAGGCGTGCGTACTGAAATCATAATAAGAAGCTATCCGTAAGATTGTCCAATAAAGGTATGCAGGTAGTGGTTGTCATCCAAGCAGTGCTCGAGCTGCATCAAAGAGCTTCCAAGTGGCATCCAAAATTTTGCAATTGATGCATCACTCATGCTGCATCAACACTTCAACTGTGATACTTGCATCAGTGTCCTTCTACCAAGTCGCTCCTGCCGTCGTTTGATGCCATGATGGCAAGCGCAAAGAGGCAGGCGCTGCACTCTAGTCGAGTTCTCAATCATGGGCGGGTACCTGCATCTGCACCCAGAGAACGCGTCGCATTGTTTTCATTCATGACCAGCTCTGGAAGCACAAGATTTCCCCGTAGAACTGCTTCATCTCCCCCTGAACGCTATACGCGACTCATGCTTTTTGATCCTATGGAAAAGGTGGACCGACACGCTGATCTCGACGTGAGTGCCGCCCAGAGGGATCTGACTCGTGAGTTCGGGTTGCTCATGAAGCTATTGCAGCAATGCAAGAGTTGAAAGGGCAATGAGAGTAATAGGCGGCAGGGACAGCGAGTAGGGCACGCATTGGCCACAGCTCGGCACGGATGACATCAACGACAGGGGTCAGAATTTGGCGGGTAAGTCGTGCATCTTCTTACTAGCATCGACGTTCAGATCTGTTCTTTCTGCTCGAACGTCATCATCAGGCATTCGCCTGCGAGCACATCGATCTACTCAACACCATCATGGCAGACAATAACGTGGCAGACAAGCCTACTGATGCGGCGCAGCAAGCTGCTGGCAAGAGTGCTGAGCACTCCCTTTTTGATAAGAAAGGCGCGATCGGCAAGCAGTTCCAAGGTACTGCATATTTTACGACACTCACACTAACGGTGCTGATCAATCTGCTGCAGCGGATGGCGCTCTCGGATCTGTAGGTGAAGCAATCGGTGGGCCATTGAGCCAAGATGGCGGTGAGGCAGTCCTCTACCGAAGTGAGTCTCTTTGCTGATCGAACTTGGACAGCTATTGGCAAACAATTTACGGCAGAGGGTAGTATTGGAGGCACGGTGCAGAAGAGCCTGGGCGATCAGGAGCCAAAATTAACATGAACTGCCTGTATGGGTAATCTGAGTATTCGCCCCAGATTTGGACGATGTACATACGAGGTTTGCAACACTCGTTCCTGGTCGCCTTCGGCAGATGGCGTGTGCACGAAGCACATTTGACTGCGGCGCATACTTGCGTGTCCATTTAACGCGCACTATTGTCCCAGATGGAGACCGGCAGTATTGCATACGGCGACGACCCCTGTGTTGCCAACGGAAGAAAGAGCGTCGATTCTCCAGGAACCAGAAGTATAAAGGTAGGGCTTCATGCTTGATAATTTGACTGTACGATTCCGTGACAACAACGCTTCAGTCTTTCTCTGCAATTACTCTATACGCAACATGGCCAAATCAACAGTCTTCGTGCTCGTACCAGGGGCCTTCAATCTCCCCTCCGTCTTCGATGCCCTCGCCGACAGCCTCCGCTCACACAACCATGAGATCGAGATCGCCCACCTACCATCTCTGGGCCGCAAAGAAGACAAGCCCGCCGGCGCCCTCGACGACGCCGAGCACGTCCGCAGCGTCGTTACCCAGCACACCAAGTCCGGCAGCAATGTCGTCCTTGCCGGCAGCAGCTACGGCGGCTTCGTCATCACCGAAGCAGCCAAAGGCCTTATCGACTCCTCCGCCACCGCTGATAATACGGGCAAGCTGATCCATCTAGTCTACTTCGCCAGCCTCCCCTTCGAACTCAACACCACCGTCTCCCAAATGGTCGAGGGCAAGCAGCCCATGCCCACGACCATCCCTGGAAACTACCTCGATCCCATGCCCGCCGAGATCGCCGGACCCGTGCTGTGCTCTCAGGCAACTCTCGAGGAGCAGGTCAAGTATGGAGGGATGAGTGCAGCGCAAAGTCTGCCGAGCTTCCACGACAAGTTGACTTAGCAGGGCTGGAAGCACGTTCCGAGCACGTTTGTGATTGGGGAGAAGGATCTGGCGGTCGACGCGGCGTGGCAGCACGAGAAGGTGGACGAGGCTATCAAAGGTGGGTTTGAGGTGAAGAAGGTGGTGCTGGAGAATGGGGACCATTTCATGTGGGTTAGTCAGAAGGACGCGGTTGTGGATGTGTTGCTTGAGGCTGCGAAGGGCACATGACCAGCATGGGTGGCAAAAGCCCCAAGTGCACGTGCTCGAGGTGATGAAATCGCCTGAGATGTAGCTCGTGCTGACGAGGTCGGCCAGCAATGTACCTAGGTGAATACCGGTATTAAAGAAATTCGCATGAAAATCATCGTTGGGTCGGTCAGTCAGACGTCAAGCCGTGTTTCCCATCAGCAGTGAATAAAGCTAAATTAAGCGCCGCTCTGAAGCGGACAACGCCTATTTTCTGTCGCCGAACGTGGCCTTCGCAAGCGCTGCTGGCAGCTTATGCCGCCTTGAAATTTTCTAGCTCTATAATTTTGTTTGAACCAAACTTTGCTCTGATTGTGTGTCGAAAGGCACACACTTCGAACAGGCCGTATGTGCTACCTTTCACTTTGAGACTTGGAACACCAATTCTAACTCGAACACAGGCGTGGCCTAATGGCTAAGGCGTTGGTTTTCGGCACCAAAGATTGTGCGTTCGAATCGCATCGTGGTCGATATAGTTTTTGCTTTTTGCCATTTCGCAGCCTAGGTACAGATGAAGCCAAGTAGAGACAGCGTGTTCTCGTGAACGAGAGCGCACGAGGAGCGGGGCTCGTGGGGCACAGGCGTTCTGCTTTTCCGCACGTAACCGATGCCAAGTTTTCACTACGTTGAGGCCCAAGCCAGCACTGTAGGAGTTTCAACGACCGAGCCTGCCGTCGAGTCGCATTCACAGAGATCCGGACGTTGTTCATCATCCTGTTTACAGGGTAGTACCAGCTCATGGGCGGGCTCGTGCACTGATCACCTATTGCTCAGCGGAGGCAGGACGAGTGGCTGGTGTGCTTACTGTCCTTTGATAGCAGCAACCTTCTGATAGGTAGGGGGTGAGACAAATGATTGGGGGCAAGGGCTTGTCGAAATACTGGATCGTCAGGCACAGTATGCAGGAACAGATGCAGGTCCTCGATGGTATCATTTTCATATCTATGTTCCTGAGTTAGGCTATGCCAACCAAGGCCAGACACAGATGTTCAACAGATCGGGCTCCTCGTCCCGGGACCCCTTGTGCACATGCTGTCGATGTACAACATCCTACCACGTCGCTTGCCTAGCCCCTCCTCCATAGCTTCCTTCATAAACCTAGCGATCGTCGGCAGGACACCCATAGTCCGCACTAAATGCATTTGCCACATCTCCCAGATGCGGATGAGTCGTAAATATCGTATCGTACGCCAATAACGAGTGGGTATCGAAGTTATGTATGTACAGAATATGTCGAAAATATGCTTCACTTTTGTGCTCGCTCCACGATGATTCGTGTGTGTGTGTCAACGCAAACCGCTTCGAACGCTCATATGCTCAATACCTTCTCGGTACTCAAAGGCCTCGATGCTCACGAAGGCCAGATGCCATTGTCGATGAGACGGAAGAAGTCCCATTCGGCGGCAGCTTCGGTCTTGAAGTTCCAGAAGATCCAGCCGGCGGCCTGGTTGGAGCTGACGTCGATCTGTGCTTTGATGTAGTTGGTGGTTGCGGTCTTGAGTTCAGGAGACCATTGGTCGATGAAGTTGACGTTCGCGCAAGACCCAATGTACTCGGAAGACTCGTAGGTTCCGTCGTAGTTTCGTCGAGAGAAGGTTCCGTCGTAGCGCGCGCCGATTCCATAGCCATTCTAGTCTTGTCAGTATAGCAACAAGCGGGAGACTTTGCCGACTCACCAATGCTGGAGCGCAGTCTGTCATGGCTGCGGTCCATTCACCGTTAACGACGGGCTTATCAGCGCCGCCAGCCCATTCGCTAACACGGGAGTACACCTTGTCAACGTGGCCTTGCCAGTCAAGCTGAAGCAGCTCATTGGTGAAGACTTGGTATTCATGATGGTCCACGATCGCATTCTGTCCAGTCAGGAAGCCATTCCACTCATTCGCATTGAGGAAGCCATCCGAGAAGGGTACAGCTCCGCCATAGGAAGCGCGAACAGCATCGAAACCCTGCTGAAAATACTGCTGAGTGCCATCTCGGCCAATGACCGGGGTCAAGGGCTCGTTGAGAAGCTCAATGCCTACAACGTTGGACTTGCTACCATAGCGCTTTGCGATCTCGCCAATGACATCTGCCGTGAATCCGACAGTATCGCCGGTCGACCACCCAGGCGAAGTCGTCCTTTGACCTGAGTTGTCGAAGCCGTTTTGTGAGAGTGGTGCACCTTCGACTTGTCAGTAAACGCTCAGTCAATCCGGAGGCACTTACCATGCAAGTCAACCCAAACGTTCAGTCCAGCACCTGCTGCCCACTCGATGGCCTGATCCAGATACTCGGCAGCACCTTGGATGTACGGGTCTCCGTCATACTTCTGAAAGGCCCAATAGCCGACTGGTATCCGCACGAGATTCAAGCCGGCACCAGCAATCTTCTGAAAGTCACCTTGGGTCGCCCATGAGGCCCAATGTGCTTGCAGTACTGATTCGGCGTTCGGTGCGTTCTTGGTGAGTGTATATTCGTCGACAATGCTACCATCGTATTGCTGGAATATTGACGGCGTGATCCACGGTTCTAACACCAGCCACCCACCAATGTTTACACCTCTTATGGGCCCGCTGGTCTGTCGTGTGAAGATGGGTTTGCTGTGACGCGGTCAGCGACAGTGAAACGCCATCTGCGTCAGTCGTATACTTACGCCACAGCAGTGGCGGCGAGCAGCGACGCTGCGACTCTTTTGTTAAAGATCATCTTTGATGTAGGAAAGGTTGTAGAAGTCCTTTGATTCCTTCCTCGAGGCCACGGACAAAACGCTCTTACCTTGGAAAATCCGGGTGGCAGGAGCTCTTAAGGCCCCAACTCATCTCCAGAAGCTCCAGAGCTCACTTGAAAGAGCTTGGACTTCCCTGTGACAAACGAGGAGTAGCCCATGACGCGACCGGCACATGTCCAGATGCGCGACGGTGGGAGTACCTCGCTACGCATATACCAACCATGTCAACACGCTTAGGCACGCCGAGGTGGAGGGGCCGTCACACGCGCTGCCGATCCAGGGACATTGTTTTCAAAGCTTCCAATTAGGGCTTCGGATGTAAGGCTACTGGAGTCATGGGCATGGTGTACTGGAGAGCTCTGGAGGAGTTTGAAGACGATAGACATCTAGGATGCATGAAACTACGTACATGCTGTGGAGTAGGTAGTACTTGGTAGCTGCGAGGTTGACGAGAACACGGCACGATCTGCTTGAGCTTCCCCTTCGGGGCATCGTTTGACCTCGGCGCTGGATCTACTTCGGGTGCCCTGGACCCCTTCCTTACAAGTTTTGTACCTGGCACCAACCGAATCCGTGTTCCCAGTCGACCGTCTTCCGGGCTCTCGCACTTCAGGCAGGCACCGTCTGGATGGTAGATGTTGACCCCAGTATCCTTGATGCCTCATCGTAATTTCAAGGCAGAAGACTGCGAGCTCAGGCTGACCCTTTCTTCGGGGCAAGACGTGATATTGCCGTTGGCTTCGGCAGTGATAACCTGAGCGACTTGTTGGTGGTTGCCAGTGGCTGCCAGTGGCTGCCTGTGTGAACGAAGAGGCCCAAGCACCCCCGCATGCGGTTGGCTCACATTCACCATCGCTGACCCTGTGGCTTGGATCTTAGCTGGCACGAAACCACACTGTGCTGCACAATGATGTGGGTGCCACAATCGCAAGTCACAGGTCAGGTCTACACAGCGTCCGCGCTGCTGATCGAGTACTCTTCGATCTGGCACGAGGTACATGTTCTCCTCATAGAGGAGGAGCAACAGATCATGTGCACCTGAAAGAAACCTCGCCTACCGCCTACTGAACTGGCTGAATGGCCAGTATCTTAGCCGGAGCATTGCGATCGTCGACTAGGCAGTCCGCCGCCTCTACTAGCCATACCCGCCATGTAATTGCGGGGAGAAGTTCAATTCTTTTACCTACAACAATTGCCAACGCAAACGTTTAAGAGAGCACGCCATTCCAGTGGTCTACATTTCTTTGCACTGCGTCGCACAAGAAAGCGTCATCGCGTCTCGTGACGCCGAGGACGAGCACACAATGACGAGCACGTGGAATGAAAGCTCGTCACCGACATTTTGGGCGCTGGTGCGCTTGTACATATTGCTACGGGTGCATACAGTACCTAGGTAGGTTATGATATGCTATGGGTATCTGTAGTGTTGTACATGATCCACGTGCTCGAAAACCCCAGCGAACACATCGCAGTTGACCTCGTTCTGAGCCTGCACTGTTGAAATCATCAAATGAGCTTCATGTCTCGCCGTCGTTAGCGAGTCTCGCAGAATCCTCCGAGACGCACTGCCACGAGATGAGTGCCGTAGCTTGCCAGGGCTTTAGGGCACGGTCTCCCAACTACAATCTCGTTCAGAGAACGCTCGCAATATCCTGCCGCTCGATGATAGATTTCTCGTTGCCGTTTCGGGAAACACGGTAGTAGTAATCAGCGAAGTCGCCACACTGCATGTTTCGCAAGAAATTGTCGTCGTGAGTGATGACAATAAGCTGAAAGTTCGGCTGATCTTGACGGGCCTTGATGATGCCGTGAAGTGCTTTGGCGAGAGCCTCGATGTTGGGCTGGTCTAGATTGGTGGTTGGCTCATCCAGGGCGAAGATACCACAGTTGGAACTGAAGCACTCAGCCAATGCTAAGCGTATGATGATGCTGGCGAGTACTTTCTGCCCAGCACTGCATCGGCCACGCATGTCCATCTCAGTGTCTTTCTTGATCATCATGACACGATAGTTGTGTGACTTCTTGCCCGTCGAGGCATCGCCATCAGCTCTGATCATGATCGTGTCGATGTCATTACCGCAATAAGTCGCCTTCCAGAGCTCGTCTAAGATGTTGTTGATCTCATCCATTTTCAGGCTGTGGTACTTCATGATGGCCTTGTCGAGAGCAGTCCCATATTTCGCAAGATCCTCGACCGCCGCTTTGGTGGTCTCGACCTTGATACGACAGTCATTGTAACGCTTTGGGGCGTCCTTGAAGTCGACTTCGAACTGTTCCATCAGCTCACCCAGCTTCTGATCATCGCTTCGTACTTCTCCCATCAAGCCTGATTGCTTGGCACTCATTACGTTGAACTCCTTGGTGTGCTTCTCAGACTCAGCACGCAGTCTCTCCCTATCCATTTCGGCATTGTGGGACTCAAGCTCCTGGATCTCAGCGGCAAGCTTCTCTAGCGCACGTGAGTTGTATCGGTAGCGAAGGTTGTCCGAGTACTGTCGCTTGACATTCTCGCCATCTTTCTTTTCCGCCATCAAGCTGTTGACTTCTTTGGTCAGCTTGTTCTGCTCGATAGTCAACCGCTTTTCCTCGTTCTCGCAGTTCTGTATGTCTCGATCGACGTTGGCCAGTTGATTGTCCCCACCACGATTGAGGTAGGCCTGAATCTGGGCGTTGAGCAGTTCGAGGGCTTGCACACTCGTAGTGATCTCCGAGCTTTCAGCGGCTAGTTCTCGTTCTTTGGTGTCAGCTCGGTCGGAAACATCGTCGAGTTTTGCTTTCGCGGTGGCAATTTGGGGATCGAGCTGTTCAATGTCGATGTCCGCCTGTACAACAATGTCCCGTTGCTTCTGGCTGTTGGCCTTGAATTCGTCGACTCGAGCGAGTGCTGATGCTTTCTTATCGAGCTCGTAGCCAACTTTTTCGAGGTCGCTCTGGAGGTTGAGCAGGCTCGTCTTCAGCTCGCTCAAATCATCACGAGACTGAGTCTGCTCTGACGTAAAGCGTGTGATCTCGCCCTGCACCTTGCGAGCCTTCTCGGCGGTCGAGGCGATCTCCTCTTGGATCTCATCCAGCGTCCGCCGAGCCGAGTATTGAGACTGTTTCGCAGAAAGCTCTTGGGATTGTTTCTTGAGATCTTCGACCACCAGATGAATTTGGCTGATGTTGGCAATAGTCTTTGCGACGCTATCGAGATCCTTCTTTGCTTCATCTCTCTGCCGAGCAGCATCTTCTCGCTGTTCAAGCTTGACTTCGACAGATTGAGACTCTTGCTCCAAGCTCTGAAGTGTCTTCTTTAGTTCCGGAATGCTGACCTCGGTCGCGTGCTTCCATGTATCGTACGTTGTGCGCAGATTCTGGATATCCTTGAGACTGGACTCATATTCCTCGATTCTTGAAACCTTCCCTTGGTTTATAGCTTCGGCGATTCTCTGCTCAATGTTCTCTTTTGCCTTGAGCCAAAATTTGTCGCCTTGTTCTTTGAAGGACCGCTTGCACGTGCGACAACAGGGCTTGGTGTCGTGGAGATTCCCGAGAGCCTTTTCGAAGTATGCCTGAAGTTCCTTCGAGCCTCCGCCGCTTGTCCTTGCTTCGTCGGCACGGATCTCAGCATCACGAAGTGCGTCCTCGTACTCGGAAGGATCCACCTCGATGACATCGAGAATCTTCTGCACGCAACTCTTCACTGACGCGTTCTGCTTCTCCAAATCAGTTCGCGCCGTCTTCAACTTGAACTTGACCTGCTCGAGTGCTTGTTGAGTGGCAGTCGATTCGCGTGTAGCGGTATTGAGGTCACGTGTGGCGGTATCATAGGCATCCTGAAACACTCGCTCTACTGTACCTGCCTCCATGTCGCAACCAAGGATAGAATTGATGCGGTCTTGGTGGGCACTAGTGAGGGTCTGCAGACTGCGCTGCTTCTCTTTCAGCTCCTGCTTTACGTGAGCCAAGTGAGCCGTCTCCCCAGCGCGTCTCGTTCCCTGAATGAGCTCATTGTTTAGGCGAGTGCTCGTCTCTTCAAGATCCCGGAGCTCCAGATGTGACTTCTTCAGCTTATCGTCCCAACTAGCTGTTCTAGCCGCTTGCTGAGCCTGTGCGATCTTAGACTTGGCCACTTCAATGCGTGACTCGATCATAGCCTTGGAGGCTTCGTTAGCTTGAATGGCGTCGGCTTTCTCCTGGTGTACTTTTGCATCTCTCATGTTGTAGGCCGACTGTTTGTTGGCAGCGATCTTGGCGTCCTGAAGTGCACCCTTTCGTGCTGTCAGCTTATTGATCTGGGTTCGAACGGACTCCTTTTCGGCATCGTTCTCTCGGCGGACACGGTCCAACGCAGACTGTTGGTCTTTCTGAGATTTGCGAATCTTGTGCATGAAGCTGTCAACAAGTCGGTCATCCGAGAGATCGTCATACCCTCGCATACCGTGCTTGGCAGCAGTGTCGCGGACTGTGTTCTTCCGACGCTCGATCTGACGACCATGCTCGTCCTTCTCCTGTTGATACTTTCCACGATCAGCGAGGTTTTTGTTGAGTCGATTCCGAATGTCTTTGACTTGTGTACCATATGAAGCCCACTGATCTTGCTTTGACTTCACTTCGCTTTCGATGCGGCGCTGCTTATCGTCGAATTGCTCCAGTTGAGACTCTAGCCATTCATCAGATTCAGGGATCTCTGTGAACGTGTTCCGTAGTTCTTCAACATTCTGCTTTCGGCTTTGAGCTTCGATCCGCTTGCCCGCCAATTCGCCTAGGATTTTGGCAAAGCCTTCGGATTCTTCATGGGCTTTGGAGGCCAGGGCAGACGCCTTCTCCATGCGCTCAGCAAGAGCATGAATATTTGCTGTCACCTTCTTGATGTTTTCCTGAAGATCGAGACATTGCTTCTTAGCTCTCGCAGCCCTGTCCTTGTTCTGCTTTTCGTGCTCCTCGCGAATCTTCTCCTGATCCAGTTCGATCTTCTTTTTTTTGCGTATGTCGGCAATTGTCTTGATGGCTCTGGTGTACTTCTGGGCCTCAAATATCTCATCGAACTTCTTCTTGAGGCTAGCAGAGTCGCTCAGGGGCCACAAACTTTCTTCTTGATGGCAGAAGATGACATTTTCGATGACAGCAGTCGAAGCTCCAAGGTAATTAGGTACTATGTTGTCCAGCTCGGCTACTCGAGTTGATATTGACTGGCGATCACCTTTTCGATCGACGGTCAGCTGAGCTTCCAGTGTCTTCATAGCACGGGTGGCTTTCTTGACAGTCAATTCGAGGTTACGAGTGACCACGAGCGGAATGCCTTTGGTGGAGTGAAACGCAAGTCTGATCTGCCCGAAGCTTTTGGTACTGCCATTGAGTTTTGGGTCATGAATGAAGGCTCCGCCAACTTTCGCTCCTGGCGGAAGGATACCGGTGACTGCATATTTGAGTGCTTCGATAACAGTCGTCTTTCCGGATCCATTGACGCCGACGACAAGCGTCAGGGGTGCGTAGAATCTGATGGTTTCATAATGACCTTCAGAATCAAAGGATCGTATGCCCTGTATGGCCAGTCGGTCGATTGTGCTCATTGTGTCGACTGATGATGGAGAGTATCTAGTCTTAGCGAGATAGACTCAGGAAAATAAAGTCAGGGAGGTCTTTGAAGGTGCAGTAGAGACTGGATTCTAAGTTGCAGAGAAGACTTGCCACATCATCACGCAGCCCGGCGCCTAAAAGGCAACTATTTCACGACTTGACAAAGTCTTCAAGGCACGTGTGAAGTACTGCTGGGAAGAAGGCAAACTTGAAGTGTAAGACAGGCAAGTGTGGAGACAGAAGCAGGCAACCGCGTTCATGCGCTTTTGGCGTGTAGATGCATCCGTAGCCTGTCCTGGTCTTTTAGGACCACCCTATCGCTCAATCGCCTCATCAGAAATATGTGTGTAATCGTCGATCTGGAAGACGAAACAGTATCGAACCCTTCTCCGGTAGAACGGACCCGTCGAAACGCATCCAAAGAATCAAGCGATTCGACGAGTGGCACCACTGCGCTTCAGCTTAACGGATTCATTAGGCACAGAACCCCTAATCACCATTGAATACGGGTCCCTGAGGCTCGCGAAAGGCCTGGAACTACCCGGGGTCTCTACGACAAGCGTTGATCCACTCCACAAACACGCAGCGCCGTGTCTATGGGTGCATTCGATGCGGATTCATCACATTTGATGGATCCAGGCGCATATGACTCTGCAATGATGGACCCTGTGATGCTGAGCAATATGAACATTGGCAACATCCAGGCGTTTTCAGACGACATACAAATGAACATGGGCTCGTACTCAGCATCTGGATTTGCGCCCATGGATGCGGGATCGAATGCCGGCGCATTACACGAGAATGGCATACGGCCAGATACCTCAGATATTGATCCCAACGCTGTCGGTGGAGGCCCATTACCAGCAGGCTTCGGCGTTCAGCTTCCACAGCAAGGCAACAGCACCCTCACAGAGTTTACTAAGCGGCGGAATTGGTCCCAACGAGTCCTCGAGGAAATTAAAGACATGCTCTTCATCTTAACGCCCGACGGCCGGCTAGTGTACTCGTCCCCGTCCACCAAAACTCTGACCGGCTATGAGGCTTCCGAGCTCAACGGCAAGTTCATCGCCGACTACATCCACGCCGACGACACCGCCCTCTTCATCCGGGAATTCAACGAATCCATCGCTACGGGTCACCCACTCCGCTTCTACTACCGCTTCCGCACGGCAGAAGACAAGCACGTCATCTTCGAATGCCACGGCCACCCACACCTGACCAACGACGTCTCCCACCTAGAACTCAGCGGCGGGCCCGTCAACACAGCCGGCTTCTGCCGCGGCTTCTTCATGATGGCCCGCCCCTACCCAACTGCCAATTCCCAACTCCTCGACTCCTTCCTCGAACACAAGATCGAAAATGTCCGCCTACAAGCCCGCATCGCCGCCCTCCGCGCCGAAGAAGCCGAGGAGAACGCCGACCAAGGCATCCCGTCCAAGTACCAAAAGCGCGCCGGCGGCAACGCCACCGCCACCCGCACCGAATCCCACGACTCAACAGCCATGTCCCCCTCGCAAACCTCCGCCACCGGCGCCAACAACAACCCCCCCAACGGCACAACCAACAACACCTCCGACCAAAACATGATGCCCCCACCCGCCAAACCCCTCCCCTCCAACATCGCCCTAACCCGCGAAGCGCTCGACGAAGCCAACGCCTTCGCCCGCCCCGACAGCATAACCGACAAAATGGCCCGCTACGAGGCGCCACACACGTCGACTCCATCGAGATGCTCACGGGCCTGCGCTACCGCGAGGGCGAACGCGCCCACGGCATCTCCACCGGCGGCACCTCCCCGGCGTTGGTCCGCGGCGACGCCGGGATCGACATCCCCGCCGACAAGACGGATCCGCGGTACAGCGGGGCCGGGGGCGGGGCGGCGGCGTATCTGGATAAGAAGGTGAAGAAGGTCAAGTCTGCAGACGAGTATGTGTGCACGGATTGTGGAACGCTGGATAGTCCCGAGTGGAGGAGGGGGCCGAGCGGGCCGAAGACGTTGTGCAATGCGTGTGGGCTGAGGTGGGCGAAGAAGGAGAAGAAGCGGGGGCCCGGTGGTGGGGAGACGCAGTTGAGTGGTGGGAATACTAGTGGGGGAGGGGCGACGGTTTTGAGCGGCGAGGCGGGGAGTGGTGGTGGTGGTGGTGGGAATGCGGGAGGTACGCCGGCGATGAGTAATGGGACGACGGTGGGGAGTGGTGGGAATGGGCCGCCGGCGTGAGGTGCAGAGGTCGAGTAGTAGTGGGTTTGGGGGTGGTGGCTAGCGTTGTGTTCTGGGTTGATTATGATACAAAGCCTATGGTGTTATGAGATAAAGCGATTTGAGCCTGATACACACGATGCACCTTTCAGGAAAGGCCTTTATGAATACAATATCTATCATGTCCCAACGCTTGGTGTTCACCGGGAAAGCTCGCAGGTGACCGACTAAGTCTCCTTCGGAGCAGTGCCATCACTGTCGCTGTCGGCAGCAGCATCGACAAGCACCATGTCCTGATCAGCATCAGACGGAGAGATTCTCCCTGTCTCCGGCGGAGCACCTGTAGCTGTGGTGCTAGGGACTGGTGCTGGTGATACAGTAGTACTCTTCTCGTTGTCGTCGACGTCCATCTCATCGGCTTTGTCGACCATTTCATAATCTTCTTCGCCAGGACTGCCTACACTCCCAACACTGCTGGCTTGGCCTGCTGTGGTAGACGCAGCGATGTCGTCCACGACCACAGGTTTGCTATCTGCAGTGGTTTCGTTGTGCATTTCGTCCGCTTCATGTGCCTGCTGCCGGTCGAGGCTGACTTGTACATTCTTGCCCTCAACCTTCCCCATATCTACGGCACCCACCAACTCAGGTCCGCGGGCGTGTGGAATGGGATCTCCCTCCTCATCGACCTCTTCCAGCGCATCGTCGTGGCCTGGCATCGGTCTTGTCGGATTGGCCGAAACAGGCACTACGCCTGCTTCTTGCTCTAATCTCATCAACTCGCCTTGTGTGACTGCCCCATCGGGTCTTTCGGGTACAAGAGGGTCTTGCGAGCTGCCTATCACCACTATCGCGGCTGTGTGTCCGTTCTCGCCGCTGCCGTTGCTAAACTCGCTGTCTTCAGTTGAGGCAGTGTTGGGCAGTGTGTCTCCCATATCGTCTGTCGATTGCGTACCGTTTCGTAGCCAGGGAATAGGCGTGAGGAGAGCGCCTCCGAGGCTCTCGTCGCTGCCGAGGCTACTGCTGTCGTAGCCATTTCGTACTGTTCCCGTAGATGCGCCAACGAGGATTGTACTCGTGTCGCCGTTGACGCCGTTGGCGAGAGGTGCTTGATCGGGCAGAGGAAATATGTCTGCAGTGGATGAGACATTGACTACTCGGTCGACCGCGCGAAGCCAGGCAGGGAGTGTCTTGTAGTGATTTGTAGGGTTGAGGACGAGTTCGGCGAGGCGTTGTATAGTGTGCGGTGGCCTTTGCATGAAGGCGCTGCGTAGTGTTGAGAGAATGCCATGTAACAGCTGCAGGAGGGGTTGCGGCAAGTCTTCGATATGTTGTGAAGAGGTAGGCTCGTTCTGAGACGCCGGTAAGGAATCGGCGACACGAGAGGTCGAGGCGGCGGAGGAACCGAACAGAGGTACGGGCGGCTTCGAAGGGGTCTGTGGTATGTTCGCCTGGTCTGGCTGTGACTGTGGCTGTTCGGAGGTGTCTGCTCCTGGCTGCGCTGGTGGTCTCGACAGATTCGCATAGGGCTTTGGTATGGGAAAGTCGTTGTACACAATATGGTTGACTCGCTCCATTAGCGGCTCAATGATGGATGGCCACTTCGAGTAGTCCATCTCGCCATCGAGGGCGACTCTCTCGAGCGTCTCCTCATCGAGCGACATACTGGCGGATTATGCTGCGAGATCATGGGCAGATTGAACGTTATTGCATATCGCGCATCGTTCAAATTCGCAGCCATTGCACATGCGATTTCAGAAGTGACGTGCAGCGGAATTAAAGGGCACCAACTCCGGTAGTCAAACCTGGATAGCCCAGCCAGCCACGAAACGGCTTCGCTAAACCACTACCGTCACTGGAACGTGTCTCTTTCTCCAGTGGGTTTCTAGGGCTCTTCTGTGCCCTTCGCAATCCCGTCAACGACCACGATCTCGCTACAGGCGTGTACATGGTTGAAGTATGTATTCTGTGTGTTCTACCAGGACATTACCACTCCAGCGTCCATTGTGGGGATGCTCTCGGAGGCTCGGATTGAAACCGGGGTAGAGGATCAAAGTTCAAGATGAAGAAGATCTTGCCCCCGAGACAGGCGGCTCGAACCTGCACGGACAGTTCTTAGCCTTTCCTCTGTCACAGGACGCGTGCGAGTTGACACCCATCCTTTAGATTGGCACTGCTCCGCAGCTGTTTCACGGCCAACGGAGCATGCTTTGAGGACCTGGACAGCTCCTTGCAGAAGGCTAAGATTATTGATTGAAACCGGAACCAACAACATCTTACTCATTCGTGCATGGTAGATCGACTTTGCACGCGAGGACTGTCTTAGCTCATCGCCATGCTTGGACATCTTGGTATTCTCCTTGATGTAGAACGGCAAAAGTCGGGCATAGCATGACATGCAAATTATGCCTGCCGACGAAAAGACCTGGTTGGTGGAGTTGAAACGGTTAGTCTAATAGACAGCCGCGCACCAGTGCAACTGTAATAATATCGCCCACGCGACAACAGTCAGCACTTAGGTAGCCTCAGCTCAGGCACCGCCCATAGGCTTCATGGATATATTTCCGGACAATCGACTCCAGGCAATCGGCACGATTGAACAATACAAACCTCCCTTACAATCCAGACTTGAAGTTTGATTGAGAGCATTCCCGATATCTGGTCGTGGATGTGCATGAACGGACTGCGGCTAAACTGAAGTCTGTCCCACCCAAGTGCCAAACTGAGGCGAGGCCTAGATTTCTCGGCTGCCTTCCGGACCAAAGCAGCATGTATTCCGTTTCAGATGGCACGATTGAAGAACGCGCACAATCGCGACGATGGGGTGCATCTTGTAACCATTTTGCATACGCCAAAGTAGCAGTAGACATCGCTTCGTAGCAAAGATCTGATGCTGTATCTACGATCTCAGTGACGTTAGCCGGACCCTTCTCACGCTCGTTCGAGGCGGCAGGCTGCTTAACAAGCTGTGCGGAAGACGGCAGAACTAGGCTTGGAAGAGGAAGGATCCCTGCTGTCGACCTGTAGAATGAGCCAAACAGGTCGGAATAGGCCTCGATACTCGCCCCATCCTATCCCCACTGTCACGATCCTGGTCTGGCCTGCCCTGCCACTGTGCCTTTCCAGTTCCTCTTCGTAAGCAGTAATGCCAGTCATTGAGCCACCCACTGCACAGCACTCTCTTCAGTCACTCACTCACGGCAGATGCTTGCCTCGTTGACCTGTCATTGCTAGCACGGCTCGAGCCAGCGTTTGCTTCGTCCTTGTCTTTGTTCGAGTACTGTTGGATAGCTGCTTGTTTGCATCCCACCCTAGTCTCAACTACAACTGACCTACGATCTGCCGCCACGAGCGGGACGATCTCCTCCACCAAACAACACGATTGACTTCCGAACGGCAATGCACAGGTTCTGCTTCGGTCGCCTCCCCAACGTCCCGTAGCCCTCGGGCTGCATGACGAGAGCAGGATGACCGTACGCGGTATTGGACCTTCGGGCTTGCACCTGAAGCACGCAGACAACAAGAAAGATGGAGATGTTGGTCCACAGATGATACGGCTCAACCTTTTGCACAAAAAGACAGAAGAACTGCTACAGCAATTACGCGATGGAAAGAAAGTCACCTTTCAAACAGGCAAACAGCCTGCCGTTCACTATGGCAAGGACAAGCTCGTTCTCGACACCCCGTCGGAGACGTTCCCGGCCGACATGTACACTCGAGCAGACGGCGCAGAGAAGAACTTGTACTTCTCTGGGAAGTTCAGCCTGCACCTGGAAATGGTACACGCTCAGGAAGCAACAGCAAAAGTCGATGCTGCATTGGCCAATTTACAAAACTCCCTCTCGTCAATCAAAGAAAGTCGAAATGAAACAACAATGCTAGCTATCAAGCCCAGCAGGAACGGCCAGCTCAAGCCCATGCAGGCTCGCAAAGATCAGCTACTCGGCAGCAGTCTCTCAAGACCCTCAAGCCCTTTCCTAGGCGCTCTCAACGCTGGTCCGACATCTGTGCCGCAGCTTGGTAGCAGCAGTACCAAAGATAAGGTACGAAGGGAAGCAATGAAGATCCCAGTCATACATCTGCTAGCCAGCAAACCAATGTCGCCGACTACACTCGCCGAGAAGATACGAGCTCCGCTGCAAGAGTGTGAGGGATTGCTCAACAAGATTGCACGCGACTCCGCATCAGCGCCTGGCAAGAAGGAATTGAAGGACAAGGGCTACCGAGAACTGGACGTGTGGCGTTTCCCATATGCTCAACAATCAGACCGTGACGCTGCTGTCGAGCATGCCATTCATGCTCTCGATCGTATGCGAGTCGACAGGACGGACAACTTGTGGCAGATGTTGCTGAAGCCAGAGGACCGAGGGAAAGGCAGATGCTTATCACGACTGAATTTTGACCGGCCTGCAGTGCCGCCGAAAGCAGTCGAGAGTGGTGTTGCCAAGAACGAGTTCTCTGATGCTGAAGCAAATCCACGCGCGAAGAAGACCGCGACGAGTGGGAAACCTTCTGAAAAGAAAACGTCCCTGAAAGAGCCAGCTGTCAAGTCTCGTGCCGTCAGTCCTGCTCCCGTCAAGAAGAGAGATGTCGCGCCCAAGTCGACGGCTCCCGAGAGCAAGTTCAAGTCTGCCGAGCGGATCGAAGATTCAGATGAGGAGGCAGGTCCGATCGTGGTCATGCCTAAGAAGGCTCCGACGAAGGTCAAGGATCATCTCAGCGTCACGAAACCCTCACCTTCTCATAGTCGACAAGCTTCTCCAGCACCCAAGAAGCCAATACATAAACCAAGCACATCCAGTTCCTCGAGTGATAACAGCGACAACTCTGAGAAGAAGTCAAGCTTGAAGCCACCAGCCAAGGAGGGCGACTCATTGACGAGGTCGAAGTCACCACGACCTCGACACGGCAGTTCACCACAGAAGCCTTCTCCGTTAGGATCGTCACCGCCCGCCAACTCAACTGACTTCGACAGTTCAAGCTCTACCACCACAAAAGGGACCAGTCAATCCTCTGTTCCATCGTCACCTGACTCTGACATGCCTCTCTCGAAACAGGTGCAGAATCAGAAGTACTCCCCAGTTGTTCGCGGCAGAGAAGCACCTCAGGCAGGAGCGACAAAGCGAAAGCACACGGACACCGCCGAAGCACCGCCCGCCAAACGCCACCAGGTAAACGGCGTCCACACACCTAAAATCACACACGCAACCACGAACAAGCCCTCGTTCGAAAGGTCGCACCAAATTCAGCGCACGATGTCCGAGTCCGAGCGCTCCTCTTCCCCTGAAAAGCCCGACAAGCTCCGCGACGAACTCGTCCTGAAAGGCAAACGCTTCAATGCATACTACAAAAAGTACCGGGATCTGCATGATCGACTCGCCGGTATCCCACCGAAGGACCGAGACGCGAAGGACACTGATAATCTATGGATAATGCATAGGCGGCTGGAAGATATGAAAACGGAAATCTGGAGTGGATGGGAGGGCATGGAGAATGGTACGTGATGATGCAGCAGGCGCAATCGAGCGCGAGGGAATAAGTGTGGGTCAGATAGGGCGACCTCTGATGCCAGCGTTCAAAGCAGGACTTTTTGACTATTGATTTGCGAAAGCGTGGACGATACAGACGATCATAACGACGAAGGTACAGCAAGTTTACCTGGACAAAACAGGTCACGAATATCTTGAGAGGGAGCAAATTTTTGCAGAGCAGAGCAGAGCAGGTGGGCACCAAGCTATATGTATCTCGACAACGACATAGTCCTCGACACAGAGAGGTCAAGCACGGATCATCAAATTTAGCGGAACAAGTATTTCAAATGCACCGGGGGTGACTCACGACACTGCACTAGTATCGGTTTTGAGGTGAGGTGAGGTCGTTGTTGGCAAGTGAATAATAGAAAGGCGGCCATTTGTCTGCAATTGCTACCTCGAACTTCACCCTCGACCGATTTTCGACGACACCTCTGTGTTCGCACTTTCTTTTTGGCATTACTTGTCTACGTTTCAGGCTCGTCCTTCTCATGGATTTGGCCTCACTACTGAACACAGCAGATCTCCCGCAACTATTCGCTTCCTGTCAGAGAAATTGGGTGAATAGCCGACAGAGCCGTGAGTTCTCCCCTGCCCTTCCGGTGTCCGTCACCTTGCGAGCAGGCGCCATCGTCTAACACGGCAAGTCGCGAGCAGTACTCTGATGGGCTAGGTTTCAAGTCAGGATCAAAACGTCACGATGTCGCCAGCAAGCAGCCCTTCCAAGAACAAGGCAAAGGACAGTGCCCATCACCACGGCCACGATACCCACCGCGAGCGCATCCGCAGCTCCTCCGTCGGTCCTAATGCCAGTATGTGGAAGAAGCCCAGCCACCTGTCGCAAAATCACAAGTCTGCATCTCAATCAGCGCGCAAGGCATATGGTGGTGATCCTCAGTCGACTCCCTCTCGAGGCAGCGGGACTGGAAGCTTCATCAATTCAAACGCCAAGTTCATCATCGAGGAGCCAAGAGGTTTCGCCGACAGTCCCAGTCTTCAGGCGCAGCAGCGGGCGAAGCAGAGAGCTCAGGCGGAGAAGATTTCGAAGAGGAAAGTTACGGCCGATATACCGCCCATGTCGAGCAGTAGTGAGGTAGCTGCTGGCGCTGGTAAGGATGCCGACGAGGAGAAGATGGGCGAGAAAGTGTCGACGGGGTCTGGAGGCTCAGAGGAAAAGACCGTTGAGAAGACTTCCACTCCTTCTGCTACGGTCAAGGAGAAGACAGCTAAACAGACTTCTGAAAAGCAGAAGACAAAGACGCCTAAGGAGAGCAAGCATGCGCACAAGCATGACGATTCTTCCAACGAAGATGAAAAGTCCTCGACGCCATCTGCTGAGATGCAGGAGACGGCTGAGAAGACCTTCGAGAAGTCCTCTGAGAAGATCAAAACGCCAAAGGACAGCACAGATTCCCCAAAGCACAACAAGTCCTCCAAAAAGAAGCATGGCAAGTCACCCAAGAAGAAGTCCTCCGAAGATCCGACTTCGACCCCAACAGTCACTAACGACGATATCTTCCGCAAATTGGACTTCGGCCGCAAGGAGAAGGAGAAGCACAAACGTGCAGTCAAACATGAGGGTGGTGATACTGAGATGACTGATGCTCATCCCGTTCAGCCGAGCGAGGACACCCGGAAGGATCATGAGGAGGACTCCACGTCTCGTGAGAAGACGCCGAAGTCGAGCAAGAAGCATCGCCACCAACAAGAAGGGGCTGGTTCGGAGAGATCGAAAAAGCATGACAAGAAGAAGGCCGAACGTGATGAGAAGAAGAAGTCCAAGCATGACCAGGAACAAGGTGCCAAGTCCGAGAAGAAGAAGGGAAAGCACGATCGAGATGACACCAAGCATGATCGACAGGCAGTCACTGCCTCTACAGAAGGATCGAAGGAGAACCGCAAATCTCAAAAGGAGGCTCCCAGAGCCCCAGCACAAGAGGATTCCACGTTGGCTGCATCTCCAGAGACTGGCCACGAGACACCATCAAAGAAAGACTTGAAGCGTCAGAAAAAAGAGGCAAGGCTCAGAGGAAGGCAGAGAAGGCACTCGCAGCTGCGGAGCCCGCAAAAGAGCAAGAAGATCTAGAAAGTGACGAGAGCAGAGTCTACCTCAAGCAGGAGCCGGGGACTGGTTCCGGAGGCGACAAAAATGCTACACTCCCGGCCGAGGCTATGGATGTGGACGTGGATTCTGCTGTTGACAGACGGTCATCGTCATCCGAGTCCAACAACGCGAGTGATGCTGAGCACGAAGACGTCACTGCGAAAGACGAAGTCTCCAAGCAGGTATCCGAAGATGAAGTCATACCTGAGTCTGTACATGGTGGGGAGTCAAGCGCGGAGGAGTCCAGCGATGCTGCCGCGGCCGCTTCTGAAACCGACGACGACGACTCCGAGGATGCAAAGCCGATCAAAAAGCGCAAGGACAAGCTTCGCGGTAACAGAGCCCGCCAGCTATCAAAGAGCCAAGTCCAATCGGATGATGATAGTGATGGAGGGAGCTCCGTTCGCAGCAATACCTCCTTCCACTCCGCAGTGTCCAGAAGCTCTCCTGTTCGTGATTTGTCCGCGACCGTTGAGGCTGAGGAGCAGGCTGGTGTGGCTTCAGCATCTGACACCGACGGCGACGCTGACACTGAATCGGGCTCCGAGTCCGGTTCCGAGTCAGACGATGGCGACAATTCCGATGAAGATAACGAGTCAGACAGCAAGAGTGAGGCGGATGAGGTGAGCGAGGGTTCGAGCCAGAGTGACGAAGAAGAGGAAGACTCTGAGATCGAAGACCCGGAACAATTCGTTGCTCGACTGGCCGCTGAGGATGAAGCTGAGAAGCGACAAGGCCTTGAGGCCAGCAAGAAGCGCAAGCGGACAGACTCCGACGACGAGACCACAGTCGAGAAATCGACGGTCGCCAGTCGTAACCCAACGCCTAAGCTGACCGAGATTCCGACCGTCAAGCTGGCCATTGACTCGGCACGTGATGTGTTGGCGAAATATCGGGCCGGCGTTAGCAGCGGACTGGATAGCACTACTGCCAAGGCCAATGCTCGTCGTAAGAGCACCAGTACGACCACAGACAAGCCCGCCGACAAGACCACCAAGGCGAAGACTAAGACCAGTATCCCCACAAAAGTCATGCGCGCGGCCAAAGTCTTGGAGAGCAAACTTCCCTACGCCATCACCGACCTCACAGCATCCGAAACGGCTGACTCAAAGAGCAAGAGTAAGAGCAAAGACAAGGTCGATGACCCCGACACCATCTACCTTACAACTCTACTCAAACAGGCTGAGCTCTGCATCTTCCGCCTGTCTGCCGAAAAGATCGCAGCCAACGGCGGCTTTTCTAAGGATTCCTCAAAGGAGTTGACGAGGATTGCACATGACCGTGAGGATGAAATCTTGCGCTTACAGAAGGAGTTGAGGGAAGTGAAGGAGAAATTTGCAAAGCTTGAGAAGAAGAACAAGAAGAGCAAGAAGGACTGAACCGATGCTTCCCGACGAAACTTCTTCTCGCCTTCGACTACATAGGTGCACCACTTAGGGTCTGGTATGCCTCAGCATCGGTCTCAGTTCGAGGAAGGGAGTCTGTTGCAGGTCAAACGCTTCTTGAGAGTGAGAGGAGATGCAATTTCAGGACAGGAGGGTGACCAGGGCCGATGGAATTGGCAGCTCAGGAGTAAGACGTTCGCAGCTTGCTTCTGGTACCACGACAGCCAGCTACTGTGTGGGAAAGCACGAAGTTTCATGGAGACGTGGATAGGTCCAACATCAGAGTGTTTCACTACTTCAACGCTTAAAGATGCCACGCTCCTGCCATCATACACTATTTTCTGGCTTCGCGTCTTGACCAGATCTCACAACTTCTCCTTTCCCGGCGGCAATATCCTCCCCTTGACCTCCTTCCCCCTCAGCCACCTCCCCACATTCTCCGCCTGCTGCTGATACCACCCATGCATCGTCTCCTCCTCCGCATACCCCATATGCGGGCTTAACACCACCGCACTCCTCCCCTCTCGTCCCCAATATCCCTCCCCTTTCCGCCACGGACTATCCCCCGCGAGTGCTCCCGCTCATACACATCCAGCCCAACACCACGGATCGCGCCGCGGCTGCATACGTCCAGCAGAGCAGTCTCATCAATCAGTGGCCCACGTGAAGTATTGATCAGCAGCGCAGATGGCTTCAGCCAGCTCAGCTCCCTAGCAGAGAGCATTCCCTTCGACCGCGGGCTGAGCACGACATGCACGCTCACAACATCGCTGCCCTCCATCAGCTCCTTCAGACTTCCCGCCAGTTTGAACGTGCCCGCCGGCAGGCCAACGCCCTTTGCGACCTCATCGCACCGCTCCTGCTTCAGATTCGGACTCCAGCACAACACCCTCATCCCAAACCCCAGCCGCGCAGTGATGGCAGCTTGTGCGCCTAAGCGGCCGAGGCCGATACACCCAAACACCTTCCCCGCAAGCCCGGTCACGAGGTCCGTCTGCCACGGCGCCGTCGGCTGCGCCTTAATGCGATAGTCATCGCTCGGGATATACTTTGCCAAACTCAACAACAGCGCAAACGTATGCTCATTCGTAGCACTGTACCGCCCCCTCAAATCCTTGATCTCAGCGAGATCAGCCTCAGTCGCGCCCTTGGGAGGGATGGATCCCATAGCGACGGTGCCGGTGTAGGTGACTCCGGCCTCGTAGGCGGCGACTTCGTCGATGCCGAGGTTGCGATTGCCGGTGGTGAGGAGGAGGCGGAGGTTGGGGAGTTGGGTGAGGATGGAGGCGGGGAGGGGGGTGCGTTCGCGCATGGTGCTGATTATGGTGAAGGGTTTGAGGCGGGCGATCAGGGCAGCATGGTCCTGCTCAGAGTGTAGTGGGTGCAGTGTGTCCGGGAACAGGGTAATGGGGAGGGTGGGGTGGAGGTCTGTGAAGTGTTTGAGGGCGATAGAGTGGTAGTCGTCTAGGATGGCGAGGCTGTTTGCTGCCGGGTCAGAGGCCGACATGGCTGCCTGTGGTGCTTGTGGTGCTTCTGATGCTTGCGGGGCCTGTTATTGTGAAGACAGTCGACGCCGAGAGCAGGTCTTGGTGGGTGGATTGGAGAGGAAAGCGGGACTCGCCCTGATGTAGATCTGTAGGCTTTAGGTTTTCTGACGGCAGCCAGGTTTTTTGACTCTCAGGCAAGACGACCTCTCGGTGGCGGGGCCTTTCAATGTAAGTACCTTACCGTTGTCTCTACGCAGTTGTGCTGCAATGTGTTTGACAATGAGGATCGTGTCTTGATGTCCGAGGAATATACATGTTGGAGAACTTACGTGACGAAGCGGCAGGAGCATTGGGATACGATTCGGGCACATGCCGAGCACGCCATAGAGCGTTGTTGGGGAACCTATTCATGGGGATTACCTATCTGGGCATCACAGTGCTACTAGACTTGATAGCATTTACTTCGGTTCGAGGTGGTTGGGAATTCGAGAAGCCCAGTCGATTCGAGGCAACGAATCATTCCGCCGTCATCCGGCCATGGACAGGTTCCACGGAGGTGCAGCCAACCGGTCTTGGGAGCCACTTGTCAACCGGCGCTCTATGAGAAGGGGTTGTGGAACGACTCGTTGGAAGACAAAAGCTTGAGATATAAGGAAGAAGCACCCTGGGAGATACAAAGTCTCAAGTCGTGTAATGACAGAAAACGCCAAATAATTGCACCAGGTGTATATGCTGTGATGGATCGAACACCTGAGTCGCCTGTTGGTCGTCTTGCGCTACGCATCGTCTGAGGAAGTCGGCCTAGGCGCATGGCATGTGCGACGTACAGCCTGGCTCGAGATGCCCAATGTGACCCTGGCGGACTTCATCCATGGCCACCGAAGTAACACTCGCCTTCTCGTTGTGGGCATTGATTGCCCAGCAGACACTCTCCCGGCAGCCGCTGCTCAACCTCAAACTCAGCCGCAAGCACTTCGCCAGCTGATGATATCGAGCTTCTGACGGCTGCCCGCTCCAGTCATGCTGAGATGGCTTTCCTGTCGTCAACCAATAGAGGCCTATCTCTGCTTCCTGGAGTCATTGCGCCATTCCTCCCATCGATTACTTGCCGTTGCTCGATTGGATACGCTTCGGCTTCGGCGTGTCGGCCGTAGTCCCCCAGCAGGGCGTTCATCTTGCTAGCAATTGGCCAGCCAAATTCAGTCTCCATCTTCTGGACTACGCCAAGCAACACTTCCTGTTCCTGGTGAGATTGGAATTGTGGCACGCAGAATGTGATGGCTGCATAGGCAATCTCCTTTGCAAACATGCTTCTCGAAGAATTGGCCATCCCGCAAATCTTGAGGACAAGCTCCCGAATGTCGCGGACCTGCTTGTTGCGAGCGTTGCGGTCGTCGGGAGGGTGTGGATCGGCCTCCATGAGGCTATGCGGGCCAGGGAGATGTACTGATTGCCTATGAGGTTGACTTCGCCCAGCAGCCAAGTGGTCGGTAGAGCAAAGGTCGCATAGGCTCGATGCGGAAGCGGTGGATCCTGTTGCGGTTGATCGCGATAGGGTGCGAACGAATATGGCTTGTATGACTCCCAGTCGATTTGGTATTGGCGAAGAGCGCGAAAGTCATCGCCTCGGGATGGTGAACTTTTGTCGTCATGGAAGCGAAGCACATCTGCCAGGTGACAGAGGTGCTTGTCGGCCCAGATGAAGTCTTCGATTTTTCCTGCGCCGGAAAGAGTCTCAGTGCGTTCCATGTTGGAGGTAAGGTGAACTTAGCGTTGATTGCGGCACGACCTTCCTTGGGTCTGGAAATGTACATTATGGTAGCTAGGATCTCCTGCCGCAATGCCACGCGATTACATGCGTGCTCGAAAGATAGCAGCGTTTTCTTTCCCCACGCTCTGTTATCTTCCTGCATAAGTTGGAAAGATGCTTGATTGTTGTGTGGTGAGTGGCTGGACTGCATCCAGTTGTGCTGATTCGGCGGGCTGGCAGAAACATCAGCCATCGCAAATGCTCGAGCCCTGATAAAGCTCTGGTAAGTCCGGTTGACTCCGTCTTCTTCTTCGCCGGTAATCGATCTCTGGAAATCGCTCGCGAATCTCAAAAGTACTGCGGCTGCGAAGTATTCCACGTCGCAAAGCTGAGCTGCATTGGTTGCCCTTTTCAAATATGCTATAACTGCGTCAAGATACCGGTAGCACATGTCGTCATTCAGCCTATCGAGGCGTTCATTCTGGTACTGCACAGTTCTTCCGTCTGACGCTTTGTGCTTCTTGCTAGCCAGGAGGTGCCGCGAGGCGGCAACGAAGACAGCATTCAGTAAAGGCGGATGAAAGCAAGCTTCGTGGGGCACAATTGTTTCAAACGTCCTGCTAGGATCGCCAACATCGAACTGACGAGTGTTAGATGGGATCACAGCAGATGAGACGCTATGCATACCCAAGGCGCTAGCTCTTCCCTGAAGTAGTGCATCAAACACGTGCATAGTTTAGTAGTCTGGTCGTTCGGCCATCGGAAAAGCCCTTGCCATTGTTCTGGCGACAGCAGGTCTTCATCTGGAACAGCGGCCGCCTGGCTGTCCTCAAGACGTCTATACTCTGCATAAATCTGCCTCGGGACAGGATCGTGGTTTCCGTGCATATCGGGACCGTGAAGACTGGAAATATCGCGCTCTGGCTGTTTGTAGACGGTGTACCGATGTCTCATATCAGGGTGTGGAAGAGGTAGAGTTGAGTTGAGAGTGCGTATTGGTGGTAGTCGCAAGTCTACCTGGGGACGGATAGTGAAATCATTGGGGAGCGGCCGTTTTGAAGGAGACAGAGGTGACGGGAACTCTGCTCTGTAGGCTGGCGAAGTAGCTGCTTTGCTGATTTCCGAGTTGGTTCGCTCTCTCGCTGTGTCTGCGGAAGAAGAAATACATGAGTTACTGCGAGATGTAATTGTTGATGAAGGCCGCCCTTGGAAAGTAATATACGGCGCTGATATTTCCGCCGCGACCTGTCCAGGATATGCAAACGGTTTTCCGGACTCCTCAACGCAATACTCGTTCTTGAGGTCTGGCCCTTCATCGTGGAACTGGAACTTAGCTGCATGGTGGCTTCATGTTAGCTGCTTGACAACAGAGGTGGTATGGAGACTTACCATGTCGAGTTGGTGGTAGCCAGGTCTGATTTTTTCCGAATTTGTCGTCCCATTTCGAAGAAGATCCCGACTTGAACTTGACAGATCCGGTCTGGCGTTGGCAGGTGTGGTTCAAGCGTTCGCATTGCTGACATTTTGGCCGGTTGTTGTCACCTGTGCGCGAATCAGTTCACAAGCTGGGAAAATAAGACGTGGTGGGCGGGGGGCCGATAAGCAATGCGTGACACCAGCACAACGTGTCTGAGGGTCTCGCTGTGTGACCCAAAAAGGTCAGGCGAGGTGGCAGACGTACACTTGAGATGGCGGTCTAGGGCATAGGATTAGCAGCGCAAAGTCGTAGATCCGGAGTAGCTTACCTCGACATTCTCTGCAAGGGTCGTCTACCTTATCTCGGGGTGCGGTGCCGGGCATGGAGTGATTGATCGAAGCGAAAGGGCAAAGTGCTGCACAAGCAGAAGAAGAAGCAAAGCATCGTCGTACGAGGATTCAAGTTGCCTTGAGCCTGCTAATAAGGTAAGAGAAGCCGCTGTTCAAGTTACTCGAGCCTGGAGGCGGGGATGGAGGTCCTGCTGCATGTCGTAGTCGTCAGAAGGTGCTTTTGTGTGACATATCGCCCTGCTCCTCGCATTAGAGCTTGTTGCAGACTGGCGGTCACTGGTATCGGATGCTGATCTAAGGTAGGGGTTGACGAGAATACGAACACCTGGACACAAAAGAAGCAGGAGGGGGCAATCAGTTGCAACGGGCGACGCCTTCCCCGCCAGGAAGAGTGTCCCACTGGCCGGACGCGATCGCCGGAGATCTTGCAACTTAGGCGGAAGGTGAATCAGTAATAAGGGAAGCTTCGATTAGCAAATCGACTATAGAATTCGACGAGAGGAAGCTGTTCAATTGCGAAGGCATCTTGCGTCAATTCTATTGTGTATGCCTCTGGCTTTGTTTCAATTCCGACCGCAGAAAGATGATTGCTATATGGTGTTTGTTTGCTGCACAACTATACCCTGACCTCGCCTAAGTACGAGGCACCCAAAAACGCCCCAGCGCCTGGATGCAGTCCCCGCCAAAATAAGTATCTGTGCACAAAGTACGGGCATCAGTCAACGTTGATCTTGACATAGTCGCCTTCCTCTTCCGAATCTCGCTCCCAGTCACTCATGTCCTTCTCGCTGGCGGATGCTTCTTCCACCTCGTAGCGAGGCAAGGTTTCTTCTTCGCGACCTGCCGTTACGGACCGCTCATCCCTGGCGTCGTGATCTTTGCCCCTCGTGGTTGGCTCTGCAGCAACTTGGGGCGCTGCCTCGTACATTTCCTCATCTGCATCGAAGAGCAGATCTTTCTCGTCGTTGTGAGGTTGCGTGCTCTCAGCTTGTGAGATTGGGACCTCGCGTCTCTGGACTTCGCGATCGACCTTTGGCACTCTGATGACCAGGACTCCGTCGACCATCTTGGCTGTGATGCCAGCAACGTCGACACTAGCAGGATCACGTTTCGTGCCTAGGCGGACCGCTTTCTCGAACAGTCCGTTTTCTCTCTTTCGTCCATTAACAACCAAGTGCTTGAGCAGTTCCTCGTCTACTCCAGGACGGTGCACGACACCGGTGACTCGGAGGATGGAGTGCTCCCCATCCCAATCCACGCCAACATCTTCTTTCTTGGCTCCTGGAAGAGATGCATGAATTTCGTAGTGGGAAGGGGTGTCGAAGATGTCGGTCCGTGGCTCGAAGTCAACCTCGTCGCTGGATGGAGATGCCGTGAACTTGTCCTTGTCGAGACCGAAGTTCTCCGCTGCACCCGCGAGGTCGATGCCAAGACGATCACCCAGGTTGTTCAGGAACCCGCCGAGGTCGAATCCTGGCTTGGTGGCCTCAGACTCCTGTGGACCACGTTCTCTTTCGTGAGAACCTTTGCGATGATGGTGATGATGGTGTGGATGGTGGCGAGGACCGGACCAGAAATCTGGACCGAATCCGAACGGTGGCGGACCGCCGAAGCCACCGCGGCCTCCCCAGCCGCCTCTGCCACGACAGCCAGGGCCACGTCTTCCTCCCCAGCCCTCGCGGCCTGGACCATGTCCGGTTCGACCTCTGAAAGGTATTTCGTGGGATTCGTGCTGCTTATCCGATCTCACTGTGGCAGGGTCGATCTCAGGAGGATCTTCGGCCGCTGGTTGTTTGCCACGAGCATTCTCGCTAGGTTGTTCGCGTTGGGGCTGAAATGCTTCGCCCTGCGAGTGCTGCTGTTGCCCGCTGACATTTTGGCCGTTGTATGCAGCAAAGAAGGATGATCGTCAAGGTCTTGGACGAATGTCAGAAGGGTGGGGACCCGCGTTCAAATGGTGTAGAGGAGGCATATTGAAGTTAGTCGGTCAGTATTGAATGGACTGAATAGAAGCAAGAGCCAGGCATAGGCTTTGAAGCCACAAGACGTTCTATATAACATGTACAAAGATGCCAGGCAAACATGTTTCGTAACACACTCTCACACTCGAATCGACTAATCAGATGACGAACGGGCGATTGGAAGCAGCCAGAACCATCGAACTTCGCCACCACTAGCCACAATCCGCAATGGAGGGGAAGCGACCTGCAGCCAGCCAGTCTTGCATGGCCATGCTGAAAGTGCAGTCAATCACAAGCCGTGGTCGACGATCTGGAACATGTAATGAGTGCTGCCTGGACGTTGATGGCGAATGAAGGGAAAGGTGGAGGAACTGAAGAGAAGCTGTTGGAGACGTTCGTCTTCACGCAGAAGCCTATCTGGATCACGTGACTAGACTTAGACGGACTCGGGTGCTCTACAATTGTGACTTGACTGTATCGTTCTGTCCCTGCTGTAACACCCACCGTACACCTAGAACAACGTCGTTGGCCCATTTCTTCGTTACCGACAGCTGTGAGTAGAACAGCCACCACAAGTGAGGCACTCCGGGATAAATCTCAGTCCGACATAGATTCCCAGATTTTCGGTACAGGTGCTGCCAGTAGAGAGCTCCATCACGAAACAGGTCCATTCCCGCTGTCTGGTAGTACAAAGGCGGTAGCTTGCTATGATCTGCTCGGTATAGTACTGTCATCTCGGGATCGTCCACCCGCGCATCTGCCAGTTCTCCATAGCACAGATTTGTTGCTTTTTCCGAGAAAGGAGCGAACTCATTCTGCTTCGCGGACGGTAGCTTCTCAGGAAGGAACGACCAAGATTGTGTTGCGTCTTGGAGCTCGGTAGGAACTCCTGTACAGGCAATAAATACTCCAGTAATTGCTGGATGCAGCTTGTTGTCTCTGGCTCTGTATAGAGCGTTGAGGGTGTGAATACCACCAGCACTGACGCCGCCAATGAGGAATCCTTTCCCGAGATCACCTCCCAGCGAAGCGCCGTTCTTCGAAGTCCATTCAATAACGTCGTAAACATCATCGCGCGAGTCATGCAGACTGTGTTCCGGTACCAGACGGTAAGCGACGTCAATGACTATCATCCCGACGCTTCGGCACAGTAGACGGCAGATAAATTCCTCGCTGTTGAGGTCTCCCGTGCAAAAGCCTCCCTGGTGCGCCATTATGATGACAGGTCGTCCCATTGGCCTCGATCCTGGCGTATAGATACGAACTGGTATATCGATGCCACTGGAGCCAGTCCTGATCGTCCTCTCCTGAGTAGAGCAGTCTGGGCCGGGTATGCTAGATAGTGTTTGCTTCACAAAAGGCGTCTGCATGAATCGTTTCGCATTCGCTGCTGTGCCCTTCCTTCCCAGGTCGAGTCGTTTCCGAGAAGGCAGCCATGGCTTGGGCCTGCCATACTTTTCAAAGATCTACATCACTTCAGCTGGTGAACTTCAGGGGGATGACAGTCCGCTCACTGCTTCGAGCTCTGGAGTCGGTGTCGACCATTTCTTGTTATGAGCTGCAACGTAGTCAAAGAATCCTGCGTCACCTTCACCCTCGACGGGATGGAGATTGTATTTTGCGTCGGCCATAAGTTACTCAGGTGCGAGAAAGATGTCGCAGAGAAAGTCCAGGGTCAATGCTAGAACACTATCTCGTGGCAGTACCAATGCTTTATACGACCTCAATCCAGCGTCAGAAGCAAGCTTTCCGAGCTGACGGTGCTGTAGTGGACCACCGCCGACTCGCTGTCTGATCTAGGGCGGTACCTAGATCGGTGAATTGATACCTTACGCAGTCAAGCTGGCAGCAGCTTCTTCCGAACGTGTTGGTGTCAGACGAAACCGTTGAGGTACACAGAGTCTTGCAGCATCAAATGAGAGGTGAGCAACGCCAGACAACCATTAATGCAAGCCCCGTCGGTCCTGCGACTCGCGGGGAACTGCTCAATGGGGCAAGCGTAAAGCGCCGTTGAAGCTCTTGCCCAGAGGAGCCAGGACGCCTTAGGGACGGCATCTCAGCTTTCGGCAAACACGATGAGAATCTGAGGATGCTAAGAGCTCATCATAGTGCTCGACGCCGCGGCGACGTCGACTGTAAGGCTCGTCCCTCGAAGTGGTAATTTACCAGGAACGTTGCTCCCCGAAGGAGCCCCGTCCTTTCCACCAAACTTATAGCTTTGGGCTTGTCGGACCGGGGAAACCGGACTCCGGCAGCCGAGGCACGATTTGATCATGATGATAACTAATGTATAGTAATGTCACAACGCAACTCTCCTGCGAGGGTATTTGGACACACCAACGATCCTTAGCACCTCTGGACTGAATCTGAGACTGTAGCTCAGTCCACCAGAGCCGCTCGCCCGCAGCATACTGTCAAGATGTCTGCTGAACAGGACGTCAAGCTCCATGACTTTGGCAACATCTTCCGTCTCGACGGGAAGGTTGCAGTGGTCACTGGTGGTTCGCGTGGCCTCGGACTGAACGTGGCATCTGGGTAAGCTCACCGATCCTGGCTGCTGGCATTTTGCTGATCTTCCTCACAGCTATCTCCAAGCTGGCTGCGCCAAAGTATACATCACGTCTCGGAAGGCAAAGGCCTGCGAAGAAGCAGTGAAGGCCCTCAATGCCTTGCCAAACATAAAAGGAAAAGCATACTCAATCCCAGCCGATGCTTCTAAGGTCTCAGAGATCGAGCGGCTCGTCGCTGAAGTGCAAAAGACCACAGACCATGTCGATATCCTCTTCGCAAATGCTGGCGCAACGTGGGGTTCGTCGTTCGAGAAGACGACGGAGTCAAGTTTTGCCAAAGTCATGGACTTGAATGTAAAGTCGGTCTTTTACACGGCCCAGAAGTTCGCACCACTTCTGCAAAAAGTCGCAAAGTTAGGCGACCCAGCAAGAATCATCATAACGGCTAGTGTAGCTGGTTTGGGTGTTGGTTCTTTGGGCGAGACAGCGACCTTTTCCTACAGCGCCAGTAAAGCCGCAGCAATCAGCTTAGCCAAAAATCTCGCCGTCGATCTTGGACCAAAGGGTATAATTACCAACGCGATAGCTCCCGGCTGGTATCCGACGAAGATGGCAAATGGCCTTCTTGATATGCAAGGAGGCGTGGCAGAAGTCGCGAAGGACGTGCCCAACAGAAGACTGGGCGAGCCGGAGGATATCGCAGGGTTGGTGGTTTTCTTGTCATCGAGGGCTTCAAAACATCTGAACGGTGTTTGTATCGCGACCGATGGAGGTGCAATCCTCGCAAAAGGAAAGCTATGAAGTGATCAGGTCTTCACTTGTAGATATAGACTCATCTTCGAGAACGGAAAATTTGCGAAGACGTCGAACACTCGCATTTTGTACCAATTGGATCGAATCATGATACCGCTGACGCGCTTCGTTTGTTACGACTCATAAATGCAGGATAGGGCATCACACCATATGTCCTCCTCAAGAAGCACTCAGCTACTGACCGATGTTTTGAGAATGCTAGTTCCCATCGTCGCTCTGCAACCATCGACACATCATCACGGTGTACAGGATAACACGAACGATGAAGACATGCGGCATCCTTGGCGGCATGTCCAGCCACAGCACTCAGATATACTACCGCGAGCTCTGCGCGCTGACCAGCTCACGTCTTGGGGGCCTCCATTCTCCCGATCTCCTGATACGATCTCTGGACTTCGACCATATTGCCCGTTTGCAGTCTGAGGGCAAATGGGATGAGCTCGGGGGCATTCTCAACAATGCCGCGGTCGGACTCGAGCGAGGTGGCGCTGATCTGCTCCTTCTGGCCACCAACACGATGCACAAGGTGGCAGATCGAATGATGGCAGGCGTGACGATTCCACTGTTGCACATTGGAGACGCCACTGCTCTTGCGATCTTGCGGGACAAAAGACAGCTCAGAAGACCCGGATTGATGGCCACAGCATTCACGATGGAGCAGAGCTTCTACGTGGACAGACTTGAGAAGCATGGACTGGAAGCTGTCGTGCCCGAGAAGACGGATCGAGACGTAACGCATCGAATCATCTATGAAGAATTGTGCAAAGGCGTGATCAGAAAAGAGAGTGAGGCAGAGTACGTCGCAATTGCGCAGCGACTGATCAATGATCAAGGCGCTGACTGCTTGATCTTGGGATGTACAGAGGTCGGCATGCTGTTGAATAGTGGCAATGTCAAGGTACCAGTCTTTGACACAACGCTGATTCACTGTGAGGAGGCACTGCGAATGATGCTGGGGTAGCGCGCTTGTGGCAGACGCCTATCAGCGCCACTCGAGGCGAGGTTGTCCAGAAGGCCAAAACCGTGAGCCAAAGACTTCCCTTGATGCAACTATGGCAAGGAGGGCCGCGTTATAGTGCGTCTGGAAGACATCAACGTGGCTTCCTTCAAGGTTGTATTCATGAATCTCTCCGAGGCAATCCGAATGTAGTGCGCATACTCCGCCCCAAGCATGGACACCACAGACTCGCGAAGCAACATCAACGAGAGCGTAAGAAATCTGTCGTAGACGAAACCCATCTCATCTACGATCTCTCTTCTGTAACAATAGTCAGACTCGCCAAATGGACGCCGTCGACAGTCGGGTACTATTCCGGGTAGTCGGCAATTTATCGCGTCAAGCCGCCGCTGGCGTCATGCACAGTCGTTGCTTGAAGCGCCCATCAAAAGGACGACCTGTTCTGTTCTACAACACCTCATCTTCAAAAATCTCTGTCAGATAGCTGGTGCTGCCGCCTTCTGCACGAATGTAGTTCAGCTGTGGAAAACCAAAAATGTGATGCTGCAAGGGTTTCGAGGTTCCGGCAAGCTCACTGCAGGGACTGCGGCAACTGGCAGTGGGCCCGCCCAAGGATCAGCGCACAACGACGTCAATGGTCTTGGAATTGGGGGCTCTTTGAGCGTCTCGTGTTCTCTGTGGTTGTCGAGGAAAACGTGGGGCTTCACAAGCGCCTGAGGCATGGAGCTCATCGATCAGACAGCCGTTTGTTCCGTTCTTGACGGCTAAGCAATATGATGGCGGGATAGATAGGAAGCCTTCCAGCAGACTGAACTTCAGCTGGCACAGTATAGCAGTAATTCAAGGGCTTTCCTCAGGCTGTCGGAGACTCAAGTGGCGCCGAAGCTGTGGGAGGGCATATCGCCCGCGTGTAGTTCTGCCCACTGAAGCATGTCTCTGTAAAAGTTCGCCTCGTGGTTTTCGAATCTCTTGCAGAAATGACGAAAGTATGGGCCTTCCGGGCGTCAAATTTATGCCGGCGTCGATCAATCATTTTGTGTTGTGAAAGAGTGGACGTGAGGGATCGGATTTGCACTAGAGCCAACTGAGGAGAGGATGATCTCTTGTCAGCCAGCCAATCCTCACATTGTACTGGTGCGCATCATTGACTCTTCCGTCTTCCTTCTTGCCCATCTGTCTCTGAAGTGTTGCCGCACAGGCCTTCTGACGCCTGTCGCCTCCGCAGTTCGAAGGCCAAGTGCTAGCTCTTTCTCGGAGCATAGTCCTGTCCTGCCAGGTGCAGCGTCGCATCCCACGTTAACACGCTGATCGCCCGGTCCGACGAGTCCAACGTCGACATTTTCTTTCATTCTGCTTGCTTTCGGGGGTCCACCTATAGAAGTCAAAGAGGAAGCCTATCTGCCTTACATCTGCTTTAAGCGCAAACCCTCTGACCGCTTTCCCGCAACTTTTGGCCAAGTCACCCGCATCTATCACTTCCGCGTTCGACCCTGGTTCTTGAATGACCCTGCATAATAGTCCTGGAATCCTCGAACGCGATGTCCTTTGTATGAGAATTTGGCATACACGCTGGTAGCGGCCACTGCGCGCAGGTCGTTACCCATACAGCACTCTACGACACTTCCGACCACACAGCCCAGGTCAGAAGAAGACTTTGTAGCTCGCAAGCATAGCGCGATTCAAGTGCGAGGGACATACAGACTATGAGCGATTCTTCGATACACGGACAGGCTACGGCCGCATTCCCTGGCCCCATCGACACAACCTACAATCAAACTGCACGACCGAGCCTCTCACCAACAAGCTCTTCAACTTCATCCAGCTCATCGGAATCTGAGTTAGACCCAGCAGCCCCCCGACCTGCTTCACGGAAGTCGAGAATGGACAGGCCGAGATTGAGTGACAGACAAAGGTCGTCCTCCTTCATTGTACCCAAAGAACGAATAAATTCGTCGGATCACCCCCAGTACCCGCCCTCAGATGCACGAGCAATGAGTCCTCGAAGGAATAGTCAAGACTTAGATCAGCTGGAGCGAGATGTACGCCAGAGCTTGAAGGACGAAGCACGAACATTGCAATCATCTCTAGCTGCTCTAGCTGAGAAGATCGATGAGGTGAAACAGGGTCACGACAAGCTTGAGAGTGAGAACCGGTTTCTACAGGATTATATTGGTGGTCTCACGCGAAATATGTCGAAACCTACCAGTACAACTGCCAAAGGCAAAGGGCGGAAATGATGCCCTGTCGCCACAGTCCTTGGTATTCACGTTGAGGCAAGCACTTGTGTTGCTACTGCATTGAGGGATGAATGGCAGTGGCTGGGCCTTGATCAGCATCAATGTGCCCTGTCCGTTCTGCATAGCACAGGCGTTGAGCATTGTGTTTCGCAGCTATGCATTGTATGTTATGATACCACAGAGTCAGGCTTGACATCCGGTATCAGCCTGAATGTACAATAAATCCAGATACGATTTCAACCATTGCTGTACTTCGTTAGCGTCGACGCTGTCGCCGCGCGTGTATACCGGAAGTTCTAGGATGTGCTGTGATAGTCTCGTGTCTGACGACAGTAGTATTTATCTTCTCATGCTATCCCTCAGCCATCTCTCGTACACACAAAATCGAATCCATTCAAAGTCCGTGCTTGAAACACCTTTTTGCAAGCTGTTCAATACCTTGAACCAAGACCATGGCGCGAGGGCAAGAGACTCGTCCCACCAGATAGCAGCAAGTGCTATCAAGGCATGGCAGCGTGAATCCACAATATCGTACGGACGGGTGGAGAGAGGGAAAGAAGGTAGCCGAGGGCAAAGGAGGTACTTATAGATGTTGGCAGCAAGTGAAGGTCAGCAGTGAACAGCGGCGATCAGTCCAGTGACTCGGCCAGCAAGCATTCACTGTTCGTCGTAGAATCCAGCGTCAGCTACTCCTTGCTGTCAATCTGTACAATGGGCGGGCTTCTGACCTAGCATGTGCTGACACTTCGAGCTATCCAGGATTGCTGAATGAGACAGAACCAATAGAACCAGCAGATCATAGGGATCAATCAGACAAGTCTCGTACACTTTGTCTCGGAGCACGACAATCACGTCTTATGCTTTAACAGCACTCGGAACGCCTGTGGCCATCACAAATGGTCATCATAATCCTTTGGTGATGTGTCCGGACCTAGGTAAGCCCGGCACGACAACCTGACGAAACCACCAAGACTGCCACAGTGTCAGCGACATCTTACAGTCACTTATAGAATTGTCGTATGGTGGAAAAGTCATTGCTCGGTGTACTGGTTGCTTCGAGCTCTGTGTTCAAGGGTTTTGAGTCGCTCGGAGTCTTGAAGGGATGACTAAGCCGCGTCGTCCTAGGCCTTGGCACCAAGTCCGCGAGGGACCGGATCTCTTAGAGCCAAGATCTAATCTCGTAACGCGTCAGCATCATCTTCTGGGATTCAGGCATCTCAGATGTTCAAAGAGTATAGCTACTTCCATCGCACACAACTCGTCGGCGGCGTATCTATCGTCATAAGCTGTAACAGATCAGCTTGACTGAACCTAGTTCGACGTCGCCAAATTCTCCGCGTACAGTCCTTTCCGGTTCTAGTCTGTGCTGATCATTCCCTGGTCCTTGCGTCTATCACTTTGGAAAAGTCCCAATCCACCTAATAATGTCAGACCTTCAGACTCGTCACGACAGAGACATTGCTCTCATCGCGGAGAAGGTCAAGGAGTTCTACAAGAACCAGAAGCCATTCCGCATTTACCATGGCACAACCGGATCGACCCGGCCCATGGCCTTCAAGGCTGGGACATTCATCGACACCCAGAAGCTCAACCGGATCTTTCCCGTCAACAAGGAGAAGATGACTATGAAGGTCGAGCCGAAGGTCGCGATGGATGAGCTTGTTGCTGCAGCTCAGAAGGAAGGCTTTCTCCCTCAAGTCGTTCCGGAACTGATGGGAATCACTGCTGGAGGTGCGTTCTCCGGCACTGCTGGGGAGAGCAGCTCTTACATTCACGGCCTGTTCGAGGAGACTGTCGCCGAGATTGAGATAATCGTGGGCGACGGCACGATCCTGAAAGCTAGTGCCAATGAGAACGCCGAACTGTGGGAGGGTGCCTGCAGCAGTATGGGCACACTAGGAATAATCACTTTGCTTGAGGTGAAGCTGGTGCCCGCCAAGAAGTATGTCCAACTCGATCTACGCCGTGCTAACGGTATTGTGGATGCTATGGCGAAGATGGAGCTTGCGATCAAGGACCCGCAGTACGAGTACGTTGATGGCATGCTCTTCGAAAAGGACTACGGTGTTGTGATGTTCGGCAAGCTCACAGACAAACCTGACAATGGAGCTGAAGTTCGCTCCTTCGTGAAGCGAAACGAGCCATGGTTCTCGAACTACATTGAAAAGGTTGGCGCAGACCGTACTAAAGATCCCAAGCCGATTGCACTGCCTGTGGACCAATACTTCTTCCGCTACGACCGAGGTGTATTCTGGGGAGGGAAGCTTGCTTTCGACTATTTCCATGTCCCCTTCAACCGCGTGACAAGGTGGATGCTTGACCCTCTGATGGGCTCGCGTGTCGCCTACCACGGCCTGCACGAGGGTGGTTTCGCCAACAAGTACATTGTGCAAGATTTCGACATGCCAGAATCCAAGGCAGGGCCTTTCGTCGAATACATCTCCACGATTTTGCCCAACTACCAGTTCTGGTTATGCCCCGCGAAGACAGGCAATGACCTGAAGGTCATGCACAAGCTCCTACCACCAGGCGGCGACCAGGAGAAGCACCGAATAATGCGAGAAGAGCGCATCTACAACGTCGGTGTTTACGGCAAGGGCACCAAGGACCACGACAAGTTCGTCAAACTCAACCGCGAAATCGAACACAAGCTCTGGCACGATTTCTGTGGCGTCAAGATCCTGTACGCGCACGCTTACTACACCGAAGAAGAATTCTGGCAAATCTACAACAAGGCAATCTACGACGAGGTGCGCAAGAAGTACAACAGCGAGACTCTGCCTACGGTCTACGACAAAATCAGCCAAGACATGCAGAGTGGCAGAAGAGAGCCTAAGCACTTGGGTGGGACGATAGGCGCGATCAGGGCCTTCCTTGGCTTGCTGAGCCACAAGCGCCGCACCAACTACCTGCTAGACAAAAGAGGCGGATCGGCCAGTGCGGCTGCGGCCAAGCAGTCCTCTGCGCCCACTGCGAAATCCGTCGATGAGAAGCCGGTCAACGGCGTCAACGGTGACCTGGAAAAGCAGGCGCATGGTAGCTCAACGACCGATGGCTTCGACGCAAGAGCCTTCGCAGCGCAACATGTCACCAGTCCACACCTGAAGGCAAGCATGGCAGCATCGGCTCCCAATGGAGCTGCCAAGGACGCTTCCTCAGACGTCGAAACCGCAGTCGACCAGACGCCGACACCTGAAAGCAAGGATCATGCTCCTGCTATCTCGGCACCTACGCCAACGACTGAAGCAGCACGAATTCCGCTTCCACACACAGTCACGGACGAGAAGCTTGAGTCTACCGCATTGAGTGGGGCCAGCGCAATTGAGAAGCCTGTTCAAGCCTCGTCCACAGCCAGCGATCCGATTGCGGCGGCTGACGACCTATTCGATCGCGCTGTCAGTGCCAAAGAGACCAGACCTAATGGTATTGTCAAGGCTTGAGACCACTGTTTATGTGCTGGACTTTTAGATGCTGGCAATGGTGTAGAAGTAAGGGTACGGATAGTCGTTGGGTGTATCGGTCGCAGTAATGAGGAGGTGATTATCGAAGGACGCAAAGGAGCTTCGGGTTGAGGTGCAAAACTCAGGTTGATACCATTTTGTTCTTGTAGGTCACTGTTAGACAACATTCTATGTACTAGACACATGGCCAATTGAATGTCTCACTTCTGTTGCAAGATGCCAGACTTGTGCCGCCCGTTCTGCGCCCGGATGCATGTGCTGATCACTTCGCAATGAAGTGGCTTTCAGGATCTTGAAATGTACCTTCGCTGCGCCCTCCCTTCGCAGCTCTTCGTGTCTGCTTTGCCGCTTTCCGCTCCTCTTTGGCCAATTGATCCGCCTCCTTCTTCGCTCTCCTCGTTGCCCTCTTTTGCTCCTTGAGTTCCTTATTCTCTGCCGAGAAGTCTGCCCTGGGCCCCCTCAAGAACCGCCCAGGGTGGAAGGCGTTGAAGACGAGCAACGCAAGCAACATTGGGGTACTGTCGAAGACAAAGGTATAGTATTCACGCTTCGTGATGGATGATTCGGCGCCCGATGAGAATTCGATCAAGCGGTATAGATTGCGGAAAATGATGAGGAGTAGTACAGAGTAGAGGGCATAGAGCAGGTTTTCGACTCTGCGGGTGGACATGGGCCGTGAGTAGTTCTTTCTTCTTGTTGGCGGGATCTGATAGACTGATGGCAAGGTCATATGCTGCGAGCCGTGGGGCCCGGTGAGCTCCACCATGGAGGACGAATCCGAGTGATCGATGCTGTTATAGACGCCTCCTTGTCGAATTGTCAGTTGGAAGCGAACCGCAATAGCCATGAACGCCGCAATGAAGCAGAGCTGCACGCCGACGCCTGCCATGTATATATTTATGCCGAGTCTGACAGTCTTCGCTCCGTACTCGTTGTTGATCATCAGACCACCTCCCAGCTGTATTATGAACGAAAACACATCGCCCCAGACAAACAGAAGGGCGATTTTCCGAGCTCTTACGCCCCATACCTTATCTTCCCCTGGTGGAAGGAAGCAATGAAGCATTCGACCCAGAACCATGTAGCAGAAGGCATTGATCCAGAGAGGGGCCAGAATAATCAAGAGCTGCTGGTAGGTCTGGTAAGTCTCGCTTCGCTGGTCAATGACTGCGAGGATGCGTAAGATGTAGCCGGCCGTCTCCCACAGGCTACCCATGATAAGGACCCAGGCGAAGGGCTTCCTGTGTATGAACGCTTGAACTAGGTGTGCAGTTGTTGTGAGGCCAAAGAGCACACTGTAGGCGATTGCTGCAGGGAATGATGGACAATATAGCCAGAGGGTGTCAGGGTCGTCCACAGGATAGCATTCGAGTTTTGCCATGATGCCGATTCGTTGTTGTTTGAAAGGGTCTGCGTTGATGTCCCTATGATCGTAGCACTCGCAGAAGAAAATACTGCTTTAATATACCACCCTACCATCAGCCATATGAGTACCACTAGCCCTTATGGTCCAGGGGCGCTGGGAGAGGCCGTACGGTTCAAGTTAGTCCGTTACGATGTTCATAGGGTGCGGTCTGAGATTTTGTGAGTCCATCAAGCCACCGAGGGGCCGCGGGTAGGCAACAGAATATCGGGTGAGTTCATTTGCTTTCAAACCCACCTCGAGTTGTATCACGACTGCCATTGTAGTGTTGGTCTGTTATGGCAGGGGCTTTTCATGAGGCTTAGCTGCGACTGCCAGCGTGATAGCTCCACCAACAGTGGCAGCCGCAGCCAGCGTTTCTTTGGAGCCGCGTCAAGCATTAAGGCGAAGTCGAGAGGTCGGAGTCAATAACTTGGCCAACGCGAACAAGACCTGGATGTCGGAAGAACCTCTTCAGATATGGAGAAGAATGAAAGTTGGTTGTTGAAGGTCCACTAAATCGTATATGCCTAACGCTGAGAAGCATAGCGTGACCCTACCAAATGTGCCTATTTCGAGCGTCCTGGCCTGGGATTCGTTTCAGCCTGGAGACCTGATATCTGATATCACTCTCGATCCTACTGTATTAACATGCTTGCTGTCCTCGATGAACAGGGCAGACTCACTGTCCGACTGCGGATACAGCGCTCCTGTCAGTGACAGGGCTGTGTCATGATGTTGTGTCGGCGAACGAGACCTCGATTGGCTCCGGTTGAGCCAGCCTGTTTGGCACTAGAGTACTCAGAGCAGTGGTCCTGATATGGCTAGCAACATACGAATAAGCGGATCTAAAAGTCGGACAGGCTGTGCCACGTGCAGTATGTGAGATCCATGACAAGTTTGCACCATCGACTAAATCATCTGCAGAAGCTCGTCGTGTTAAGTGTGGAGAGGAGAAGCCGGTGTGTCTACGATGTTACTCAGGCAGTCGACCTTGTGTATACAACAGTTCGACCCCACGAAGAAAGCCGGATTCATTCACCTTTGTCAACTATGCGGCCACCGTTCCTGCACTGCTCTATCGTCCAGACCAAGACAAGCTCCAACTGCGTGCTTTCACATACTTTCGTGAGCGCACTGCTATCGAGCTGGCTGGCCCAATTTGGCAGGGTAGCTTCTTCACTGGAATCTTGCTGGCCATTGCGGACTCGCAACCAACCGTTCGGCATGCTGTCACCGCGCTTGGAGCCCTGCACGAGACCTATGGTCGAACCACGATGGCGGAAGTGCCGGCTTTCGCCCTCAGCCAGTACGGAAAGTCGATAAAGGGCATTGTTGAGCTTGAGACCACAGAAGAATCCGTCGAGGTTGTTCTCACGTCATGTATCCTCTTTGCTCTCCTGGAGAGCATGCGTGGCTTCCATCACTCTTCCATGAGTCACCTGGTTGCGGGCCTCAAGGTCCTTCGTGAAAGTCAGATCAGTGGTCGCTTCCCATCACCCCATTCGTCACTACTGAGCAGAGCCTTGCAATGGCTCTTTATACGCGCCGATAGCCAGCTGATGGATGTCGGAGGCGCTGAATTTGGACGCAGCGTGCAAGTATACCAACCCATGGAGTATTTCATGCCCGACTACTTCCGTGACATCGGTGAGTCGTTGTTCTACATTGAACTGCTTCACAACCGCGTCATGTACGTCCTTATGCGATGGGAGCCCATCATCTCGGAGCATGGCTACACTGCAAGCGTCACCGACGGACTAGAGAAGGATCGCAATAAATACCGGGGGGAACTTGCGAGGTTTCGCACCGCGCACGAGCGTATGCTCGATAGCAAATTGGGATTGAACTCCATCGAAGGGCATCGAGCAGGCCATTTGGCGATCAGCCTGTCCAGCAAAGTTACTGCGGTCTTACTTGAAGTCGACGATTTCGTGAACCCAGAGCAAGACTTTGACAAAAGTCTCGAGACTTTCCAAGCCATGGTCGAAGAATCCGAACAATTCATAGAGTTGTCCCGACGAATCAATACGATCGCTAGCCGGTCCTCTAACGGCCCAGACGAATCAAAGCCACGAGCCATTCTGACTATGTCTTCCGGATGTGTCCTCCCGCTTTACTTCGTTGCCGCTCGCTGCCGCCACAGTGCTACTCGTCATAAAGCGCTACGTCTGCTCCAGACTTGTAAGCGAAGAGAAGGATTGTGGGACTCAGATCTCGCCGCAGATATCGCTGAGAAAGTCATCTCCATCGAAGAGAGCAATGCCAAAGCCATATTTGAGAAACAACGCCTCAGATCCCCTTCCTCCTACGATACGTCTGAACAGACGATGACGCCAGGAGATCTCTCGAACATGACAAAACCGGAGCTCGATGTACCTGATGAGGCTCGCATTCGTACCGTTGTTATGTACTACGATCGCGTAGGGGACACAGGACGCGCCGAATTCCATCAGCGACCGCCCTGGACGGTGATACCTTCAGCCGGTAACAAGCTGGAGGGGTTTCGGTCGATCGAGCAAGTTGCTTTTGGCACACCGGGCCCAAGAGCAGTGGTGAGGGAAGTGCTGATGCACACCTAATCTACCAGCACTGCAGCGGTGTGCATCATCAGATCCTCATTACCCAAGCGGGCGACGCCTGCAAATGGGCCGCCAGAAAGATTTCGATAAGACATAGTCGGTGACTGCAAGTCAAGCTTCATGGGCGAAACCACTGACTGTGAGTCAAGCTTAAGAGGAGGAATCAGGCGAGAATAGGCTTGGGTATTAAGATCTTGTACATCTACTCAATACTCGATCTGTATACGCTCATCGCAGCTCCCGCACATCCTCGACCTCTGCCTTACGATATTTGGCGCCATGGTCAGCGGGCTGCTGCGGCCATTCGTCCAACGTCCCTTCCGATCCCGTAACTGTGAAATTCCACATCGCCAAGGGTACCTCTCCAACGGTGTCTATCATCAGCGCATAGTCGCCAGGATACAACATCTGGTTGCCCGACTCGTCGAACCGGCTCAGGCTTCCGAGCGTGAGGTTCAGTTGTGCGGTCTGTGAGGCTCCACCGGAGACGTTGAAGAGCCGTTCGTACGCGACAAGAGTCTTAATGGGATATGGCTGCGGCCCGTACGATCCGGTCAGGAACCCCAGGGTCACGTAGTCGGACGAGACGGAGCCTGTGTTGGATACTGTAACGGGTATAGTGGCGAAGGGGCATAGATCGAGTGGTGAAGAATCGTTGCAGCTCGCCATAAGGGCAGAGATGTCGTAAGTAGGAGACTCTGACGACGTTGTGCTAGAGTTGGATGAAGAAGCGAGCTCAGGTTGGCCGATCGAGGCAGTGAAGTTGGTGTAGTGGAGACCGTAGCCGAATGGGAAGACAGGGGTAGGATACCAACGATACGTGCCTGATTGAATGTCAGTTCTCATTATCAGGGCCAAGAGGGAATAGAAGTGACTTACGGCCTGGATTACCAGTAGACTCATTGGGACGCAGTCCCATGTCGGTCATCTCCACATCATTCACATAATGACCTGGGTAGACTGTCACCGGCAAGCGCCCCGCTGGTGCAGTCTTGCCGGTAATGACATTAATCAATGCAGTCCCGCCATCTTGGCCGGGATAGCCGCCCCAAATGATGGCAGAGATATTCTCGTTCGCAAGCCAGGCTGAGTTGTCGAGCGACGTACCGAATTGAGCCAGGATCGTGGGTTTGCCGAGAGATGAGATTTGTCCGAGCACGTCGACCACACCGCCGTTCCAGGAAATGCTTTCGCGGTCATTCGACTCAGACTCTCCGTCAGTATTGATGCCGCTGGCATAGATGATGATGTCTGCGACCTGCGCAGCAGCGAAACCGGCGGGGAAGTCGTCGGTTGTTGGGTAGTTATTGAAACTTGCATAAATGGCGTTAACGTTAGGCAGCTGTTGAAGGGCATAGAGTGGACTATGCGTGTATGGAGGGATACCAGCGTAGTTGCCCAAGAGTTCATCTGTAGCGTTGGCCCACGAGCCCATGATTGCAACAGTGATGTTGCTACCGTCCGATGAGCTGAGATCCAAAGGCAGGGTGCCGTCATTCTTGAGGAGGGTCATTCCTTCCTCGGCAGCTCGTAGCGCCAGAGCCTGTGCTTGGGGTGTGTTGACATCGTCGAAGGTGAGCGCACGGTATGGATTGCTGTCAGCTGAGTCGAAGTATCCCAATCGGACCTGAGCAGAGTACAAGCGAGTAATGGCTTGATCGATGGTCGAATTCTCAAAGAGTCCTTGTGCATAAGCCCCGGGCAGGTGGGATTGGTAGTAAGTGCCGCAGTCAAGGTCCGTTCCAGCAAGTAGAGCATCGGCAACTGCTTGCTCTCTGGTGTCGGTATAGTCGTGGGGCGAGAAGATGTTCTGAATCGAGTCGCAGTCAGAGGTAACGTAATGCCCGTCTGCCTCCCAGCCCCAGTGCTCTCGAAGGATATCTTGCAGGATATAGCTGTCCGCGCATGTCGGAACTGCAAATCTAATCAGCTTCGGTTCGGGCAAAAGGGCGTATGCTCGAAGATAGCATTGCAAGGTTCAGACGAGCAACCGCTTTCTCACTCAGAGACATATGCTCAGGCAGTCTTCGCGTGATGCTCGTTTTCGGACACAAGTTTGACCATGGGAGAGCAACTTACCGCCATTGAGCGCGTTGTAACTACACATAACTGAGCTGACTTTGCTGTCCCGTGCACACTGCTGGAAAGGCTGCATAAAATACTCTGAGAGGTCTTGGGGCGTCACTTGAGCGTCGAACCCGTATCGTTCGTTGCCGTGCCAGTCTTCCATATCATATGCCACGAAGTGCTTGCAGGTGGCTACGATCTTCAGGAATTCCTCGCTGCCCTGTAGGCCGGCAATCAGAGCCGCGACGTAGGACTTGATGTGGAAGGTATCCTCTCCTGCGTCTCCAATGCACGTCCCCAACGAGGATCTCGCACAGGGTTGATATTGGGTGTCCAGAAGTCCAGTCCAGAGCGATTGAAGTTGTTGAACGCGCGAGCCTCGGTCGAGATCGTTGATGCAACATTGAAGATGAGGTCGTTGTCAAAGGCAGCGGCCAACGTGATTGGTAGAGGGAACGAGGTCGCAAGAGAGAAGTCTCCTTCGGTGCTGAAGTTGACTCCTGGACTTTCGGCGACGCCATGAAGAGCCTCGTTCCACCACGTGTAGGGGTATAGTCCTAATCGTGGAACGCCTGGACTAGTCGAGCCTGTAAGGTTGAACTTTTCCGCCGGCGTCAGGACTGATACCAAGCCTTGGACTCTTTCCGAGACCGACTTGGAAGTGTCGCAGATAGCATTACCTGCGAGCGGACCGTTGGCACAGTCGGGATACTGCTGTGCCAAGGCGGGCACTGTCAAGACCACAGCCGACAAAAGTATTGAAAACATGTTGACTGTAGTTCGGTGCCAAACAATGAACGACTACCTACCTCGATTCACGAATGCTCTTGATGCGCCATCCGCTTATGTACTTACCTTGAGCTCGTCCATTTGCGCAGAGTCATGGACCAGTACATCCACTACGAATACATGACGGCATCGCAGGAAAAGTCGATCTTCCCCTCAACAACAATGCCGATCCTGTACAGTAAAGGCAGGCACGAAGCCTCGGGTCTTAGCCTCAATGTACATTGACAAGCAAGACTCTTCGCGTATCGATGAAGTGCCGGTCTACAACGCGAGACCGAATTCCGCGGTGTCGTGGCGAATGCTTGAAAACCTACCTAGGTATCCAAAATGAATTAGGCTGAATGTACAGTAGTCGATTTTGTGGGGTAGCAGTCGGACCTCTGTGGGGAATTACGAGGTGGTGGATGATGAACACCATCGGCATTGAACCGCATCTGGATGAAAGCAGGACAGTCGTCCGTGAGTTTGGTGAGACACAAGTCCAGCTGTACAGCGCACAGAGCGACTCTGCCGTGTCAGCCGTAGTGCTGATCGGAAATCGTTTCCTTCGATCGCCAGGTTGAGACCAAGTTACTACAGCAAGGTGGAGGAATCTCTGGAACGCGAGGCACGGAGAACGCGCAGACTTCAGTGCTCAGCACCTGCCCTGAACTGGCTGTTCAATGATACCGTAATCAGAACAACGACTTTGGTGGAAGGACGCGAACGATCCGAAGGAGTCGAAACAGGAACGACGAAAAGTCTGACATCTCGAATATTTGCCAAATGCCGAGCAGATTCTATTTAAGCAGTCATCCGGTCTCACTCGAGTGACATCCATTCGCCAGATGCATAAGCTGTGATGTCGAGTCATCCGGTCTCGTATAGACCCGTTCGCGGTCATCCGGTATTAAGCATCCGAGGGAAAGCATGCTTCCGATCTCATAACTACCTACATTCATACCTAACACAATGTCATCATCTACGTCGCATAGCAGAGCAGCAGTAGGAAGACATTTTGAAGAGGTCATAGCAACGGCAGAATACAAATACATTGACCGCGCGATCTCTCTGATCCTGCCAATCTTGATCTCGGTTTTCGTGTATTTATATTACTACAACGTTCAAGATGACAGCCGTCCTTGCGACGGCTGATAGCTTCCATCCTGCCTTTCCTGACCGGTCCGTTCCAAACATAGCCTACGGATCCTCATCATTCTCCCAGTTATGCGCTCAACACGTCTCAAGGACCCTCGGATGCCGCCGCGCCTACATCATCGCCTCGACATCCCTGGCCAAGAACACTCCCCATCTCACCAACCTCGTTTCCACTCTCGAGCAATCCGGAATCACCGTAGTGCGCGCCCGCACGGGCTTCTCACCTCACACGAAATGGGACCAAGTCATTGCATGCAGTGCGGACGCCCGGCCACTGCGACCAGACTGCATCATCACCCTAGGCGGCGGCTCACTGACCGACGCCGCCAAAGTGATCTGCTGGATGCTCGCCCAACCATCCTCCATCGACTCAATCTCCGGCCTCGAGACTATGTCCGAACACGGCTACCCTGAGACCTTCAACCACAACCTCAACCCACCCACGGTAAAGCACGTCGCCATCCCCACAACCCTGTCCGGCGGAGAATACCAATCCATATCAGGCATGACCCGCACCGACATCACCAACGGAGAGAGCGTCCAACGAAAAGTCCTCTTCTCCCCACCCGAAGCAAATCCTACCCTAGTCATCCTCTCCCCATCCCTCACCCTCACCACACCCCTACACACATGGCTCTCTACCGGCGTCCGCGCTTTAGACCACTGCGTCGAGACGCTCTGCTCGCTGCTCTCGAACCCCAAGGGCGATGCTTCGGCCGTTGAAGGCCTCAAGCTCCTCATTCCAGGACTCCTGGGCACGCGAGCCGATCCGGAGGGTCCAGAGGCGAGATTTCAGTGTATGCTAGGGGTTATACAGGCTATGAGTGCTGTCGGTACTGGTGTGCCCATGGGCGCGAGCCACGCTATTGGCCACCAATTGGGTCCATTGGGCGTGGGCCACGGCGAGACGAGTTGCGTGTTGCTTCCGAGTGTGTGTAAGTGGAATCATAAGGTGGGCGCGAATGTTGAGCGGCAAGAGAGGGCGAGGGAGTTGCTTTTGAAGATCGACGCCGTCGTTGATGTGCTGACGAAGGCAGATGGGAAGGGGAAAGAGCGGGATCTTGGAGATATACTCGACATTGTGATCCGAGCGCTGGGAATGCCGAGGTCTTTGAGAGATGTTGGTGTTGGGAGGGAGCAGTTGGATATGCTCGCGAGGAATAGTCTGAAAGATCATTGGATCATGACGAATCCGAAGCCGATTGATCAGAAGGAATGGGTTATGGAGATTCTGGAGATGGCTTTTTGAAGGCCGTGAATTGCAGGCACGATGCCCTTTGTGTCAGTGTACAGGCGGGCAAGGGCAGCTATGACGCTCAAGTCATGCCACGCTTACGCCTGGGTCCTCAACATCATCCTGATCAATCATCCTCACTTTGTCAAAGGTCTCCCTGGTCCGTGACATTGTCACGTTGACAGATGTGATCTCCATGCTGAACTTTGCTTGTCCCACCAAGTAGCAATAGATACCACCATGGCATGACAGTGAGCCTGTGGCAGCGGCAGCCATGATGTTGGGAAAGGAAAGTGAGGTCGAGGGCAAGAAGACGACTGTTATACCCCATCAACAACGTAAAGATCCGACGCAAACCGAGACTAGCACTTCACTGATCCGGTTAAGAAGCATGCACTATACTCTGCGTGACTTGAGACCAGTTGCTGCTTGGCGCATTCACTTAGACAACTTGGACGCGCAGTTACTAGTGGCTGAGGTTCCAAGTAGGTTGTATTCGAGAACACTCTCTGAGAATGCAGGCAAAATGGATTGCTAGAGACGCCTCCACCGCACAAGTGCAGTGAGCTAGCGCTCGCCATCGCAAACCATCCATCTCATGCAACCCTTGACGGGGCAACGGGCCCTTAGACGACTTGGGCCACGTTAGCAACTCAGCTTAGCTAAAGCCTCAACCCACTTCCTTGCATCAATGCCCATCCCCTCCACAACGCCTCTCGCACTCGTAGGCGTCGCGACGGATGAACTTGCAGCACTAGCCCCACTCACAGACCTACCAGCGTCGCTACCTCCCAGACCAAGCCATCTCCCACTACTGCCGTTGCGCTTCTGCTCAACTTTAGCATTCCCAGGATCGATGGCTCGCCGCACCAGGAAAGCCTCGATCTCGACACCACGGCCGTCGAAGTCAGGTCTTGACCCCTCGCGTTGCTGACGAGAAAGCTGATTTGGAACGGCAGGACCTGGACTGGGAGCTGCACTGTCATTTGGTGTGACTGGAAGGGTAGTGCTCGGGCTTAAGGAGCTGCGCATCCAGACTATCCACCAGCCTCGAGCGGTCTTGACGGTACGTTCTATCTCGTCTTCGCCACCTTGCCCAGGTCGTGTGGCGATGTAGGTGTGGAGGAGCTGAGAGTGGATGTTCAAAGCATCGAGACGTGTGTAGTCAGATCGGACGAGTGTTGTGTTCTGACGAGAAGCGGCGGAGCTAGCTTCGACAAGAGGTGGAGAAGGCGCTCCTATCGGTATGCCCAGCGTGTACCATGCGCCTGAAGCACTGCGGCTTTGAGCTGATTTTGCCCCAGATGTCACTCCAAGCATACCCTCAGCAGCTAAACTGCCCGGGAGTGGGATGTTGGGAATGCTTGTCCGGACAGTGAGCTTTGCAGGATCATAGATCCAGTCGTATATGCCAGCAGAGCCAAGCTGATTGACTTTGTCGCCTAGCACGTCCATGAGGCGTTCAGGGATACGAGCAGGATCTGTGCTGCGTAATAACGGCTTCTGTAGAGGTCCTAGCTGATGGTGGATAGATCGATAGGAACTTGGCATCGTCAAGGAGGCAGTCTGGAGATCGAACAGGAAAACGAAAATGAATGGTCTGTGTACGTAGACGATCACCCGTAGTTTGTCATGACTTTCGGACGATCTGATCGGAGACGTCGAATTACGGCGTTGTGAGCGGTGTCGATGGTCGAGTTGCACAGTGACTGTCCTCATGAAGATACGCGAGCTGTCCCGGGCTGCGTCTATAGCTGTCTCATGACCAGGCTCGTCGGTGGCTTCGGCCTCGAACTCGGCGTTCTCAAGATCGCCAGGAAGGCCAATGAGGAAGCGACCTATCGAGTGCTCGACACGCTGGACGAAAGGCGCTGCAGCATGCTCATCGTTATCGCTCATCTCGGGGACTGGATCGATCTGATTGAGTTCTTCCTGTGGAGTCTCTGGAACGGTGTCCTTCACAGATACTTCACACGTGTCGGGCTGTTTTGCATTTGATTCCTCATTCTGTCCAGCTGAAAAACCCTTCGGATTTAGAGTCCAGCTCGAACCATACCCGAGCTTTAGATAGCTGACCATTTTATCAGAGTCGAAGTACGATCCGGAATGCTCTGCTGCGCGTGGCGATTTGTCACTCTCCTCTGCACTTCTCGTTGCGTCCGCGAGCGCTCTTTCGACGATGCCGGTAACAGGTGGAGGGATTCGGGGCGGAGCAGAGGAGCCATTCCTCGTCGCTTTGCCGGAATCTGGCGACTTATCACGAGAGTGACGATACTTCGGGCTCAGGACTCCCTCATGGAGCGGCTGCCTGCCATGAAGTCGTGCATCCGTCCTCTGCTTCTTTCTTCGTGCTCTGGGCCGAGAGCTTGGATTATCACCCACGCCGTAAGCATTGTCGCCATCCGTGGATATTGCTTCCATCCACTGGGACACAGTCGCAAGAGAGCGCCTCGACAGAGCACCTATGCCGGAGAAGACAAGACCATCCGCAGCCAGAGGCTCATTGCCAGTGCCGAGCCAGGGTGTTGGATCCTGAGCGGTCTTTTCTGGAAGATCGACTGCAGGAGCAGCATCGCCATAGCGACCCACAATGAGATCCTTGAGGCCTTCGGTCCGATGGACGAAGTCTTCCAGAACTTCACGTTCGCCGCTGCCCCATTCCTCTTCGCCCACACCTATCCCGAGCTCACCTCCACCCGCCAGCTTCGTGCCATTGTAGACGTCCACTATGGGATTTCCGTGAAGCAGCACGTCCCACCGGCTGCTGAACCTGGTCCAGTATTTTTCAAGCACTGCACTGAACCTTGGACGTCCCAGACGAGTATGCAGGTCATTGAGATTTGCCGCTTGATGAAGCAAGAAGATATCGTGAGCTCGTTGCAGCTGAGCTATGAGCAGCTGCCCAGGTGCGACTTCCCGGGAAGAGAATTCCACATTCGAATCTGGTGGTGACTGCTGTTTTGCAGCAGCAGGCAGCCGAGTCAGATCAATAGACACCAGAATCCACCATCCGGGCTCTAGCTCATGTAGAACAATCCTGGACTTCTCGGTCTCAATGGCACTGACAGAGGTGCCGTTGGAGAAGTTGCTGCACTCGTTGTCAATGAACTGACGTGTATGGCGAGCGGACGACGTACATACTTGGCGAAGTCGACCATGCCACGAGCAAGACCTACCTGACGCAGCTGCTCATTCTTCACGGCTTCAATTACCTCTGTTGCAGCTTTGTTGTGCGTGTCAGGCCTGTCCTTGAACAGCGTCTGATGTTTCCGAACATGCTGATCATTCGAGTAATGGAAGAAGATCTGCTCGTATTCCGTCTCATCGCTGTCACCGAAGGCGGGATTGTAGATCGTGAGGAAGGCGAGTTGCGCCGGAAGCACTTTCCCGGCGCTCGATACGGATGACATGGCGAAGAGGAAGTCTTAGAGGAGCCATGGAGTAGTGCTGTCCGCTCGAGCGATCCGCGAGAGTGCTACGCAAGGGATCTGGTCAATACCATGCACGGTGTAGGAACACTGCAATGAGGTAGAGACATGGAGTTGACATTTGACCGAGAGCACGTGACCAGACCACCAAAAAGAACTTCGCACAGCAAGCACACTGCTGATCTGGTAAGACAGTCTATGTATCTACTTCATCTACAGCGACTCATGGTGCGGATGCGTGCAGTTGATCTGGCCAGCAGCTTCACGACATGTCAGTCAACTTGCGTGATGTGTCGAGCGTATGAAATCATCGTGTCGGCCACAGAATTCAGACGTGGCAAGCACAGCACCACAGACAGAGCCTCAAGTTGTGTTCCTTCTGCAATGTTCACATCTGATTGTCTAGTATATGACTTGGGGGTGAATTAGTTGCATGGATGACCAAGGCACGACTTTGCAAACGCCGTAACGAGAGCGCCTTTGATCGAGTAGTGGACTAATGGTTATCTCGGTCGCAGAAGCGAAACGCCTTCGATGCTGGCGGGGCCCAGCACCTGATGCTGACCAGTGGAAGACTCATAGATCTGCGTAGACAGGAATAACGCTGCTGACTCCCATTTGCATTCTTTCCCACCCTATGTTCCCCACCCAGATTCCCGCCAAAAGAGGATGAATGTCAAGACGTCAAAGGCGACAAATGGATGGTCTTGTTGGTTGATCGTATCCAGGTATATTCGACAGACGGCGGAATGGTTGCACGCTGTGGTCGTGGTCCCATGACACGCATTTACAGGATCATACACTTATGCTTGCCCTTGCCGCTCTTGCGAGTCAGAAGAGCAGCACGGGTCGCCGATTCGAACACCTCGCGAACGCCGTGGTTGGTCTTGGCTGAGCACTCAAGGTACTTGTAGGCACCGATCTTCTTGCGGACTTCCTCACCCTGGTCTCCTCGTTAGCGTCTTGCACCGGCTTCGCTGTGGCTAGCCTTACCTGTTCTGGCGTTACCGGTTTCTGAGAGGTCTTCGCAAGCTCTTCGATGGTCTTAGGATCGTGACGCAGATCACTCTTGCAGCCGACGAGGATGATGGGGAGCCCTTGGCAGAAATGTAGAACTTCAGAGATCCACTATCAAAGTGTTAGCTGCGATTGTTTGAAATGATTGTGGCCTGCGAACCTTCTCTTGAACGTTGTCCAGCGAATCGGGGGAGTCGACGGCGAAACAGATAAGGATGACATGAGAGTCCGGGTATGAAAGAGGTCGAAGTCTGTCGTAATCCTCCTGACCAGCAGTATCCCATAGGGCTAGTTCCACGTGCTTTCCATCGACCTCGACGTCGGCAACGTAGTTCTCGAAGACGGTGGGGACATAGACCTATAGAGATGTGTCAGTACTAGGACTGAGAGCCACAGGGCCGGCATGGGACCCATTTTGTTTATCGCCGCTCGTGCTATATCAGTGGCGCAGATAAAGGAGATGCGGTGGGAGGATACGCATGCTGTCCGGATCGGTCGAGTGGTGGTCTTACCTCTGGGAATGTACTTCGAGAAGACACTGGTCCATCATTAGCATCAACGCCAGATGACTTGCAATTGATGCACTCACATCAACAAGCAAGTCTTTCCGCAGGCACCATCACCGACAATGACGAGTTTGCGACGGATCTCAGCCATGGTGGCCGGCTCGATTCTCGGTCGGGAAAAGGTCGAAAAGGAGTGGGATGTTGACGGTAAGTTTCTCGATCCAGAAGTCTGATCAGAAGATGGTTAATGGCGAGGCGTGGTGATGAGAAGATGAATAGATGGAGGATTGATGGTGAAACTGGAAGAGGCTGTTGAGATGCGGAAACACCTCTAGCGGCCGTGGAGACCCTGACCCTGCGGTTGGCTTTAAGGTCTTGAAACCCGCAAAACACCCGCCGTAGTCCTTCACACGCGATAGAGACTGGTAAGCTTGATTTGAGAAGCAGATGAGGATTTCAGACGAGACGTAAATTAAAGAGCAATCGTCCTCGCTTCGATATGGAATGGTTTGCCTATATCTCACGATCAAACGGATGTGCTCGTGACGCGGGATGGATATGCGCGATGATTGCCAGTCCTTCTCCGCCTGAAGGTAGCCCGGTCGCCTAGAAACGGCTCACCCCAGGCATTACTGCAGCAGTCTTATCTCTGTCTTTCCGTTACTACAGTAATCTAACTTGGCGGTAGAGCCGCTACATTTTGGACATCGCGACCACTGTTCTGCGACTCTCCGCAACCAGCGCGATCCCCGGAAAGACATGAATCAAGTCAGACCACGAGCAGGCGTCTTCGCTGTTGCTGTGAGCCGCCGTGAAAGGCACTCTCCGTAGGAGCCCATTGACCTGACAATCGATGGCAGAAAAGAATCGATTGAAGCCAAGCAGTGTGCGTGCAGATCCCGAACTTGGGCACTTCCATGCTTCGAAAGCCGCGTCTTCTCACAAGTGTTCAATGGGTGGCTCATGTGCTTGCATACAAGAATCCGGGATGCTCCAGATCCTCTTCAGACACACGCCATCTGCGGCGGTGCAAGCTGAGCCACATCTCATTTGAACCCTATGTCATTACTCCGGGCGTTGGGGGAACTTTCGATGATCGCTGCTTGAACCCAGCTGCCATGTCAAAAGGATACTAGTATCATGAAACTTGGCAGGAACGCTACCCTTGTCCAGCTGGTAGGTATCACTTGCATCCTGAAGGTAGCCAATCCCAGCGATGCTCCTATTATCCAAGGTTCAGGTTTCGTTCAGCAGGTAAGTACACCGTGAGATAGTAGTGCTGCTCGCAGCCAGACGTTACTGCCCCGCCGTTCAGGAACGTGTCAATGGTTGCGTCATACCTTGCTGCTCCCGCGATAAGTACTTGAGGGGCTCCTTCAACCGATCTGACTTGTCTCTATCACCTAACACTACCTCACAATTTAATCGAAAGTCTTGAACTGAATTCATCATGGACAATCTGATCAACAAGGGAAAGTCGATGCTGTCCGGCAGCGGTGGCAGCCATGGAACTACAGGGACTACCGGAGGACAAGCGTACGCCTCGACATTCGCTCCTGACATGTATATTTACTGACATTTCGACAGCTCGGGACAGCAAGGTGGTCAGGACTATCTCGACAAGGGTGTCAATGCTGTGCAGGACAAGCTCGGCATGGACAAGGACCACAAATATGACAAGTACGAGGAGAAGGCTACAGATTTCGCCAGAGGACAGTACGAGAAGAGCTCTGGCAAGCCTGTCAACCCTAAGGTACGGCGGCGTCATCGAGAAACCGAGCTCCATGCTAACATCAGAAACCAGATCTCCAACTAGTGTCGCCCCTGAAGAAGGAGATCCTCCTCTGACTGAGGCCTGCCAAACCCAGCGGTCGGTAAGCCTACGAAATGCTTCGTCATGGGCAAAGAGGAGGAAGAACGCATTACAATGAACTCATCTATACACCAATGATACATGGATATCCCACCAATGGCCCTAGGACGTCGACACATTGACTTGTGGACAAGTCGCAAATCATCTTCGTATGAGGCGCAATCGCCACAGTCTGGAACCCGCTAGCAACATGCCGCAGAAACACTGCGCACTTTGTCCAATCTCAACCGACAGGTGTTTTCCGAAGACCGCTTGTCGGTGAGTACCGCTTCAGACCTGTTACTCGACCCTCCTTGCCCATCACCGACGACCGCTCATGACCTGATATAAATGTCCCCATGCGAACCACAGGTTTATGTTCGCTCCCGGTGCCTTCCAGGCGTCTTGATGCCGCCCAACCCGGTCATGCACGTTCCTGCACGGTGGTCTGATCTGAAGTAGTACTGCTGCACCCGTGGGCCTCGCGTCGATGACCCTCGTATCGCAGCAGTGAATTGACTTAACAAGATAAGACTGCAGCCGTCGCGGTCATGCCAACGCCCTGCAAGGCCACTGGCTACACGATTTCTTTGTCGGGAAGGAATATCGTCCTGCACGTCCCCACGTTCATCACGCTATGCCGCGCAACGGAGCAATCCGACGGGCTCGAACCCCTGAAGATCTGCAAGCGGTCAACCTCGGAATATCTTGCCTTCGGGATATGTTGCCGTTGGCAAGAACACCTTGCCATATTATTATATACATATTACGAACAAATCCTGTACATCTGACCTGTTAAAGGTCAGGCTGTCAGGATGTCACAGGCCAACGCGCAGTTCGCCGCAAAGTCAAGGCCAATGTAGCCGAGTGAAGTGTCTACACCCCACCAGGCATCACACCGACTACTACGTTCATTCACGTGTAGGGAGTATTCACTTCCCCTTTCATGAGTTGTTCGACACCAAGGCTTGACGTTCGTTTGACACAGCTTGCAGGCTGTAGTGCTATATTAGATGCGCCTTCCTCCCTCGGCAAGCCACTGACATTGCACACTCGTTGTCCCTACGCAGTATTTACAGTCGCTACTATGTCTCGAAAGCTCAAGATTGGCATCGCTGGCCTCGGCCGTATGGGTGCCCGCCACGCGAACCATTTCAACGCTCTCACGCCTCGAGCAGAACTCATCGCCGCCTGCTCACCAGCGCCGCACGAACTAGAATGGGCTGCCACGAATTTGCCAGATGTGCGAACATACTCAAGCTTCGACGAGATGCTTGAGAACGAGACCGCCCTTGAAGCCGTCGTCATTGCATCCATCACCGCCGCTCACGCCGAGCAAGCCATCAAGGCTATGCAGAAGGGCCTCCACGTACTCTGTGAGAAGCCACTGAGTATCGACGCCGAGATCGTGAGTAGTCGGGATATGCTTCTGTGAATGCCAAGAGCTAACACCAAGGTTACACAGTCCCAAACGGTCGTCGACACATACGCCAAATCCATCAAGCAGTATCCCTCTCAGAAGGTCATGTGCGGCTTCTCCCGCCGTTTCGACGCCTCATATCAAGACGCCTACGCAAAGACGCGATCTGGTCTCATCGGGCGACCGACTATCTTTCGTTCTCAGACCTGCGACAAACGTGACCCTTCAGGCTTCTTTATCAACTTCGCTGCATCGTCCGGCGGGATTTTTGTTGACTGTTCGGTCCATGACATCGATTTAGCACTCTGGTTCCTGGGCGAGGACTCAGTCATCAAATCTATCAGCGCTGTCGGCGTGTCGGCCGTGTCTCCTGGCCTAGACGCGCACAATGATCGAGACAATGCAGTTGGATTTGTGGAGTTCTGGGGTGGGAAAATTGCCTACTTCTACACGTGCAGAATGATGGCCGCTGGTCAGGAGGACTCGACAGAGATCATCGGAACTGAGGGTAAGTTGACGGTGAACATGCAGCCTCAGATGAATCTCGTTAGTATTTACGAGTCGACGGGCATCAGGAAAGAGATTCCACAGAACTACTATGATAGGTTTCGGGAGGCTCTGGTCAATGAGGCTAACGAGTTTGTGGCGTGTTGTCTTGATGACAAGCCGTTGCCGCTGAAGTTGTCGGGTGCGGTGAGTGCAGTCAGGATTGCTCATGCGTTGCAGGAGTCCATGATCTCGGGGAAGAAGATCGACTTCGATGAGGCCGGGACGAGGATCGTGCCAACTTTGAACGGCCACTAAACCGCTGCTCTGCTGCAGTTTCGAGCATCACGGGAGACAGGGCGCCAGGCTGATGATCAGAAACCAGACTCCGATACATTCACCTCTGGCAGATGGGCCATCATACAAGCGAGACCTGAGCCTCACGGCATAGACGGACAAGCATGATAGATCACGCACCTGGATAGACTACGATTGATTGCACTAGGGCTAATGGCATCTACTTCAACTCATCCTGCACGATGAGCATCCCATCACTTGCCTCATCCCCAGTAGCATCAGCCATCAAATTCAACCAAGCAGCCAGCCTCCTCCCACCATTCCTCACCTGCTGATCCAAAATCTCCACAGCACCCACATAGTACTCTCCACCCAAATCCCCAGCCTGCACCCCCTCCACATCATCTCTCAACACATAGCTACACACATACCCATTCGCCTCCTGCGCCCACTCCAACGCACACTCCGCCGCATCACTAACACACTCCCTACTCACATCCCCCGCCTCCCCATCCGAATCGAACAACTCCTTCGCCCACAAGAAACTTGCCTCCTCCTCCCTCTCCCGCCTCGGATCCCCTGGGGGGCCAGGCCACCACTCATCCCGCTTCCGATACTTATTCGGCATCAGGCTATCCCACACACTATGCAGATTCGTCCTTCTCCCGTCAAACACAACCTCAATCCCGTTCCCGCCGCGGTCCTCCTTCTCCGTGTGCAGCGGCTGATGGATGTCGCCGATGAAGTGCAGCACGAAGCGGAGGGACTGGGCCTGGAGGAAGCGTGGGAGGGAGGGGTCGAGGACGCGCGCCGTGTGGTTTGCGATGGCGGAGACGACGCAGCCGGTGTGGGGCAGGCAGTCGCGGGTGATGTTGATGGCGCAGAGGCGGGGTGGGTCGTCAGCGGCGTCGATGTAGTGCCAGGCGCGGGTGTAGGCGAAGATGGGGATATGGGCGATTTTGTCAGGGAATAGGGCGGCTTCTGAGATATCTTGCCCATTAAGCAAACGATTTGTCCATCTCGTTGCTTCAGGCGTCAGGTACAGCGAGGCAAGGTAAGCAACAGTGCGATGACCTAGAGATCCCCATGCAAGCGCTGTTGATGCCGTGCAGGCAGCGACAAGTAGGTTGGCAATTCGCATCTTGGCTGTTCCGACCCGGAGTGTAAACAATTACGAAAGGTGCGACCAGTGCGTCAAACGATGGGAATGTGCGTCTTTATTGTTGGTCACATATGCAGATAGCTCAGTAGCATCGTCGATGACCATGTGTTTGCATTGTTGTCCGGGAGCATGACCTTCTCGGCGACCGCCTCGTGACCAATGATGCCTGGTGATGCCTGTTGACTCTGAAACCAGCCTTATGTGGACGCGAGTCGTCGAGGCCAACGGTACCTGTTACGGTGAACCGTGGCAACCATAGCCGCTGGTGAACAACTGCAGGCGCATATTGTGCGACTCTTTCACTCAGGACTAAATTTCTGTCAGCTGGCTGCACGAAAACGCTGAGGCTACAGAGCGACAGATCGCTTTCTCAACTCAGTGGCGATCATCACCTCCATGCAACGAGCACGGCAAACCCAGCTTGTTCTGGAAGGAGATCTCCAATTCCCTGGATCGTCTTTTTTTGGGCGCTATTTTGAAGCACGTGTACTTTTGCATAGCTTGAAACCGACGGCCATAGACAAGCAGCCCGAGAAAGCCGCCATTTATATGAAGATTCGGTGCAGGGCTCGCCGCCTAATCGGCCTCGGATCTCCGTGCCTAAACGCGCTGGGCCACCCATGGCAACGCCAAAGAGGCAGCTGAAGCTCGTGAGTGGTAGTACGAAATGCGGTGAGCGAGCCGAATGTACGGATAAGGATGCCCAGTACCCGCTACCTCAGCCTATGGTGAGGCAAGCAAATTAGCAATCTATCATGGCCTTCTCGAGCAACAACGCTTCCGCGGAAGCATATAATCGACTACAGGCGTACAGCATAGTCCTCAACGCCGGTTTTGCAGTTTCATAAGAGCAGCAGCAATATAACGCGGCAAAGAGGCACTAACTTTTGCATGCGTCTTTATCATTGATAGGTTTCGGCTAACGCGTCACCTGCATCTGAGAGTTCTCGGCTTCGCGCGGGCGCAATGCCTCTTGTCAGCCGTCCTGTATATCAGAAAGCCATGTCTGTGAGTCTTCCATAAATCGACAACTCGTCTCTGAATCAACCGTCCTGATGTTTGCACGCTTCAAGGAGTCGTTGAGTCCTGCTCCCCAAGAAATCTCGACAAAACGCCGCGAGCAGATAAGGAGGGCACAGCGGTAAGCCTTCTGTCGCTTGGCGTCTTCAAGCATAGCCCTACAGCATACTAAATTCCACAGTACACATCGCGAGCGAAGAGCGAAGTATTTGGAAAACCTCGAGGCTGAGATCAAGTACTTGCGAACAGAGAATGGCCGCCTTACGCGCGATTTGGCGCGGAAGGATATCGTGAACGACAGACTTCGCATTCTCCTGGCTGCCAGCAACATAACAATCCCTCCCGAAATGAATACTGTGGAAGACTCGGCGTTGACAACACGCGTAGAAGTAGTGGGCAAAACTGGAGAAATGCAGCATTTACGCCTGACTACAACTCCAGCAGATGCATCATTACCAGTGTCGTCCGGGCGGCCATCGCTCAACCTCCCGCCTCCAAGCAGCAAAGACCCACTCGCCTCAATTGAGGACGCTCAAACCGCGATCTCTTTCGTACTCGCCCTCGAACAGCCATGCCTCCCACATTGGCATCGGCATATCGGCGAGGACGACGAGAACGGTCATGCAACGCAACTGCAATCCTCGATCCTGGAGATTCCGCCTGAATCTTCCGACGTACAAATGCTGGATGCGCAAGTTGCAAAGGCTCAGCCTGTACCTACAGGCACCCAGTGGACTGTGTCTACAGAGCATCTGAGGACACAACTCGAAGCGCTAGCGCAAACATCGAAGAGACTGAGTCTCGAAGGCGAATTAGTACCGGTAATGTGTTGGAAGGCGATCACGGAGTGGCACAAGAATGCGCCAATTACTCTGGGTCAACTCGCACGGCTTGAACAGGCGCTGAGGGAAGAGATCATGTGCTATGGTGAGTATGCCAGTCGTTGTTCATTGCGATGTTACTGACATGTAGCAGGATTCGGTGCGGTCATCGATACCGTGACTTTCGATGCGATCTGTCGCAGAACGTTGAGGAGCCATTAGCAGTCGAGCTACTTCAATGACAGCGCCATCCCAGACTTTGTGCGTGCAGGGCATGTGGGGTACCCCACGGAATGTTGTCAACCTTGGAACCTCGGTCGTCTCCAGCTTTCAAGTTTGACCACCCCCGAATGAGCAAGCACGACCTCCCCTACCCCAAACTGCTATGCAAAGGCCAGAGATCATTCTCGCAGGTTCATTCGCACATGTTCCCCTCGATCTCGGAAGTTCCGGTGGTCCCACATGTGCTATGTGTAGCCTGGACATGTACCGATCCATGTTTGGACTGTGGGGCATGGGAACGCGAATGACAGATTTCACATACAAGCAGCACGACTCGCAGTAGACGAGAATGAACGGCGCCAAACGACGGGAAACAGCACTCTTCAACCATGCCTACTCACAGGTTCTTAGGCAATTTGCACGATTGCTATCATAGCACCGACACAAGAGCCAATGGCGAGCTAGCGGCCAAGCTGCAAGGCCAGAACGTCGTAATTGCCGGCAGTGGCAGAGGCATTGGACGAGCGACAGCAGAGTTGTTCAGCTATGGAGCGAAGTCTCTGAGCTTGGTGGCCCTCGAGCAGGATGAGGTGGACGAAACGGGCAGCATCTGCAAAAAGCTGAATCCCACTGTCGAAATCTACTGTCAGGCTCTGGACGTCTGCGATCCAGTCGCAGTTCGCAAATTCCTCGACAATGTCGTGTCACGTTTCGGGTCGATAGACACTCTGATCATGAATGCCGGCCGTCCACCACAGTGGCTCCCAACTCACGAAGGAGACCCATTGATCTGGTGGAACACTGCAGAGGTATCCATGCGCGGTGCTTACAATTTCAGTCGCTACGCTCTCCCCTACATGCGCAAGCAAGAGCACGGAGGCCGGATCATCTTCACTTCCAGCGCCGGCGCACATTCGAACCAAGGCATGTCAAGCTACACTCTCGGAAAGTTGGGAATGGTTCGTCTGGCCGAGATCATCCACGTTGAAAATCACGACCAGAAGGTGAAAGCGTTTGCAATTCATCCAGGTGCAATAGCCACCCGCTTCTTCCACGATTTCAAGAACAAAGTGGACGGCAAGACCGATGATCTCAAATATGTCTCAGCAGACGCCGAGGGCGAGTTGAAGTCAGCCAAAACCGCTGTTGCAATCCTGGGAGGGGGAGATGTCGATTGGGATACGCCATACCTAGCAGGTGGTATGATGACGGTTCTGGCAAGCGGACAGCTTGACTTCATGTCAGGGCGCTACGTGGACTGCGCAATGAGGATTGAGGATCTTATTGAGGAGAAGGATGCGGTGGTGAAGCATGACCTCTATCGAGTACGTTTGCATGCTGGCGAGAACGACTTCCTGCCAAGATTGGATTACTGAAAAGCGACCGGATTCGCAACGAGCTCAAGACCAGCAAAGCCAGCCGTCGAACGTCAAACCCATCCCAATCACAACACGAAACAAGCACGGTCAGCGAGCAATCCCGGTGCCAATCCACTTCAGATCTACTCTACTCAGCGATCGAAACATTACTATGGTAGCGCCAGATGAGATTAATCAGCGGGCAACCCTGAATGCCCACTAGAGCGTAAGAAACCTGATCTAAGATCGGATTCACACCTGGGACGCAAGGATTGCTAAAGACAGGCGATGATCACCTTTCAAATGATGTTTTCATGATAATATCAAGGCGTCTCAGCACAATCGCTGTTCTCGATAGTCCACCTTCACAGAGTGACGAGAGTAGCGGCTGGCAATGGACTTGTCAAAATTGCCGTTGTCGTTGTGTGAGGCTCTGCGACATGTTGGGTGCTCTGCTGCCCCCTTTGATAGCATTCTGCAACTCAGCCACGTAGTAGAAACGTGTCGTCCAAATGTTGACCCCGAAGCTAGCCGTAAACCTCCCCATATGGTATTGCTTGTAGCTTAGAGCGTTCCCCGCTCGCGGAATAACCCACCTTCCTCCCCACCTCATCTTCATCTCCCTTTCCTGCCATACCACATCATCCCCACAAGGTGTTGACCCCCTCGAATCCAGCCGCGGCTATTAGGGCAGAGCGCGAGAGCTGTTGGTGCCCATACCCTGGCGGCTCAAACGACCCTGCATGGGGGAAATTCCGAGCAGTCATGACTACACGAGTCTGCTGCCTGATATGCTGTCACGCAATGAAGCGAAGCACTTCGTGTGACTACTGAAGTCCAACTAACAACACAGCAATGATAGTCCGCAATGATGAACAGGCCGACACGCTGGACTGTGAGGTCCTCGTGGTCGGCGCAGGTCCGTCTGGCCTGCTGACAACGCTTCTCCTTGCTCAGTCGGGCGTCCGTGTCATCTTGGTCGAAGCATTACCGGATATCGATGACTCGCCTCGGGCAATGGCGTACGGTCCTGCTGCTGTCGTCGAGCTCGAGCGAGCTGGCGTTGCCCAAGATGCGCGAGCTGTCGGAATGGAGCCTGGAGACTACAACTCTCCGATCCGCTGGATAACCATTGACCAGAAAGAGATCGGGCGATTTGGGCCGGAGGACAAGATTCCTGGGACTTTCGATAATGTTATCTGTGGGCAGTATCAGCTGGCGGAGATTCTGAAGCGTCACGCGAGTCGATATGAGAACACGAAGGTGGGTGGGAGGATGTTGTGCAAAGACGTGCACTGACGATGTATACTAGATTCTGTTCGACCACAAAATCGATGCGATCGATGAGGCAGAAGGTTCAGTTGTAGCCACGTTGTTAACTTCATCTGGTGAGAGGAAGCTATCGGCCAAGTACCTCGTCGGCTGTGATGGCGGGAGATCGACCGTTCGCAAGCTGTTGGGTCTGAGCTACGATGGATTCACGCTTCCACAATGGCTCGTGGCGTGCAACGTATCGGGGTATCCTTTCCTGGATCACGGCTTCACGCGAGGGCAGTTCATTATCCACCCCGAGCACTTCTGTTTGATAGGGAAGATCAATCCTCAAGGTCTCTGGAGAGTCTCGTACAACGAAAAGGAGGACTTGACCAAGGAGGAAGTGCTGGCCAATGTGCACAACAAATTCGAAGCCATGTTTCCTGGACCAAAGCCACTGTCAAAGGACAGCTATAAGCTCGAAGCGGTTAGTCCGTATCGCCTTCACCAGCGTACGGCGCCGTCATACCGAAAGGGACGCTGTCTGCTGGCGGGCGATGCAGCACATGCCTGCTCGCCATTTGGAGGCATGGGTCTGACGACCGGAATTTGCGACGCAGCTGGCGTCGCCGACTGTTTGGTCGGTGTGCTGCGGAAGGGCTGTCCAGACTCCCTCCTGGACAAGTATGCCGAAATTCGAAAAGACAAGTATGATAACGTAACACATCCCGTGAGCTATGGCAATACATGTCGATTGAGAGATACAGACCCGGAGAAGGCAGGAGAACTTGAATTCTTCAAGATAATGAATAGCTCGCGGGAGGCAAGACAGGAAATGATGAAGGGAGCTTATGTCCTCGGGTAAGTACGACCCTGTCGTGGTTGCCACTGTCAGCTAACAAGGCAACCACAGCCATGACTTCCGGCAGTACTGGCCAAAGGTTCCAGAGATACAGCACAACAAGGAACCTTCTCTGGCACACAAAGCAGACCCAGCAAATAGGCTAGTAGACGTTTGACCGTTGTAGCAAACAGCTTCACGAGATATACCTGGCCAAATGATCATCCCTTTGCACGTACCGCTAAGACTGATAGATATATCGTCAGCACCCTCGGTGGCTTACTCGAAGAAGTTGTGGCTTGAAGCTTTCTGTTGACGATCCTCAGTGATGTATCTTCGTGAAGTGCTTGGGCAAAGTGTCCCTGTGACACACCAATGTGAAGTGGTGAAGGTATTGGCAAGGCAATTGACGCTCTCTGCAGCAAATGAAGCCTCTTGCCTTCTGTTTTTCGTTGCCAGGCAGCGTCTTCAGCCTTGGCCTTCTCCATTAATTGCTAAACACCTCGCACAAACAGTTCTCAGCCTGCATTCTGTCAGAAACTTCACACCTACCTGCGAAGGCACAGGAACAACGCATCCAGAACTAAGAACTCTTTCCTGCTGGCGCAGCATACCACCCACCAGACATTCAAGATGGTCTTCCTCAACAATATCGAGATCACGCTTCGACCAGACAGCAGCGAGCCGCCGACCTACGAAGAGCTGCACCCAACTCACCCTGACTTCCGCAAGCACAATCGTGCCGCTGCTCCTGATACCTTTGCCGAATACGACGACCCAGACAACTGGAACTTTGCACCAACCAACCGATACAAGGCTGTATACGTTGAGGTTCCCGCGTACGGCGCCAGATTCGGCATCGATATCACGATCGCCCCTCGCTTCACTCGTAAGTTGTTCTCTCGTGGACACACATGTACTTGGCTAATAAGATTTGCAGACTGTGGCTGGAACCGCGTTAAGTTTGACGTATTTCTTCAAGGTCGAATGGTCGGTTTCGTCTTGACCAGAGAAGAGCTCTTCCGTGCTCAAGGTCTATTGAAGCTGCGGCTTGGGGCTGTCTTGCCACAGAGTGCTGTTGGTCAAGGGCTCGTGGCTGCTGGAGCACAGAAGTTGATCTTCGCTGATCCCGGTAAGGCTCAACCCTGTTTTCTGTGTTCACCATATCTCCATCATCCTTGTTCTGCATTTCTACATCCTTTGTGGAGCCAACAATGCCTTATCATCATGCCTGCCCCTCCACACAAGCTGCTGTGCTTCGATCAAGCAGCAAACGCTGACCCATGTTATAGGCAATTACCTGAGTTCGCGACAGAGCAACGCAGGGACTGTCACAATCCAGGTTCGCTACTGGAATGAGCAGCCGAACCGAACAGAGGTCAGCAGTATGGTTCAAACCTTTGTTTGGCGCTACCGCACTTCCGAAGACATGTTCAAATACAACATTTGGAACAAGATCATCGCCGCGCGGCCTCCAGACGGTGCTCCAAGCCAGAACATACATGCTCCAGTCTCTCGTAGTGGCGTCGATTCTTCTCTTGCTCCTGCTGTAACCCAACAGACCGCGTCTTCTTCAGCTCCAATCCATCGCACACAACCTCAGAGCCAGAATGCCGCGAGTCCAGATGATCCGAATACTGGCAATACTCTGAATGTCGTGGCTCCAACAGGCGGTCCACAAGCCCAGCTCCAGTCAACTGTATCTACCAACCAGCAAGATCATGTGTCAGGCAGCCATGATCCCGTTGCTTCCGCCACTAGCCAAGCGTCCAAGATCCAGGTGCCACGGGTCATACGACAGGAGAAGTCAGCACTGAACTGATGTCTCAGCAAAACGTCGAAGCTCTCACACGCGCTACCTATGACGGTCGCTTCCTTCAGAGTCAAGCTCAAGCTCCCACTCGCGCCACATATGGTCTTCGCTTCTTCCAGAGTCTCGAGCAACTCAAAGCCGCACTCGCCGCCGACCAGAACGACAGCAACGAGATCGAGGGCATGAAGGGTCAGCGTCGCTCGAAGATTCTCATCATCGAGAAGGCTTTCAATCAGCAATTGACCGATCGTAACAAGCAATTCCTCGACTTGGAATTGACAGCGTTGGAGCGCGAGATCTTGGGGACGAATGGCACTGATGTTGCTCAACTGTGGAAGACGAGCATCGCGGTAGATGCTATTCGGGCTGCGCGTAGTGCCTTTGCTGCATTGCGATAGCTAACAAAGACGTATCCTTACCTCGGGGCCAAAGCCTGGTCGGAGTTGGGCACAGCCACTGCCCCGTCATTGACGGGACCGGACCGGATTGGATTCAGCTTGAAGCAACGGTGGGCCTTTACTACAGGTCTTTGTCACAGCGATCTGCTATCGAACACAGACAACGATGCGACAAGAATTACGTGTCGGTGGGTTGACATAGAATGGAAGATTGCTCAACTTCTCGTCGATTAAGCTCTCCTCCGCATACTGCGTGCCTCTGCTTCGCCGTACCTTGCTCTTGTCGAACTTTCAGATGGGCTTCGAGTTGTCTTCCTTCGCTGTTTGCTTGCTGTCTTACCTTTGGATGGCTCTTTCCTGCATTCTTGAGCACAGATATCGTATACTGACCTAAGAGAATAATTTGCTTTCCAGCTACAGCCAACGGGCAGTCGTGAAACCCTCGTTTCTTCCTCATCCAAAGGCTTAGCGAAAAGTCGCTGCAAGCAGGAGCCCCGACGCCTGGTGTGAAGATGGGCACTTACGGTGTAGGTAATCTGCTAGCACGAACTCGGCACCCATGCACTCAGCCATTTGTAACCTGCTTCCATGGCACACATTGTATCTCAAGAGGGTTTTGATGGGAATATATCCTGTGCATACAATTCTCCCAGCTATACAATGCAGGCATCTCCCGCGGCCAGTCACAAGGCTCAGGCCAAAGGAGATCTACTCCTTCGCGTCTATCACCATCAGGTCATCGCTCATGATATGCAGCACCTGCGTATACACCCTCAGCTTCCTTCCAGAGATCCCATCCATCAGGTTAGCAAACTCCAACAGCACCCGCCTGGCACTCTCGTACCCGCCCTGATGCGCTACGCCGCTGAGCGAGACCGTCCCGCCGTATTTTACAAAGTGTGCGGGCGGCGAGAGACTATCGCTGTCGGGATTGTGCGGGTTCGACGTGCCGCCGTAGGCGCTCGAGATGCTGCCTGACGGATTGTGCTGATTGTAGGAGGAAGCTTCGCCAGTTGGAGAGCCAGACGAGGTGTGGTCCGTAGTGTAGCCCGTATCGGAGAGTTCCGCCCAGTCGATATCCCAGTCGATGAGCTCGACTGTCGAGCGATTGTTGTGGTTGGTCGTCGGAGGGACCATGAAAAGGTATAAGCCGAGGATGAGTGCGGAGGAGAAGAGGGCCATCACAGAATGAACAGTCACATTGTCGCTGACACGTCGGTCGTGCATAAGCTTGAAGTTCTGCGCAGCGTGAACGACGGCACGGCGGGCGGATGTGGTTTGCGACCATGAAGAGATGGACTCGAGTGCACCAGTGGCCGGTGTGGCACCGTGCCGGCCTGCCGCGAGTTCAAACATACGAAGGTCGGCGAGGAGGAGAATGTTTAGGCTGTGCCAGAGCACGAGCGTGTTGGTGTCGTGGATGCGCATTTGTGGACCGCAGATTGAAGTCGAAGCTAGAAGGGCCGGCACGAGAGATCGAGCTTTCATGTCGGCGGCGTACAGTTGCCAAGGGATGAGCGATCCGATTTGCTGCTGGTCAACGGGCATGAGGCGGTGGTACGATTCGTAGATTTGGATTTGAAGCAGAGCTAGGAGCGTGGAGGACCCTAGGAAGCCAAGCGATACTGATGGGTCTAATGATGCTGTGTGCAAGTCGCTGATCTGGAAGGTTGGTGAGATGGATGTGCGGCCACTGCGAATAAGAGATTGGAATTGTGTGGCAGACTTCGCTTGAAATAGCTGATCATGCAAGGCGCGTAGAGCTTAACGGACTCAGATCGGACAATTGGCGATCGGGAGAGAAGGACGCTGTACCAAGAATCCAAAGTCATGGTACATAAGATGAGTCGCTTCGCAGATTCGACACGGGACCATGCCTTCCATTGATGCTCTGACTCATTGAGATCCAGTATCAGCGCGCTGAGATCTTGACCGTCGCAGGCTGAGAAGAGGCCATTTTGCTGAGCAACCGCCATTGTCGTGACGTACAGCATTTGACATTGAATAATCGTGTCCTTATCCCCTGTCATGGCAGCCAGATGGAGCGTGAGTAGCGCCGTCGCAAGATGACTCATCTGTTGGACAGGTGTTGCTGCGCCCGAAGTGCACGCGGCGAGATTGTTGGCGACTCGTTGTATGAAAGTCGGAAACATCCTCGACACAAATCTTGTAGCGCCAGTGGTCCCGAGAATGGACAGTCCGATCAGACAAACCACAAAAAGCATCGGCGGCGGTGTATTGTTGACTGAGAATGTTGGTACATGGATGAATGGGACTGTTGGATGAAAACGACGAAAGAATAATCCCATAGCGATATCGAGAATCTCGGCAGGAGGAAATGTACTCGAGTCCTCCAGTTTGAATGTATGGTTATCGAGCGTAGACGATTGAATCTTTGGTGAATGAATTGCTGACGGTGCGGGAGTGTGGAATGTATCGCGCAATCGGAACCGACAATCGGCATCAAGACCCCAGTTTGTGCCTGCCTTAGGCTGAATTGGTACAGCATGTTCCTCTGAGAAGAGGTTATCAACATGGTACGAGATGATGTCCTTCCAGAGACTAGGCATCAAGCGATGCAGGCGATGTGGTCGAGAGGACCAGCACTTCTGTATGCGCGAAAATCGCTCTCGCGGAACTTTGCTGATATTCTTTGTCCGCTCCTGCGACGTTTTCTGGCTTTCTTGCATCAACTTCGGATCCGGCATGGCAAAAGCCGGTGTTGTAACTCCATATGTCTGTAGAAAGTCTGGAGAAGCATCAAGATCTCCCAATGAAGGGAAGAGCCACATCTGAAAGGGATCGTGAAAGTCCGTCCCAGGCATGTTACCTGGTGGCAGCCAGTCCATCGCATTCGCACCGAAACCTGCTTGTCCCAGATCAGACTGTGGCGTCTGGGCCGGTTGATGCGAGCCAGACATACTTGTCTCGTAGGTCGAGACGTCGGCACTGTGCTGCGTGGTTGACTCGCGGCTTGGATTTGCCTGACTGACTGGCTGAGCAGTCTGGGTCACAGGCGATGAGGACGACCAGTCCGTTGGTATGGTGATATGGTCCTGTCGATGCTGATTTGGTCTCGGGTCGATATACGAGCTTGGCATACCAATGGATGTTTGTCTCGCATGAGAGGTGCCATTTGCGTCTCGACGAGTAGCAAAGTCGTTGATCGGAGACAGCAGTTGCATCACCGAGATACCCGGCGTGCCTTGATGCTGTGTGCTGGACGGCTGTACGAAGCTTTGGCGGTGAGGCTGTTGCTGCTGATGCGTCTGCGCCTGAGGGTCAGGATTGACACCCTCAGAAATGGTGCTCCTTCGCTCGAGCTGGGGACGTTTTTGTGCATCATCATCAGCCTTTTGGGTGTGGCTTTTCATGTGCCGGAAGAGTACATCGCTGCATGATCAGATACTGTTCCTGCATGCGTCATCTACGGCCATACCTTCGACTGAATGCCTTCTGGCATACCGAGCACTGGTAAGGCTTCTCACGCGTGTCTTCATTATGGTTAGCATACCATCCACAGCAGTGATGTGGGAGGTGGGGCTCGTACGACTTCGCTCGTGCTATATCAACCATCGTCAGTAATGTAAGCGGAAATGAACCTAGAATTGCATACCCTCTTATAATGCTCAGTCCTGCCATCAGCACCGTCAGTCTTGAGATCTCAGAATGGCAAGGGAAGGATGCTGTCCATTCACGCTGGGATGCCAACGCGTTGACCAGGCCTGAGCCAACAGGGCTACTCACTTAGTAAACCGCCTACCACAGACATTGCATTGCCGAAGGACCATGTTGTGTGCCGCTTGAGCTCATTCAGGGCGCACCTGCCAACATTGACCGAACTGTCGTTGTTGTGGTGCAATCTCGTAATGCACAGGCAAAAGCTGAAGACGGCTCAGAATACCTAGAAAGTGGCGGGGCTCTCCGGGGTCGAGATCTTCAAGAGCGTGTGACCTGACCAGAAAGGTAGCTGGGGTAAGAACAAGGGTCCAGGTCTGCTAGGCGACAGGGTTGAGATGGGCTGGACAGTGGTGGGGAGAGCGCTCGGAGAAACGCCACTTTCAAGCTGATTCCCTAGATTCCTACAGGTCTGAAGACTCGATGTCCGCTTCCAAAGTCTGTCTACGCGTCCCAAATTAATTACGCAGTGGTTCAGATTCACTATCTCGTCCTGTTGCCAAGACGGTGGCCAACGATTCTCAGCATTTTAATTTGGTAGCGAATATTTCAGGTCAGATCGCTGTGGATTTGCCTAATGAGTCTCGCCCACTGTTGCTGTTTGGCTGTGCCATTTTGCCAGCCAAGTCTTCGAAAATGCAATTCGAATCTTCTTTCCGAACAACATGAACGGAATGACTGCCAGGTTGTTGAGGAGTAGAAGACCACAGAAGATACCTGCAATCATCTTCACGTATCCGATTGTCAGGATCCAGTCCAGGAGATATATGCCCATGGCGAAAGAGATAGCCTGCTTGCCCAAGTTCATCGCAATCAGCATTTCTGACATGCTGGCTGTATGGGAATCCACTGCGTAAGCTAGTGTAAAAGTGAAGAAGAAGTACGAGCCCCAGGACGTCATGGAAACTGCGACGAAGTAGGTTATCCAATGAAGGTGCTCTTGAGCGGCATAGCCGTAGAGTATGAGGCCAGCAGGACCAATGAGCAGAGGGACGAGGAGGACTCCCAGACGCATTTCTGCTTCGCGGACCATGTTGTTCTTTTTGGTCAGTCGGGCAGCCAACCGGTCCGATGTGGTCGTGAGGGGGATAGCCAAAAAGAATCCTATTGCAGATGCGACGGCAATGAGGCCAGAATTGGTGGGTGACCAGTTATACGGCGGCTGGACAATAAACTGCCGATATTGGTCAGCCTGAACCAGAAGTTCGGAATTTGGCAAGAGGTAGTGGAAGGTTAGATGGGCTTGAGACCTGACAATCGTGAACTCGCCGCCAGGAGAGCTTCAAAGATGGCAGTGCCTCGCCCGGGGCTATAAGATGATCCAAGACATCGTCATGACAAGTATCTCAGGTGTTGAGTCGAGACTGCTCCCTGATCGACTAATGGTTCAGGCCTACAAAAAGTGGATAGACTTACTATTGGAAAGGTATAGTTGAACGCCAATGCTCCCAGTCCAATGTTGATACCTGTTGTGCCTGTTAGCTACTGCGCTGCGGTAAAAATGTCTCGCCTTACCATAAGTCGTCACTACCCAGAAGACGCTCGGGACCAAAAAGTACGTGAAAGAGCGGAGCATGACTTGAAAAAAGGGCCCTTCGTAGACTCTGGACCATGGCTTGAGGGTAGCTGCAAAGGACTTGCGACCAATGGCATTGGAGGGGACCTCAACCAGCTGATTCCCAGTCCCTTTCTCGTCGACGACTGTTGCTGGACCAAGTTGGGACTTCATCGACTCACGATCGTACGCGGTCTCCTCGACGAAGAAGAAAGCCAGGATGAATAAGCCCATTGCAAAGGCAAACCCGACATAGAAGAACAGTCTCCAGGAGTAGCCTCCCGCAAGCATGTACCCAGCGTAAATGGGGCCTACTCGCGTTAGTAGATCATCTTCGACAGGCAGAAACAACCCACCTGTTGCTCCCAAGCACAAAGCAACGGTATAGTACCCCAGGCGCTTGCCGCGTTCGTGATGAAGAAGATATCATTGACCAGCTGGACCGGCAGCGCTTCGCAGACGCCTGCTCCAAATGATTGAATCACACGGCAGGCCATTAAGGAATCGAAGGTGTTGCATTGAGAGCATCCAATGAGGCCGCCGGCAAACTATAGGGTCAGTTGCGTCTTTGAAGTGCAGAAGATGGTCTCACAGCAAGAATTGAACCCAGCATTATAGGCCTTCTTCCAAATTTGAGATACATTGGCACCAGCAAAAGAGAGCCGAATCCATAAGCCAGGTTCGAATAGGAGACGAGTCCAGAGGCTTTCGTCGGCGTGATATGGAACTCTTCTGAGTAGATGCCGATGTAGACGGCAGGTCCAAGCAAAGCTGAATTGCCAAGGAAAGAGTACAGCGAACAGATGATCAAGATCATATTCTTCTTGAACGGAGACCACTGACTTGGTGTGAGCATCATTTCCATGGAAGCTGAGTGGCAACCGTACCTGTAGAGGATCATTAGGGTCCTCTGCTGGCACAGGAAAGAGTGCTTGTCCGTAACCAGTGTCATCGCCCTCTAAACCCTGTGTGAGTTTCCTGACTTGTAGCCTTCGTTCTGCGGAGCCTACCAGCAGCCTTCAAATTCACTGTCCCCGGAATATCTTCCTCGTGGGCGTGGCTAGACACTGCTTAGTATGTATATTGCGGCAGCAAGCAGCAGCAGTGACTCACCTGTGCACGAGATGTCGACCGTGATCGGCCATGTTGCTCTTCGCTGACCCCTGGCACAGACTACCTACTGCAATAGAAGACGGCAAACGTTGAAATCAGAAAATACAACCGAAATGCGGAGGGTGTCCGGGCCATAAGTACCAGATCAGCTTTTTCCATCACACTAGTCCGGCACTTCGATAGTCTGCAGTAGGTCGATTTGACTTTTCCGGTTTTCTGGGGCTAATGACAGCTGCATCGTTAGTGCTAGCATTTGTGATGGCGATCTAAGCGACTCCAGCCTAGAGGGCCTCGTTGTTGATTCGGTTTAGCTACACGTCGAAGACCGCACGATCTTCATGTCCGGGAGTTTGACGACCGCATGGTTCAGGCATCGTGTGGGGCCAGCCCGAATGCTCGCACCGAGGCAGCTTGAACCTCTAATGGCAAGTACTCCTGGACCGTGATGTGTCCGGGTTGTGCTTGGGGTTCGTGGCCCTCCAAGTCCTTGCCATAACTGATATTATCAGCCTTATATGTCACTAAAGGAGAAGGTGCTGTGTGTAACACGAAGAGCATCAAGGTTGAGGCAAGTCAGACTTCGATGCAAACAACCATCAAAGGCCAGATGTCACAGGCGGGGTGCGGGGAAGGACCTAGGACTACTGTGTATGGTGATTTTTAAACAGCCGAGAGACAAAGCTTGAGCCACGTGGAGCCACCGCAACGCGCCAGGAGACATCGTGTCGATGAAGCCTGTAAGCCGAAAGAGAACTGAAAGGCCAGTATTCTCCATGCACCTGTTCACGATCGTTGTATGCACCGGTCTCGTTCCTCAATCACCACGCCGGTAAACGGACAGGTTTCCATGATTCCAGAAGCCGCTTGCTGCGACGTAAAGGGACAGTGTTAGGACTCGTGAACTTCGCTACCATACGGAAAGACCGGAAAAATCGCCTGCAACAGGCTCGGTCTGGATAATTGGATAAGTCTCCGGTGTACCCCTGAATCTGAGACACCTTTCATGACATTGGCAGAAGAAAAGATGCCTTTGAAAAGCACGGACAAGGTGGTCGTGCGAGCGTTGAAGGTGTTTGAGCAGACTCCTGGTATCTGCCGCAACGATTGAGTTCTACGGGACAGCGAAAAAACCAGAGGGTCTGATGCACACCAAAATGGGCATGTAGACCATGTCCAGACGCAGGTAACCATTTTGCGGTACATTGGTCCATATCGTTGAGGCTCTGCAAAGGACGTCCGCGATTCACGGTTTTCGATTCACAAAGCCGATGCTGCATAATGGCGTTGGAGCTGAAGTCAGCGTCATACTCATCTTGCGGATAGTCCGCAAAACACATAACATGATCGTCACACTGAGGGACAAGTAGAAAGGTGAAGACATTGTGATTTGCATTCAGAGCACGATTCGGGATTGTCGATATGCTGAAAGCGCCCGCATGCGTCTTAGCCGTGCTGCAGCTCGACCCGGGCTGTCGTTCTGTTGATCTCTTCCCTTTGTCTCATGCGTTCACATATGTCGTGACCATCGACCGCAATTCAATGGCGCCAGGTATGCGCAGATCTGGCGCATCCATACACGGTGTAGCGCTGTAGACTTCGTCGAAGGTCGTTGAGAGGATGGCGAGCATGTGAAAGACATTGGCGCATTTAGTCGAACAGACCGAAGCCCATATCCTCGTCGGACTCCTCTTTCTCCTCTTCCTTCTTCTCTTCCTCAGCAGCTGCACCACCGGCATCACCTCCAGCAGCGGCCGCAGCACCGCCAGCCGCAGGAGCAGCGGCAGCAGCACCACCTCCTGATCCGACGTTCAGGAGCATGTCCTTGACGTCCTTGCCCTCGAGAGCCTGCGCATTTGATCGTTAGACTGGTACTATTTCAGGGCCGGGCGGTATGTACCTTAGCGAAGAGGCTTGACCAGATGGGCTCGACCTCGGGGACACCGGCAGCCTTGATGATGGTCGTGAGCTTGTCGGACTACATGAGCGAATAGTTAGCTATCCTGGATCTTTCAATGATTTTGCAGTTTTCGTACAGTGATTTCGATGCCCTCATCCGCGAGAATGAGAGCGGCGTAAGCGTTAGCGAGCTCGGCGTTGGACATTGCGACGGTGTTGGGCAGACTTCGTGGTTGAATTGGGTATCGAACGAAGGTCCTGGTAAGCAATGGCGGTGGTGGTCGTCTCAAACTGCGCTCAATCTTTCGAAGTTCGTGTGCCTGTCTTGGCACGAGTTCAAAATCTTGGCAGAGAGATGTCGGTTCCCGATGCAGAAGGTTAGACGAGCAGATGACGGTGGGCGATGGCCAGGCATGCGGGGCACTCCAAAGAAGCGAAGATGCCGCCTCTGAGGCGCAACAGCTGCTACGCCCATCCCATCTTTGCCTCTGCTGATTAAACATACCCACCCATTCATCAGATACTTATAGCCAGCACAGTTCCACGACTCACAGGCTACAAGCGCATCGTTTCAGCTACTCAGCGCCACCATCCAACACACCTGCATGCCACATTCTCACCATGTCCGACTCACCCGTCACGCACGCCCCGGTCGGGCCACAAGAGAAGCCGATCCTCGAGAAACTCCTCATGACCCGCGATAAGTTACTGCTCTTGAAGCAAGACAAGTCGACATACGTCAAATCCCAAGACGTCCTACCACTGTACGAAGAAATCATCGACCAAATCCACAATCTCAACGATGTCCGAGGCTCCCATCTGGTCCAGAACCGAGTAGATACCGTGCTCGACGACTGCCTGCAACTGATATCGCTCTTCTTTATGGCAGTTGGCAGAAATAGCGAAGCGCCTGGTATATACGCTGTGACCTCCACGATCACCCGCCTTTGTGAGCATCTCAAGGAAGCCGCGTTCTACAGTCAAAAGGATCTCGATAGTCTCGATCACACGATAACAAAGATGGAAGACACACTCTCACGATCACACGAGAAGTACTCGCCATATCTCCTCACAAGAATCCAGTACCGCCTGGAGATTTGCAGAGTGCTTCTGAAGGAGCTGCGGGAATTTCTGTCAACGCTCAGTCCAGAGATGGTACCCATCTGGGAGAAGTTGGTCGCGATACTAAGGTCAATCGCAGCGTTGAACACCAGAAGCACTGTAAGTGCCATTTGAAAACGCCCGAAACCAGCACTGACGTTGCCAGTATAACAAGAAGGATCTTGAAGACTTACGAAGCAAGCTGAAGGATATCGAGAACAGCATGCAGGATGGCAAGCTCCCTGGAGAAGATGGCAACGTCGGCTCTGGCCAGAATTTGGTTGTGCCGTTGCTGCAGAGATGTCAGAAGTTCTGCGAGATCGTTGAAGAGAAGTAAGCATCACGTGAGCGATTAGAGCGATAGCGTGGCTGACAATGAGAACAGGCAAGGCAAGATCGATGAGCGCTTCCAGGAAACCTATGACAAACTTATCGAAATCCGCAATAACCTCGACCGATTGACGATGACTCAAGCATGGTCGCTACGCGAGACAGATCTGTTCATGTGGCAGAGGAAACTCGATCGCATTGACGATTCGAGGAGGGATGGTAATTTCTTTGATGCAGAGGGTCGTCCTGCCGATCTGCATGCTCAGCGAGTAGGTTGACCGCGCCGTCCGAGTACGCTTCCGCTAATGAATCCAGACACTGCTGTACTTAATCCGACGTGGATATGCATACGTCTACCAGCTTCTCCTCGCTTCAGAACCAGTTTCAGAAGCGCTTCTACCAGTGTACAACCAGCTACTTACCCTGCGCCGATGTCTGGTTGAGGTAAAGAAAGCCGGTGGAGTGACGAGTCCCCGAGAGCTGTACCCCTACAGCATGAAGCTGAATTCCATCGACAATATGAGAGTCGATGGCAAATTCCAGGTCGGCAACGACATTCCAGAGGGGCAGGGCGCGGTGCAAGACCTGTTGGCGGAGTGCTACGACCTTGCATATGAGCTGCGGACAAGCGCAGAGTCAGAGCAGGATGACGAGGATTGAATAGTTGGATTTGTTGTTCGGCTTAATGCTTCGGGCGTCTTCTTCTATCGACCGAAGTTGGGTCCAGCTGGAGAGATCCCACTTATGAGGGACAGAAGTCTTACAACCCCTTTTCGTTGGCTTTGGGGTTACCGGCTGGCTGGAGGCAAGATCCTTGATACCAAATTTGACTGGAGTGGCGCACCGCCTCGGCTGCAGCGGATCCAATCAGCGATAGCCGAATTCACGAAGCTTTTAGGGGTCGCCTATACGGTGGAGTATCGCGTACTTCATCTCGTGTCGAAAATGTGGTTGCTTCTACAGAAATCGTTCATCCCTTGTCCATTCATCATACCTGGGGAAACTTTGAAGCATGCCTAGTGATGTTCCCCAGTGATCCAGATTTGGCCATGACGGGTTCAGACAAGCAATGGATGTGGCACCAACGTGCTTGGCAACGGCTCCTGTCCTCCCCTTTCTTTGTCCGCTCTGTGACTTTTCAGATCGTAGTCACGCGAATGTGTCTGTGCTCAGTAAACACGCAAGGGGCCTTGCTATGCCCGTATTACTTCACACTCGGGTACGGCTGACATGCAGGTAGAACGAGCAGGATCAAGATGTTCTCGCCTTACAGGTACGCGACAAGCATCCATCGAGGCGCGGCAATGAAACGACCGACGTTTTCTATCTATGGAAGAAGAAAGCTCGAGCGATATGCCATTGCGCTAATCTCGATCTACTGCTGCTTCAAAATCTTCGACGGACTCCTTTCATCGCCCGGATCCCAGCGATTACAACATGCGTTTCCGAGAAAGTCATACGTCCAGCTCGAACGCCAGCAGGCCGTCAAGAAGGAGTTCCTTCACGCATGGGATGGGTACCGGGACCACTCATGGATGGCAGATGGACTTATGCCGTTGAGTGGCGGCTCTCGCACCCAGTTCTGCTCTTGGTCCGCAACGCTGGTGGACGCGCTGGATACGCTCTTGATCATGGATTTGAAGGAAGAATTTGACTATGCCGTCAACGCTACCATGACCATCCATTTCCGCGAAAACGCCAACCAATGCGAAGTCAGCTTGTTCGAGTCCACGATCCGATATCTGGGAGGACTGTTAGGAGCGTACGACCTCAGCCACGAGCCAAGACTCCTCCCGAAACTGGTCGAAGTGGGTGATATGTTGCATGGTGCCTTCGCGACTACCAATGATATGCCGTGTAGCTTCTGCCACTTGGCAGATGTCGGCGAAGTCTTCACGCCGTCCAACAGCATTTCCATGGCGGACATCGGAAGCTTGTACTTGGAATTCTCGCGCCTGTCACAACTCACTGGCGATGCAAAATACCAACAAAGCGTGGAGAAAGTGCTCAATGTGTTCGCCGAGACACAAAATGACTCGACAATACCCGGACTCTGGCCCGAGATCGTTGATGCGTCCTCGGTATCGACAAGCGCCACACCCGAAGAGCGTATGTTCGCTCGGGCGTCATCTCAGTACAGTCTCGGCGCCCTCTCCGACTCGTCCTACGAGTATCTTGTTAAGGGTCACCTAATGCTCGGGAACATCAACACCCTCTACGCTCAACTCTGGAAGCCTGCCGCCGAGAAGATCAAGGACTTCATGCTCTTCCGCTCGCACATCCCAGGTGCCGAAACCAACAAAGCACTCTTCTCCGGCATCATCTCCCGCGTCCCCGGAAACGATCAAATCGAACTCGAACCCCGAGCGCAACACCTGGGATGCTTTGCAGGCGGCATGTTTGCCATGTCCTCCAAGCTCTTCGACGCACCCGAGGAGTTCGAAATCGGAAAGCAGCTCACCCAGGGCTGCGTTTGGGCCTACGACCACTCTCCTACAGGGATCATGCCAGAAACGTTCTCGCTCCTCCCATGCGACGACCTCGACACCGGCGGCCAGTGCCCCTGGAACGAAACGCTTTGGCGGCTAGCGCACGACGAATGCGTCTTCTACGAGCAGTGCACCGACCCTAACGTCCCACTAGGTTACATGAAAGTCGGCGATCCCAAATACATCCTCCGACCCGAGGCGATCGAGTCCGTCTTTATCATGTGGCGCATGACAGGCGACGAGTACTGGCGGGATGTCGGGTGGAAGATGTTCCAGACGATTATCCACCATACGAGGACACCGTTCGGGCATTCTGCGTTGAGTTCGGTGATGTATCAGTGGGATACAGAGGTGGTTGAGCAGGGTGTGAAGACGATGGTGCAGAGGGCGGGGCAGACGGATGATATGGAGAGCTTTTGGTTCGCGGAGACGCTCAAGTATTTTTACTTGTTGTTTAGTGATGTGGACTTGATTAGTTTGGATGAGTTTGTGCTGAACACTGAGGCACACGCGATAAGGCTTGTGGATGGGATTAGGGGATTTGGTGGGAGATGAGGGCCAGGGCGATTTGTGCCGGGCAACTGACGAGGAGTTTCATGGATAATCAGACGGGTGTGCGACGGACCGCGGTGGCCGTCAGAACAAGAGTCACAGCCTGTGGGAATCTCGACATTGACAGACCAACTCAGAAACGACACATTTCGACTTGTCAGGATATAGATTCACCCCGAACCAGCGTCTTTACCACAAAGTCGACCTCCTCGGATGTCCCACAGACAAAACCTCCTCTCTCTTCAACATCCGCCACTTCCTGATTCAGCACAGGCTCGCCATCATCTGCATTGACGGCCTTGCCGCCTGCACACTCTATCACCAATGCCACCGGAAACAATTCATACAGCTTTCGCAGCTTGGGCTTACTCGCTTTGGACACAGGATTGATGAAGACTCCGTGGCCTTTGACGAGCATATGAACCACATCTGGAACGAGCCCTCCACTGTATCGCAGGGTATACTGTTCCTTAATATGATGGTTGACCAAAGCCAGGTACTTGGAGTCGGAAGCTGCAGCTCGAAGGTTTGCAGGCGCAAAATATCTGGTTTTGACGGATGCCTCTGGGGTGAACCTGATGTCGGTGTTGAGGATACTGATTTGGGTTGCTCCAGCGCTTGTCCCTGTGCTGCTCGAGATGCCAACTTCGAAACATACACCTTTCTCCTCCCATTCCGGCAAACGAATGGCGACAACTGCACCGGTTCGCGGTCCGCAAACGCCAAGAATCGCCGCGATCTGGCCTTTGCGTGGATTTTGGTGAAGAGCCGAGTTACCGTCCAGATGCCAATAATGGTCCCAATAGTCCAGTTTGCAGCAATAATGGAGCTGCCGTCGAGCGGATCGAAGGCGATTGTGTAGGTCTCTCCTGACCGTTGTGGCGGGCTCTGTGACTTATCGGTCGTGGTCTCACCTTGTACTGGCCTTTCAACAGGATCCTCTTCGCTGCTGGCGGTCACAATGGAGGGACACTGGGTCAGAGCGTCTCGAACTGCTTTCTCGCAAAGCACGTCTACGTTCAGCTGCTCGTCCCCGAAGGCGTTGGAGCTTCCGACCTGTGAGACGGAGTGGGCGTGACGAAGGATGGTGCTGATGCAGCCTATGGAGCTTAGCAGCGTTGGTATCACGCTGTTTCCAAGTGTTTGCCGCTCCGGTGGCAGGATCGAATCTAAGTGTGCATCCAGTGCTCTGTATGCGCCTGACTCCTGTCCCATTCTTCCACGAAAATGATGTTGTTGCTCGCAAATACGCTATCTGATGACCTCCCGCCGGATGATTGCTCGTGGCTCGAAGCAATAGAATTGTTCAAGCTCGTCGATAATCCCAAAACACATGTGGCCCAGTGTCTAATGGTGAATGGAATAAAACACGCTTCAATGCCACCTTGGCCGCTCTTGATCAAGAAACGCCCAGTCTCCAGAAGAGTGCATGTGCCAAATAGAGATAGTGAACAGGAAGGCACGACAACATTCGCAGCTCAACAGCTCCAAGCAAGCTGCAAAAGGCAACACGATCATCACGCCTAAGTGGAAGCCAAGCAAGGCAATTTGGAGCGCCGTGTTAGCCCTGGAGGGACGAGGCGATCGCCCAAGGCCGAACGCCCTATCCGTCCGGCTTGAACACCGACTCTTGAAACTCAACTTCTGTATGCCCGAGGTTGTTCGTTGTATGATGACGGAGGTCCATGATCAACGTGTATTGCTGCATTCCCGGCGGCTCTTCAGGTTCTGTAGTGCAACAAGGCAAGCAGGCGGATTTTCGGCTGGGAAATCAATACACGCGTGCTGGTCTCCCAGACCAGGAGCGCCTTGGCCTGTTGCACAGCAGTCGAGCATGAGCTGGGGTTAGGCAATCGCTGACAGCATCCGAGAGCTTGGGCCGTCATGGCGAAAGAAACCGGGCCTATCTACACGCCACCGCCCGACCTTGTGACCAACCTTGACCGCTTCCGCGACTACGTCAACCGCAAACACAACCTCAAGTTCACTAAGTACGAAGAGCTCCATCGCTTCTCCGTTACCCGTCTGAACGACTTCTGGTTGGCAGTATGGGACTTTTGCAACATCAAATCCGAGAACGGGCCCGGCAAAGCCATCGACGACAACGCTAAGATCGACCAGTTTCCCAAGTTCTTCGTTGATGCCAGAATCAACTATGCCGAGAATGCACTACAGGGCGACGATGATCGGTTGGCGATCATTGACATGAACGAGACCAACATCGAGCAGCCCACGAGGTACTCTTGGAAGCAGCTGCGACATCTCGTTGCCCAATATGCAGGAATACTGCGCCGACAGGGCGTCAGCAAGGGCGATGTTGTTGTTCTTGTCGGAGGTAACTCGGCGAGGAGCTTGAGTATCTTGCTTGCTGCTGCGTCTATCGGGGCTGTCTTTGCTAGCTTTGCTACTGACATAGGCGAGAAAGCACTTGCTGACAGGGTTGGACAGCTCAAGCCGAAGCTTCTGTTTGCGGAACTGGTATATCGCTATAACGGGAAGCTGAACGATATCACTAGTAAAATCGAACATGCTCTGAATGCCATCGACGGAGCGAAGCCACAAGTCATCGTCCTGGAACAGGCCACAACGCAGAATCCGAGCTGGACCCCCATCAATTCCGTCCTGGGTAGTGAAACAGACGCAGACCTCATCTTCGAACGTGTTCCCTTCAACACACCACTCATAGTAATGTTCTCTTCCGGCACGACGGGCGTTCCGAAAGGCATAGTCCATTCCCAAGGTGGTCTAATGATCAACGGAGTCAAAGAGCATAAGATCCATAACAATTTCGGAAGTGATGACATCCATTATCACTACAGTGGTACTGGATGGACGCTATGGAACATCTCTATGGGAGCGCTTTTTTGCCGGAGTGCCATGTTGCTCTATGATGGCTCGCCCTTCCACCCTAACCCAGACACGTTTCTACGCGCGGTGTTCAAGCAGGGTGTGACCGGCTATGGTGGATCTCCTCGTTACTTCAGTGAGCTGCAAAAACTAGGCATCAAGCCGAAAGAGTATGCCCTACCACCCAACGGAAAAATGCACACCATCCACTCAACCGGCGCACTACTCACACCAGGCACCGCGCGCTACTTAGCCGAAGCATTCGGACCCGTATGCCAGATCGGCTTCTCAGGCGGCACCGAGCTCTGTGGCAATTTCATGACCGGAACGCGCTCCCTACCATGCTACGCCGGCGAAATCGCAGTCAAGGAGCTGGGCATGGATGTCGACGCATTCGATCCCTCCACGGGAAAGCCTGTGGAGGACGGTACAGCAGGTGAGCTTGTTTGCAAGAAGCCATTCCCCAACATGCCTGTTTGCTTCTGGAATGACCCGGAGTTCAACAGGTATCATAAGTCGTACTTCCAGGGGTTTCCAGGGGTCTGGACTCACGGCGATCTGATAAGAGTCAATCCGGAGACTAAGGGCATATATGTACTGGGAAGGAGCGATGGAGTGCTCAACCCTTCTGGGGTACGCTTCGGCACATCGGATCTGTACAACATTCTCTCGGCGCCTGGCTGAGCAGCGCCGTACACGATGGGCTAGCTGTGGGACAGCAACGTCAGACGGCTAAGTACTCGGATGCTGCTGAGCGCGTAATCCTGTTCCTGAAAGTTGCCGACGGCCATAGCTCTGGGACGCTCCTCCCCCGGTCTGAGCTGCGAGAAAAGATCAAGGCTGCAATCATCAAAGATCTCAGCAGGCGGCATGTACCACATTTCATGTTTGAGGTTTCTCAGATTCCCCATAATGCCAATGGCAAGAAACAAGGTATGTATCCGCATGAGTATGAGTTGGGCGAGGCATTAGTCTCCCTATTCTGGTCCTCTCCGGACACAACATCATTCTAACAGGCACATTAGAGATCCAGGTCAAGCAAATATGTAACCGCGGACAAACGGCACTAGACGGCATGACTTTGCCCGATGCTGAGAGGGATATGTTGAAGGAGTTTGTCAAGTTTCACGATGTCGAGAAGGTCGTAACAGAGGACAGCGGACGTCTGAGTGCCAAGTTGTGATCGCCTTCTATTCGATGTCTATCGTGTTTTCTCAAGCTTAGACGCTTCGAGGTATGCGTTTTCTGACCAGACAACTCTGGCTACGAAATCCGAGTTCATCAGAATAATCGCCAAGATCCTGACGACGGTCGGGCGCGCGAGGCGTTTGGCGGCCACTGTGACCCTATGTTTCCCTCCTGGAGGTCTCCTCGGAATTGCATCCTCGGCTCGGACGAGCAGACCAGACGTGCTGCTTGATCTCTGAAGCAGAGCCACGTTCGACCTGTAAAGTCGAAAATCTGGGCGGTCGTCTTCGCGCCTTCTCACTAATGAGTGCTAGGATCCGTTGTCTTGGTACCTGCTGTTCTCGATATGGGGAAGGCAAGGTCTCCTGCCGCCAACGTATCTGTCGTTATGTTACGTTTGCCATCATGGTCAGGCTTTATCCGAAGGCTTGTTGCGTCTGCCACGACAAGCCACGTCGAGGATGTGTCGAAGTAAGCGAAGAGGAATATGAAGCTGGCGACCGCTAAAAAGAGGCAGTCGCGGTATACGATGATGGTCCTGTTGGTGCTGCTCTGGGCGGTGATCTTCCTGCCCTTCGCCATGCTTGATGCTGTGCTGGGATGCTTTCCAAGTTGGGAGAGGATGAGTTTCATGGGTGGCATTTCGCACATGATATAACGTTACCTTGTCCACGCAAGCACCAACATCAGCCGCGCCCTTGCAGTCGCTTTTCTCAGACCGTCGCCGTGCAGAAGTACGGCAATTCTTCATACCAATAGCAGCAGGTTGAGGCAGCGCTATCTTGAAGCTAGAAAGCAGGCTGCCCATATTCACGAAACGAAATACGAAGAACGGTCGTGATTGGACATTGTGCCCCCAGGATTTCGAGAAACCACAGCTCTAGACGCTGGCAATATCTAAATACAGCGCGGTGGCATGCAGAGGTCTTGCTTGGTAGGTATATGGTGCTCATGGAGCGAAGTCTAGTATCTTGTATGCGTAGTGGGCGAGCTGAAACGAAGACGAGCAACTCAGCCAGCCAGAATGACGCCAAGGTGGAAAAGCTGCCCTAGTCATCCGTCTGGGATTCTGCTACTTTTGTCATCCGGCCACATGTGCAGACAGGCGTCCCATTATATTGTCAACCGGTCTCGACTGTCACCTAAGTAATATAGTCCAGACGGCCATGAGGCTTGCAACTTACCACTGAGCTACTGGGTGATCGATCTGCGCGCTCTGTGTCGACCTGTTTACCCAGTTCGCGAGTTCAGTCCAGCGACGACCGCTGGTAAACGGTTGTTGTCCTTAGACTGAGTGCTTATGTCATGTTGAAAGTGCGTGGTACCTTTCATCTTCGTGGAAGCTCAGTGCCTGCATTGTTACATCCAACACCGCTGGTGGCACTGTCCAGCTTGTGGAACGTCGTCGTGGAAGGTTTGAGACTTTGGAGCCTACACCTGTACTCGCTTTTGAAGGGTCTACCTGGTAGCTAACAACAAGCCATGCATAAAGACATTATCAACTTGCAGCTTTGCTGAGCATCTTGTCCAGAATCCTGACAGCTTCCATCCACACAAGCACCGTTCCCGCAAGCCCCTCAAACAAGCTATACGGATGGTCAGGCATTCTATACTTGTCCTCCAGATCTTCACTGAACGGCTTCGTATTCATGCACTCCTTCAGAAAAGCCAGAGCCCGCTCAAGATGTGGTGCCGTGCTCCATCCTTCATCGACGTCTATTTCCACCCACATCAGCCAGGGAAGCGCGTTTCCTGCAATGCCATGGCAGATCCCCGCTCCTTTGCTGATAAGGCCTTCCGCCCAGACTCGATGGCTGCCTATCGCGAAGGCCTCGTTCCACAATGGCTTCCAGTGCTTGCTCCGAAACTCTTTGTTGCGGCGTGCGCTTGCTAGCATGAGTAGTAGACCTGGTGTGCCGTGGCAGATCTGGACCAATGGATTTGCATTCTTGTTCTTGGAGGGGAACGGTGGCTTTGACATAGGAAGATGGCCGTCATTGTCGAGGCAAGTCTGGCAGAGAGTGTCCATAGTATGCTCGAAGAAAGACGTCAATGCTGGTACGCTCTGTCCAATGCTGCGTGGGACCGTCATTGGTGTCCTGAAGTCAGCGTAATCCGCCTGGAACATTGCTGCCATGATACCTGCCGCCCCGTGCATGCCGCCAAGCGCATGCCAGTCGTCGATCCATGGCCAAGAGTACGGCGGCGGTTCGGGCGGTTCCGGGCTTGATGGAGTATGTGTCGGCAGACCATGAAGATGTAAAATGCCAATCAGATCCGTGGTGTCGCGTGACATCAAGCGATCGACTACCACATGCTCGTCTGCGTCCCGAAAGTCCACACCCTGTGACAGCACTCGGTAGAGACGATTTCGAAGTACACAAGCCCATAGTAGGCCAGCTCGGCCGCAGAGTACTTCATCAATACCCATGAGATGGCCGTTGCTTTCCACAGATTTGCCCTGCATTCGTGTGTGCCAGATTGCCTCACCTGAGCCACGATTGACTTCCCAAAGAAAATTGAAGTGGCTAGTGGAATCACTAAGCTCGGTCCCCTGAGGACCGCTCTTGGGGTCTGCCTTGTCATCTCTGAACGCTGGGTGCATCCCTCGGACAAGCCGGAGCGCCATCTGGATGAAGATGACACCCAGTTCAGTATGACACAGTGGTGATGTTCGTCCATTTGCAAATGTCAACTCCGCTGGGATCTCTTTAGGTGTGTAGCGTTCTGCAGCCTCCACCAGCTTTTGAATGTCCTGTTCATCTTTCCCGGAAGTGATCGCTTGGTAGATCCGGTACAAGTGAAGACACGCGATGCCTAGCAAGGTTCAGGTACTGTGACAATGTAGGAGACATTTCGATAAGATTTCCAGCTGTAGGAGGTACAGAGAGAACGCCTTTCTTGTTGATAGTCACTTACCTAGTCCGCCGGTAAAGATGTTGCCATGGTTGTCAATTGGCGGGCTCTGCTCTGATACCAGAACGAGGCCACGATCCACTGCGCTTTGCAGCTCAGCTCGAGCCCTCACCAACGCACCTTCCCGTATATCAATGACTTTCAGCGTATTCGAATAGTATTGAGGTCTTGTACTGGCCGCCATAGATGCAAATTATGGGCTGTACATGAAGCAATGATGGCCGGAATTGTGGTCACGATGGAGCCAGGGGCCACCTGGGCAGGGTCAGGGGAAGCCTCCACAATGCAAGGCATGTCGTCTGTAAAACTACAGGTATGCAGGCAGGCATCAACACATTGTCAAAAGGATTCGTTTGTATTACTCGGCCTTCCGATTGCTTCATCAGCTCGATTTTGACATTTCTCATGTTCTCTTTCGACCTCTTCCTCTGACTTCCTCCTTTCGATCTCCATAATGAGCCTTCCACGGCATCCCCGGCGCGCTTGATGTCCTTACACTCATGATCTGTTCGTAACCCGACACCTTCTCATCGCGACTGCCCGTGGCCTTCAAGTGGGCGTCTTCTGCATCTTCAGATGCTCCGGCAAGCTCAGTTCTCCATGGCCTTTGCTCAACCATTCGCGAGCGTACTCCCGTTGCACTTTGTACTGTTCATCCACAAAACGAACTCGATCGCAAGTTTGGGCCCTACAGGTGGATGCTCCGTCGTTCGGATCTAAACCTTTGACCCTATCAAGCTTTGCCAGCTTTACACTCTTTCTAGGCTCGTGCTCACAATGCCACGCACCACGGTCCAAACGCGTCGTACTAGAGATGGATGTCCAGAGTTCGACTGTGTGAGTAGGCAACCGCGTTGCACATCTACATTTATCGGGCAATACGCTGCCAACGAAGGGAATAGCCGACAGCGCCATATCCAAGGTTGTCACAACTTGACGGCCTCACCAGTATCCCCAAACAACCTTACCGCTAGCATCATCCCATTTTGGTCCCCATGGTCGTCCAGCTGCATCTCTTGTCCCGATCTTCGAGCTGTTGCCGCTCATGCTCGAGTCCTTCGGAGGTCCTTGCGCAGCTGCGCCACTGGCCTTCTTGGTCCGCAAGCTTGGAGCGCCCGCCGTGGCGGTCGTGTTGTTCTGAGAGGGTGTTGGTGATTTGCTGGGAGGCTTCGGTGCGGGCAATCTTGTTGTCGCACTCGTGACCGTGTTCTCAGCCGTTCGTGGGGCGCCCTTTGGCGGACGTCCTGCGATGACCTTTGATGGGTGACTTGCTCCGGCGCGGGGATTCGAATGTGCGCTAGCAGCGGCAATGACTTGATTCAGCTGCAGTTTTGGGCCCGGAGGATTTGGTGGTACAATCCTCCAGTACGGGTCGTTCGGTGGCAGTTGGTGGTGCCGGGCATCGAATTGTCCCATAGACGAGTTGTGATATTGCTGAGCTTGATCATGAGATGGCTGCTGGACCTGAGAGACTGAATTATGGTGCAGGCGCTGGCTCTGGAGCGGATTTGACGCATATTGAGGCAGAGGGGTTGCAGTGTAGTTTGGCAAGTGCGCTGGGCCTGCTTGACCTGTGTTCGCTACGATGTTGTGGGGCGCAAGGTTGATAGTTGGTTCATGGAACGGCCTGTGTAAGTTCGGTGGCTGCTGACCGTAGGCTTGCTGTGGTGCACTTAGCTGCGTCGCGGAGTACGCTGCTGCGGACTTGCTCCCAGACGACATTGTTGGAGTGTAAGACGTTGATGGAGGGAGCTTGGTAGTGCCTTCCGGCGCGGAGGAGATTGGCATGGTTGTCGGTAGACTTAGGTAAGCGCCACGGTACGTGTGTGAGTGCCGCTGACTCCTGGTGGCAGGGTCGTCTGATACACGTGTGAGTCCGTCATACGAAGCTTGGTGGTCTGACTTGCTAGGCTGTCGATATGTCAACGGGTCGTTCTTGCCTTTGGCTGACCCGACTGAAATGGAGACGCTTACAACGTGGTGTCCGCTGGCTTTGCCTGGACTGAGACTTTTCGAGGAGACTTTGAGCTTCGACAACCAGCTTAAGTGTCGCTCTTGGCCAACACCACTATGAACTTCGGGTTCGTCCCTGCCTGCCTTCTTCAGCTTCTTCTTCTGGTCGATCTTGCCCTTCGGTCTCCGGCTCGACGACCACTTACTGAACTCTCTCTCGTTGACTGAAGGAGTGAATTGAACTTTCTGAGGAGGCCTCTGCGACGAAGTACTCGGCTTGAGGCCCAGGTTTGCACTTGGTTGAGATACATATGACAGTGAAGGTCTTCTTCTGGGGCGAGAGTCCGCCTGGGTGGCGTGCACGGAATGCGTTTGACCATGTGTGTCGAGCACTTCCTTGCGATTAGCCTGCGCCCTGAGCTGAGCTTCGAATTGGGCATGTTCCTTGTCCCAGGACGATCGATCAGGCATGTTAATTCGTTGACGTGATATCTGAATCTTCGAAACGGTCGGAAGTCGCGAGGGATTCGGAGTGTAGGTTACGGTGTATCGTGACTGCTGAGGAGTGCGCCGAGCGAAGAGCACAGTACTTGATGGCATTGTGGTAGGTGCAGACCTCCGGGCTGAAATGATCAGCTCAGAGATGAGTCACTTGAGTGTCATGTTGTCCCAATCACTTCGACTTGACTATTCGATCAGCGGATGGTTGTCATATATCATATTCACTTTACTCTATTGGAGGTGGCACGACATATGCTTTTCGACATCGTGAGGTCGTTCTGCTGAATTATGCAGTCCTACAAGCCCGGACTCGTCATCCTCTCGGTTGACTGCCCATGTGGTCAACCGTCTCTGTGCTGTATTGCACATGTCGAATTTAGCGAATACTCCTCACTTCTGCATGGACACGATCGTGCAGTATGCAGTGTGACAAGGATGCCGGCATTGCTCCGATCAGCTGCAGACCGAGTCGTCTGATGCCAGTAGTCGATGCTGATCCTGCGGCATTGCGGCGGATATTGCTCATCCGGGCTCACCAGAGAGCTGATTCTCGTTTGAAAGAAACTCCTGACCAGAGCCTCCTATTCGCTGCCTCTTCGCATCTGTGCCGTCCGGCGTAGTAGCTGTTGATTGATGTTGGTTCTGCATGTTGCTTACATCGTTCAAAGGTGGCCGTCTATTTGCGTGAAGAACTCTGTCCACGCCTCCAGCCACAGCGTTGCTCGTATGAGGTGCCAGAATAGCACCATCTGGTCCTCGCCTGGTCGGCGGTCGATAATGAGATGTGGAAAACCCTCGACCCATTCCGATCGGCGTTTGGGGTGTCTGAGGTTGTCCCGGCAATGCAGCCCTAGTCATGTTTGACGCTGACGCTGACGCATTTATTCCATCTTCTCTTGCGGGAACAGGTGCAGCTGGTGTAAGGTTTCTGTGTAATGCAATGGACTTGGTATGGTCGATATTCGGATTCCGGGGGATCGAGCGAGCTTCCAAGTGAGGGTTGAACGTCTGAGCTGCACCGTCGATAACATTGTTGTTTTCGTCGACACTCCCTGCCGCACGGGCAGAGAAGAAACCCGTCCCTCGGCCTGTGGCGGGTGCGACCTGGTTGTGATTGTTGAAGTGCTGGGAAGGCAGGCCTGGTGACGAAGACCGCTGACGAGTTCTATTTGCACCAGGCACAGCTGGATCAGGCACGCTCGCAGGGCCAAGTTTCGGCTTCTCAACAGGCCTTCCATTCGTCTGTTGGTGTCCGGCTTGCAATGCGCCATTGTTCGACGGCGCCTTCAGAGGCGGGCGAGAAGGTGTGGTCATTGCTCGCGATGCAGCCACGGGTGGAGCTACAGAAGCCTGGTACTTCTTAGCTGCATCACGAGGCTCTGTTGGAAAAGCAGACTCATCGACACCTCCGAAATCATCATCGTCAAACATTCCCTCGTCGAAGTCCATATCTTCGGCGATAATGCGACTGTTGTCACTATTGGTGCTGTGTGCTAGCTGCTTAGGCTCTGACTCAGCTGCGATCTCCCTCTTCACTGCTGGTCCCTTGTTGGTGGCAAAATCTGGATGTCGGTATAGCTCATCGATGTCGAACTTGCGAGGGGCCACTTTGATCTTGGTGACCTTGTTGAGATACTCTTTGTCCTGAAGGCAGGTTCCCAGTAGCTGTCCAAAGTTACGAAGAACACGCTTGACCCCGTCCGAGACTCCCTGCTTCTTTGCTTTCTCGAATGCGGACGCTTTGCCCTTCATGTTCTCTACGCTGCCATAGCCAACGTCCTCGTGATATGTCCCGTCTCGAAGAGTGATCCGCATCGTGACAGACAAGCCGAGTGAGATCTTCCCCGTCTGGGGATGTTCGTCGACATAGTCGATCTGTATATTCTGCACAGCACTGTTCCATCCATTGAAACCGAAGACCTCATTTGCAAGGTGTATGGCCTTGTGCGTCTCAACGTAGTATACTTTTGCCCCTCCCGCACCTGGCCTTGACGATAGCCATTCGGGGCCTAATTGCTTGTTCAGTCGACTTTGTAGGGTAGCAATTTCTGACGCGGTATACGGCGATATGCTCTGCTTCTTCACAGATTCATCTGCATCATCGAAAGGATTTGCTGTGACAGCACCGTTGGACTTGTGCTGATCGCCCGACCTGTCACGAATTAGCATACAATCAAGGAAGAAGGATTCTCCAACATACGCAGGCATTCTCAGCACTGAGCTCGGTGATGGTCTGAAATCGCGCAGAGGTCATCAAGAGGCCAGCGGTGACGCTTCGCTCAGGCGTGGATCATTTCGAGTTCATGTCGAACCCAAGATCGACTCGGCGATCTCGACGCGTCTCCAAATCGCGTCATCACGTGATCAAACTTCTACAGCACCGGATGACTCCATCGCTTGCGACTGCGAGCTACCTAGCTCTAGTCGTACCTTCCAAAGAAATCTCACAAGAGCTGCTTACGAACACAAGAAGAAGGCATTTTGAAACTGCTTGCGATTGCATGCTATTGCTTGTAGTTGGACCTGGAGGTCTCAGCTTGTCCACAGACGGCACGTCCCGTCGCCGCCAGCACTAACAAGCCATGGCTTCGTAGGATGCCAATCCAAATCCATCACTCCCAGTCCACCAGACACTTTGTGACCTCGAAGCACCTTCAATGGCACTATTTGTGCATTACTCATCGCATCACTCGTCACAGAACCATGAAAGATCTGAATACTTCCATCGTCACTGCCATCCGCGAACAGCGGAAACTTGTGCGTTGCCGGATGGTAGCGAACAGCGCGGATGGCTTTTTCGTGGAATCGTAATGTTTTGTATGGCCTAGGCGACAGCTCGAGATCCATCCACAACAGCCGCCGGTCATATGAGCCGACGATCAGGTTGTCCGATCCAGCGGTCGACGAGCTGGTAGGATGGACGTCGAAGCTGCTGATCCATCGCGCTCCAGGCTGTATGATCTTCAGCAGAGACTGCTTTGACAGGTCATATGCTCGTATGAGGCGCTGGTTCGCGACGTACAGGACGGGCTTCGTGGGATGGAAGTGAGCCACTTGTGGTGTTCCTCCGCCACGTATGCGCTTGCGGAAAGGCAGCTGTGTTTGATGCTTGCTCAAAGTATGCACAGCGATAGCTTGTGACGCCGGAACGTTTGCACCTGGACACACAGTGACAAGATAATTGCCGCCAGCATGGAAAGACAGTGATTTGGCTGCATGTCCGAGTCTGAGGACGATCGAAACGCCCTTGGCCTGCAATTTTGATGAAGGTCTGCTCCACGAAATTGCGCTCGTGCTTTTCGAGGATCCGTTGGAAGCAGCGAAGCCCCACCCTGCGTCAATAATGGATTGACTATGTTCGAGCATGTTGCTGTCGCCGCCGCCTTCGGAGCTGCTAGCAGTGTCGAAAATAGGTGCACAAAAGTACAGCTCATCACCAGCAGCTGCTGCAAGTATCAAGGAGTCCTTTGTGGGCCGCCATCGTACAGCGTTGATCGCATCTTCAGAGGACAACTTGACATGCCAGATTGGACGTGCCGGTTCAAGCTTCCACACGCGGAGCGTGCCATCATCACCGCCTGTGGCGACTAAGTCACCTGACGGAGATATCGAGACGGAACGCACTCGTCCTTCATGTCCGCTGAAGATCTCGGATTGACGCATGGGAAACGGTCTGAGCTCGTCTGGATCTGGCAATTTTGGTAGAAGCGATTCGGGGTCGATGTTCATCTTTGTACGCCGGACTCGTGGCGCCAGGTACAGATCCAAACATCGCTCAAATTTCTCCTTGATGAATTGACCCCAGCCAGGTACTTTTCGTAGCGAATTGTAGTCACTCGGTAGGTAGTCTTTCGGACGGTCTTCCTCATCCATGTCCTCCCACTCTTTCTTCTCTTTGGCATCAGGCAGATACTCGGGTGGCGGATGGTAGCTCTCATCGAAGCCTGGTGGCGGTAATTTGGGTGCTGGCATATGCATGGCATGTTCCTTGCGAGGCTCCTCGTTGGCCCACACATCGTAGTTCTGTACCTCTTCTTCTTCCTCCGTCGGTGGCTTGTATGGTAGAATACGGCCTTCCCGTATTGCTCGCACGATTTTCATCACTCGCTTCTGCTCATGTTTCGATGGTACGAACCTCCGCTTGGGTTCCGGAGCAGCACTCAGTGGCATCTGCTCGACCTGACTCGTGAACCATTCAATTGTAGGCTCATACGGGTCAATGCCGTCGCTGGCGAGCTCGTTCATCTGGACCTTCTTGAGGAGCTGGAGTTCTTGTTGGCTTAGCTGTAGAGGTTTGCCAGTGTTTGGATCTGTCAAGCCTGTCCATCCTTTGGGTACTTCAATGGTATCGAGTAGAGCGTCCAAAGCCTGGCCGGCTGCTGGCCGCATGATCTTCTTCCCGTTGATGTTGTAGCCGATGTGTGGGTATGAGTCGTAATATTTGAGAGGAATGTCACCTATCGTGTTGGCTTCTGCGTCTGGCACAGAATAGTCTGAATCGTCGCCAGGGTCGATCTCGCCCCACACATACCGGTCGTTGCCATTGGCATCTTTCTCGATAGTGTAGCCTTGGTCATCGTCTTCGCTGGAGGAGTCTGGGGCATCCTGTATGGCTTGAGCCCCCTCCAATGCTTTCTCCACTGCCGTCTTCTGTTGCACTGGCTGCAGGAAGTTCCCATTTTGTTCGGCGTCTTCGCTGGTGACGCTTTCGTCGTCTTCACCGTCTTCTTCCTCTTCAACACTACTGTCTGCGTCACTGACGCCAGGGTCCGATGCTCCGTCGGCGCTCACATCATCCGAAAAATCCTCGGTCACGTCAATTTCTAGTGCGTCCTCGTCGGAGTCGGACAGCCCGCCATTGAGGTTGCTAAAATCGAGCTCGTCTCCGGAGACCACAGCAGCGTCCGCCTCGACATCTCTTGTGACAGCCTTCCTCTTCCTCGCTGTCGCCATGCTTGTGATGTTGGTGTATATGACTGAGGTCTTCCTCAATGTGCTAATGCCATCTCCAAAACTGCACCAAAAAAAGTTGCTCGAATGCGGCGTCGGAAAATCTTCGACCGAGCGGATCGACAACTAAAGCTCGTTTAGGCTAAGCCAAGAAGCCCCGACGCCTTAACTTCGGGGCGATTGGGGGGCCTGATGCTCAGCAAGCGCAGGCTTCAGGCGTTTAGAAAAGAGGTCCCCGCGCATAAGTCAGCAATGCCCTGACTAGAATATTGCTACTTCTCGGAGCGCAAGTGCAGCGACAGGAGCAGGACTGCTACTTGCTGACATCCCGACGCAATGCTCGCGACTCCAGTGAACCAGATGGACGGCGCATTCGCCGACGGAGCGCTCTTCTCCAACAGTGGGACTGTACCATGATGGGTGACTCAGCGATGGCACTGGACTCGACTGCTGGAGGCGCAAAGGTCCATGCCGCCTGCGATGAATGCCGTATGCCCTCGTGCTCGCACAGACAAGCGGAACATGTAAGACTGACTCGCCTCTAGGGAAGCGCAAACTGAAATGCTCCGGCGAGCCTGTGGGATGTACCCGCTGTACAAAGTACTCGATACCATGTATCTACTCGGTTCAGAAGCAGATGGGCCGACCCAAGAAACGACAGCGACAGGACGATGAAGCCGAGGCAGGCACCTCCTCGTCACAGAAACCACAATCCTACATACTCGACCCCTCCCTCTCCGCCGCCGACGCCGAGCGCAACCAATTCGAGAACATCTGCCCGGGACCTATGGGACCCGGCGCTATAAGACAGTCCCGGAACGCGAATGCCTCTCTCGAGAACACCCCTCCGTCAGATCATCCTCGAACGCCCTCCGACAGCGACATTTACAACATTCCGTACCCCACCGACTACTCGATATGGCCTGACTTTACCGAAACCACAGTCCCTATACCTCTCCAGGAAAACACCTACACCACCCCAGACAAGCATCCCGTCAACAACACCACAACACTTACTCACCGCCCTTCCAATCCCAACCCACTCCCCGACTGTCCCTGCCTTCCGAACCTCTATCTCACGCTCTCGACCCTCAGCACCCTCTCCGCCTTCCCCATCTCCTCCCACACAATCACCACCCTCTCCTCCGCCCACCGCACAGCCCACAGCGTAATCTACTGCCGGATATGCCCCACCAAGTTCCAATCCGGCAGCCAGAACGTCATGCTGTCCAACACCCTCCTCACCGTCCTCGTCGACCAATGGCAGCGCGTCCTCAAACAGCCCGCGACATCCTCGAAAAAGGCTTCAGCGCCTCCCCACCTTCAGCACACATGTCCGCCCTCACCGAACTCGAATGGAAGACCTTCGCATACGACTTAGTGAGAGCACACGTATTCGGTGACCGCACCGCAACCCCACCACCTACACCGAACCCAGCACCAGATGCGGTGCCCCCACCCAACAGCCAAATCATCCCCCTAATGTCCCTCGCAGACGCGATGGAGCGAAGACAAAACCAATGGCACGACCACGAACCCGAAACAGGCGAGTTCGGGCAGAAACTCGCCCACGACTTCCAAATGGGCATTCACGCCAGCGGCTTCACGCTCGAGGATCTGCGGCGGATGGAGGGCGCCAGCGCGCTGAGCAGCGTGCAAGGGAGGAGGCGGAGCGGCAAGGAGGCGAAGCGCGGCCGGGCGATGGGAGTATAAAAGGGGATCATCTGTGTTTGCATTTGGTTAATCATGCGAAGATGTGTATCAAGCAGCTGGATCGGCCGGCGCCGTGTTGGGGATTGTGGGGCTGAGTATCTCATCGCGATGATGATGATGTAGAACGGTGAGGTCGAATATAGCTTGACTGTCATGTCTATTCTGTGGAACCAATCTGTGCTGGGAGACTGGAACTTGAAGGCAGGAGCATCAAAATTCTTGGGCGGAAAACGCATTTCAGTTGTGTGCCTAGGTAGATGGCGGAGTGGCGACGGGGCGCCCGCCCGGTAGCATTTTCCATGCGAGCTTAACGTAATCTGCCCCAATATCGCACCTGTTTCATTCTGCTATCCACGCAGATACCGTCATGTCTTCACCAGAACGCCTTGTTCCTTCACATCGGAACTATGCTCATCATCGCTGGAAATGCATTGGCATCACATCATAGCCTACATTCTCATGACTGCTTTTGGGCCCCCTTTCCGAGACTGACTAGTCGCAAGCAATTCCTCGTCATGATACATGCATCTGGACAGCCTCCCTCGGAATGACTCCCTGGCTGATGAAGATATCAACAAGTCCCTGAAGCGGCTCCATATCCTTCTTCGGAAGCAAGTCGTAGTACATTGCGACGGTCATGAAGTGCACGAAGCAGCTGTTGAGCTCGAGGTGGCGGTTGATGTGCCAGAACGGGTTGTCCCAGTGGCAGTGATAGAGATGGGCGTAACACCGGAACATCTGCTTGATGATGCTCTTGACGTCTTGGTGGAAATTGGGAGGGAAGCCAGAGGCTTTGCCGATCCAATCTTGGTTGGAGCCAGCGAGCGTGGACATGGGTTGGTTGAGGTTGGATGGGGGTGCGCCAATGGGAGGGAGGGTGTTGCCAGGACCGCCTGAGGCATATGCGGTCTCTTGGACGTCCTTGGGTGGGTCGGTAGGGAAGACGTGAGGGTCGTGGATTTTGCCGACGATCCATGCTGAACTCGGACGATGTATGAGGGGGCGGGAATTTTGGCTGGTCTACCGTTCTCAAGCCATGTGTATGTGAGTCTACATCAGATGTCAGAGGGTCGTTCTTCGTCGTTAGAAGGAACAAGGCTTACCGTCCGGCGGACATGGTGGGACATGTGACTTCGTTGCATAGCGCCATGCCATTATTGGTATCCACTTCTTGGATGACCTGAATCATGCCAGCTAATAACCGGTTCATCTCGACCACTACCTCGTGTCAGCATTGTGGTCGAGTAGCCAGACTATGCAGTGGACCCACGTTGATGTGCCAGCCATTCTCCCAAATCGACATTCTTAGGTTGAGCAGCAAGCGTGAGAAAGTTGCCCTTGACGGAACATTTCGCATGTTTCTCGTTGAGGAACTTCTTTGGCTCGGCTTCGTTGTAGGGGACTTCTTGACTGTAGGTGGACGACATGGAGGGCGAATTGACTAGAGGAGGCATCGGAGGCTGCTGTTGGGCAGACTGTGCACCATTGTTGTAACTGGCTTTGAGGTTCTGGTTCGACTTGGTATTGCCTCGACCAAAGCCCTGCCGACTGTGGTCTTCGTGGTCAGTAATTTGGTGGCAGCAGAGACGCTTGAGACCCTTCTTGACCTTCATCTTGTAGCAATACGCCGAAATCTGGCGGAAAGCTGGCTTGTACAAGGAGGCAGGGGATTGGACATGGTGCTCAGAGACGTAGTAGAGGGGGCATCAGGGTGGTTCTGCGTCTGGAGAACTTGTTGATTTGACTTACACACTCTGAAAGAAAGTTGCCATGCCACACCAACTACCACAACTTGCGGCAACCAACACAGAAAAGGGCGAGATTTGTCACTAGAACTGAATTGTGGTACAAGTGAGGGTAGTGCTACTGGCACTGTACTTCATTGCGGAGGAGGTGAGGGAGCCACGGCCTTAGGGCGTTAACTCCTAGGCACTACCATGGATTCGGACTACGAGCCATCAGATTCAGAAACCACAGAGCCTGAGACACCCACAAGAATTGTAACCTGCTTCCATTACCGGACTCATTGCTGTTCATACAATTCTCGATGCGCCAGCGGCCCCCCTGGGGATCCGAGTCATTACGAATATCATCATAGTTGGGTAGCTCGCCGCGCTTCACGCCGGGAGGAAGAGTGGGCAACCTACCGCTGCGAAAAACAACCACACGAGCATGGCTGCGGTCCAGGACACCACGCCCAACCGATTCGGCAACGCGCCCACGCCAGAGCCGCAGCTAAACGGTGGCGGCAGCGAAGACGGTGATCTCTTCGGCGACGACGACGAAGACCAAGAACCACAAGTCAACCGAAGAACGCTTGACGACCGCGACCTCGATTCCGGCGACGACGAAGGACGAGACGACCGCCTCGCCAACTCAGTCGAAGACGATGACGTGGACCGCGAACAGAGAGAAGTCAAAGTCTTCGATGTCGACCTGGCTCGCATCCGACCTCCCGAGGGTGACGAGCTCTACATGATGAACCTCCCTGCCTTCATTGGCCTCAACAGCCGCAACTTCGACTACCCTACCTACGAACCACCAACCGCTCCTCACGATGCCTCCCAAGACAAGGGCAACAACAAGTCCGGCGACAAGTTCTCCGCCTTCTCCACCGCCACAAGCACCATGTACTGGCGCCGCGACCCTCGCGACAAAGACCTCATGCAATCCAATGCCCGCGTCATTCGCTGGTCCGACGGCTCTCTGACCCTTCAGCTCGCCTCAAAACCTACCCAGCAATACAACATCTCTACCTCCGCCTTCCGTCAGAATTACGACGCCCGCAAGAACCGCCTCAAACCTGTCCCCACACCCTACGATCCCAATCGAGACACCCACAACTACATCGCCGCCCCACACTCCACCTCCGGTCTCGACGTCCAAATCGTCCGACCAATCGACGCCAACATCCGCATCCAGAAATCTGGCGAGCTAGCCTCTGCTCCATCGACCGCCTCAAAGCCGAACTCGCCAAGGCCGCAGACATCGGCAACCCACTCGAATCCATGTCCAAAGTCCGCAAAGACCCCGAACAGATCCGCCGCGAAGCCGAACAAGCAGAAAAGGACGCCGCTCGTGCCCAGCGCAAGCTCGAGAACGCACAGTACCGCAACAATACCCGCCGCGATGCGGTCCTCGGCCGCTCAGGTCTTGGAGGTCGCTCTGGCGTCGGTCTCAGCGTTGGTGGGCTGGAAGACGACGAAGGCATGCCATCTGCACGAGGCAATACAAGACGAGGCGCAGGCGGGAAGAAGGGCGCTTCGAAGCGCAAGGTCAATCGACACGGCGAGATCTATAGCGACGATGAAGACGATACGATGCCGCGCGGCCGCACACGCGAGGACGAGTACGACCGCGAAGACGACTTCTTGGCCGACTCGGAGGAGGAACCAGAGACATATGAAGACGACGAGGAGCTACCAGAGGATGAAGACGACGATGAAGACGCTGCCGGAGAGATTGATGACGACGTCGGTGTCATCCCAGAGCGGAAGCCGCAGCGGGAGCGGTCGGGCACACCGAAGCGTGCTGCAGAAGATGATGGAGCCGGGCAGGGCAGTCCAAGCCAGATACGCAAGAAGCGACGAGTCATTGATTCTGATGAGGAAGACGAGTGATTTGGTCAGCTTTGGTACTTTTCAGCAGAACCTCAGATCTCCTTGGAAGCCAACCCGAGCTTTCAGATTTCATAAGGTCAGCAGATTGGTTCTGACGCTCGTCGTGATATTCAGAGTAGACTGCCTGCTTGCCGACCAGATTGGTGTAGGGAAAGGACTTCCAAAGCGAGCCAGATACCCCAAGATCGCCACAACTGGAACAAAAAGATTTCGAACATTGGAATTGTCTTCGTTCTGTCTCTCTCACACTCCACCTAAAGAACGCAACAGCCCATCTCGGCTTGCTAACCACCATATGCGTCTATCATCATATATCTGTGTAGCAAGCGCTGCTCAAGCCTCGCCATAAAACCCTCACTGACCAAAGCCATACTCATCCCGGTCTGCCACCCACTCGTAGCCCCAACAAGCGAGTGACATCCCATACATGCTGAACATCTAAAGATACAACAACCCGAGTCCAACCCGTGCACGACACTCATAGCTCGGCAGAAAATCCCGCCATTTGCTACATGCCTCCTCGATAGTATTCATCACATGGAAGTACATTGACGGCCATGGCAGACCACTTCGCCCGTGACACCGCGCGCCGCGATTGTGGAGCCTTCCTCTATGCCCTTGTTCGAGTCTTCCAGCTTCTTTTCCTAAATAAGCAGGTTTTTCAGACTGGGACTAGCGCTTGCTCCAGGACGATCCGTAGCGTTAATCTGGCGGAGTGCCTCGTCAGCTGTTGCGCGGGACGCGTCGACGGGAGTGATGGGCCTGATCATCGAAGCAGATCCCATTTGCGGTGGACTCGGGTAGCTAGAAGGTTGGCTGTTCTGCGCCATCCGCTGCGAGTTGTCACCACTAGGATTCCTGGAATGCTGCGATGCACCCAACTGCTCTGCGGCCTGAGCCACCTGACTCAGCGATTGCGCTTGTGGGTGGACCGATGGTGGACGCGCTGCCTGCTGAGAGACTGGCCTAGAGACTGCCCAACTCGGAGCTGGTGATGGGCCCGGTGGGGGTGGTGGACCGTAGCCATTGATCGGTGGTCCTCGCGGATCTGTGAATGACCTGGACGCATTGGTGGGCCACCAATGCCGAGCCCAGCAAAGCCAGCATCGTATCGTGGCGGGGACGGTGCACGAGTTGGAGCAGGGCCGAGCGGTAGCGGCGGTCCTGGAGGCGGCGGCGGAACACCGTAGCCAGCTGTTGGAGGCGAATGATGCCCAGCTGCTGCCGTGGGAGGCGGACCATAGTGGATCTGAGAAGAGCTCCGTTCCAGAGGAGAATCCCAGCTAGGTTGGTGTGGATAGCCTGCTGGGGGTGGCGGTCTTGGACCATACCGATTCGCAACTTCGCCTGGGTCCCGCATGAAAGGTGCTGGTGGCGGCCAGGGCGCATTCGTGTGACCCCATGGCGAATGGTGAGCAGGCACCGGAGGAGCCACGGCTGGATGAGCGTGTGGCGTGAGAGGCCCTTCGAGAGGTGGAGGTCTTGGTGGTGCGAATGGGTACGCCGAGGAAGAAGTGAAAGCCGGGGCTTCGGCGATGGGATCCGATTCAGGTTCTGCGGCTGTGCGTGGACGTGGTCGAACCTGAGATGGCGACGAAGGTGGCGCCACCTTGCCCACATGACATTTGTGACATTGCCACATCTCACCGGGAGCTTGAGGCGTAGCATTGGGATTTTCGGGCTCTTTAGGCTCGTGCTTAACGATGCCATTGGTGATCACCTCTCCTGGAGCATGACTGCTGCTCGATTCAACTTGTGGAGAGGCCACAATCCCGTTGACATGAGGTTGCTCAGGATGATTCTCCCGAGCTGGCGGAGGTGTTACTGAGCGACCAGCTACTGGTTGCTGCACAGGCCACCACTTCGGACTGACTTCGACGAGGCAGCTGCAACATTTTCGTTTGCTGGGGTCAGTGTCAGTGCTCTCGTGACCAGCATCCGGGCCATCGACTTCCATCTCGTCAGGATCGGCATTGGGAGAAGGCGAGCGAGATCCTCGTCTGCGTCGAGTGGTGCGCTCAGGGCCTGAAGAGCTTGCACCATTCGTGATGGTAGGTTGCCGCGCTGGTTGCTGTGTGGGCTGCGCTGCAAGCGGAGCGCTGAGATTGAACTGCTGTGCTCGTCGAACAGTACCGGTGATGGAGGTATCCGCCTGCTTGTACTTGCGTGCAAACACTTGTAGCGCTATCTGTCCATCTTCCGTCTGCTCGACCATGCTGTGTACAAAAGTGGTTGCACCATGCGAGGCACACCAGATGGCAGGCACTGCAAGCCCCCCTTCATTGCCGAACTTGACCGTCTGTACAGAATCGCGTCGACTGCCTTTCACTGGAGTGATGTCGAAGCCGAATATGTAGTTGGCTTGATGGGCACATCCGATATGAAATGTTGCGTTGCAGCCTGGCTGATGGCAAGTATGCACAGGCTTCTTGCCAGAAGTCTTGCAAATCTTGCACACTCCTTCATACCTCTCAGGTGGGATGTAACCAACACCTTCAGCGGCGTCAAGCAGCTCGGCATCCCCAAATTTGATTTCGGGCGTCCAAAGGGCACAAACGATGTGCGTCCAGTTGTTCCAGGCTGTACGCTTGAGCGCTTCTCTTGGGTTTACAGGCCGCCCAGCAGCTTCCTGTTGCTGGCGCCACCGTCGACTCGCCTCAGCGACCATCTCTCTTTCCACGCGCTCCTTCTCGCGCTCTCTGTCGCTCTTCTTCTTATGACTAATTCGAAGAGGCTCCATGAGCTCTTGGTGAGTGTACGTGACAGGACACAGCAGGCACTCGTAGATGGTCGAGACCTGCAGGATTTGGTCATTCCGACACATGTCGCAAAACCACGGCTTGACGTTAGCGGTAGGCGATACACCATAACAAACTCCATGAACATGAAGGCGACAATCCCTGCACTTGAGGAGCTCCTGTCCAGGACATTCGATAACGTGACAAACGGCACATGGATGTACCTTGACCCTCGGCGCTTCTGGCTCGAGTGGCGCCTCAGGCACTTTCTCAGCAGGTTTTTTCTTCTCTACCACAATGTCTGGAGCGACGCCTGAGGGGATGGCTGCGTCTTTGTCGCCTTTCGTCTTCTTCTTCGGAGGCTCATCATACTGAATGATGCTCTGCGGAATTTCCACACCTGCTTTGTGAACTTCATTGGCTGTTTGCATCGAAATTGGATCCCCAGCCGCAGAATGGGCTTCATAGTGAATTTGCAGAAGTTCTTCATCGATCTTGCGTTTGGCTGCGCGACCGCCAGCGGCTGCGATCTTCTTGGAGATCTCCTCAATGTTCTCGTACTGAATTGCATATCGTCGCCAAAGGTAAGCGCATTTGCCGCAGAGCGCAAGCAGCAGCCAGTTGCTCTTGTCTTTGGAATTTTTCGAGGCCGAATCTGCTGGTACGAGTGTGCCTGGAGAAGTGTTTGGTGCTCGTCGCCACTGGCGCGAGTGCCGTGTTGCGCAAAATTTGCACTCGAAACCACGCTTTTTTGCAGCCGCTTTTGCATTGTCGTAGGCTGAATCGTCACCGTCGTCCGCAACGTCCTCCACTTTGCCATCTGCTCCCTTGTCGGCTTTCTTAGAGTCCTTCTTAGATTTACGTCCTTCGAAGCTGCCCCAAATTTGCCGACCACGATCTGTCTTCTTCCACATGTAGTAAAAGCGAACAATACGGGCCTCTTTGACCGTGCCGACGTGGCGAGCAACAAGATGAAGTTCGCTGCCATACTTTCCGACGCCCTCTTCGAAGCGTTTGACCTCTTCTCGATTGAGATCAGGCATCTTCAAGTCAGTCCTCTTCGACAAACCCCTCATTGCCGCGAGTGCTTTCTCGGCGTCGTAGTCGTTGGCTTGCAGCTTCTCGATAGCTTTCGTCAACAGATCGACCGACGTAGTCTGGACATCGTACTGTCCGGCAAGCTTCTTCACTTGCGCGATGTACTCGTCGATCTCGGCTTCCGTGACCGTTGGCTTCTGCGCGTCCTCGAGTCCCCGACCGCTTGAGGAGCCTGATTCCGGCATTTTGAATATGACCTGAGCGGTGTGCTCTTTCTTGCCCCGTACCTCGACCGCTTCGTCGTGACCACGAGCTATGTATCCTACCGGCTCATCAAGAACCCATTTAGGGCGTTTCTGCCGTTGGTCCCGTTCGGCTTCGAGTTGAGCAAGCGTCTCCTTCGACATCTTGCCGTCTTTCTTCGACCCAGCAGACTTCTGGTACTTCTTTTTGATATCAGCGGGCTTGACGAGCTCGACGGGCCGTCCGTGCCATATATTGACGTTGGCTTGATGTCGTGGACCTAAACGTGAACTCGCTCTAGGATATATCCGATCATCGTAGTCCAGGGCATCTTCGACCCGTGAATGTACACCAAGATACCGCCACGGCCAGAGATTGGCCTGCGCGAGTTGCGCGGCTGTCGGCGGCGGATGCTCTTCCGGCATGGCGCTACTTTCTCGAGTCTCGTTGGGAGGGGCCAGATTATCTGAGTCCTCTTCGTCGACCATCTCCTCGTCTGGAGTCTGCGCCGACTCAGACAGGGTAGGTGTGTTGCGGGCTTCGAGCATAAGGTCTTGCTTCCGACTGCATGCTGCGCAAGCCCAAGCAAAGCCTCTTGCAGGCTTCCTGGCTAGCGCAGGGCGTACGCAGCGCATATGGTATGTATTTTTGCACACAGCGCAATCAACCGAGTCGTTGTTTGCGGCGAATTGTTCACATCGTATACATCTCTTGCTTGCGCTGGTAAGATCTCGGCTGCGCCCGACCTCTATGAGCACAAATTTCCACCGCTCGTCCAGCACATCCTTGACGCGTTGTGGCACGTTGACCACTTTGCTTGTGGGTATCACTTCATAGTAGCGATGCATGTACCGATCGTATAGCTTATCGAACCAGAAGCTATCTTTTTGCTTGCGATAGGTCTCGAGGTTGTCGATATCGTTGAGGTGCTGAATATTGCACTTGCCGCGAAGCGACGCTATGGGACACGTGTCTGAGTGCATGGAGGCGATGACGCATCTTGTATCTTGGACTCTTCGGCCGATGTCCTTGGGTCTGTAATACCAGTTGACTCGAATCGCATCGACGGGCGCAGCAGGGTCGTTGTTCGCGTGGAGAAATTCCATGATTCGGGCGAGGTAGTAGGGGTCACCGGGCGGCTCACAGATGAAGTAGGCGTGTTCTACAGCAGTCAGCGCTTGCATTAGGACACGAAGGAGGGATCTTACCATTCGCAGCCAGCGTGGTCCCATCGTCAGCGATCAGTTGGTCTTTTGCATTGAGACGAGCTTCAGACTTCGAAAAGCTCATCACATTAGATACAACATAATGCGCAGGCTGTGCATGCATTTGAGGGCCCAGCGCAAAGGGAGTCGTTGTGCCACTTGCGGCGGCCGAGCTGGCGGGAGGTTGCTTGCGCTTTTTGGACGGTGCCGGTGCCGGTGTAGGTGCAGGTACCTTGGCCTGGGTGGCCGGGACGCAGGATCCTTTGGCGCTGGAGCATGATCGCCATTCGAAATTGGAGCAGCGTTGATGACCGAGAAGCCATTCGTAGGTGTCGTGGAATTCAGGTAGCTGTCTTTGGCGGCGGCGGCGGCTCTGCGCGAATTTGCCTTGGTGATACGCCCGGTAGCTCTATCTCCAAGTCGAGTTCCTTGTCATCTGCATAATTTATACGTGGCCCACGATTACGTGACCTTGTCCCGTACGGAGCAGATGCATCGCCGTCTCCATTCTGGGATGAATTGGAATGAGTAGCAGTCATGGGTTGCGATTGTGGTACCTCATCGTCGACATCTGCAGGGTCGGGGGTGGCGGCAGATTGAGCATCGTACTTGGGCCTTGGCGGTGGGAGGTAGTCAAGAGGTTTTGAGATGGGTGGCAGCGGCTGCTGATGCGTTGGAGGTGCATCAGATCCCAGTGGATCTGGAATATCATCGTTTGTCGCCATGGCGAAGGGAAGTACTGATGATGTGCGTAGTATGAAGCCTCATCGCCAGGGCCAGTGGCATCAATCAGCGATCGCGTGGAACTCAAGCATACGCAACGGCGGAATTAACACGCTGCAATCCACGTCTGGGCAAGGCACTCAGAGATACAGACTGGTGTAGTGTGCATCGATGCCGGACTGAGTACAGAAGAGAATAGAGACGGTCGATGAAACTCTGTAGGCGTGTAGGGAAGACGATACTCGAAAAATGACAGGAGTGATGTGAGTGAAATGATGAAGAGAGGGCGGCGGGTTGCTGAGAAGACCGAAATATGCGAAGGCAGTGGCCAGTCCACTCCGTCCGCTCGAATTTGGCTAGCGCAGAAGAACAGCGTTTGTTCCCAAGATGAGGGACAAGGCCTCGTCTGGGTATGAGGTAGAGACCGTAGCGCCTCCTTCTACCGAAAGCGCCGCGACACCTCGAATTCTAGCTCAGACAAGTGGCGTTGACAATTCGGTGACTATGTTGACTCGATAATTGATGAATAGTTGCGAATAATTGAGTCCGACAAAGCAGGCGGGCAACGTTTGCTGACACAAGGGATGGGGAAGTGCAATACGACAAATCAGCAAGGCAGCCGGGCTGTGTGAAGGACATGAGGGAGACGTGCGTAGACACCAGGAATCAAGAATGGAAGACGGCTTGGCAAAAGACCTGGCCCGCTTCATGTTTTGGACCTGGCTCAGGTGTCATGCCCACACTTACTTGGAGGCAGTTTCTGGGCTTTGTTCTGCTCAAAGTTCTACGCGCGGAAGCAGCTTGCAGATGGAAAAGGCCTCAGTTCGAGTAAGAAGGTGCTATCGGATCGAGCCTTGCGGCAAGGAAGGGATCATTGATGCTTCTGAGGCACCTCCTGCCATTACAGCAGCCGAGTCTCGATGGGCGATGACACTTCGATAAATCAAGAGGAGGTGATCACACCTGAAGTAAGGCATTGCCAGAACAAAGAGGTTCAGGATTGACTTCGGCGGACCGCCATGGAGCTCTCCTCGGCAGCTTCTGCCAATGACAGCCAGTTTGTGAGGAAGTATCTTGGCATTCGGCTAGCTGGAAGCGCCAGATTTGACTGCCAGGCTCTTTTCGCTTCTTTCATGGACGTTATCATCCTCTTCCTCTGTGTAGTCTCTCTGAGAAGCCACGAACCGCTGATATCCCAATACATTATCGCGGCAGTTATGTCAATGTCACTTACATACATCCATTCAGTATAAGGACATGCTGGCGGCTATGTGTGGGCATCCCCGTCGACCATACCGTGACTTGCACGAGTCTTGGAGTTGCGCTCTCAGTTCTCTGCACTGCAGCGAAAAGCTCAGCACCTACGATGGTAATGCCATGCGGGCGAATGTTCGCAGGACGAGCTCCATGACCGTCCTCGTCTTCAACAACGATCTTTCTATCTTTCATGTGCGATCGAGAGCCTGATGTTCACCAGCAATAGTCTTTATCGACCAGTGCCTTATCACGTATCAGCGATGCTGGTTACACGACTGAGTTATGATACAGTCGGAGGTCTCACTTCATCTGCCTGTCACGCACTCCCTGAGGTGACATGGAGCCGTCGGATCTAGCCGGGGTTTAGGTTTAGGCCCACCTGAACGCGGTGCAAGTCGATCTCCAACGCGACTGCTGCCTTGAACTACCAACCAGGTAAGTGCTTGCTTTGAATCATGTTTACACCGGAAGCAATAACTGGCACCGATTCACGTGTTATATCACGGGACGATACGTCTTGTCATTGTGATTGCGCATAGTAGGACTGATTGCCATTATTTGTTGGCTGCCGAAAAGTCCTAATGAGGCCAACTTCCGAATCCTGGCATCAACAAACCACATTTGATCAGGTGCGAGGTCAGGTCTATCCAACGACATCCATTGTTAGAGCCAAGAGGAAACTAGATCTGCATGACCCACCACATCAACAGCTTTCCGTCCAGCGCTCGTATTCCCTGCCAGCTACAACCAAAAGGTCAAGAAGCTATCTGAAAGCGAGCACGATCAGTGATGTGCCACGACCTACGACAGATGTTGTGCCGATTGCAGACCAACAATCCAATTCTGCCCCTACCGCCTCGGACAACCCGTTGCTGACTCTCCGCCACGCTCGTTATGGACTGCCACCACAGCTCGTCCACAATTTCGAGAAGTCTGGGGTGAAGTCGATCTATCCGTGGCAATCAACATGCTTGCTTGGCAAAGGCGTGCTGGAGGGCACCCAGAACCTGATCTACACTGCTCCTACGGGCGGTGGAAAATCACTTGTCGCGGAAGTCCTGCTATTGAAGAAAGTCATCGAGAATCCCGGCCGAAAAGCTATCCTCGTTCTCCCGTACGTGGCTCTGGTGCACGAGAAACTGAAGTGGCTTCGAGTACTAGTCGAAGATGTATCCAAACAACTCGACACATCCGGGGGAGCTCGCTTCACCGGGAACAGCAAGCACATCCAAGTCATGGGTTTCCTCGGCGGTAGCCGCGCAAAAATCACCTGGGCGGACTTCGATATTGCTGTATGCACAATCGAGAAAGCCAATGTACTCGTAAATGCTGCGATCGAGGAAGGTCGCATTGATCAGCTCGCTTGCATTGTCATGGACGAGCTACACATGCTAGACGATGAAGGTAGGGGATATATCATGGAGCTCATGGCGACGAAGCTGCTCGCCACACAGCAGGACATCCAAATAATCGGCATGAGTGCCACTCTTTCAAATCCAGCTCTGCTGGCGAAGTGGCTGAGGGCAAAGTTCTACGTGTCGAAGTACCGTCCCATCCCTGTCGAAGAGCACCTAGTGTACAACGACGAGATTTATCCGACAGCCAATGCCAAAGAGTTCTTTCGGACCGCCAGCCAGCTCTCGGGACATTCGGCTTCCTGCACATCCAGTGGGTCAGCGCTCGATTGTCCCCAGGCCATTAGAAAAATCAGGCCTTCAATTCACGTGGAGTTAGAAAACCCAATGCTCAATGCGGTCGTGGCTCTTGCTGTTGAAACAGCTTCAGACGGCTTCGGTGCCTTAGTATTTTGTTCCAGCCGGCTCGGCGCGGAACGACTTGCGACAGTGATTGCTGCTGCAACGCCTACGGAGGAGCTCTCGGAGGACGTGCTCAACGATCGAGCTGAGGTGATGGCGTGCCTGCAAACTTTACCCAACGGCTTTGAAAGTGCATTCTCCAAAACCATTCACGCTGGTGTCGGCTTTCATCATGCTGGACTGACTTTGGAGGAACGAGAATTGATCGCGGAAGCTTATGACAAGGGGATTCTGAAAGTCATGGTCGCAACCTGTAGTCTTGCGGCAGGCATCAACCTACCAGCCCGGAGGGTCATACTTCACGGGGCAAGGATGGGCCGAGACCTTCTCGGTCCAGCAATGCTGCGTCAAATGCGTGGAAGGGCTGGCAGAAAAGGCAAAGACGAGATCGGTGAGACCTACCTGTGTTGCGTCAAAGCCGATCTCGAGGCAGTGGCTGCGCTGCTCGAGGCAGAATTGCCCCCAGTAACGAGCTGCCTCGGTTCCGACAAACGTGGACTTAAACGTGCAGTGCTCGAAGTCGTCGCCACCAAGCTCGCCAACAGCAGAGACAGTCTGGAAGACTACGTCCGTTCATCTCTGTTATGGCAAACTTGTGATCCTGCCGAAGTCATGGCTATGCTCGATGCAGCCCTGGCAGACCTCGTCCAAACACAATTGATCTCGCAGTCTGACGATTTGACCGTAGTGTTTGAGCCTACAACTCTTGGAGTGGCTATTGTAGCGTCAGCGCTAACACCGGAAGATGGCCTGTTCGTCCACGAAGAGATGCAGCGGGCGCTCTCATCGTTTGTGATGGAATCGGAAATGCATACACTGTACCTTTTCACGCCCATACCACATCAGCACGATCTTTGCAACATCGACTGGCCTGTCTTCCGATCACACCTCGACTCACTCTCGGAGGCGGATCTGCGTGCCTTCAAGCTGATCGGTGTCTCGCCGTCCACGATAGTGAGGCTCTCGCTATCAGGCGGTCAGTTGCCGGAGAGTACATCGTCCGAGCTCAACGTTGCCAGAATCTATCGACGGGCATACACGTCTCTCCAGCTCCGGGATCTGTGCAACGAGATTCCAGTCCACGACATCAGCCTTCGCTACAACGTACCGCGAGGACAGATACAGAATCTGTCGCAGACGTGTCACGGGTTTGCAGCTGGAATGATCAAATTCTGTGAGCGCATGGGCTCAGCGTTCACCTTACTTGGTGCAGTGCTCGAACATATGTGTGATCGCCTACGGGCTGGCGCAAGAGCGGACTTGTTGGATTTGGCAAGGGTCAGCTTCGTCAAGAGTAGGATGGCAAGACTCTTGTGGGAGAATGGGTTCAAGTCGGTCAGAATGCTCGCTGAGGCTAGAACAGAGGATATAATGCCTATCATTATGCTTGCCCAACGAAAGAAGCTCAAAGTCGGAGAGGATGCTACCGAGCAGAAAATCCTTGAAAAGGTTAGAACAAAGGCTGATATAATGGTGAAGTCTGCAGGCAAGGTGTTGGACACTATGATGGTAGAGGAGCTCGACGACGAGCTTTGAGGGCCTCCTACTCGTGGGTACACGCAAATCCGTAGATAGTGGCCAGAGAATCCGATACACCATTATTTGCACTAGTTCTGCAGCAATGACAAAGCGGGCACAGTGCAACACGAAGCTAGGACCCGAGTGCGGAAAAGAGGTCAATACAAGCATAGTGGTGATTGGTCAGAATGCCAGGGGTAAATCTTGAACTCACATCATCAGTCAGCTATTGGAAATCTCAAGGACGACCTCCTCCGAGATTTCAGCGCTACGACTCGACTTGCATCCAGTCCACAGCGGATATGGAGAGCACTAGGTCCGTCAGCGGACCCTCAGTGAATCATCGGCGCGCGTGCAGCACAGTTTGACTTCGACCGTTTTGAGTAGCATACCACAAATAGCCGGGTTTGGAACGACGCAATGCCGACTGCCCCGCTCGCACCTGCGCAACTGCCAGGGCAGCTCTCCCTGGAGGGGTCACTGACATATGCTTATGGATGAGGTAACTGCACATTTTTGAGCTCGCCTCTAAACACGCATCTAGACCATTATTTTCGCAGGAGTATATAAGATCTCGTGCACAGGTTGCCCAGCTCTTGGAAAGCTACATTCTCGATCCTGCTCAATTGTTGTGCATCCATCTCCAACACCTTGCACTGTTCATTTAAGCCTACTACATCCATAGCTCACGCAATCCTCCAAAATGGCTGTCAAAGTCGCGATCATCTTCTACAGCATGTACGGCCATGTACGCAAGCTGGCCGAAGCTGAGAAGAAGGGTGTGGAGGCCGCTGGTGGTCAAGCAGACTTGTTCCAGTGAGTCGACTCCTCGAAAAAATGAGTGAGCGTCAGTGCAAGACTGACATCAAGCTCAGGATCAAGGAGACCCTCCCTTCTGAGGTCACCACGAAGATGCACGCTCCTCCCCAGGACGAGTCTATCCCCTTCGCTACTCCCGATACCATGAAGGAATACAATACTTTCCTGTTCGGCGTGCCAACCCGTGAGTCGGCCCCTTCCCAGCCGTGTTGCTGGTAAAACATGCACTAATCAGTCGTTCCCTCTCAACAGGTTACGGCAACTACTCCGCTCAGTGGAAGACCTTCATCGATCAGCTCGGCCAACTGTGGATGTCCGGCGCGCTTGCTGGCAAGTACTTCGGTCTGTTCGTCAGCACTGCCTCGCAGGGTGGTGGCCAGGAGAGCACCGCCATCGCAGCTCTCTCCTCCTGGGCACACCAGGGCATGATCTACGTGCCGCTGGGCTACGCCCATGCATTCGGCATTCAAACAGATCTGACCGAAGCACGTGGTGGTTCGCCATGGGGTGCGGGTACCTACGCTGCTGGCGACGGTAGCAGACAGCCCAGTGCAAAGGAGCTCGAACTTGCCGAAATCCAGGGCAAGCAGTTCGCGATTACGGTTGGCAAAGTCAGCTTCTGACTCCCTGAGACCGCTGATGGGACGACCACGGCGGCACCGGCAAAGAAAGAGGAACCCATAAACCCGGCACCCACGAACGGCGCTACGAGTGATGAGAAAACAACTGCCGCGCCCACGCCTGCCACTAAGACCGACCAAACCGCCCCCACACCGACTACCGAGAAGGACGACAAGGACGGAAAATTCTGCGGCATGAAATGCGTTGTGCTCTGAAGAAGGGCTGCATAAAGAGTACCAAAGGAAATTCAAGATCGCAAGCCAAACCATTCTCGCAGCTCGGATCTCCTCTCGTGTGCATATGTATCTCTGACGTGCTGAAGATGTCACTGGTCAGGCGTGAGATCACTCGTCCTGGGATTACCCGTTAACTTCGGCACCCGGAACATTTTTTCCTTTACTGCCACCACGATCTTTTCCAGGAGGTCTTTGCTCATGACAAACATCAAATGCAGGGATATGGTGATCTGGAATTCGCCATGTCTTCATTGCGATCCAAGAAGTCAAGAGAACGTTCCTCCAGATTTTCTCCTATCTGCAAGCCTACTCAGGTTGTAAAAGTCGAAGTGCTGCTGCGATCATCCGTGCTGAATGCGCGCCACGACGAAGCACTGCAGCTCTTCACCTACTACAGAATACGCGTAGCTAACTCGTGGCAGCAAGTGCCTTCTGCGAGAACCCAGCGGCAATCCTCATGGCATCGGCGTCCCGGCGCAAGAGTCTCCGTCTGAACAAAGGTGTCTCACAAAGTGAACAATGGCTAATTCATTTCTCTACCGGCCGTGCCCTTCTGTTGTTGTTGGACAATGCCATTAAGGACGACACAAAGCCTCTTCGTTTCTCCCTTGATACTGCATCAGACAATGAGCTGCTGGAGCGCACGCAGAGACCTGATGATCGATGTATATGATCCCAATGCACATCCATCATGTGTCGAATGCCCGATCCATCCCTTCCTACTCTGCCGGAATGATCTCTCTAACGCAAAGAATACCATTCGAACTGAAGCTAGAGATACCCTATTCTGGACAGACAGCGCCCTCCCCGGTGGACACACCAACCGACTTCGCGGACTGCCCGTGCAAACATATGCCACTGCGACACTTCTCAATGGACGACATGCTACTCTCTCCAGGTGGGGAACGTCTGGTCGCATCGATCAACGATAACATGCATCTGCTACCTACATCTAGGACACTGTTTGACGAGCTGACTGCTGAAGAAGTCGCTGTTCTGACCGGAAACTCACTAGACCTAAATTACGACCCGATGCTGACGATGCTGGGGGAGATCGAGAAGGAGATCATGGCCTGGAGGCCGACACTGCCGACGATACTCGAAGAGGTCGAGGAGAAAATCATGGCATGCCAGCCGGCAGACCGCAGTGCTGACATATCGCCACACGATCTCGCGTGGATAGAGCGAACATTCATGTCAGCAAGGCCACCATTGCGAATCGCTACTCAAATTGACACATCACAGGACGCTGATATCACCCTCTACTCACCGCCAGCAGACTGGGAAAAGTACGGGACAGCAGAATGGTTCTACGCATGCCCAACGCCGCAACCAAGCTCAGACGTTGCTACTCCTTCGTCATGCTCGACATCGTCGATAACGCCAACGGACTACACAAAGATCGAAATGGACTGGTCACCTCGTGCTCTGCGAGCTGACAACAACGACTTGCCCGCCAACGACTTCGACACGTATCCCTCACTGCCTGAGGGCTACGCCTACGCGTCAGACCTCATGTGCTCCGCTCGTGACCATGCACCGTGTTCGTGCGCATCAGCAGCCCCAACACCAGAGTCAGGTGAGTTCACTGAAATGGATGTTGACCGCGACATGCTCGACGACGAAGAAGAGGAAGAGAAAGATGATGATCCTGGCTGGCCAAAGTGTCCCTACTGTGGCAAAGCTCATAATCCATGTGGTGCTTGTTTTGAGAACAGCGAGTAATGACTGGTCTTGCCTGGGTGAATGGCGAAGGTAGGTCTTGCTGGTAATCTACTGTAAAGAACACAAATCAATCATTTTGGCAACATAAATATCCATTGCCCCTGTCCAGCTATCTTCTTGATAATGGTTATCAAAACCGTGATTCGCTGGGGTCGTTCTGTTGTCGACTGATGCGCTGCCACCTACCAGCCTGGAGGGCTTTTTTGGGTTGAAACATGGCATTTAGAGACCGATCTGGTGGCTTCAACTTCTGGTAAAACACAAGAGAATGGGTAGTGAAGATGTTTGGCTGTGTGCTAGAGAAGGGCGCTGTCGACGTTCATACACTGTATCCTATCTTTCTGCTTGCTGTACTGCATCTGTTCACACTAGCTAGTTATGTTGATCACAATCAAGCAGACCGCTTCGGTCTGCGGTTTTGACCACTCAAAAGGCCCTATGAAGCCAAAGGCTGCATTCACGCTAGAGACATATTCAGAAATTGAGCGTTCCAGCCGACTCATGGCCAAGATGTCTCTCCTGTCGCTTCACTCGATCGATTTTCCAGGCCGTGCCAATGCTGCAATGTACTCAAAATACCCAGGGACAACGAGTGACTTGCCGACACTGCCTGTAGTGTTGAAGAAAACTGATCGGAAGGTGGTCCAATCAAGAGAATGCAAAGATCCCATCAGCCCACAATCGTGACTCGTAGCCAGAAAGAATGCAAATCGCATGCTCGTACACAATGCAATGCAAAGGCGTCAGAAGAGGTATCTAGAAATGTTGTGCTCGAAAAACGAAAATCTGGATGTATGCTGGACAACTCGCAAGGCGCTTCAAGGCTTTCTTCTCTCAAGAGGAATCGGAATGCCTCCAGACTGTCGTGGTGTGGGTGCGAATTTGCTGGTGTTGGCAGCGTTGCCTTGTCGATGCAAACGATGTGTTCTCCAAGCTTCATAGAAGCGTTCGCGGCTGACGTCGCGAAGTTCTGAGCGCCATTCGCTGAAGACAGCTTCCTTGAGCTTCACGAAGTCGCAATGTTCCGGATTGAAAGGATCGGCGAAACCCCAGGGGAAGGCACGACCAAGTTGGCCCCCAGACTGCATGGAATACTCGTCTGGGCTCAGGATGGACAAAGGAACGTACCCACTATCCATCATAGAGGTCGAGATGGACAAGTTGGACGGCTCTCGCTTATGTTGAGGACGTTTCGCTGGTACAGTGTCAGAGTCTTCGGTGTGAGCAGAGGCCGGCGAGGCCGGCGAGCTTCCATCGTCGCTGCTCTTGTCGTTGTCATCTGCATCCTCGTCACCTTCTTCGAGAATGTCCGAGCCTTCTTCGTCCATGTTGAGAGCTTCAAGTGGATCGAGTCCGGCTCGCTTCAGACTTTCCCAGACCTGCTTCTTCAAGAAGGCCATGTGTTGCGCAGTGACTGTGTCTGCCTTGCTGATGACTGGGACGACGACAGTTTTGCCCTGGAGGGCCTTGATGACCTGAAGATCAAAATCCTCGTCCAGGGCGCCAATAATCCTGGAGACCTTGCCGATACGACTGGTAGCGCCATTTGTGGTACCTTGTTGAGCCGTTTTGAGGTTCTGATTGAGTCTGGCTGGGTCAAGGATGAAGAATACGCAGTGTATGTGAGTGTCCAAGGCGCCGTGTGAACGGACCACCTTGACCTCTTCGAGGAATGTCTCATCAAACTTGCTTTCAACAAAGTTGGTGAGCTCGCGCAGCTGCAAGTCTACCACTCCCTTGTCCAAGCCTTGAGAGTCCCATAATGTCAAGCCCAGTCTTTCATGATCAACCTCAATCTCTTGGTAGTGTTGTGTGAAGTCACGATTGTGCCGAGATGTTGGCGCGGGGGGATCGTTCTCATGGCCACGAGGCGGAGGCTGCTTCCTGGCTGGGAGCGCCAGGGACTGCTTCAAGAATTCGATGAAGCCGGTCTTGCCAGAGCTGCGGGCGCCAATGACAAGGACGTTGAACGGGGTTGGGTCTTTACGTCTGCGGACCTGCGAAGTGTGAGTGAGATAGACGTCGGCTGCTTCGCAGGCTACTTACTCTCCTAGGGCTGTTCAGTGTGCTCACAGTGCTTGGTGCATAGCTGTAACGACCACCTGCATCCGTTGTTAGCTTCTTGACTCAAAGAGGGACAGTCGACCTACGATGTGTCATGCTCTCCGTTCTCGCATATGGATCTACGACCTCCTTCTTTTCGGCGACAGCTTTAGGGATCGGAGGAACAGGAGGCGTGCCGTTCGTGGAATATTCTCTTGAAGTCATCCTGGGAGAAATGCCGAGTTGCGGCTGAATGCTGTACTCTGGCAGTTTCGGAGGTGTGACAGGTGTCTGTGTTGGCTGTGGTAGAGGCTCCTGCTTTCCTTTGCGATGAAGACGAGAGCCGCCTCCGAGAGCTTCGCCGCTCTTGGTGCGGAATAACCTCGAACTGAGACTCGAACTACGAGACTCGTTGCGTTGCACGCCAGGACCGGGAGGTGATGCCATGGTGCTTGAATTGGCAGGAAGTGACGATTTGCTTACAGGCGCAGCTGCTCGCGCGTCGCGATTGCTTCTTCTTCGCGAGTCGTGGTGGCCACGGAAAGAGCGTGTGGTTCGTTCGTCTTCCGACACTGCCAATGCCAGTTGCGTATGACTGCGCTTTCTGTTCTTGTCTCGCGATTTAGATGATAGTAGGGGCACCCAAAAGTTGACCGAATGTCGAGGTTGCAGCTTCGGAGCACAGCTGCGATCGAATGTAAGCGGTGGTACACAAAGAGGTGGGGTTGGCTGCGGTCGGTCGTGTACGACAACGTGTGACTTTAGACTGGTGAAGGTAGAGTTTTGACGTGGGACGGACAATGGGTGTCAATTGAAGACGAAGGTTTGCTGCTCTGGAACTTGTCCGTCTGGGGTAGGTAGATCAATCAAAAATAGTGATGCCGTTGAAAAAAGATCCGCATGCCAGTTGACATGACAGATGGAGGAGATCAAGGCCTCGATGTCCGCAATGTACGGCTCATTGGACCACGTGAGACAAAAAGGAAGACGACGTTGATGTTCTGGAAGAATCGTGTGTCTACTACCTCGTCGTACACCGTTGGCAACATGCATCTAATCGTCACTTGAGACGGCGCGAGAACCCCTGAAATCTTGGTCCTCCATACTCCGAGCCTCTTTCTCCCAGGCTAAAATCTCCGCTGCAGATGCTCGTGCTAAGCTAGTCTCCTTTAACAGATCCATCGGTTTCGTATCTTTTCTCCTACTTGACGGTTTCATGCTCGCTCACCCCTGTAGAAGTCGACGAAACGTCTTTATTGGCCGTTTGTCACTTTCTTCAGACGTTGCTTTGGGGCGTGGGGACAGGCGCAACCTCAGGGGTCTGTCTGTCTTTCAACGTAGCCTCAATGATCACCTCCAGCTTCTGCTCGCCGAACATGGTCTTCCAAACTTCTGCCTCGAGAATTGAGCTGACGAGGGCGTCGAATTGTTCATCCCAGTCCTCGTAGATCAGCAAGTCTCTGCCGTTGCCGGAGCCCAGCCAGAAGCGCTTGCAGACTAGATGTTGCACAGTCGAACCCTTGATGGCGCCCCAACGACGATTGGTCAGGTCAATCAACTTTGGCAGTGTGTTGACCACCGTGAAGGGCGCATCGATACAGCTGCTCTCACCAGGGATGGTAATGCGCAGAACGGTTCTGTGTAGCTTTATCAACGGATCAAGCTCGACGAGGTCCACGGCCGATTCGTCGCTTGATAAAGATGCCTCTCGACTGTGGCGGACTCGCTTTTTCTTGGATTGCTTTGGTTTGGTCTGAGTTGGTTCTAGCTCTTCCTTGACCTCAGCCTCTGTCGGGTTGCGGCCTTTGGATTTCTGTGCTTTGACAGCGATCTTGTCTACACTATATGGGTTGATCTGCACAGGCTTGAGTTCGCGACGACTTCTTCTGGGCTTTGCCGGCAAGGATTGGCAGGTGAATCTCCCGTTGTCTTGCGCCTCTTCGGCTTCGGCTGGCTTTGAACATGGGTGCTGCCTGTAAGTGCAACCTCGTCATCGCCATTGTCTGATTCGTCTTCGTAGATGTCTGGAGTTCCTAGCTCATCACCATTCAGGTCGTCTTCGAAGTCCTTGCCAGTGATCTTCTGGGATGGGTCTGGAGAATCGGTGGCTTTACTGCTGATCGATTTCACCATAGACGAAGCGCGAGAGACTCCTTTCTGCGACGGAAGGCCCGGGAAAGCAGACAGATTCCGGGGTTGAATTGAGTTGAGTGCTTTGGAGTTGTCCTTGGCGGTTGCTGTTTGCTTGTCAAGAGAGACATTTTGGTCTTCAGAGGACTGGACTGCACGACCAGACTTATAGAGCCGCACAGGGTCTTGCCGAAATAGCTGCGACAGATCATCGTTAGACTCATCAACCCCAAGGCTGTGGCGGGATCTGGGATCGATGTTCTCCTGATCGTTTGCGGCGTCAAAGTTGTAGTTGGGCGGCATTGTTGGAACGCTAACCAACGAAGAGATCAGTTCGGAGACAGGCTGAGGTTCTGTCAGGAAGATGTCACTGTATCCTCGAAACTTAGACATGGCATACTCAAGAAGTCGAGGTGAGTGACTCGCTGCTGGGATGGGACAGATAGTCGCGGGAAGGAAGCAGCGCGAGGAAAGAACGATGAAGAGCAACGCGTCGATTTGCAGAAGACGCGTTGTGACTTCCAGCCGGGCAGCCTTACTTCAACTTCACTTCACTGGCAAGGCAGGAATCTTTCACTTCCACATCCTTCAAGTACCTGCCTTAGTGGCTATGACTATAATACGATCCTGTGGACGACAATGCTGCCCAGCCTCTTCAGACCTCGTCTTTTCCTTCTGCCCATTGACATCAATAGCTCCTGTCTGCTACGAAAAATGTGACTTGGCTCACGACAGCGAGCATTCCGTCCATCAATTCGCTATCGATGGGAGTACTAGCAATGTCAGTGCGGCACATCATGCTCTTGACTCAAGATTGTCGAAGATAGACTTTTTGTCGCTTTGTCACCGCGATTTTATTCCGCTTCGGATGCTGCCCCGGACATTTGCTTACCTGATCGCACTTCTGGTTCAGAACGTGATACAACACGTCCAGTCTTCTAACGTCGTCATCTAGCACTTCCAGTCTAGCAGCCTTTGCGTAGCCCAGGCGGCCTCCGAATATGGCAGATCCATCCGCATACACTTACCCGTCACCTCTTGCAGGCTTTGAGCACGCGCCGCCTCTACCAGACGGGTTCAGCGATGACGGCAAGTCATACAAGAATCCTCCAGCTGAAAATGGCCAGTCGAAAGCATACAGTGAATTCACGTCGGGCGTGACAAACGGCACGCGAGGAGGCTTCGACGTCCACGTATACTACTTCCAGAACAGCGACTTCCAGAAGAAATATGCCCAGGAGCTCTGGCAAAGGATACGCTACGAGTTCCCAGAATTACGCATCTACAAGTTCTGGGAGAAGCCGGTTGGACCGCATCCATACGCAATGTTTGAGGTCAACATATTCACTCCTGAGCAGTTTGGCGCATTCATTCCCTGGCTGGTGATCAACCGTGGTCCGCTCAGCGCATTACTGCACCCAAACTGCGACGATCATGATCATGTCAGAGATCATACTCAGCGAGCGACGTGGCTGGGTGAGAAGGTCCCGCTCGACGTTGGCATGCTGAGAGCTGTCATGGAGAAGCAGTCGAAAGAGCCACCGAAGACGTCATCTTGAGCGGTATCATGATACAGACCTGCCGCAGCATTGCAAACAATGATAGGACGTTCCAAAATTCAGGTCGTCGTTTCCTTGACCATATCAGCCTCACGTCCTTGCCCATAGGTTTGACCACATCTGATTCGTACCCACAGGGCATCCCGATCTGTGCTACGTCAAGAGCGGTCTGGCAGTGCTTGGCTCACGCAGTGACCACCGCAGCAAAAGCGCCAGCAGTGGTACTCGTGGCTCCCACAAGGGATGAGTGTACACAGCGGGCTTGCGAGTAAATCAGAGCCAGGGGCTCCGTTGAGGTGGCCTGGGTGGCTTACCTCAGCTAAGTTCGGGGGTCTTTGCAGCTTCGCTGCTGTCTTCATCCGGAAGCTCCTCCCGCTCCTGTGTCATGTTGACTTTCGAGTGCCCAATGCCTTGACCTTGACTCACGCCAGAACTCGACGCTCGGTTGAACAACGTAAAGAACGGCATGAGAGTGGACGATGTTTCCGCTCCCGCCTCTTTTGAGCCGGAACTGGTCCGTGAGAATCACGCACAAGTCCGACCTCGGATGGACGTCACTATAGCCATGCTGGCTATCTACAGCCCTCTATCACCCTACGATTGGCAAGAACCAGACGCTTGCTGCATACATCTGGCGAAGAGCGCTTACAAAGTCCCATGTATGATTGAAGGCGTCAGCGTACGCACAGATAGGTCGAGATCTTACCCATCTAGGTAGTAAACACCCTGGGCGGAGAACAAAGATCTGTGGCATCCAATTCCACGACCAGTCTTCTGTCATTATCGTCTCGAGCACCGAAGCACTCACAACGATACACATCCAGCTAGACAGCGAGATACTGTCCCCAGACTGCAAATTGGATCACAGGCCGGGAAGTCCAAGAAAAAGCTGCCAGACATTCGGAAACATATGCGATAAACGCTCAGGTGTATCGTCACACTGCTCTGTCATCATTGGGCGAGGGTCTTTAGCATTCCTTACAAAGTCCTCCCCAAGACACCGCCACCATGGGCGACGCTTCGCTCACCTCACCCTATGCCTCCTTCATCGACCATTTTTGCCCGTCAATGGGACCCTACGAGGACCTCTACAAACACCTACACCAAAACCCAGAACTGTCGAACCAAGAAAAGCAGACCGCCGCCACCATCGAGTCTCGTCTACGAAAGCTCTCGCCTGATCTCGAGGTAAAGACCAACATCGGCGGCTACGGCATCATCGCCGTCCTCAGGAACGGTCCCGGCACGACCATCCTCCTCCGTGCCGACTTTGATGCCCTCCCAGTCCTCGAAAAGACCGGTCTGCCCTACGCCTCGAAAGCAACCCAAGTCGACGAGCGCGATGGATGGACCAAACCAGTCATGCACGCCTGCGGCCACGACTTCCACGTCACTGCGCTCCTTGCCTGCTGCGAGACCTTGCTGGCGTCCCGTGACCACTGGGCCGGCACAGTGATCTTCCTCTTCCAGCCCGCTGAGGAACGCGGTAGCGGCGCGCAGGCCATGATCTCCGATGGATTGTACGACTCGAAACGGCACAACTGCCCTATCCCTGATGTCGTCCTTGGCCAGCATGTCTTCCCCGTGCGGCAAGGCTCCCTGTGTACGAAGACCGGCACCGCCATGAGCGCGGCCGACTCCTTGAAGATCACCATCCACGGCCGTGGCGGGCATGGCAGCATGCCGCACCGGACCATCGACCTGTTGTTATCGCCTCCTCAATCGTGCTTCGTCTCCAGACGATTGTCAGCCGGGAAGTCCCACCCGCGGAAATGGCCGTCCTAACCGTCGGCAGCATTCAAGCTGGCGACGCCGAGAACGTGATCCCCTTCGAGGCAGTCATCAAATGCAATACCCGCACCGTGACGAACCGAACCCGCGAGAAGGTCCGCAAAGCCATTGAACGCATCGTCAAAGCCGAGTGCGTCGCCGGTGGGTGCGAGCGAGAACCGGATTTCGAGGTGATCAGCTCCTTCCCGCTTACCGTGAACGACGCCGACATCGTCGAGAAGCTCTCCGCTGGCATGGAAGCTCACTTTGGGGAGAGATACAACAAGGAGATGCAATTCGCATTGGGGAGCGAGGATTTCTCCCTGCTGGCGAGCAGCGTGGATCGTCCTTACTGCTTTTGGTTCTTCGGGGGGATTGAGGGCAAGGAATGGGACGAGCTGGCGGAGAAGGATAAATTGGATCTGGTGCCGACGAACCACTCGCCGTTCTTTGCGCCGGTGTTGCAGCCTACGCTGAAGACGGGTGTGGAGGCGTTGGTGGTTGCGTCGTTGACTTACCTAGGCAAGGAGGGCTCTGGCGTGGTGAAAGGGAAAATATGAACCTTCGTGCAATTCGACTATTGACTACAACGGAGAGATGTAGAAATGCTACTGAGCCACCACCTCCCACTCCATAAACCTTCCGCTTGTCTTCATAGCTTGCTATCCTTCCCTTGCGTCTTCGCGCCCGCCTCTTCCGGCTTCGGGATCCTATCACTGGTCTCAGCTTTCAGACTGACCGGATCTCCCAGCATGGTAGGGTTCTCCTTGGCTAGCTCTTTCAAGGGCTTCTTTCCGTCCTTGGGCTGACCGGGTGTCGCCTTTCCACTCTTCTGGTCTGCGCCTTCGTTCTTCTGGTCTGCGTCCAGGTCGTGCTCTGATGGGCTTGTTTCGGCTTTGATGGAGATTGGATCGCCTAGGGCCGATGGGTTGGATCTCAGGGATTCTTGAGCTTTGGACTTTAGAGTGGAGGGCGCCATGCTGAGATAGACGTGTTGCAGGTAGGATGTTGTTGGGGATGTCTGTTCGCGGAATGGCCAATGATGGTGTCTGCTACTTTAGTATACCACGAACTCGTCGCTTCCTGGTACCAGCGACAACTAGAATGCGAAGAGCGATCGCTTCTGGTCCAATGAGAGTGACAAAAGGCCAGAGATCAGGAACAGAGGCCGCCTGGTAGTTTGAATGGACTGGGGAGCAGACGCGAGGGAAATCAGAGCAACTCAGCTTCCATGTTACCTACAGTATGTCGTGTGTGCACATGCAGCACCACATCCTCGGTCCCAGTCGGGATCGTGTTGCAAGCACGAGTCTTCGACCTGACGTCTATGATATGCACGACACGATCGAGCGTGCTAGGCGCAGATCCGATCTGACGCGAGTATGTTTTTAGGTGACGTTGAGATCTTGGGGAACTCTAAAAGGTCTCACGGTGCTTACCGAGGTACATACCTGACTCTAGGTGGCATTGAGAACTAGTTCCCAGTATTGCTGCCAGATTTCAATGCCTGGCTGAGCATCAATTGAGTATGCTGACAGTAAGGCTAGGTATTCTCACGGTTTTCTCTGCTGAGGCTTGACAGAATACTCTCACAGAGCCAACTGCTTCGAGTGCTCGCAGTGAGCCTACTCCGTACAAAATCTAAGCATGACGTTGATTCACTGCCTGCCAGTGTACCTGCCAAGACGGTGACCTCGCTTCTGGCACACATGGTGAGATTTTGTTCTTCATGAGGCAAGAGCTTTAGTCACCATGGATATTGCTTCGTACACCTCGTAAGCAGAGGCAACTCCTTTGACAGTCTATTTCTCGTATCAGCATGATCACTGCATCAAGGCTGTGACAATAGGAGCAGAGGTGCGTCTTTCCAACCTCAATTTGGAGCTTCATCATGGGAAGGCGTGAATTGTGGCCACAATGCTTTCTGAATTGCTCAATCTTACTATGTTGGCGATTGCTCAGAAGGGTATCTCCCTCTCCGACCTAACTTAGGCCTTGAACGTATGGATACACTTGACGTTCGCATAAGCAAGGATCCCCAAAGTCCCAAGCTCAGTACCCAGACCAGACTCCTTCACACCGCCAAACTGTCCTGATGCAGCAGGCGAAGGGAAGCTGTTAATCCACACAGTGCCAGTCTCAATCCTGTCCGCCACGCTCTGCAACGTCTTCGGATCACTGCCCCAAACTGTCGCGCCTAAGCCGACTTTGGTGTCGTTCGCACGACGGATCACCTCGTCAATATCATCGTAGCTCTGAACGGGCACGATCGGGCCGAAGGGCTCCTCGGTCACAACTAGGGCATCGTCAGGTGGGTTGTCGATGATGGCGGGATTGATGAAGAAGCCTTTGCCGTCCTGTACGTCCAGGGAGCCATAGGCGACTTTGTAGCCCTTGCTCTTAGTGTCGGCATAATATGTCTTCACTTTGTTGTACTGCATCTCGTTCTGGATAGGGCCGAGCATGACGCCTTCCTCGTTCGAGGCGCCGACTTTGAGGGTCTTGGTGGCGTCGATGAATGCTGCGAGGAACTCTTCGTAGATGCTGCTGTGGACGTAGATGCGTTTTGAGGCTACGCAGACCTGTGCGGTGTTGAAGAAGGCGCCCATCGCAACACGAGGCGCGAGTTTCGCAATGTCGGCATCGGGAAGGACGATGGCTGGGTCGTTTCCGCCCATTTCGAGCGTGACACGTTTGACAGTCTTGGCTGCGGAGGCGGCGATCTTCTTTCCGGTGGCGATGGAGCCTGTGAAGCTGATCTTTTGGATGTCTGGGTGAGCGACTAGCCTTGGGCCGAGCTGATCATCGCCGCCCAGTGCTTGGACGAGCCTGGCGGGAAGACTTGCTGGGCAATCTCGACCAGCTTGAGGGCAGAGTAGGGGGTGAAAGGAGACGGCTTGACGATGACTGCACAGCCCATCAGGACAGCGGGGAAGATCTTGAGGGAGGCGAGCGAGAGAGGAAAATTCCAGGGGCAGATGGCGGCAGCAACGCCTAGAGGCTGGTATTTGTTGACCACGGTGCGGTCTTCGAGATCGATAGGGGTAGCATCGGGCTCTGGTAGGTTGGCATGCCAATCGGCAAATTTGGCGATTGAGCCAGCTTCAGCGGCGGCAAACATGCGAGGCTTGCCGCACTCTTTCATGAGCAGCTCTGCGAGCTCAGAGCTGTACGACTCAATGGCTTCTTGGAAGCGGACGATGCGTTGCTGACGCTCTGCCCATGTGGTCTTCTTCCACTCGTTGAATGCCTTTGTGGCAGCAACAACGGCTTCGTCCACATCCTGCTCGGTGGCTACCGGCACGTCCCAGTTGGGCTCACCCGTAGCTGGATCGACGCCATGATACTTTTGCTTCGAGCTGCGTAGCTCGCCGTTGATGATGTTGTGGAAGGAATTGAAGTCGATTGTAACAACTTTGGATGGAGACATCGTGAAGGATTGGTGACCGAGATATTGGGTAGGTCGATGATACTGCTTCTAGGCCGAGAATATATACCTCGTCAGAGCCCTTGACGCTCGAAGAGTGCTTGCGTTATATGCAAATACCACCATGGTCAAACTCAGTGGCTCTTTACCCTTCGACTTGCAGGGATGGCACAAAGGCCACTAGCATTGCTCATGGCATGCTGCGCGATTGGACGATCCGAGCGGTCAGCAACTCCTACGTTGTGTCAGTCCCTGGGCGCTATTCAAGACCAGTGGCGGATCTCAAGTGTCGGATTGCCCAATAGCTGTATTAGACCTCGTATATCTGCGATGCGGCTGACGTACCTGGAGAACAGGCGGCCGCAATATGCGGTCGAGGCACAATCGAGGCGCCTGAAGTACCTCGACTACGGAATACGGCCGTGGCAATACTTCTCAACCCCACTCGTTGCCTTATGCGGAAGCCAAGCTTTGGACGCCGTCTCCCAGAGTGCTTACATGAAGAGATTTACAGTTTCGCTGTGTTTAGCACACCTCGCATCGAAGCGCGATCCAGAGAGAAGCTGACATGATCGAGGCAACAAGTTGCTGCCCGCATCGACGCGGTCAATAAGTGTATCCAGCAGGTCATGTCCGCGATGGGACTTGTAAGCTAAGCTCGGTGTAGATCAATTGCAACAACTTCACACAATTTCCATGGGTAGAAATAGATTAGTAAACTACCGTGGTACTCATGCTGGATCGGCCACTTCTGTGTGCACCCCAAAGTGTGATAACGCACTCGCCATCAGTCGCCGTGTGGAGAACGACCCTCAGTTCCCTTGAATAATCATACATCCGGTCTCGCTAGCCAGCTGAATACTTATGCATATGCGCATTGGATGGCCTTGTACTCCTGACCCCACATAATGATGGCGACGAAGCCTGCATTCGAGCCGCTCGTCGTAGGTGATACAGTCTTAGTGCTATCAGAGGCCGCCCAGGCCAGGAAATCACAGATCGTTCACTGTCGACCCGGATTCAGCTGCACCTCGAATGTGGCTTTGTTGACGTGGTCAAGATACGCGTCAAGCTCAACGTCTTCCTCCATGAGATAACTGATTTCTTTACCATCAGGAGCTCGTTCAATGCCGTCGATTCTCGCAAGCGATGCGTCCGGCCACTTCGCGTCGATCAGAGCCCGAAGCTCTTGCACGGAGCGTGTCGATAGTGTCGCAAGCCACATCTTGTCTGAGCTGTGAGCCTGAGACTTGGGATGGGTTCGAATGTAGATCGGTATCGGGTTGCCCATAGGATTGACAATGGGAGAAGGAGCAGAGGCAAAATTGCCTGCTGCCAGTAGGCTCGGATCGATGCGGCTAGCGTCGATCTGTTGCAACTCGGACAAGTCCTGAGCAGCGTTGGCGAACTGGTAGGCACTTTCTGACTGATCATGGTCGAGCGGTTGCGCAGCCGCTTCTTCTGCCAGACGAGTCGCGGCTTGTGCAGTACGAACAGGTGCTGAGTTGGCTTCCGGATTGATCGGCACCGCTGGCATGACCGCAGCTGACTTGCCTTTGGCTTGATCGTCACGCAGACGCTTCATAACATCGCGACAAAGCGCCTCGAGGGCCTTCTGCTTTTCTTGAAATTGAGGATCCGCCTCTCCCTGAGCAAAGACCTCTTGCAGGATGTCGCTGGACTCAACCCACTGCTGCTTGAGCTCATTCCAGTGCTCCAGTCCGGTCTCAAGCTTGCTTGTGAATTTGTCGTCCTTCAAGGTGATGTAGAAAGAGTTTCGAATATTGCGGCTCTGTTCTGGATTGATGCCAAGAACGTTTTTCGCTTCAGCAATGGTCATGCGACGACCAACCGATCGAATGCGCTTGGTGACATCGGTACACACAACATCGAGAGCAAGTCTCTTTTGTTCTTCATTGGACTTGTCGTGCCAAAAGACTGCCTGCAAAGATTCGTTCTCTTGTATAAGTCGTTCCTTGACGGCTGCCCACTTCTCATTGCCTGCGAGGGTCTTCTTGATAATGCCATCAGCCTCACACATAGCTTGGAACTGATCCCGCATTGCGCGATACTGCTTGTTGTCGAGCTCAAGAATGACCTTGCTTTCATCGAGAGTTGTCTCTGATGGAAAGCGAGGAGGACCAGGAGGGTCCGCTTCAATGCCGGCATAAGACTTTGTTCGACGGCGGCGTTTCTTCGAAGCCCACTTCTCGTCGCTTTCGGCCTTGCGTTTCGCTTGCAGCTCCTGTCGCTTGTTCAATATCTCGTCCAGTCCCTCCTTGGTCGGCTTTGCCTCGACGCCGTTGGTCATGCTGGGCGATGTCGGGTCATTGACGTGTTCGGCAGCAGCGTTTTCGATCTGTTGCATGAGGTCTTCCATTGTCTCCATCTCAGGAGCCTTGCTTTTGGTGCCATTCGGTATCCGTAGCAACCAGCGGTTCTTGGCTCGCAGACGCATGAGCTCTCGTTCTTTGATCTCATATCCTTCCTCGGTCAGCGTCTGAAGCATTTGCGGCTGTGTGTAGTTGTTCTCCCAGAGTTCCTTGACGCGTGCTACGAGATCAGCGTTGCGATGAGCTGGGTTCTGCTTGGATGGAAAGCCCCATCTCCTGAACTGCTGTTGGAACGCTCGTTTGGAAGGGACAAAGTTGTAGTCCTCGCGCATCGTTGCCATGATATCGTCGAGCGGCTAGGTGGATGAGTTAGCATGTGTGTCCTCACGACGGGTTGACGGTGACCATTTACCTTGCGCTCGTCGATATAGAGTCGGTAGCAGACATCGCGATACTGAGCCATTGGTACTGCGAGTCTCATTAGCCTTGTCTCGCGATGGAGGCAGACACATGGTAGGCAGCATGGGAAATATGGCAGGAGCAGTCTGTTGTTGACCTGACGCGCTCAAAGCGACGCGCACTTTTGGACCTGAGTGCGGCGGCGTGGGGAGACTTACAACCTGGACTCCATGTTAGCCATAGTCTTATGCATACAAAGTTGACGATGACTTACCATGATTGCGCGAGTGGTCGACCGAAGATGAATTACGGTGTTGGTCAACAGCCTGAGAGTGCAAGAATCCGCCGTAGGCCCGATATCGAGGGAATTCTGATGAGAAGGACAGCTCAATCCACGCTAACGCCTTATAGTATAGTGCTTGACTCACGTGATAGTGCTCACTAAGGCAAGTGATCTGGACTACTCCTGCCTTCACCGCAGCAATCACCATGTCAGGCAGGAGGCTTGATCAGTGAGGGTACGGTAAGGTCAATAGGAATGAATGCCGTTCGAACATCTTGGGAAGGAGCAGCTGGGGCTGCATCGTAGACGAGGGTGGAGGTCACGACCCGAGGAGTCTAACTCTGCAAATCATGAACTTCGGCTGGCGGCGGTCAACATGTCTCGCAACAGGTCCATTCCGTCCGAAGACCTACTATCGAGCTCTGTCGCACTTCAGAGTCGTGGAACATTGTGTCCCAGCACAGCACACTAGACACTACCTTGGAGGAGCAGAACCAGGCCATCACAGTTCTTTGCAGCTCTCTGTCAAGCAGTACATTCCTAAGACAACATCTTCACAAAGCACTCCAAACGCAGTGACACTTATTGGTGCACACGGCAATGGACTACCAAAGGAGCTATTTGAGCCATTCTGGGACGACTTGTATGAACATATGATGGCAAAGGGCCAGTCAATACGAAGTATATGGATAGCAGACCAAGCTCATCAGGGTCAAAGCGGTGTACTAAACGAACAAATACTCGGAGACGATCCATCATGGTTTGATCACGCGCGAGACTTGCTCTTCCTCATCAACCTCATGCAAGAAGCGATGCCACAGCCACTATTTGGTGTAGGTCATTCCATGGGAGCTTCGCAACTCGTGCATCTCGCTCTACTTCACCCAGCTTTGATGCAAGGCCTTGTCCTACTGGACCCTGTGCTGCAGACAACAAACCCAGGGAAGCCATATGGACGTGCTTCTACTTATCGTAGAGAGGTTTGGCCTTCTCGAGAACAAGCGAAAGAAAGTTTTGCAAAGAGCAAGTTCTATCAGGCGTGGGATCCGCGGGTTCTGGACAAGTGGGTAGAATTTGGCTTACGAGACCTTCCGACTGAGCTGTTTCCTGACGTGAACGCTTTCGATACCGAGTCACCAGTGACTTTGACAACCGCGAAACAGAACGAGGTCCACTCATTCCTGAGACCTTTGTATAAAGCAGGTGTCGATGTGTCTGATTCACATCGACTCTCGGCGTACACAGATCTGGATCCCAGGGACTACGAACCTGACTATCCGTTCTATAGGCCGGAACCTGCTATGCTTTTCCGGAAGCTGCACGAGCTAAAGCCACCAGTAGAATACATCTTCGGGCGCCATTCTCCTTTGTCAAGTCCGGACCTCAATGAGCAAAGGTTAGAATTGACAGGATCTGGAGTCGGTGGTAGTGGAGGTCGGTCACGGGGCCTGGTGTCTGGAACGGAGTTTGATTGTGGCCATTTCATTCCTATGGAGCAGCCGAACGCCGCCGCAGCGCAGACAGCGCAATTCATCGATCGTGAATCTCGTCGTTGGGAGAGCCAAAAGCTAGAATTTGAAGTACAATGGCGGCAAAAGCCGCGGCCGGCAAGAGTGACTCTAGACGACGACTGGCGGTCCCATATTGGTCCCAAGGGAGGCTGAAGGTCAGTTTCAGTCTTGATCTTGCAGATTGACGAGTTGAATTCCACATAAGGATATGAAGACGTCGCTTGACTGCTGTCAGTAGACCATATGCTTCAATATCTCAATGCCTGGTCATCGCATCTGACAAGGAAAGGAGTGTTGTTCACCTACCTTCACTTTAGGTCCATCAGCTGCCAGTCAAGACCGGCCAGCCATCACAATGTCCTCACGTTCACTTGCCACAGAAGCGGTTGCTGTGCGTCCAGCACGCCAAGACGCAAGAACACTGGCCGCACAACTTCCTCTCTTCAACGCTGGCTGAACAACACTGCGTATCAGACACTGTAGGCTCCCAGACTGTCCGAGAATCTGCTATTTACCGGCAAAGCTATCGAAGCTCGTCACTCCTCAAGACAGAAGCTCTACAGCAGGATGGCACCAGGCGACACAGTATACAACCCCTCGACAGGCGTGTCCTTCTTCGAAGACACACATGATGGACTGTGGTATGTCGATCTTCCGCGAGAGGCTGTCCGCGACGATGTCGAAGGTATGTACGCTCTCTCCACTCTGCTTCCCTTTCTATGCCACAGCGCATGGTCCACGTTCTCTGCTAATCGTTCCGCAGCTGCTCTGATCCTCATGCATATTCATTCGCCAAATGTCCTTCTGTGGTACAGACTCGACGCTCGACCGAACAATACCCTTCAGATCGTTATGAGACTGCCCAACGACATAGCTCCCAATGTCTTCTTCCCTGCAGATGAGACTGTGTCGATTGCACAGATCATCCGCTCTATGGCTGGGCGAGTAGCGACGACACAGAATCAGGCTGCTGCTCGTCCAAGCACAGGTTCTTCGCACGCAACCATTGATGCCACAAACCTAGGTCCAACTCGAAGTGGTGAGTTACCTTTGTCACTTGTTACCTCCTTTGCCAATTGAGTTTGCCTCGCACGCAGTTTGTGTTTGTATTTTCTCTTGCTTATGGCTGCCTCTGGTATATCTTGGACATACTTGAGCCATGCTTTCAGCCTGTTGCAGCCTATCCTCAACTTTGTCCCAGGGTCAGTTCACATATACATATCTAACCACTTCATAGTGTCGCGTTCACCGAGCGCAACGATGGACGCTCAAACTGCCGACGCCGACGAAGCCTTAGCCCCACCGTTCACTCGTTCGCCAGCTCCATCACCAGAAATAGTCGCCGAAGCGAACTCTCCCGCTCTCCTCTCCGACCCACGCCGCCTCAGCGGCCAGCTCGACGACCACCAGCTGGCCTGCCTTTCCAACACCTTCGCGCAGATGCGGAAATGGGAGCCCACGGTAGACCTCATCACGGCCATAATCTACCTCGAAGCCTCCAACTGGATTCCCTCTCTAGCGCTGCAGGACTACCATAACTACCTCCGCGCCACCAAATGGCTCAGACCCGAGGCCTGGTCTGCAAGAAATGCCTTCAACGAGCGTGTCGACCGCATGCCCGCCCAGGCCGGCCATCTCTTCGCACGCACTAAGCTCACCATCACGATCAAGACCTCCAAGGACGGAAAGTCGACCAAGATCTACGCCTACGACGAGACCCTCCACGACGCATTCGACCCCTTCTCCCTCCGTAACGTCCTCCGCCTCAACCGCGAGCGCTTCGACTTCTTAGCGGACAGCCTCGGTGTTCGCCCCACCAATCACAACGGCAATGATCAGTGGCACCCACTCGAAAAGCTCGATATCACGAACCGTTACCTCCTCCGCAAGCGCTCCAACACCCCGGGCTTCCCAGATTGGAAGTCCCTGGCAGAACAACACAACAATGCGTTCGAGGAGCAGCCGCTTCCGGGCTGGGGCATTGTGGCGAAGCAGCGGGCCAACGTGGACAAAGATGTCGACCGATGGTGGCTGCAGGAGCATGCGCATAAGGGGACTGAGCAGCGCCATAATGCTGGGCAGAAGGATGCGAGGGAGGCTGTGGAGAAGATGAGGAGAGAGGCGAAGGAGCGGTATGAGGAGCGGAAGGGGCAGTTTGGGGATGGGATTGAGGCGTGGGAGGAAGAGTGGAAGGAGACGTATGGGGCGGGGGATGAGCATGCGTCTACTGACGGTGACGAAGCCCCAAAGAGTCAAGGCAAGGGCAAGGAGAAGGAGCGTGATGGTTAGGTGGTGTGGTAGTATGCGAGTGAGTGGGCGAGATTGGCGCAACAGCAGTGACGATATGCCTGTAATGGGACGCTCATCTGTTGTTATCTGTTGATTCAAGCAGGGCGTTTTGGTGTCAGAATGGCATGAACTCCTGGGTTGATGTTCAAGTTATGGTTGAGGTCAACTTGCCAAGAGCTCAGCCCCTAATTCACGAGCGGAGCAGCCTCGTTGCCTTGAATTTGCCTTAGGATGAGTTTGCTGGTCGCTGCTTCAAGATTGCTGTTCCATTTACCTTCTAATTCTTGGGGTATCATATCGTATCCTATCTCAGCTCGATCCAAAGTTTCTCAGCCACAAACCACAGCCGCCTTAGGTGTCTGTTCCACCTGATCGACCACATCGGGCCGCTGCTCCCGAACGACTCCTTCATCCATTCCTGCCGCCTTGTCCACATCATTGGCCATATTGCTTTCTGTCTTCTGGCGCTTACTCCCATCCTTCTGCCCAGGCTTGCTAGACCCCTTCTGCTTAGCCTTCAACGCACCCTTCGCCATCGCCTCCTCCGGCGACTGCCGAATAAATGGTTGGCACACCCACCACGGCCTCCGATACCGTGCTACCGACTTCTCGAAATCAGAGGCCTTACTTGCCGCTTCTTCTGCAGCAGCTTTCGCTGCCTCTCGCTCTTTAGGTGTCTTTGAAGCCTGCTCATCCAGTGCCTTTCGAATCGCCTTCTCAAGCATCAAAAGAACCCGCTCGAAGCCCTCCATGTCGCCAGCGCGAGTCTGTGCTAGTGCGTCGCGAATGTCGGTGTGAATGGAAACGATGGCGCGAAGCATGTGGAATAGGTGGCCTTGCATGGGTCGGAGACTCGGTGAGTCAGGACGCTTGTCTCTCTTCCGCTTCTTCGCTTTGGGTTGTGAAAGATCTGAAGGGCGCTTAGGCAATTGTGGTTCAGGTGTGTCATCGCCGGGCAGGTACAACTGCGACCGTTGCGGAGGTTCCGTCTCGAGCACGTATCGGTAGATTATGTCGAAATATCGCCGCACCACACCGTCGATTCTGTAGCCTCCGATACCGTCAGGGCCACGCCAGTAGTCTCTGCATTCGGGATCTGCGGGTGGTTCGGCGAAGATGGTTGGATCTGAAAGGTTCCCTTCTGCGCTCATGACTCCATCGAAGCCGGTTACGTCCAAGGATTCTTGTATGTCTCCGTGATTCAGAATGTTTCCGTTTGCGAAAAGTACCATCTCTTTGGGTAAGTTCTCCCGCAGATATCGCAGTATATTTAAGTCCGCCAGACCAGTGTTATGACCTTTCTGCTCGCGCCTCCGCCCGTGAACAGTCAAAATGCTAGCACCAGCAGAGAGGATCATCTTTGCATATTCCAACGTCTTCTCACGTGTCTCCAGTATTCTCATCTTGGCTGTGATGGGTACTGCAAGTTCTTTATGAAGCTTGCTGATCAGGTTGCGAATTGTGTCCCAGTCTTCCTGCAGAAAGGCGCCGTAGTGGCCGCTCCTTGCAATTCCCTGCGGACATCCTAGATTCAGGTCGACCGCATCGCAGTATGGGGCGACATACTCGGCAGCGGCGAGGAACTCGTCGGGCTTGTTGGCGCAGAATTGAACAAATAGCGGACGATCGATGCTTGGATTTCCATCTAGCATGGCTCTTCCGGCGTGGGTTCTGTGAATATGAGACTGCTCTTCTTCGGCTGGAAATGTTCGTCTCGGAACTTGGCGCCGTCTTTGAAGAGCCTGGCGTGTAGCATGGGAGTGTAAGCGAGTAGGTTCTTGGACTGTTCTTGTGGCAGATATGACCGGCTAAGCATGCGCCAGGCAAACTCAGACCGATCCACCATGGGCGCCAGGATCATCTTCGGGCTTCCTATGCTCTCATAGAAAGCCCTGCCATGCAGCTTGCTGGGTTGCGTGGGCGCCGTCATGGCGGGCAGTGTCGAATGCGCACGAGGGTGGTGGATGAAGCGAATGGTCGAGCAGCCAGCTGCGCGGGAAGACTTCTCCCAAGACGAATGGTCATTCAGGTCATAATTATCATTTTTCACCGTCTGGGAAGTCAGTATACAAGAGGCGGTCTGTTAGGGAGACATAACAATGATCAAGACATCTGGCGCATCCTCTGTAGACCACGGTCGGTCGGTTGTCAAGAAATTAAGGAATTTTCTCCAATTAATCGGGTGATTCTTGTACTGTGGTAGAAGAGGCGTTAGGCGTCGATCTAGGCGACGTCCTCCTAACTTAGCGGGAGCCACACCGAAATTGCCTTGTTCTCGAGCATGGGTTTTATCGCTCTCAACCTCACTCCCGGCTTCCTTCCTTCCTTCCTTCCTTCCTCTCAGTTCGTCCTTGCTTACCTTTCTGGCGGCTTGAGGCAGTACGGCAGCCATGACTCACTACTTAGTATGCTTCCATGCTTTTCATTCTCGAGATAGCACGGGCCAGGGACTAACGACATCTCTCAATATCAACAAAGTCCTAGTGACTCATACAGCACAGCCTCCTCCACCACCAGACCCAAAGATCCGATCTATCCTCTGCACACGATGCCATACAATCTCCTCACTGTCGTCACTTGTGACTCGTTTGAAGTACCGGATGCGATGCTGCGGGATCCAGTCCTCCTCCGTGCTCTCATCCAACCACATCGACACTCTGATCTCCTTGTTTCCGCCAAAGCGATCCAGGTAACCGACGACATACTGCCAAGCCGTGTACTTGGGATCCCATCGGATGCGATCGAGCACATCTGCCGTGGCCGTCAGCGATGCAGCGCACGCTGCTGGGTTTACTGCATCAACAGACCTTGTGCACTGCGCAATTTTGAAGTCTTCCTGGCTTCCTCATCCACTTCTGCCACCATATTTCCCCGTTCACTCTTCCTCATACGTCGTTGCTCTTCCGCGGCAAGCACTGCCTGTACCTCCGTCTCCTCTCGTCGCTCCTGCTCTTCCTGCTGTCCGATTTCCTGCAGGTGCTGTTGTGCGATCGCCCTCAACACCGCTATCTCCCGAGCACGTTGAACTTTGGCTACCTTGAGCCCCTCCATGACCCTACAACTTACTATCAAACGTGCTCTTTGGTTTTCTGGCGACCACAGGCACGATTTGCTGTCTGTCATACTCGCCTTATATAATGCCTTGTTGCCTTGCACAGCCACGACGCCTTTGGCCCCAGTTCTAAAGATGAGTCACGTTATTGATCTAGAACAGCAGCAGGCCATGGATGAGGAGATGCGACGTCATTCTTGCGAGTCGATGACCTGGTGTCCGGCAATAGGTCAGTCATCTCAGAGCAGAGTGACGGCCTGTGAGCACAACCATGCGTCTCATGGCGAGCAGTCGGAACATCCACAGAGAGTGACGCGCCGCCGGCCTCTATTGGCTATTGTGCAGAAGCAAGTAATTCTTTGCTTCAGACCCCTGTCCGAGCCGTTCCAGCACTGCTTGCAGTCCCACTCTCAATTCTCGCCCGCCAGCCCTCAATCTTCCCCACCATCTCACTGACCAAGAACGGCTTCGGCAGCACATCATCCATTCCCGCATCCAGCGCCCGTTGAACCTGCTCCTGTCGTGCATTTGCCGTGATCGCAACAATCGGGACCCTATGCGTCAGCAGTCCCGCCTCCTCGAATCCTCGAATTCGTTTCGAGGCTGTCAGGCCGTCTAGAACGGGCATCTCCCAGTCCATCAGGATCAGATCGATACGCGGGAGGAGTGGCTGTGGAACGGCGCCATTCATGTCATTAGCGACGGCGGTAGTGGTGGTGGTAGTGGCAGTGGCAGTGGCGTCGGAGGAAGCGGATCGATGGTGGTTCCAGCATGCAGTGCGCTTGAGGATCTCAATTGCTTCGAGCCCATGGTTTGCGACGAGGACGTCGTAACCGTGCCGCTTGAGGCCGCGGGCAAGGAATTTTTGATTGACGAGATTGTCTTCTGCGAGGAGGATCTGGGGTTTTGTGTTGTTGATGGTGGTATTCGAGGTTGTAGTTAATGCTGTCTTGCCTAGTGGGGTGGTGCTTCTATCCTCTCCACTTAGAGATGATAGCAAGGTAGTACGGTCGGACGGATCGTGATGCTGAGGGTGGGGTAATGAAGGAGGCTGGTCCTTGATTGTAGACGAGCTACCAACAGTCGCGCGCTTAGTATTGATGTAGAACGTGAAGGTGGCGCCGGCGCCTTTCTGCGAGGCGACCCCTATCTCGCCGCCTTGCTTCTCGGCGAGTTCTCGCGAGATGTAAAGACCGAGTCCACAGCCACCATAGTGAACATGGGTCAGCATGGTGGTCTGTGCGAATCTTTGAAACAGGTGATCGATTTCTTTCTGATCAAGGCCGGGTCCGCTGTCCTTGATGGCGAAAAAGATGTACAGCGGTTGTTCTGTCCCCCACTCAGTTGCAGCTGTATCATCATCTACGCTTGGTTTGTGTAAAGTAGGACTCGGACACCATCAGATAAGCGGGTTGAGTGCACGCATGTCTGGTATTGAATCGGCGGCACCATATGTGAGAGAGATCTCGCGTTCTGGTTCAGGGCGTACGAATTTTATGCCATTGGCAGAATGTTGATAATGACCTGCATCAACCGCGACGGGTCACATATAACGGACTCGGCTTGTAGGTCGACACATGAGCGGTGTCGGATGACTTTCAATGCTATGTCATGTTGCTTGCATTCCCCGCTGAACATCCTTCTGGCGCGTTCCACAAGGGTCTCAAGATTCGTCAGGACTGGGGCAATGGTGAGCATTTGAGACTCCAATCTGGACAACAAAAGAACGTCATCAACGATACGTTTCTGGTGGCTGGCACACACAAGGACCGTTTCGGCAATGTGGACGTTTTCGTTGAGAAGCTCGAGGCGACCTGAACTATCCTGTGAACCCTCAGAGTTGCTTAAACAATTGGAGATTGTTTCTGCTCCGATTGTTATGGCACCCAACGGGTTGCGTAGTTCATGCGATATCAAGTCGATGAATTCCTCCTGTCGGCGTTTTGCCTCTTGAGCCGCGATGGCATTGCGGGTTTGGATTGATTCGGCCCACTTGATACGGCTGATGTCTGTCAAGCAGGCCATGATGTATTTGACCTCTCCTTCGCCCCTTAGGGAGAAGCCATGCACCAGGATCCAAGCATGCTCGGAGTCTCCTTCGGGCGTTACAAAGGGGCGCTTTAGACGGAGCTCGCCAGAAATGGCATCTGATCCTTGCACAAGCTCCTCCCAAATGCTCGAAGCCTTCTCAGTATCGTCCTCGTGATAGAACTCAAGGACGGTTTCCACATCGGCAGCCTCTTGGTTCGTAGTCCCAATGATATCATAGAATTGTTGATTTGCCCAAACGACTTCTCCTTCTCGTTTAAAATACACCATCCCTACCGGGGAGTGATCTGCCATGTAACGGATTTTGCGTTCACTCTCAGCCAGATCTCGCAGCAACGCCTCTTCTTTTCTTCGGGCTTGTTCAATTGAGATAGCACTGTTTAGCTTGGCGAGTAGCTGCTGGGTGATGTCGTTTACAAATTGCTCACAGCGCACGTCGTACTTCCGACGTGGGTTAGTAGCGGTACCCAAAAAACCAAAAAGCCTTGCTGCGCTCGCCAGAGGAGAGATAATGAGCTCCCGTGAAGGCTCACCAAATCCGGCCCACTGGACACCTTCTAAGATTGAACCCCAGTCTGCATCGGTGGTGGAAATGACCAACGGCGTTTTCTTAAGGTGTGCCTTGCGTAGTAGTGGAAAAACCCCACTCTTGGTCTGATGAAGATCACCATGCACAAGAGCGATCTTGTGGCCGTCAGGCACGCCTATGGAGCCTTGCAGTGTCAACTGATAGGTCCCAGTTGTCGTTTCGTCCGCTCAATAGGCAAGCATCATCGGAACATCGTTGGGATTGGTTTCCATAGCGCCGATGAGATGTTGGAAGACCGACGATACGGACACACTTGGCAAAGCCATGATGTGATCAAGGACAAGTCTTCTTCTGTCATGGAGGACTCTGAAAGTCGATTCGTGGCAGGTGTTGTAGAATCCACATACGCCGTTATCGTCAGTCAACGGGACAAACTGACCAACAAAATACGTCTCCTCAACATATCCGTCCCGCTCCACGGTCAAAGGGATATCGTCCACGTCCACGGTCATACCATCTGATGTTGCTTTCTCGAAGATTGAATTTATACTGGCTGCCAATTCTGGAAAGACTACGTCAAATGGGCTTCCCATAAGCCGTGGAAGGGTACCCCGTGCCATCGGCTTGAAGGCTTCGTTGTAGAACGCTGTTCGTCGAGGACCCCAATAGACGCATGCTCCTCGTGAATCGGCAAAGACCATGCTTGCAGCAAACCGTAGCGATGGGCCCCAGCTTGAAAGCGGTCCCAGATCAGTAGCGGCCCAATCGGTATCTTTGAACAGCTGGACATGGCTGGTGTTCGGGAGGCGAATTGTCCACTCCAAGTTGCTCATTTCAGGCCAACCCACCTGTTGACGTTAGTTTTGGTGCATGTTGTACAACAGTCTTTCGAGCGCGAAATCCTATCACGTCTGTCGGTCATGAAATGCCGAACTGGCGAAGCTGGCCACAGCTATAGAACGGACGAATGCATCAATGAACCAGGGTCAGAAGCCTTCGACGTACTAGAATAATCCTCGAGCGGACAACGACTGCTGAGACCAAAGAGAAAGGGGCGGCGTTAGCAAAAGAATCTACACCAAAACGTCGCTTTGCAGCGCGCAGGATGTGATTACTAGCTGACAGGTTGAATCTTCGCTATCATGCCGCGCAAAGGGCTTCTCGGGTCTGGACCCACACCGGTTGTCCTGTCCGCCAAGACTGCTAAATCGAGGTCATGTGACCTACCATTCTCACTGCCAGTGTCCATGGTCGGCAGACATGATCAGACTTTCGCCGAGCGCTTTGCCACCGACCCAGAGTCGTACCTAGGCATACGTATTCCCGAATATCTAAACTGAACGATGGCGGCATATATGGATATTGAGACATTGGATCCGGGATGGGTACAGCTCTGCCCTGGATGGCCGGTGCGGTGACCACAGGGCCTAGCGGCTACTAAATTAGGTATATTATCTGTATACAGCAAGCAGCTGGATCCAAATAAGAGTTTTTTTAGGACCTTAGTTAGCTAGCCTGGATGATTTCCTTTCTCGAGATGCCTTTGGTCATCTGTGAAGGTAATCTCGAAGACTGGTTGCCTGTGCCCTAACAAAATGCCACTTCGTCTCATCGACCCGATAAATCAGCTTCTCCGCACTGTACCGCCCATTCCAGCAACCTGTGGCAAGGGCATTAAGTGAAGCAGAGTGGCGAGCCATGACGGCGGATCTTATAGATTGCGCCAAACTGACCTCGGGCGGGGGATGGTGAAAGGTTCTCAAAGTGGCAGAGTAGCCGAATGGTCTGTGGCTACAATTGCGAACTGTCGTTCTGCTGCCTCAACCTGCAATCCATTGAAGACAAGCGTTGAGCGGGCCCGCTCACATCCTGCACAGCCTCTCCAGGGCGGGTCATCATGCCGCCGCTGGCAGCTGTACGGACGACCCGTCGTCTGATGCGCCCAGACGCCGGTGTCAGTTCGACCGGGGTCGAGGATGAGCGCGCACCCGGGCATCGCACCACGCGGGTGAGGGGCGGGTGAGGGGCGGGTGAGCGTAAAGCGGCCTCGCCCGCGTCCCGAAGGAGTGGGATCTCAACGCAGATTTTACCGGACTTGGCAAGACCCTGGACTGCTGTCAACTTAGCAAGGCTCTGAACGTGAGCACTGCTTTGGCTGCCACCTTAAAGTGAAGCAGACTTTGCTCTGAGGACGATGTGGCTTAAAAGACTGATACGACCCGAGTCAATGATCTACAGCATTCAGGGCAGACAAAGCTTGAGAGAATCCCTCGCGCAGGATCTTATTTGATCCATAAACATCGAGCCTGGTGGGAGAAACGTATTTTCGTAACGCCATCGCATGTTCCACTGGAATACAGTGCTTGAATGATCCACCTCGGGAGCTGGTGGAGCGGAGAAACATCACCAACAGAAATCAAACGGTACACGGAAGTAGCTTCCCAGCCAGCCAGGGAGTACGGGAGTACATATCCGCCTGAGCAGCATCGGTGGCTGCCACATGCACACAACTTCGACATCTCTATGCCTTGTGGACTGTTGAGCATCTTGTGAATCATTGACATGTGCAGGGTCTCTACAGGACGCTCTCCGGCATGTTATCTGCTCTAATCATCCCCTGTATACTTCCTTCAAAATCCTGTCGCGTCCTGAGGATCAGATGTCATCAGACAAATCTGTATCCCAACAGAATACTGTCACTGCCCTACCTGTCGTGACTAGATTGACCCATGATAGCATAAATTACGCAGATCCTCATCGACATACTAATATCGTCGAGCTCTCGTCGTCATGTCTGCATAACTCACATATCGATCCCAGGCTCCGACTCGCAACATTAGCACCTGGGGTATCTTACGATGATTGGAACATCCCTATCTGAATACATTTGGGTAGTGAGTTGGGCCGCCATTCTGCATTCAATCGGTCCCCTTTGCGCCGTCTACTGCTTCGTCGCCACTTTCGCACAAGATTCTTGGCGTCTACGGAAACCCTTCGATCACTGGGCATGGATAGAGATGATGTTTTATCTCTCGACCTGCGCTTACCAGAAGTTCTACCTGCAGCGGCCAGCTTCCATCCCTCGCCACTTGATCGGCAACAGCGAGAAAAGCTTTTCAGCCAATGCTTCGAGGTCGATGACGCTACAGGTCTGTCAGCAGACCTTTCGAAGTGGTTCTTGGGCGCACCGATCACCGCTATCGGAAGGGACAACATGAAGGAATGGCTACGATGGGCCTTTCTCAATGCAGACATGGACGATCCCATGATGAACGAGGAACTCGACTCATACATTACCCGACTCGAGGTGAAACTCAGCATGAGCTTTCAACCAGGCAAGTCTGACGTAAAGAGCATACGACTGACACTGGACAAAGTCAACGCATTCCACCGGAGCATGACTTGGTACATGGTATTTGTCTGCCCAATGCGCTTTCCAGAGAGACACCCACTGACGGAGACTCACAGTGCATTTTCGTGGTCGATACCTTTAACACATCTCTACCTGCGTTTCAATGGCTTCCGTTTCTACCGGGGCTCGGTCATGCATACTGCAAGTATCCTCCCTCCACGACCACAAGCAATAATTGCCGCACGTACGTCAAAGGGTACTGATATCAGCTACTGGTACCATCGTCACACCGCGCGCAAAGAGCTACCGATATTGTTTGTCCATGGCATCGGTGTCGGCTTGTATCCATACATGCAATTCCTAAAAGAATTGAACCAGGATCGCACGCTTGAGGAGGGACAAATAGGGATCCTTGCCATCGAGATCTTGCCCATCTCGTCTCGAATCACGCGTCCACTGCTAGGACGAAACGAGCTGTGTCAGCAGCTCCGATCTATCCTACAATATCATGGCTTTGAGAAATTCACACTGGTGTCGCATTCGTCAGTGGTTGATCTGCCCCGAGTACAGATCAAAGGGACTGATAGTGCTCATAGGTACGGGTCGGTCATCAGCACGTACCTCCTCAAAATGGACGATATTGCGCGCCGGGCCTCCTCGGTAATTCTCGTGGATCCCATCACCATCCTCTTACACCAACCTGACGTCGTATACAATTTTGTGACAATTCCCACGCTTCTGCTCTGAGTTCAGTACTGACGGTCTACTAGACAGTGCGACAACCTAGGTTTGCTAACGAATGGCTCCTGTGGTACTTTGGTTCTAAAGATCTGGGTGTGGCTCACACGCTGTCTCGCACCTTCTTTTGGTCGCAGAACATTCTCTGGCAAGAGGATATGTCGAGACACGATGTTACAGTTTTTTTATGTGAAAACGACTCGATCATCAATTCCGCGCGGGTACGGATGTACCTGGAAAACCGACAGGGTCAATCCACAGGAAATGTTGCTGGTGAGGCTTCAAGGAGGAGTATCGAGAAAGACACGGGACAGGGACAGGAACGTCACTGCTTGGCAGTGGTCTGGTGTCCCGATCTTGATCATGGAGGAGTTTTTGATCTTCCACACTGGAGAGAACGTCTCAAAGCTGAAGCACTCCAGAAAGCGCGGTGAGGGGACGGCGGGCGGGGGAGGCGGTGGGGAGCAGGTGGCCGCTTCACCTCGGGCGAGCGAAGCGAGCACTCCATAGAGAGCGCCACAGGCGCTCCCTATAAGGAAGGGAAGGGAGTGGAATATGGTAGTCGCATTGAAGTGTAGGAGGCGGAATCTAGTAGTTGCAACGTAATTCTTTTTAAATTATTGCAAGCAGGCAAGTATGCCAGTGCGCTGTATTCGGCATCAGTAACTAGCCACACAGCAGTGGTGCAGATGCTGCCTCTTGATTGCTGCGCTATGCCACTACCCCGGGCGTGCTTTTCAGTGCTGTCATGCACGAACGTTTTGGTCGAACCGGCCGGTCCACCGTGCACATCGGGAGATACGCGGTTCTACGTCGAGCCTTTCAAGCCTGTGCCGGATGACTCCCATATCGGTGGCTTAATGTTCCGTTGATGCTGTCTGGTATAGAGTTGCCGATACTATCGGACAAAGAATTGTTGATGTACTGCTTGGTACTCCCCGCAGCTGAGCTCGCAGCATCTCCAGTCTTGTTGGCCATGTTCGAGCCCATCTGTGGCAGCTTATTTAGGTTCTCAATCACGCGTTCATAAGCATCCGAGGCATTATTGCTAGCCCCAGTGAAGAGGTCATTGGCTGTATGGATACTGTTCTGGGCTAGATTCTGGGCACCTTCTTCTCCAGCACGGGCGCACTCTTGCGGACTCGAGGCCAGCTCGCTAGCTTTGGCTTTGCAGTTCAGTGGAAGCTCCTTGCCGCCGTCCACGGCAGTATTAGTCACCTCCTGGACACGCACGTTTCCGTCCTGAGCGGCTGTCCTTCCTGCTGAGAACACGATAAGAGGCGCGAGGTAGACCAAGGTAAGAGCGATGGGCGCCAGCCAGAAGGTGCGCATGAGTTTGATCGACCAGTACAGAGCGGTGAATCCGATGAATGCCTGCCCGTCGATTAGCTTCGCTTGTTTCATCACGACGGAGTGAAAATGCAACTTACCACGAACGTTTTGTGCAGGTCCTGTTCAAAAATGATCCTCTGACCTTGAACAACGGCGTACTGGACGAAGTCATGGATGTCCTTCAGCGTGGCATTGAGTCTTGCCTCTGGAACCTTTTTATACTCCTTGGGCCGGATACGGACGGACAGTGATGCGGGCCCGAAGAAGCGGCTGATAAACTCAACACCAGAAACCACTACTACAGTCAGGTCCAGACGTGCGTGCACCGTCAGTGCTGTGGGACTATGGCTCACCTCCGAGGGTGGTGACACAAGCCTTCAAGAACGTTTGAGTAAGAGGAAGGTAGTGTGCTCCAAGCAGGACGGATAGAACACTGATATAAGAAGTCAAGGTGCGGTATGAATCCTCCCTTTGCGAATTGATCAACGACCCTCCGTAAGAATAAAAATGGAGACTAACGTTGATGTAGTTGTATGCAGTGTCCCATCTGTCAGCGAATGCTCTCGGGCGCCACGTATCTTGGTCGAAAGCGGTCCATACCGATGATCTGTTTGAATGCCCCAACGGGCTTTGGTTCCTCGAACTCCTCAGGATGGGTCTTCTGGTGTATCGCCTGCTGGATGGCGGACGTAACTGGCAAAGACAACGATCAGTATAAGTGTCCGCTACTGAGCGCCACTCTGCGGAAGGTCACAGCCTTGCTTCCGACTGTGTCCTGGTCAGTACCTAGCGCTCCATCCACCGCGATGGGTAAAACGACAAAGGCTGACCGGCTCATGGTGATGACGGCTGATCGTGGTTCTGATTGCTTGGATATCGAAGCCGACTAGTTTTCTCGATAACAAATAGTTCTTAATTGGGCTGCCACATATATCAAGGTTGCGACTGGAAGAACCTATATAGCCGGCCTCCGCCGGTCTGTAGTGGTTTGCAGCATTCCTGCATCATCTCGCCATGCCGTGACGAACCTGTGTATGACGTTCAATCTGGGCAGTCTTGGTGGTGCTTGAAGCCCGGAGTAGGACTCGGCAAGTACCACTATTCCCTGCTAATTGAGATGTACGTCTGCCAACCTGAAATGAGCAGGAGCGTGCTAGCTAGTTGTGTTATGCGCCTAGACACTATTGTCTGACATTGACTGACGGACAGGTGCGCGTAAAGCGGCCTTTACCCGCGTCCTAATACGAGGTGGCCTTGAGGCAGACTTTACCTTACTTGGCGCTCAAGCCCTGCCTCCTCAGAGCACGGAGATGATCGATATCACGCTCGGCAGGGGAGGCCGCTCTGTCACTGCGTAGCTGTTGTACGCAACGACAGAGTGGCCTATCCACCTAAGTATGTCGATGGAAGTTCTAATACTGTGCTTGAGGATGAGCAAGGGACTTATCACTATGGAGGCTCATGTCAAGGATAAGTATCCGCCAGGATCAGCTACTGAATGCTTGAAAGCTGTTGCCTGCTTGGTCGGTCCTGCTCAAGTTTGCTTCAGGATGTTTCGGATTGGCTTGTGTCACCATATCCTGCCTCGCTGGCATCGGATCGTTGCTGGTACGAGGTACCAAGCACTCTGTGGCTGGATCGGCAGTTTGTAAAACTGGCTGCACGTCGCGTTTCGTGAGCCTACTGGCATTGATGCCGGTCTGCATGTTTGCTCAATAGATGATGGCTGGTGGGAACTCACCCTGAAGATGTGACATGTGATGGCTAAGGGCCTATCAGTGGGCCTCATAACAGCAGCATGATGGTGAGGAAATGTACGCAAGGTGTAAGAATGCTCAATCGCAGCCTCTCAAGCCGTCAGGAAAGCGCAAGATGTACATTCGCAGCGAGTGCTGACTGCTCGACGGATGTTGTTGTATGGACAGCTTTGCTCGGACAAGTGGTCAGGGAGAACCAGCCACGCGGCAACAAGCATGAATTGGTGCCAGACTTTGAAGAGCACCCAACGCTACTGCTCTATCAGGATGTGCTGTCCTGAACGACGATCGTTATCGGAGCAGACTCTGCAGGTGATCCGATGCTGCTCTTTAGTAGGTGGATGAATGGTAGAGGACTTATTGCAATCAGGCGAGATGCTGGCCGGCAATTATATCTCCTCACCGACCTTTTGAAGATCAGGTAGTCTCATCGATATGTTGACCACATGCGTACACTGAGTCATTCATGACTTGCCGTGGCGAGCTGCGGGTCGACATGGGAAGCGTTGGGAATATCGCTACCATGGTCACCAAGGAACATGCGATTACAAGGTATGTAAAGATGCTGAGACGATTCTCGTCATCCGGCTGATCAAGTGTCTTGTCATCCGGTTCATGGAAATCTTGTCAACCGGCCTCATCTGCGCAGTCCTAACTTTTCACATACCAAATCTGTAGCGCACTATGTTCTATAAGAATGTGTGCCTTCCACCACTCACTTCGGCCCACCAATCAACACCTTGATGCCCTTCCCATCCCTGATATCCTCAAATGCTTTCTGCGCCTCCTCGAACTCAACCTCCCTCGTGATCAGCTTCTTGACATCAATCTTCCCACTCGCCACCAACTGCAACGCATCCGCATAGTCGCCCTGACTATACCTGAAGCTCCCCGAGATCTTCAACTCTTTCGTACACGCCGCCATGATCGGGAACGTGATCTCGTCCTTGCCCATGCCGCCCTGCACATAGCTGCCCCCATTCCGCAGAACATGAATCGCAGTCGCAACACTGGGTTCCGCACCGCTGGCATCGATCGCCACGTCTGCGCCCAAGCCTAGATCTTGCTCCTTGTTCATCCTCTCCGCGTTCTCCTGCGCACTCACCTTCTCCGGCATGAACACTCCCGTGGCTGCAAACTCCTTCGCGAAGTCGAGCCTATTCTGCTGAATGTCCACCGCCACCACTTTCGAAGCTCCGAACGATTTCGCGACCGCACAGCACAACAGTCCCACTGGTCCGGCTCCGAACACCACCACCTTGTCTCCATTGCGAATCCGCGATTGCTTGGTGATGTGCACCGCGACAGCCAGTGGCTCCATCAACGCACCCTCCTGCAGGCTCACGTTCTCCGGCAGCTTGTAGCAGAAGTCCTCCGGCAACACGTAGTACTTGGCCAACGTGCATCATACGGCGGTGTCGCCGCAAACTTCATGTCAAGACACAAGTTGTAGAAGCCCTCTTTACACCGCACGCAGCGCCGGCACGGGATGCCGGGCTCCATGGCGACGCGGTCGCCGACTTTGAGTGTCGTGACCTCTTTGCCGGTCTCTATCACCGTCCCAGAAGACTCGTGACCGAGCACCATGGGGTCTCTGACGACATAGTGCCCGATGCGCCCGTGCTGCCAATAGTGGATGTCGGAGCCGCAAATGCCGGTGTAATTGACTTGCAGGAGCACTGAGTGCGGGTCGTGGTCTGAGAGGGAGGGAACTGGTCGGTCTTCGAAGGCGACAGATTTGGAGCCGGTGAGGACGAAAGAGTTGTTCTGTGCGAAAAGAGAGAGAGTACTGTTAGTCTGATCTACGCCGTGAATGGGATGTGGACTAGCAGAGATGGCGGCATTGTCTGAGGTTGTAAGAAGTGGACATACCTTCTTGGTTTCCGTTTCGGTTGCCATAGCTGGTAGCGAGAACTTTGCGGAGGGGGAACGGACAGTTTGGGGTCAAAATGCGTCAGCCGTTGACACGACTGGGTACGATGCCGTCCGCGGTAATCTGAGCTGCCTCGAGTCCAAACTTATAGTTATGTCTTTGCAGTTCCTTGTCGCTTTGACTCGGCACTAGTGCGTTTGGCGATGGTGGCACAGCAGTAGGAGACAGTCACGACAGCTTCAACGTTCGCTAGTCAAGGGCGGTACAGATATGTGAAGAGAAGGAGTGTTTGACTTGAAGACGAGCGATGAAAGGAAACCAGTGGACACTCATACCTTTATTAGGCTGAACAGCCGCCTGCTGTACCATTTCCGAACCTACCTTACCTCATAAACTTGCCATACGTAGATGAGGGGCAACGCGACAGAATGCGATTGATGATGGGACGTGAGTGTTCATGTGGTGGGAAAGTGGGGATGCCGGTGGTCAAAAACCGATCCCCTCCAGTCTGTCGGCAAAGTACCCCGCGGTGCCTCGGGGAGTTCGCCTGCCTTCGCCGAACGGTAACACCTATTATGTGTACTGTGTACCTAGAGACAAGTGTTCCAAGGTTCTGCTGAGCCGCGACTTCATTGGGAGGACTGACCAGCCTGCAGACTACACCAGTGATTGAGTTTTCGGGTAATGAAGTACTATACAGGACCAGACCTCACTGCATCAATGCCCCTTTTCGAGCTGCACAATTTTGTCCACGTTGAGAATGCCCAGAGGATCAAACGCCAGCTTCAACTTCCTCATAGCATCAACAGTATCCTCGCTCAGCTCCTCCTTCAGATACTCTCTCTTCTTCAGACCAACACCATGCTCTCCAGTCACAGTCCCATCCATGTCGATCGCTTTCTTGATCATACGGTGAACCACATTCTCCGCGACGTCCTTGTTCTGGTCATTGTACAAGATGATGCTGTGGAAATTCCCATCGCCGACATGGCCTACGATACCAGCCGTCAGACCGCTCTTCTCAATGTCGTCGCGAGTCTCCTTGACGATGTCAGCAAGACTGCTGATAGGTACAGCAACGTCGGTCGTCCAAACATGATCGCCCTCATTGCGGAGAGCCATAACACTCCACAGAGCTTCCTTGCGAGCCGACCACAATTCGGCGGCCTCGTCGTTGTTCCGCGCGAATTCGAAGTCCTTGTTCTTGCTTGCTTTTGCCAGTTTCTTCACTATCGCAATTTGTTCTTTGACTCCCTCCGGACTCCCCGCAAACTTGAAGAAAAGCGATGGCACCTCAGACCATTTCCGATCCGTCGTGCCAGACTTGTTGATACACTTCATTTGTACATCGTCCAAGATCTCCATTCCCGCAAGCTGAATGCCGCCCTTCACAATCTTGGCGACACAGTCCGCGGCTGCATGAATCGTGGGAAATGTCGCAACGGCGACACTGGAGCTCTGTGGAAGCGGCGTGACCTTCAGAATAGCTTCCGTAACAATACCGAGGGTGCCCTCGCTGCCGATGAACATCTGTGTGAGGTTGTAGCCAGCACTTGACTTCCTGGGCCGCCGTCTGGTCTTTATGACAGTGCCATCAGCCATGACGACCGTCAAGCTAACGACCCATTCCCTCATTGTGCCATATCTGTACGCATTCGTGCCAGAGCAGCCCGTGCCTACCATACCTCCAATCTTAGCTCCTGGGCCAGGATCGGGCGGGAAGAAGAGGTTGTGCTCGGCAAGATACTCGTTGAGATCTTCCCATCCAAGTGCAGGCTGAACGATGATGTCGAGATCTTCGGGATGGAATTGCAGGATCTGATCCATACGAGCCAAGTCGATACAGACGCCGCCTCGTGTCGGCGCAAAATGACCCTCGAGACTCGTGCCGCCGGACAGAGCTGTGACTGGAAGCTTCCGGTCGTGACAAACCTTCATGACCCTAGACACCTCTTCTGTCGATCCAGGATAGACGATCATGAAAGGTCTCTCTTTCTCCGTATGCTGGTACGACGACCATTCTGAACCGGCGTGACTGTCCAAGTCTTCCTTCGCCGACGAAACATTTTCCTTTCCCACGATCAACGCAAAGTCGGTCCAAGCTGCTTGCAGCGTAGTGCCTCTTGTGTCGAGCTGAGGCGGGAATGCGTCCTTGAGCTTTGTCGTCGAGGTTGTGGGAGGAGGTTGTGGGACTGCGCAGCCAAAGCGGTATGCTACCACTGCAGTGAAGACAAGCGCTGCGGAAGTCAGTCAATCTCTAGCGCATGAGAATTAAACAGGACCGCAACTCACCTAGACCGACGGCGAAGGAGTTGTGAGGTCTCTTATACCGTTGCTCAAGTTCCTGCTGCATCTTTTCATATCTTGCCTCGTTGGCTCGTTCGCGAATCACCCGGTCGTACGTTGTGCCATGCAGAGAGCCCTTCAACTCGGCCTCACCCTTCTTCGCGGGCGTTCCCTCGGGCTTCACGGGTGTCCCTTCGAAGTTCGTCTCTTTCAGTCGGCGAGCAGCACCTGAGAAGCTTCGACCGCATTTCGACCAGGGTATCGACAGAGGCGAAGCCGGTGACGCTTTCACCAGTCGCGCGCTGGCGATCGCAAGCCTGCATCCTGCCTGAGAATTCATGGCCAGCGTATACGAGTGAGCAATCCTTGTCACCTGGCAAGCAGACACATCTTCTACTACCTCGATCTACAGCCACAAGACTTGCGCATGCAGGACTGCAATACTTAGCCAATACTGGGTGCGGTAATGGAGTTGGAGAGCATGGGGGAAAGGAAGTTCATGATGCCCGAGGTTGCCCATAGCCTAAGGTGTGCCCGCAGTACCTAGGTAGGCGAAGCTCCCCCATTGGCGGCGCCTAAAACGTGGAGAACTCTGGCGAACGTGCCAAGTGCTTCGTTTCGACAACATTGAACGGAGAGAACCACGCCTTTGGTCTCAGTGAACACTATTGGCAACCGCGGTATAACTAGGCCCAGAGAGCACGATGCCCATGCTAGAGCTTAGCGCAGCTCATGTTATTTTGACAGACCTTGGTTAGTGTAGCTGCGTGTTGCGATAGGAAGCAGGCGCGTGCCTTGAGCGCGACTTCTGTCTCAAGCACGATGAAGCAGTACGGACCACAGGACGTACCTACTTCTCGGACGAGAAGCACGAGGCGCCTAGCGCAGACGTTGCTGCCGGGCGAGTGTTCGCTACACTAGGCAACCAGGCATGGTCGTTACCAAATAGGTCGTTGCTACGCTATTACCACATGGATCCTGTTGTCCCTGGCTAAAGCAGGTGCAACCACGACAGCGATGCTCAGTCCCACGCCGCGATAACGTGTCTTCCTGTCCGGAACAAAATTTGTGCGAAGCGCAGCTGCTCATATTGCATTTGGGGCGATAAGATGGCTCATTTCACGGCATTGCGTCTGTTATGGGGTTGCAATGGTATATATTGACTTCTATGCGATTATGCGATCAAGCAAGCGTTGAGTAAATCTCGGCCTTGTATGAGAGAGCCAGTGCCTATGGATGCCGTCAAGCTAAGCGGCTGGCCATTGGCTACCGTGGAAGCGAGCAACATCGCTTCGCACGAAAGCCAGGCCACAAAGAATGCCAACGCGAGACGTCCAGTGGTTCCATCAATGTGCTGCTACAGCAGCAGGCTGCACGCTGACCCCAGCCGAACTATTCCTCGCCTTCTCTGCCTCCTTTTCCTTAAACCTCCTCTCTTCCTCAGCCTGCTGCTCCCTAATCTGCTTCAACTGCTCCGGATACCACCGTTCAGACACATCTGGATGACTCTTTATCCTGTTCATGAGGGTCGCCTCCCCTAACCTCGACCACATCCCCTTGTTGAACGTGAACTCAATATCATCCAGCTTCTCTCCCCTCTTCTCCAAGATCTCCTTCCTCAAAGCCTTCACCGACTCCGGCACATCCATGCTCTCAAACGTCGCATCATAACTAACCCCCTGAAAGAACGGAATACTATACCTCGCCCCCAACCCCCTCTGCGGACTCAACACCCGATGCGTCGTACTCTGACAAACGCCCTGCGTCAACGCCTCCATCCCCTGCCCAATCGCCACCACAAACGTTCCCTCCATCGGCGGACAGTCAACCCACTCCCCATCTGCATTCTGCACCTGCAACCCCCGATGATGACTCGCCTGCAACAGATAACTCGTCAACATCGAATCCTTGTGCGGCCCAACTCCTTGCCCCTCCCCAACACCCTCCGGCACGCCCAATTCCTCCAGGTCCGGATACTTCACAATCTTCAATTTATGCTGCTGGCTCTCCCCATCAAAGAACCCCTCAAATGCGTCCCCGGGTAACCCAATCGCCTCCGCACACAGCGCCGTGAATCGCATCGACATCGCACCCATCAATCCCATGTACTCCTCATATGCCGCCCTGAACCCCGGCAACGCGTCCTCATCAGGCCACAGATTCGGCGCCAGGAGATTCCGATACAGCGGATCATTCGGCCCAGGGATCGGGTGTGGCGTCGACAAGTCGATCTGCTCGCGCCAGTCGGTCGCGAAGCGCGTGATTTCCATGCCGAGCTTGTTGTAGCCCAGAAATGAAGGCGCGTTGACCATTTCGCACTTCAGCTTCTCGTGTTCGGGCAGAGCGAAGAAGGATTTGCCGAGGGATATGACACGGGTGACTAGTTCCGGTGGGATGCCGGTGTTTTTGATGTACAGGAAGCCGACTTCCAGGAGGGCATGACGGAGGTCGAGCAGTAGTTGGGGTTTTGTGTCCGGCGAGTTGGCTAGGGACAGGTCCAAGATTGGGATTGCGGAGAACGACATGCTGGGTGGCGAGGGGCAGGCCGGCGCCCACAGCAGATTGTTGCGATATTGTCTGGTCAATCGAGGGTTATTTGTCTACAGTAAGCAGTCTCGTGAGTTTGCTGGACAGTCCTTGTGTTGCAGAGGTAAGTAGGGACTGTAGAATTGTAGAAGGGCTGAGGTTCCAGATCACGCAATGCTCCGAGGCCGAGTTCGCACAAGTCCACCCGGGCCTGTTCCAGGCGTGCGGGGCGCAAGGCAACTTGCCTTTGGTGGGAGTTCAAGGTTGCCTTGTCCCCTGAACTTTCGGAGCCGAAGCCGAAGAGTCGGTCGGACAATTGTCGAGTGTGTGGCGACACTCAAGTGAGCATCGCAGACTCGCAAGCTGATCTCGTGGAGGGCTCTCAGCGTTCATCCGAGCGTGGCCGCGAGAGCGTGAGTGCCAGCAAATGCTGAGCAAGCCGCATATGGTCAAGTCTACAGGCCTATTTTCCGTTGTCAAGGCACGACGACTGCAGGTCTTGCTGGAGAAGAGAACAACTCGCTCGTGAGCGCAGCCTTCTCTATCTCGACTCTCCATGAGTCTTCCAGCTCCTGCTTCCTCCGCAGGAGGTCCAAGCCTCGCGGCGACAGCTGGATCTTGGGACAATTCGCCGCACACACGAGCAAAGAGTACTGACCTTTCTCTTGCCAACGCTCGGACCTTTCGCTGCTCGAGATCAGCTTGCACAGGAGCCACTGCTCAGTGTCATGAAGTCCAAGCTGACAATAGATGGCTGCTAGCTCAGCTGCACTTTGTCTACTGAGCCAGTGGCTGTCAAAGTAGAAGTTGGGCAGCTGCTCATCGTCGCATGAAAGCTTTTCAGTTCCAGCTAGATACCCGGTCAAATGTTGGATCATTGGATTGTCGCGGTCGGTCTGTATAGCGAGGCGCAACAAGACTAAAGTGCCGAAAGCGAACAGCCCGCTGAACCTGTGTTGCTGGTCGAGAACTGAAAGCGTTCGAGGAGCGGTTGCTGGGATTTCGTCCACCGATGCGTGAGATGGATAGCCCCTTTGCCGCCAGAACCAAGAATACGTATGGAGATTGAGGTTTGCTGACGCCGTGTCGGCCTTCAGGCCATAGCTTTGCTCTAACGCGACTCGGACAGACACGCCATCCGCCACAAGCTGCTGCGAACGCGAGGCGTCAAGGTCACCATTCTGCAGGAAATTAATTCTTGATTGTGAATGCCCAATGTAGCGAGCGAGCTGTCTGAGATGAAGCAGTAGAGTCGCAACAATGCTTGCATGACCGGCATCGCGTATGACCTGTACTGCATGAATCAGCCAGCTGGATGTGACAACGTCGACGGCACGGGTAATGCTCTGCAGCATCAATGCCAGTTTCCGTATAACGAGCATGTTTGATCCAGGCTTTAATATGAACAACGCGGCGAATACGTCCGACAATTCTGCATTTACTAGCGTTCGTGGTGATACCACCTGCCCGGATCTGACGGTGTAGTAACCGCCATCGATCAGGCCAGAGTAGAAGCCACCGAACCTGCGCAGCGTGTCTTCGTAGTCCTTGTCCGGCGATGCCCAAGCTATTCGATCAAAGCCTGGCGGTGGCGTCAGCGCCCGGATATGCCGGTGATACTTGTTCGTTACTGACGATCTCGCATCGACGACGTCCATAGGCATTGGAGCCTTTCGTCTTTGTTGGGATTTGAAGACCGCATCCATGCTGACGTTCCGACCACGCAAGAGCACCTCATGCGTGCCCTTTCCTCTCGCTTCTCGCGATGCAGCCATATCGAGGATATACTGGACGTCAGTGCCTTTCAAGTTCTTCCCCAGTCCCCATGCTTTTATCCGGCGTTTGTACATTTGTTGGGTGGCGTGGAAATTGTGATCCTCGCGGAGTTGTTGCATAACATCTGTGAGAGTCTGGCCCTGTTGAACATACAGCCTTTCGAACACAGGCCTGATCCAAGTCCATTCTGCTTTCGAGGGGGAGTCGCGTAACTGGCTCCTAGCCTTGCTCGGAGCCCGTATTACCAACTCACCCATTTTGGATCTGCATTTGATGGCTTATAGTCTTGGCCAGAACAACGAACGCACGGACGTCGGTGAAATGCAGGACTTGAGGGGTTCGAACGTGACTTTTCAATGCAGACATCGTGTTGCCTGTTCGGATATCTCACGCATAAGCGAGCGAGCTGACATAAGATGCCGGGTGAAGAACACCGAGGAGCGCCTGAGACAGGTTCAACCGTCCAGCCAAGGTCAAAAAGTAATCAAAGTGGGCTGCATTCAGTGCAATAAGGCGTAATGTATACTGAATTTCGGCGGAAAGTGTGACTGCCTTCTATGCTCGAGACCTATTGCTAAGGTAGGAAGTACCCCTCGAGGTACAGCAGAAACGCCAAGTGCGATGCATGCTCGCTGCTTCCATTAATAAGCGCTACAGACTTCACTGACAGACCATACTGAGCACTTCCAAACCCTTCATGCAAGAAACGACATGCTGCGCCAGAAGCCTCTGCTTGGGATCCAATGCGGAAGAACTTATTGCTCCCCATCGATGACGCGCATCGTGCGACTTCGACCAGACTCGCGGCCACGGACCGTCTTGACTTCATTATCCTTCACGCCGCCGGTCTTGCTCTTGACCAGTACCTTCTTCAATGTCTTTTCCTCAGAGACTTCCTTCTCAATCAGTGCTTCCGTAGCCGAAGTCGAAGAAACGACGCGTTTTGTACTGCGGCTCTTCTGAATACCGGCAGACGCACTAGCTTTGGCCTTGCTAGTCGCTTCCTTTGTGCTTTGCACCATTCTCTTGAGCTTGGAGGGATTCCGCGCAAGCCCTGATGTTGCTTTCATGGGGCTGCTGGAACCTCCCCGGACGGCCTTTGCGACTGCCTTGACTTTCGCTCCCAAGGCTGATGATTTCTTCGCCGGGCTTGTCGCAGTTGCAAAGACCCTGGTTTTTGCTGCTTTGCTCTTCAGCACAACCTGTGAGTCTGTCTTCTGCTTCTTCGTGACTCTTTCGACGACCTCTTCGACGACCTCCACCATTTTGCGTTTGAGGCTCTTCTTAGGAGATTTAGGCTGTGCATTCTCTTTCTCCTCGCTCTTGCGCTCCTCCTTCTTCTGCTTGGGACCCAGAAAGCCTCGACATTGTGGCTCGCCACAGTGACATTCCTGGACGTTCTTCTGGCTAAAGGGATCAAAGTTGTAGTCGTACGTGAGCTCTTCGCCAGTCATGATGCCCCGATCGCCTGCAAAGAGAGCCATTCGCGGCTTGCCGCTGACTGTCCACTTCTCCATTCGGCAATTTGGATTGCACGAATGGTTGACAAATCGTGCGATCGACCCCTTTGTTGTTGCATCAATGATCATGTTCTGATCGAACAGCATAAGGTAGTAGCACTGGATATATTAGTACAACATCACGAGGCGTCAAAGAACATGCTCACCTCGTTTGACTTGTACTCCTTCTTCATGCGCCGATCACATTCATCCTGGTTTATGATCTCCCCAGAATATTCCACAATGATCTGATCTGGCTCAAAGGTGCGATTGCTTCGCACGCCATGGCCTCGATCGACAGTCTTGATTACCTCGACACCAATGTTGTACTTGCCTCCTTTCTTTGCCCGTTTGCGCAGGTCGTCGAAGGCTCGGTTGCCGCATTGCTCAGCAGTCAGGTTGCAGTTCTTCTCATCACACTCGTAGTACATGTATCGATTCATGCAGTCCGCATCGCATCCTGTCTCGGCTTTGCAGAGGCATGCAGAATATTCCATCGGCTTTGTGACACGCCACTCTGCAGCCGCATCGCCCACAAACAAATTCTTGTTGGACTTCCGCCATTCATCCGGCTTCGGCTGCCCTGGTGGAAGAGGGGAGAAGACATCGAATGGGAGCTTAAAATCGCGCCCTTCCTTGAGAAGTCTCTCTCCCAAGAACATCGGCAAAGGCAGAGTAGAATTCTCCTTCTTCTCGTCACTATCCGCGACCTCGCTCCTACGTTTCTTGTTGCTGCCACCATGGTGCCTTGCATCGAAACTCCGCTGCTGGCCAGCATAGAGACCAGATATCAGCCACTTCTTGTCCTTGGGCGCCCGCTGCGGCTTCTTGCTGGAAAGCACTGGGGCAGATTCGCTGCTTGTGAGTGTAGCACCACTACTGACGCGACGCTTTTTAGCGTCGGGCCCGTCCACTGTGTTGTCTAGGATCTGCGCGTCCGAAGCGCTGCGCGAACGGACGAGGCTCTTCAGCTCGCTGACACGGGAGGCTCGCTTCTCGAGAACGTTCTCTGCAAAGTCCCCGACCTTTGTGAGCATAGAGGCTCGCGATGACTTGCGCGTAGCATTCTTTGCGGCCGCCTTCCGCCGTTTCTCCCACAGCTTGTTGTTTTCGGCCATCTTGGCCCTTTTGGCAGCTGCTCTCGCGGCTCTTTCCTCGTCGTCCTCATCGTCATCATCTTCCTGCTCGCTGTCCTCTGCAGTAGGGACTTTGCTCTTCTGACTTGAAGCGTCGTCTTCTGCAGCAGTTTCGAGCAAGTCGGCTTTGCTGCCTTTCGCGAAGACGTCACTCATGTTCCAGGGAAGATTCAATTTATCGATGCCACTCTTGACCAAGCTATCCTGGCTGGCGCTGGCACTGTTGACGAGGGTCTCTCCAGACACGGTCCTATCCTTTGCTTGCTCCTTCTTTTGTGATTGTGCTAGACTTGGGCGGCTTTTGCCACGGGACAAACGTTTGCTGTCGCGTCGTGACGCCTTCTTTGACGTGCCTTGTTGACTAGAGACACTGGAAGCCTCTGTAGCTGTGTCTGATGGCGTGGGAAGCTGGACGGGTGGCTCAGTAGCCATGACCTCGATTACATCGGATGAGCTGGACGATGCAGTGCTGTCCTGACGCGCCATCTTTGGTCGTGCTTGAGATTGTGGATCTATCTTCTTCGGAGACGCGAACGCCGCCGCAAAACTGAGCAGACTCTGTCGCAGAGGCATGTTTACGTTCTGAGTTGAAGGACTGGAGATGGATGATGAGGTATGCAGACGCGTACAGGGACAGCGAGACGCGTCAAAGACAGTACGACAACTCCGATGAACTGTGCCGGCAGGTGAAATGCATAGAACAAACGCGTAAGAATTGGTCGAGTGTATGAGAAGCGTGGTGGTCGAGACTCGGAGGAAGGGTGCTGATGTGGCTGGCAGATGTACCTACAGATTGTTGACCAATCGGGGGGACTGACTTAGTGAGACGGTCTCCAGCACGACAACATTCCCCCTTCACCAAAACACCGTACGCATAGTCTGTGCTCCAAAGCTCCGGAATTGACATTACTATATGCATTACATGGCTACCGAGCCTCCAGTTTCTTAGAGTGCGGCCCTTCAAATCCGCGCTGCTGCTGTGGTGTTACAGTTTTCATCTCCATTCCCCCATTCTGAGCGTCCGGGACCAAGGGCGCCTGTCGCTGGCCACGCCTGTCTCCAAATCGCTGGTCACCCTCCTCGTAGCTCTTCTTGAAATGCAAATATGTCGGAGGCCGTGGTCGACCAAGCACGGCCAGCCAATTCTTCAAGAAGTTGCCTTGTGTGAAAGGACGATGCCGCTCTGACTTCGGAAATCGCCTGGACGCCAATGACTCTCTCGTTGTCTCACCCTTCGCCATTAGCAATAAATGATACACCAGAGTGCGCCTGGGTACGGAAACGCCAAAATGCCATATATGAACATCGCAAAAGGAATGCGATTGTCGTTGATCGCTTTGCTGAATGACACATCTTCCCGATTACTGTATGAGATACAGTGGCCCAAGCTACCAAACGCGAGGAAAAGCCCAAGAAACGTGGCTGTGGCCACAAAGCTGAAGAAGTATCGGTAGTTGCGTCTCCCAACACAATTATTGAGCCACACGCAATGGTGATCCAGTGTTTCTACGCAGTTGTCGCAGACTCTGCAGTGATAGCACCGAGGAGGGCGCCAGATGTTGCACGTCTTGCAGTATTTGACTGGAACGTCCATAGCCGCTGTCTCGGAGGTCGCCAGACGGACCATGACCCAGTCATTCGTGGGTGGTCCGATCGCAAGAGGATCCTCTTTCTCTGGGGGCGGAAAAGGATGTACATTCCGAGGAAAGATCTATATCCGTCAGATATGGTTTCACCAGCCAGGGTCCGTCGACTTACTCCAGGGTCCACAAGAGAAGCGTGGATGAACGAGGAAAGACAAACGAAAAAAATGTAGGCGAAGATGATGGGTATCGCTGGTGATACATGGTGCCAGAGATATGAGGCACTGTAAAGAGGTCAGTTGGCTTCGACAGATCAAAAAAATGTGCGCCACTTACGAATAGACGAAGAAAAGTATCGCAGGAAGAACGAGGAAGATTCCAGTCGCGATGTTGACAGGCCGATCGCGTGCATTTTGCATGCGACCGCCCCACCAAAAGACGGTGTTGCCCTGGAAGTATTCGTGATTCTTCCCAGTCCCTGAACCTGATTTGGACTGCCGCTCTGGTGGATGTCGTGGTGATGTGGCATTCGAAGACAAATGCTGATGGCCGGGCTCCATGCGACCTTTACTCGCAAGACTCAAACCGGATCGAAACGACAGCGGTGACTTTTGTGGCGCGTCTGCTGTTCCTTGCCCGGCCGACAGGTTCAAGTGCATGGGACGCTGGACAACCTTTCTGGACCCGTCCACCAGCCCGACATCACCTTCCTGATGCGACTGATAATCATGAGAAGTGGTCTCGTACGGTTCGGGGCCCTCGGAGTGTGTGTAGTCAGTGGTTATCGATTGAAAGGGTCGATGGCCTTTTGGCATAGGAGCTCGACTCGAGGCAACACTTTCATCATCGGCATATTCTTCATTCTCGTTGTCCGGAATCGCGGCTGGCGGCTGAACTCCCGTATTTGGTCGTCTGAAGCGCTGGGCCTGCAGCTTTTGAGAGCTCATGGGTCGGTGAAAGCCCTGGGCCGTCAGTGACGGCACATGCGTCCTGCTGACGGTGGACACTGCTGGGCTCTGAGGACGACTGGAACCTGCAGTGCTTGACGGTGGTGGCGGCGGGTTCCGTATGGTTCGATTCGTCGGTTGTGTGACGCCTCGGAGGTGGGAGAAGCCATGCTGGGCGGCGGATGGGTTGGGCAACGCGGGTTGGTCCTGTCGGTTCTCGGGTTCTGCTCTGGGGGCGATGCCGTCGTCTGATATAGCGGAGGAGATTTCGCTTCTTGCAGTCCCGGGCCTGCCAGCCATTGCTGACGACTAGTGACGCAGAGACGTGGCCGTGTCACTGGTGCGACCTCAGATGCATCATCAGAGTGTTGCACAGTAGGCAAGTCGTGAACGCGGCCGAAGTGAACGTTACAAGGCGTGGTCGCGTTGGTTGGCACAAACGAGTGTAGTGGATAAGATCATGAAGACGGCGACGTAGAAGAGAATGAGGCGACGACAATCATCCCGATATTCATTTGACGAGATCACTGCCTCTGGTGACCAGGATCCTGTCTCCTATTCCGCAGATGAGACATCGAGTCGGCATTCGAGCGCAGCGACTGCGGTCCAGGACAGGGGCTTGGCAAGCTAGCTTGAAGCAGCCTAGTTTCTAGTGCCCGACTGCCCTCACGTCAACCACAGTCGTTGGTATGATATCGCAAGAACAGCTTGCTTCGTGCCCACGAACCGTCCTAAACCACTCACGAAGCGCCCAAGATGTCGTTCGTCGCCCGCAGAGCCGCCTCAACGGTTGCAGCTGCGGCATCGAGCGCCGCAAATGCCGCGAAGAAAGCTGCACCAACCGACAACAAAGTCCTGAAATCTGCCGGCCGACGAGATCCTGAGCTATACGTATGTCGCTCCAGCGAAGTGAAGCTCTGCACGGAACACTGATGGTCATATAGATCCTCGCCGCTGTCATGTCAGGCGCCTTTGGTTTGGCTGGCTTCTACTTTGGCCGCAAACCCACCTCTGCCACATCTCAAGCCGAAGTGTCGGTGGCTAACAGCTCGATGCCCTGGCAAGTCGCCCACGAGGATCACGATCACGACGACCACAGCAAGCATTTCAAATATCAATACCACCCACAAGGCGACCGAAGCCAGAACCCCAAGAACGCACCTAGTGCTCTCAACACAGTCGTCATCCCCAACGTGACGTTACCCAAGGTGAGCAAGTCCGGAATGGTTCAGAGAGGCTGTCGAAGCGCTAACACGCAATAGGAGCTTCACGACATGTTCAACAAATGGGGCAAGGATGGCTACTGAAGGGAGGGTCGACATCAAACTTTGCTTGTTGTTATTGCATTATGGTTAGTCGGCAGTAGGGCCACAAGGCAAGGAACGAATTCGACCTGGGCATGAATTGTATATACAGGCAAATTATGCTTCATCACCAACTCTCATCTGGTCTAACAATGCGAGACGCCAGACTGGCCATAGCAATGGAAGTCATCGCGTCGGATCTGGTTGCGACAATGCCCGACTGCAACCCCCCATAAGGACGTAGTGCTGCTTGCCTCGATCTCAAAAGTCTCTCAGCCTACTCTCCGTGTCTCATCGTCAACATCCGCCTTCAAGTGAATATGCTAGGCAGCAGCCAGGTCCTGACTTATGCACCCAACAGTGAATATTTCATATGCGAGTCAATCACTCTGATGAAAAGGTATAAGTAGTTCCTCTGCCCCCAACCTGATCTTCCCCTGCTCCACAAGACCAGGCTGAACAAGACCTCACTGTCGTCATGCCATGGTAGTAATCGCTGCTACCTGGTGGGACGAGCTTCTTCGATGCCTCTCGGATCAGATCCGAAGAAAGACATCGGTCGTCCATCACTGCAATCTTTGTTGCCATGTTGCCTTCGGCTTTCCGCTGTCTTTCGCATGACTCGCTGCCATTTCTGAAGGGTCTGCCGAATGCTCGCTGAAGGTGCGAACCTTGCTGATTGAAATCCTAGTGCTGTGGGAAGACTTCGAGTGCTCCAATCATCTGACCACTCGGGACCGATATTTACCACTCGTATCATGCGTTCCAGAAAATGTCTCTTCTGGGTCACTTTGGGAACCTTGGGTCACGCCAATGCATGGATGTAACATGTGCCACTCTCGCAAGCGGACGAGCTGTACATGTCCTTTAATCTTCGAAGTCGACCATATCACTCTTGTAGAAGTAGCCTTCTGGAAAAGGAGGTGGGTGGAATGGTTTCGGAGCCCTCCAGGCAAATCTCTCCCACGAGACACCTCTTGCTCTCCACTTCTCTTTTCCATGCTCGTCCTCTTCCTTGATGAACAGCTCCGGTTCCCAGTTCTGGACTTTCTTCCATTCGAGGATCATCCTCCTGATGTAACATGTCTCGGCGGCTGGCGTCATATAACGATCTCGAAATGTGCGTTTCGCTTGCTCGGCGATTCGCTCCGCTTCCGCTGGGTGAGAAAGATAGTATTGCATCTTCTCCTGCAAGTCAGACCAGTCGTTTTTGACAGGTATATAGTTCTGCTCGGGACCATGGCCTTTGAGGACTGGATAGAAGTGAGCGACCCAGCCTAGTGGGTTGTGGATGAAGATAGCACTGTTGCAATTGACCAGGTTCCGTAATCGTCCAGACCAGCTGTTTCCTTCTGTGTGAGCTAGGAACTGCCAGAGACAGTGATCTTCCATGTCAACAGGCGCATCTGTCCCATCACCCCAGCGGAAAGAGCGGACGTCACTCCACGACTGATTCTTCGAGTGCTCGAGCAGGGCAGCCCGAACAGGTGACACTTGATCCTTGCCGACGTCGATCTGGCCACGCCACAAGAGCTTCGGCGTCTTCTCGTAGAACGGAATGGTGGTATGCTTCGTCTTCTCGCGGAATGCTCTATACCCACCTACTTTGTCCCAACCCGAAGTCGCCCAGCCGTTGAAGTCGGGCATGACCCAAGTGTGATTGTCGACACTGATCTCTCGCGTCCAGCCCCACACTACGCGACCGGGCCGTGTCGGCGACGGATTCGGATGGTCCATACGGTCGAGCGTGAACTCCACATTTGGTATGGTTCGCGGGTCTGCTACAGCAGTGATTGCGCGATAGATCATCGCAGCGCCATTAAGGTATCTTGTTCGATCGACCACGCCTTGCTTCTCGCCCACGACGTAGAGATCGCCATGGTATATAAGTAGTCGCAACTGGCCATGAGCTTTGTCGGACTCATTCCGCCACAGTTTTATCTGGTCTTGATTGATGCCACCTTGCGATAAGTGGAAGTCGCGAGCTCGTAGAATTTCTGCATACTGCTTGGGAAAGGCAACCTGGATAGATCATCAGTCAGCATTGGCAGTGGGCGCGGGTATATGAAGAGACGCGGACTGACCTCGCACTGCTCGTCCGTGAGTCCTAGATTCCTCTCATCTCGCTCGGTGTCGAATTGCCATTTCAACGATGAGCCTTTGTCTGGCACTGAGGGGAACGAGACACTCCCGACAGGCTCTGATGAGTTCGGTCCCGAGAAAAGCCCGTACAGCAGAAGCAGACTGAGTATCAAGGCGAGCCCTGCCGATGCTCCCGGTCTGCTTCTCAGCAAATCCAAAAGCATCGTTGAATCATGGCATGTTCAATGGTATGTCCGGGAGAAGTGCATTTCTGGTTGAGAAATGCCTTATCGTCGCAGTTTCCGTCGCTGCGCCGTTGCCCAGGCTTATGGGCCACTGAGGGCGGAGGTTGCACTCCATCTCGATAAAGAGCCGCTACTGCAGCACCTAGCGAAGATCGTGCTCCTTAGGCGGTCTTGGGCTGTTACACCCATGTCTCCAATAATCGATGACTGCTCGAGGCGCTGATTGCCCAAAAAGTTGGCTGCTAGGTCGTGCGACAGTGCGAAATAAGCCTGATTTGGAGACAGGTCGTCGCCCTTAACTTTTCGAATCAAAGTTTAGACGTCGCGCCTCTCACGTTCTTTGCGCTCTTGCCGGAAGGAGTACTTCCATTGACATCTCCACTGTCAGCAAATAACATGGCATGATCATGGTGCGAAAGCAGTGGTCCCTCACGAGACGCGGTGGCCGGCAAAAACCACGACCAATTCATTCCAGTACGTGCCTGCGGGATCTTGTCATGACTGAGCCTGTTCTACGCAGCATGAAACTGTGCTCAGCCAAGGTATATTCACTGTACTTGCCATCTGCACTGTGCAGTAAGGCTAGGGAGAGTACACAGTGTATCGGCTCGGACACCGTAATAGACTGACTGGGATCAACTGCCCCTCCGTTTAGCCTTGGATTTGACATCTAGAGAATTGAAATGCCCGTGAGACAGCGCCGCAAAGCAGTAGGTTGGCTCCAACAACATCTTCATGTCTACATGAACCGAGAACCATGCACTTTCCACAGCGACTTCAATCTCCATGTCACAGTCCTCCTGAGGAGAAAGAAAGACAGCCCCGCCAGTGAACGTACCTTCCATGTGAACGCTTACGACGGACGTCTCTATGACGGTAGGTGCGGAAATGTTACTTCTTGCCGTCGTCCTTCAGGCCAATCTAAGATCAGATCCTCTTTTGCGATCTTTCTCTACTACCACCAAATTCTGCCTCTCCTAAGAATTCATGCGCTATTCCTACGACTGAGTATGAGTTCCTCAGGTCTCAATGGACAATGTACCGTCGAACTTGCCTCAGCCAACCTTGCGCCCCTCATCGGAACACTGGGATGGATCGAGGCCGCCATCGCAATCAAGATTATGATTGTGCGCTTCTTTGTACAGAAGTTGATCGTCGGCAAGATTGACTGGAACGATTGGGTCATGCTACTTGCTCTACTTGTCGGGCTCACGAACACCTGTCTCATCACAGTCGCCCTGCAACATGGGCTCGGAAAGCACTAGGTATGCTTGACAGCACGACAAGGACTTCTGGCCATGAAGTGGTCCTTCATCGCTCAGCCTCCCGGCATCATGAGTCCAGCGATCTCTCGAATCGCCTTCTGCATGTACATGCTTAAGTTTGTCGGAACCAGTAAGCTATTACGCAACATCTTCTACGCCATCATCCTGACGCAGCTGCTCGTCAACATCGGTACCATGATCGAGGTACTGATCTCGTGTCAACATTACGCGATGCTCTGGGATCACAACATTGCTGGGCGATGTTGGAGTCCGAAGATCCAGGCATATGTTGGCTTCTTCCAGGGCGGTAAGTAGTCGATCCCGTATTTGACCACGATCTAACATAGTCACAAGCCTGGAACTCACTGTCTGACCTCATCCTAACGATTCTGCCCATCCTTATCGTCAAAAAGCTCAACATGGAAGTTCGAACGCGAGTCGTATTGTGCTTTATCCTCGGGTTGTCCTTCTTTGCCATGATCGCCTGCATCATCAAAACCATTGAATTGAAAGCACTCGGCGACCGGGTCGACTTCACCTACAGCACCAGTCTTTTTGTCGTATGGTTCACCGTCGAGCAGTATGTCGTCATTATCGCAGCCTCCATACCTACAATTCGCCCTCTGGCTCTTCGACTGTCTCAACGATGGAAGAACCGCTCCACTCCAATTAGCTCTACGCCCACAGTGCGCCCACCAGCTGGGCCAGGGCAGCGCAACGCAAGTTTTCGGCCAGAGCGTAACAGCAGGTCAGGCCAGCCACAGACGGATGGGAGCGGCTCGTCTAAAGAGTCTCACATATCGGAGCACGATGCATCTCAAGAACCACGTTCATCCTCCGGAAATGCCCATCGCATCGGATCAGCGCTCTCCTGGAGCTCTAGCGCCGCCTCGCCCCGGATCGTGCGGCTCAATACACCAACCGCGCCTTCAAGAAATGACTCGGACAATTGCGTCTCGGCTATTCTGATGACGAAACTTGACCTCGAGCCTCCCTACATCCATCAGTCGCCAAAGAGTCCGCCTCCAGCAGGAACGATTCGAAAAACCATATCCATCGTCATAAGTTCAGAGAGCAGGGACGACGTCTCAAATCCGCCCACAGGCATGCAGACTGTGGTGTCTACGGGGCCTGTCACGCCTGCTGCGGCACCTATCACCATCGAAAAGGACTCGTGGCCGTGGGAAAAGGAGTTCTGACGGGAAGTCTTATGGCGATATAACAACGCAGTATGTGTATCAGTCAAACGTGTGCAGAGTATCTAGTGGCACATGCGACCTCATGCTTAGTTAGACTAGTTTGCCCTCCTGTCAATCACCTTTCGTGCAGTCTGTCATTTACACTGCCTGGAGCGGCTCTGCGACTTACACCTCGCCTCCCAAACTGTCGAGCTCCTGAGAACTGTCTTAACACACCTAATGGCACTTGTCACCTGTCCAGCAGTCCTTGCTTCTCCTCCTCAACCCCTTCCAGCCGATAACCTCTGAGTTCTCTTGCTCTCTCAAGTCCTTCCCTTTCCTCCCTTTCCCTCTCCAGATCCCTCATCGTGACCTCAACCACATCCTCATCCTGACTGCCATCCTCCCACTGATCCTGATTCGGACCTAAATCGAGCCGCCAGACAAGCCAGCGACGCAGCCACCGTTCCACTCCGCTGAGCAGCAAGGTGACAACGAGGATGAGGAGAAGGAATGATCCAATGTACGCCAGGGCGTGTGCTGACTCGGTATTGGAGAGAGTGTAAATATAGTTGGGGCTGTTGAGGGAGGTCGCGCTGACGGGCAGATTGGTGGGTGATGTTGGTACTGATGGGGGGATGGGTAGAGGTTGACTTCGTTGCGATGCGGAGGTTGTTGATGGAAGGACTGAGTTGATGAGTTGAGATGGAGAAGTGGTTGGAAGCGGCGCCATTGTGGTCGGCGGGCCAGAAGGAGGCTACTCTGGGGACAACGAGCCGGCGGCAAGCCTGACAATCCTGGCGGCTCCGGGCAACACAGGTCAGTCCGAATTCAACCCCGTGTACTGATGGGAGGAGGAACTTTAGCGTTGTTTCTGGTCTTCTACTCTGGCTGGGTCACCCACTTACGGTTGGTGAGACCAGAGAGCAGGTGTGGTGTCTATCTAAACGATGCTTGGGCCGCATGAGTTCAGCCTCTGAGGCGGTTGCCGACGAAGTTCTCGAGTGTCTAGTCCCGATGGATCTGATGTTGTTCGATCTGACGCTGCGGAGGAAATAATGCGCTTGCCAATCGACAACGAGCCCGACGCAATCCGGGGTAAATGCAAGGGTTTTAAGCAGAGTTTCCGCAGTACTTGCCCACAAAGAAAACCATACAAAGGCAGTCACGCTTCCTGCAAGGACGCAAGAGCAATTTGTACGCAAGAATCGTGTAAATGTAATTCGGAACTTGATTGCGGTGCTCTTCCCTTACCTTGAGCCATCCATGGATGCTTACACCTTTTGAATAGCAAAGCGTCGCGACATACCTGCGGGAAAACTCACCAATTATCCGCGGGTATCTGGGGCCCAAAAGTAGGTCCTAGAATAGCGACAAAGCATTGTATGAGCCTCCGCCGCATCAGAATAAGCAGCGACGAATGATCGTCGAATCGCTGCGATGATGACGGATAGGTCGTGGAGGCGTCTGACTGCATCTGATGCGGAAGCAACTCAGGCTTGCAGCAATGCCCTGGTCTTGGCTTTCTGCCCTGCGAGCGGGCTTTGCAGCGGAAACAGAGGAGGAAAGTGCGAAATCGTTTTCGTTCGTGCATTGCTGTTGAGGCCTGCAGGCACGACCACAGAATCTTGAAGATGTCGATGATTGTTGAGTCAAGCAGAATGATCCTTTTACGGCTGCAATAATGCGGTTGTTGTGGACTGGCCGTCGCATGGGTGCGGATGAAGATTCATGGCCAGGTGAGCAGATCTGCGATCTTGTCTTCGCAACCTATCATACTCGTGATGGTCATAGCTTCTGTATCTCTGACCAAACACCTGTGGCTGAGATAGGTACTACCCTTCGCTACTTACAGTCCTGTTGATAAGGATGAGTGCCAGCTCAGCAGAACCTGAAGTTTGGGGCAGTAAACCATACGTGCAAACAGAAAGCTTGGCACATGGCCCTTCTCTCTGTTGAAGAAGCAGTGTAAGGACCATTGCTATAAGCGATCACAAACCTACGCTCGGAGCAGCCAGTCGTAAGTTCCAGGAAGAATGGCATCGCTATCTATAGCCACATGTGGGCAGATTAATGTAAATGTCGCAATCCCTAACAACAAGTTCCAAACGCTCGCTCCATTGCCGTCAGTCCATTAACACCTTGCGGAACAACACCAAGCATATCCGCCTATCCTAATTGGTTCTCAACCCATCGCCGACTCTGCATCCACCAGCTATCCTTGCCTACCAATGACTGCTCCTTGATCGTCCTTATGCTCTCCACAGGACGCTGACTTCTGATCTGCTCCTCGCCGACCCACACACCGTGAAGTCCATACGGTACACGCTGTGGTAGAATGACCTTTCCGACCACAGTCTTCATATCTCGAGCATCAATAATCCAAAGCTCTGACCTGGCGTCTGGCTTCACGTCACCGTTCTCGTCCAGCCCAGTGAGCTCGTCGAACACGTACGTAAGGAGCCACCCATCGTCTTCATCAACTGAATTTGCTCTTGGCACAAACCGCGGTTCCTGGGCATAGTGCCCGTATGGTAGTTGGAACATCTTGACTGGGTCATTTGGATCTGTGGAATCAAGAATCTGCTGCACCGAGCGTGTGTCTGCGACACCAGTAACAGGTTGCACAGTCGGATCCTTCTTTCCACGCCGAATGAGTTCTTGAGCATTAATCTTCGCTAAGCAGTCAATCTTGGCAGCCTTGCCCAGCGCTGCGCTGAAGCCGCCAATCGATGTCGAGCAGCCATAGACGTACTTGCATTCGCTCATAGCGACATCGTCCCGTGTAGATGGGAACTCAAAATTTATGGTGGAAAGCGCGAACTGGTGAGTGATTTTGTTCTGCGTCGACGGCGAGGTCATGTCGAATTGGTAGTAGTAGAGCCGACACTGCTCATCCTCCAAGCTGAGCCCCGTGACAGGCTCGGGAATGGGAAGATTCCCAGCGGTGAAGACCATAGAGGCGGACATAAGCCGGCAGGCGAGCATGTTCACGGCATGAATCTGGATCTCGCCCGTATTCTTGGAGATTGAGATGTCTTCCCACGTATTGGCCGTGTGAAAGATGCAGCAAGCTTTGGTCTCAAACCAGCGGACAAGTGAAGGGTCGTGCCGTGGGAAGACGCCAAATCGGGCGGTTTTGTGCGGGTCGTAGGAAACAACAGGCTTGTTGACAAGCATGTTCGTTGGATCTAAGCTGAGTGGCAGATCCATGATGACTGAGGTCCGCTGGCCAACGCCAATTCGTGCATCATCTTCGCGGAGGTGATGCCGGGAACCTTGGCGTTGAGAAGGCGAACAGGTGTCTCGAGAGGTGTGGTTGGAACGGCAGCTGGGTGAGTCGCCGGGACGATTGAGTAGTGGACATAAGGTGGGGCGAAGGTCGAATGGAAGAGAATCATTTCGCCGGTCCTGGGGTCTACTCTGGGATGCGCCGTTGTATATTCCTTCAGGAAGCTAAGCACGCCGTCGCCTCCAAAGCCGGACCCTTCTTCACCGCCTGCCTCTCCTTCCACTTTCTTGCCATTATACCATCCGACCGTCTCCAAGCCTGGGAGAGCTATCCGCATGGGCGGTCCGGACTCGCAGGTTGCTAACGCACGCCCGTCGTGAAAGACGACTGCAGTATTGGCGACGGATATCCGTTTGATTGCTTGTGATGACCCGGCAGGTGTGACAGGAACACCAATATCAGCGTTCTGATTATGGTTACAGTGATGAGATATAATGTAGCGAGTGGATTGACAAGCGTTGCTATGCTTGGCAGGATCGGTCTTCGTAATGAAGGCGATGAGATTGTGGAAAGATATACATCAGTCAAAATGTATTGGTTGACGAATTCTGGCCTCATACCGGTGGCTGTCTTGGTGAATGAGACTCCTGCGATCATGCCATCGCCATCAAAGAAGTGAGCATCTCGGCCCAGGTCTTCGTTCGAGACCGGATTGCCCCCATTGCGGACGTACTCGCCACCATGAAGCTCCTCTGGTATGCAGCCCGAGAAGTCACACGGCGTCAACGGCAGCGTCCGTGTTATCGGTGCAAAGTTGCCCTCGAGGTATGGATGGCCATCGTCTCGTTTCCTCTTCTTGCTGTCCGATCCAGAGCTTGAAGGTCGGCGTTGAACAAGCATAGCTCCTGACCAGCTCCAACCATTGTGAACGCCAGATGAATGAGAGTCGACATTGTGCCTCTTCAATGCCATGTTCGTCAGCGATCTGCCAAGGTACGTGCCAGCATGTGAACGTCTCCCGACCAACGTCCAACTGCCGAAAGACCTCAATGTAGCTGCCAGAGTGAAAGATCATCCACAGTTCGTGGCAAATGGAGCTTCCTCATATGTCTACCGGCATCGCGGATGTATGATTTCATGCAAATCTCTCAGTATAGTCTAAAATTTCATATGGAAATAGCGTGTTGTCAATCGATGACTTGCTGGATGTACAAACTTGGATGGTCGCGAAGGTACCTAGGTAGCAACAAGGCATGTCTCCGCCTCGCCTATGTGTCGTCATACCTAAGTTCCGCATTAGTTTTGGGCATGTGCATTTTCAGCCACGCTCCGCATGTGATGTCCGCAGATCGAGTTGCTGCTTTAACTACTATTTCCACGTTTTCCTCGTATGCTGTGGCGGTGCGGGCGTTGAGGAAGTTCGGCAATCTACGAAGACCCACCCGAAATCCTGTCCAGCACTTTGTTGAATGTTGTAGCTACATTGCCACGGTGGAGGTAGAACATTGTACATACGGGATCCGTTTTCTATGCCTTTGGTGGCCTCACGATCTTTTCAACTTTTCTGTTGTTCCGCAGAGCAATCGATGAGCTATCATGGCCAACGCTCGTGCTAAAAGTCTATGACCTCAACGAATCAGATCGGATCCTCATCCGCACTCGAGGAGCTCAATGTACGATTATGCGGCAGTGTAAGAATCCTCCCACCAGAGCAGTATGTGGATACGGCGAGGCTGACCCCTGATAGTCATGCTGTCTACACAATACCCGTGGCGGTAGTACTGTCGGTCGTGTTGAAGCCTTTGTTGACACGGCTTGATCTGTACAAGATCTGCTTTCTAATCACAGTCGCTGTGATTTACACGATACCATGGTAGACCATTCTTTCTCACATGCTAGAAGCTAGGTTGATCGAATCGCAGGGACTCTTATCTCATTCGTTCTGGCATTTGGTGTATGCGATATACAATCTATTGCATGGCTGTAGCTGACCGTTTGAATAGCATATCCTCCAGATGTCATCCTGGGACCAAAGCTGTTTAGCATTCCTGCAGAGGAGCTGTTCTTCTTCGTGATACAGACCTACATCGTAAGCTTGTTTGCGGCCCAGAAACAATACTGTACTGATGAGATACAGACCACCCTACTGCAAATTTTACTGAACAAGCCTGTGCTTTTTGCTGTTCATCTGCAGAATGAAGCCCTTCCAGCCTCGAGGCATCTGCTCGTCAAGCGTCGCACTGGACAGACTATCTTTGCTCTACTCATCGGTCTATCGCTACTTCCTCAATTTCGCAATGCCGAAGGCACATATATGAAGCTCATCATTCTATGGCTACGCCTGTGATGCTCTTTCTGTGGACTATGTCATATCAATTGCTACTTAGTTTGCCCTGGAGCAAGACCTGGCTCGTCATTTGGCTGCCGACGCTCTATCTCTGGATCGTTGACACTCTGGCGTTGAAGCGAGGCACGTGGAGCATTACCTCCGGGACCAAGCTAGGCATTCATGTCTGGCCACACCTTGAGATTGAAGAAGCAGTCTTTTTCCTGGCTACAAACACGCTCGTCGCCTGGGGTTGTTTCGCTTTCGATAATGCTGTGGCAATCCTCGATGCATTTCCCGATCAATTTTCAAGCGTCCCCGGAACACCTTCGCCACTCCTGTTGATCAAGAGCTTACTCTTGCCGACCAGCAGCTACGACCAGAAGCGTTTGCAGGGAATTCAGAAGGGACTCGATGTGTTAGCAAAGAAATCGAGAAGCTTTTATCTTGCTTCTGGGGTCTTCAATGGCCGACTGAGGATCGATCTTATCTTGCTGTATGGATTCTGTCGTGTTGCCGACGATCTCATTGACGACGCACCAAACGCAAAGGAAGCCCAAGACTGGATCGACCGCTTCACCGCGTATCTGAATGCGGCCTATGCCAAGTCCGAATCGAGACAGGGGCTACAGACCAGCTTGGAGGGCTTTCCTCCTGATGCCCGATCTATACTGGAGCTTCTCCCAGTAGATCGACTACCACCGAAGCCACTGTATGAGCTCCTGGAAGGTTTCAAGATCGACCTCCGCTTCAGTACGCAAGATGAAAACCCGATCAAAACCTCTGCAGATCTCAAAAGATATGCCACATGCGTAGCAGCCACTATTGGAGAGCTCTGCCTCAGCTTGGTGTACTATCATGACACAGACCACGCCTCTGGTGATGACAAGAAGGAGAGATGCATTGCGGCTGGCGCACGTATGGGTCGAGCGTTACAATACACGAACATTACCCGAGATGTCACGACAGATGCGAAAGTCGGCCGATGCTACATTCCCGCCGAGTGGCTGCGGAATGGATCTTTGAAGACCACGTCGGAGACTGATATTGTTCAACTTCGCAAGCGCATTCTGGACATGGCTTTCAGCATCTACTCGGAAGAGCGAGACGCTATCGAGGACCTGCCGTCGTACGCGAGGGACGGTATCAGAGTTGCTGTGGAAAGCTACATGGAAATCGCCAGAGTCCTTGACCACCGCATCCAGCATGGAGAAAATCTTGATTTCGCGGGCGGTGGCAAGAAGGGCAAGGCAAGTGTACCAAAGCTGCGGCGGCTGATCGTTGGATGGCGTGCAATGAGTGGTATTCGAGGCCATACAGGTGATAGATAATGGAACGTGTTGGAGGACGTTTGGATAAAATATGCTTGTAGATATTCACTGCCTGAGATCCAATCTCCGCACTGCTCGACTAGATCTGAAAGACGTCGAGTGCTCTTTCTTCATGCCACAACTCAGCATGGTACTACAGGATTGCGCGTTGAGCATATATCTGACCAGAATTCGAACTCCCAAGCGAATGCAACATGTTGTTGAACTGTTGAGGATGCTGCAGTGAATTATGCGCTAAGCTTTATCATGAGCTCATCTACAGGTATTTTAGGTGCCTGGCCTGGTTCCTACCCGCGTGCATGCGCCACACCTAACCAGCAGCCGCAGTTGCACGTGCATTCTATAAACGCAAGTGTACAAGCATCGGACTACTGACCTTGTCCACAGCTCTGACAGCTTCGACTTGAGAGTACAGTCGTCAAAGCGTCCATGGACAAAGCCAAAAGAGTCGTGATCGTCGGTATGTTGACCGACCTCAGACTCACAGCGCTGGACTGATCATCCTACAGGTGCGGGCGCTGGCGGCATTGCCAGCGCTGCTCGTCTTGCAAAAGCTGGTCTGCACGTAACAGTGGTCGAGAAGAACGACTTCACCGGCGGGCGATGCAGTCTAATACACAGAGATGGTCACCGCTTCGACCAGGGCCCCTCTCTGCTCCTACTGCCAGACTTGTTCCGAGAAGCTTTTATTGACCTCGACACAACCCTGGAAGATGAGGGCATAGATCTGCGGAAGTGCGAGCCAAACTATAACGTGTGGTTCGGCGATGGTGAATGTATCGAATTGTCAACCGACATAGCACGCATGAAGACGACCGTTGAACGATGGGAGGGCAAGGACGGCTTCAAAAGATACCTGGCGTGGATGCAGGAGGCGCACAATCACTACGAGGCAAGTGTAGAACATGTCCTGCGCAAAAATTTCTACAATCTTCTCAGCATGGCCAGACCGAGCTTCTTAAAGCATATTGTTGAGCTGCACCCCTTCGAAAGCATTTGGGCCCGAGCATCACGATACTTTTGGACAGAGAGGTTAAGACGAGCATTCACTTTCGGAAGCATGTACATGGGCATGAGCCCGTTCGATGCGCCAGGCACATACAGTCTGCTCCAGTACACCGAACTAGCCGAGGGCATATGGTATCCCGTCGGCGGTTTCCAGAAGGTGCTGGCTGCTCTTCAGCAGGTCGCACAACGCTTCGGTGTTGACTTCAGGTTATCAACAACTGTGTCGAAAGTCAACGTGGACCAGAACTCGGGAAGAGCTACCGGCGTGACACTTGACAACGGGGAAGTGCTCCCAGCAGACATCGTCCTCATGAACGCGGATCTTGTGTACGCTTACAACAATCTTCTACCACCATCAAGCGAGGCAAAGTCATTGTCAGCAAAGCCTGCCTCGTGCTCGAGCATCTCTTTCTATTGGTCCATCGACAAAGTGATACCAGAATTACACACACACAATGTCTTCCTAGCCGACGATTACCAGGACAGCTTCGATGACATCTTCAAAAAGCAGCAGATTCCGAAGGAGCCCTCGTTCTACGTTAACGTTCCTTCCCGAATCGATCCCTCCGCTGCACCTCCTGGCAAAGACACGATCGTAGTGCTGGTGCCCTGTGGTCATCTCCTTGAGGGTGAAGCTGATCGCGGGATTTCAAGCCAAGATTGGGACGGTATGGTGAGCAGGGCAAGGAATGCCGTACTAGACACGGTCCGATCGCGGACGGGCGTTGAGCTGCAACGATATATCACAAGCGAGTCTATCAACACCCCTGCCAGCTGGAAGGAGCGGTTCAATCTCGACAAGGGCGCCATTCTTGGACTCAGCCATTCATTCTTCAACGTCCTGAGCTTTCGACCGAAGACCAAGCACGCCACGATCAAGAATCTCTACTTTGTGGGTGCTAGTACTCATCCTGGGACAGGAGTGCCCATTGTACTTGCTGGAAGCAAGATCACGACTGGCCAGATTCTGGACGACTTAGCAATGCAGAAACCATGGACTCATGGCAGTCATTCACGAAGGCGAGTCAGCAGTCTCGACAAGGAGGGAACGATCCCTACCGATCTCAGTAGACTCATTCTCGTGGGCCTGGCGATATTTGTGCTACTGATCTACATGCTTGCTGTTACAGTGCAGTAGTGTCTAGGCGCATGACCTTTGACTCAGTCTGCCTTGGGCTTACAATGCAGCTTGAGTCAATCTGATGGCACTTTCCAAGGCCTAGACCATCATGGTCTCTCACAACTCGGCTACCGTGTACGTCGTGCCATACAGTGATGTTGCTGTAGGCTTTGTGCATTGGGCGATGAATAACATGACTCGATGCTGCGAACATCTGTTCCTGGCTGACTCGAGTCTGTGGCGGTGCGTAAAAGCAGCACGACCAGCCTCGTAAAGTTGACCGTGGCAGTATCGACATCTCAAAAACCTCCGTGTTAAATCTTATTGGCTGGAGGATGGCGGGAATCGCGGACCTTTGCAGCATGCACGGTGTCATCATCGAGTCTGATCCCCATCTGAACTTTGAACTACGAATCTTTCGTCAACTTCAAACTTCAGCAAGACGTCAACGCAACAATTTTCCGATGCCATCATATCAGCCCGGACCTGCCGGCCACGGCGGTCTTCGGGCTCACATCTGGCGCGTGGCGAGTCTATGATTCAGCTTGATGAAGTTTTCAGCGGCTTTCCGGCGGCTGAATGGCAACAGCGCAACAGCTTCGGAAAGCATGGTAACAGCAACCGTCTTGGCTGCCGACCTGCCACAACGCGAGGGAAACCGACGCTCGATCGATAGATGAATCGGAGCTTCGCAAATTTTCATGTAGAGCAGAATAAACAAGTAGAGAATGGTCAACTGACATCTCCGCTTCTCCATCTGTAAGGACAATGCAATCCATGCAGAAGTCGTACAAAGCACATTCTGAGGCATCGAGATTCATGCAGCGATCTACACTAATTGTAAGATAGCACTTCAAGAGGCAGCGCGGCTACTGGTGGCGTCTTCTGCGTCACGAAGTCTGATAACGGTCATGTCAGCGTATGTCCTTTCGATGTTGGGTTGACATCATCACTCTAGGAGTCGATGCCAAACGCGTATGCCGGCAGTCACACGCACCTGAACTTTGACCATACAGTGAAGCCATTTCCGCAGCCACTAAAGTCAAGATTGACCAAGCTTCTTGGTATCGATCTTGATCAATGCTTGGTTCATGCCCGATCTGTCCTTGCTCATCGATGCAGTGCTGCACCTCTGAGGGGCGACCACGGCAACGGCGGCTACTGACGCAGTAGACACATGCTTTTTCCAGTATAGCAAACTTCGAAAAAATCCTGTGCATCCGGAAGATGATGGTGTTCCGACGTCATCTGCGGTGAAGACCATGCCTTTGATTGTTTATATGCTGCTCGTCTTCTGAGCTGACCTCGTGCCTATCTGACAAGCAGCGATACAGTACAATCCCAGCATTTGCCTGCACACCCATCCGAATCCCTCACGATGTCGGCGCTTCAGAAGAGAAACGATGCAGTGGACATCAATGGTTTCACCAACACGGTGACAACCGACAACCACATTACCAGTGCTGGTAGCAGCTGGGTCAGTCATCCTGCCGTGACCCGTGGGTTTTCATGACTAACTTTTAACAGTACTTCGCTGTCTGCGCGATCATGGGTGTTGCAGCTCTTGCGTTCATGGGTCTCTCGTTCAAGAAGCACCGCAGTCAGCGCATCTTCCACTACATCACCGCCGCCATCTGCATGGTTGCCTGCATTGCATACTTCGCCATGGGTTCCAACCTGGGATGGACTGCCATCCAGGTTGAATTCCCTCGCTCCGACCCCAAGGTCAGCGGCTTGATGCGCCAGATCTTCTACGTCCGCTACATCGACTGGTTCGTCACGACACCTCTTCTTCTGGCTGACCTGCTCCTCACTTGTGGTCTGCCCGGACCTACCATTCTCTACGTCATCCTCGTCAACGAGATCATGGTTGTTACCGGTCTTGTTGGTGCCCTTGTAAAGTCAACCTACAAGTGGGGTTTCTTCACCTTCGGAACCGTTGCATTCCTCTTTGTCGCCTACAGCGTCGTCATTGAGGGCCGTACATACGCCAAGGCTCTCGGCGCAGACATTCACAAGACTTACATCCTCTGTGGTGTCTGGACCATTGCTCTCTGGTTCCTGTACCCCATCGCCTGGGGTCTGTCTGAGGGCGGCAACGTCATCAGCTCCGATGGCGAGGCTGTTTTCTACGGTGTTCTCGATATCCTTGCCAAGCCCGGCTTCGGTGCTCTGCTCATTTGGGGTCACCGCAACATCGACCTGGCAAGACTTGGTCTGCACTTCAAGGACCCTGAGGATCACGCCAACTCGATCGGAAACGAGAAGCACCGCAATGGAGCCGACTCGCGCAGCCACGGCGTCACATCTGGCACTGACGCGACCACTACAACAAACACCACTACTACCACCCACGTGTAAGGATCTGCATTAGCTGTTGCTCACTGAGTTATGCACTGTGCCGAGATGGGATTCGAAGTGTCATCGAAGGTCACTCACGGCCACTATCTTGTCAGGGAGATACCCATCTTCGCGCGCGAATGAGCCGTGCCTTCAAGCGTTTTGTTCTTTTTGTTGAGGAGTCATGTTTGCATGATTGGTGTATAGGCAGAGGATGTGTAGTTGAACACGGTGTCGAGACTTACCGGTAACGAAACAATTAATTAATAAAGTATAACATCTTGAGACTGAAAGATCTGTTTCCCGATTATAGCAGTAGTGTGCTTACTGGAAATGGACGGTCTATCACACTGCTGTTGGTCGTCGCAAGATTACCTGGCTCTCGCATCCATGGCTGATATACGTGTAAGTATAGTAGTACTGGTGTTGGTAACGATCGTGCTACCAACTGCAATAAAAGCTTCGGTGTGTTCGCAGTACGTACTTAGGTAGGATGTACTGTGTGCGCCGTTGCTAACAGTGGGCAGCTGCATTGCAGCCCTGCTGAAACGCGAATTTTCTGCTGTGACCCTCGCGCTTGCAGTGGTCGCGTGCCTATGGCTCACGTCTCTTTCAGCAGGTACTCAATTGCCAACGCGCCTGCCGCAGAGCAGCACCGCATTGGCTCTTGAGCACGCTCAAGGGCCGATGTCTTCCATCTCATCCAGGACGCGTCGAATCGCCTGCGTTCTGTTGTGTTTTCGACTGCATCGAGCCTCTCCTTCGATGACATTCCCAGCCATTTCTTTTGCTATCTACAATGGCGTCATAAATCACTTTGGCAGCACTCGACATCTGTCCGGTCTGGACCAGCCGACATTGGCATGACAGCCAGCGCTTGAACCTTGTCGGAGATCAGGGGTAAGAACCAATCGTAAGTCTATGCGCGAGGAGGCATGGATCGGGGGATTTGCCGACATGTTCAATGATTGGACTGGCGCCGCCACAAGCGCACAAATCTCCAGCATCAATGCCGGGATTTTGATGTGAGATTAGGGTACGGGAAATTTGATGCCTATCAAAACAGTATGGTCTGGTTTGAGTCTGGTGCAGAATGCACGGCAGAGTTGACTGGTCGACCAGGTCTGGAGACGAGAGCAATCTCGCTGTTCAGTGTCCAAGACGATGGTTTGCGACCGCACGCGACCTCGCTGTCAATTGAAGAGCCCAAGCGTCTGCACGCTCGCTCAGGGTTTCAGCGACTCTCATGCAGGTTGACCGATTTCTCTCTTGCTTCCATCAAGCTTCAGCGTGCATTCGTTCCACTTTGCTGCAGCCAGAGTAGCACCAAGCAGATTTTTGCTCGTGTCGGCCATATGTCGCTCGCTCAACAGACAAATCTGACCAAATTGCGATTGCGATAAGAAGAACTCGCAAGCACGAGACGTACTGAGCTCTCTTTCAGTCGCACACGATCAAACCACGCTCACTTACCACCGCGATCCACGAGCCGCGCTCGTTGTCCGTACCACTCTCTTTGCGCGACTGCGAGATCAGTCGTAGATCAGCCGGAACTGCGCTCAGCGCAACGAGCGACACCCATACACAGCGCAACGAGCGCATACCATCACAAGCAACCCATATCTGCACACAACATTCCTTGAGCACAAAGAACCAAGATGCGCTCCAGCTCGACTTTGCTGGCCATGGCCGCACTCGCATCTGCAGCGCTTGCCCAAGGCCCACCAGGTGCTGCCAGCTGGCAAGACGCCTCAGGTACCGCGGCGCCTCAATACACTGCCACAGTCACCATGACACTAGAAGTTGTCCACACGGTCACCAGCTACGATCTGCCGGCTTCGACGGCCGCTCTCAGCAACGGAACAATCTCGGCATCGAAGTCTGCTGAAGTGACCATAATCCCATCCGTTGCACCTACCTCAACTTCGAGCCCGAGTCCGAGTTCGCTACCTGCAACAGGTGGCGCTGAGGCTGGGAGGATGGCCCAGACAGCTGTCGCCATCTTCGTTGCTGGTGCTGCTGCTTTCTTCAGCCTGTAATGCTGGATCCCATGCCGTTACCTCTGGTGGCGCTGGCTATTGCGCTCGAGCAGCTGCATCGTCGCCACCAGCGTCGCATCTTCAACCTTGGACGCAGCCGTCCAGGTCACATTCGTTCATCAACTATTTCAATTCTTCTGTTGATACCCCAACTTTTTACCATCACCACCTACAACCAGCTCCTGTGGAGCTTGAAAAAGTCTCTTGGAGAGACTTGTCGTTTTGAAGCCAGGAGAGGAGACAGCAACAGTCCTTTGGACATGGTTCAATGTCCAAGAACCAAGCTACTGACTTCCGTTGCTGTCACCCAGGAGAGATTCTTGTTGATATGGATTGAAGGACAATACTCTGTGGAGGGTGAAGACCAGAAACCACACAAGGCAATGAAACTTGTACATTGAGAACGATTCAACGACTGCTTGTAGATTTCAGCGAGCACTGTCAGCGTTCTTACGATTTGAAAGTTGCAGAAGATGATTGAATTGGAAGCAGTTCTTTTGGGCTTGGGTGAGAGATATGGATAGATTATTCTTGTCAATAATTGAGATAGGGAAGGAGAAAGTCTTATAAACATCGCTGTTCTCTACCTGCATAAAAAGTCAAGGAGGGACTCCCTTACCTGATCTCCTTGCTCGTCTGCTGTGAGCAAGGAAGGCCGGGGCGCCGATGATGAGGCCCGTGAGTTGACCCACCGAACGCGTGGTGCGGGCCGCTTCGGCAGCAACCCATAGTCTTCTCCAACTCTTGACGCGTGCGCTGAGGACAGTGATAACTTGCTCTACGCCTCGCACCTTGCACCAGGGCTCCTTTGCTGCTTCAACAGGAGTCGCGTGACGCAGGACGAGAGACGCGCCTGCTACAAAGGGACCCCCGGAGGGTGTCTCTCGTGATTGCAGCCATTATCGCGACACGCCTTCTGTTCGTACGGTAATCAGTGAGCTGCTGCTACTGCTCACGCGACACCCTTGGTTTCGGGACTCTGGTCTCATCTATACAAAAAGCCTAGTACGATGGCAGCGCCATCCTCGCCCATCCTCCCACCCATCCCAGACATAGACCCGGACGCAACACCAAAGGCAAAAGTGCGACCCAAAAGGCCAGGCTTGAATACCCGCAAGCGAACCTTCGACACGCTTCGCTCATCGTCTCTACCGCCTTCAGCGGCATCATCAGATCCAGCACTATTCTCAGGGGATGAAGACTCCGCTGCCGAGAACTATGGCCAAGAGAAGAGAAAGAAGAAAATCATGTATAGCGGCAGTTGGTTTAGTCACATGACGCGGGCTGGGAAGGACGAGCGGAAGCGGGAATTCAGGAGAAATGTTGACTCGGGTGTCTTCATGGCGGGTGAGGAGAGCGACTTTCCGAGTAGTGATAGCTTGGGTAGTCTGGAGAATGAGCTCATCCGAGATATGGATAAGCGGCAGCAGGTCCGTCAGGTATCGAGGTTTGATGAGTTCGAAAGGGTGCAGAGCTCGAGAATGAAATGGCAACAATCGCTCTTGAGTCTCGAGGACGACACCAAAGGAGTCGTGGAAGGGGACATGCCGTCCTCACAGCACGAGCAGGTCAAGACAATTGTTCGCCAGCACCTAGATGCGGGCAACGAGGACGTTGAGCTCTCAAGAATGGACCTCACAGATCTGCCGCCTGAGATCGCAGACTTGGCGACCCTATCCACCCAGCCCAATCTTGTTCCTGGCATGCTCGACATTGGTCGACCCTTCGAGACGAATCTCAAGCTCATGCTTTGCAACAACCTCATTCGAGACTTTCCGACGCCAATCCTCGATGTCAGTAACCTCAAAGTGCTCAGTCTGCGGCAGAACAAGCTCAGATCGATTCCAAGCAGCATCCGACGGCTGACTAGCCTCGTCAGACTCAGCGTCGGAGGGAACAAGCTGTCATACCTTCCTTTCGAGATCCTGGAGCTAGCGCATTTCCACAGATTGAGAGTACTCCATGCAGACCCCAACCCTTGGGATTTTGCCGGCATCGATCAGGACGCTGAATACAGAGGTTGTGAAGTTGTCAGCACTCGCGAGCCACGTCCTTCGGTGTCAGTAGCACCGACTGGCGCAATGTCTCTGACAGAATCAACGCTTCGGGCTCTGTATCGCCTGTTCCCCCAAGCCACGCCAAACCTGGACTTGCTGTCACTCATGCCGCCAGATCGCACGCCCGACGCAGTTCTATCGTCTCTCGCTAGCCTCGAGGCCGCGCAACATGACGGGCCGCGCCTTTGTACCCTTTGCCATCGGCCCTTCGTTCAGCCTGGCGAAGAGTGGCTGGAGTACTGGGCAATTGGGACTCCCCAGAAAGTCTTTGTGACTTCTGAGACGGTTCGATATGATGGCCGTTGTTTGGTTCCTTTCAGAAGGATGACCTGTGCAAAGAATTGCAGAGGTGAAAAGAATGCTTGGGTCGAGGACTGGCAGCAGTGGCATCCTCGTGGCGTTGAAGCTGGTGAGATCGACAAAGATTGAGGCTGCTCAATCGAACGGCGTCTGGTCCTTTATTGATCATTGATCATGTTTGGGTCAGTCCACGACGCAACCAAGGTACTGAACTTCAGGATCAAGGTCGACACTGTCACATTCGGCAACCAAGAGGCTGTTCGGTGAGGACCAATAATGACCAGCCAGTGCTGCGGAGACCATTCCGGCATCGATCTCACTGAGTATTGCTTGTTCCTGACTGTTCCTCAATTCAGCCAAGTTTTGGCCCCCTGTACAGACGCGCCGCGCTCGGCAAACACGGAAGATCTCGCGACATTTCCGCATCTGGACACGGACCCTCGTATGTGTACCCTGCAACAACGTATGCAAGCGCAGGCATGGCAACATAATCGACAGCATCCGATCTGGCGAAATCGCCCTTAGGTATGCCCACCCAATCGGCAACACGTATGTGGCTTCTCGTGCACCTTCGTGGTGCCAGGGGTCAGAGGCCCGATCTTTCTGGTATTCGTGGTCTTGGATTAGCTCACTTCAGGTCGCTGCGTTATTCGTTGACCAAAATGCTTCTTGTCATGCGAAACGTGCATGACGGGAGTAGAAGCACCGCGCCGGGCCGGACTCAGCATTCCATATAGTCTCTTGCCCGTTCAGCTGAAGCGAGTTGATACTTCATATATTGGCAGTCAGCATCGAAAATGTACAATACAACATCGTCGAAGTTGTTCATCTGAAGTCATCTGTCGCCATTTCTATCCCCTCGCAACATACATTGCAGCCCTTTTGCCTCCGTCTCAACAACTGCTACTTCCCGAAGCACTCCATCCATCGTCCGAGCGGGGCACCACAGTCCTGCGATTACTCTGTCACGCAAAGGCCACGATCGTGCATTCGGACCCTCTGTCGTTGGAGAATCGCCTCCGCCGGGCGTCAAGTGCAAGTCTTCGTCTGAGTCACCGACGACTCTGGATCGCTTGCAGCGTCCACGAGCCGTCTCTTAACTGGAACTATGGGCCAGATGATATAACGGCAGCAGTCTTCTTCAGCATTTTCCTTGTGATCGTCATCCTCTTGATCTGTGTGGTGTTCGCTTGCGAGTGTCACCGGCGGAGGAGGACCAGAGGCGGTGATGGTGGCGCTGGCAAAGATGAAGGGTCTGAAGGGGAGGAGGAGTGGATTGACAGGGTCAAAGATGAGTCTGAATGAGGGCGAGGCATGCGTTCAAGAGCTTGTTTGGGCCATTGGGTGGACTGTGGGTTTGCATAGTGACGGCATGAGGTTGCAGGTGTCGGGGCGCGCGCTACGGGAAGTTCGTTAATCTGCTCTGTTCCTACGCCAAGCCCGCTCTGAGTCTGTGCTGGAAGAGCTTGTTGTGCTGTGCGACACATGAGATGGACCAATCTCCATACGTCGTCCGACAATTAAGTGTGGCGTCAATGCTGAGGTCAGGAAGCGCGAATTATCCCATAAGATGGCCTCCAAAATCAGTTCGAGACCCATCTGACAAGCACTGTCGAGGCTCGGAAGCAACGTGCCTTCCTCCACAGGAAAGAGATGACCCTCGCAGCTTCCGCAAGCCATGGCTGCAGTATACAGACACAGCAGGCCCGTCCTGGTCTTCGGCCGAAACTAATCGCTAGCCTGCACGATCTTCGTCCTTATTGATAGACGACAGGGGCATGTCTGTGCTGCTACATAAGCTGAGATCTGGAACAGCTTCACACGAGAGAGAAGAAAAAGTCAGCAGCACGTGGTAGAATAGCATTCCTTGGTTTCATGGCATGTTCAACATGATCAGCGGAGACTGCGCAGGCCTTTGTGGATAACGATATGATTTGCATTCTACATGATAAATGCTGTGGTTGTACACTTCCTGGGATGCCCGTGCAGGGTCTTAGTCTCCAGTGGGAAGCATTCGCCGATGCCTATGCCTCGCTGAGGTTCCCATATCTATGCCTAGTGCTCATGTGTCTCAGTAGTCTGCTGAGAAGCCACCTAAGAATACCCATTGCGCCTAAAAGATTGCTCGCTGCTCCGAAAAGATTGCCCATCGCGCCGGAAACGAATGCCTGCTATGCTGAAAGAAATGCTTATTGCGCCGAAACGAAAATCCATCGCTCTTTGCACCCGCTACTCGTAAGCGCTGGTGCTGATGCTGATCCCATAAAACGCCAAAGGAATTCGTAAGTTCGTAGTGACTCAAAACAGGAGCGCCTCTGAAGACGCAGACACTCGGTGCCCAGTCGTCTTTGGTGGTACGAGTAAGGTGTCATCTGATCGTTCCTGCCTCGTTCTGTGGTAGATTGCGTCTTGCCGCACTTTGTTCTGGTGCTTCATCTGAGGCTTGCTTTCAGACAATCAAGAGTCCGACTTTACTCTCTGCTACATCTCTGTCGTGGATGTGGGAGATCGTGAGAGCGTTGTGTATTGTTACAATTGTCGTACAAGAGATGGTCGCGCTGCTGAGGTGCCTAGCGATGCTCGCGAGCAATGCTTTGAAGCGTAGTGTGTCTGATGGCCAGGGTATTCAGTTAGCAGACGTTGTGTGTGGTCGTGATGACCTAGTAGGGTGGACGTGTCCCAAAGTCGGGGGTCCAGTCATCGGAATTGGGGTTGAACAGCAGCTCTGAGAAGGACATGTCATCGTCAACGTTGATGGAAAAATCCGAAACATCAAAGTTGCTATCGTCTCCCATCTGCTTGTGCTGAGTCTCCGTGAGGGGAGCAGATTCAGCGAAGTTGCCGCCGAAGCCGACCGGATCCTTATTCTGCATAGCTGGAATCGCGATGTCGGGATCAGTGCCAGGTCTCCAAGGACTTGGAGCTGCGCGGTTTGTATCTGACAATGACGCAAGTACACGGTCGAAGTCATTCGACTCGCGCGAGTGCTTCGCCGTGCCAGATGACAGAGCCTCATCGGTCTTGCCTCCGAAATGGCCGTACTGCCCAGGAGTGACTGTCTGCTGAGAGCCGATGTCATTCTGAGGCAGTTTTCCGGACATTGGTGGCGGGAAAAGGGGCGCCGAAGACCATTGCTGCATCTGCGACTCATGCACGAAGTTGCCAGACGCAGTCGGTGTTGGCGCATATGAGTGACTCATCCCAAACGGCGACAGTGCTGAAGGTCTGACGCTCGACCGTGGCGGAGCTCCAGACTGAGTCTGCTGCAAGGGTCGCTGAGGCGTTCCTGGACGCGAATGCTCGGCGAAGCGTACCTGAGCTGGACGATTGGCCTGCGGAGCGTACGAATTGCCGGTGGGCACCATGGGAGACGAGCTTCGCTGCTTCTCTCTTCGAGAGCTCGAGCGACCTACCGCGTCCAGATGATTCAACTTGGGCAATGTCGCGGTTGATGATGAGCTCTTGACGTGTCCGTTGCTCAACGCGCCAGCAAATTTTGTCGACGCATCAGTCGATGCTGAGAATGTTCGCTCAGCCTTGAGTACTGGCATCGGTCGTAGCTGACCTGCGACATAGCTGGCCATCGCTTGACGAACTTCGATAGGGGCCTTCTGGTAAGCGAGAGACAATTCGGCGCTGAGCGTGTCCTCAAAGCTTGCCAGGAAGAACTCAAGAACACCGTATGCTGTATTTCGGAGCATCGCCTCATCATTGGCGGTGGCTTCGTTGAGTCGCTGTTCGTGCTCAACCACAGTGAGAATCACCTCGAAGGGCTCGTTGTTTTGGTTGCAGATCGGTGGGAGCATTGTCTTGTCCGTCTGGAAGAGGTGATAGTCCGACAGAAACTTGTTGTAAGCTTCGTACCATTCTTTTTCGACCAGTTGAAGACGTTCGCGAAAGCTCTGGTGGACCAGGTCGCGATTCCGAACCATAAGGCGATCAGATAGAAGCATCTTGGTGCGCTGAATTTGGATGTCAACGCGCTGCTGATTCTCCATTTCGTCGGCGCTCAGCGGATAGGCTTGAGTGCTGTTCGGCTTTCGGATCAGGTCAGCAACAGCCGTCGAGGACTGAACACTGAGCCGAACAGGGCTGTATTTGGCCTTTACATCGCCTCGAATCACTTCGATCTAGTCTTCGAGAGCTTTTGACGCTTGCTGGTTGAAGCTTCATTGTGGTCGTCCTCGATATCGACATCATGATCATCATCGTCCATCTTGCGCTTCTGGACCTTAGCGTGACCCTTGGATTTGTTCATCCGGATCATTCGAAAGTAAGGCTTCGGCTCCTCAAGCATAGCATGGTCCTGCTCTCGACCGATGGCGTGTTGAAGGTAGTTGGCTGGCCGGTTGTTGGCTACGTCTAGTGCGAGTGGCGTGCGCGCGCCCTGAGGAAGCATGTTGTAGATTGCTGGGCCTTTGTAGCCTTCCGCAACGAAGATCCGAAGCATCTTTCCCCACACGTGATTAGGGTAATGCTCAGCGATTTCCTCAAGTTTCATGAGGGCCGGGATAACCACTTCTGGAGACTTGAATTGCATCAACCTCGCAGTCATTCGACGCAGTGGGGCTTGGAGTTTGATCGGACAGCGCGTCACCAGGAGATCGCGTCGAGCGTCGTCCAAGTAGCCGAGCCAGCCAACGCCAGCGTCCAAACCTGTGCCGATGGTCTGGGGTTCGCTGCTGTAGCGAGCCCGCTCATGGTTGTCTACCGTCGAGGTGCCCAAGGGCATGCGAACTTCAACCATCGATCCTTCATGTTCGAGTGGTTTCTCCTTAGAATTCCACCCAAGGAGCTTGTAGCGACCGGTCTGGTCGTCAAAGGGGTAGGCTTCTTTGTCTTCAGCCGTGATAGCGTGTAGACTTGGAGCAGCTCGGGGCAATGATGCGATAGTAGCGCTTCTTGGTCGACTCTCAGGCTCGGGATTCAGCTCCTCGACAGCATTAGAGATAGCATGCTCATTGGCATCGGCTTCTTGAACCATATCCATGGTCTGAGGCGGACGAGCGTTGTTATATGTATCGATGAGAGCTTCGCCATCAAATGCATCACCATACTCATCAGCAGTGTGATTCGCACCAAGGTCCTGATCCAACTCCTGGGGCTGAGAGCTGTGCTCACGCGAATGGGGCATCATAGCCTCCATCTTGGGTGGTGTAACCGGAATCCTGAAGCGCGTTAGTCAATTTTGACACGCAGATCACGTTGGATAGGCTTTACCAGTGACTATACCTTGGACAGAGACGTGAATGTATGAGAGATGTGCAGACTTGAGTCTCCACAAGGAGATTGTAATTCAGGTTATTCACACTCACAGACAAGCCTAGAGATCTTCTCTGGGTACCAAAGGGAGTGCAAAGGTGTGAGTGGGCAGGATTGAAGAAGAGTAAAGTTCAGAAGAAGTCGTGGATGGCTATGAGTCCTTGGAAAAAGGCACGTCGCGTTCAATGTAAGGCACGGCTTGGTTGCCTGGTGGTTACGCCTCAAGGCAAGGCAATAAGTGTCACTTACAAAGGCACAACTCAGTCTGTCACTTGTCTGAACGTCATGTAGGGAGGTCTTATCTGTAAAGTCCATCACTCAAGGCTATCACACTTTCAATTGCCTTAACGGTGACATTACCAGGCAAGGCATCGCGATGGGAAACGATGCCGTTAGGCAGGTGAAGACTTTGGCGGCGGAGGGAGGATCTCGGAAGCTGAGTTGGATGGAGCTGGTGTTTCGACGTCGCCAGATAATTCCGTTGATGAGCGGGGCAGACATGGACTTCTTTCGTAGGTTGACGGCACGGCATGGTGACCAGCTTTATGTTCAGTACTCTGCCCGTCCCGGAGATCAAGACATCCCAGAGCAGCCAAGCAAGGGCGGCATTTCATCGACGCGAGGCGCTGCGGCGACACTCGATGCCATCCCGGCGTCAGAATCGTAACCTGCGGAAGACACGTTAGCTTTTCGGAGCCGTTTCGACTGATGCTGACAGGGCAGCGAGACATCGCAGTTTGTACGGGAAGCATAGTGGCAATTGCAGCACCGCGTTAACAAGAGAGCAGCGAAAACGCTAAGTAAAGGTCATCATGGTGTCTACAAAATGTCCTACGTTGACGTTGATGTTGTAATCCGAAGTCCAGGTGGTTGCCTTGTGCCCCTGTCGTAAGGCGACCGGCGTGGGATAAGCCGCGGGATGAGCCAAAGGTGGCTGATTCTTCTCGACCTCCATCTCAGGGTGCATAGACGTCTTACTCTGTCTCGGTACATGCTCCATCACCTCAGCTGGCGTCCTTTCGTCAATGCAGCGACGAACGACGTCCGATCGAGCCACGAGCGCTGAGGTCGACCTGCACTACCTCTGGGAACGACACCTATTGCGCTTTTCAAAATACTGCTTTCTGTCCGTTCCGTTACCATTGCGGCCTGGCATCTGCCACACGCGATGCGGAAGTTAACGATCCGTACTATGGAGTGGCATAGTAGCAGATGTCCGTCTTCGTCCCGCAGAACGTACAACTGGAGAGGACATCCGTGGTGGTCGGTGGCTCCCTGAGTCTCTGTCGAGAAGACATGAACCATGCGGGTCTGACCTTTGTCATCCAACAAAGAATCGGCCTGCATTCAGATGTCAACTGTGAGCGTCAGATGGTAACGGCGGTGATCTGGCAATGCATAAGCCTCCGACTCGAGGGACGCCGTGGCCGCCGAATGATGCAACCGTGCCCCATTGGACTTTATTTCCTCGACTGATCGCCTTCCGTTTCCATGATTTACAACTATGCCCGTCTGATCATCTGAGCAGGCGTCTTGTCGTTGGAATGGGTAACAGCGGTCCTCCAGTAGACGGGTGAGCGATGATCAGGCTAGCGCTCTCATTAGGAGATTCATCGACCTCATACAAGGTCAGACATTGCTAACAGAGACGACAAACGCACGGCCGAGCATCAACGACAAGCGAGCATCCGAGCTCCCGAGCAGGAGCAGAGCCTGCGACAAGACGCACACCATAGGCACCGATTGCTACATGCGGCTTGATCTGGGGGTTCCAAGCCCAATCGAGCAAGCTCGAGCGGCCAGCAATCACGGCCCGAAGTACTTCATGCTCTAGTACGGCTGTGTCTCGTTGTTTCGCCCCCACATACTGTACCTACAGCCTTCCCTGGAGGAGATAGTAATCTGAGCACTCCCCGCCCGCTTATCACGAAGCCACCTGCGATGACCGACGTTTACGGCAAGGAGTAACACAGATGCGCTCGTCCTTTCGAGACACGATGACGGAGCTACACATCACCGATGAAGTGGCCTTTCAGGGTGACACGGTGAAGTCGCGAACAAAGTGAAGGCGGCAACGCATCGCCTGGAGCCAACGCCTCGTCGTCAGCAATACTTATATACATAGGCACTACTCTCACAACACTACGGTCGCAGTCTCCTGCGCCCAGCTCACACGGGGTCAGTCATACCTGGCACAGCCGAATAACCCCAGGCAGATTTTGCAGTCACCTGCTTGTCACAGAAGATGGAGACTTCCACTTCGCAGGAGTCACCCGTCATTTCACTGGCGAAAGCAACATCACCATTCGCTCGGCTGACGAATGTTCTGGTCGGACCTGGAGAGGAGAGATTTACGGTACACACAGACTTCCTGTGTCGTTTCCCGTTCTTCCGGAATTGTATGAGGGTTGGTATGAAAGAAGCCCGTGAAAACACCATACGATTGCCAGAAGATGATCCGGCGGGCTTCTCGCAGCTACTTTACTGGCTCTACACCAAGCAATTCGAGTACAACATCATCCAGGACGTGCACGATTGCGACGTCGCTGAACACAACGAAAAGTTCCCCGAGCCGCTCCAGGGCAACTTTGCGGCTATTCACAAAGCATATCTCATGGCCAAGAAGTTCTGTGTTGAAGAGCTCCAGAATTACGCAATAGACTGTCTACGCATCACGCTCGACAACTGCGCATGGGGACCCGAAGAATTGCAGCAAGCTTTCGACGAGCAAGACCCTCACGATCCTCTCTATAGATTGGCGTGCCTGTCGATAAGGCTGGAGTTCTTCTACAAGAACAGCGAGAGTTGGGAAACCATGCAGAAGGAGTCCTTCTGGTCGCCCTTTGCTGCTAAGAGCATGGAGAACATGGAGCTCGTGCTCAGGTCTCTCAGTTTGCATCAAGACAAAATAGAACTCGCTCGCGACGAGGATATTTGCAAGATCTGGCACACGCACACGGAGACTCCTGTATGCGAGTATGGATGTCGGTCGCACAAGTTTCCCGACACAATCGAAGCAGCTGATGCTGCACAGGCTACGAATCAGCAGCAATCCACCGCCGGAGCCGGTCTGGGAACCGAGAATGACAGCCATTCTTCTGATTCTGGCGAAAGTGTGGCAGTTCGCTGGATGCAGTGGACACAGCTCACGGAGATTCCATTGGGGAAGATTCAGAAGCAATCTACATGCATACACACCTCCTGCGCAAGTTCGAATACTTCTCGACGATGCTGGACGATCGTGGAGAAGTCGCTGGGAACCAGAGCACCTTACGATCGCCTGACTTTGATGCCGATGCTTTCGATCAACTGCTGCACTACATACTGCAGGGAGAATTCTCTTTCCGGCTTCTCGATGGTATAGACCACACAGCGAAACACACTCCGCCCGACAAGTTCGCCCAGAGATTTCGCACAATGCTCAAGACTCATCTCCTGGCTCGAAGACTCAGTGCGGAACGGCTTCAGAATCTGACCATCAACATCATCCGTTGGGCACTTCAGAAGGTCAATATTGGCGTCCAAGACTTGATCTATATCCTCGAGAATTGCGAGTCCGCACATGATCCACTTCGAAGGCTCGCTACTGCATCCTTGCAAATCAGCGCTCGGGAGAGCGGCACCTGGCCCGACTTCATACAGACGGACGTTTTCAAGGAGTTTGCGAATCTGAGCAAGGAATACATGAGCGTGCTGGCTTCCGCCCTGTTCCGCGAGGCTGCGGATAATGATCTAAACGAGTGGATAGGTCCGTGTTCGTTCCATGTCCATGAGAAGAATTCGACATGTGAAGGGCTCGAAGGCAGCATAGTTGATTCACAGGGATGGCACTACGACAGATACACATGAATATCTTGCCCAACTTACTGCAAACGACAATTTCTGCTCAGCAAAGGCCCCTCCACAATACAGGAGGTCGTGAGCACGTTGATGTTCTCGTTAGGGATCTTAGATGATGGGTCAGGTGAAAGAGCGCACTCATCATGATCAGACGAACTCAGAACAGCGAGGTACGCTATCGGGCAGGCTAGCATGGACAAATCTGAACTTCTCAGGGCACCTAGTAGGTGGGCAACGATCCCAGATCGCATATTCATGCAGAGCGTCGGTCAATACCTTAGCTTCTGTGTGACAATGGCCATCCACGAAACTGTGGTAGACAGGTACTCATACGGGTAGTTATCATGTGAACTTACAACGCTACCATAGGTATGACATTAGTATCAGAGGGACGCTAAAGCCCACCTGGCAGCGATGATACTTCGTGACTTACTGGAACTCATGTCCTTTTACCGCAAGCTCCGACACGCAGGCCACTGACGCAAGCATAGTCATTAAACGTTGATGGTTGTACTTCCCCTTGGTGTTGTCCAAAAGTACGTGGCAGCCTCGTGCCTTACCGCCTGTCAGATGAAATGTCAGATCTGAGCTCCAAGCACGATGATGAATGCCATGTGTGGCTCATGCACCTAAGATTGTAGCGACGTCCAGCTATACTCAGCCGAGCTTAGGCGTGGCGCTGGCCCGTACCACATGCCGGGGGAAACGCGTCGCGACTCGCTAGTAGCGAATAAGCTCGTGCGTTTCATCTCGAATTGAAAGCCCCGACGTCACTGGCAATGCGTGGATCTTGGCCGTTAAACGCTTTTCCAAGGTTTGCAAGATCAAACACCAGAAATTTGGGCGTTTGTCGCTTCCTATGCCTGCGAACAGACAGCCCGTCTCGCTTACACGCGACCTTGACGTTCATAGCTCATGGTCTGCAGACAGGGAAGCACCTTCAAGATCATTGACTTTCTTGCACGTTTCCCCCAAGCTTCACCAAACGTTCTTTCCCACGTCGAATAACATTTCGGTTGCGGTGGTGCACACGCCTAAGGGCACTCGGCAGTGACTACCACCTACAACGTCGAGATCCATCCTTGATACCTGACAGTTCCTAAGACAATCATGTTTACCAGATATCAATAAGACAGTCTGAGGCCTCATTCAATATGTCTGCTTTGAACTCCACGTTTAATAGTGCGGACGCCGAGAACGGCGTGACGAACAAGCAAGGGCTCTCCGCCGCACAGTTCGCAGCCTCCTTCATCACTGCCATCGCCCTATTTGCAGTTCAAGCTGCCATCTTCCTTCTCATCAAGGATCGATTCGCACGAATATACCAACCGAGAACATTCCTTGTCCCGGAACGAGAAAGAACAGCACCAGTCACACCGGGCTGGTTCAAATGGATCAAACCAGTCCTGAAGACTTCAAACTCCGAGTTCGTAGAGAAGTGTGGTCTTGACGCCTACTTCTTTCTGAGATACCTACGCACCTTACTCAAGATATTTGTACCGGCAGCATGTGTGATAATACCTATATTACTGCCCCTGAACGCAGTCGGTGGCAGGGGTGGTCAATGGGCGTTGCGCAATCCTCAAGACGACAACGCTTTGAATGTCACAGGTCTCGATGTGCTGGCATGGGGCAACGTGTCTCCCAAACATACGAGACGCTATTGGGCCCACTGGCTGCTGGCGAGCTCCCTCATCATCTACTTCTGCTATGTGGCCTTTGACGAGCTCAGAGGTTACGTCCGAATGAGGCAGGCATATATGACCTCGCCACAACATCGTCTTCGAGCATCTGCGACCACTGTCCTTGTCAGCTCCATTCCTGCAAAGTGGTGCACCGTGGAAGCCCTGGACGGACTCTACGATGTATTCCCAGGTGGCCTGAGAAACATCTGGATCAACAGAAACTTCGACGAGCTAAGCGACAAGATCAAGAAGCGAGACAAGTTCGCATCGAAGCTTGAGGCTGCAGAAACCGACCTCATCAAGAAATGCTTCAAGAAAAATGAGGAGAACCTGGCTAAGGCGGAGAAGCAAGCAGGCAAGAAACTCTCCAAGGATGAGAAACAGCGTCGTAAAGCCGTCAAGGATGCTGCTGGTCGTGAGGTTGCTAGCAGCCAAGGATTGGACTCGAACAATCCTCATCAGGTTAATCACACTGTTTCTGAGGCCCTCGGCGGTGACCACGAGTCCATAGTATCGTCCCTTGACGAGCAGAACGCCGAAACGCAACACGAGAAGAGGACTGTCCCAATACCCATCGTTGGTGAAGGCATCGAGGCCGTCAAGCATGGGCTCGGCAAGGTCACTGGCGGCATATTCGGCGGCATTCGTGGTGTCAACAAAGACATTAATGAGACGATTGATACTACTAACGGTTTTATGGCGACTGAGAATGACAGCAAGCAGGCCTTCGACACCAGGAGAGATCACAGCCGAATTCTCCGGAAGCCATTGCCCAACAGCCCACAATCCAAGAACGAAAAGACTTTCGGGACCACCCGTGCCACTCATGGTGCCAAGGACGCCTCTGCCCATGGCGTCGCCAGCAGAACAGGGACACAGCAATTCGATAAAGCAGACCATACTAGGCATTCTGGCTCTCAGGGCAGCACTCTTGGCAAAGAGAATCCCCAGCCAGAGCCACCTCTCACTGGATTTGCAAAGTTCAAGCGTACAATTGGGCTGACGTCTGAGCCCAAAGAGCCCGTAGATTATCCTTCTGCCTTCGAAGACGAGTTCACGCATGACCCTGAAGACGGCGTCTGGAGACGATACTTGACTGAAAAGGATCGTGACACTATGCGGCTTCCCATATTCGGATGGCAGTGGATGTTTGCGCTACCTTTCCTTGGTCAGAAGGTTGAAACCATTCGCTACTGTCGCGAACAGGTTGCTAAGCTTAACGTCGAGATCGAGGACGACCAGGCCAACCCTGAGCGATTTCCACTCATGAATTCAGCCTTCATCCAATTCAACCATCAGGTGCTGCGCACATGGCTTGCCAGGCACTGAGTCACCACCTTCCGAAGCAAATGGCTCCACGTGTCGTCGAAATTGATCCTAACGATGTCATTTGGGACAACATGTCAATACCTTGGTGGCAAGGTTACATTCGCACTACAGCAGTCTTCGTCATTGTTGTGGGCATGATCATCTTGTGGGCTATTCCTGTGGCGTTCACATCCGCCCTATCTCAACTCACCACTGCGGCGCACTCCTATAGTTGGCTACGTTGGGTTCTGGCGATACCAGCGTGGTTCCGAAGTGTACTTCAAGGTGTGCTGCCTGCAGCCTTACTGGGTTTATTGTTGTTCCTGCTGCCACTGATCTTGCGCTTCTTGTCGAAGACGCAAGGATTGCAGTCAGGGATGATGGTTGAACTATCGGTCCAGAAGTACTACCTTTTCTTCCTCTTCGTACAGATCTTCTTCGTTGTCACTATTGCATCGTCTGCAGTCCAATTCATCTCGGCCTGGACCAGTATCGAGGGGATTTCCAACATTCCTCAACTCTTGGGCCAATCGATACCAAAAGCAAGCAACTATTTTATCTCCTACATGCTTCTGCAGGCCTTGTCAGTCAGCTCTGGAGCATTATTGCAAGTCGGAGCTCTGGTCGGATGGTTCATTCTAGCCCCAATATTTGACAGCACGGCGCGTTCGAAGTTCAAACGCCAGATCAATTTGTCCAGCGTTCAGTGGGGTACCTTCTTCCCAGTCTACACGAATTTGGCATGCATTGGTCTAATCTACTCGGTCATCGCGCCGTTGATCCTGATTTTCAACATCGTTACCTTCTCGCTGTTCTGGTTTGTCTACCGATACAACACGCTTTACGTCACACGCTTCACCATGGATACCGGCGGTTTGCTGTATCCGAATGCCATCAACACGACCTTCGTGGGCGTCTATATGATGGAAATCGCGCTGATCGGAATGTTCTTCCTCGTTCGAGATGAGAACGATAACGTTGCATGCGAAGGACAGGCCATTGCAATGATTGTCGTTACTATCCTCACGGGCATATATCAGTATCTCCTCAATCAAGCCTTCAGTCCGCTGTTCAGATATCTTCCGATCACGCTGGAGGACGATGCTGTGCGCCGAGACGAAGAATTCGCGCTGGTCATGCGCAAGAAGCACCGACAGGAGAACTGGGACAGAGAAAGCGAAGACTTAGAAGACCGACTTGAAGACAACGAGCGCCGCGAGCGTGCCGAGAACGACCAGCTCGAAGAACATGAGCTTCGTAACATCGAAGATGACAAGCAGAGACGGCTATCGAAACGCGACTCTCAAGGTATACCTGAGCTCGAGCCGTACGAGTTCCAGAACCCGGAGATCATGGCGAGCATCGACCAAGAAAGCAAGGGTTTTCAGATACTCAAGAAGGCCGCCAAAAAGACGGCGGCGCCTTTGTTGAAAGTGCCTACGCGCGAGAGCCGCAAGTCGTCCTGGGCTGACCGAGACAATGCTCGAAATCGCAGATCAAGCCAATTCGGTGGCAACGAGAGCCATTCGCGGGTCAGAGGCAGGTCAGATTCGTACTCAGAACTTGCAGATGATCAACATCATGATGGCCATAACACAAGACGCAAGTCTCCGCCAAGAAAAGTGCTGGACCAGATCAACGCATTCAACCCCTTGACGGGCGACGAGAAAGACATCGAGGCGCAGCGCAATGCGCGGAATCAGCTTGCAGATGCGCTGTACGCTGGCCGCAACGACGAACTGGAGGACCTCACGCCCGAAGAGCGAGATGCTTTGGTCCAGAGAGCGTTTCAGCATAGCGCGCTGCGAGCTCGACGACCGGTCATCTGGCTACCGAGGGATGAGCTCGGGGTCAGTGATGACGAAGTGAAGCGGATGGGCCGGTTCAGTCGACATCTGTGGGTGAGCAACGTCCGGCAGGGACTGGATTCGAAGGGAAGGTGTGTGTACAGTGGTGCGCCGCCTGATTTCAGCGAGATTGACTTGATCCGATTGTGAGGATTATGAGCGATTCTAGCACGGGATAGCATAGCAAGCGAATGCCTGAAGAGCGACAGGCTGGAGTTCGTCCTACTACGACTTGATGATGTATGGATACTCTAACGATCAAAACTATCCATAACTTGTTTACGTGCTCTTTGTACTGTGAAACGTATCGATAGCTCTTTGTTAATTATCCGTTCTTCCGTCCTATATTCACCGGCACCTCGATCCTATGGCACCCACTGGCATAGTTGCGGGAGTAGGAGCTCTCGATCTCAAGTGGGAAACTTGTCACCCGGCAACAGATACGTTCTTTGGAATGCTCGGTAAGCCGGTCGTGTGCTGGAATACTAGTCATCCGGTCTGCTATCGCCAGGCGTGTCATCCGACGCAATATTTGCCCAACTGTTTAGTCAACCGGCTTGGCTTCTATCAACTACCCCCTTGGCCACGTCTGCCTCCGCTGAGCAGTTCATCTCACAAGGAGTGAGTGCGGCTCTTTGTGAGCGTTAGTTGACTCGCAGCTCCAGCAATCATCATTGCATCGGATGAAGACATATCAGATGAACACCTCTGCTCGGTACGAGGGTTGAGTGGGCATACGCAAGAAGAAGAACACATATATTTGAGAAAGCCTCCATTGCTGTTGAAACTACTCATACAGTATGGGATCGATACGTGACACGTGCCGAACCCGATCGCCTGTCATGCTGCGGTCCTCTATCATCTAGCGAGACTGTTGATGCTCTTGCTCATCCTCAGACACTACCTGCTGGCAGTTGCTGACCCGACGCCTGAGCGGCCTCTTTGGCCTCGGAGGTTGCAGACGTGGATGACTTGGCGCAGTTCGAGCAAGCGCAGTGGCCAGGTGCGCATGGGCAGTTCCCATCGCTTCCACCACATTTGCAGACCGTCTTTTCGGTGTTTTTCACTGGTACTGGCTGGTTGTCGCCAACATCGCTCTTGGCGCAGTTTGCGCAGTTGCAGTGTCCTGGAGATTTGTTAGTACGCCATGGGCTGCAGTGATTAAGAACGAGACCTACCTGGGGCACAACCGCAGACACCCTCGGAGCCACCACACTTACAAACAGTCTTGTCTGAGCCCGGGACCGCCTCTGGCTCGTGGGTCTTGCCGCTCTTGAGATCTGCCAGTCTGCGAGCTTCGTTGTGCACATCCCTGACTTGCTTGTCGCCCTCGACATAGAATTGTCTGACTTTCTGGCCGGTAGGCGTGTTGAGTGCCTTCTCGAAATACGTGTTCAGGCTACCCCATGCACTGTAAGCCTTTTCTGTCACACCGTACTTGTTGTCGACAGCAGCGGCTTTGTCGCTCGCTTTGGTCTTGTTGTCGAAGTTTGTCAATGCTGCGGTGAATCGCTGGCTGATGCCGTGCTTCTGGTCCATGGAAATGGCGGACTGGATCACATTGTCGGACAGCGTGTAGCCATGAGCGAGATACTCTGCGACGATTCGTGATCTTGGCTTGTCTTCTTGTGAGATGTGGTCATCGCCGGTCGAGGAGGACACTGCGGCGCCTGCCTTGTGTGCAACATCGTCTATGGTGCCGGCTGTGGTGACGTGGACTTGAGACTTGCCGAGTTGGGTGTTGTCGAGGAGGAGGGCTGTCTTGGCCGCGGTATCCTTCTCAAAGGTCACGGTGGCTGACTTTGAGGCATCGCTGGCGTCGGACTCGGGCTTGATGGACAGCGAAGTGATCTTGCCACAGAATGAAAAGAAGTCCTTCACTTCCTTTTCGCTTGTCTCGTGCGAGATGCCTGAGACGTGGACGGTGGTAGACATATTGATAGGTTTCGATATGTGAGGAATCAGTTCACAATACTTGTGTGGTCTCTTGTTCGAGTTATGAGAGAAGTAGTCGATTTTATTGATTGATGGAAGACGCAAACAAGGGACAGAATTTCTATGTGTGTTGCGCCTGTTTGGACTCCTTCACTTCATCATAGCGGGGCAGTGACGATGACGTTGATCTGCATACTAGGCCTCATACGATCTAGATCATGTGGCTTGACTTTTGCGCCACACCAGGCAGCCACGTTCTTCGAACTTTTTTGGTACATTGATCTGGCGCGGCGTAGATCAAAATTGTTTCGATGGTCTGAGCCTTTCACGTCCATCACCGGCCACTTCATGAGTCGTATGTCGTATTTCGCAGATCTGCACACTTGCATGACTTCGACCGCACGATCAGTGCGGATCGGGCTGTGGCCAGATCACCCACAAGGTGACAGGCCATTGTTCGACCTCATTACGCTACACTTACCTGTCCACAGGCGACATGAGTCCTTCAATGAGATCGAAGAGCCGCCCGGCCAGCCGTAGGGGATGACCACGGCCGATCAAACGCTTCTTGCAAGTAGACTTCGACCGTGTACACTCGACGTTTTCTCATGAGCAAGCAACTAGAGTTGCGATCGTGCCAGGCCTTCGAGGGGACTGATATTGTGACAGCAGAGAACGGGTCGAAGGCCTCCATACTGACTCCGAGTGAAGGCAGGTGTACAGTCAGCCGGACACTACAGCCTCCATTTACTCGGATAGTATGCGATCTGGACATGTCTGTCAGGCCTCTGAACTCAGTCTGGCGTCTCAGGAAGATATTTCCGGACTGTTGCGCAATGACCACTCCAGACTCCAGACAGCCGCAAGTGGCAGCTTCATGTAAGTGGACGGTAAGCGAAGGTAATGGTACGCAAGCTAGCGACTAGGATTTCCCAGCAGAGATTGAATATTGAAGGCTTGCGTAGCGTTGAAGATCATCGCATAACGGTATAGATGTGGACAGCCGGCAGACACAGGAGAGTAGATACTGACGCGGCAGATTGAGCACGAGGCCACCCCTTCAGGCGCCGTTGTTGAAGTTGTTTAGTGAGGTCAGCGAGCATCAAGCACCTTGAAATTAAGGCTGGTTTTGAACCTGTTGCCAGAACCTGAGGGGCCAAAGGCATGGTCAAATGTCGAGATGGAGATGACCCATCAGCGAAATGAGTACTTAGGAATTTAAAGCTCTGGGGAAGGCTTTGGCCGGAGGTGATCTCATACAAACAGAGACTGATGTTTGAGGGCAATTCCCTGACAAGCGTGAAAAAAAGGGCTTGGTACATATTCAAGCCGCGTTATTATTTGCGTCCTACCGGTAAATGAGACTGCAGTAGCAATTGTTGTTAATCAAAAGGACCCGGCGGATGACAAGAATGGCGTGCGACACAGCATACAGTACCACTGTACCACGCAGTCTTTGTCGTTGCGCCGATGACGCGGTCCGACTGTGCAGTCGCAATAGCAACCCATGGTTTCAATCTCATTTGGAAAGGCGAAATGAGTCTGAGGTGGTTCGTATGGCCGGCTGTCTGACCTCGCGACTTTCGCAACCCAGCAAGCCGTCATCGGAAGAGTCAGGCGATAGTATCACTGCCCTGTCGCTGTCAGGCTCTCCCTAGACAACCGACAAACGCAGCAAGCATTTACACACCTCATTGTCGTCGGACAGATGCAACGGCACAAGCAAGGACGAAACCACTTTGCCAATAGCTTGCAGATCCGACTTGTCTCGCGTTTTCGAGATCATCGTCGGTGTCAAGACCATGTAACCTCCGACCAGGGCACAGGAAAAAGGCCATCAAAGGCCGCCGTGTTTAAATGAGATGTTCCTGAAGTGTACTAGTGATGTGTTTCATGAGCAGCCAAGCGACCAGGTGGACATCTGGAGCCAATCCCTTTTCGTGCCAAGTCTCGGCTCGTCGCCCCTTTTGGTGCCCACACCCAACATCGTTTGCACTGTTCATCGCTCACCTTCGTTTCCCAGTGAGACGCTCCCAACCGTCCATGGGCTTGTCTTCAGCCAATAGTCGGTCTTGTCACTGCTGGGCACGCCCGCAACTCCTGGTTTGTCCGCCCGGACATCATCGTGGATGCTGAGTCTCCTCAAATTTCACCACAAGCTCGTCAACAGGTGGGTCGCCGGCCATGGCACTAGTGTCCCTAATCTCGAATGCTGCCGCTACAAAACCTCTACCTCGAGCCGTAGCAGTAGGCGGCTCTCCTTTCGTTCAGTGCTCTTCACTGTCAGTCTTTTCGCAGTCCAGCTACTGCAGTCATTCCTTTACACGGTCGCTCGTCGACTACCACTCTCGTTTTTCCGCAGCATCTCCTTCAGCGGTAGATTCCGCTCCGTAGCTCTCGCTCCCAAGGACAGGTTCCGCAGCAAAACCAACAGCATCACGATCCAGTACGAATTAAACGTTTGGAAATAGAAAAGTCGTCAGCATGCAGTACAAGTCAATCGCTTTGTTGGCCGCCTCCTTGGCATTGGTCTCAGCCGACGGATGGGAAGACAAGACCTCGCAGCCCGTCGAGGGCGGTGTGTCTACTCCCACCGACAAGCCGAGCCCACCTACCGACAAGCCGGTCGAGGGTGGCGAGGGTCCCACCAAGCCAGCTCCTCCCGCGGAGACCACGACCACCAGCGCCTACACCTGGGCGGATTACACCTCGTCCACCTCCCCAGTAGCTGACGCGACCACTTCAACCACGACCAGCGCCTACACCTGGGCGGATTACACCTCGTCCACCTCGCCAGTAGCTGACGCGACCACCTCCTCTACCACTACCGCCTACACCTGGGCCGATTACACTTCCTCCACCTCCCCCGTGGCTGATGCAACGACGTCAACCACCACTACCGGCGTTTATTACTGGGGCGACTACACTTCCTCCTCCACCAGCCCAGTCGCTGATGCGACCACCACAACAACGACCGGCTACACCTGGGCCGACTACACAAGCTCTACCACCAGCCCGGTTGCTGATGCGACCACTTCGACCACTACCTCAGCTTACTACTGGGGCGATGAGTCCAGCGTCCCAGTCGAGGGTGGCGAGACCTCCACCACGACCACTACCACTCACTGGGCCGACTACGTACCCAGCCCCTCCCCAACTCCCGAGACGCCAGTTCTGGGTGGTGAGGGCGCTGGCCCTGACTGTGGTGTCGTCACTGGTGAGTCACCAAGATTGATTTATGTCTGATCGCATTGCTAATGAGATTCTAGTCACCAAGACCAACACTGTATACTGGACTGGCGAACCTACCGTACCCACATCTGCTCCTCCGGCGCCACCTGCTGAGGAGACTCACTGGAGCGATGCCCCAGCCCCACCTGCGCCGTCCGCACCTGCTGCTGCTCCAGCTCCCCCAGCTGGTGACGATGGTGGTTCAGACTACATGGCCATCGCCAACAAGTACTTGGCTCTTGCAGGCGTCCGCCCACTCGATTTCGATGCCAAGCTTCAGGCCAATGCCGTCGATGCCGCGAACTCCGCTCAAGGCACGCTCACTCACAAGCTCAACCCTGGCTCTTTCGGTCAGGTCCTCGCACCTGGTAGTCCTGACATGGAGTCGTTCGAGCATGTCTTCGTCGGCGGGTGGTTGTGCGAAGTCAGCCAGCCAGGAAGCGTGGACTGTGGCGAGCAGACCATCGGCTGGAACCACGCTGGTCAGACCGGCCACGCCGACATTCTCATGAGCAGCAAGTACACCAAGATGGGATGCGGCTGCGAGGACGGCATCTGGGCTTGCGATGTTGCATAAACGCGAAACCTGCACAGAGGAACAAGGAGTTGTACCAAGGAATCGAATTCAAGGGATTGGATTCAAAGGAGAAGGAGATGTAGGAAAGTTCTTCTGGATGTTGGATATTTCATTTCGATTATGTGTGTAACTCAAGGCATCTGTTCATCAAAACGTCTAATGTGTTCTGAAGTTCACACAAACACCCCCTTATTTCCCACACGGACGTGGTAGACGATAGATTATCTCAGCAGCATTCGTCCGTACGCAGTTCACGAATTCAACGCAATGCTAAACTATCGTTCTATCACGTTTCTTTGATATGCTCCGCCGTTTTCTAGTGATATACTCGGCGGTCTTGCATGCTCCGACACCAGAGCGCTCCTGCCGTCCCAGCAACCTTTCAAAGATCAAGCTTTCCGAAATTCCGACATCCAGCTAAAATCCAATTTCTTGGAAGGCGCGCAGAGGGTTTGGCACCAACAAGCAAATATGACGGAATGGCTTCGCGCTGCTTTGCACTTGTACCTATTCGTTGCCGTCTTTTGCTTATTCGCTTCCAAGCACGTGTTGTTGCTTTCGCGATTCGACGACCCCTCATTCTGAGCCCCCCACTACACGCTTACCATATCTTATCTGAAGTTGGCGCCGGTTGCCGTCTAACCTGGTCGTCCGCCGGCGAACAGATCTGCCTTGCCTGCTTGTGGCCAGATCGTGCCGCCCGTTCCTGGGGCCATATGACGCAGCTCATCGCGAGGTGCGCCCCGATTCTTGGGAATCTACCTGCTGACCAGAAATGGCGTCAGTGGGGCAGCAATTGGTAGGTAGGTATTCATAACTACTGCAGGTCCTTCTTACTGCAAGCCCCAAACTTCTTCGTACATAGTCCAGAGTGTCAGCCAACCTTCAGAGCAAACCATACCTCGCACAGCCTACCTACCCTCGGCCACTCACCCCCCAAGGCTCAACATGGAAACCGTAAAATCTACCGTCAACAGCCTACTCGGCACCGGCAACAAGGAAGACACCACCACCACCACTGAGCATACCAGCACTGGCTCCGCAGACTCCAAGCCCGACACCACGTCCAGCACTACCGATAGCTCATCGAACGACTCGCCGGCCACAACTCAAGGCTCCCGCACTCTCGAGGGCGGCGGCGATGCTCCAACCAAGGGCAATGCCAACTTGGGGTCAGATCTGGACAAGACGCTGAGCGGCCCCAAAGATCCTGCTTTACAGGGCGAGGAGCACCCGAAGATGACTGGGACGGGGGCACCAGGATCGCACTCTGCGATATTTGGGTTGACACCGGATGGAAAGAAAGAGTGAAGCGGACAAGCTGGGATGGAAGTCTGGCGGAGGTAGCATGGTGTTTGCGAGAGCGATGTTCTCCATGGGAGTTTTGAGAGAGTCGGAAGGCAAAGGTATATTAGTACTTTTAGTGGACAATACAGAGGAGTTGAACCTGGAGGAATTCGAAAGCTATATGTGCTTCAGTCGCACAACATGCGGTACAAAGTCTGCTAAACAACCCCAGACGCATATGGTTGCCTATCAAACCATGAGTCGGTAGCTGTAGGAAGGCAATGGAAGATGCTCGGCGGGTGATGGTGTTCCACTGCACAGTCCGACTCAGGCAGTGAATCGCTTGACACCGAGGCCAATATATGTCATCCGGACTTGTAAGTGTCCTGTCATCCGGTCTGACATGAGTCCAAGAGATTGTCCGGTGTGGTTTATACATCTTGTCTTCGACCTTAGCGAGTCGCCCTCCCTAGACCATCGTGACCTAGCATGTTTGCAAGAGAGCCTTGCCAATGTGATCGACGGGGCGAAGAGGCAAACAGACCTCCGACGTAATGATGTCCAAGCCCAGCGACTCTTCCAATAACACCTACAGCAATTTCCAGACTAGCGACATCATGCCCTCCACGCAGAAGCTGCATAAGCAATTCTCACAACTCCTTCTAGAATTCAGCAAAGCCCCCAGGGAAACGTTCCGGATCATCTACACCCATCCGCCTCCAACATCATCCGATATACCACCGACCGACACAAACTCCCATCCTCGCCACAGATGCCAAAAGCTGTTCGTGCTAGACTCGAGCTTCAACCCACCGTCTCGCGCGCATCTTGGCGTTGCGAAAGCTGCTGTGATTGATTCTATCAAGCATCATCGCCCAACATCAGGCCGGACTTCGACAACCCAATCGTCGTCCTCGGACGGCAGGTCTAGTCAAGGAGATTTCCCAGAGCAACGGCTCATACTGCTCCTCGCGACCGAGAACGCGGACAAGGCACCCAAGCCAGCGGACTTCGCGGATCGGCTGGTCATGATGGTGCTCATGGCACAGGACTTGCGTAGGCAATTGCTACAACTTGATAGGAATGACGCCGATACCGACGCCAGCGGCAACAACAGCAGCGGACAGCAGCCCAGCAAGGGAGCAGCGACTGACGCTGCAGCCTCAGATGGGGCACGGCCACCAGTATCTGACGAGAAATCGCCCTACGCCATCCCAATCGACATCGCGATCACCAAAAAGCCCTACTTCATGGACAAAGCCGCCTCAATCTCCTCTTCCGGCATCTACTACTCCCGCCAGCCCAACCTCACCACCACATCAGCAGACTCACCAGTCGAGCAAACGCACCTGACAGGCTTCGACACCCTGACCCGCATCTTCCACCCCAAATACTACCCGCCCGACCACACCCTCTCCGCCCTTCAACCCTTCCTCTCACACCACCGCATCCGCGCGCTCATGCGCACGGGGCGAGGACGGGAAGTATGGCTCGAAAGCCCAACAGGAGAACTGGTTGAGGGATCTGGCTAACGGCAAGGCCGAGGATCTTCAGGTGAAGAGGGAGGATGGGGAGAAAGAGTGGATCAGTGGCAAAGGCTTTGAGAAGGAGTGGTTGGAGAAGGTTGAGCTGGTGGATGACGAGGAGTTGGAGGGGGAGAATGTGAGAGGGGTGAGTAGTACGTTGGTGAGAGAGGCCGTGGGGAAGGGGGACTGGGAGGGCGTGAGGGGGTTGTGTGGGGAGGAGATTGCAGAGTGGGTAAGGGAAAGGGCCCTGTATACTAAGACGGCAGAGGAAGCCAAGGGCAACAGGGATGGTGGTGGTGGCGGTCAGGAGAAGCTCTGAAGAGCGAACGCATAAAGTGAGGAGCTGGATGTGTACATGGGTCGTAAGGCATCTCGGATGCCAGATCTGTTTGTCTACTGTATCTATTACCTGGTGGAAGAAGACAGGATTCATGTCCATAAGCCTGATCTCGTCTAAGTGCCTCGATTGTGCCACGATGAAAACATGCAGATGTCGTTGGGCATTCTGAATGCAGAGTGATGGGTTCGGCCGAGAGATCTATAACCGGAGAACAATGGTGAGGACTTCGTGCAGGGTGAACACATCTGATAGCCGTCGCGACCTTCGACTTCTTCTCTACTCAGTCGTGTCCATCATCTCGACAGCCTCTTCGGGCTTCGGCGCCTCCTGGGTAACGGTATCGACAAACCCTTTCTTCTTATCGCCGATTCGCTCCTGCTTGAAGCGCTCGATCTGTTCCTTAATGTCCGTTGCTAGACGTGCTTGTCAGTATGTGTGATATTCTTGCATAGAAAAGGCTAAACTCACCAGGTAAGACCTCCTCAATCGTCAACGGAACGCGATTGAAAGGATCGTGCGGATCACTGAGCAGATGACTCCGAATAGTGCTCCTATCCATAACCGTCTTGGATACCGGCAGGATGACGGGGTCCTCCATGAGAGTGTACATCAACGGATCGAGGAACTCATCCGGGATATCACCCAATTCAGCCTCTGCATCGTCGTCGTCTTTCTTGGCTTTGGCGATCGCAAGCACCAGGCTGTGCCAGGTCTTGATCTCTTCAGGCGACTTCAGCCCCTTCGTCTCCATGATCTTGGCGGCCTGCGCGAAATTGCCCGGTTTGTAGGAGCGTCCATCGCGAGCGACAGCGAGCACGAAATTACCCTTATTGCGCAGATTGATGTAAACGTCGATGATCTCCCCGAGGAGCTGGCGAGGGTTGAAGTTGTATTCTTGGAGATTGTCTACTTTGAGTGTAGATGATTTGGGCCCAACCATAGCGTCTAGATTGTAGTCCAGCATGTCGGCCAGACGCTGGACGATCTCGGGCATGGTGAAGGCGTCAGAGAGGGCTCCGGTGAAGAGCTTGAGCATGTCGACCGTCTCATTGGTGAGTTGCATGTACGATTTGGCTTTGTCCTTTGCTGCTTGTAAGGACTCTTCTTTCGTGCCACGCTCTTCTTCATTCAAGGTCGTGCCTGCTGTTGCCAGCTCGTTCGTTAGCTCGTAGATTGAGTGGAATGAGGTGAACGACTCGTCTAGGACGAATGTGACGTCGTTGAGCAGCAAGTTGACAAAGCGAACGAAGAACTCGATGTTGACCTTAGCTTCTCTCAGCAACTTGTCGCGGTAGATAGTGTTCGGCCATATGCATTTGATGATCTGGAAAATCTCGTATCGGACGTTAAATTTGTCGAAGAATTGGCCGTGGCCTCCCATAAACTCCGCTTCGATGAAAAATTTCATCATTGAATGCAATAAATGTTTTATGGCAAACGGTTCGCTGTTGTACAAGTCTGCAAGGATGCCTTGACCGCCACGTTGCCATGTCCACGTTCCTCTAAATAGGATGGTAACCAGTGACGCCTTGAGATATGGATTCTTGATGTATTCTGAGTTGTGGAGGAAAGTTACACAGAGCATTATGAGCTCCGCCGGCTTTTGTTGCGCGATGACATGAGGTAGATTGTACATGATGAAGCCAAAGTTTCCGCTGATGATATCCAAGAAGTATTCGGGTAAGCATTTGAAGTCTTCCGGCTGTTCTTTCGCAAGAGGTAGTGTCAATGGCTCAGCAGGGTACTTGCGATTGGTCGAAACCTGCCGTAATAGCCAGACTGTGGTGAACTTCATGAATTGCATGGACCGTGCCTGGGAGACCTCGTCAAGCAGTATGCCTTGTGCGGCATATTTGAATGACATCGCCTTGTCGTGTTGGTCCTTGAATTTTTGCAGGGCAGTATCGAATTGCCGCAATTGCATGGGGTTGTTTACATATTTGTGCCGTTCTGTCTCGAAGTGTTCGATTTGTTTGCTCATATGCTTGAGCTCGCGATCGAGGTCCTTCATGCGGTTCCGGATTGCTTCGATGCCGTAGTGGTGAGCGGCAGCAGTCAGGAAGAAACACTCGGAGACGAAATTGTTCTTGCCCTCAGCGACCTGGCCGTAAAAGGCATCAGACTCATGCTGATCGGCATTGATCTTTGTCTCATCCTTTAGGTCGACGCGCGATTTTCTCCTTAAATATGCAACTTCGACCTTGTCGATTTTGGAGAAGGCAGCGTCCATGAATGGTTCGCAGAGCTGGTCAAGACATGTGTTGACATTGATCATGAAGCCATCACTCGAGACGGTGCTCATGTCTACTCGCATGGCTCTTCGCTTGTGGTTCGAGTTGACCACGAATGCGAACCAGTCCAATACTTTCTCTCGGCATTGCGGCGATGAGCGGACAAGGGTGTTGATGATATCGAACAATTCAGTTTGGTGTGATCGAAGAGACAGCTGCAGTGCCTGTTGTGCATTTCTGATCCGACTGGGGTCCAGGGTTTTCGGACCTGGAAAGTACTGCTTGGTGACATCGGCTTGTAGAGGCGAGATGGCGAAATAGGGACCGAGGAATGTCTGGGCTTCAATCACCGACGCCGGTACCGACGGGTTCACGAAAGTTTCTGACTCTACCAGAGCAGCTGCAACCACCTTTGATCGGAGTAGTCGCCGAAGATTGGCTGTGTACCGCTGGTAGTCGCTGTTCATCGTTTCCCGGGCCAATCGTCTGCTCAATTCCTCCATTGCAGCGATGAACGCAGGCTTGAGACTCTCGTCCTCGTCGAAGCGATTCACAAGTTCCGTCAGGAAGTCATCGTCCAGGCCCTTTTCCTCGTCTGCATCTGCTAGTAAATGGTCTGCAAATGCGGCTGTACCGTTGTACTCCTGGCCAAACATGTCCGGTAACGTGAGCGCGAAGATAGTCCAGCTCATGCATAACCGTCTGGCCTCAGTGAGGATGTCCCATTTGGGGTTCTCAATCGTCTTGTCCCTGAATGTCCGCCGTATTCGATTGACCCGCTTCCATGAGCTGAGTAGCCAGTCGTGTGTCTTGACCTTGCCGAGATTCTGGCCACCCTCCATGATGGCCTGTTCCAGGTTGTCGACGCTCAATCTCAACTCTTTGCCATCTGCCTCGAGCTCTCCCCGCAGACCGGGTAGTGGGAAGACAGTATTGCCACCAGCATCTCGAGACTGTGACGGATCTAGCGACAGCCGGAATATTGACTTAAGGCTCCGGTCTTCATACTGCTCCAGCGTCTCTGCAGGCCTAGCAGGCGCTGTACTCGATGATCTTGAACTTGTGCGCTCCTGGCCATTTGTGTCTCGTTTCTGCGGAGTGACACCAGCGGGCGTTATTCGTATCGGGGCTGGTGCTGTCGAGGTGGGCGGACTTGGGATCTTTCGTACGGGCACTGGAGCCACCGATGGTGTCTGTGAGGCAGATCGAGCATTCTCTGCTGTCAATGACTGCGCCTCGGTGGTGGTCGTATCGGTGCTCTCAGGCGAGGCGGCGGGCGTGGAGGACTGTTGTTGGAGTTTGGCCAGTCGCTTGTTGCGAATCTGCTGCCGTCAGTATAGTCATGCAGCATACACGTGGTCATACCTTGTCCGCGTCTGAGCTGGGCTCCGCCATGGTGTTGTGTCTAGAGGCAACGACAGATCCGACGGCGAAGTCGAGAGGAGAGTCAATGTATGGCGGTCTCAATATGGATGAATAATGTAAAGTACTACTACATACCTACCCCGGGCACTCATCAGACTCGTAAGTGGGGCGTACTCCAACAGGCGCAGATGCCCGAAGAAGCAGGCGGAATCCGACAATAAGGCAACGCATTCAGGCGGCCAAAGCCACTGGTGAAGCCTGATTATGGGTCACTACAGGTCTGCAGTACCCGATTCACTTAAATGTGTGCTAGCGGACCTCTGGAAGATGTAAAGAATTCTGTACATTGCCAGACATCGAGTAGTGGGATGTTTGACCAACATGACTACCTGTCGGCGACCCCAAAGCGCTGCCAAATTCCATTCACAGGTCATGCCTCATTTGAACTCCACGCGCTCTAAGCATGATCAGTACCTCCGTACCACACGTAAATCGTCGAGTCTCTCGCAGGCCGGCATCCTTCTCTCTCGCGCCCTCTTCAGCCTAGCCTCATCCGTAAAGAAAAAGCCGTGTGCGTCCTGAATCTCATTCCGTTTTCTCTGCGTTTCGTCTGCACACTGATACTGCATGATATGTATGTACTCGTTCTCGGCTTTTTTGTCGAGATCGCGAAGTTTACTGGCCTGCCAACCATCGACATCCTTCGGGTTGACGTAATAGTCGACTTTGTGTTTTGGTGTGACCCTATGCATGGTCATTGGTGGCTGTGGTGCGTCGAAGCGGAATCCAGGTCCTGAGGAGCCCTCCCCGCTGAATAAAGACGACAGTAAGGGAAGGATGAACAGAAGTAGCAGCGGTAGGAGTTGCATCAATGCGGACCCACTTTGCTCTGGCTCGTTGCCATTCCGCGGTCTTCGTCGAGGATTGCGGCCACCCATCTGGTGTACTGTGAATCCTGGACCTCCGCCCATGTTAAATACAAACTGTGGGCCACCAAACCCGCCCTCTGTACGAATGTTAGCATTGAGCGCATATGAATTGGACCCGCTGTACGTACGCATGCCAAATGGGCCGCCGCCGAATCCGCCGCCGCCAAAGAATCGATTGAAGAGCTCTTCTGGTGATATTTCATCGTTAAACATAGGCCCTCCGCCCTGTGATCTGGCAAATCCGCTGAATGGCGAGGCACCCGCACTCGGGCTACCAGCGCCAAATCGACTGTCCGGATCACCACCAGTTCGATCATATTGCGCCTTCTTGTCAGCATCGCTCAATATTTGAAATGCCCTCGACACCACTATAGTCTGGTTAGCCCACTACCAGATACGCCCAAGATCCTGCACATACTCTTAAACGCCTCGTCTGCGCCATCGTAGCCATTCTTGTCCGGATGTGTCAACAAACTGATCTTCCGGTATGCCTTCTTGATCTCGCCATCGCTACTTGTCTTGGTGACTGATAAAATCTCATAGAATGATGTCGGACTGCATTTTCGTATCCTAAGCACTTCTGCTTTTTGTTGGGGTGTGTATGTCTTGTCCTGGTTGCCCTGGCTGTGGTTGCGATTTGTGGCTGATCCATTTGGCTGCGTTGATGAGCCCGATGCCGTTGCGGACATGCCGCTGAAGATGTGGTGAAAGCACTACGGCCAGACACGAGGACTGATGACGCCTAGTATAGGGTATTCGTGCAAGCTACCAGCGTATCGAGGCTATGAGGGACCCGTTGAATGGCTGCAGGGCGTGTTCGGGCGTTCGCGACAGTCTAGAAGCAGTGTTTGGTTATCGATATAGGTGGTCTCTTCTCCATGTGCCTGCGTCTCGCGGCGTCTGGCGCAGAGAGCCTCTGGCCGCGACCGTAGCAAATTATGACGTCGATACAAATCCAGGTACTTCAAGTTAGTACATCTACTCAGCTATGAGCACATGAGCAGCTTCAACTGTGCAGTCACTACACTTGCATAGCTGCTGCCTCTGTCCAGTGTCTTTCCAGTCGACGCGTACCTTCTGCTGTTTTACTGGACTGCTATTCAAGCAATCATGGCCGACTCCGACCCCAAGAAGCAACAGGATTCCCTCATCATAACGGCCAAAAAATGGGGAGGTAAGAGCTCTACTTCTGTCATGCATAGCTTCCAGCACAGTGCATACTGCACTTTCTGTCTGGCTTCCGCACAAGTCTCCTCCCTAGCAAATAGCGAATGCGTCTGACATTTCCCAAGCAATTCTCCTGACTGCTCTCCTAGAAAACCCTCTCCCACCAGCCGTCCTCGCAACCCTCGTCTTCGCCCAACATGCTAGACCGTTTCAGCCAATGCCCATGATCTTCCCACCTCTACTGCTCTTCAGCACGTATCTCAACATACGTGGCTACAAGATCGACTCTGCCGGCACCACTGCTGCTCTGTCTGGCGCATATCTTGTCATTGCAGCTAGGCGGAAAGCCGGCCTATGGAACAAGTTTGGCACAAGAGGCATAGTTAGAGGAGCCACGATGGGTCTGGCTTTGGCGAACGTGGTAGGCGGTGGTTTGGGCTACATGTTCGGGAGCCGGAAGAAGGAGTCGGAGGAGAAAGATGGGGGCTTGTGAGTGGGCCGGAGACAGCATTGTTGCGGTGTTGCAGCGATCGAGAATCAACACTACAATCTCACGCGTTCTTTAACGTTACTTCCAAGGAGCCACAAAGGACTGCCCACACAGGCACGGCGCTCCATCTGGTGCTCGCTCGGACGTCTCGGATACACTGACTGTGAGACTGAATTCGCCCCACCAAACAGCAATAGGTGCTGCTTTGGTATGGCATCCCCAAAGCTGCACTCTCCTCTTCCTTGAGCAGAAGAAAGAAGGACAGGCCGACGAGAGCAGTACGACTACTTATACCCCCTTGAAGAAGGTGGAGCTCGAGGGGAAGGCGGCACATTCACTGTCCGTTGCATGATCGAGCCTTCTCCAGTGAATGGACATGCTGACGACGGCTGTTGATGGTAGCTTGAGATTCTTCTCAGAGCGCATCACACAACGACGATAATCCGTGGTCACAAACCTACGCGAGAGCCACTGTAGCGTCAACGATGGGCTAAGATCGTCACTGCCCAGGCTTGTGGACAGCTCTTTGCAGCAGTGGAGGCGCTGATAAACGCTGTCCAACTATGCAGAATGCAGAAAGAGGTTTAGACACCCATCGTGGCCTTAAGTGTGGCCATTGACGCCGTTTGCCACGCCGTTGCTGGCCGCCATTAACCTCTCCTGCCATAGCAGAGGCTTCTCGGCAAGTTTCACAAGGCCTGCCTCTCCTCCAACCTTCCGCTTTTCTGCCCACTCATCGATATCAGTCTGATCAACCCAATTGCCATGCAGACCTAGCTTCAGCTTCAATGGCAAATTGATCACAGCAATCGGTCCCTTCGCTATGTTCAAACTCTCAAAGATCAGAACATCATTCCTGAGCATATCCAGATGATTGAGCAGACATATCACCCACCCATCACCTTCACCACCGCCCTGTTCCGGAATAAACGTCGGCTCCTGCAATGTACACGTCGGGCCAGCAAACCACTTATCTTCGACCTTACCCTCCCAGCTGAACCTGCCCATCGTGTTGAACAGCCCACCAGCCGGCGGACCGCACTTGGCAAAGTCATACGGCTTCGACGGATCGATACACAGTTGCCAGAAATGGTTGTATCTCTTGGTCACCCATCTGTCGTCGATGCGGCTGAACTCTCCGTTGGTGTCCCACACCTCAGCAGGCTTCACCCGCGTACCCGACGGCGCTGACGGGTCGAAGATCCAGCGAGTCGTCGGACTGTTCAGTTGGCTCCGCTTGTTGGGGGGAACAGGCTTTTTGCCATCCTCCGGAAAGAAGAAAAAGACATTGCCATCTGCGACTGTGAGATCGTACACAATATGGCCGGCTTCGTTCTCATAGCATCCTGCGATGTGGCCTGTCGAGACGATCAGCACATGCACACTTCTCAAAAGGCCAACAACACTGCCGCCCGGAGCACGCCACCGACGCATCACGAACAAATAAAACTCACCATGAAACCCGTTATCAGCCCTAAACCACCTAACATCCTCCTTCCTCCCACCTCTCCTCGGCACAAGCGCATACCACTGATCCTCCTGCCCATCCCACGCGAAATGATTTCCACCTCGCCTCAACCTCTCCGCATCCGCCTTCAACGGTGTCAACGGCAACACCACATAATTCTCACTAATCCCACAATCGTGTATCATGCCACAAAACGGCGCCTCGAACCACAGTTCCTCCGTTACAATTCCTTCCTTGCTGACGGTCCACACAACCACATCGCGGCTCGCGTCGTGCCCGTCCCCACCGGCCTCGTACGCGAAACACAGCATCTCCCCCGTATTGGGGTCGAATTTGGGATGCGCGGTGAAGCTAGGAGTGCGGATCTGGCCTTCAAAGTCATACCGGCCCAGCGTCTCGAGCGTAGTCGGGTCCATCGCATATGGCGGTCCGTCCTCCTTGGACGCAAGCAACATACCACGATAGAAAGTAATATTAGTGTTCGCAGCAGTACGAATCACACCAGCGACGGTAGGCGAATCCGTAAAAGGGTTACGGTAGCGGCCGAAAAGAGCCCTCCGGGCGGATGTCTCGCGGAGGTATCGCTCGGTATGCACATAACGTTGGGTGAAGGAGGCGAGGGAGGAGTTAATGTGGATGGCGGTCACGCTGCCGTCGCCGTTGAAGTGGATGTCGTCTTCGAAGAGGGGCGGGTAGCGGGCGTCTGGTTGGATGCGGTAGAATGTGCCGTTGATTGAAGAGGGGATTGTGCCAGTGTATGTCAGGCACTCAACGGTGCCTTCGATGCGCGAGGGCGCGTTGAAGCCCTGGAATGCGCCCGTTGATGGATACTGGACTGGGAATGGACCAGTTTTGCGGCCGTCGGCGTATGCTGGTCCAACGTCGACTTGGCCGGCGATGTCGAAGATGTGTGCCATGTTGGTAGTGTACTTACTATCAAGACATCAATCATGAGAGTATGCTTCCAAGCCCAGCAGAGCGATAGGACAAGCTTGTAGGACGGTCTTCTTGGAGAAGGCCATCGGCAGCATTGTGACGAGATGTGGTATAGCATGTACATGTGAATCTGTCCACGCAAAGCGGAGAACCTTGCTCTAGGACTTTCTAGAGCCAGGAGGTGCCGTCTGGGGTCGGACAAATGCTTCCGAGATGCGGTCTTCGACAAATGAGCTTCCACAGGATGGAGATTCTGGGGTATAAGAGTGGAGAAACACCTCTTTGTCACCGTCTGCCGAGACCACCATACCGTGGGGCTCGGGGCTGCACTGAACATAAGTACCACTGCTCGGCCCCGGAGACGTGTTCTCAAACCTGACTGTATGCTGTACGTGTGCTAAAAGGGTATTCTCAGCGTTGTTCCCTGCACTAGATGGAGGCAGAACTCGCACAGCTCAAGGAGCAGGTAAAGGCGTTGACGGCTAGAGTCAACAAAGTCCAAGGTAAGTAATAATTGGAACTGTTCAGCAGCGGAACATGTTGTGTACTAATACAACCCACAGATGAAGCAGAAGTCCGCAAAACCCACTTCAAATACGGCTACTACCTCGACAAATGCCTCTACGAACAAGTCGTAGACATGTTCTCCGACCACCCAGACGCCTACGTCGAGTTTCTCGGCTCCCGCTATCGCGGTAAAGAAGGCATTCGCCGCCTCTACATCGGCCGCTTCGCTCGCACGTTCGTCAATGGCCGCAATGGCCCTGTCCATGGATTCCTGCTCGATCACCCCATGCTGCAGGACATCATCGATGTGAATGAGGACGGGACGCACGCTTGGGGGCGGTTGAGGGCATTGATGAGTGCTGGGACGCACGATAGTATTAGGGAGACGCATCCGAGGGGACATGCGCAGTGGTGGGAGGGTGGACTGTATGAGAATGAGTATATCAAGGAGGGCGGGGCGTGGAAGTTGTTCAAGTATCGGTATTTCCCGTTCTGGCATGGGGAGTTTGAGAAGGGGTGGAGCCATACGAAGCAGAACTATATACCGTGGCCGAAGGTGACTTATCCGGAAGGTAGGTGATGCTGATGAGCCGTGACAGTGGTATGGATCCTAGCTGACCGTGCATACCAGATCCATACGGCCCCGATGAGTTGCTCGAGCAGAAGATGCTGTGGCCGGATACCAGGGTGGTGCCGTTCCATTACCCGCATCCTGTGACGGGGAAACATGTTGCGGAGGATGACTTGCGAGCACCGCATTACGGGAAAGATGTAAGCACATCTGATCCCCCATTGTCGCTGGCTCCGCCAAAGGACCAGCAGGAGAGGTCGCAAAGTGATGGCGGTGCAGCGACTAGCACCAGCACCTTACAGAATGGCACGAATGGGGACACCAAGGAACTCCGTCAGGAGGTGGAGCATATCGAGATCGCAGCCTGAGTCGTGTGTATCGAGAGGACATGGTGAATTCGGTTCGGCATGCCGCGGTCGGTCGAACAAAGCCAGTGGATATGATAGTAATTGAGCTAACATCCACGGCGATACGTAAAGTCAACTCCATAGCCTAGGCAGCAAGAAAGGTCATGATCCGACGGCGCCATACCAACTTAGTCCCAGGACGCCTCCCGCAACGATAGCAACGGGTGGAGGCACCCCAAACCATGCATTGCTGGCGTAAGTCAAGGCCGTGACCACGACCCACCAAGGATCTCTGCCCAAGCTCTGCCCATTCGAGGCGTCTTGCGACAGGTATCCAATCTCCCACAAGCGATACACTGCTGTGAACACCAATCCAACTGCTGTGGCATTGATACCACGTAACAAGCTAGTGACCGCGCGCTGCTTGCGCAACACACCCCACAGACTCTGAAAGCCCACAGCAAGTACGATTCCAGGAGTGAAGATGCCCGCGTAGCCAATAAATGCCCCGAGCACAGTCGAGTTCGGCGTGCCCAAGACTGCCAGTGCGCCCAGAAAAATGGCAAAGTTGAAGTTTGGGCCAGGAAATGCCTGTATGATCGCAAGGCCGATCAGGAAGTCTCGGGGCGAGACCCAGCCTGGTTCGACCACATACTCTCGCAAGAGGGGAATGACAACTGGTCCACCACCGAAGATTATGGTTCCGGCCAGGTACATGTTTGCGAATAGGTCCAAAGGCCGCGGAGGAGATGTGAGTACGCCACGAGTGACGAGTATTGCGATGAAGGATGCTAGAGTATGTCAGCAACGTGTCACTCAGGATCAAGGGTGACACTGACCAAAGAATACGGCGATTATGGTGAGACCAATCGGCACGGGGATTGCATAAGACTGAACATCAGTACGATCACTGTCGATAGCAGTAGCAGGAGCTGACTCTTGGGTCGCTTGTACTTGGTTCGAGGCTTGTGCTGCGTGTCTACGCTTTTCATGACTGCAGGTGATCGGCCCAGGCTTTCCAACAGTCCTTTCCGGTAGCTCGATAGGCTGGCTCGCCGCTTCTTCGGTAGCGCCAGGATCTGGAGCGACAGCGGCGGTATTAGCCTGCCGCTTCTTTTCAGCTCGTTGTGCTCGCCACGACGAAATTCTCTGCTGCAGCCAGAGATCCCAGACGACGGTGACAATGCCACCGGCAACGATGAGCAGAGGGAAGTACCAAAGTGCGCTGTAGCACATCCCAAATGTTGCGCCAAAGATCACCAGAACACGAGTCAGGCGGTCTTTGATAGCTTTCTCGGCAAGCTAGGGCTGCCGTCAGTCCCTTCCAGAGTTTCTCAGACCCGGTGCAGAAGACCTACCTGCACAGCGGCGAGCGCCACGATGCCAACCGTGGAAGCGTTCAGACCAGATAAGAACGCGTAAGCTGGTGCCGGAAGCACTTCATCGATCTGCTGCACGCCAAGAGCTAGACCGAACATCCCTATCGCTCCTGGAAGACTCCATAGCAAGAAGGTGATGATTGCGGGAACGATGCCTGCGTGTAGGTTCACGATGCAGAAGAGCATCTTCGTAGAACCTGGGCCAGGGAGCGCTTGGCAGATTGCAAATAGCTCCTGGTACTAGATCATCAAATTGCGTCAGCCATTGCCTGCCACGGAGCATGCTGATCGTCACCGTCCCCATGGTAAGCCACGATTGCGACTCACCACTCGTTCGTCGATCCAGGGAATTCTTCCGTGCGTCCCTTCCACGAACCTGCGATGGGCAATCTGGAAATGTACAGGCGGTCCGCCGAACGCTGTGAAACCCAAATCCCATGTCCGCGCCAGTACATCGCCCATGCGGGCTGCAAACTTGCTGGTGTTGGCGGTATAGGCATTGTCCGCGTTGCGTGAATAGGCGCGTACAGCGCGGATACTAGATGAGAGACTCATGACCGAGTCCTTGGGGGCAGATGCACACGAAATCGCAGGTTCGATGCAATTCGAGCCGTGGCCGCCCTGGCTCGGGTCACAATGTGTTCGGATCACAACCGTGAAATTGAAACTGTGCCTTCTTCAGGTCGGATCCCGACGCTGGACAGAGAGGAATGATCAGTTGAGCAGGCATATCTACTTCCCTAGCAGATTTCGCGTGCCAGGACGTAAACAAGAGGAAGCCAAGGATGGAGACAGGCACGTGGTGAATTGAGTGGTTGCATGAGCAAGACCGGATGACAGGCTAAAAAGTACTTAGACGAGACCGGATGACGGCACTGAAAACGCCTAAGACCAAGGGACATCGAGGGACCTTGCATAGTCGCTGAAAACGCCGGATGAACAGGATGATGCTCGGCCATACGCAGAACCGATTGACCTTTGGTTAGGCTTATCTAGCGGCAGATGACAGGCGAGCGGAAGTTGAGTAAAGTTGCTGGGCGTTACCGCACAGTGTTACTGAGATAAACAGGTAGTCCGTAACCTGCTCTAGCAGCAGATTCATCTACTATCTGTTCAGCACGAATCTGTACTCTGGATGCGACTGGTCTGACTCGATCAACAGGCTAGTATATATATCACAGCAGGGATCTGACTCATCTGCAAAGCACTTGCACCAGCCCCCTTTCCTTTCCTGTCTACCCGTCCATTCCTTTCTTCCTTACATCTTCCTCAAATTCTCTTCTCACTTTTTCAGCGATCCCGTCTTCCGTCAAGATCCTCCACCCCACAACCGCTATTCCCTTCGCACACACCACCGCCGCCTCATACGCCTCGTTCGTTCCCGCGCACGCCGTAAAGTCCGGCATATGATTGAACACCCCATCCGGACACGGAATCGCAAAGACGCCGTGAAACGCAGGCACCTCGTAGCTAACATTGCCCTGGTCCGTCGAGCCGAGGCCCGCTTCGGCTGTGTCGGGTTCATGCAGGACGCGTGAGCCCAATTCGCGCATGGCGTCAGTGTAGAGCGTGCAGATGGTCTTGTTGGGACGCATGTCGGCGTACTTGTTGAGGTGCTCGATCGTAAGGGTCGTGCCGGTGGCAAGGGCGGCGCCTTCGAGGCAGGCCACGACGCGATCTTTCAGGGCGTTTACTTCCGATGAGGTCGTGCTACGGACGTAGTACTGTGTAGTAGCTGAGGCAGTGATGGCGTTGGGCATTGTGCCACCATCGAGGATCACAGAGTGAAGCCGATCTGTGGGGCGAGTCTGCTGTCGGAGCATGCTGACGCCATTATAGGCCAGAACGACGGCGTCAAGGGCATTGAGACCTTGAAACGGAGCGAGCGCGGCGTGTGCAGGGCGGCCGGCGAAGTGGGCGTTGAACTGGTCGTATGCGAGGAAGTTGGTGTAGGCTTGGCCGCCGTATTTGGTGACAGTGGGAATGCAGCCGCATGACTCACAGGTGGTGGTACTGGATTTCCCTATTGCCATGCCGGTAGTAGGGTGGACCATCAAGCAAGCGTCTACGTCTCGATAGGCGCCCGCCTCGATGAGTTTGCACTTCCCGCCGCCATACTCTTCAGCGGGTGTGCCCAGCAAACGGACTCTGCCAGGGACATTGCTAGCCTTGAGGGCGGATGCAAGGCCGATGAATGCAGCTATGGAAGACATGGCAATTAAGTTGTGCCCGCAGGCGTGTCCGATGTCTGGCAGGGCATCGTACTCGGCGTTAAAACCATATTCGGCTTCGAAGGCGGTTGATAGACCGTAGGCATGTGGTGTTACTCTGAAGTTGAGGGACTGCAAGAGGGAGACGATGTTGTCGTGGGCGAGGAACTCTTCGTAACTTAGCTCCGGGTTCTTGTGAATCTAAGTCGAGGTGAGAAAGGGGCCAGGACCAGTTCTGAATGAACGCTCACCTGGCTGTTGATCGACCTCGGTTCTGTATCGTGTCTTTCTATCGTGCTATAAATCATCTCTGTGACGTTCTTCGTGATATAGCTGGGAGAGACCATACTGCCCTGGTGATCCTGGGCCGTAGTACTGAACATATCTTGCATTGCTACGTAGTTGCCACGAGAAACGCAAGAGTAGATGCTACTCAGGAGCAATCGGGATGTTGCTTGAGGAGAGAGCCTGTTCTCCCTGGGTTCCTAGAAGTGGTTGTGCGACAAGCAGATGTCCCTCGCCGACGGGAAGTCAGACGCTGCATTGGTTCAGGAAGGAGCAAATCTGTCTTCTATCACTCAGATCCCTTCCTTCATGTTGCAAATGACTTCCGACGTACTTGAGGTGCACCAGTCTCCGAGCAAGGCTTTTTATGCCAGGGGGTTGTCGAAAGCTGGGATCGGTCGGGCCTCCTCGTTCATCGCATACTTTCATATATCGCATAGTATGATGCATTGCTTCGAACCATCGTTCAATCGCTTTCCGAAGCGAGAAGCGCATCGCTTTGGTCACTACCCGGTGCTCCAGCTGACGAAATCGTGATAGTGAGCATAGCTTGATAGAATTGTTCTTACCAAAGAGAAGATTTTTCTGCCGACGTCGCTCGGCACGTAGAAGCGGGTTCAGAGTTGCTACACAGCCTGGCGTTCCTGAATGGTCATCCCGAAGTCGTAGCATGATAAGACATCGAGTCCGGTGGTAGCCGTGGCAAGGGAAGACATCTCTCATCTTGTTGATACTAATCGTCGTGCTACTGAGCAAGCATTGACCCGTAAAAGTCGCTTACGGTAGGAGATTGGTCGATGCTGATGTTGATTTCGAGCCAGCCATAGGCTTTGGCTTCAAGACTTTCGCACGTTTGAGGCGGCAGTCACGGTCGCGTGTACCGGCGTCGGCTGCCGCTCACAGAGCAACTACCAGTGGCTGACCTCTTAAGCAGCTGTTCAACGCTCATTGCATTTGGCAACCTCATCTCAGGCACGTCGTAGTGTCGCGTCGACATATCGCCTTGTCCGTGACGGATTTTGGCGGCCCGCCTTTTCAATCTCGGCGATCATCCCTAGCGGCCAATCAGAAACATCACTTGGCGAGACCGGTTGACGTCTTTGAGTGGAAATAAATGTCCGATGCAAGTGCCACCCACCAGCTTGACTGAGTTGAGCGGGCAAATGGTGAACATTTCTGTTGAGTCACTCGGTCTCGCTAGCCAGGTCCCCAATCTGGGGCGGTAGCACGAAAGCTTTGCAAGAGGCAAAGATATTTATACCGTACCAGAACTCCCTACCGTAAAGCAACATGTGCGGACAGAGAGTCCTTCAGGCCTGTCCCTATTCGCCCTCTCTTCATAGCACTGCAACGGCACTGTATCCTGGAAGCCCTCATGCTCTCTCTTCGGACTCGTTTTTGTCCGTTTCTCTTTGTACAGGGGATTTTGATATTCATCCAATTGCAGGCCCGCCTCTCAATCCGCCTTCCCACCACCGTTTGCTCCATGCCCCAACAAGCCCTCCTTCCCATCGAGCCTGATGTAGCCATTCGAGCCGCCGAACTGCTTTATCCTGCTGCCATTCTTCATCACTGTGAACAGCACCACGACCGCGCCAATAAGCACGATTATGCTGAGTATAGGGTGATATGTGCCAAAGTTCCGGATCTGGAAGATGACGTTCTCGAAGGCGCCGATTGTGGATTTTGGCGTCAGTCGTGGCGGATTGCTGACTACTCGGGGTAGCGTTTCGAGGATGGAGGTGCGGCTGGGGACGATGTAGTTGCCGGTGTCGGTGAGGTCCCAGTAGCGGCGGTTCTGATGTGACTCGTTAGCTGGATCAGAATTAGACGACGTGGAAGTGGGGACTTACGTCTTCATCGTTGATGATAACCCGCTCGCCCTTAGTCACATCAATGCCATATGTGCTTCGGAGCCATCGCTCCCAAAACACACCGTCGACAAAGGCGAAGTGCACGCCCTTGCGGAAAGAGTCTTCAGTGATGCTAATGACCATGCTCTTTGCTTGGCGCAGTGCGCGCTGGTCGTCACGATCCTCCGCTTCTTCTATTCTCAGCTGCTTTGAATCACGCAGTTCTTGTCTCTCAAGCTGGTAGAGCTGGGTCTGCTTGTCCATCCATTCCAGAGCAGCGTTCTTCAGCTCGCGTCGCGACTGTAGAAATTCGTCAGGTCTCGACCTGTCCAAGATGCCGAGCACGGCATAGTGGCCATTAAGGATATCCTTGGCGTTGGTGGCGGTCAGTTCAGGAACGAGTGGTTGCCAGACGGATTGCATCCACTGCAGGACTTTGCGGAAGTCACGCATATCTTGTGGCGACAGCGCGTTGTAGAAGCTTGGCCGGCCGTCCCGCGAGACCAGTAATCTAGGCCAGGTGGAGATCCTGAACCTGTTCGCCATGATCGGGTCGTCTGTCTTGACAATCTTTGCATGCCCTATCAGACTGAGCGTGAGTCTGTCCAGAGCCACAAAGTCTTCGCTTGTGGTGGCGTGGTCGAAGAAATAAACGAAGATAACTTCTTCCGTCTCTTCCATTTCCTTGAATTCGGCGGCAGAGACTTGCTTGACATCACTGTCCAAAGCCTTTGAGGTATAGGAGATGAGATCACCGAGACCACGCAGACCGCTGTACTCAACTCGCTCACCGCCCCGGAAGAAGTAGATGGTGGGATAGGCGTTGACATGTGCTTCCTTGCACAGTCGTGGCGTCGCCTCACAATTGACCTCTCCCACATTAAGCTTTCCTTCCATCTCTTTTGCCATTTGCGACCAAACGGGCCCAAGATGCTTGCAATGTGGACACCAGGGCACATAGAACTTGATGAACCACGGAGCTTGTGCATTCGTGACCAATTTCTGGAAGGACTCTGGAACGAGCTCGACCGATATTCCATTGGGATTGGGAGTAGGTCCTTTCTTTGGGGTCGGCTTCTTCCAGCTAGACTTTGCCGTTTCTGAAGGTGTGACAGCACTAGATGAGGTGGCTGCCTCTTTGGCCTTCTCATTGTGCTTCTCGCCAGCAGCCGCGCCAGCAGCCGGGTTCTTGTCCTTCGCCTCTGATACGTCTGGCGTTGCATCGGCGTCGGTCCCTTTTGCGCCAGCTTTGGGCACCTTGACTCCTTCAAGAGGCCGTGAGCCGGGTTTGATGCCCTCGAGCTTCTCCTCAAGATATTTGCTGAAGCCCTGCATGTCTTTTGCGCCAACGAATTTCTCAACGAATTCACCGTTCTTGTACAGATTGAACGTCGGATAGGCCTTGATCTCGAGCTTGTCGCACAGATCGCCGGACGTGATGCAATTTACCGTTCCAAAATGGAAGTCGTAGTAGCCATGGAAACTGTTGGGCGAGTCCAGGTCAGGCTTATCGGACTTAGTCCTGCCCTGTAATGGATCGGAGGTGTAGTAGAACTCATATATGGTTTGCCATAATGGGGCAACTGCCTTACAGTGGCCACAATACGGCGAGTACATCTTGATCCACCTGTGCGTATGGTTAGAAATTCCATTCTACTTTCTCGTTCCACATGCAACGTACCAGTTTCCGTTCTTGACGCTTGTCTCAAAGTTCGCCATGGTCAATTCCTCGATAGGTGGGACTTTCTGACCATTGAACAGCGTATATTCGACGCCCTCCCCTGATGCTGCGGATGACTCGCCCTGGACGGCATCGGCGGCGATCTTAGCATCTTTCCTGTCGCCAGGAGGTGCGGGCTCTGCGAAGGATCCCGCCGCCAGGGCAAGGGCCCACGCCAGCCACACCGGCCGCATGATTACGGAGAGTCTTATGACAACTCTTCAGAATTCTCGGACCGTGGAGGCTGTCGTGGATGTGGTCATTGATGGGATGTTCGTGGGATGAGGTGGAATTAAGTATGAGTATTGTACAGGTGTATACGTCGAAGGCGACTGGACAACGAGTGGTGGGGTGAAGGTGAACAATCAGAAGAAGCGCAGTGGAAAAGAAAGGCGACAAGTGCGACTGTCTGCGCGCGACCTGAAGCGCAAGTTTATCGGCACAGCTGTAGTTGTCTCGAGGGGCGTTGATACGGACTCATCCGCTGGGGAGGGAGGAATAGACTAGTCATTTACCTGCCGGATCTCTTGGCGGCTGAGTCATGCTCCGATGCTTCAAGTTGGAGGACCTCGACGTCTGTAGTAGTGACATCGAGGTTTCTATATACCAAGCTTGCAGGTTGCTACATACATTCCAAATCGCGCCCGTAGCTTCTGGAGTGGGCTGTCTGCAACCATGAGGAGCTCCGCGAGGCTGCTAGCCAACGTCACAAAATACCTCGAAGCAAACACGCCCACCGGTCTCACAGGCCTGACCACCCATCCTGCGCCTCGGCCAGCCCTCATCTACACATACAAACAGACGCTCAAGAGCTTGCAGCAAATACCACAGTGCGTCTATCGGAAGTCCGTCGAGAATCTCACAAAGCATCGCTTGGCTATTGTCGAGACTGAGGTTCCCGAAGGTTACGAAGCATGGAAGGACCGAGTGCGCAAACAGCTTGACGCATCTCCTCAAGCATACGAGAAGTTCAAGAACGAGGATGGGAGCTATTCCCACGATTGGATTTCTCTACAGAAGGCCGTGCCCTGGGATGGCGAAGTGACAAGGAAATCTGCCCGAAGCATAATGTCCAAGGGCTTAGCTGATGCAGAAGCCAAAGCAAAGGCTGCGCAAGCTGAGGTTGACGAGATTGAGAGGGAGGAGAGGGAGGGTCCAGTGCCAACCGTTGAGGATATCGAGGTCGAGCCGCCCTTGACCGCCCAACAGTGAGTTGGCCTATTGCATCTTTTGACACCTCACTGACCCGAGCAGGATCGAAACCATTGAGAACAAAATCGGTGCTGGTCTGATAGAGGAAGTCATCGCGGTTGCAGAGAATGAGTTCGAGCTAGTCGATTCCATGCTGAAGGCTCAGCCGTATGTTACCTATCTCTCCGTATGTGAAGTTGCTCTAACGCTCCCAGGTGGGAACCGCTCGAGGAAGAAACACCTCCGGGTCAGTGGACATACTTCGAGCGCGGCGATCGTGTATAGATATCAGACGAACCATGAGCATTTTGCGATATCAGCAACATTACTGCTGAGTGTTCTGCGCTTGAAGTGTGCACCTGTCATCGTTTCTGGAAATGTTACCCCGACCTAGCAGGACTGCAATTGCCCATGATTTGGTAATAGGGCGTTATCTGTGGCGCTAGCTAAGACCTGGTCGGAAATGCTCGTTTTTGCCCTATTGCATCAGAGTGGTGGCCCACCATTCACCCAAGGACATACTGTTGGTTCGGTCAAACTTGGGCGTAGAGGCAGCCTTGTACAAGCTCTACTGCCTACACGCCTTGGCCTCGACAGCTGCGCGCGCTCTCCTTACTCCCAGTGCCCCGGGGCGCATTGTCTGGGCGTCCCACAATCGAAATGGCACCTTCGTCGCCTTTCGGCCTCGGTCTGCATGCACTGCCGGTGAATCAGCAGTTCATCGTGCCACGAAGTGACCACTTCGACCGCTAGCCCTTTCACACATTGTTGCCACAACTATCGGCCTATGGAGCATGCGGCAACTGTGACTATTTACGCAGCCAACCAGCCAGAATTAGGTGGCACAATCCCGTTATGTGCAAAGCTCCCCAGCTTATGCAACAAATGTTGTACTCGCGAAACATCGCAGTCCTACGCGATCGCGCCAATGAGAATAGAAGCACTAGTAGTGGCACTCACGAAGTACTGCCTGGAACGCCTGACTCAATGCTTACGTAGGTAGGATCTGGGTAGATCTCCTGCCGCGACAATCGGGTACCTAGCCGTTTCGTTCAGGCCTGCTCCTTGCGAGCTGCTGACCGCCCAGTTCAAGGCACCGTATCTCCATCACGTTGATCCGCCGTCCGCTTACATACGTTGTGATATTACCGAAGCCTACCTGAAAGCGAAAGCTGGGGCAGGAACACTGTCCATTTTCGGCAGGACGTGGAGTGGAGCCAAGCCAAACCTCACAGACTACTGCCGCATCAACGCGGCCTTCAACAATTCCGCCGGCCTGCAAATTTCTTCCTCAGCTCATCAATACCGCCGTCGAAGCGGCAGATAAGTGGTAGGTGCTTCAACCTCATCAGCGGCCGGTATGTCCGCGTCTGGCGGGCCGCGGGTCAAATCAAATCATCGACCAGGGGGCGTGACTGGACCGTGACTATCGTACAGCATGAGCCAAGTCGACCTGCATGGACCACGACTCGAATACGTTCCCAGAAATGGCACATCTGACATAGTCTAGTCAATGCGTCTATGTATCGGGACTCCAGTGCGAGCTGGTCATCGCCCATGCTTTGTGGATCTGGAATCATAGAGCCACCTGCCGACATAGGCATCGCTGAACTTTCAGTAGTGCCAACTTGCAACCGACACACTTTTGATCGTCCCATCCTCCAAACCCTGTACTTGGCCGCCTGACAGTTAGCTGATGCTAACTGCGGCAATCATATGTCTGTCGCCCAGGATGGATCGTGCTCTCACAACGATGTATAAGACGCCAGTGGTCCCCGGCTGCCCTCTCCCCGACTATTCAGACGCATCACAGTATCATCACTCAAGCCTCACGTACCAGACACAAGGCACTACGAAACACCGGTATCATTGCAGTCATGGGTTCCGTTGCTTCTGACACACCCATCGAGACTCGCCTTTTCATCAATGGCGAGTTCGTACCCTCCAAGTCCGGAAAGACCTTCGAGGTCAAGAACCCCGCCACCTTGAAGCACGTCGCCCACGTTTCCGAAGCCAGCGTCGAAGACGTTGACATCGCCGTCGAAGCAGCCAAGGCCGCTTTCCCAGCATGGAGTGCCCTCGCTGCCATGGAAAGACAGGGCTGGCTTTACAAGCTCGCCGATGCCTTTGACGCCGAGCTCTCCGAGATCTCTCGTCTTGAGGCCCTGAGCATGGGCAAGCCTACGTACCAGGACGTCAGTGCCATGGGAACTGCTATCATGCGCTATCAGGTTGGTAAGGCATACGACATTCAGGGCGAAACTTCATTGCATACCCCTGGGTTCGTCAATATGACTTTTCGACAGCCGTTTGGCGTCACTGCAGGCATCATCGTACGTGTTCCCATGAACCTGTATCAGGCGAGACATTGATCTCCCGGTCCTTCTCCTTCGAGGTACATGTTCATGCTGACAGGTACAATAGCCCTGGAACGTGACGTGGCTCATGCTGTAAGTCCGCTACTCACTTCTTCCCTGCAGAGGACCCCGATCACCGTGAAGCACCCAATTGCGCTTGGATTCGCATTCATACATGAACCAGCATAGCTGCACACCACCTTCCCCGCGTCAGACCAAACGGTCTTTCCCAAGCGTGGCTTTCTTCCCCAGTCCAGCGCAGAATGCGACAAAACACATCGCCCACAGCCGTTATGCATGCGCTAACGACTAATACAGGATAATGAAGATGACACCTGCGCTCGTCTCAGGTAACACCATGGTCCTCAAGACGTCAGAAAAATCGCCCCTATCGCCCCTCATTGCGGGCAAGGCCATGAAGAAGATCGGCTTCCCCAAGGGTGTCTTCAACATTGTGCATGGCTTTGGGCGTCCCACCGGCGAGGCCCTCTCGGTAAGTCTTCACCCTCATCCCTTTTCGAGAAGCGAGAATGTGGTCCATGATGTTGCAGTGCTTCGCGGCCCACTCCCATCTCCTCATCGACACGCACCGTCCCCTCCAATACCTTCGCTACACATCAATCCACTAACTCCCACATCAGAAACACATGGAAATCCGCAAACTCTCCTTCACCGGCTCCGCCCCAACCGGCCGCCTCATCAAGAAGGCCGCCGCCGAGTCCAACCTCAAAAACGTCACCCTCGAGCTTGGCGGCAAATCACCACTCCTAATCTTCCCGGACGCCGACCTCTCCAAAGCCGTCCCCGCCGCCGCCTACTCCATCCTCATGAACAGCGGCCAAGCCTGCATCGCCTCCTCCCGCGTCTACGTCCACGAAAGCATCGCCCAAGACTTCATCACCCAAATGAAAACCGCCATGCAATCCATGGGCAAATCCGGCGATCCCCTAGCAGAAGGCACCCTCCGCGGCCCCCAAGCAGACCAACTCCAATTCGACCGCGTCCTCTCCTTCCTCGACCACGCCAAAGAGCAAAAAGTCCCCACTGCCCTCGGCGGCTCCAAAGAGTCCAACACAGGAGGCCTCTACATCGAACCCACAATCTTCACTTCCGTCCCCGAAGATTCAAAGCTGATGCGCGAGGAGATCTTTGGGCCGGTAGTCTGCATTAATACTTTCACTGACGAGGCCGAGGTCCTGAAACGCGCTAACGATACGGAATACGGGCTTTATGGCAGCGTTTTCACACGGGACGTGTCCCGGGCGCTGCGCATTGCGAAGAGTTTGGAAGCCGGGACTATTGGGATCAATTGCACGAGCCGACTATTAGTCTTGATATGCCGTTTGGCGGGTTCAAGCAGAGTGGGGAGGGGAGGGAAGGGAGCAAGCATGTCTTTGATCATTGGACTGAGTTGAAGACTGTGTTGATTGCGCTGTGATTGAGCGAGGTGAAAGTTGATGGTGGCAGGATTGAACTACAAGTACCGGGCGGTTCTCTTGTAGTGCCCTTCCTCGCTAGAAAGTCTACAAGATATAAATTTCTGGCGCGCTGACGCACAAGTCAGGCGCATTTCAATCCCACCGACTCGACCAGTGTGATAGTGTCGGGCCTCAGCGACCTCGGTGGTCGAATATTCCATGGTAAGCAGTGTTCTGTGGCTCGAGTTGAACTTGGAGGAAACGTATCGCACTTGCCTTCACAGCTCGAGTAGCCGTGCTTGTTCAAGCAGCACTCGGTAAGGAGAGGATTGGCTTCACACTCAGGTATCCAAACCGCGCAGCGTACTGAACTTGTCAGGCTGTTCCGGCATGTACTGGGTGTTCTTTCGGTCGATGGTGTTCCTAATAAGGGAGGACTCTGAAGGTCTGGAACTACTTCGCTGGCTAAGTAAGTCAAAATTGTTTTTAAAAAGACCCTCACTTGAGCTTTGATCGGTAGGAGAGACGTTTTGTAGATTGCCTTTGCCAGGGACGGCTTTGAGGGTCTGAAACTACCACCTCACTGGTTTAAGTCAAATAGTCTTGAGATGATCCTCACTTGAGCATCGACTAGCGGGAGAGATATTTCGCGTACTCTCTGGCCAGGGCGGGCTCTGAAGCTCTGAAGCTACCTCGCCGATTGAGTCAACTTCTTGAGATGAACCTCACTCGAGCGTCAGTCAGTAGGAGAAATAAGGTATTTTTTGTACTTCCTCGCCAGGCAGGCCGCTATACTTCTCATAGGCTGTCATCAGAGAGCTGCATGAACTCCTCGTGCTCTTTCAATTGAAGCGTCCAGTCATCGTCCTCGAACAAGCCCTTGGATGGCGGCTCATTTTCCTGGCCAGGGTCCACCCGGTACAAGTCTTGCATTCTCGCAGTGGAGGGCAAATTCTCCTTGCCAGGGTCCGCCCGGTACAGGTCTTGCTCTTCCTCAGTGGTATCACCAGTATGGAACAAAGCCCTATCCAGCAGCTCCGCTTCCTGCTCCCAAACCCAAGCCTGCACCATTCCGCCGGCCTTGTTCTTCATGGGAATCCCATCGCCCTGTTCGTCCGTTGCAGTGAGACAGGTCAGTCTGCCGTCTGAGGCGGGCCCCAACTCAATACAATTCTTGCCTTCCCTCAGCTGTACATCTACGAGGACATCAGAGTCAGCGCCTGATCCACTCCCAAGCGTCAGCCGGGCGGTGACGAATCTTCCTCGGGCGTCCTGCCACCTTGGTTTTGCTGTCAAGCTGGCCATCCGTTGTTGTCGATCACCTCCCAACGTATCCGGTGCCTTAGATGTCCGAAGCGAGTTCCCTCTCTCCTAGATCGGCCGAGACTGTCCATTTGTAGCGTCCTCCCGAAGCTTGAGGGTCATGGTTGAGTTGCCAATCGGTGGAAATCCCTTTGCTAAGTCGAATACCGGAGACGGCTCTTTGTCGCTCCTGTCTGACGAATCATCCTTCCAGATCTTGGGAGCATGGGGAGTCGAAATCTTTGCGTTGATCGCCCTCGTGACCTGCTCAACGCGGCTCATATAAGGCTTCCGACGAGGAGGATTGCCCTTCTTCGCCACCCTCTTCTTGTGTCTTGCCTTCGCTTGGCTTTCAGTGAGTACGCCTGGAGGGACTGTATCGGATAACTTCGCTTTGCTGGCTGCTTTGACTGCCTCATGGCGCCCTTGACGGCTTGATACTGGCCGCGTGGTTCCTTCGTTGAGGGTATGCCCAAGGTCGACGATCTCGTTGGTTCCTACGGACGGCTGGCGGACCATATTGTCTGTTGAGACTCGGACGGAAGAAATTTCGTACTTTCGAGAGACCCTGAGGTCGGGCGGCCTTCAGAACTTGTACCGATCCAGGCCTCCTGAACGGATATGACAACTGTGATGAAATACTGTATGGCGATACGGCAGAAAAAGTGATGGGGATGTAAATTGCGCGAGGAGAACCAGCAACTTAGGTGAAATTGACACAACGAGGAGTGCGTGAGTCGTGCCTGCCAAGATGTATCTTCTCTATCACATGTACCTTCCTAGAGCTGTATTGACCATAAGGCAGTGACGACCAGGCAAGCTGTTCGGCCAAGAAGTGAGCATTTGCAGTTTCAGCCCTCAAAGCCCGCCCTGACCTTGAATCGGACAAATGCTGAAAAACACTCATTTTATGTCCGAACAGCCTGACAGGAAAGGTTCTTCTACCCTGACCAACTCCTCAACTCGTGCCTGCCTCTCATTGCCCGCAGAAATCAATGGGATCCCTGTTTCACTCACCCACTGACACCTTCTGAGCAATTAGCGCCTCCATCAGAGACTAGGAGTGCCTTCCTTCGCCACCGCCTGCCCTCTCGAAACAGCACCCCTCCTCAGCCGCCACCACTCCCACCCAGCGACCGAAGCCACCAAAACATTGACCATGAACAACGGCACCAGGTTCCACCTCCAACCCCGCATGATTCTCAGCTCATCCCGCAGCTTGCTCCTATCACTATCCGTCCTCAACGGAACCTGGTCCAACACAGCCCCGAACCAATTCTCCGGCGTCCATTCATCCAGCGGGTAAGGTCTGGGCGCTGGTGTTTGGGACGCAACTGCGAGGTCAATGGTTTGGCCGGTGTGGTTGTGCGTGAGCACGAAGGTGTAGATCAGTGCTGCTAGGCAGAGGAGGGTTGACAGGAAGGTGAGGACGACGTAGGTCGTAAATAGACCCGAGGGCTTTGTAGAGGCGGTGTTTCTCAGGCGCCGCTTCTCCCACCAGATCAGTAAAAGGCCGCCGAAGCCGATGAGGACGAAGCCCGTGCCGGCGGCGCCGTTGGAGGTGTGGCCCTGGTTTTCGAGGAGGACTTTAGGTTTTGCCCACAGCTCGAAGGTGTTGGGACCGGATGTGGAGTCGGTTCCTGGATAGTCGACGATGAAGAAGCCGTTGGCGCGCCCGTGGAGGAAGCCGACCATGGCGGAGACGAAGGAGAGCTCGATGATGGAGTCGATCATGAGGATGGGGAGAACGTAGAGGAGGAGGCGGAAGGGTGGGAGGGATGTTAATGAGGTGGTGTAGGAGCGAGCCATCTTGGTGTGTTTGTTGGATTTGAGCAGATCCAATGAGCTGCTGACGGGGTGCTGTTGATGTTCTTCTGCTGGCAAATCGCCTGATTGGTGAAATTGGGCGATGTGCGTGTACTGGTAAGGGCGAGCGACTCTGTCGGGTGTCGATTGCATGTGAGACGTACCCAGGTGGAATGCTGATGCAGCAGTGATATTCCAAGTCGATCTTGAAGTACCTTCTTGAGGTCGCTGGTGGTATGTGGATCGTCGTGATTAGTGATTAAGTATTAACAGAACGTTGTCCTGGTGGTCGTGTGCTGATGCAAAGTCGAGAAATGCTGCTGCTTGTGAGGAAGGTGGTGCGGTCCGAGGACTTATATTCAAAGTATATGCCCGGGACGAGAATCCTGTCCCAGATTGGGCGCCGTGGTTGCGAGACAAAAGGCTGCGGACAACAGCAACCCACGAGTCAATTGACTAATTCACCTTCTGTAGAATGGTCGATCTGTCTTGGCGATGGGACAAAATCGTACCTAGCGTTATAGACCGGTTGATGCGGATCGCTGCCGGGTATGCTAATTCAGTAGCTTTTAAGGCAACCTGCCGAAATAGGGTGCCCTAGGCTTGGGGGCAAATCGTTTAAAGGTGCCAACTGAAGTATGGTGTCTGTTCTGGCAGTCGTAATTATATCGATGATGATGTTCGAGGACGTATGTTGCGTTTTAGCTGTGACTTGGCTCTCGACGATCCGGTGGTCTGCTTGTTGGTCTATTTGAGTCTCGCACCGTAGGAGTCTTTGGGGGCAATGCTTGGTCAACTTGGCTTTGTTATGCTTCTGCGAGGGGTGCTGCACGCAGGAGCTCGATGGCAACAGAGGATTGCTGATCAGCAAGAGTGACGAGGCTCAGAGATCCTTCGGAGTGTGCAGGATAGTCGATACCTCGAACCTTGAATCCGAAGGTTTAGAAGGAAGACTATACGCAGCAGGTGTATGGCGCCTTAAACCTTCCAAAAAGGCAGCACGGGTTCCAAGGTCTGATATAGAGTGCTTCAAGCAACAAAATCTCTCCAGCTCGAACTTCCACCCCAGAGCTTGGGAATGGCAATGTCATCAGAAAGGACAGCAGAGCGGAGTCTCTGCAATCTTATAGAAAGACACCAGCAGTTCCGGAATCTTCGGTCGCTCGTCAGTGCTGAGGGGCGAAGATAGAACACGAAATTCGCATCATTTCTGCGCTGTTATACGTTGTGCCCGGTGATGCCGCTGGATCTGTCAGCAGCTGATGCACATTTGCTTGGCTCTGCGGCGTACACTGGTTCGGTTAGCAATAGTGACAGCGCACGTAACTTGAGCACGGTCGGGAGTCGTTCATCTGTGCTCCCGTCTCTTCTCAACCTCGTTCGGAAAATCGCATTCGAGCCCGATATCCTTTACTGTACAAATTCGTCGAGCGAGCTTCGAGCAGTATGGAGCCACACGCGGCTTCTCAGTGTCTCTGGCCATCGGAGTAGCTCAAGGCAGTGCACGCTCCATCAAATCGAGCCTACTGTGTTCTGGATGCATAGACCTGTCCTCGCCAAGGGGCACCCTTGACGACGGCAACGAGCCTGCTCGCGGGTTGATCAAGCAGAAGAACACACGAATCTCAAAAGAAGATCGTTCTTAAAATAGTTCTCACTGAGCTTGACCAGTAGCAAGCACCAAAGCCCGGGAAGGCTAATTGAGCCGCGGCACCGCTCCACTGTTGCCCAGACGCGGCAACAGCACGTCGATCACTGCCAGCTGTACTGTCAAACCAGTAAACATATAGTTACTGCGTGATTGCAAGGAGTAGTAACTACCTGCCGTGGGAAGTCGGTGCGATACCGTGCGATTAGCGATGCTCTGCCCCTCTGCTCCCTCAGCAACACCAGTAGGCATGTGAAGAACACTGCTCAGGACAAGCAGTCCTCTCGGGAAGGAAGCCCCGGAAAAGTCTCTGTGATACAGTGCTGACCTGAGGCGTTCCTCGAAGATGCATTCATTCACCATGTGCTCCTTGGCAGACAGCAATAGTTTCACGAGACAAACCAGGTCGCCGCTAGACGCGATGGCTTGGAACTCTTGGTGCAATCGACTGATGAACAGCTGTACTGGCGCGGTTTAGTTTGATTGCCTGTAATCGAAAATTTCCCGTCGAAGTACCACCTGCACCTGTGTAGTCAAGGTGAGGGTCGGATGTCGGCTTTTGCAAGTCAACGATGGCGCTCTCAAGGGTGGCACCTGGGGTCCATTTGTCAGAAAGCATATCTGCACACTCGTGGAGGACATCAGATCGCGATAGAAGGATGAATTTTAAAGGCACTTGAACGTGCTATAGGATTCGTTCTTGTCTCTATGTATGCAGCCATGTCTTCGCTTCCAGCAGTAATGGGCAGCACTGTCTAAGGGTATTCGCCTCATGTGCTGCGCCGCGAATGATCTGTTGACTTCGATCTCTGGTGTTCATCACTCCGCTGGCTCGCGATCCACTGCATAACGCTCTCGTAGCACAGCACAAACTGCCTCAGATTCTGGACCATGCTGAGTCGCTGATGCCGGAAGTCATCCACGGCCTTAGCGACCAGATCTTCGTCGTCGCGTTGGACCCAGCTATCAACGTCAACGTCCATGTCATGTTCGCCTTTGGTCTGGTCTAGTCTCTGCCGCTTTAGCATATCTATGACCGAATCAATGGTACAAAATGTGCCCGTCCTGCCGCATCCAGCACTGCAGTGAACGATGATAGGCCTCTCATCGATCGGAGCGGCGTCTTTAGGACTCGGAGGCTGGCTTGAGCTGTTACGCACGTACTTGTTGACCTGTTCAACAAGACTCAGCAGCGCTGTAGGCTAGCAGGCGCGCCGAAATCGGGCCATTGGCTGTAGTGAAGCTGAGTGACCTGTCGCATGTTTTCGAAAGGGCGGCTGGAATGGGTCAAAGAGAACGAGCGGACAACCACGGCGGGCTTCTCGGTGGTCTTGCTGTCCTTCGAGTCTTTGTGGATGGTGTTGGTGGTTGATCTTCTCATGCCAAGACTAGGCCGCGAGCTGCCGGGTGTTTTGGGTGTGGCAGGCGCATCGCCATCTAGAGAAACAGTCCGCTCGGAAAGCAGCTTGACTTTTAGCGCACCATACTCTCCAGCTTTCCAGTAGGGATGGCTTTTCAGTTGACCACCTTCATTCTCTGCTGTAAGCATGACTATGACCCGTACATCCTGCTCCCATACTACTCGCCAAAAGTCATTGAATGTTGCTGGGATCGGAGCTTGGGTTGCGATATAATGTCGGTTGGAGTACTCTGCTTTGACATGGTTCGCATTGATATAGTCGCATTCAGTGCTCGTGCAGCCTTCCAGCCGTACTCGCGAATGGTCGTACGGGAAAATGTTGTTGTACCGATTCTTCGACCCTTTCTCGATGCCTGCCACTTGCACACGATTTGGTGTCTCGGACCCTGGTGTTCCATACGATACCCTCGCATTCAGAGCGGTTTGCATACGCTTCTGCTCAGACCTCTCAATCTTGAGGAACTTGTCGGACACGTCTTTGCCCTCATCACTTGTTCTTGAAGCGTCTTTCAGCCACGCCGGCATTGTGTTCTTAGCAGTCTCGGTCATGTGAGAAGGCTTCTGCACGGCCATTTGGCCAACGCCGTCGAGCAAATCCATGTTCTGTCGGATGTTGCCGAAGAATGGGTTGGCAGCGCTCCCGGTGGAAGGCATGGCGCAGCCGCCGGCCACGGGCAACTTGTCGTGAGCTGGTGGAGCAATCGTGAGCGGCGAGTTGGGGTGATCAGCGGGACGGCTGACTGGTCCTCGTTCAACAAAATCAGGTTCGACCCTGGCGAAGGCTTGCAGACCGCCCTTGACGACCAATCCATTACCCTTCCAGCCTTCAGCAGCAAACTTCTTGAGGACGTTGAAGGGTATGACCGCTTCCTTGGACATAGAGGACGACGCATCATAGACCAGGATGTACTCGACCTGCTGCCACTTCTCAAACCTCGCTTTGTCAGCGGCGGAGGAGAAGGTCTCAAGGAGCTTCTTCGTCGTGAAGGATGGCCTCTTCAGCAATGTCGTAGGTATGCACAAATTGAGGGCGCCCTTTATTCTTGACGTGACATACTGCTGGTAGACACGGAGATCGAGGATAAGGACGTCCTGATTCTGTCTTAAAAGATCGGCCACTGCTGTGGGACTGACCATGGATGGCGGCTTGTCTTCAGCCTTGGGTGGCAGAGTATCGGACCTGACCTTGGTGAGGTCGAGACTAGGTGCCTGAAGATCGTTCAGCGGCAGAGACATTCGGGGTGCCCGATGTTCGTCTGAGACACTTTGTCTCGGGGTCAAACTCATGGGCGATCCTTGCTGTGGGAAGTCGAAGAAGGAATCCGCATTCCTCGTCGATTTGTGAGCCAGGCTCTGGGCAGATTGATGGCCCCGGTCCAAATGAGGACGCTTGGTGGTGGGAGAAATAGGCGACTGTGGCCCGGAAACGGTGGAGGACAATGTCCGTATTTGAGGTGGTTTCGAAGCCAAATTGGTCAGGCTGCTGAACGATCCGGTGTGTAATGTAAATATGCCCTGCTCGGACTGTCGTCTAAACGCCTCGAACTCGGGGTTTGATTCTACGGGAACGTGTCGGGCGTTGTTACTCGTGCTCTGCGCGTTAGAAGATGGGAAGTTCCAATTCTGTCGTGCGTGGTGACCGGGATTTGAATCCGGGGGTATACTGTCATCGTTGCCTACAACGAAGCCAAAATAGCTTGGACTGGGGCTCTTGGGATCTTTCTGATATGGCGACTTTCCCTTTGGGGATAATAATGGTGGATGTGCCTGACCGACGGAAGCAGCCATGGGATGAAGTCGAGGCGTCGTCGAAGGTCTCGAGGATCGTGACGACGTCTTCTTGTGCGAATGACCATGGCCGTGGGAGGATGAGGAGGAGGAATACGTCGCTGTTTGAGCAGTCGACATGGTCGCTGAGGCTGTCATTCGATCAGCGGCAAGTGATTGTTGATCTGTAATTATTATGGTGATATTCGAGGTGAGAGGTGCAAAGTAGTCAGCGGTAGCGGCGTCATCGTTGCTGTACACGCGACATGCTGAGATGGCATGAGGATGAGGCAGGGTGCATGTCGAGTGTAGTGAGTGTGGGAGACGGGTGAGTAGGGTCGTTATGAGGGTGGAGCTGTGGTGCAGATTGTCGTGGTCAAGGTCGAGTTCCCCGAGGGTCGCTAGGCGGTCAGATAGTAGACTGCAGTTGTGTAGAGGAACGTTGGATGACTTCAAGGTTGAAGCGACCAAGAGGCCTGGGTGGCAGACGGAGAAAAGTGGATGTTAAGGTCACGCAGGGGACGCAATGGAGCGTTCCAGGCAAGCACGAGGCGAGGCAAATGACGTCGATGATGCGCGCCCAGCTGCGGCGGCCCACAGCACCGAGATCCTGGAATGGTTCATTGTCACCGCCACAAACACCCATTAAGCCCGTGCGACAGCCTCAGTAGGTAATTGTTTGCTACGAGCCATATTAGCGGGCTCTGGAGTCCTTCAGCAAAATGTCGCAGCTCTTCGATCAAGAAAGAAGGTACTAGGTGGCGTGCGCAAATCGGGACCTCAATAATAAGGGTCTCGCGAAACGCCCGCTAAGCGTGGGCTGCCGGAAGATAAAGCCAACCAAGATGCCATCATCGCTCATCTTGCGCAACCTTACCCAGCAACCCGTGGACCACTCAACTTCGCTGGTGGCTGTACTACATTGGGCCTGCTACAGGCTACCGCTGACAAACCCGTCCGCACTTGCTCCGATATAATTGCGAATCGCCGGCGGGGTATAATAATCAGGCTCAGAAACGGCGGCATTGATACACAAGACGATCGTGGGTATAACCATCCTTAAAAAAATGATCGCCGAAACATAGACACCAGTGTATTTTAACAAGACTCGACTATGAGTTGGGTTTGGAACAGCCAGCAGATCATAACGGATGATCGTCTGGTCAGGGTCTGCTGTGATTTTCAGGCACCAATGCCATGTATCCAAATTTGGTAGGAGCAGTGGCAGAGACCTTTGCCTGCCGCTCATGGTACAGCATCTACCGTGATCGCACTAGATTGGCCTCAGTGAAGTCCTGATAACACCGATGATGTTCTTCAGGTTCTACCATTGCTTCGAATTGTCGATATGAGCTGTGTGAGTTCAGCCCGAAAGCATTCGCCATGTGCGCTGTTCGAGTCTGAGGGCGTCCGCAGGCGCCACACTCAGCCACATTTCATGCGCCCTCGCCATATCGCTAATATTCCCCATGTTCATGGAACTTTGGTTCCCGCCTCTGCTGCCCAGAGACATTATTGCAAGACCCGCTCATCGTCATCAAGACGTGTTACAATCAGCTCGCAAACTATCTCGAGGCAGCATGACGGGTTTCAGCCTTGCGCCACAGCACCTGGGCCAGCAATGACATCTCGACCCGTGACTTCCGACCAGGTGCCTGCCATCTCATCCAGATTCCAGACTAGACTAGGCTATGGGAATGTCTTCGAGCAGGTCGCGTGTCTGGGGAGGTGGTAAAGAGGCTCTTGCGGATCATGGCAGGCATCCCACATCTAGATCGTGACTGTAGATCGTGACTGAGGTGTCTGGTGTATGTTCAAAGTCGACAGCCTCCGCGGTCTGGCACCGTCATAGGATCATAGTCGGCCATCAGGCTCGCCCTTCCACCGCTGGACTCTCTTCTGTTCCCAGTCGTCCAAGTCTTTGGCCATAAGTTTGTAATACTCGTCTTTCTGCGAGAGCCCACCATCCAAGATCTTCCTCCGTCGTGGGTTGTACGTAATCGTGCCTTCGCCAGTGACGCCACCCTTCAGACCAAGTTCCATGGCCTCGGTGTGACTGAGCTCGCGGTTCTTGCGGTCATGCTTCTCGTAGCGCAGGGCCGTCGCAGGCGTCAACAGGAATGATGCGCTCACCACCATGGCGAGAAATGGTAGACCGAAGAGTGCAAATGGGTGTCTCGCAAGCTTCTTCCGGTATGAAGCTGCAACGCGATCGCTGAGGGTGTCACCAGCCTTTGAGGAGCGAAAGGGGTTGGACTGGAATGTGGGCATCTTTGTACGTGTGCTGTATCATCTGAAAAACATCCTTCGCTGGTCCGCCGGCAGTGAAAGGTGTGGTAAATGAAGCAGCGAGGACTACTCCCACTGCTCCAACGAAATGCCAAGACTGTTTTGGAGGCTTCCAAAGTTCACCTGCTGCCCCGACGCCGACGCGCCTGGGTCGCTCCCCAAATTTTGTATGCGCGTTTCTTGTTTGCACGGCACCTCAACTTGGCGCTTTTCGAGCGAAGGCGTCTGCACAGCACCTCACTGTCTACATCATGTCTTTCTTCGGTGGTCAGAGCTCTGGCGCGGGCGCCTCATCGGGAGGAGGCCTGTTCAACCTCAATACTACAGTCGGCGGCGGCGTTGATGCACAAGGCAAACGAAAGTCGGTCTTTGATGCTGGCAGCTCACAGTCCAACAACCAGCCAGCAGGTGGTCTCTTGGGCAGTACTCCAGCGAGCAGCAGCACTCCCTCGTTATTCGGCGGTGGCGGCGCAAGCACCTCCAACAAGCCTGCATCAACACTGTTTGGTGGTCTAGGAGGAACCACAACTACATCAGCACTCCCTCTCTATTCTCAACTACCACGACCAGTGCGCCGTCTGGTGGAGGCCTCTTCGGTGCGAACAACACTACGACAACAAGTGCTCCCGCGGCTGGAGGGCTATTCGGCACAGCAACAACAAGCACAGCTCCTGCTGGTGGCCTCTTCTCTTCGACAACTACAACAGCACCAAGCGGTGGCCTGTTTGGTACATCCGCCACCACCGCCGCCCCGTCCGCCTCCATCTTCGGCAACAATGCAGCCAATGCAAGCTCAACACTCGGCAGCTCACTGTTCGGCGCCAATCCTTCACAGCCAGCACAGAACACTTCCTTCCTCGGAGGCACACAGTCGACCCAGCAGAATCAAAACGACGCCGCCGCGGCCAACCCGACCCAGACAAGAGAAGGAGCATATTTCAACAGCCTATTAGAGCGTCAGAAGAAGAAGGTCAAGCTGGACTCTAATGACCCAAACCTCCGACGAAGTCAGCTGCCGAACCTCAATATGGACCTAGGAGATCTTGCTCGGCGCGCACAAGAGCTCGGCAACCGAGGACAGACTACTGATGGTAGCGATAGTCGCGCTCACTATCTACTCGCAGGGTCAGGTGTTGCACCAGGTCAATCCTCGCGAGGATTCAAGCCATTCGAGCAAGATGCACCTGCTCAAAATTATGCTGCCATGCCTGATCACGTGTTCGAGACCGAAACATACATCCGGAATCTACAAGCAAAGGGGCGAGATGCCATCATGCGCGAGAACATGGAGCGGGTCTACAAGGAGGTCGATGCCTACATTGAACAGTCCCTAGGCGTCGATTTTGAAGAGCAGAAAACCCGGATAATGAGACACTTTGGTCTACTGAAAGACGACGAGGGCCAGACAGGAGCCAATCAGTCATCAGCCTTTGGCCGAAAGAGTGCAGCGGGCGGCGAGAAGACCAGAAGTGTCTTTGGTCGCTCTGGTCTGAACAAGTCCATCATTGGGAGTGCTGGCTCCATCAATGGCACTTCTGCCTTCTTCCGGGGCACCGTTTCGTCGACCAAGGGAGGCGCCTTGCAGCGAGGTCAGAACGCTCGAGATCTTCGTGACAAGGAACGGATGTTTATTGAGCAGGTCGAACAGTTCAACTCCGCCCGTATTAGTCGGAACGAGTGTACTGCATATCCAATCATGGAGAGATTCGGTCAGGTCGAGGCGAATGCAGGAGGAGATTCTCCGCCTCAGCTGGCTGAAGCATACAGCGCACTTCGTGAGATAACCAAGGAAGGTGGATCGGTAACAGAGCGTCAGTATGCTGCAGCTTACATACACCAAGCGCGCGGCCCAGAGCTGCCAGATGCCATCAGCAAGCAGATCTTGGACGGTGCTCGCTCACATCTTGAGAAATCTTTCTTCCGCGAGGTCGAGAGCATGATTGAGAAAAACCCACGTGAAGCTCAACTCGGTGGCCAGCCTACCGTCATCAACAAGATCCGAGCATACATCCGAGTTCGAGCCGCACGCAGAGATCTTGCTCCAGATGGTGCCGAACTGCAGCAAATTGGTGATAGTGGTGAATATTGCTGGATCCTGATTTTCTACCTCATTCGAGCAGGATACGTTAAGGAAGCTTCAGAATATGTCAACAACGATCCGGCCTTCAGATCCACCGACACGCGCTTCGTGTCGTACATGTCGAGCTATGCCTCGTCACCAGATCGAAAGCTGACTAAGAACTTGCAACCGATGATTGATGGCGAGTATTCACAGCGAGTAAAATTGGCTCCAAAAGGCACAGTCGATCCTTATCGTATGGCATGCTACAAAGTGGTTGGCCGATGCGATCTCGACTCTCGTAATCTGGAAAGCATCGGTCAAGGCATCGAAGACTGGCTGTGGCTACAATTTGCGCTGGCTCGACAGCTATCTCGCAGTGATGATCTGGCAGGCACACCATTTGGACTCGAACAGATTCAGGAGACCGTCACTGAGATTGGAGAGAAGCATTTTCCACGAGGACAATCAGATGCTTCGACCGCATATGGCACATTCTTCCTCTTGCAGGTCCTCGCTGGCATGTTCGAGCAAGCGATTGACTACCTGCATGGTTTCAACCCAGTCAGCGCTGTACACTTTGCCATAGCTCTCGGCTACTATGGTCTACTGCGACCCGTGGCAGACTTTACAGCTGCGGCGAACGAGCTCTGTAAGTCCGTGTCATCCCCACAGTCGTCTTCTGCTAACACGCCCATAGTGTACCGAACCACAACCGAACAATATCAAATCAATTTCGTCCCTCTCATTGCATACTACACAGCCGGCTTCCGAATAGCCCTTCCAGTCGCTGCGGTGGATTACCTCTCTCTGATCTGCCTGAATGCCGACCTCAAGCCACATGGCGACGACCAGATTCGCGCCTGCCACGAATCACTACGCGAACTCTGCCTCGAGACCCGCGAATTTGCTCGTCTGCTCGGCGATATTCGCAGCGACGGCGCTCGAGTGCCCGGTGCCATCGAGCAGCGCCGAGCACTGATCAAGATCGACAGCAAACAAGAATTCTTACGCTCCATCATCACCCAGTCTGCCGCCGTGGCAGATCAACGCGGTCAGATCGCGGACGCTGTCCTGCTTTATCATCTTTGCGAAGACTACGACAGCGTCGTTGGCGTCCTTTGCCGCGCATTGGCGGACGCTGTGTCTCTTGATCTTGGCGAGTCGCCTATGCAACTGCAACCATTGAAGCCACGGAGCGATCAGGAGTCTGCCACACTCAGCCCGCAGTCGTCAGGCCCAACATCTTCTCTGTCGCTTACCCAGTCCACCACGTCACCGATCGAGCTCGCAAAGAACATGGCTGCCCTGTACAACAAGACCGAGGCCTACTTCGGCAAGATCTCCCACGCGAATCGGGAGACCTGTGGTGGCCTCCTGCGACTAGCCGCCATCCGCACACACCTCGAGGCTGATCCACCGAGATACATGCCTGCCCTTCAAGAACTCAACGAGCTGGACGTCCTGCCCCTGGAAGCCAAAGGCTCGATCCCAAAGATCAGAAGCGCTGCATCTATGTTCGGCGCTATGCCCCCCTTACTGGCGCGCTGTATCGGCGTGGCGGTCGTGTGGGCGGTCAAGGCGATTGGCGGTGAACGAGAGCGTATTGTGCGGCAGGGGAGTTGGGATGCTGGATATGGCAATGAAGGAGATGGGGTCAAGGAGCAGTTGGGCTCGATGGCCAAGGATTTGATGGTCTTTGCTGGCTTGGTCAAATACAAGTTGCCAAGCAGGGTCTACGATATGCTCACCAAGGCTGGAGGGGATGTTGGTGGATATTGAGACAATACGAGCGCAAACGTAACAGCTATGTTGGACTGCGGAGGATTTGGGCTGCTTCAAGACGTACGTACGTGAGAGGAGCGCAGACAGTACCGGTCTGTACTACCTCATGCATGGAGCGAGTATGCAAAGACAGCGAGTTCTTGGGAAATGTTTCCCAGTGTTTCTCCGCTTGCAATATCAACGAAATCCTGACCAATTCGGAAACAGCTCTAGCCCGACTCTAACGTAATGCAATATGCGACGTCTGTCGATGAACGGTCCGTGGATGTAAATGGCTTGCCGCGAGATCCGTCTGCTGTTCAAGTCAGCAGTAAAATCTTTGGACCAGGCATAGTCCTCGTAGAGAAAATGCGCTATCGCAAGTGTTTCAAGGTGCTGTCCAGGAAAGAGTAGCTGTATTTCAGCAACACCACGCCCAGCTGTTTTCGTAGTCTAGAGTCCTTCCGTCTTGCGATCCGCATCATGATGCCCCGGGGTCTCGCATGCTTTGTGTATAGATAACCCCATCCGATCTCCCCGTGCGCATCACATCTGGCTCCCGCCCACCTCAAACCCTGCAGTCCACCCATCTCCTCTCCGCAACGCTTAGAACGGGTTATCCTCCGGCGGGATCTCCCTGATGAAGTACGGCCCAATCACGGGAAACTTGGACAGGATATCGTTCCGCACCTTCGGCACCTCGCCCAAGAAGAACAGCGCAAAGACGCCTGCTGACACACCGAACCCGGCTGCTATGCTGCCGTAGCGCACGGCTTTGGGGAATGTGAGGCCCCAGAAGTTGGGGAGATGTTTTGTTCTGGTTTTCGTTCTTGTTAGCCGTGGCTGTTTCTGGGAGGTGTAGGGCATTGCTGCCGTCCCAGGGGTCCTCTAATGCAAACGCTTGCGGGCTTCGAAGACGGGCCAAAGGTCTGGAAAGGAGTAGCGGGCTGCTTACTTGGGACCATAAGGTGACACGTAGGCTTTGTATGTTGGTTGAGGGCCGTAGTTGCGCATGGGAGTACGGCCCATGCCGGAGCCGTACGGCGTTGGGTTTGGACCTGACTGTGAGAGCTGTTAATGGGTGGTTGCGGCAGACGGGGAGCTGTTGCGGACCATGATGAAGTCTGTGCGCCGTATGTGAGCTTCGAAAGGGACGGCGGTAGCGAGTGAGAGGCTTGTAGAACCGTGGGTGCAGGTGTCGTAGAAAGTTGTGAAGAGCTCCGGAGTTCGAGATGGCGGTTGTGGTCGAACGGGCTGCCGTACTCGCGGATCTCATCCACTCAAAAGGCCCTGCCCTTGCACGCGTCTTCAATTCCTTCGTGTTCGTTCTGCAGTCACATCCATCTCGCTGTGTTGGCATTTCTACAGCATGGTCGATGTGCTATATTCTAATGCGCTGTCTTCAGGCTTGGACTGACCCTCCTCCATTCCTCCTTCGTAAGCTTCAGATACTGACTATCAACCCACTCAACTCCAACTTGCATCGTCTTCTCCTCATACCTATAATCCTCAAATCCGACCTTCTTCAACAGCGCCTCGCTTGCCTTGTTTCGTGGATCTATATCAGCAACCAGCTCCTCGAAGCTGAGCTGGTCAAACAGCCGTGGTAGAACAGCTTGCAGCGCCTCCAATGCTAAACCTTTTCCCCAGTGCTCCCTCGAAATTATGATGCCGATCTCTGTGTCTTGCCAGACGCCGCATTTTCCGATCGGAGTCAAGTCAGGCTTCAGGCAGATGATAAAGTCACGAACGCCATTGCCGTCGCTTTCTGTCATGGAGAGCATCCATTTCTGGGTGCGTGCGAGGTCTGCGTGTGGTGGTGTGCTCCTGAATGTGGTGAGTGAGAGGTGGTTTGGTCGCTTACAGTACGAAGACACACCAGTAGCGCATCACTTCAGGATCGCTGAAGGCTTCATGCATGGCTTCCGCATCTTCCTGCACTGCCGCACGGAGCAGAAGGCGGGAGGTGTGAAGCTCGACCTTTCGAGCTTCTGGGGCTTTTGACTGGACGTTGTCCCCCATGGCTCTCTCCGCGCTTTCTCTGACTGTGTACCCTCCACCGGCCTCTGCGCAAAGGGGCGTTGACAAGATATTTTTGACTGACAAAGATCCAGGATACCTCGTATTTGCAAGTTCTGGGTATCTTTGAAGGCCTTGGCAGATCCGCAGCTTTCCATTGGCTCTTCTCGCCATGCTGGACCAACCTCGCAGACATGAGACAGCCCTCCCACACAGCGGCTGTCTGATGGCCGACATGTCAACGGCCATCGGCCTTCGTCAAAAATGCTCCCTGGCTCACCAGCAGCTATGTGGAGTCATCATGTTTTCGGCCTGTGGCTTGTCCTAGTGCAAACGTCAACGCAACGGGATCCCTCACCTCGTCTGTCCACTCACTGGCTTATGTCGCAGCTCGTCTTCTGCCCGAACGAGAGACCGGGACGGCGATGATGGGCCCATCGGGCAACCCGTCGACTTAGGGCACCCAGCTTTTCACTGCATAATGGTCTGGCGAGGCATGAATTGAAGTTGTCATGCAAACGTCGCATCTTTTGTCAATGTACTGTGCTACGATCTCCCCTCTGACACCAAATCTCGGCGTCGTCGCATACTCGGATTGAAGTAATTGGCCAATCCGGGACCTCAACCGGCAAGCCGAAACGCGGGGTCTCCAACATGCCGGACACCAAGTTGATATTTGAGTTCTTCGACATACACTTTTGTCTATCCTACTTCTTCGCACCATACGAGTCTATCGCAGACCGCGTGCTGAATCCCGCAATAGTGCCGATCAATGGCCTAAGTATGAAGAGCAACAACCAGGTTTGCGACCATATAGAGAGCTGAATACCTTCCACTCCTGCTCCAGCATCACGTATCTACTAATACTGCAGACTTCAAACCTCATACGTTACTGATGCGCATACACTGCACGCCATGGCTCTCGCAACGCGCAGCTCTCCAACCAATACAACGATTTCACCAAAAGCGCTCCAGCCGCCGTCAAAGACCCCATCATTGCTGCGAAGACCTCCTTCATCAACACCTACGACACATCACAAGTGATCAACCCCGGCACCCGACTTTCCCCCTTCTCCCTTCCTTCCGCCACAGGCGAGACAGTCGACAGCTCCACGTACCTCTCCAGCCAGACTCCTCTCCTGATTACCTTCTACCGTGGCTCCTGGTGTCCCTTCTGCTCCCTGGCTCTGAGCGCCCACCAGTCACATCTGGCCACATACAAGGCCTACGGGGTCCAATGTATCGCCATTTCTCCCGAGCTGCCCGACACATCACTTTCAGCGGTTGAAAAGGCAGACTTGAAGTTCCTGGTCCTGTCTGATGTCGGCAACGCTTACGCACGCCAGCTGGGGATCGTCTTTAGGCAGAGTGAGAGTCTACGCCAGCCTTTCGAGACTTTGGGCATCAATTTAAAGGAGAGGAATGGAGATGACTCGTTTGAAGTGCCTGTGCCTGTCAGTCTTCTGGTCGCATGGGAAAGGCGTGGTGAGAGAGGTATTCGCCGATCCTGACTTCACCAAGCGCTTGGAGCCGGAGACGGCGACGCAGTGGATCGAGAAGACGGAGAGCGAGGACGGTAATATTGCTTAAAAGCATTCTTCTTTGGCCATTACTACCTTCGCCTGTCTATCTGTCTGACCACTAAAAGGGTATCTTCTCTTACTAGCTAAATGAAACGCCGAACACAAGATACACAGCTATGAAATTCGTCTCTCGTCCTGGCTGTCTTGCACATATTGTTGGCTATTGCTCCAAATGAGTGTCACACTTCTTGCTTGACGCCTGAAGCTGGGGTTCAATGGTTAATTTTGGTGGATCATCCCGCCTAAGTAGCTAAGCTCTTCCATCAATTGCTGCATGCCTGTGGAGTGAGCCATCAGAGTTGTATCTGCAGAGCCCTCCGGGACATCGAGTTCGTAAGGAAGGCCCGGGGAAACATGCACGAATCCTTCGCGCTTGGTCGTCGGCGATTTCAAGGTGATCTCTGATCCCAATGCCGATGATGGAAGTCGATAGTGATGATATTGAAATCGGTTGGAAGTGTCAGAGCCTTTCCTCTCGAGTGGCGACTGCGGCAGCGCTGTTTGCTCATAGTCTTCTGTCGGGCTCGCTGGGACCGAAGCGGTTGACACAGAGCTCACCGTTGACGTACTGAACGAGGTAGATAGGCCAAGCGTTCCGTTCGGTTGGCAGCTTCTTTGCGGCGTGTCCTCGAATTCAGTCTCATCGAACCTCTCCTTATCGCCTGTTCTCTTTGGTGTAGCAGGGAACGAGGCCAGCAAACTGCTCATCGGCTCGTCGACAATAACGCTGTCGCAATACAACGATGTGAGGTCCAATCTCCCTGTGCCCACAGAAAAGTGTAGAGAGTTCGGTGTGAGTCCGTCACCTTCACTGGGAGTCGTGTCAATAGTCGTACTTGAGAAATGACTCTGCAGCACTTCTATGTTGACAGACTCGCTGAAGATCGTACTTGGGGGATATGCGGAGGATGGAGTGTTTGGCAGCGTCGGGAGGCGTTTGCTTAGGTCGCTGAAATCGAAAGCCGGAGACTGATCAGCAGGTTCGACGACCATCGGATTAGCTGGAGTGTTTTGTGTTGAGACGACTTCTTTGACAGCACTGAGTACATGGGCTCGCTGGCTCTCGAAGTCTTGGAAGATGGCGGGCGAGTTGGTCTCGATGATAAGCGAATTCCGCAGTGATGATGGATCGCGAGATCGAGACCGTTGGCGGCGATGTTGCTGGAACGATACAATATCAACTTGCTCAGCAGCTTGGTCGCCGTCCGTGTTCCGCCGAAACACAAGGTCATGATCACTTCGAACGCTCGGTGAAGCGTCCCTAGATGATCCCGCAGAAAGTCCTGGACGCTTGATGAAATTAGATTTGGTGGGTGATCTGTTAGCTGACCGAGGCAAACGTCCTTCTGGACTCCGAGATCTTGGCGTGCGAAAGGATCTGAATGCTGATCGAATGCTCCCAGACAACGCACTCCCGGGAGACTTCGAGCGGAATCGGAGAGTCGATGCACTGCCCGTCCCGGCGGATGTTGCAGAGCGTCCTGCTCGGCCAGATGAAGCAGAAGTTGGGGTAAAGGCTGGCCAGGTTTCCTGAGGTAAAGTTGGCGATGTTCTCAGGCGCGGAAGTTGTGGCTTGGGAACAGGCCGCGGATTGACGAATTTGTCGTTAGGGTTCATGGTGTAAAGGTCAGAGGTTGTTGAGCTCACGCTAGCATTCCGAGATCGACCTCCGCTGAGGTTGACGGGAACGTTCAGAACATTTACCAGCTGGCCTGGTAACATGGGGCATTGAGTTGTGGCGGGTTCCACAGCGTTATGAAAGTCGAGGTCGTCGTCGAGTTTGTAATAGTACCAGTATGTGCCACCCATTTTCAAGCCACCTTGCCGAGGCTGGACTTCGCCATCTAGTCTACCATCACAGATGATATTGGCGAAGTTGTGGCAGCCAGACCAATGCTCAGGACCTATTCGGCTATCCCTCTTCATAGGGTACGGCGTGTTGAAGTTATCCCAAGATCCCCATAGGCTGACGGTGCGCGTGGTTGGTGGCGTTCGGACCATGAAGGTTATTAAAGTAGTTGTAGCAGACATGTTGAAAGAGCGGTTCGAGTTGATCGAAGGACATTAATGCAGGTACAGAACTTTTCGCAGTGACATAGCCGACCAGCAGCCAACAGACGGGGACTCGATTGAAAGAGGGTAAGCTTGGGAGGACACCAGGCCCTTCTGAGGTGAAATCAAGATTCGTGCTGGCTGCAAGCAAGCAAGGCAATATATCAGAGAAGGTCCGCAAAGCTGCTGTTGGGAGTAGTTCTGCCGAGATTGTGCTGTGCTGCTTCAAGATGAAGTTGTTGGAGGTATAGGCTGTGGGTAGCCAATCGTGGTGAACCACACGTGGTCGATCAAAGACGAGCAAAGAGATGAAACACACGCCGTCAGTACTGGTATGGGCTGTGCTGAGGTTTGTACCATGGAAGCCGGTCGAGAATAGGTCGAGGTCGAACGAGAGCCAATGGAAGGCGCGATGTGCGTAGAAGGCGCTGAGGGGCGGTGATTGCCTTGTATGATGAACACAATCTGGGCGGCTGCTGAAGTTGCGACTGGAGCGAGGGCCAGTCTAACGAGTCCAGTGGATGACAAGTACTTTGTAACAGAGCAGTCGGGGCGCCTGTCGTCAAGCTGCGGTGTTAGAGAATGAAGGTGAGCTCGCAGGGCATAGTGACGGCTTATGCCAATCTACATCTGGGCCTACCTTGACTGACTGCAAAGTTCACGAAGTCCATTATGCGGCATGCAAAAGACACTGGCAAGGGGGCTTGCGGAAGATCCGAGTCCCAGATCGCCTACTATCTGACGAAAGAACGCCATATCGACCATCAAGCGAAGGGACAGGGACACAAATCAAGATTAGAGACTCCAGGGCGTCCCGTTTCGGGAGGCACAGGTTGGCGGCATCGAACTTGATTGGACGCAGGTGGTCTCGATTGCAATCATGAGCCGAAGCTAAATGCAGACGCGAAGAAGAAAGCCCTTGTTAAACGCGAGGCGATACAGGGGTCTGTATTTCCGCAACCTGCTTCCCTACAAGCGCGTACGTTTCGGGTGCTCGATGAATCTCACATAGCCTTATGATCCCAAGATGACGCTCATCAAAAGACTCCGCGTCGCACAGCCTACAATCACTTGCTGTCGTGTTCTCTGTTCAACAATGATGGCCGCGCTGTGCAATGTGGCTGGAAAATGGGACGGAAAAAGAGTTTTTGAGATGCAGTTAATTTGCCTTGTTCGAAGCTCGAAGTACATATTTTTGAGTCCCTGTTTCATTAAGCTTTCCCTGCCACGCGCATTGGTGGCGCGCCGCGACTGTTTCCGCTCTCATCGCCACTACACAGTACGCGGGAAGCTGGCAATAATTTGTCGTCGCAAGCTATCAGTGCTAGACATGTAAAACCGTGCATTGCACACAAATGTTGCCATACTTGGCTAACCCACGGTGCACCAGTCTGGCTTTCCGGTCTTACGTCGAGAGCAATCCCAGTCACCTGACCGTGTAGTGACAAGCACTAAACTGAAGGAAGCTATTAGCTGAGCTCTACTGTATTCAGCACTCGACGGCCGTTACCACGAGCTCGAATGCTGCATCCTGCGTCGGTCCGCGACTCCGAACATGGTCGAGGGTGAGTATACCATGCCGCATGAAATGGAGTGCGAACTGCACTCTTTCTACGGTTTCTTGCGCGCAGGTGAACTCAGACGCCTCTTGCCAAAAACTGCCTATGGTAACCACACATAATTCGACGCCGTTTGGCGGCAATGGATCATCAATTGTGTCAAGGATCCAGTGCGAGCGCGTAGCAGAAAGGTCAGAATCAGCTTGTTATCGCACAAAACATGCACTCTACACCAAGAGGCGTAGCAGTCTGGCTCCGTTGCCTCGTCCCGACGACTGCTTGGAGTTACCTGTCATCCAGACTTGCCTTCACTGATATCTCGTACTGCACGGGCTTGGTGCACGACTCGTGATACGATTGACACCACCGATCGAGTCTTGAAAAATTGCATCCTATCGCCATACCCATTACGCCAAGACGGCTTGTCTCTGGACGCACAATATTCATGGCTTCATCTCCCGCAGGACCTGCAAATGCACGGAAACTACGTATGAACGCGCTAACACATCGAGAAGACATAGCTTCAGTGCGCATCGCCGTCCGTGGGATGTTACTACCCGCTCCGTTTGCCAAGTGTCGGTACTGTGGGTCGTGAATGTCGTCCCGCCGGAGGTAAACCGGGCGAAAGAGATAAGAAGGAACCTCTACCATCTGGGAGTTCATCAGTGACCTTGGACGTTGTCACTAGCTACGATGGGCCCAGCAGTGTGGGTATGGCGCCATCCTCAGTTTCGGTTATGCTGCCTAGTCCGACCGCTGAGCTCGCGAGATATTATGTCATGCTAAAGCTGATAGTGCTGGATATACTCCGTACATCCACACAGAGGGATGGCGCCGAATCATTGCCGGTCTGCCCACGTGGTGCGGTACCCGCGAAAGTGTCATCGGATATCAGCATGCCCATGACGGTTGCGGTAACATGACCGAGCCAGAAAATCAACTGTCGTAAGTTGTTCCCGGCCCACGGGCAGCCCACACAGCCGGTAAACGCTTGGTGCGTCACGAGCATCCGCCGGATCTGAAGAGAAGTATATGTATCTCTGGGCTTGCTGTGACTGGGACCATGTTCTGCATCAGCTACTTTGCTTGAAAGAAAGGGCTCGCTGGTGCTGTTCCGTCTTCAACGCAACAATCAGGACGTCGCGGAATCAAGCAAGGATGTGGGGCGTTCGTCGACTGGCTCTTGCCGCCCTGGCGGGCTCCAGTGCGCTTGGGGTAGCGCTGCGTACGGGCGACAACGCAACCGATTTGACCCTCCTGTCCATCCGCGAAGCTGCTGCTCTGATACAGGAGGGCAGCCTTCGGGCAACGCAACTGGTCGAAGCCTACTTGGCGAGAATCGATACTGTTGACGAGCGACTGCGCAGTTTCATCTACGTCGCTCGTGATGAAGCACTTGCAGCCGCTGCGCAGGTGGATAAAGACATCGCAGCCGGGCAGTATCGAGGCGCACTCCACGGCATTCCATTCGGAATCAAAGACCTGTATTTCAGCGGCGCCATTCCTACGACTGGCAATTCCAGGCTCGACTGGGGGAATCGCACCGATCAGGTTGCAGCAGTCATCACAAATCTCGAGGCTGCAGGTGCTGTCCTGATAGGCAAAATGGACACAGGAGAATTCGCCTCAGGGACTGTCAAGCTATACATGGATCTTCCTCATGACCTTGCGGCAAATCCCTGGGATCTGGATCGATTCGCTGGAGGCTCTTCCACTGGTCCTGGTGCTGGCGTCGGCGGCCGGACAACGCTTCTTGCTGTGGGCGGCGATACCGGAGGTTCTGTCCGCCTGCCTTCTGCTGCATGCGGCGTACAAGGTCTCAAGCCCACTTTCGGGCGCGTGAGCAACTATGGCGCAATCAGCAACACCTGGTCGAGGGACTGTGCTGGACCCATCGGATGGAATGTGGAGGATCTAGGTTATGCATTGGAGGCTATGGGTGGATACGATGTCAGAGACTCGACAACAGTCAAAACAGCGCCTTTCAAATTTGATCCGATTATCCCACAAGACCTGAGTGGTCGCCGGGTGGGCGTCGTGAACATCTCTAGCACGGATTATGCCGGCCTGCAGCCAGCTATGCGTGCCGGCATCGAGAATGTCATCAGCCTCCTGCAAGACAACGGTGCTGAGATTGTTCCCACTAATCTCCCTAGCAAACTTGCCGAGTACAACACTGTGGGTAGTCCGATCTCAAACGTAGAGTTCCACGTCTCCAACTGGGATCTCATCATGAGCGATCCTGCCGCTGTGGGCCAGGGTACGAGAGACAGGCTGTCTAGAATCCTCGAAACGACCGCCGTCGACTATGGCGAGGCAAGAAAGCGAGCACTCGAAATGACCTCTGAGCTTGAGGAGCTGTTTCGGGACTTCGAAGTCCTTGTGCTCCCAGGCACTTTCTACACCGCCGGTCTCTTCTCCAAGCCAAAAGAGATTTCGGATTTTATGCTGAAGACCGCCATGGTGCCTGCCTCGATCACCGGGCATCCCGCGCTGTCGATGCGAGCCGGGTTTGATGGTGAGCTGCCGCTCAACTTCCAGATGATCGGTCCGCTGTTCGATGAGGCTGTATTGATCCGGTATGGCATGTTCCTCGAGCCGCTGATCGATGGTGTTGGGCCGAGAAGGGTGCCGAAAGTGCTGGGGTAAGCCGCGAACAAACGACTGAATGTCTTGTCCCGGGGGAGGCCACGAATTCCTACAGCGCCCTCCCTGGCAACATAAATGATAGTGGAACGTTTTAACGAGTTCATACTCAAGTGAGGCTGACCTCAAATTTGCTGGCTCGATCTGCAGGACCATTTGTCTTCTTTGGAGCCCGCCCTGACCTCAATCCTCTGAGTTAATGGACAAGTGACGAAAACGCTCATTTAATGCCCGAACAGCCTGGATAGATCCAGGTGTGTTTTGTGGAAGACTAAGTCGTCTACTTCTACAATGTCGAAGAGATTCCGGAGCAGTTCCAGAGTATAGAATTCTCCGCAAAGCCGGCGTAAAGTGTGAGTATACAATCCCGACTACTAGGTATATCCGTGGTCAGCGTGCTCAGTAACGTAGAAGGCACCATTCTGCGATCTGTGACAATGACCTCGTGGGAATCTTTGGATTTTTGTTATGTACACTACCGCGAAAAATTCGGTCTGGAATGCCAGTGGGCCTCTGATCAAGGGTCGCAATGGCGATGAGCTAATGATACAATCCACCGAAGTAAAGATATGTCCCGGCGAGCATTTCTCGTGTGCTAAGCGCACCATATCGCAGCATCATGTCTGCAGCGAATCCTGGACTAGCTTCGCAATCCCTAGACCTTCTTGCGATCCCACCGTCTGACGACACTACCAAGGCAGACCTTGAGCAAGCCATCGGCTGTAAGTGTCTGACCATCGTCTCCAGTCCAGGGCACAGTGTCGACTATGTCACGCACGTTGTGTGCACCCGACAAGGCATCGTCCAACTCCTGCAGATCAGCTGCTGCCTCAGGCTCCCGACCAACCTGGAAGAATTGGATCCCCATTTGCCACAGATCAGCATTGTAGGAGTCGAGTTTTCGAGCTGCGGAGACAATGACCGACTCAACATCATCGCTCGGAACACCGTCAGTGATAACTATGATGTTCATTGGCTTGACTGTAGGCTCGTGACCATGTGCTTGCTTCTCGAGTGAGTTTTCGAGCTCTCGAAGGTATGGCTTCATGATCTGGTTGAGACGAGTGCCGGTAGGGGTTCCGCCGAGCGGTCGGACGTTCTTGAAGATGCTGTCTACTGCAGCAGTGGAAGTAAGGTTTGTGTATCCGCCTAGATTATCCTTCGCCTGGGGATTCTTGTGGTTGAGGAAATAGATGTCGATACCGTTGGCATCGTGGGTGGTACAGATGGGTGTAATTGCAGAGAGCGCAGCAGCAGTCTCACGCCAGCTACGGCCAGCCATGGAGCCACTGTCGTCGATCAAGAATACTGTGTCGAATTGGGTAAGAAATGCGTACGGCGAATCGGATGTTGACTCCATTGAACCGGGGATGACCGTACCCTTCGCTGCTGGCGTGTAGGCAGGAGGTGCGTCGGCGTTGCTCGCGGGTCGCCTAGTCGGCGTCGTTCGCGCGAATGGAGACCGACTTTGGGTGTTTTGGCTGTTCTGAGTAGGTTGGGCGTTCATCGTCTGCTCAGCTCCGTCGTGCGAAGATCTGCCCGACTTGAAGGACTTTGAGTCCTTAGATGACTGCTTTGTGACCATGCGTTCTAGACGCCTGAAGGGGTTCGAGGACTTCATTGTGTGTGAAATGGGGGTATTGTGGGCGAAGAGCCCAGTCTGGGGAAGTTGCACGGTGGCCATTTTATTGAGTGACTGCTGCCTCTGCTGTGATTAAGTTCCGCTCGCGTTTGGGTCAAACAATGACTTCACAGCTGTACTTTCACCTTGTGATGGAGCTTTTCCTTTGCGCAAACACCATCTCAACCATTGCAGCTCTTACCTTAATGTCTTTATACTTCCACTTCACCTCCGTGAAATGCTTCGATTGTGCCTTGTGAACAGCCCTCAAGATACAGCCTACTCGTGGCGATACGCTTGTCGAGTGCGACAGGGAGGAATGGTTCCATCACTCCGCTCTTGCGAACGAACGCCGTGTCTTAGTTCAATACACGAGTGCCAATGCTTCGAGAAGGAGTCGAACACAGTCATTTCTCCGGCGCAGATGTCCAGGCGAAATTGGTCATGTGATGCACTGCGAAATGGGAACACATGATTGGTGGTCCCCATCGTGTTTGGGGCGCAGCCTTGTGGCTTAGGCAGGCGGTGCCCAAATCCCTCCGCCGGTATGTGTTCCTCAGCTTACGCGGTACCTTCGACCAAGCTTGCAACTCTACTATCCTCTAGCGACCGAATTCTATATGCTCATGCGCTATGTCATACACATTCTCCATGCAGCCGCCATGTGTCCTGGGACAGCCGTGTCTGCCCGGTGGTCGCAAGCCCAACCATTTGAAAGTACTCTGCGTCGTAGCGTGCAGTTCACCTACTGTAACAAAATCTCTCAGCTTATTGCCACGACCGATCTGTACTTTTGAGAAGTGTTCGAAGCATGTCTGCTTACAATCCGCTCCTGCGGAGATTTGACCATGATAATCGACAAGCTGCAACGCGTTGTAAGACCTGGACGACCAAGTGGTGTCCCTTTGGAAGGCTACGCTCTTGACATGCTCGCCGTCAAGGTTGCCAAAGCCTCATCCTTTGCACATCGTATCTCTGCGTCAGTCGTGAGTCGTCGAGGACTGGCCGGATAGTGATGTCAAGTAACCGCCGTAGACGTGAGTCGACCAGTGTCAATCGTCACGCATCAGGCCCCGTCTCATATGCGTCTCGCTTCCCTACCAGATCACATGGCTTTAAAGTCAGCGCGATCTCTCCGCCGTCGATGGCCGCGATGACCTTACATGATTTTTGAAGTCAGCAGAGAAAAGGGATTTCGAAGAACAGTTGCGATATACAGTATGCACGTCGCGCACAGGGCTCGATACCCATTGGACAAATCCCAGAGCTTAATGGGGCCGAATAGCTTGGCCGGGACTTCACCTCATCATTCCTGGAGTCTCGACCAGCTGTCTGTTATTGCCGTCGGTCTGTTGTAGATGTTTCATTGATTTTGATTAACTTTGGCGTCTGTGTTGTCGACGATGGTTTTCTCGCAACTGGTGGCTCTTGCCAATGGGAGCTGGCGACCGCCTTGAAGCGCTCTTACCATACTCTTGTGGCTCCTTCCGTTCCTTTTCCGCCAGTAGTGCTTGCCCGCGTCGTCGGTCATAATGTGCAACACCTGGCCCGGTCTGAGCCTTTTTGGTTTCCAATCACGTACAGAGCTGTGTTTTAGCCAGCCAACGTACGAGCTCCTGTTCGGTTCAGGTCGTATACTCGATGCTAGCTGTCGAGTGTGGTCCCGGCAGCTCTGTTGACGCTTTACGTTGATCTCACTGGCTACTGCACCACGTAAACCTCGGTCTTTGCTTCATCGCTGTCGGCCGCTTCGGTATACGTGGACGAAAAGTTGTACCATCATCATGTCTTGGAAGTTTGCTGAGCTCAAATGGCGTCAAGACCTGGGTATCTACGAGAGTTGGGATGGTAGAGATGTCGACTGGCTGCCCCTCGAGCGCAAGAGAGCGATCAGAGCCTTTCAAGAGAGGCAGAAGGTCTCTCACCCTCATCGCAGGTCCATATCGTTGCAGCATTTCCCAATGAAGCAGGTTACGCGTGATGGTAGCGACGGTAACAGTGAAGTGCAAACGCTCCCCGCACTTCCTGCGCTGCCTTCTCAGAGAAAAGAGAAAGCCTCAAACATTGAGGAGTGGTGCCAGCAGAACAAGGAAGACTTTCTTCGACCATTGGCACTTGATTGCAGGGCAGGAGAAGACACTCTGTCACCAGTCCAGAGATCTCACAGCTTTTCAGCTGTCAAGAACCGTCCGGGACAAGTCCAAGCAGCTCCTACAGATTCTGAGGACGAAAAGCTGCGAGAAGCATCACCTAACCACAAAGAAGACAGTCAAATAGGTCAGTGAACATACCTTCTCAAGTGACAAGCCCATCTAATGCTAGAGCCTCAGGTCCAGGCAGCTCCCTGTATCCCAGTAGTGCTGCTGAAAGTCGTCTTTCGACAGGTCTCGGGAGCCGCGAAGAGTTGAGACGGCTCCTTGAGCACGTTCAACCGCGTAAGTCCTAAGGACAATACCACTAGCTGCCTTCTAACCTCCAGCAGCAGCATACAGAACATCAGCAGGGTCTTCAGAGGCGGACGGAAGCTCTGGTATCTGCTTGGTTCGTTCCCTCTTCTCCTCCCGCAACCAGACCGCTGACATTCAAGCGAAGGGATTCGAGCAGCTTCAGCCCTGGTGCTCAAGCGCCACAGACTTACTGTCTTCCAGCATCACGACCAGAGACTTCTTGAGGTTCGCTGGAGGCAAGTACAGGCTCTTGAACAGCAAAAGAGTCCCGGCTCCTTGCGACATCGCGTCACCTTCAGACACCTCGGCAACAGCCCTTCCATCAACAGTGTCTAGGCACCGCTCAACCTCGTTACTGCTGCCCCATTCAAGAATGGCAGACTTTCGTCCGCGGTCCCGTAGTAATGTCGGCAGCCCCTTCCAAGATCGAAGCCACGATGTTCAGCAAGGAAATGCAGTGGCTCTGACAGCAACGCGCCGAACCACGCCAACATACCCGACACTCCAAGAGGCACATGCATCTGTGACAGGCAGTCTCGCAACGCCTCACATGCAAGCTGCCACTCCTGATACAGATACCCTCAACAACGTGTATGCTCGGCCACAGGCTGGATCCTCGATCCGCGACCGTACTACCAATCATTCGGCAGCCTGGAGTCCTTATGACAACGCCAATATTGACACACTTGCGTATCGACCAACTCCTCGGATGCCATTCCAGCAACCGGAGTCTCCAGATAGTCTCGAACATGACTTCCCAGGGGAAGTGGTCGACAACCCTGCTGGCCTGCGCTTGGGCACCAACGATGTCGCTCTGAGATCAACCTGGAGCAGCATCCGCCAGAGTCCTGCCACACAAGCCCATCGCGCGACCTATGTGCCCTCAGAGGAGTCGTCAGGTCTTGGGGGAGCCGCTCGTACAATTCATGTGTCTCCAGAGGCCACCCGGAGTCCTTTACGATCCAATGGACACCGTATTTCCTCCTCGCCTCCTAGCTACGGCTCAACACGGGACTTGCTTGGTAGAAGTGGCGCGAATGGTCTCTCTCTCCAAGAAGCAACATTGCCGCTTGTTCCTGTTACCAATGGTCATAGACAATTGACAGGCTCTACCTTAGGGGAAGACTTTGCTGTGCACACTCTCGAGCCGAGTCATCGTCGTCAAAATGGTGTCACTTCCAACGAATTGGGTGCTTATCCATTTCCTGTTGCGACATCTGATTCGATCGGTCGCTTCAATCCCTCCACTTTTCCCGTGGCATATGGTCCCGTACGGCAGCCGAGCGGTGGTGCTACAGACACAGCATCGGATGACGAAGATGTTGACCGCAGTCTCTTGGAAACCGACCACGCGCGCAACAGCCATACAGGCACCAACGGCTTTCCGACACGAGAAGAGGATGAAGCCTGGGAGACCACACAAGGTACAGACACTCAGCGCAACTCTACTGTACCTGATGGTAGCATTCCAGCTTTTGGAAGTGATCTTGCTGGAGGTCGTGCCACTGTTTGGTCTCCGCTAGCGCCTAGCAACCAGAATTTGGGAAGTGAAATCACTCGATTGCGCTCGGCTAACAACCTGCACAACAACGAGTCTGCACACACTGAGATTCTACAAGGTTCGCGCGATTTCAGTCCATTGCCTGCAACACCTGAGGACACAGACGACTGGCCTCAGCCATACCTTCCTCGAACGCGTCGCTACAGAAGGAATCTCAATCATCAAGGAAATACCGACAGCCTCACAGGTTCTCCTGCTCTGTCCCGACAGCCCGCCAACTCCGATACGCTGTTCGAGATGGCGTCCGACGATTCTACCAACGACGAGCGCGAAGCGCGCCGTCGTGCCATAGAAGCAGAGATCGAGCGCTACGGTACGCTTTCTTCTGTTCTCTACATACTTTCTCGCGTTTTCACTCCTAATTTGAGCATTTTGCTGACAATTACTCCAGATCCAGACAGAGCCCGCCCCGTCCGCGTTTTTCGAAACGCAACTCTATACCACGATCGCCGCGTTTTCGCTATCCAGAACGATCGTGGTCTCGTCTCCCGCCAGCGCCGCCTCACCAGCGTGCTCCTGGTCGCTTCTCTGGTCGTGCTTCCGTTCGGTGGCTTTGCTATGGTGGACAGCATCGCCAACAATGGCGCGTGGGCGCGTGGCTTCCTCTTGGAAGTCTCTACCGCGTGTGGCGGCGTGCCCGTCAACCACGTCCACCAGGAGGACGCTGTGCTGGCCGCGCGGTGCCTTCGCTTCGGCTCGGTGTTCGTTGTGGCTGCGTGGGGTGTTTTCTTTGCTCTTCTGCTGAAATATGCCTGAAGGGAGAGTGGGAGCGCGAGGAGGGCGCTTGGGTTTCGATTTTGGCTGGTTTTCGTTTTTAGTTTTGTATTAACACCATTGGGAGGACTCTGGGGAGCTTTTTGCTGTGGTTTTCTGGGTGGTTGTCGGTCGTTTTTGCTTCTTTTATGTATCAATACCACATCTTGAGAGGACAATTTGCGAGTCTTTGGTGACTTTGAAGCGTGCTTCGCGTGAGAGAGAGTGGCCTTACCTGAGGCTCGAGGTCAGTTTCGATATGGCTTGGGTGAGTCGCGGTTCTAGGTTACTTGTGATTTCGATACATTTCGCCTGAGATTCACTTGCCTGAGCTGGTCATTCAATTTTGAGCTGCAATGGGGAACTGCAGTTCTAAGGCTTGAATGACAGGATTGAATGGTGATCGTCAATCTGGTGCTTGCATGATCAAATTCAATGAAGCTTGAAATCTGCGGTAAGATCCGCTTCTACCTACTGCTTTATCTGCTTCTGAGCATCACTGCCATCCGCCTCTTCCACATAAGCCAAAGCCTCGCCAACTTTGACCTTCTGCCCACTCTGTACGTTCCACTTGAAGCTCCCATCCGCCGGCGCTTCGAAGACTAGCACGATCGAGCTACCCAGCTGGAATCCGCCCATCTCTTCGCCACGCCTCAGAGCGTGTCCTCCAAGCACGGACGAAGCAGCGGTATATACCGCTTCGGAGAAACCCGAGTAAGGCTCGCCCCGCTCCGCCGCCTCAGCCGCCTGGCGATCTGCTTCCGTGTCCGTCGTCAAAGAGTTGGTGCGCAGCTCCTTGTCAAAGTTGATCTTGATAGAGCCAACGTTAGTAGCGCCGACGGCTGTGTAGCTGAAGAAGCCGTTCTTCCAGCGGCCCAGAAGGACGACGCGTTCGTTCAGGGTGAAGAGTCCGGGCAGTGTACGCTGGACATAGGGGCTGACGGAGTAGAGCTCGCCGGCGAAGTGTCTCCGAGAAGAGCAGATCCAGGAGACGGGGGAGTGGAAGCGGTGATAGTCGCCGGGAGCGAGGTAGACGACGATGTAGTAGAGGCGGGTTGGGGTGGACGTTGAGCCGAAGGGGTTCCACCAGGGCGCGTCTGTGGAAGCAAGATCGTTGGCTACTTCTGCTTCAGACTTTGGGGATGAGCTGGTCGAGGCGTCGGTGGGGCGCTTAGTGGGTTCTGTCTTGCCGGAGAATAGGTTGGGAAGGGAATAGGATATGCCGTTTACATTGGCGAATTCCTGATCGTCGCGGATAGCCTCCGCTTCTGGTGAGTCCGGTGCGGCAGATTGCGGGTGTGCGTAGATATGCCCGGACTGTTGTTCCATCGGATCTGCTTTCTCGCTGGTGGGCGTGGAGGGTGTTGATGGTGGTGTCTGCCCAAGGAGGGCATCAAGAGTGTAGGTCATGCCTTTGACTTGTTCGACTGTGCCGTGCTCGATGGCGCCGAATTGCAAGACCTTGGCGTCGGCAGGAGAAAGTATGGCGTTTGGGTCAGGATCAAGTGGTCGCACGCCGGGCTTCAGTCCTCGGTAGAAGAACGACGCGAGATTGGGATATGTGTGAAGATCCGATTCGGCGACTTCGCTGAAATTCACGCCGAAGATCCAGCCATATAGCTTGAAGCCCGGGACTCGCAAGTAGTATGGGATGTCAATCTCGTTAAACTTGCCCCATACTCGAGAGATGGCTTTGAGTGGCAGAGTAGACATAACAGAGACCTGCCATCCTCCTCCAGAAGGATAGATACGTTGTCGCTTTGGGGGCCTGCTGGAACCGGCGTCCGAGTCCGAGTCAGGAGGACCTGTATGCTGCTCTCTCCTTTGTATACGCCATAGCTGGTAGACTCCAAGAAAGGCTATGCCCACAGCGACGGGTATAGGTTTCCATTGTATCCTGGTGTTATTCCAAGCCTTGCCCAGGCGGGAATTGAAGCTCTCTTGCTTGTACCGCTGCTCTTGTCGTCTCGCGGACCTGGTATGGCTGAATTCACGCTTCTGTAGGGCCTGAAAGTGCGTTGGCCTGGCGCGGTGGGACGGGGGCCTGGCAGGTGAGAGCTCCGCTAGGCCATGTCTGAATACAAGTGGCTGCTCGAGCTGCCGAGTAAGAAAAGGCCTCCTCGTTGCGCATCTACAGGCCATGGTGGCGCAAGGAGCTACCGCCTACTGGAGCAGAATCTATGGGTCGCTTTCATGCAGCCATGGCCGTCGAGACAAGTTTTCGAGCGCTGCGATGCGTGCACGAGATGAGACGGTATTGGGCGAAAATGGGACTTTGATTGAGATGTGTTTGCGACGGCAGTTCTAGGGGCGACCCTCGAAGCTCACATACAGGCGTCTATGCTGGAGCTCTGCAATGTGAGAGTCGTGGTGTTGCTGTTGTGGCGTATTGGTCTGATGCCGTTGTGACGAAAATAGCTCGCGGGCAGTTATGTCACCGCCGCCGCGAGGCTGAACCGCAGCCTTTCTCAGATGGCGTAAGGAATGGGAACGACATGTCTGTGCTCTTACACTACACCACAACACAAACTTCACATTATCTCTCATCTCTCTTTGAGACGGGTCGTGACTTCCCATATCTCTGACCGGTACCAAAGATATCAATGTCACACCGCTCGTTTCAGTCATTCCGGCAGTAGGCATGTCGTCCTCGAATGGCGCTTCCAGCGCCGAACCAGCACCACATAGTCCAGATGTTGTGAACCTCCGAATTACATATCTACTCGGAGGAAACCCTCGGCCTCCGCACAATGTTGGGGCAGTGCCAGCCGATACCACAATTGGCGCACTCAGACTTCGCCTACAAACCGAACTGCTCGAGACACCTACACCTCAGGAACAGCGGCTGATTTACCAGGGCCGACCTCTTCTGCAAGACAACCAGACACTGAGGGAGGCATTGAGGATAGATGGTCCGGCGGGACTTCTGCCGTACACTTTACAAATCATCATACAGACTAGGCCGGCCGCCTCACACTACCGGCCACCTCAGATGGCTTCTGCACCAGCAACAGACGGCATGCACGCTGGACAACCACATCCCCCGGGCACAATGCTCACTGACCGGACCGCTGAGGATGACATGAGAGAGGTTGATGACTATCGACGCCGCTTCGACCAATTCATTCAACAGGGACAGCAGATGGCGCTTCAGCATCATCATCTACAGCTACATCAGCAGCAACATCAGCATCAGCATACTGGGGCCATGCTACATCAGCAAACCGAGGCTATGCTACAACAGCATCGACGCGCTGTTGAGCTCGCCCGAGCCCAGCATCAACGTCAAGTTGCTAGAATTGCGCAAGCCACCCAGCAGCTTGAAACACCTGACGGGCCTCAGGAGAACCCAGCCGTCGCCACTACCAACGGCCAACCAGCTAGCCAATCTGTTGGCCTACCCCAGCCGCCATTGATCGATGCCCCTGGGATCAGTCCATCTTTCACGCAACCACAAGCCTCAGCTCAGCGTCCACAGCGGCTGGACACTCAAGCGCCAGTCCAGATGCCACGACCTTTGTCGACGCCTCCGCTACCACGGCCCGGTCACTTTCATACTCAACTTCCGACTCTTGCAAATCCCAACTTCCCACTACCGAGACCAGGCCACTTCCCTCCCCAGGTTCCGAGGTCTGTATTTCCTCTATTTGAGCCCTCGCGACCCGCGGCCCCACAGACTCAGGACCGCGTCTGGCTTCTGTCCTCGCCACAAGGACCTCGTGCTCTCCTGTTCTCACCTAACCACGGCTACTTCACCAGTACTCCGCCAATCCGGAGAAGTCTCGTTCAGGACGCGATTCGTACCCGAATTGCCGGTAGGACAACCGTAAGGACAACCGCAGCCAATCCACCAGCGGCGGCAGCAGCGGGAGCAGTGGCCAATCCTTTACCCGGGCAAGTAGCTTTACGACAACCTGCTCAACCGGCGGCTGGCGCGGCAGCTCAGAATCCCAATGATGGCTTCCTGGCTTTGGTCAACAACCGAGCCTGGCTGTTTCTTAGGTTGTACATGTTCGCCTGGGTTTTGTCAGAGCCAGGAACTTGGCGTCGATGGTCTTTGCTGGGCCTCGCGGTCCTCATCTCTCTACTACCGACTGACAACCCAATCAACACTGTTCTCCGCGTGGCGCGTAGGCACTTCGATGCCTTGGTTGGTCCGCCTCAGCCTCAGCCTCGACCTATTGCTACTGCTCAACTACCGAACGGAACCGCTCCGAACGCGACTGGCCAGCCACCTCAAGGTACAGTCAACATAACACCGGAAGAAGCAGCAGCACGAATCATTCGCGAACGCAACGCAGCCCAGCGCCAGCGTCAAGCCAATCCCAACGTCATGCGGGATCTTCTGTACAGGATCGAGCAAGCCCTTGCATTATTCCTGGCAAGTCTGGTACCAGGCGTTGGTGAGCGGCACGTTGCAGCGCGCGAAGAGCAGAGACGGCTTGAGATGCAGGCAGAGATGGAGCGGATCAATGCCGCACGGGCTAGGGAGGCTGCAGCGGAGGCTGCGTTGGATACATCGACTCAGCCCAGTCAGGGTGCTGGAAATGCTGAATCTACTCCTGCGAGTGAGTGTACTACGGAGACGACACCGACTGAAGGAGCAAGTTCGGCAGCAGCAGAAGCAGTGCCAGCGCCGGAAGCCACTAAGAGTGAACCCGCCGCTCAGTTGCCATTGCCGTCATGGGGAAGCGTCGAGCAGACGACGTCCACAGCGTCCACGTCGACTGGCGTAGACACACTCGCGAACGGCTACAACGCGACGGATGAGTCTCAACCACAACCTCGGGCCAGACATGCCACCGTTGACGACGATGTCCCGGAGTAGTCCTTCAGCGATGGGGTCTCACGGCTTCCACGTCCTCGCCAATCCTAAATGCAGATCACTTGGTCTCCACGCCTGAAATGCGGCGTTACCTCCAGGTCCGGTACTCAGTCTATGAGGGCTACGGATGCCTTGTCCTTGGGTCACTTGCGATCGTCCAGTCTTTGGGTTTGCGAGCGCATTGCAACACACGTTGACCATTGGAAGGACAGAGGCGTAAGAGTTTCGTTCAGTCGCTCAAGTACACCCGATTTCTGTACCAACACCGGCGTCATTAATTCACGATACCCCCATCAAGCATTCTTATGGCCAACAAGCGCGGGAGGCTGAGTGTCGAAATGTCCAAAAGAGATTTCGAAGAATCATTCGCGTCAAGCGGCCCTCGCAGTTAACAGAAGTCTTTCTCTCCAATTTCAACATCGTTGAAGTCTCCTCTTGGTGCTCCCTGTTGGTGAGGCCCTGCCTTATACTTGACAACCTAAGCGACTTCACCGTCCCCCTTCCTCACAATCACCGTCCTCTCCTTGCCCTCCGGACTCCCCTCCTCATCCCCCGTATTGACCGTTCCGACCTTCTCAACCATCAAGATCCCCGTCTCCTGCTCCACCCACGGCCGGTGCCTATACCCCAAGGGAACATTGAAGAGATCGCCTACATTGATGCGCACGGTCTCAAAACCCTGATCTTCGTGTTTGGAGGTGAGGTCAGTGGCGATGTCCATCATCAGAGGGCCGCCGGAGATAACGTAGAATACTTCATCAGTGTTGGGGTGGGCGTGCCAGATGAAGGAGTTGGAGATCGTGGCAATCTTGAAGGAGTGGGTGTTGTTGGCTGTGAGGATGTGCTGGGGCCGCCAGTGGGTTGTGAGGAGGGATTGGGCGTCGCGGAGGTTTGTTGGGGCTTGGTGTGTGGTGGGTTTGGGGGTGGTCATGGTTGCTGTTGTGACTCAAAAGCCGGGAAAGAGCCTTCTGAGGACATATATACAACTCTTACCTGTATGGTTGGCGTTCTTTCTGCTTCGATGGCCAGGAACAATTGTCTGCCTGACCGCAAATCACCTGAAGGGCGTGAAGGCTTAAACATGCACTAGCAGACGAACGAAGACTTCTCGAGCTTGTAATCACGATTCACGGGGGGCTAGGACGTGACTGTCCTCAGAAGTCAATGCCAGGAAGACATATTTCAGGCTGGCTGAATACGCAGACAGTGAGGCAGTTTCCTTACCGCGAGGCTAATGATCGATCCGAGTCGTGTAGGAGATAAACTGCAGCAATCTCCGCGCACACCCGTTGAACTTCCGTCGTTTTCCCCGCTGTCATCCAGAAGTTAGAACTTTGCTTGCAGACTTAAACGACCATTCCGCCCCTCCTACGCCTGAGTCCCTTTGACATCAGCCACCATGGCGGCAAAAACAGCCGACGACCTGTCGAAGCTCGCGCTCAACGGTTCAAAAGACAAGTCCGAGCATGCCTCAATACCAGGCAAAACCAACGGCACCAATGGAAATCTAAGCGACCAAGACGATGATTCGGAGGACGATGGCCCTCAGGATGCAGGCGCGCCCGCCGCAGCCAAAAAGAAGAAGAAGAGAAAGCCCAAGAAGAAGAAAGGTGGCCCCAAGCAACAGACAGACCCACCACGAGTAAAGCTCTCACAGATATTTACCAGTGGGAACTACCCTGCAGGCGAAGAGGTGCCTTACACAAAGTACGACAATGCCTATCGCACCACGAGTGAGGAGAAGCGGCACCTGGATAGGGTCAAGAGCGACTGGCTCAACGACTATCGCCAGTCCGCTGAGATCCATCGACAAGTGCGGCAGTGGGCGAAGACCAACATCAAGCCTGGAATGAGCCTGACTGAGATTGCCGAAGGGATTGAAGAAGGCACACGCGCTCTCACGGGTCATCCGGGGCTCGAGGAGGGTGACAACATCAAGGGAGGCGTCGGCTTTCCCACAGGCCTGAACCTCGACCATATTGCGGCTCACTACAGTCCCAATGCAGGAAATAAGACTATTCTGCAGGAAAGTAATGTCATGAAGGTCGACTTCGGCGTGCATCTGAACGGCTATATCGTCGACAGCGCCTTCACTATGGCATTTGACCCCAAGTACGACAACCTGTTGACCGCCGTCAGGGAGGCGACCAACACTGGTGTACGTGAAGCCGGTATTGACGTGCGTGTGGGCGATATCGGTGCCGCGATCCAGGAGACTATGGAGAGCTACGAGATCGAATTGGACGGCAAGACGTACCCAATCAAAGCCATTCGGAACCTCAATGGCCACGACATTGTGCAAAACAGCATCCACGGCGGCAAGTCTGTTCCCATTGTCAAGTCAAACGACCAGACAAAGATGGAGGAAGGCGAAGTCTTCGCTATTGAGACGTTTGGATCTACAGGACGGGGATATGTCACTGACGATCTGGAGTGCTCGCATTATGCGCTGAAAGGTGATGCGCCCAATGTGCCGCTTCGTGTCACCTCGGCGAGGAACTTGTTGAGTGTGATTAAGAAGAGTTTCGGCACTCTGCCGTTCTGTCGGCGGTACCTGGACCGACTGGGTCAGGAGAAATATCTGCTAGGACTGAATAATCTGGTTAGTAGCGGTATTGTGGAAGCATACCCCCCCTTAGTGGATGTGAAGGGGAGTTATACGGCACAATTCGAGCATACGATTCTGCTCAGGCCGACCGTGAAGGAGGTTGTCTCGAGGGGTGACGACTACTGAGATTATTGCCGTCATGAGAATATGAACATATGATCAACTAGGGATACTGCATACCCGAGCGTCCGAAAGATTATGAAACTTTTCGAGAGACGTGCGCCGCGAAGCCAGACACGCATTCAAAAGCTTTTGAACAGTCTCAATACCAGTTTGGTCGTGGTGATGCTTGCCATTCCTGGTTGCGCCCTACTTCATGGGGACTGCTCGTCATCCGGTTCGCTAGAAGGGCCATTACACAACTTGCCTGCACGCGACGCCGTACTCTGCGCGAACGTCCTTCCAATTCTCCCATCTGTCAGCTTGCCAAGTTGCGACCCCAGCCTATCGTGCTGAATGTCAGCCAGTGGCCAGAACCACGCAAGTACGCTGTGTCATTGGCTTAGTCCGAGGTGGGCATACACATCGATGCAATTGTCACACAACGTCATGGGGTCTTCCGGATTCTTTTCCCACTAGCCGGCCCACTAATCCGCGCCATGGACGCCGACAGTACAGTCGTGCGGAGTTGTTCTTCCGATGCAAATCTCTCCAGATCCAGTCAACGCTGAGTGGAGGGTTCACGAGTCCTGACAACGGGTTTTCCCTGGCCTCGTGCGGAAAATCCTCCGTACCAGCCTGGAGCTCGACCTTGGGCCTGGATTGGACACCGCATCGGCACTAGGATCTTTGCATTGCGATGATGTGCGACTCACACCATCGATTTCGATTGCCTGCTATGGAGCTTGGCTCACTCGCCACCCCAGACGGTCTTTTCAGGCGTTACGACAGGCACTCTTAGTAGGGACTATGTATTTTTCAGCCTCACGATCCTTGAGCACAACAAAGTCACGATCCACGAGGTTGCGCTCAAACCTGTGTCCAATCAACGAGACGCGATCTTGTCAAGCGAACACACCTTCGCGAACATCATTTGACACCATCACAGCTAGGTAATGCCGCCGAAACAGAAGAACATTCCTATCGCGCCCGGCACGGCGGAGCAAACTCAAACTCGACGTCCTACATCCTTCAGCAATGCCGGTTATCGTTCACCCGAGCTGCCAGCACGAGTCAGGACTGGTCATGCATGCGACAGGTGTCGAGAACTTCGAGCGAAGTGCTCTGGAGGACATCCTTGTGTCAAGTGCAATAAGGATAAAGCATCATGCCACTACAGTGACCGCAAGCGCGAACGCAACAAGAAGTGAGTGTTTGGGAAAGCGGCAAGGCCATCAAGCTGATCTGGCTAGATTCCTGGAGCGGAACACCGTAGAGATTGCAGCATTGAGCAGCGACAAGCGGCGCCTAGTCGATGCTCTGACGGCTGTAACGGAGGAGTCTGAGCTTCAGCCCGCGCGTCACGCTCAGCTACTTCGCTTGTTGGATGACGTGCGTACATTCTGCGAATTTCGTGTTGCTGGCTTAACACATCGCAGATGAAACCTCCGGAAGACAGCGTCGAATCTTCCGGCTCTGCTCAATCCCAACTATCTGGCACTCGTTCGACGAACGCTCCAACAGAAGTCAGCAAGACGACGAGCAGCTCGATGGACATCGACGAGGGAGTCAAAGAATTCGATGACGAGACGCGTGGCGAAAACCTCGTCCTACCTGATGTCGGCTCTCCTGACCGCATACGAGAGCTCACTGATGCCGTTGATCTGGACTATGGAAATGGTATGCCGGGCCATGCGGGGAAGATGGCGAACGTGGCATGGCTACAACGGATCAAAGGATATCTCAGCGGCAATACGCCCCACCTAGAGTTCGACCTGGGAGATACAGAGATCGATGAGTTGACTGTCCCCCAGGCCAACCTAAGTTACTGGGCAGAGGACGACGATTTGCTCAGCATCGATGAGGATTACGTTGAATCTTATCAGCTGCCTCCACTACAAGTGGCCCTCATACTCACCGAAAGCTACTTTGCAGCCACGCACGGAGCATTCCGCTTCGTTGATCGTGAGGAGATCTTGGCAGAGGTTCAGCGGCTCTATGCCAGCATCGAGCCAACGCAGATGCCGACCTGGACACAGAGACTTCTGCTGGCTTTGCTGAATATTATGTGGGCAGTTGCGGCGAAGTGGCTTTCAGTCACGCATTTGGATAAGCGGCAGATATCTGATCACGGCGTAGGCACATCATTCGATCATCATCTGACCTTTTACGCGCGAGCGCGCGGTCTAGGTCTCGATCATCGAGTGCTGGTGGATCATCCCAGCTTTGAGATGCTGCAATCTATGTCAGTTCTGGGATTTTATCTGCTCGTCAATGGCAGCATTCACAGGTAGGAACATCAGCATAAAACTGCACACCTTGCTGATTGCCAGCAGAGCATGGAATATCATTGCCCAAACCATCCGCCATGCGACCGCACTTGGGCTTCATCTCAAGGTGACGGATGCAGCAATGTCGGAATCTCAACACAAACGAAGAGCTTGCGTATGGTGGTCCCTTTACCGAATTGAAGTCATCTTGTCAGAAATGACGGGGAGGCCTAAATGCCTCCACGAGAATGAAATGACCGTGCCCTCCTCGATCATATCAACACCAACTTCTCTAGGACCAGACCACCTGTACCAACCGATAGCAGGCTTCAACGTGGATTCGAGTGCCCTGCTAAATGAGTTCATGGGATCTGATCTGGATCTGCCTGCACGAACAGAGGCTTTTTCCGGCGGTAAAGTAGTATGGTCCAATTTTGCACCAATGACATTTCCCATCAGTGATGTCTGCTTTGCGCTCGCTCTCGACTTGACCCGAGTCAGCGACAAAATCGGCTCGACAATTTACCTCAGTCCAGCGGATCTAACTTGGGCCGACGTTCAATCTAGTCTCCTACGACTCGAAAGGGACATGGCGGCGTGGCAGCAAGACTTTGCAGAAAAAGCGCCGTCTGGAACAGCCATAGAAGTCGACCCAAGATCTGCCCTCGAGCTGCAGCTCAACTTCTTCAGCTTGCAAATGATTCTTTACCGGCCATTCCTCTGCGAAATCCAGATCGACGAGGAGTCTCGCGAGTCGCATACGCTCAACCTACGGTGCACGCGCGCCTGTGTGCGTGCTGCCGTCACTCTGATGGATCATCTTCCCGACGCTCCTGTACCTCACCAGGTGGCGCTCATCATCCCTTGGTGGCGTCTGCTTCATTACATCACCCAAGTGGTGGCTGTGATCGTGTTGGAGATGTGCCTCAATCTTCAGCACATGCACCGGAGCGAGATGGAGGGTTTGATGACGAGTCTCAAGAAGGCATTGTACTACCTGTGGGCGTTCGCAGCGAGAGCAGGTCCGCGTGCCGGGCATGGTGTCTCATGAGGGTAATGGCGGAGAAAGCAGCATCGAGGTGTGGGCAAGAAGACGTGCTGGCTGATGAAGTGGGATCTGAGCATAGGCCACCAGCATGGGATGAGCAGGATGAGCTGTGGGTTGCCGATGCAGTTGGGTCTATTGGGCGCTGAATTGGCAGAAGCCAAAATGCGCCAAGTCGTTGGTCGAAGGGCAACTGAATTATAATTTAGAGCGTGTATGACAGTACTAAGTAGGGAAGCCAGGCCCGCAATTTCGATTTGGGCTATTAAAGCCTCGTCCAATTCTATATGAGCAGAGTCATGTGGTGCGATGGCGGCCGGTCATCTGCTGTCAGATCGAGACTTGGTCATTTCTGCCGCTGCACTCAAGACTTGAGGTATGCTCCAGGGCTGCCAGGTCAGTCCTCGCCCCTGTTGCTCTCATCATTTTACGGCTGCGCCACAACCTCAAAGTCTTGGCAGTCACTAGCCACAGGTCACTGACGTAGCGGGTTGGGATTGCCAGTGGGATGCGTACACTGGCCTCGAAGATTACGCGGTGTTGGCGCTCGAACTCCGGCTGCACCAAACAGGCCTCCATCGTTGTTGACTGGAATTTCACTGTGTGCCGCAGCCGTCTTCTCGTCACCCCGTGCCGACGGCAATGGGCTGAGCGCAGCCACTTTGTCCCCGTTCCCCCATCTTTGGAGCATGTGAATCGGTTCAGGCTGCATCTATTCACTTTCTCCTGCAAGACCGTGGAAGTCACCCGGCACGATGGTGACACTCAAGAACTCTCTTCCCTATCCGCAATCACCCACGGCTTCAAGTACGCAAGCTGCTTCTATCAGTCCAGCAAACGGCGCCTTGTTTGGGTCTGCGTCGCCAAACACCCAGCAGTCTCAGACTTCCTTCATGGACTCGGATAATCCATGGCAAGATCAGCAACCGACAGCAGGGCCAGAGCAAACAGCCCAGACTTCCAACCACCACCAGCGTAACCATTCCCTCACCAACATCCCACAAGCTCTGAGACCTGGAGGATCGGAACAGGACACGCCTCGTTCCTCGATCGACAGTGGTGAATCCAGGGACTGGTGGGACGACGATGATGCTGGCGATAAGTCTCCTACAAGAAGTCCCGTAAGGACTACGAGAAGCCCTGATCGGAGCCCTGCTCGCAGCATTCCCGATTCTCTAAAGCCGAGACGACCGTCGCCCGCAGTACCTCAGATCCCATCACCGACGAGCATCAAGCGCAAACCACTACCCAGCTCGCAACCTCCACCGGAAGAAAGTAGTCCTCCTCGGCATGACCTTGCCTCAAACAACCCCTTCCGGCATGCCTCGTCTGCCGATGCTCCTCCACCGCCAGCGGCTGCTCCACCTCCGCCCCCGTCATTCGCGCCACCGCCTGTTCCAGAAGCCGATGCCTGGAAGACGGTCGAGCAAGAGCCGGAAGACAAGGGCAAGGCTCCTGTACGAGAGCTGAAACTCGCTGCGTCCATAACAGACTTCTCCCGCATGACAATCGCAGGCAACGTGCCAGATCCTAGTGCCTATCATAAGGTTCAGACACCACAAGAGCGGGACGATCCATGGAAGTCGATGCAAAGTTTACAGGGACCTCCAGTACCACCAGCTCCGCAATTCAACGCGCAGGACAACCCTTGGAAGCAGGCCGGAGGAGCTCAGGACCAGCCCTCGACAGCAGTCCCGGTGAACAACAGCTCTGGTCCACATCAGAGCTCGACAAGGCAGCCGCCATCTATCCCGGCTTCACTGATTCCAGGGTCACACGAAAGTCAACAACAAGAATCAGAAGGGTCCTGGCCGCCAGACCAGAGTAGCCATGAAACAAGAATAGCGAGTCAACGGCCACCAAGGCTATCAGTCACTTCACAAGGAGGACAGGAAAGTGGAATAATACGACTACCAGAAAGAAGAAGTCATTCGCCGTTGGGCCCAGGTAGTGGCCGGTCCCAAGCAGAGCCGTCATTGTTAGACGACGAAGAGTTCGATGCACCAGAACCGATGGGGCCAAATCAGGGCAACAGTCAGCAGCACGGGGAGATATACGCACCGCCACCAGGACCACCTCTAATTCGTGGCCAGCTAATCAACAACGGAGAAGGCGTACCACCACCCAAGCCACCGCGACCGGCTGTCATCACGACGCCGTTATCAGATGCAGATCGGGCCAAGCTCGACGAGCAAAGGGGCGAGACCTATCAGATCAAGCACTTCAATTGGTTTGATCATGGCTCCGGACGACTCAGACGGTCCTCCATGCTCACACAAAACAAGAATGGCCCTTGTCCTCTCCTGGCGCTGGTCAATGCTCTGATTCTAGGCGCTAGAGATGAGTCTCAAGCAGCCCTCGACGATGCGCTTCGTGCTAGAGAGCAAGTATCGCTGGGGCTCATCATTGAGACCTTAATGGACGAACTCATCCAGCGAAGTAACAATCAGGCAATAGACGTGGAGGAGATCAGTGCTTTTCTGATGCGACTCCGAACAGGCATGAACGCCAACCCGCGATTTATTCCTGTGCGAGAGCCTCCTCCGAATTTGATGGATGCTAGGCATTCTATGCTAGATATGCCTCAACAGCAGAGGTCACAGATCACTGCCGGCGGATTCGAAGCTACTGGAGATATCAAGTTATACGGCTCTTTCAACGTTCCTCTTCTACATGGGTGGATACCCGACACAGGATCCGATGCTGAGCAAGCATTTTCACGGTCAGCGCAGACGTATGAGGATGCCCAAGCTATACAATTTAATGAAGAGGAGCTGGAGTATAAACTTACAAGAGATGGACTCAACCAGGATGAGCAGCGCGTGTGGGAAGATATCACGTCCATCAAGAACTTTTTCAGACTACATCCCACGCAACTTACAGAGACGGGCTTGGGAAGAATCCAGCAGTCGCTGTCATCTGGGTCGTTCGCCATCTTGTTTCGGAATGACCACTTCAGCACAATTTATAAGCATCCACAATCCGGCCAACTCTTCACCTTGATCACGGATGCTGGCTATGCGGATAGAGACGAGATCATCTGGGAGTCGCTTGTTGACATAAGCGGGAGAGGCAACGACTTTTTCTCCGGCGACTTCATGCCCGTCTCACACCATCAGGCGAACAACATGTCATCAGATACACAACATCTCACCGTTAACGATCCAATCAACGCGCCACTCTCGCCCCAAGAGCAACAAGAACAACATGATGCTGACTTCGCGATGGCCCTGCAGCTCCAAGAGGAAGAAGAGCAGCGCCAACGCGCCGAACAAGCTCGCCGCCGCAGATCCGGTCCGAACGCTTCTTCAGGGGGCAGCAATGCCGGACTCCAGCCCGGTCGCTCACCCCGTGGCTCTTCTACCGGAAACATTCCAATAACGCTCACCAGCTCCAACCAGTCAGTATCCGACAGGCCAGAGAACCGTCCGACCGTACCGCCTCGCCGGTCGCAAGGGCCGCCAGCAGTGAATCGCCCAGCAGATGCAAACGATGAAGACGCGCCGCCTGCTTATGAAGAGGCAGCTAAGGGACGACCCTACATTCCGCCTGTCGGCAGTCCGCTGCATCCCACTGCTGGACCTGGGGCTGAATCGAGTGTCAGTCCTATGAGCAGCAGTGCACAACTTACGGGCACCATCGGCGGCAATGGCCCCAGCAGTAGCAGTAATAACTTATCGGCGCACCCACCAGGGCCAAACGCGCCCTACTATGGCAGCGGGTCGGGTGGGCCGCAGCAGAGGCCAGGCCATGGTCGTATACTGTCGAGTAATGCTGGACGCCCGGGAGGGTTGAGTGCGTACCAGGATCAGGCTTCGACGCCGACGCAGGGTATGCCGCCGGCAGGGTGGAGCGGGAGGCAGCCGTCGTATGGGAGCATGCCGGGGAGTTATCAGCATGTAGGAGCGACGGCTGGGGAGGGCGCTAGTGGGAGAAGAAGGCGAGGGGATTGCGTAGTCATGTAGTCGATTGGCATGTAGCGAACGTCAAGGTCTGACAGGGCTTGACAGGTCTTACCCGCATCTGGCGGACTGGTTCGTATGCTCCGTCTTTGGTGGAAAAATCAGTTCGGCGTTTCGGACCGGTCTCAGACCGCACGGCACCACTGGGAATATCAACGAGGGCATGATAGCGAGGTCCACATAATACATCTGCATCACACGAAGGCTCTAACAGAGCCGAATTTTTTCCTTCCATGGCCTGAAATGTTTACCTGGCTATCGCAAAAAGTGCTGCCCATTATGGTCTTCTCGGCCAGGGAGGGCGCTGAGGCCCTGGCACTGATACGCTGATTGACTTATTGTGCTTGAGATGAGCCTTACTTGAGCGTCTGTGCGAACAATTTGTACCTGGTGGACTTTTTAGCCAGAGAGGCCGCTGTAAGAAGAACGCCCAGTAATTCTTCAGCCATGCGTCGCCCAGCGTGTGCAGCAGTGTCAGTCTACGATTCTCTCCGCTGGTGAGTCGGCTAGATATGAACCATTGCTGCTGCTGTCAACCGGTCTCTCTACACAGGAATATATCATCTGCAAGACCGGATGACACGACTTTCGCGCGCCAACAGCTGGCCTCGCACGTCCTTCCCTTAGACAAAGACAGCAGAAGCACAAGGACTGACGAGCTCGTCGAGATGCCGTGAAGCGCGCACAAAGGTGCGGGAAGGCGCTTCGCCAACCCTTTTCACACAGTCATCCGGTCTAGTCTGGACTCTACCGAGACCGGCTGACAAGGGGATGAGCCCACGATCGGATGACACGCTCACGTCCCGCTGGCGCCTTCCTTACTCATTCGTCTTACACTAGGCAACTGCCGTAGGCCCATACAGCAATCGCTCCTCCTCATCAATGTGCATTGACGTGACCGCCACGAGCGGCAGGTGCGTCAGCCAGCACCTGCCACGGCTACCGGCCACGTCAACCGGCTCAGAGAAGTCTACCTAAGACCGGATGACTGGATCTCCTCAAGACTCTCAACTGGTATATACTCTGCAAACATACGGTCCTTTTCGTCCGGTCCAGCTCACACCCCTCTCGAGTGCATACTCGTTGACTCGAGGGGTTCTGCAACACAGTAACCTCTCCTCCGTTTATCTGAGCAGACCATTTACTGCCAGGCAAAGACCAATGTCAGAAAGCTCCAAGGACGACTTCAGCTGCGTCTGAGTAGCGGCAGTGATGACTCCCAGGCCGCGGACATAGACATGTGACAGTTCAGAGGTTCACCCATTCGTCTGAACGGAGTGAATTGTCACTCACTGTACAACTGAGTCTGCACTCTCTCTGCCGCACTTGGTGGGTCACGAGGAGCACACTGATGGCTCGCCTCATGCTGACCCTGTATCCATCGCGTCCGGCACAGAGTACTGCAGTCAGAGCAGCTGATCTAGTGTCTCTAGACTCGCGAGACAAGACGATGGCACAGGATCATCTCTCCAAGTGTGAAAGCTTGAATGGGCAGTCTTAAACATTTGTGCCAACTGTTGAAGCAAGCGTTTAGACAGATTAATGTACAAGATAACCTTAAATAAGGCGAGCACTATTGTAGACACCTTGAAAGCGCGAATGAGCTCCCACACCAATACTGTAATTAGTGAAAGCTGTTGAAGCTTGAGATAAGCACTGATAACAGAGCAGAAGTTAGAGACCATGTTATAGAAGTGTCGTAGCCGCTTCTTGGGCGAACGCGTTGTTATTATTGCAGCTTGGAGATGCAGCGTGCCTTCAAAGCAGTCCAAGTGCACAGTAAAAACTAGTTGCTCAAGTGTCGCCTGCACGGAGTTAGGACGACACAAGGATGACTTCTGACCGTTTGCAAGTTGGAGGCCTACACGACGTACATAATAAGTCACCCCAAGGTACGATGTATGACGGGTCTGGGCCACGTTAACTATGGATATGCAAGGTGCACGCAAGTTGACCCACAGATCTCCACCTACTTGGCCACTACCAGATATCACAACCAAGTCATATTCTCCTCAGGAACCAGACAACGACGGCCACCAGCAGGTACTCTGGCGCTTCCGTCCCATATCTTCATCATTCAATAAAAGCTCAGTCCGAGGCATAGCCTGTATCGCACATATATTGAGCCAAAACCCAGTGGAGAAGGCCGTATCGATTCTGCAGCAGAATGAAATGCCGGGTCTCATGACTCAATGGCAAGGACTTCCGTGATAGTATCGCCGCACGCCATGGATTGGAGCAGGCGTAGCTGCTGCCTATGAGCCGAACAGATGGTTGCGTCACGCTTAGCGGCACCTCAACACATTCTTGATGGCTGCTTAAAGCCACTCAGATGTTCCGAAGGAGATCAAAGTGCCGCCGTGAGAGTTCCGCGTACGGAATGATTTTCGGATCTGATCAGGTGCCTGAATAGTGGTTCGGCAAGATTCCGAGGCGGTCTGCCTTCCTTGCCAAGGCCTGAGATTATGGGCTTTCTTTCCACGCATGACTGCAATAGCCAGTGACTCATTGCGCTCACGACACTACTATCATGCTTTGCGACCGTCTGGACAGTCGTGGCCGCATTTTCGTGGTTGTGGCATTTTCATCGGGTTGCCCCGAGCACCACCGAAATGAAGCGCCGAACCATTTCGGTACCCGCGGGTAGAGAAGCTGCTTTTGTGTCGCTCTAGCCCGGCAATAACCCAGCATGGCTGATCCGTGGCTGTTTCCATGTCGATTCCGTATCGATCGACCCCGTCTTCATCCCTTATTGCCGTTGTCAGTGCCAAGACCTACCGCCGCCTCAGCCAATTTTTGCGTGTGAGATTCTTCTTTCAGATCTCTGATGCGGCGCTTGTGAGCCTTGCCTCTTCGATGCTCGCTCAGGTTGTGAGCATCTGAGAAGTACTTGGCGCATTGTATGCAGTAATGGGCTCCCAAGCCTGGTAGATCCTCAGCGGCTTTCGATTCCTTATGTTGTGCTAGATGTCGTGGGTTCTTCAAATCCTCCTTGACTTGATCAAGACCCCTATCGACTCGTCAGTGGCAGCCGCATATAGTCGAGCAAGAGTACTGACCGCTTATGTCGTTTGGTTTTCACCATGCGTCGAGCGGCATGAGAGGTCATAGTGACAAGACTTCTACGACAAAATCACTCTTGTTACGGACGATGGTGGCAGGTGATGCACAGACGATACTATGTCCCGAAAATAATGTACAGATGCCGAGGTCATTGGCCGATGACTTGAATCGCGTTGAAGAAATTTCTCGTGCAAGAGGCCACTTTTTTCGCGGAGCGGAATGGAGTCAACGGGATAACGTCTCCCAACCAATTGGGTACAAGCAGAAAGGCATGAATCAGCCTTGCTTGTCTCGGGCAAACGGCGAAGGTGCCGGATCGCTTGGGTTGCCAAAATGCCTCAATTCTCGGGTGCAGAACTTCTGCAGCAGTGCGAAGGAGTAGACGGTGGGCGAAGACAATGCTGTGCGCGAACGCAGGTCTGTGAGAGAGGATAATCTGGCGAAGTGAATATGAGAACGGAAGCAGTGTAAGCATGAAGTGGACGGGAAGTTGCTATGACCTCAAACCTTCCAAGCATCTAGCCTATTTGGGCGGTGTCTGCAGACCAAACAATTTTGAGATCGTGCTTTCCCAGTCGCTGCGATGGGAACGAGGTCATTGAGATAAAGCTTTATACAGCGTGCCTTACCAGCCTGTTGACATCTGTCATCCTTGTGATTTCCGAGAGAAACGACTGCCAGTGAAGTCAAGCACGACAAGAGCAACGAAAATCCCCAGGCTGTGAGCATCCGGGCCTCGGGCCAATCGCGTGGCTGTTGAAGCTCATCCCAGGCTCGGCTTGCGTTTCTGAAAGCAACTCTGCAAGCTTCACATCGACTTCCTTCTGCTTTCCTTTCCTGCGTCCCTCTCCACTCCTCTTTATCCTATTGCTACACATCAAGCAGAGCTTCGCATAGTCGCAAGCATGCTGTCGCCCGCTCGCCTGGCGGCCCGCCTGGTAAGTACATTCACAGCCCCTCCATCCAAGCCGCAAAACATGTGCATTTCTCCGCACTGCTGCTCTTCAAAGATAACGCCGTGTTTGTCTGAGCGTGGGCTAACGTTCGCATGATAGGGCTTGAGCAAAGCAGCAGTGAGTAAATAGGCGGTTATAGGGTGTAAAGCTCTACTAACGCTCCATGACAGCCTCTGCGAGGTGCTCTCAGAGCTGGCTATGCCTCCGTCTCCGATCCTCCTCTCGATAAGAAGGTCGAGATGACGATACACGAGAAAGGCCATTATATCAACTACAAGAAGATGTCCGAGAACCTGTCTGTCGTTCGATCCCGACTGAACCGTCCGCTCACATACGCCGAGAAAATTCTCTATGGCCACCTTGACAACCCGCATGAACAAGATATCGAACGTGGTGTTTCGTACTTGAAGTTGCGACCTGATCGAGTAGCCTGCCAGGATGCCACTGCTCAGATGGCTATTCTGCAGTTCATGTCGGCCGGCATGCCCTCAGTTGCGACGCCCACTACCGTGCATTGTGACCACTTGATCGAGGCACAGATCGGTGGCGAGAAGGATCTGTCAAGAGCTATCGATATCAACAAGGAGGTCTACGATTTTCTGTCAAGTGCCTGCGCGAAGTACAACATTGGCTTCTGGAAGCCAGGCTCTGGAAGTGCGTTCAAACGCCCCAATCAACGAAATTAGGCTGACCTCAGCTCTAGTTATTCACCAGGTCGTTATCGAGAACTACGCCTTCCCCGGTGGTCTCATGATTGGCACTGACTCTCACACACCCAATGCTGGAGGTCTTGGCATGATTGCTGTTGGTGTCGGTGGAGCCGATGCTGTGGACGTTATGGCGAATCTGCCTTGGGAGCTCAAAGCACCGAAGATTATTGGTGTCAAATTGACTGGCGAGATGTCTGGCTGGACTGCACCGAAAGGTAAGGGAGAAGCGCTGCGAAGATCCCCGAATGACATACTGATTGTGATCAGATATCATTCTCAAGGTTGCTGGTGAGCTCACTGTCAAGGGTGGAACCGGAGCGTAAGTCATCTCGAGTTGTCAAGCGAGAAGGTGCTGATCATCTGCAGAATTGTCGAATACTATGGTCCCGGCGTGAACACTCTATCTTGCACGGGTATGGGCACAATCTGCAACATGGTACGTCGCGCTTTCTAATGAGACACTACGAACGTGTTTTGGCTGACAGTTACAGGGAGCCGAGATCGGCGCGACAACGTGCGTGGAAGACTACCAAACTATTGAACCTCACTGACTCTGTCTCTAGGTCTATCTTCCCCTTCAACGACCGCATGTACGATTACTTGGCAGCGACAAAGCGCAAGGAAATCGGAGACTTCGCTCGAAGCTATGGTCACGAACTCAAGGAGGACCAGGGCGCCGAATATGACCAGCATCTCGAGATCAATCTTTCTGAACTCGAGCCACATATCAACGGCCCTTTCACTCCGGATCTCGCAACGCCAATCTCCAAATTCAAGGACGCAGTGGCTGAGAACAACTGGCCTCAAGAGTTGAAGGTTGGCTTGATCGGGTCGTGCACCAACAGCTCATACGAGGACATGTCACGTGCGGCTTCCATCGCACAGGATGCTATGGACCATGGTGTCAAGGCAAAGTCGCTGTTCACCGTCACTCCCGGTTCAGAACAAATCCGAGCCACCATCGAACGTGATGGTCAGCTCAAGACTCTTGAGGAGTTCGGTGGCATCATTCTTGCAAACGCGTGTGGCCCTTGCATTGGACAATGGGATCGCAAGGACGTCAAGAAGGGAGAAGCCAACTCGATCCTGAGCTCCTACAACCGCAACTTTACTGGTCGAAACGATGCAAACCCAGCAACTCACTCGTTCGTGACGTCACCTGACCTCGTTGTGGCACTCACTATCGCTGGCGACCTGAACTTCAACCCTCTTACCGATACTCTCAAGGACAAGGATGGCAAGGAGTTCAAGCTTAAGCCACCAACCGGCGACGGTCTCCCATCTCGTGGCTACGATCCCGGCCGCAACACATATCAAGCTCCTCCTGAAGACCGATCATCTGTTCAAGTTCAGGTTTCGCCGTCATCCGATCGACTACAGGTCCTCAACGGCTTCCAAGCATGGGACGGTAAGGATTTGACTGATATGCCTATCCTCATCAAGGCAAAGGGCAAGACTACAACCGATCACATCTCGATGGCTGGACCTTGGCTCAAGTACCGTGGTCATCTCGACAACATCTCGAATAACATGTTGATTGGCGCAATCAATGCGGAGAACGGTGAGGCCAATAAAGTGAAGAATGCTTTCACCGGCGAATACGATGCCGTCCCAGCCACTGCCCGCGCTTACAAGAAGGACGGCATCAAGTGGGTGGTCATCGGTGACTCCAACTACGGCGAGGGCAGCTCTCGTGAGCACGCCGCTCTTGAGCCTCGTCACCTTGGTGGCTCAGCAATTGTTGTCCGAAGCTTTGCTCGTATCCACGAGACCAACCTCAAGAAGCAGGGTATGCTTCCGCTCACGTTCGCCAACCCTGCCGACTACGATAAGATCAATCCTGACGATAAAGTTGACATTCTCGCCACGAAGCTCGCAGTCGGCAAGCCCGTCACCATGAAGGTTCACCCCAAGAGCGGTGAGGCATGGGACTGCGAACTTCAGCACACTTTCAACGAGGGACAGATCAAGTGGTTCAAGGATGGCAGCGCTCTCAACACGATGGCTAAGTCTTCGTAAGGTTAAGAGATGTGCGCCGCCCGGATTTGGTGATCGTACAGAAGCAGACGTAGCGGCCATGAGCGACATCGGTGTTTGCATGTCAACAGCCTGAGCAGATTGAAGTTGGCACCACGAGGAGGACTTTGGCGCGGAGTGTCTTCATTAGCGATTCCTATACCAGCAAACCAAGTCTATATATCCATGTTGTTCGCTTTCGCATTCCCACGTATTCTTGTGTTGCATGTCGTCTATATTCCATGGCTTTGATCTCGACGTGTATCTGTGGTCTGACCGCCTAAGACTGCCACCTGATTACGCGTGAAGAGGCTTGACACCGTCCTTGTCCTGGCCCAGTATAGCTCAGCAACGTTTTTCTGAAGTGAGGCTTGCCAACTGTCCTACGAGGAATGCATGGAACTGGGTTTCCTTCCGTACTAGCTGGTTTCGCCAGTCGTTCCTTCCCTTGTTGCATGTCACGCTGTAAGCGGCAGTCACGACCTACCATCCGCGACTTCCTCCCAGTACCTGATACCCAAAGCTTCTTTCTACATCGCCCGGAGCCCTTGATAGTGAACTACCTTATAAAATGAGGCCGTCAAGTGCAAGTCACAAATCTGTTTCATGGCAAATTTCACTGACAGTCAATATTTCCGTCGTGGCTGCTGGATTAATACCATTGACCTGAGCGCCGACGAGCGCCGACAATATCTGACGCTGCTGATAGTCAACGCTCATCGTTGCTTAGGTAGTGATTTTGTTGTCATCTTCAAAGTTAATGGGCAAAATCAGCATCTTGCGGACGTAGCACGAACTTGTCCGCGATCTATACAGCTGCGGGTTCCTTAGCATTTGCTTACCATGCCTGTGCCATCTTACAGCACTAAGGATTCAACAAGAAACGTTGAGCTGTCCATGCGGGAACACGGCTCGGCGTCACCTTGGCGAATGCATCTTCTGCACCATGGCGTGATCTCTTATCAGCGGAATTTGCAGTCAGGTGCGTGATTGGCATACAAAACCGAGGGTACAGCGGAAAGTCGTCCTGCTCAACCACCGTGGGCCGATGGGTGACAGACTTTCCATTGCCACCCAAGCGCGCCAAGTAACTTGGCGGCCTCAGCGTGCTCCTCGGCGGTATGCGGGGCCAATCGCTCTAACGCGTCGGTAAGCACGGCGTGTTTTCATCACGATCGCATTTTTCTTCGCGAGCAGCTCATTTGTGTCCATCGTTCGCCACGGCAGGTAAGACAGTAAAAGTTCCGCATGCCTGCAATGCTGTCGCACGTTATGTGACAGCTGGTCTGCCTGCATCGATTTCTGGTAAGCTCAACCGATGCGCCGATCGAGGGAAAGGAAGACTTCATTAAGGTAATAAGCCAAGGGGTCTTCTAGCCTTTTGACTTCGCCGTGCACGCCTACACTGCACCGACGAATTCTTGGCTATTGTCATCAACCCCGTCCTATCCTACCACAGCAGCCATGCAACACTCGTTCGTATCAATCAACGGACGCCTCCACGCCTTGGCTTCAAGGTCAGAGTCTTCTACGCGTGGCTTGGCTCTTGGCCGCTGCTGTGTTTCTCGCTTCTGATGGCTTCACAATGGAGTCTGCCCAGGCTGTCTTCCGAAGAGCCTTGCGTAAAGGCCATATGAGTTCATCGGTGCTCACTTATGAACAAAGTATATAGGTATTGTATCGCGGGGCAAAGTACCAAGCCTTTCTCTTTTCCTTACCCAACAAGCAGCTCGAGGCCGCGATCAAATCGTCTCAAATTTACCAGACGACAGTTCTAGCATATCCTCCCTAGTTGATGTCGATGTTCGCTGCTGCAGTTATTACCAGACTACCTCCTTAGCGTATATTAAATCACTACCAACAGAATCTACAGCGATCGCACAGAGAAACTCGAATCCAGAGAACGAAGCTCGCGAGAGCGTGTCCGACAACATGGGCAAGGACAAGGAACTTCAGCAGAAGCTCGCCAACCACAAATCTGGCCAGAGCAATGAGCCGATGTCCGCTCCAGCTCACAGCTTGACTTTCAACGATGTCTGCCAGCAGCTTCAGTCCAGCGCAGACGATGGCTTGACACCAGAAGACGCAAAGAAACGCCTCGAACAATACGGCAAAAACGAGCTCGACAATGGACCTGGGGTGAACCCGGTCCGAATCCTGGTCCGTCAGGTCGCGAACGCCATGATGCTGGTAAGCAGAGTCTCATCATTCCTGCGCGACCGCAGATGTACTGACTGATGTCCTTTACAGGTGCTTCTCTTGGCCATGGGCGTTTCTTTTGGAATTGGCTCTTACATTGAGGGCGGTGTCGTAGCTGGAATCATTTTCCTCAACATTGTCATCGGTTTCATGCAGGAGTACTCAGCAGAAAAGACCATGGATTCACTGCGATCCTTGTCTTCACCGACCTCGAGCGTTATCAGAAATGGCGATGGAATTGTGGTTCCCACCATTGAAGTGGTGCCTGGCGACATGGTTGAACTGAAAACCGGAGGTGAGTAGCGATAATGAGAAGCCGCAACGGTGTGCTGACAATTTACAGATACTGTTCCAGCTGACATCAGGTATGAATCCGAGGCGTCATCATGCCACCAAGTATACTATGAATGTGACAGCTAACGGGACCTTTTAGGCTTTTGGAGGTGTCCAACTTCGAAACAGACGAGGCGTTGCTCACCGGAGAGTCATTGCCAGTCGAGAAGAATGCTGAAGAAACCTTTAATGAAGATACCGGTCCTGGAGATCGCCTCAATGTCGCCTACTCTTCATCAACGGTGACCAAGGGTCGTGCCCGGGGCATGGTTTTCGCTACCGGTACGTACATCCCTTCTGACTACAGGCCAACCTTTACTGACTCTGACCAGGCATGTACACCGAAATCGGCACTATCGCCGCTGCTCTACGTGGGCAGAACCAGCGCGTTCGACAACCAAAGGTCTCGAGGGATGGCAAGGTCCATATCCATCGCAAGGCCCAGGCTTATGGTCTCACTGTTGGCGACTTTGTCGGCGCTTTTTTGGGCGTCAATGTCGGCACGCCTCTTCAACGAAAACTGTCCCAGCTTGCTATCGGTCTCTTTGGAATAGCCGTGGTTTTCGCTATCATCTGCCTGGCTGCCAACGAGTTTCAGAATAATCGCGAGGTCATCATTTACGCTGTGGCTACTGGCTTGTCTATGATTCCTGCTTCGCTCATTGTCGTCTTGACGATCACTATGGCTGCTGGGACAAAGCGCATGGTGCAGCGCCATGTCATCGTACGCAAGCTCAACGCTCTCGAGGCACTGGGTGCCGTCACAGACATCTGTTCCGACAAGACTGGTACGCTCACTCAGGGACGCATGGTTGTTCGCAAGGCCTGGATTCCCGCGAAGGGAACGTACTCTGTTGGCGAGAGCAGCGAGCCATTCAACCCGACTATGGGTGACTTGTTCCACCAAGTAAACGATCCAACCGCGGACGACGAGGACAGCGAGTACGATGTGCCTCCCGAGGAGGATGATCGCAAGACTTATGATCAGCTTTTGGAGAACAATCTGCCTTTGGAAGAATTCCTCAAGGTCGCCTCGCTTGCTAACTTAGCTACGGTGTACAAATCTACTGACCACGAAGGTTGGACTGCTCGCGGTGATCCCACCGAAATCGCTATTCAAGTCTTCGCATCTCGCTTCGACTGGAACCGAAAGGGCAAGGTCGAAGGAGACAACCCAGCTTGGAAGCTCATCACCGAATATCCATTCTCGTCGGATGTGAAGAAGATGTCCGTAATCTTCGAAGACACACAATCGAAGAAGCAGTTTGCCCTCACAAAAGGCGCCGTCGAACGCGTCCTCGATTCTTGCGTCAAAGTTGACTTATCTGGCGACGATGAACTCATCGACATCACCTCGGACTTCAAGGAGAAAGTTCTCGCCAACATGGAAGCTCTCGCAAGTCAAGGATTGCGTGTTCTTGCGCTCGCATCGAAGCCATGGGATGGCGAGCACGACACATCCGACGACACCCGGGCGAAGATCGAGAATGACTTGACCCTACGAGGGCTTGTCGGTCTCTACGATCCCCCACGTCCGGAATCCAGGGATGCTGTCAAGCGCTGTCACCGTGCCGGAGTCGGCGTGCACATGCTCACCGGCGACCACCCCGGCACTGCTCTGGCAATCGCTAAGCAGATCGGAATCGTGCCTGAGAAACTCGGCAATTTGTCCAGTGAGGTCAACCGCATTATGGTCACCACTGCAGCACAATTCGACAAGCTCACAGATGACGAGATCGACGCTATGCCGGTGCTGCCGCTTGTTATCGCTCGCTGTGCGCCTCAGACCAAAGTCCGTATGATCGAGGCACTGCATCGACGAGACCTCTTCTGTGGAATGACGGGCGATGGCGTAAACGATTCGCCATCACTAAAGCGCGCAGATGTTGGCATCGCTATGGGCCAAGCTGGGTCTGACGTCGCCAAGGACGCATCCGATATCATTCTCACGGACGACAACTTCGCTTCCATTCTCAACGCAATCGAGGAAGGCAGACGTATTTTCGACAACATCCAGAAGTTTGTGCTGCATTTACTTGCCCAGAACATCGCTCAGGCTGCAACTCTGCTCATTGGGTTGGCTTTCAAGGATCAGACCAATATCTCCGTGTTCCCACTCGCGCCTGTACAAATCATGTGGATCATCATGGTAACCTCCGGTCTGCCTGACATGGGTCTTGGTCTCGAGATCGCTGCGCCGGACATCTTGTCGAGGCCACCACAGAACCTGAAACGAGGCATTTTCACCAACGAGCTGCTCATTGACATCATGGTTTACGGCGCATGGATGGCATGTCTCTGCCTCGCATCTTTCACTATCGTCATGTGGGGGTTCGGCGATGGAAACCTCGGCGCGGGAACCTGCAACGACACTTACTCTGCAGACTGCGACACAGTCTTCCGAGCGCGCGCTACGACGTTCGTCAGCATGACCTGGTTTTCCCTCTTCCTCGCATGGGAGCTCATCAACTTCCGCCGCTCCTTCTTCCGCATGCAGCCGAAGTCAAAGCTGTATTTTACGCAGTGGATTCACGACGTCTGGCGCAACAAGTTCTTGTTCTACTCGGTCATGTTCGGGTTCGTGTCCATCTTTGCACTGCTGTACATTCCTGTCATCAACCATGATGTGTTCAAGCACACTGGGATTAGCTGGGAGTGGGGTGTAATTATTGTGGAGGCCGTGTTGTTCTTTGGAGGTATCGAGGCGTGGAAATGGGCGAAGAGAGTGTACCTGAGAAGGCGGGCGGTGAAGAAGGGTGGTGGGCAGATGAGGAGGTTGAGCTCAGTGGTATTTGATCAGTATGCGGGGATTAGGCCTGGTGATGGTGCGCGAGATGCTGATGGGGGTGATGAGAGTAGTGAGCGAACGGCCACTGAGGGGAGGGATGTGGAGAAGGGGGTTGCGACGGATAGGGACGTCGAGAAGGGTGGTGCTTGAGGGTATTTTTAATTGTAGCAAATAACATGCTGGCTTTTTAAGGAGCATGGTTCAGAATAGATATCATACGGATCTTCACTGTCGAAGATCACATCACAGACCCGGCAAAGAGGTGTTGTCTTTTCGAATAGTCTATGGTGTTCGAGACTGCAACGCACTCCTCGACGCGTCCTAAAGTGTCCGACGCGTTCTGTGCCAAGCCCGGTAAAGATAAACGTGACGACAGTCGTTCCTTCCGAGGTTTTAAACCCAGTTGACACCACACCTATCGACTCTCGAGCATGAACTTGAGAGAGCCGACGAAGAAGTTGCGATAAAGCTTACGGGACATACCATACAATTTGAGCTGGGCAGCTTCGGGCTTTATCTCCTACATCTTTCCTTCACTATTCCGTGCGACACGCTCACGCAACACGATGTTGTGATATCCATCGCCAAAATGCCATCCCTTCCCATGTCCATCTGCAATACGATGGATCTCGCCCATCGCAACGGCGTATCTTGACTCTCCTCCTTCGTGTACAGATCTGCCGATCTTCATTACTACTGCTTAGCAACGCGCACTGTTGCCAGTCCGTGCACCCTGCTTTCAACCAATTCAGCAATGCGAATAAACAAGCAAATCGCCTCCAGATCCTTTCGACCCAATGAGCATGTTGAGCTGGAGACCACCGGTACCCAGCAGGGGTAAATAGTAACGACTCTGCGAGCAGGCCAGTGCAGCATCGTCAGAAAATGTTACATTCTCAGCGTACTGCACGGCCTTCCCGTCGACCACTAGCGTGTTTAGCTATGGCTTCTTCTCTTATACGACAAGCATCACACGGTAAGTCTGGTCGCTCGACTCTTTCCTGTCCCTCCCCACGCTCGTTTGTGTATTCAAGAGGTTCTGCAGCGTCCGCTCCTTTTCTTGTTGACGAGTGTTTTTCGTTCTTTCATCTTGTGGTGGCCAGCATGGCGCCCAAGAAGTCGCTCATTTGGTCTTCGATTGCTGCATTTCTGTTGGGTACGGCCAGCGCACAAGCTCCGGCGGTGACGACCGTCAAAGTTGACGCAGCGGGCTCGACATGTCCGCCAGATGTGACAGTCGCTGTGGTGACTGGGGTCTACAACACTTATATCTCCGCTTCGACGTTGTATTCCTTCTATATCCCTGGCAACGGCAACGCCATTGTAATCAACAATGGTCCAACCTACTATCAAACAACATATGTAGTCACGACCACAGCGACCGTCACTGCGAGTCCAACCGGTGGCAATACAATCAATCCAGGGCAGCAATCTACAACTGGTACCAGCCCGGTCGCTACCGGCTCAGGTTCCACCACACAAGGCCCAGCTGCATCGACCACAACTCCTCCGATTCAGTCGACCGTGCCGCCTCCAAGTACAGTCACGACCGCCTCGTCTATTGTGGCTGTAGTCACCAATTCTGATGGCAGTGTTTCGACGACGACACTCGCACCTGAACCCGACCTGTCTATTGGTCAAAACTTTCCGCCTGGCACAGTAGCCGCAATCCCTTCTGAAAGCCCGGCACTCATCGCTGTCGCCATTCCGGGCCTCAGCAATAAGAAGCGGCAGGAAGCTGGCAGTGGTAGTAAAGCCTTGGGGTATGCTGGTGCGCCAGAGGGCGCCACAGCAGACAGTTGTGCCTATGCCAAACGGTACTTCATTCAGGACGGTCTGATGACCGAATTGAACTCAGGAGGCCAGGTGAACAGGAACGTCAGCCAGGATTTCGTTCAATTCGAACCCTCTTTCGACTCCAACACCGCCATCTCTTCGTTCAAGTTCGTCGACGGTGTCCTATCCTGGGACACGCCGATAGAAGATGGGGGCAGTGCAAACTTTTACCAGTGTGGCGACAGCAAGGTCTATGCTGGCTGGCCTTCGCCGAGGCTACCTGACTGTTACTCAGTCGTGCTCGGCGCTGTGGGAGCAAGCAGCTGCCCATACGATTTCTCAGCAAGAGAAGAGCCTGCGCTGCCACCACCAGATGTGTCCAGCAGCACTACGGACGAGGCTACCGTTAGTACTACGGATGTGCCTCCTTCCAGCAGCGCGGACCAGCCAACGAGTCAGGTCATCACCACCGAAGTAACAACGGAGGTTACTGTGACACAGAGTGATGGCGGTACCACTATCGTTACCACTGTCACAGATGTGACCATCACGCCACGCCACCTGCTGCCACTACGACAAACGCGCCAGTCAATCCTGTAGCCACTACGTCCACTACTGTACCCAATCAACCTGTGCCCACCACTACGGTGCCCAACCAGCCTGTGCCCACCACAACGACAACTAAGACAACTACGACCACTACGACCATCCCGAATCAACCCCCAGCAGCCACTTCGACTACGACCAATCCTGCAAACCCAGGCACCACCACCACCACCACCACCACCACCACCACCACCACCACCACTACCAGCCCTCCTGCGGCCTCTTCCTCGACTTCGCGAAGCTCATCTTCAGTATCTTCTGCCCCAGTAGGCCCTGTTGCAGGTGGGTCTTCTTCAAGTTCTTTGTCATCATCTACCACATCTATCCCAGCTGCGGGCTCAAGCACTCCATCGTTGACGACGAGTACGACCACGTCTGCTGCTCCCGTGACGTCCAGCGCAACGACAGCAACAAATGTTCCTGGTGGAGTCGCGTCTTCCGCCAGTAGTTCTGGTTCATCCGCTGCAACCACCACAACTATCGCGGGTGGCGCCGCGTCTTCCTCCAGCAGTTCTGGATCTTCCGCTGCAACCACCACGACTGTTCCAGGTGGGTCTTCTCCAAGTTCTTTGCCGTCGTCTAGCACATCTGTCCCAGCTGTGGGTTCAAGCACATCGTCGGCGTCGACAACAACCACGGCCACTTCTTCCCCTTCAGCGAGTTCCACCACGACCACCGCAACGAGCGTTCCGGCTGGGCCCGCGTCTTCCTCTGGTAGCTCTGGATCGTCTGGATCGTCTCCTGCAGCGACCAGTTCTGCAGCTGGCCCGGGATCATCAAGCGGCTCAGGCGTAACAGCTGGTAAGTACTCAAGATCTGCCCTTACTTCTAACGAAGCCTTGTTATATCTACTTCTGTGTTGACGTCAGACTCTGATCGTCGTTGAGCAGGATCCTCGAGCGCTACCAGTGTCTCATCAGGTACGTCTTCCACTACAATTCCTCTTCAGCTTGCTTCCGGCTTTCCCGTGCCGGATACCGCGTCATGAGCACGTAACGCAGTATTTCATTAAGGGACACCTTCTCTAACGGAGAGTCTGTTCAGGCAGCACATCAGGTACGCCAGCTTCTTCGGTCTCGTCAAGTGTTGCGTCGTCGACTGGATCGTCCGTGTCTTTCGCTCCAAGGAGTCAATCGTCCACCCAATCTTCCACTGGAACAAGCGCCTCGTCGTTGGTGTCTACTCCTTCCTCGAGTGGACCGTCGATCGCTCCTAGCTCCTCGAGTGGATTGTCGGCGGCTTCCAGTCCCTCGATTGGATCGTCATCGATTTCCGCCGCTGCTTCGAGTAGTTCGTCGCTGACGTCGGCCGCCATTTCGAGTGCTTCATCTGCGACTACTGCCGCTGCTTCGAGTAGTTCGCCAACGACTTCCGCCGTAGCCTCGAGTAGTCCATCCGGAACTCCGGCGTCTTCCTCGTCTCCGAATGCTCCCTCGTCATTACCTTCTACATCTCCTAGCTCTGCACCCTCCCTATCATTCACCGCGGCACCCGGCTCATCCTCTTCGGTCTCGGGCACTCCGTTCTCATCAGCGGCATCGTCGAGCAGCGCTGATCAATCGACAGGCTCAACCTTAAGTGCCGCAACTTCCGGCGCTACCTCGCCAGCGACCAGTGGGACTTCCGCAGCCACGTCGGCAGGGCCCAGCTCGAGCGCCGCGACTTCTGGTGCTACCTCACCAGCGAGTAGTGGGACTTCCGCAGCCACGTCGGCAGGACCCAGCTCGAGCGCCGCGACTTCCGGTGCTACCTCACCAGCGACCAGTGCGACCTCGCAGCTACAAGTGCGACCTCCGCAGCCACGTCAGGCAGGGCCCAGCTCGAGCGCCGCAACTTCTGACGCTACCTCACCAGCGACCAGTGCGACCTCTGCAGCCACGCCGGCAGGGCCCAGCTCGAGCGCCGCAACTTCTGGCCCTAGCTCAGCTGCTACCAGTGCGACTTCCGCGGCCACCTCAGCAGCCACTAGCGCGACTTCTGCAGCCACCTCGGCAGCTTCTGGTGAGTTCAAAAAATTTCTGTCTTGCATGATTTCGTCATCTTTCCATACGGTGTACTCAAATGAGGGTTATTCCGGAGTGCATTTGCTTCGTAGCAGCATCTCTTCCCCGGGGTTCCAAAGCCTTTCCGGATCGGCCAGCAACGATAGCTCCTCTGGATGGATACCAGGACCTCTGTCACTCACGGTCCGTCGTTGACCGTCTACCGTCGGACATAATATGCTTGGCCTTGAATGGCGCACTCCGCCATCGTTCGGTGGTCCACCAATCCTCGGGACATCCTTGGCATTGAAGAGAGGCTCAGTGGCGACGACTTGCCCGATTCTGGGTGGGAAGTAAATACGTAAGTCGGTTTCCTAGGCTAGTTCCCCTGTCCCTTCCGCAGGAAGACACGACCTGCACTATCAGCCTGTGGTCGTGTTGCGCTGCTAATTGTCCATACCCTTTTCTCATCCCATTCATATCGCCAGCGTCAGTCTCGAGGCCTCGCTTACAGCTAAATGTGCTTGGGCGCCACTGGCCTCGCGGCACACCCCAAACCTACTTCGCACACCTCACGCATAAGACGTACATCGCAACGGACAACCTACATTCCAACTTCCTGCGCTCATTTCCAGCTCGATTCCGAGCCACCCCGCGCCTACACAACAAGTTCATGTAATCCCACAGGTCAGCTTGCGACTTGTTCAGTATGCGCACACGCAGGCATTCCGCGACTTTGCTCTCTCTGCTCGTCAAGAGCAGGCTGGAGATTCTCCGAGACACCCATGATCAAGATAGCTTCGCGCCTTGGTTGCTGCTTCCGGTGGCCCGCAAGTTCTGTGTTCTGTGCTAATGGCTGCTGCTATTTGGAAACAGATTCTGTCATGTCTTCGAGTTCTACAAGTTCATACTTCACTGCAACTCCGTCAGATCTAGTGGAGGCATCTCTCAGCTCGGAAGCATCGGCATCATCGGAATCTCTGGCGACGAGCGAAAGCAGCAGTATGCCGGGCTCGGTCGAGCAAGTGTCGACGCTTGCATCTGTTGCCGGCGTTGTCAGTACTACCGCTCTATCAAACACGGAAAGTGCCACAGAAACCGATGACCTGCAGAGTCTCACTTCAAGTATTTTCTCGCTCAGCGCGGCCAGCCTGGACACAACAACGCCGCAGTTTGAAACTGGGCCAACTTCAACACCGGCTGCCAATTACACGGACATGGCGACAGGAACACCTTACAGCACGGCGAATTCCGTGCCATCGAGCTCTGGCATGGGATACAGTGGAAGCACACGGAGCGATGTGCCTATGGACGGCACACCCACTTCAGACCCCAATGAGGTCTCTGCTTCAACCTCTCTAGGACAGGAAGCAAGCTCTACGACTCTAACGGGTACTTCTGCCGGGTCGTCTGGGCTGGGCTCGCCGTACACAACTGCATCGCTAAGAGATGCGGCAGCTCCCGCTACGACAGAGGCCGAAACCAGTAATGTACCTGAGCCATCGACCGAGTCGATTCCTTCATCTTCGTTGGGGTACCAGTCGAACTCCATAACCTCAATGAGTGCGAGCCCGTCATATACAGCGTACTTTTCTAGCACTGTCTTGGATGTGACTGCTTCTGAGGGCTCAAGAAGTAATAACCTCGGAGCGTCATCCGAGACCTCAACGTCGTCCGATCTGAGTGAACAGTCAAGCTTTGGGACTTCGACGAAAGATACAACCACACCCACTGAGCTAATTTCAGCCGATACAACGCTTTCGTATGTCGACTTTTTGAGTCATACTACAGCTGAGGGCGTGAGCAGAAGTGACCTCTCTACTGAGAACCCCACTAGTGCCACTTTGACCTTTTCAGGGACAATGCGTAGCCTCGTTGGAGAAGCCAGTGTCACGATCATAAGCTCAGCTGGGACGAGCACATCGTCGGGCCTTGATGAGCAGACTACGACAAGCTCCGATGCTGTGACCATCCTGACTACGGGCAGCTCGGCTGCTATGGTCTCCAACGGGCCTCAGACTACTGCACTTGCTGAATCGCCTGCCATTTCCACGTCATCGGATGCTGGCATTGCTGAAAGCGCTGGGGAATACCTAACCTCTCAACAGTCTTCTTCCACAGCGTCACACGATTCGCAATCACCAGACATATCCGTTGTTTCATCAGCCGCAAGCACCTCACATATACTCTCTGGACGCATTGAGGGATCCTCGACCGAGACGGCTTCTGAAACGACTAGAGAACCTGCTTCCGTGGTCTCATCCTCATCGGGCACGACGCCTCCACTCGAATCATCCGGCCCTTCGTTGTTGACGCTTGAGACAATCTCTTTGCCAAGTTCGTCCGGGCAGATTTCAGAGGAGGGCACCTTATCCGAAAGCTACACTGAAGTGTCCTCTTACACTTTCACCACGTCTATTGAGATCGTATCAACTGCGTCGTCATACACCACAGGCTTCTCTCCGACGCCTTCATCACCTATCATTGCCGCCACCTTCACCGAGGTTGACTCCTCTGCACAGTCGTCCGAGCTCAGCTCGGAGACCTCGGAAAGCACGAGTGCCAGTTCGACCCTCCTAAGCTCAGGTACAGACTCTTTGACGCTTGGGGCTGGTCCAGCATCTTCGAGCATTCCTTCCGAAAGCACAGTCAACGATGCTCTGAGTACGGTCTCGACTTCTGCAGAGACGGGCGCTTCTTCTCCCGTTCAAGAGGCGGCGGATCTTTCCACGACTCCTGTCGCTCTCTCGGGAAGCACAAGTGAGAGTACAGGCCCGACTTTTGAGGAGACGAGCACCACGTCTTTCATACAAGACACGACCGAATTCTCCACGACTCCTTCCACTTCGGTTGAGGGAACAAGAAGCAGCTCATTCACTGAGAACGAAGTTTCTTCGTCGCTCGAGCCTACCACGCTCGCAACAACGCCAATTTACATCGCTACATCGTCGTTTGAGAGTTCCTCAACAATGGATCAGGCAAGTGATTCCTTGCTATCATCGGGAGCCACTTTGTCCGATAATTATGCTACCAGTCAGAGTGGTGCAGCAGAGTCCGCCACTCTCGCATCTGAAGCTGCTTCCGAGATAGACACTTCGACTACGTTGACTGACAGCCCGAGCTTTTCTGACTCTGTAACTCAGTCTTCCTCTCTGGAGTCTGAAAGTTCTGCGACCTCTTCGTTTCCGTTTCCGTCGCCGTCGGCACCCGAGGAAACTTCTTCTGACACGGCCCCAACGCTGTCTTCCACTCTCACTGAGGGGAATGTGGCAACTTCGCTGCCACTGACAGCTGAGTCCGGAACGTCGACGAGCAGCTCGCTTTCTACGACTGTTCACGAAGAACCGACAAGTTCGATGTTATCAGGTTTCGAGATGTCAGCGAGCACCTCACTGTCTTCGTCCGGTCTAGAGGAAGCGACAAGTACGATGTCGTCAGCGTTCTCATCCGAGACTTCAGAGCTCTCCCTATCTTCTACGCCTGTTGCCGATGTAGCGACAAGCTCTCTCTCTTCATCACTGGCTGCTGAACCTTCAGATGGCTCGGCATCTTCTTCGTCCGTCACCGAAGCTGCGACAGATGGACCCTCGTCGTCACTGGCTGCTGGGACTTCAGACAGCTCCTCAACGTTCACGCTTGTCACTGATGATGGGACGGGCTCGTTTTCGTCGGTAATTGAAATTTCGGCCAGCCAAGTGGAATCGTCTTCTTCCACTGTGGTCCTCAGTAGCCTTACCACAACAAGCGAGGACACAGTGACTAGCTTCTCCGACTCGGCTGCAAGTTACAGTACCATGGCGACCTCACAAGATTCGGAGTCTTCTCCAGGAGATACGACTAGCCTTTTAGAATCGTCTTCAGCATCATCGACGACAACATCGTTTGAATCGTCTATGTCTTCCTCAGAAGATGTGACCAGCTCTTCAGAATTGTTCTCTACAGCGACAACAACGTCGGATGTGTCGTCTACATATCTCTCAGGAGAGGTGTCCAGCTATTCGGCGTCGTCTCCTGCAGCATCGACGACGTCGGATGCGTCGTCAACGTCTGCGGCTTCCTCAGGAGATGTGACCAGTTCATCAGAACTGTCCTCCGTAGCATCGACGACGTCGTTTGATTCATCTACATCATCTCTACTGGAAGAAGTGCCCAGCTCTTCAGAACCGTCCTCTACAGCATCGACGACGCCGGAGGAGTCGTCTGCGTCTATTTCAGGAGATGTGACCAGCTCTTTAGGGTTGTCCTCCGTAGCATCGACGACGTCGGTTGACTTGCTGGGTTCCTCGACTGCCACAACGATTGCCGCAGACACAACGACATGGGTCTCGTCAAGTGCTGAAACGCCACCTACAGCGATTAGCTCGCCGATTCTGGAGTCATCGTCCATTTCCGATGACTCTTCAGCGTTCTCGAGCTCCCAAAGCGAGACATTGTCAGCATCCCCATCGTTCAGCGCAGGCTCGACTAGAAGCACAATGTCGGAGTCGTTCGAAACAGCTACATCGACAAGTGCGCCAAGCTCCGCAACTGAGGACGCCCCAAGCTCAACGTTGCCATTGTCTTCCACTGAGCCGGGGACAAGCTCCCTCATACCATCAACGTCTGGAGACAAAGAGTCTACCACGGTTGAGTCGACTTCAGATGCCATTGTCAGCTCGAGCCCATCGTCAAATGCTGGCAATCAGTCTCCTTCTACCTCATCAGAGAGCTCCGAGGCCGCTGGTACCTCGACAACGTCAGACTCTACTACCTACACAGCCTGGTCGTCCCCAATTGCTACTGAAGGCGCTTCTTTCTCAACAACAGTCTCACTGACGGAATCAGGATCAAGCAACGAGCCATTCACAGCGTCGAGCAGTGACACAACCATCCGATTCACCACGTCGGCCAGCACGGTTCCTAGCACTGACGTGTTGGAGCAACCATCTTCGTCGTTGTCGTCATTCCTTACGGAGACGACAGAACAATCAAGTACAATTGAAGTCAGCCCATTAAGCCCGGATCAGTCGAGCACACTGGAGATCAGCCTGTCGAGCACTCCATCAGACACAATTTCTATGACGCCGTCTGAGACTTCGAGCTTGACGACTGTTTCGTCAAGCACGGGCACCACCAAGTCGCTGCTGTTAACTTCGCAGACGTCGGATCTACCCTCGACTGAGATCTCGATCGTGACAAGTAGTTCTGAGTCCACGCCTCCGAGTTCAGAACCGTCCACGTCGGACAGCTCCTCAACATCGACTTCATTCACATCACAGACGTCTTCTCAGCTGGTAGCAGATCTGAGCACTCAGACAAGCAGTTCAACAGCTGTGTTGTCTAGCGCATTAACGACAGAATCAACATTGGGATCGACAATGGAGTCATCTTCGCAGATCTCGGACTTGACATCGTCAACCTCAGAATCTACACCAGAATCCACACTGGAGTCGTCAACCTCTGAATCGACATCAAAATCAACACTGGAGTCCTCCTCGCAGACCTTGGCCTTGACATCGTCGACCCCTGAATCGACGTCAGAGTCTACACCTGAGTCGTCTTCGCAGACCTCGGCTTTGGCACCGTCGACTTCAGTATCGACGTTAGCGTCATCTTTGCAGACCTCGGCCTCGACATCGTCAACGTCCGACTTGACATCACTTTCGCCATCAGAATCGTCGCTGGAGCTGTCTTCGCAGGCATCATCCTTGGCATCATCAGCATCGACTTCTGAATCAGCAAGCACAGCAAGCGACTTTACGTCATCCTTCACGAGGGCATTCGTCACCTCCAACGGGCTGTCAAGCTCGACTGCGTCGGTTCTGTTGAATCTGGAGTCGTCCACTTCGAGCTCAGCCCAACTGAGCACGGAGATGACCAGCTCTGTCGTCAACTTCGACACTACGAGTCCGGATGGTTCGAGGTATGTGTCATCAGTTGTGGCTTCAACACAATCCACAGTCGATACGCGCTCAGTAACCTTGCCAAGCTCAGCAACCGAGTTACCTTCATCTAGCGAGTCGCCGTCGGAGTCGTCGAACACGATGTCGACCGCTACCACAGCGCCTTTTGAAACGTCAAGCTCCAGCGTGGACTCCTCGACCACTTCCCAGACAACCCCTGAAGTGACGAGTGCCTCGAAGACTCCAAATACGGTTACATCCACAACGTCTTCATCATCTTTGCCGTTGGGTAGCCCATCTTCAGGTCTCGGAGTTGGCGATCCGCTTCATATGGTCGTCGATACTGGAGCATCAAAAGCCAAGCGCAGAGACTTGTTCAAACGAGCGATCTACTACGTTACATTTGACTCGAACGGGACAGGCATACTGGTACCCGACAAGAGTTCAGCTGCGGTCCTCCTCGTCAACTCTGCAGGCGACCTGCTTTACGGCGCCAGATATGTGGGCGCCACAGACGTGAGTGGCACGCTTCCACTCAAGCTGTTCGATCAGCCGCCGGTTCGCGATCGCAACTGGAACGTTCAGGGGTCGACCATCACGTTCGGTCAGTCGAGATTCTGCTCGGAAGGCGATCTTCATTTCTATGTGATTCTTTCCGGCGATCCTGCAGGTACTTGCGCAGTTCGCAGCATATCTGCGGAATCCGCGCCACTCCCTTCCAGTACCTCTGCCGCTTCGCAGGAAGCCACGTCGTCTACACCGTCTGCACCATCGTCAAGCTCAACAGTGCCCATGACTGTAGCTTCAAGCAACCCAGATGGCTTGCAGATAACAACGGACGCGAGCTCAGCCAGTCTGACGTCCACCTTGGCCCCAACAACAGCAAGTACTGTGACTTCATCGCTTGGCAGCTCTCCCGTATCTTTGGTTCCAGTCTCTTCGGACACCACCACATCCAGTGGACTCTCCTCCTATACGACCCTATCCTCGGACACAACAAGTTCGGCCATTAGCACATCCGTTACGAGCTCCGCGTTCACGTCACTGCCTGCGACATCGTCTGCCCTGAGCAGTGTTACGACGAACACTCCGGCTGACAGTACTACAGACAGCGCATCGTCAACGCCTTCATCTTTGGCGAGGAGTGCTGTCTATACTTCGACATCTGAATCAACTGTGCAAACCACGGCTGGCTCCAGCTCATTCTCTTCCTCGTCTCTCGACGGGTCCCCGCCCAGTGCCAGCGGCTCAAGCTTTGCGAGCAATTCAAACTTCCCTACCTCTGAGACGCCGTCAACATCGATTGTGGCTGCAGCGACTTCGTCATCCAGTGCCGTCATCGACACGTCGACCACCGCAACAGCCAGCCCGACAACAAGTCCATCTGCAAATCCATCACTTAGTGCCGCCACAGCTGAGCCTTCCACATTGTCACTATCGTCGAGTACATATGTCACATCCTCGGCCAGTTCCTCAGGCGACCTAAGTGCCTCGACTAGCCCTTCTGCAAGCCTGTCTGCGGGCCCGTCTACAAGTTCGTCTATAAGTCCGTCGACTCCGATAAGCCTGCGCGCCAGTCCATCGGAGAGCTCGTCCTCGTCACCTAGTCTGTCATCATCATTCGCCAGCAGTCCTACAAGCAGTCCATCCACGACACCATCCACCAGTCCGGCCATCAGTGCCTCGACAGTTACATCGAGTCCATTCACGACTCCATCCATCGATTCCTCGACGGCATCGACTACAATGACGACAACGTTAGAGACCACTACCTGGTTGACTGGGCCCTCTAGCTCCTCGTCTACTAGCCTTTCCACAGGCTCCTTAAGCACCTCATCTACCAAGACGACTTCAGCTACGACAACGATGACGACAGAAGTCACTAGTCCATCAATAGGTCCGACTATCGCGTCCTCTACCAGCCCATTTACAACGACGACCTCGACTATGACGACTACAGAACTTAGTAGTCCGTCATCAAGTCTCATAAACTCTCCCTCCACCAGCCCTTCTAGTACAACGACTTCGACGACTCCGACTACGACGACAACAACGACATCGACAAGTACCACCACAGTAAGCACATCCACGACAATCGCATCCACCACGAGTACCATCACACCTAGGACTGCCACTACACCTAGTACTACCACCACAACGAGCTCCACGAGTACTTCCAGCACTACGAGCACGACAAGCGAGACAAGCACGACAGGCCTGATAAGCACGACATCGACTACAAGCACGGCGAGCTCGACAACTTCCATTAGCACAATCAGCTCGCTAAGCACGCCAACCACCACAAGCTTGACATTGACCATAGGTACCACAACCGCTATAGTCAGTCTTTCACTGACAGCTGCACCCGTCACTTCTCCGACACCTTCATCTTCTTCCACTTCCCCAACGACAACAACGACCACGACAACTTCGACGACTACGACGACTACGACAACTACGACGATTATGATAACTACGACGACTACGACGACCACGACAAGCCCTTCAACAAGCCCCTTGACGAGCCCCTCCTTGACTCCCTCAACAAGCCTTTCGACGGGTCCCTCGCTGTCTCTGTCAGCTAGTTCGTCTGCAAGCTCATCACCAACCACAACGACTACGACAACCACAACAACCACGACGACCACGAACAGCCCCTTGACAAGCCCTTCAACGTCTTCTTCGACTAGTCCCTCCACTAGTCCCTCTCCCACAGCTGCGCAAGGTGCATCTCCGTCACCTTCTTCATCGTCTACTACAACCACGACAATGACAACGACAACGACCGCAACCACAACCACAACCACGACCACGACCACGACCACGACCACGACCACGACTACGACCACGACCACGACTACGACAACCACGAGTAGTTCATTAGTAAGCAGTTCAACATCTTTGTCGACCAGTCCATCTGCTAGTTCTACCCCAGCCGCTGCGCCAGGTGCATCTCCATTTTCTTCTTCGTCATCTACTACCACGACCACGACCACGACTAAGTCAACTACCACCACCACCACTACGACTACAAAGTATACAACACCGTCAGCACGGCCATACGCCCAGGCCTCGTACGGCCCAGATCCGAACGCATATGCAACGGTGAGCACTATCAAAACGGCGATCGTGCCCAGCTACTCTCCGTATTACAGTGTCAGCCGAGGGACTACCGTCACTTTGAGCTCCCCTGTTGTCACGCCTACCTTGTGCAGGGGCAACAACCTGTTCGTTCCCCAGGTCACGACAGCCTTCGCACCGAATGTGTCGCCTTATTCGGGAGATTATCATGGACGGAAAATCATGTTCGACGACAGTAGCAATGTCTGGGATATTGGATGCAACGTCAATCTAGTCAATAATGATGGTACAAATCTCGCGCCCACGGGGAATGTCTATTTCGAAAGCTGCATCCGGCTCTGTTCAAGCTATGCAGTGAGCTTGTGTTACGGCGTTGATTGGCAGAAAGCATCAGCAGATGGTCTGGGCAGCTGCACAGGTCGGGTCACAATCGGTGGTGCACTACCGAACAATCCACCCCTTCTTAGGGGCAGAAACAATACGCCAGTACCAAACGGCGTAGGCACGAGGCTCTTTGCACGACTGCTCACTGGTCAAACACGAAACAAGCTGGATGATGCATTATGGTTCCTGGGTAACGCTCCAGCGTACAACCTTGGTCTTTGTGGGTCTGGCTCTGCCTACAGTCAGAGTTTCGTCGTCATTCAGACACGCAGTACTGGGAACAATTCCTATAATGGGCAATTCACAACGGACGGCTACGCCACTTATCTTATCCTCTGTGATGGGAGAAATTTCACTCCGGACCAAGCCCCTTTGAACACAGCATCTCAGTGGCTGATCCGATATCCGAGTGAGACGTCAAATTATAAAGGACCGCAGTCTCCGGACGACTGTGCTCGTCTCTGCTACTGGACCAGGACTGCGGATTACAATGCATCCAGCTCGACGGTCGACACTAACAATCAGTGTAGCTCATGGATTTGGTCAACCGCCACCAATGATGCCGCAGGCAACGATGGAGTCCCCAAATGCTGGATCTTCAAGAGCGTCAACACAGCTACAGTCTCAGGATCCCTTCAGCTTGTTCCTAGGTACTACACTACTGCCACCACCAACTTGAAGTTCGATTCAAACAACGTACTCGCCGCTGGAGGATGGACGAGTGGCGTCAACCAGCAAGGCGAGATCCTGACCTATAAACGAAGTATCGGAATCGAAAATGGCCCTCCTGGCCGATACAAGAAGGACATTGTCGTGAGAGACGATAGGTCGGACAGCTTAAGGCCGGATTTGATCCTGAAAGCGGCTGACTGGCCTATTGACAGCGACTTCGATTGACTGAGATATATCATTAATGCGACAGACGGAATGTGCATAAGTGTGAACAGTACAGTGTAAGATAGGAAGGCAAGATCTGACCGTAAATGTGTTTACTCGTCGATGTACTCTATGTATGTAATGATCGATGATAGCAAATATTGTATCATAATCAACCACAATAATTGCCTTGGCGGACCCGTAGAATTGCTATCGTTTCAACCCTTGACGCACTGTAGCGCGAGCGAGATCTCGCCTATGTTGTGGTGTGCAGTCTACCTCTCGCTGCCACCGTGTCGATCACGTAGAGCGGAGCATGCACACTGCTCTCCGCCTGCGCTCGGAGCCTTGGATATAGCAATCTCTAACAAGCACTACTGGCGATTCTCCTCACAAGGTCATATATGATAGCTTTGTATTGGTCCGCTGCCCGGGCATCTTATTGTCCAGGGAAGCGAACCCCTCGCTGTGCCGAATTTTGAGGCTGGAACAGCAAGAATGACACCCACAAATGGCAAAGACCGACCAGAAAAGGGCAGCAGGAGAAGACTGCCGGATTGGCAGACATCCGCCGCAACAGAGCCCTTCAGACCAACAACCTTCGGAGGGGTGGCAGCATGATTGGTGTCACAGGGGCTCGTGAGCGGAGAGCTCTCATGCCTGGTAGAGATGTTGTTGGTCCGAGCAGTAATCTTGGGCTGCTATCGTGACCAGGAATGCACCGCCCGGAGCATTGACACCAAGAGTCAGGTGAATCAGCGATTCAGGCAAAACCTTCAGGTAGAGCACGGGGGATGCCAGGGCATGGGTACCAGCACTCAAGAGCTTTAGCCGCTATAGCATAGTATTATTGACATCAATGTGAATTTGAGATCTGTCGTCTATGTAGCCTGGAAAGGAAATACAGTAAATGCGCAGCATGCAGTAAGCCAGTAGCCAAGTCAAGTCAAGTAACGAAATGAATTAACGTCAGATGCGTCGTCGTCGTCACGATCTGCCTGACCCATGGTCATTGCCAGGTCTTCGCCCATCATTATGCCAATCCAACATTTTACCCCAGATCGTCATGCATCACAACTTCCACCCTATGTCCTCCTGTGCGCCTGCTGAAGGAGCTTCACTCCTGCGTGATCGCAGGAAACACGAACTCGGCTGCAACGGACTGATCGTGGCGCTCAACCAGAGGAGAGTCTCGCCTGTAGCGACGGAAACCCATAGAGCCGATCTCCAGTGGTGAGCTTCGTTTCCACGACTGGATGTATTGGCTCGGTTGCATGTTAAGTCCACCTGTCCACATGCCTGCGGCCTTGACATCTCCTACTTGCCACGTTCTAGTACCGCTTGGATATACAGGTGCCGCATTGCCACTCGTGGGGTTGACATCATTGTTAGTTGCCGGAATATGCTGAGTGTAAAGGTGGCACACGGGTGTACTTTCAGAACTCAAGATCCAGGCGCTGCATTGACCGGAGCCCGTCTCAAAACGTTGCCACGCGCAAGCACGAGCGCAATCATCGGGAGTAGTAGGTAACGAACTGGTCTGCCCAGTGAACCCAGCCCAAATCGTCGCAATATCCAGCTCGGCAGAATTTGTGGCGGTGGTAGCATAGTTGAGCCCGTCGCACCTGACTATTTGATTGCCATTGGTGGACCCACCGCCTCCTTGGAAGTAACCACCGGACGCCGGGCGCCTCTGCACATTAATGAATGCACCACTGTAATCCGAACCGTTGTTGGCACAGATGTTCAGATTGCCAGTGAGATCCGCGCCAAGGAACCAAACAGCATCAATCACAGTAGTCCTTCCAGGAGTGAGAGTGTTGCCGGTCAACAAACGAGCGATGCGCTTCATGCTGACTCCATTGACAGTGTTACCTCCCTGAACATTCGGTGGATTGACTGTGATGTCGGTGCCGCTGGCGAAGTAACAGGTGCCGGTAACTGATGCGCTACCATCAGCCGCTATTTGGTTCCAGTATACGCCATTGCATGACCCATCTGCGCTACAACGACGGATACATTCCTCAAATATACAATCAGCGCCATTTGCGGTGCCCTGGTTGATAAGCTGGGTATTGCATCCGATATCGTAAACTTTGTTCGGATAGTCGTCGAACGAGATCTTGCGAGCATGGTAATCACCAGGATAGGGCAGCTGACTTTGTGTGACACCTGTCACATTGGTACTTCCAACGCGGATGTTATTGTTCCTGCAGAGAACATTCGTTGGTGCCGCCGGAGCACCTGATGAGGAGAAGCGTCTTGTTGTTGCACGACGTGCTGGATCGGGAACAGGCTGGCGTAGCACTGTTGTCGTTGGAGTCGTCGTTGGGGAGCTCGTAGTGGTAGTAGTTGTGGTGGTCGTTGTTGTAGTAGTAGTAGTGGTGGTCGTCGTAGTGGTTGTCGTTGTTGTTGTCGTGCTTGTGGTTGTTGTCGTCGTGCTTGTTGTAGTAGGCGTAGTGGTCGTCGTCGTCGTGGTCGTAGGCGTAGTGGTCGTGCTAGTGGTCGTGCTAGTAGTTGTGGTGGTAGTGGTAGTGGTAGTGGTAGTGGTAGTGGTAGAGGTAGTACCTGACGAAGCTTCAACGTCATAAAAAGGTTAGCAGGAGGTTCTATTCAGGAAACAGAAACGCATAAGTCAATCAATTGCACCAGTTGCTGCGGGTCCGTTGTCGTGTAAGGGTCCAGTATCATTGAAGTGCTCATCTGGGACGAATTGTCTTGCAATAACCGTCCCAGAGTAAGAGTCGAGCCAGTCCAGGGAGATCCAGGTCGGGGAGGAGAACAGGGACAAAGACGAAAGGCAGTTGCTTCAACGTGGGTGCAGATGGTTTCCCAAGGTATATCGGCGGGATGACCGTCATCATCGCGGCGGTCTGTGCAGCATACGCACTGTCTGTTTATTCCGCAAGTATGCAACTCGGGCCACGAACGAAGGGCACAATCAGGCCTGGACCAGAAAGCGAGTCAGCGGACGGCTATTCGACTAGAGCCATCGCTGCAGTATCCTATGCCTGGACTTTTCCCTGGGTGTGAAGTTGTGCATTGGCTAGGGTATTCGGCTCGATCGTGGGTTGTTGACAAGCAATCTTTACTGCCAGTATACGAATCTCGGCTGAGGTGCGTTTGAGCTGGATGCTGCGTATCCCGGGCACGGAGAAAATTACATCTTGATTGTCATAACATCTCTGGCAAGGAAGGGTTGTTGTGGTAACATGCCTGCAGCACGGGCCAACGCGTTCTTTAGCGCGTTGCCATGATCACGGGATCGTCACGCTCTAGAAGGGTATTGGCTTGGAAAAGATAACAGATATGGCGCCGGCGTCAAGGAGTGACAAATCGTGAAGCCATAGAAGTTGAAAGCGGCGAAGTCAGCTCATGAGCTGGAGGTCCTTACAGCGAGCCTGGCTCGACGAATGGAACCGAGCGCATCTCGCATGGGTGACGCAGCCAGTCAAGCCACGTTGTCTCTGAGTGAAGAATCGTTCGACGTCGAAACGGTCGTTTTGTGCAGAAGTGATGTACGCAGGTGAAGGAGTGAGGACGACTCGAGCACCGCCAAGAAAGGCGCTTCGAGAAAGCTTTGGGTGGAGGTGGGGCAACCAGGCAGTAAAACGAGCCACGTATCAAAAAGTATTTACCTGAAGTGAGCATTGATCCAGGTCATCGTCCGTTCTGTATTAACGACTCGACAAAATGGTAAGCCCACGCTTTGTAGACTGTAGCCCGGAGGTCATACTAATGCCCATTCCAGTCTCTTCCCGACTCCAAAAAGCGTCTCGCGCTTTCGATAATCGACTTCCTCTCAACCTCCCTCAAGGACGGGACACTCACCGCCGACGATGCCGAGAACATCGAGATCGCCTCAGAATGCATATCGAATGCTTTCAAGGTCGATCCCTCCGACAAGGCCGCCGTTGCCTCGGCCGTCGGCTCACAGTCCCTTTTCAACATCTTCAGCGTGTATGAGAAGTTGCAGGCGCCCACAGGTCAAGCCACGGGCTCGCAACCCACCTCAACATCATCAGGCCCCAGCCCAGCAAACCCAGAAGCGGAGAAGCTCAAGTCCGCCGGCAATGCGGCCATGCAGCAGAAAGATTACAAGACCGCCATCGAGAAGTACACTGCGGCGGTAACGCTGTCGCCTACGAACCCGATCTACCTCTCGAACCGCGCAGCTGCATACTCTGCCTCAGGCGATCACGCGGCGGCTGTCAAGGATGCGGAGGTGGCGGTCGTGGCGGACCCGAAGTACACAAAGGCCTGGTCGAGGTTAGGCCTAGCACGATTCGCGATGGGTGATGCACGAGGCTCAGTCGATGCGTATCAGAAGGGTATTGAGCATGAGGGCAGTGGTGGTAGTGAGGCTATGAAGAAGGGCCTGGAGACTGCAAAGAAGGAGCTCGCGCGAATGGAGTCCGAGGAGGACAACGTCCCCGCTGAAGGTGTGGATGATGCGCCTGGCGACAGCCGCGGTGCACCAGGCGGAGGCGGACTCCCTGACATGGCTGGTCTTGCATCTATGTTAGGAGGAGGAGGAGGCGGCGGAGGTGGTATGCCCGACCTTAGCTCAATCATGAGCAAGTACGTCTTCTCCCGGCCCTGTCCATCGCCGGTACGCGTTGTCTCTGACAGGTGTTCTAGTCCAATGTTTGCAGGCATGGCGCGGAACCTCATGCAGAATCCCGAAGCGTTGAGCAGCATCATGCAGAACCCGGTATGCGAAATCCCGTGCTCCTCAAGCTTCTGGCCTAGGCTAATCAATACCGACAGATGGTGCAAAATATGATGAACCAACGGAGAGAAGGCGGAGGTGGAATGCCTGACATGAGTCAGATACAGCAGATGATGAATGATCCAGCGATCGCCGGGTTAGCTTCTCAATTCATGGGCGGTGGCGCCGGTGGCGGTGCTCCCGGAGCAGGCGCTGGCCGCGGTGCTGGACGATAGTGCCTCTCGGCAGCATACATGGCATATGAGTGATGAGTTATGGCAACGTAGAGTGCTCTCTGGGAGTCTAGACTGAACGCGAATTCCAAACCGGCAACTTGCATGCATCAAACATTCCACATCGTCCTTCTGTGCCCTCGACCAATCTGGGAAGTTGACTTTCCCAATCGGGCAATCGTAACTTCTATCAGTCTATCCTGAAGGTCCCAAGCACAATTCTTCGCACCACGCATGTATTTCTGCCGCCCCGAGCTCAATTACAGATGAAAGGTGATGAGTATGCTCAGGCCCCGCTTTTGTTAAAGGGGAGTACTGGGGCAGTAACGGGGAGACACGTGCAGGTTGTCTGAAGAATCAGGTGTAATCGCAGATAAACTTCGAGTGCACGTGATCGCGATGATCAAAACAAGACACGAACTCAGTCGTCCTACGGTCGCTTGCCTTTGGCATCTCACCTTTGTTCATCGACCAACAAATTCTCACACGGTATCGAAGTGCCAATTACGGCATGACATGGCGCCTGAGCGCGGCGGCAGTATCACCGGGCCGCGTATCGCAGATCAGCGACACCAGTGATCGAGTAATTGTGATGCACAACACGTCCCAAGCATGCAGTAATGGATGCTCTGCCCATGACTATTCCGGTGATTAGCGCTCAGCGCTACTCTAGACGATCAGAAATGGTAAACGACCGCATTCTGAGAGCGAGGCTCACAAAGGAGCCGCATAGCTCGGCGGCAACTGCTTTGCAATTTACTGCTCTCCCGAAACATCGAAAGGCAATTGCTAATATCATAGAATACACACGAGACATTCCATGTTCGCTGTCAAGAGGCTGTCACAACGTCTAGCTCGGCTTGCGGGACCGCGTAGCTCGATCAGTACAATTGAAGTGACCGCTCGAACCTGTCAAGATGAACTCAATATCGCGGATTAACGCGTCTGGCAATGTTACGGCAATGACTCTTCCGAACCCCTAAATGCAAAGTCAGGACACTTAAGATATCGCTATCCTCGGGCTCTGCCAGGCCAGGAGACATCACGGGCTAACGCCATGCCGAATAGACACCTGACGAAGTGACCACTATCATACTCGAAACATCGATTCCGATGTCGTTGGTATTGGCGGTAGCCGAGAAGGGGCAGGTCGACACAAGTCTCAGCGAGAAGAAACACAGTGAGTATCTCGAGCTTGAGAACAACTGCCGCTCCGTCCTTCTCACCAAACTATTCCAGGCCCACCAAGCCAGATACGACGACTCCTCGTCCATGGACAGTATTCCTGAGACCCAACACCCTAGCAGTCCTGAAGCCGAGCATATTCACTAGTCGAAAGCCACGAAAGCTAGACCGCACATCCTATCTGAACGGCCTACGAGGCCTGGCCTGCCTCTTTGTCGTCTTCCACCACGGCACCGAGCAATTCTACCCATGGATCCGCGCGGGGTTTCTATCCACGCCGACTGCGACAAACCTCCTCTCGTTACCGATCGTGCGTATCTGGCTCAGCGGACACGCCATGGTCGACATCTTCTTCGTCATCTCCGGCTATGTGCTCTCCGCTAAGCCGTTGCGACTCGCCAGGGAAGGACAACATGTGGAGGCTTACAAGACTATAGCGTCCAGCACTTTGCGACGAGGTGTCCGCCTATACTTACCCTGTCTCGTCCATACCCTCGTCGTGGTCTGCTTCATGCGTGTGGGCTGGCTAGGAGATCGAGGACTACAGAAATGGAATCCCGCCCCTTCACTCATCGAAGAACTGCAAAAATGGTTGCGAGCGTCATTGGTGTTCTTCAACCCCTTCTCATTGGGTCACGATTACGAGTCACATCTCTGGACTATGCCCCACGAGTTTCAGGGCAGCATGGTGGTCTATCTGTCGTGTCTCGCCTTGGCACGGTCAACAAACATCTTTCGCTCCCTCACCCTCTTCATTCTTGCGGCGTACTGGATGTACATGACCCACTGGTACTACTTTCTGTTCACGGCCGGCATGGTCTGCGCGGACCTACATATGATCTTGGAACCTTCGATCAACCTCGACATCGATCCCGAACAACCCGCCAAACGATCTCTGCTGAAACGCATATTTCACGGGGTGGCAGTCTTCGCATGCCTCTGGCTCCTCAGCTTTCCGCGCTTCAACGAGGGAGCAGACCAATCCCTGGGCTACGCGTCCCTCGTCCCATGGATCCCCCCTAGCTGGCGAGGCGAGGTCTATCAATCCATGTGGTGGCTCGTCATTACTGCGCCTGTCTTCATTGCTGTCCTCGACAGCGCAGGTCATGAATCCGTCTATCAGAAGTTTCTTTGCTCCGGATTTATTCAGTATCTGGGCGATATCAGCTTTGCGCTATACCTTTGTCACGGGATGTGGATCAACAGTCTGGGCCTCGAGATGGTGCACTCGATTTGTGGCAGATGGGGGTTCCAGATGGTGGAAGGAGATGTGGGCTTTGTGGGTGTTTTGATACTGACGAGTTTGGTGGTGATGCCGTTGACGTTTTGGCACAGCGAGGTCTTTACGAGGACCGTGGATAAGGCAACGTTGAGGCTGTCGGCAAGATTGACGAAGTTGTAGGTACGTTCGTTAGCATGTATATATCTATATGTATGTTTAGGTGCTGGTACAGGTGCCGCGACGAATTCGACTCTTCTTTCATTGGTCAAATAGTGATGGCAGGCACGTGCTGACATGGATGGCCCTTCTCGCCTTTACTGCTTGACGGCTCGGCGAACAGGAACTCTTCCACCCGCCCACCCTTTTCCAGGACGTCACGTCCCGTCATCCGGTTCCGCCAAACTTCCATGTGAGACCGGATGACAGCACCCGTTCGCATCTGCGCCTTCCCTCCTATCGCCTAGAGTGCAACAGTAGCAGGAGCACATCCAGATCGCTCCTGCTCGACAAGAGGTATCGAAGATCCCAGGAGCGGCAGGTGTCTTTCGCAGCAGCACCTTCCCCAATTGCACGCCTTGTCAACCGGCGCATACGGGTTTTGAGATGAGACCGGATGACAAGACCTGTTCACATCTGCGCCTTCCTTCCTGCCTCCTTGCAGACAAACATAGCAGGAGCACATTCAGATCGCTCCTTCTCAGTGAGAGGTATCGACGTCCCCACGAGCGGCAGGTGCATCACGCGGCAGCACCTTCCTTAATTGCGCGACCTGTCAACCGGCGCAGACGAATCACTCGCGAGACCGGATGACAATTCCTGCTCACTGCTCGCGACGTCCTTTCGCCTCCTCAGATCTAGGGGACGAGGGATGGCAAACTAGTCATTCAATGTGGAATATAGCAGAGTGTAGGACTACTGCCTTCCGTCCTCGTGCCCTCATCCTTGACCTTGACCACAATTTCCCATAATGGCGTACTTGCACTTCGACGGAGTCACCCAGGTCCATTGATACACTGCTCGTTGCCCTCGACTTTATACCCGCCCTTACTACACAACCCCTTTCCACCGCCAAATTGGCACCCTTCCCAGCACTTGACAAGATGCAAGGAAGCAAAAGAGCACAAAGAAAAAAAAAGGAAAAAGGCAGCACCCAGAATCGAACTAGGATCTTCGTACGCGAGACTTGTAAGGTTTACGGGCCGTCGTAGACGGTGCCCTTTACGCAATCTCGGCCGATGTGTTCGCCGTTGACACCATGCTGCCGGAAGTAGACCTCTCAGCTGTGTTACTTCGACGATTGTTGAACAATATCTGGGAAGTGCAATTATATATGCCTGTAGCTGGATTTGCCAAGTGTTGTGTGAGTGAAGTGACGTGGGGCAGATACTCGATCAGAGAGATGTCAATTGAAGCAAAAGTGAGATCAGCGAACAGATCGAAGACGCATTGCTCCTGGCCATCGTGATTGACTCATGGCACGAGTCTTCGATGATCAGACTCCTGTTAAGTCTCGTCTCCCTGTCCAGATAATCCTCGATACCACAAGTCTCAAAGAGCCTCCCCTCTTGCCGCCGCGGTCCAGTGTACTATCTCAGCTTGCACACACGGCCAAACATTCGGCGTCCCGGTCAGCATTACCACACATCTGCAGGTTGGACAACATCTCCTTCGAAGAGTCTGCTATGCCGATATCCTGAAGACGCGATTCGAAGGAGCTCGAGACTTGCTCAAGATAATCCGCGTAGTCCGTGCTTGTCACTTCGTAGTATAACCCTTCCTGTTCGTCAGTGGTGCGAAGCCATGGCTTTTCTGGGTCACTGAGGGCGCTGAAGTCGAGTGTGGGAACCACGTGGCCTGGCAGATCGAGTATCGCTTGCTTCAGCTGCCGAGGTGGCTGTTTCACAACGTCAAGAAGCACCTGCTGAGTCGCCGCTGCTTCAGGGACATGCCGCTGCCGGTTGTGTAAGAATCTGCTCTCTAGCAAGTCGACTCCCAGGGTCTGAGCGTGCGCATAGTTCACGACTTGTATTGTGGGCAATGCTGGACGTATGAAATGCTTCGTGGAATCGTCTTCGGGTCGTTGCTGGATGGCGAATACACTGTGCGGCCATGTCAGAGCGCGATCGGTTTCTCTCGCCACGCTCAGGGCAAAAGCGAGCTGGTGCATGATAGCTTCACTGGTCCCGGTGATATTGGCGACTGCAATCATTGGTGGTGGCTGACTGTACAGCTTGTTGTGATCAGTCGAGCCGCCAAATGTTGAACCGAAATAGCCTTTGAGGTTGGTCTCAACACAGGTATAGTGTATCATCGTGGACTCGTCGATGAACTGCGCTGCTTTTTCCTCGGTACTAAACAACGAAGCCTCGGCGTTCTCTAACATGTAGTTTCTGAAGCGAGATAAGTCTAACCGGTGCACTCTTAGTCTGTTGGCAGCTTCCATCTGAGCAGCTACTTCGTTCATTACCGCCTGGTCCCATGCTTTTGTTACCAGCCACTGCTGGTATGAGCGATGGAAATACTCCTTTGTGGCGTCTGTCGCTCGGGCAAAGTACCACCCGATATTCAATAATGGCGAGGGTGGCTGAAAGTCTCTCTGGAATTGTATGTCCCAGGTTTTATTTCCTGGCGACAACATATCTTGAAAAGGGTCTCTAAATCCTGTAAGATACACATCACCGTCGAGGAATACGAAGTCAAAAGCAGCCCGGAGGAGATCAATACTGATAGTGAGCTGTGAGGCCTCAGAAAACTCATCTCCACAGCTACTCCTAGAGACATACCTTCACTTCCGCAACCTGTTCCATAGTAGGGCGCTCAGGGTCCAGGGGAACCCGCCAGCCATTGAAGTTCTTGTCGTCGGCACATTCTTCGTCGAGACACAACACTACCAGGTCGTTGCCGTAGGACCAAGTATCCAGGCGGCTGCGCAGATGATGGAGCGCTGCTGAGTACTTGGAATCGCCGATTGTGATGATTGGGTGGCGTCCGGTGGTGATTCCTCTCTCCAACAACCACGTAATGAAGTCTGGTCTGTGTTCGAGATCCTTGAATGACTGAGCAGATATGCCGCCTACGATGCGGTCTTGCCAGCTCCGCCTCCAGGAGAATATCGAGGCCAGTCTGTATCCGGTAACGGCTTGCTCATACTCGCTCCAGTGAATCAGCGTTAGTATTCCCACAACCAATCCACAAAATAACGAAATCCTCACGCGTGTGTGCATCCTGTCCGGCGTTGATAGGAATATCAGAAGGACTTCGGCACATGGCCATGGGTGAACTTCCCTATTGCGCCCGCCAGCCAACGCTTTGGACTTGTCACATAACATGACTGCACCTGCCTTACTTACATGTCTCATAACACAATCGCACTTGTCCTTACTCACATTGACTCGTACGTAGCTTCTGTAGGTATCACGAGGTCTGCCAGAACTCCTGGCATATGCGCATATTCCACATTGGCACAAAGCCCTCCGAGGCGCACAAGGGTAGACCTTGTCGCATCAAATTGAGCAGGCCGACAACGGGATCGACTGACACCGCCACTACGTATCGTACGCCATTCTCGATCTGTTCGTCGCGTTGTAACAACAGCTGGATGTCGTGTTACCTAGTATGGTGTCGACGTAAAGGAGAGTAAGTCACGAGAACACAGGTCAAGCCCCGAAGGAAGGCGTGCGGTGGCGGGTATAGAACTTGTGGCCTGATGCCGGAATCCTAGTTTATACGAGAGACACACCTGTCACGGACGTGAGGAGTGACCCATCTCGAAGATGACGGCCACAGATACATTACCTGTATCTGTCGGGCCCAGGAAGCAGGAGAGCTAGTAGAAGAGAAAGAAAATTCGATGTTGTGCTGTGTCACACTCTGCAAGTCATTTGAGCGCGTAGGGATGAAACACGTCAGAGCGACTGTGCGCCAGAACACGAACAGTCACTGCCACACTGGGAAAGAGTTAGATTCATGAGCATCGTGAGCCTGACCTGATGATTCTTGTGCAGGCTCATCTCGAGTTTTGCATTGATGTTCGTTGGCATGAGCTTTCCCTGAAATCAGAGCAGTATTACCATTTTGATCTTCGCACCGATCTGCGCCGCTCTGTCTCATGCTGACAGCAGTGGCGAGTGACCGTCCTGAGCCGGACGCTTCCCACCCTGATGACATTCAACGAGATGAACCAAGGCCCGATCATATGCAAGCCATTTCTTCACTAAGAAAAAGCCGCGTAGCTCGGCGGTAGCTGCTTCACATCCCTCTTACCACTGACGCGCCAGTGCTCGGCCTTGCCACTTCGATCACCATCCATGCCACAATCATTGTCATGGACTCTCCCGCCAGGAGCACCCTCAGTGGTGATGGGAGCACCCTCAGTGGTGATGGCGGGACTGTCGTCGTAGTGGCCCGATCCCACCAGCTGGCCGCCATACACTTGAGGGCCCGAGGCTGTGGCGGCGGCGCCAGTGTGATAGCACTCCGGGTCTGTCCATCCATCGTTCCCAATTCTGGTCCATTGTAATGGACGACCTCATGCCTATGGTGAATACCCGGATGCAGCACAATTAAGTACCACGCATCTGAATCCCGCCACAGGTCAGCACACCTCACACCCACAAGAAGAACGAAGGGACTCACGCAACATCCCAGGCCCCCATCCAAAAAGCGTCAGCCCCAAATTCAACCAGACATCCTGCTTCCGGCCACTTTTGATATACGCTACCGCGGGCGGGCAGAGGACCGTCAGGCAGGCTAGGATGCCGTCGGTGGCGCGGGCGCGTTTCCGGTCGGTCTGGCAGGTCGGGCAGTCGGCTGATGAGAGGATCTTGTCCTGTGGATGGGCGTGGGAGGGGTGTCGGAATGGGGAGGTAGACATGGCGAGCGCCTGCCCTTCGTCTTGATCAGTCGAGTGATTGGTTGAGAGTACTGCTGTTGCTGCTGCTGCTGCTGCCGCCGCCGCCGCTGCTGCTGTTGGTGGTGATCAAGCCAAGCCTGGAAAGTTGAACACTCGCTACGACTATTTGGCTGAGCGAGGTGGTGCTGTATGCGATTGCTGTAGCTCACGACGAGGGCCGGGGAGACGCTGGACTTGACCAAGAGAGGCAGTCAGGGCTTGTCTCTCCCAGGAAGGATGAGCGGGGCTTCTGGGCTTGCCTTATAGTCGTGCATGAATCAGCAGTCACTGGTATTGTGTGGGAGCGTCAGCTCTAGATGGGAGGAACAAGAGACCTGCCGGAAGGGCACTTATGTCAGTCTGGGAGATATTTTTAGCTCGGACGGCATTGTAGTCTGCTTGCGAGATCCAGCGGTCGACTTCCCCGATGTCATATTGGTTGAGCTAGTACTGTACACGGTACACCTTGCTTGGGCCAAAAAGGGCGGGTATGGCAGACAGGCAGCAGCGATTCCATAGTCTAGAGCACGCTGTGTAAGGCATGATCGGAGTCGACCTGAGTTAGTCAACGTGCCGAAGATCGAGAAACAGAACCTGCGATACGCGTCAATGGGTTGGAGGTGAAGCCGGGCATGGGGGCTAAGGCAGAAGCATTCTCATGCTGTGCCTGATCTGGTGGCTTTGGACCCTGGCCAATCAGGATGGCACAATTCTGCTGCAAAGACAGGAACAACAGTTCCAGATGAGTTTGGTTCTTGCATCGACCTAGCTTTCGCTTTTGCTTCTGATGCATCGATCCTCGAATTGGTCCTTGGAATGTTTCAATGCTTCATTGTGGATTTTTGTCCAGAATCCTCAGACTGGCGTGCACTCACGGTCGCCGCTTTAGAATAGTCTGCTGAAGGATTCTGAACCGGATTTTCGCGCAGTGACGACTCGTGGATGCACCATCTATTCGTAGCGGCGACCCCCGTACCCCGAAGAGTCATCTCCATAGCCACCACTCGAACCGCCATATCCACCACCGCCATAGCCCTGATTGCCGCTACCGTATTGGCGATTGTTGTCATCGTCGTCGTTACGTCGACCGTAGCCGCCGCCCTGGCCATAGGACTGCTCCTCTTGTTCAAATCCTCCAGGAACAATTTGCTGGCGACTTCCATAAGACTGCTGCTGGCTGCCATAGGACTCCTGCTGACCATAGCCTCCCGAGCTGTACTCCTGACGACCACCTCCATAGCTGCTGGAGTCATTGTCACGACCATAGCCACCACCACCGCCATATGACTGCTGCTGACTTCCGTAGCCGCCACCACCAGACGAGCCGTAGCCCTCAGAGCGACCATATGAGCCACGATTGTCGTCATCACCACGTCTGCCGCCTCCGTAAGCTCCAGACGACGCACCAAATTCCTGACGCTGAGAAGAGCCATAGCCTTCAGACCGACCATAGCTCGAGCCACGATTGTCATCATCGTCACGACGGCCGCCGCTATACGAGGCACCTCCAGAGCCGTACTGCTGCTGCTGACCGTACCCAGAGCTCTGCTGCTGCTTGTAGCGCTTCTTCTCATCATCGCTGTCATCACTCTTGTTGCCACTGCCGTACTTCTTCTTCTCCTTCTTGCGGCGCTGCTCTTCGTCGCTATCGTCGTCGCGGCGACCACCATAGCCAGAGGAGCCGTACTTGCCGCGCTTGTCGTCATCATCACTATCGTCCTTCTTGCGGCTACCATAACCAGAAGATCCGTACTTGTTCCGCTTTTCGTCATCACTGTCGTCCTTCTTATGACTGCCGTAGCCAGAGGAGCCGTACTTGCCACGCTTATCGTCGTCACTGTCATCTCGACGACCTCCATAGCTCTGCTGCTCTTGACGCTTCTTCTCCTTCTTGCGACGCTTTTCTTCGTCACTGTCGTCATCTTTGCGAGATCCGTACCCGCCACCCGACGAATACTCGCTGCGACCGTAGGAAGAGGTCTGAGAAGTGTAGGTCTTGGTCTCCTCGCGGTACTGGCCGTACTGATCGCGCTGCTCGGTGTGGACCTCGGCGCCACCTGGACGCTGTTCATAGCGGCTGTACTGCTCGGATCGTCCTCCGGATGGCTCGTCGGTCCGAGAATACTGGGCTTGGCCATAGCGGTCACCGGATTGGCCGACTTGGGTAAAGGTCTCCGTATGCTGGCCCTGGCTGCCATATGACTCGCGCTTGTAAGTTTCCTTCTTCTGATTCAGACCGCCACCAAGCATGTCAGCGCCAACAGCAGAGGCAAGTCCGCCAACGATGTTGCCCAGGAAGCCTCCACCAACAGCCTCTCCAGCGGCCTTGCCGATCTTATCAGAAGTCTCGTTACCCGGGCGGTTGCCGTATTGCTGTGGCTTGCCCTCGACCAGGCCCTCGACAGCTCCGAAAGCCTGAGTGATAGGATAGCTAGACTGGCCGCCGCTCTTGCCTCCAGTCACTCCTGCAATGCCGAAGCGCTGGCCCTGAGGGCGATAGCTGCCATGACCGTGGTCGTGAACACCTTCTTTGTGGTTGTCGCCGTTCTCGACGCCACGACGACTCAGCTGTCGACGTAGGCCGTCCTTTTCGCGCTCATCTTTCTGACGCCACCATTGTTCGACAACACCAAACATGATTCGACGGCCTTCGGAAGCATCGCCACCCTGATCGCGAAGTGCTGGGTGATGTAGAACGCCGTTGATGATGCGGTCGAGGATACGTGGAATGTCGGCTCGCTCATTGTCCCAGGCTTCAATCAGCTGTGGCACAACCCATTTGACAGTGGCGCTAGCAACACGGCCAGCCGGCTCGTTCAAGACATTGGAGAAGTGATCTTTCGATAGCATAGAATGAGTAGGGTCTGAGGAGCGGTCATCATTGAAGACGATGTGCTGTTGTTGCTTGCTAGACTGGATGATCTCGCTGGATCCAGTCTCGAGTTCGTTCTTGATCTGGCGGATTACTGGCAGTACGTAGGGAGCGAGTAAGCTGAAGACAAACTTGTTGATCTCGTCCTGCACGTTCTCGATTAGATCTGGCAGAATCGGAATGTTCTCAATCGTCTCGGTCAGGCCTTGCATGACTTCATCGTGCCATTGGATGATTGGTAGATCTGCTTCTGGACGTCTTGCAGGTAATTGGCCCACTCTTCTGGTTGACGGGGAGAGATCTTCGTGTTCTGCATCTGGTGAGCCTGAGCATTCTGCTGGAGTTCATCGACCTTGTTGGCTTCATCTTTGCCTCCAAACAGGCTGCTTGGGATCTTGCTCAGGAGGTCACGAAGAACACTGCCATCAGAATTCTCGGCGTTGTCGAGTGCACCTTCCAACTCTTGCATTTCTGACTGAGTAGCCTTGTCGCCAAATTCTCCACAGACAGAGTGCAAGAAGTCAGTGCCGCCGAATGTGCCAGTGACGATTGGGTAGACCTCGTTTCGAGCACCGCGTAGACGCACGGTAGTGTCGCGGCCAGTGTGAGGAAAGACGTCTCGCTCACCCATCTCGATCAGAGCAAGCTCAACATAGTTGGAGTGAGCAGAGTAGTCTTCGAGACAGTGACAGCCGGTTCCGATGAGTCGAAGTGCTTCGTAGAGATCGGCCTTGTTCTTGTTGCGTCCATATCTGCGACCAAGATCGATTGCTCGACCGAAAAGGTTTCTCACCAGAGCTGCCGAGGTGTCGATACCCATATTTTCGCTTGCGATGTAGTTCTTGAGGCCGGTATCTTGGTTGATGGCGAGTTCCCGGCGCTCGTCCACCGGTCCACGGAGACGTCGGTCGTACTGACGAGCATCTTGATTCTCGGCATAGTCCTTCGGATTGCTGCAGGTACATCAGTCGATGTTCAGATGGAAGGCAGGAAACTCACTCAATATGCTCTTCTGGGCGGTAGCAACCAAGACGTTCTGTGGTGACCCTGTTTTGTGTCAGTCTTGACATCGGTCTCCAAGCACATTGACATACTCGAATTCGCCCGTGCCATAGCCAAACGACATGAAGCCGAGCACCCATAAAAGAATGCGTATTGCTTCAGCGCTGACATATTTGACCGTTCCAACATCGACTGCTTGCGAGTAATCTCGAAGCCAGTTGCCAAAGTAGATCTAGCAATTGTCAGTACCAGTCCGGGTGTCCATGGGCAGGAATGGCCTACGCGTTTGATGTCAAGTTTGCTGAACTTCTTCCCACTCATAGACTTGGCGGCCGCCAAAGTCAAAATAATATCCTCAATGTCGCCGTGACGCCAGTTTACGCCTTCAACTTTGGACAGGGAAGCGATGTTGCCAGCACCGAAAGCCGCAGCAGGACGGGCAAGGAAGGTGAGACCGATTGCGAGCAGGAGGAAGATCTCGCCATGTGAGAACGCCATGATGTTGGCTCCTCAGGGGACGATAATAATGCTAGAAAGTTCTAGCCAGCGTATCGTAGGACCAAGAAGTGCTCAACCTGGACACTTTCCTCGAATGCACAGAAGGTGCTACCGTCGATGGATGCGGATGTGTTGGAAAGGAGTTGCGAGCCGTCGTTTGTCTCGGAGGGGTGCGAAGTAGCCCCTCAAGTCGTTTGGCCTTTCGCTCAACGCTGGACTCGCGATGCTTTGGTGAATAAACAGATTCAATATTGTCAAGTCAATGGAAGACTGATTCCGTAGCGTGTATGATCATAAGCTGACGGTCAAAGAAAAAAGATCTGGAGGGGCTCTTCACAACTTGAAGGCCGGTGACGCCAGTGTGGAATCAAGAATTCTTGATACTCGTGTTTCAGATTCCTGGCTTCACCGCCAATCGCCAATCGTCGATGCGGGTCAAGCTTCGATTTGGCCAGCTGTGTATCAGTGAAGGTGGAACACAGACAATCGTACTCCACGCTCATGCTCGAGCTACAGAAACTACAACTCGCCAACATCGCCCATGTCAGGTAGATAGTGGTTTCGAGATGCGGCATACAGCCTCAACCATGTCCTGTGTCCTCCCGCTTCGTTCGCCGTTCGGTGAACCACTGACCCAATGGCTTCCAGATCTCGATGCTCTCCTGACGACTCGGAAACGTAGACGCTGCGCTCGTGGTCGTGGAAACGAATGTCCTCGCGCCAGGCCAGGTCACCACTCCGTTCTCGTCCTCTATTCTGCCTAGCCACGCATTTTCATCTTGCCAACCATAGCGGAAGGCAGACTGAAAATCTTTCTTCTTCTTTCCCTTAGGTAGAAATGTACCCAGCCAGATGTACTCCCACACGCCTTTGCCAACGATGCAGACCGCCTCGGGTTTGATGTGACGAATCTTCTCCTCCAGTATGACAGCGCCTTCTTGAAGCTCTTCCTTGCTCAGCGCACTTCCATCCCGAGATGGCCGTGCACATATGTTAGTGTTGCCGATGCTGTACAGATCTTGTAGCGCGTGTGTGTCGGGAGGGTAATGCCGAATGGGTGTTATGCCACTTTCGTGGAGGAATGGCCAGAACCGGTTGGTGTGATGGGAATATGCGTGTCCTAGGCTGAGTCAATTTTGCCGAAGCCTCGACTCAGTGATGAAGACTTACCTGTCTGTGCTGTCTTCAGACCCGGATTGAGACCAATCATGACCAAAATGAGGCCAGGCCGTAGCGAGTCAACGAGATTATTCTCCGGGTAGTATTCATCGTTGGCTGACTTCTCTTTCCTGGACCTCCGTCTCTTCTTCGCTGGGCTCGTAGCGCCATAGTCGTCGTCGCCTTGAGTGGACTCTCGCTTGATCAGGCGGCTTGGCTTCTTCAGTGCCGCGACTTTCGTGACCTTCTCGCCGCTGTCTCGCGACAGGATTCGCTCGTTCGAGGTTCTCTGCCTGTCCAGTGTCGCTGAAGAGTTCTGTGAGCCATTCTGAAGCCTTGTGGCAGGCTCCCTCTCGGGAGAAAGAGGCTCAGGAGCGACTGAAGTCTTCTTGACCTTGGCCAAGGTCTTGATTGATCTGTTCCTGCTGTTCATGGTGACTTCTGGTGAGTAGACAGAAGGAGAGGTGTGATTGAACTGCTGCAGGTGCGACCTGAAAGCCACTGCTTTCCTCAGGTTACTCAAGCCAAATGGACGCGGAGCTAGCTGAGTATGCAACCTACCTGCATCTGGCGCCGGTGAGGTTGAAGTGTTCCTCACATCAACTTGAGTCGCATCATCGCTTTCAACAACTACGTCTGCTGTCTTCCAGTCTGCAGGCATTGACCGACATGTACTCACAGAGAACCCTACCACAGTGTGAAGTCATCCGAGTACGACGACCACAGCATTAGCGAAGCACAGCGCATGCATGTTCTATGGCGGTGTAACAGCATCAAGAGATGCCGAAGCTGCAGGTTCGAGGTCAAATCATGCCGCCGTCTAAAGTTTGAGCCCTAGCACATGGTAACGCCTGAAGCGAGCAAAGTTCCAGGCTTGTGGCCACGAGAGACACCCTAGAAATTGTCCTATTGGGCTGCTTCAACGGATAACGCTAGTGGTACCGAAGCCCGGGCCTCTCGCTAAACGGCACCGCATAGGCGTTATCATCCGAGACTGCTCGAACATCCAGACCTCTTGCACTGATTGCGACGCAACACCTCACAACTTCCTCCGCAACGATGAAGACGTCGACCACACTCCCTTGAACACACACTCTTGCTAATCACCGGCGATCTGCTTCTCCAGCCTGCTCCACCTCCACCTATCCTTCCCAGATGCCGCAATCATGCCCCGCGCCCGCGCAACATCCACCTCGTCCGAGGTCTCCTCGGCACCCTCCTCACACATCCAACCGCAAGAGCTGGGCTCGATGTACGACTACCTCGCCAAGGTCATCCTGCTAGGTCCTTCCGGCGCAGGCAAGTCCTGTCTGCTCCACCGTTTTGTGAAGAACGAATGGCGAGTCCTCAGTTCTCAGACCATCGGCGTCGAGTTCTCCTCCAAGATAGTCAAGATCGGCAACAACACTTCAAGCGCAAGAGGTGGAGGAGGCGGCCGGCGGCGCATCAAGCTACAACTATGGGACACAGCCGGCACAGAGCGCTTCCGCAGCGTCAGCAGGAGCTACTACCGTGGCGCGGCCGGAGCCATCCTCATCTACGACGTCGCCAGCCTATCAAGCTTCAACGCACTCCCAACATTTCTGATGGACGCGCGCAGCCTCGCCAGTCCCAACCTCACTGTCGTTCTCGCCGGCAACAAAGCAGACCTCGTCGAGCCGAAACCATCACCTTCGCAACAGAGTAGTTACAAAGACTCCTACCCACCCGAGCCGCCAACCCCATCCTCCGCCAGCATCAGCAGCAAAGCCTCCGTTCCGTTCGCACTAGACTCTTCTACCCGCTCGCGAGCCGACTCTCTTGCGCTGCCCCCAGGCACATCAAAGCTCACAGCCAGCACGTCACCTTATGGTCGCGAAGTCTCCCCGGACCTTGCCTCCCGTTGGGCCTCCAAGTCCGCCATCCCCGCAACCATTGAAGTCTCCGCTTACTCCGGCATGAATGTGGACGAACTGTTCAACCGTCTGGCGCGGATGATCCTGACCAAGATTGAGCTCGGCGAGATTGACCCGGATGATCCAAATAGTGGGATCCAGTACGGGGATGTTCCGAGTATGGGCTGGGATGATGGTGGGAGTGTGGATGGGAGTATGATTGGTGAGGGCGGGACGCTCAGGCGGCGGAAGAAGAAGAAATTGATGCTTGGGGCGGGAGGTGCTGCGGCGGCGGGCGAATGGGGAGATGTGTTTCGGAAGAGGGGCGGTGGTGGGTGTTGTTGACTTCGAAAGGATATTGAAGACGTCGGATCTTCCTCTTCATCATTTCTTCGTGTTTCTGTGAGCGTTCAAGCACACACGATTAGCAAGCGAGTGAGCGTCTCTTACTGCGCTGGCTGTTCATTCGGGATCCGGGACCAGCATCGGCGTTACAGACTGGCGGGCTGGTCTGAGTTGTAAGGGGTTTGTTTTGGCATAGAGTGTACAGAAACAGACCGCCGCTACCTAGTAATGTCTAATCACCTGATCACAGACAATCGTACAGCGCCTGGCCATCGTCCTCATCTTCGTCATGCCTGTGTCCTTGCCTGATATCCTGCTTCCTCCGCGCACCACGATATCGATATCGTTCCCCATCATTCGCCACCACTCCCGTAGCCCGAGTCTGAGTCACTCCAACCTCCTGGCCTGTAGAGCTCCCAATGTATAGCCTCCGCGATGTCTCTCATCATCCCATCCAGATCAACGCCCAGCGCATCCACCAACACCTCCAGCACATCCACCTGGAACATAAAACCCAATCCTCGATCTCCATGCGCGTTAGCAGAACACACACCGCAGCTGAGCCACACAACCAGCCGAACCAAGAACTCCGCCCAGACGACGCACGGCTCACAGACACAGCAGCGCACTAGAAGGTCTTCAAATGACCCTTTCGATGGGTCGCTTTCATCGTCGTCGGCGGCAGTCTCCAATGCCCAGACTTGTGCCAATTGCACACCGCGCACTACTTCCTCATCGGCCTCGTTCTCGTCTTCGCCATCTGAGTACATGGAAGGGACATACGCCCAAGAAGCTGCGATAACGTGATTGACCTCCAATCGGGAGAGGCGGCTCAGGGCGCGGACTGACTCGAATAATTGAGGATGTTCGTTGAAGAGACTGGCGAGAACATGGCGGTGGGCGTCGAGGAAGTGGAAGAGGAGTGCGACAAGGTTGGTGTGGACCTCTTCGTGATGACAGTGTGGACAGAAGATCAGGCGGATGCGAAGAACCTCAAGGGCTTCGAAGATTTTGGCGATCGGGGAAATCGGCATCGTTGTTGCTGTGGGTGTTGAAGGTATCTTGAGGATGGTTGGTGTTGTGATTGAATTGGTAGAAGTTGCGAGCGAAGCTTGACGAATGATCTGTTGGTAGTAGACATGCTTCCTATGTTGAGTGTTGCGAGGCAGGTATATATGCCATCTCGTAGCATGACCAGGCGAGGTCTTCGAAGACTGAGAGCTTGTGTTTGTAAGACAACTTCCCGACTGTTCCTCTCTGGACCAAAACCATGGTTTCAGACAGATCTTCAGTTCCGACTGACTAATAGCTTCTCGGGAGTGGTCCGAATGGCAGCGCACTGTTGTGTTTCGGGAGATGAACAAAGAGAACCAGCAGCATGGTCTCCGCGTCATGCGAAACAGCTGCATTGGCATCCGTGACGTTCCAAAAGGATTTGAATCATGCTACCCGAGACCGCCTTTTCTGCCGGCGAGCAGCACTCATGTTTTGCGCATTGGGATAAGCCGGTGTGGGATTGGTGTCAAAGTAACTCCAGAACCGCTGAGACACCTCATGATGTCTTTCCGTCGAAGCATGGATACCAATAAAATAGACGGCAACCGGCAGATGAATGTACGCCGCTGATGTTGGCAGTATGCGTTCCACTATATCGCAGAGCCTATCGGCAATGACGGTGGAGGTCGGGGCTGCCTCGGAGGCGACATTGGGATAGAGCTCCTCCAACGCCACGAGTATGGACGCATAGCGCCAGGCGTCTTGTAGTAGGAGTCTGTCGTCGGTGGTGTTGTGCGACAGGTTGAGCAGTTGACTCATACTACTGTGGTAGGTTTCATGGGACAGTGCCGACATGTGCCCTTCCGCCAGCCGGACGTACACGAAGAACGTATCTCTGGGGCACCCGACAAGGTCGAATAGTACAGGATCAATCTCGAAGCGGTGGAAGTCTGCAAAGACAAGGCCGCGATCCTTGTGAATGACAGCTCCCATGCAGTCGTACCAGTTGAGCAGAGAGATGGCTTGCTTCAGACCAGGTGTGGAGGAGTAGAGCACAGACAGTTCACCGAAGTTGCTGCAGTGGACATCTAGAAGCGCTCGAGCACCTCGTAGATGTCGAGTCCAGTGGCCGAATGGGCCTTCTCGCACATCAAGAAACGCGAAGACTGTGATCCCGAACAGTGCGAGGATATCGCCGCTCTCGACAGATCGCTTCAGACCTTGCAACGCGTTCGAATACAGCAGGTCTTGGTCGAGACCATCGTTATGGCTGGCTCCCGTCATACGCAGGCTGATTCGTTTCCATGCAAAAGCCCAGACATCAACAAAGCCTGTGTATTCAGCATCGAATTTGACTTTGTCCGGGTCAAGGCGCGCTTGCGTGTATTGCGACGTGAAATATTGCAGATAGTTGGCAAGGCCTGTACTCCAGCCTGCATTGTTGCCCTCACCATTCACCGAGAAAGTACTTGGTGAGGTCAGCGCTTGCTTGGCTTGACTGACGGGAGACGTGAAGCCGACTGGAAATCCGGGGATGGACCCATCCAGCGATGGCGAAAGCTCGGAGGTCTGACTTAGATTGCTTGTCGTGACATACAGTCCGGGACTCGTCTCCTCGACTGATGAAGTAGTGTTTGGCTCATTGGCCTTGGCCGAGCTCGTACTGCCTCCGACCCATTTGACTCGGTTGACATAACCTTGACATACGATCGAAGCTGAATTGCATGGTCCGCAGGACGGTCGGTTGAGGTCACATTTAACGCCGCGCTCTTTACAGGTCAGGCAGTCGCGGTCGCGTCGAAACCCACGTGGCTTCCCTTTTGTTTTGCCTTCTTTCCCGGGCTTAGCGGAAGGCGACACCATCGAATACGCCGGGCGCTGAAGCTCAGCTCATTCTATGGGGAGATACCATGGGGTTGGAAAGATACGGCACAACTTTTTTGATTGCTTACCAAGAAGAGCCCAAGGTAACGATGGGGCAGTTCGGGACCTAGCAACATCCCGCCGGCCGCCCGCGCATTACACCTAAGGACTTCGCTTGGAGAGACGCGGGTGGGCATGTTTGATGAGGGATGTAGAGGACAAGCTAGGCCCTAATCTGAAGGTGATCAAGGGGCACGACTTCACGATAAAGTTACTCGTGTTGTTCGGCCAAATCTTGGTGACTTCGACGATAACTTGACGTGGGAAGTGGAACCTTGGTCGCTCTTGCTGCCGGTGCATGAACGGCAGCTACGATGCCTTCCTCCTTTGTCACCACCATACGGCAAGCGGCACCGAGGCATATATTCCAACCGCAACCGCCATGACTTCGTCGCTCGCAAATTCTCTAGGAGCTGACACAATGCCATCAAAAGATCCCGCTACCTACACGCAGGAAGCCGTAGAAACAGACCAACCGAATAAAAAACTGCATTGGAAGCAACGCGCCGCCATCAAACGAGAACAACAATACGCACAAATACCACCAGAATGGCGACTCGATCCGTTGCCATCGCCATTGCCCAGATCAACTCTTGACTACATTAATGACTGCCCGCTGCTAACGCCACTCGAACACAGCATCACATCAACAACATCGGCAACGAGATTACTCTCACAGATCAAATCACGCGAGCTGAGCTCGCTGCAAGTTGCGACAGCTTTTTGCAAACGAGCGGCAATCGCGCAGCAGTTGTCACGATGCTGTACAGAGATGTTCTTCGGCAAGGCAATGAAACGCGCGGAGGAGCTTGATCGCTATCTGGAGGAAACGGGCGAACTGTGTGGACCTCTTCATGGGCTTCCAGTGAGCTTGAAGGATGGGACAGATATCGAAGGCGAGGATACAACCTTAGGTATGTCTTTCCCAAGCAGGATATCGAGCTCGAGGCATTGATTGGTCGATCAGGCTGGGTCGGTCTCGCAGGCAGACCTGCGGAGAAGGACTGCTTGCTGGCCGAGTGTCTGCGTAAGCAAGGCGCAGTGCTATACTGCAAAACGAATATACCTCAGTCACTAATGGTGAGTTTTACATTTCTAATCGGGAACCAGGCTCTAACCGGTGGGGAACCGATAGATGTCCGACTCATACAACCATTTGTTCAAACAATCGGTGAACAGTCTTAATCGTAATCTAATATCAGGTGGAAGTTCAGGAGGAGAAGGCGCTCTAATTGGATGTCACGGCAGTATTGTTGGGGTTGGGACCGATATTGGTGGCAGCATCCGAATTCCTGCCAACCTCCAGGGCCTTTATGGCCTCAGTCCCACGGTTGGCCGGTTTCCCTGGCACCCATCCGTGATACGCGACAACATTGTCAATGGCGTCGCTGGCCCACTCAGCTGCACAATTGACACACAAGAGGTGTTCTGGGAGAGTCTTCTTGCCGCCGAGCCCTGGAACTTCGAACCCACCTCGTACTCAATTCCCTGGCGGAGTCACTTGGCGGCAAAGCCCTCACGCAAGCTCAAAATTGGATACTACGTCGATGATGGAATGGTCAAAGTCCAGCCACCGATTGAGAGAGCGGTACATGAGGTTGTGGAAAAGCTGAAGTCAGCTGGCCACGAGGTCGTACAGTGGGACATATCATCGCATCGAGAAGGTCAACGGCTGTGGCTGAAAGCTGTTCTTGCGGACGGTGGCCGCAGATTCAGGAAGCTCTGCGAACAGTCAGACGAGCCACTTGTGGAGGGCATGCTGGTAGGCACCGAGGACGACCGACTAGATGTCGACGAAGCCAATCAAGTGTCCAACGACCGACTCGCCTACCAGAAATCGTACATGCGTCGCTGGATGGACGCAGGAGTCGATGCACTGATCATGCCTGTACAGCCGTGGGTAGGCTTCCCTCCCAAGATATGGGTGCAATCAAGTCAGAATGTTTCGTATACTTCACACTGGAATCTTGTCGACTTTGCGGCCCTGGCTGTTCCTGTCACGACGGCGAGTCTAGGTGATGTCGGTTCAGAAGCGTGGAAACATCATCAGCCAAGGGATGTTAGTGACGATTTCAACTGGAAGCAATATGATCCCGAACTGGTTCAGGGTATGCCTGTTGGCGTGCAGATTGTTGGAGGACGATTCGGAGAGGAGAGATGCCTTGCAGTGGCTAAGGTTGTCGAGGAGGCACTACGACAATAGGGGCTCGAACGCAAGATGGATATTCTACCAGGTTCCTACCTTCAGAAACATTAGGATGAGCACCCAAAAGGCCTGTGGCTGATGGCACAGCATTCACTGGCATCCAAATTGACGAGTACTTAACATCAAGCTGTCAGTGGGTGAGCTGAGCTGATGTCGATCGGCCGGACCGAAACCTGTGGCACTTGCACGGATGTTCGACCTCTACAGACTGATTCGTCGTTTCGAGAAGTAATGAAGAGATTGGCTGGAAGGGAGTACGACTTGAAAGAGTTCCTCGAAACGCTCCTGCCAACGGTTTCACGAGACCGTAGTCCAGGTGAACTAATGCAAAACATCTCCGGCAGGAGCAATGCTTGAGACTGGGCAAGGAATTCTTCTCCAGCAAAAGGATCACAGGCGGATTGCTTCTGGCGGAGTAAACAATGTACTTTCGAAATGATCGCAGGCAAAAAGCAATTCGGAGTTACATCGCAAGTACGGTCATGCCATGATGAAGGCCGGCCTCCAACCATTCGCAAACGACATGTTCGATGTGAAGGACAGTGCATACACCAATGTTCGACAACATTATTGGTCAAACACAAAGACCCCAAGCCAAACCAAGTCTCGAAACAGGCCACCCGAGAGCGGAGCTCGCCTCGAGTACGCTGGCGCCAGTCCTGGCGAAGCTTGCGTATGTATGCCAGCTCAGGCTCTACGATGCTATATTGCAAGCGCTGGCGTGAACCTTGTCTAGTGGGACACCCTGGCAGAACATGCAATGTATGTACGCAAAAGTGGCATGCGATTTCAAGAGGTAGGCGAGGCAGGGCAGCAAGGACACATGCTTGACGTGGCCATCCGGAATGCTTCATACAGCTGAGAAGTCTCAAGCCTATGTTCCGGTCGTGGAGAAGTTACTCGGCATTTCTTTTCCACCACGACCTTCAGCGTCGAGTTATCGAACAACATACGTCCGTCTGGTATCATGCGAAGTCGGCTCGATCAGCCACCGCACGAGCCTCAATAGGGAGCAATGTTTGTGCAAGGCCCTAACCGCTGAAGTGTACCGGATCACATGAATATGGTACCACCCTCTGCGGCTCCTCCGCGTCAGCATGATAAACCTCCATGAACTGGCCCTCCGCCAAGGCCTCATACCCTCCACCGCTCTCCAACTTGCTCGTTGCCAGGGCAAGCGTGATCGTGTTGCTCGTGCTGCCTCCAGGCGCAATACGAATATACTCCTCCTTCGGCGGCGGCATCTTTCGATTGATCATGATTGATGGCACTTCCAATGCCTTGCCTCCGTTACGGTTGCGAAGTGAAATCGTGCCCAGACGACCTGCTTGTGGATCAAGCACGCTGTTCCAACGGAGAATGGTGATGGGTGTCTCTGATGATGGATTGGAAACGTGGGCGACTAGCTGCACCTTGGGAATTGAGTCTACTGTGTTGATAGAGGCGATCTCCAGGCGGACTTGTGGCTGGATGTCAGCCTGTGAGGAGTGTTTGGTTTTCGACATGTTGAAGGGGTTTTGTACAGGCCTGTAGGTATACAGACCCAGGCAGATGGTAGCTGAGATGGCGAGGAACGCGAAGTGATGTGCTTTGAGCATGTTTGTTGGGACGTGGCGGGTGTATTGTTGGCGATGGTATCTAAATCTCAGTATCCAATACCTAGATAAGGGTCGATTGACGCTGTCATGCTATTCAGTCGAAAACGCTACAATGTTAGGCAGCGATCATTAGAGTCGGCTCTCAACTCATGCATGCGTGGCTCATTCTCTGCGTCTGCATCTGCACCCGTCAAAGCCCATGCACATCGTTGCATACGAGGCCCCGCCCCTGTCCTGGGCATCCGTTGCCAAGGAGTTTCACTGAGGAAAATCCCCTTTTATCCCATCCAATCGGAGTTGACATAGAGACTTGTTCTGTAACTCCTGAGATTTGCATCCATGGATCTTCTCGCACAGTTTCCAGAACCTTGAATTCCTCAAGTCCCGATGTCGATGTATGGCGTGTTGATACGCGCTCTGAGCTACATGTGCGATCGGCCGGCTTCGACTTTAATAGTGCCAGCTTAGCGAACTTGTTCCGATGCACAAAATACGAAGTCCTCCGCCCTGACTGGCTACTCCGTCAAGCACAGGCAACACCTTGCCAAGAACACGGAGATGCGTTGGTTGCATCAGATCGACAGACAAGAGATCTGAAACTCTACAACATGGCCCGACAAGATTTGTCCGCGACCAGGCAATCTCCTGAGCTTCGAATCTTCTGCTGTATACGCACTGCCACGCCTCGTTGCACGGACGCCCCGGATCTGTGCCATCCACAGAAAGTAGTCTGGGCCGGTGAAGATGGAGACGATAGCCGTTGCCTTGTCCAAGCACAAGGATATCGTTTGCTTCTCTCATGATGGACCCCGGGGCGATCACTGCTTGGCTTTCCATCCCTCTTCCAGGAGTCCTTCCGAGATATATGGGATCTCTGACTTCGGTTTGGTGATCTTCAACGTCTTCTTATAAGAGCTTCGTTTCTTTTGCCTCTGGTAGGTCATCGGTCTCTTCAACAGCGTTCATCAGTCACTCATTACACTCTTGCCTTCAGGCCTACGATCCAGTCACTCATTTGTTGGAATTTGCATACCTTTACAACGAGTTTATCTGATCCCAAAATGCCTTCCTTCACCACAGTTGCTCTGGTAGCAGCTCTGACTCGATTGGTCTCAGCCCATCCCCACCACATGAACGCGAACGTCAAGAGAGACAACACTCTTGCTGTTGAACTCTCCGACGCAGGCGCTGCTGGTGTTGGTATGAAGGTCACCAACATTGGTAGTGAGCCTCTCAATCTACTCACATATGCCACACTGTTGGACAATGGCCCAGTGAACAAGCTTAAGGTCGTCCGAGAAGATGGTAAGTACCGGACATACCTGACAGCATTCGAATGAAACTTACCTGGTGCAGGCTCGGAAGTAGGATTCACCGGCGTGCTGTTCAACTACGACACAGCTTCGCTACCGGCTGAAGTCTTCCTCGCTCTCAGCCCAGGCGAGTCAAAAGACTCCCTGGTTGACGTTGCCTCCCTGTACGACATCCAGGGCGGCACCTACACCATCTCTGCCAGCGACGTCATCGAGTACGCTTTCATGAACTCGACATCGATCGAAGGTGTCATCCCGTACGCCTCGAACGAACTCACGGTCGAGATCACCGAGGACGAAATCTCCAAGCACAGCCCAGCTATCAAGCCCATGGCTCTCGACAAGCGCACGCAGGTGTCTTCATGCTCTGGGGCGCAAGGTCGAGCACTGCGTGCCGCAATCGACTATACGGTCGGCCTGGCTAGCAATGCTGCCACCGCTGCCAGTTCTGGTTCCACTCAGAAGTTCCAGGAGTACTTCAGGACCACATCAGCCAATGGTCGATCAACTGTGGCGAATCGCTTCGAGGCCATCGCTCAAGAGGCCAGTTCCCAGACTTCTGGCGCTTCTGCTTACCACTGCACTGATGTCCTGGATGCATGCAGTCCAGGTGTCATTGCCTATACTTCGCCAGCCCAGAACATCATCGCCAATTGCGACATTTTCTACCAGCTGCCTGCTGTCAGCCGTGGCTGCGGCGATCAGTCACAGGCGGCAACAGTGCTCCACGAGTTCACGCACGCTCCGGGCATCTTCCCTCCTGGGACACAGGATTTTGCCTACGGATACTCTGCCAGCACGAGATTGAGTGCTCAACAGGCTATCAACAATGCCGACAACTACGCGTTGTATGCTGATGCGATTGACAACAATTGCTAATTGACGGCCGAGCCTTGGTGACGAGACACGGCGTGGCGTGATTCATTGCATAACCTTGGGGACTCGGTGGTACATCAGCATTTCTTTGGGCTTGGTACGCCCAATCATGAGCAAAGCATTATAACAACTTCTGTAGAAGCTACCGCCGCATGAGTGCGCGCGGACACCAATGATACTGCATGATCAAAGTCGACCTGCCCTGAACGTGTCGCCGCCGCCATTGAAGATTGTTCCACGCTCGTCAGGCAAGTCCCCTAGCAAGCACGCCGTTGAGACCCTAGTAACCGCCAAGATTGCGCGTTATCTTTTGTTGCGTACGATCCACAGTCAGACGGACGGCGTCGTGTGCTGTCGTCGTGTTCGTTTCACCGAAATGGGTGCAGTGAAACGTCTTGTGGTGGAGGTGAACGCGCACCTCGGGACAGGCCCGTACGAGCTACCGTACAGTGATGCATCTTGGCCGCAGAAATTACCGTACTCAGCCATACGCCATTAGTATACGCAGGCGTCGCCCTCACTGCCTACACGACATCGACAACGGCTGGGCGTGCAGAAGTTCCGATCCAGTGAACGGCATGCTCCGCGCAGAGCCCTCACGCGACCATGGACGCCTTCATCGCCGAGACGACGGCGGGCGGCCACGACACGGATCATGAAGACGATCCTCAGCCAAATAACACAACCACCGAGCCCGAGAACAAGTTCCAGATGGCAATATCGGCATGGAGGGGCGTCGATCTCACTGGGCTGATTCCTCAGCTGGATGCCACCGCGACTGAAATAGTCAACAATCAGAAAGATGCCTTGGTCGAGCGGAAAGAGGTGGCATCAAGGACGAAGGAGTTCAGGAAACTTGAGGATGCCGCCAAGCTGGGCGAGATCAAGTCGTTGTTGAAATCCTACCAGACATTCATCGATCTCCTGACGACACACGGCAAGACGTCCTCGTCCGCCTTCCTACAGATATACACGCCCCTGTCCGACGCTCCGGACCCTTTCCCGCTGCTCGAAGCCTCAGTCGAAGCACTTGTCACGGCGGAAGATACTCTGCCCAAGGTTCTTGCTGAGAACGCGGAACTACAAAAGAGAGTGAACAGACTCTCCTCACAACTCGAAGAGACGGAGGGGAAGCTACGAGAAGAGAGCACAGCTCGTAGGGAAACAGATGCTGGATCAGCAGACCTGATCAACAAGATTGAGGCCAAGTGGACGAAAGTTCTCGAAGAGAAACAGAGTAACTGGGAGGCCAAAGAGCGGGCATTGGAGGAAAAGGTCGAGAACCAAGATCGGCTGTTGAAAGAGCTGAAGGCCAGCTATGAGGTTGCTCAAAGGCTCGGGCAGGATGAAGAGAACCGTGGAGACAGCGTCTACGGCAAGGCCGCTACGGCAGAACTTGACATGCTGAACTCGGAACTAGAGAAGACGAGCGCTCGCCTGGTTGAGATGGAGACGAGAAATGAGCAACTACGGCTAGACCTCGCCCGGGAGTCGTCACAGAATGCAACACAGCAGTCGCATGAAGACGAGGCCGAGCTCCTGAGGCTAAGATCAGAGAACTCATCACTGATGCGCAAAATCGAGTCAGCTCGTTTCGAAAAGACCTCCGAGAAGCGCGAGTGGCACGACAAGATGCGGCAAGTTGAACGACAACGGTCACAACTCGCGGAAGAAGTTCAAGCGGCAAAGACCAAGCTACAGAAATTCTCGAACTACGATGAATTGAAGCGAGAGCTTGAGGTCTTGAGAACGATTGAATTGTCAGCCGAGAACGAGGACGAGGACGACGCACCCACGACAAATGGCAGCGCCGATAAAGGCCATGGTCAAAGTCTGGACAAATTGCTCCTGGCTAAGAACAAAAAGCTGAGCAGCGATATGACGTTGCTCCGAGTTGCTCATCAGGATCTGGAACAGCAGCTTCGTGATCTGCAGGAGGAATTTTCGCAGACAAATGCGGAACTCGAGAAATCTCAGAAGCTAGCTTCCACACTCGAGAACGACTTGTTGAAGATACAAGAAGAGGCAGACAATGCAATGCCATCATCTGGTAGGTCTGTTGCCGGAACTTACACCTCTCGGCACCCAGGCTCGATGAGACGCGGTGGACGAGCCTCACCTACGTCTTCGATCATTTCTGGCTACGATTCTATACCACGGTCAGCATCGGCGACGTTGGAGTCATTACGTTCTGGTGAACCAGTTGGGGGTGGTTCCGGCATCCTGCCTATGATACAGGCTCAAAGGGACCGCTTCAAGCAGAAAAATCACCAGCTCGAGGAGGAACTACAGAAAACATACGCTACTGTGACCTCACTGAGGCAAGAAGTCGCCTCACTTCAGAAGGACAACTTGAGCCTATACGAAAAGTCACGCTACGTCTCGACATACAGTCGAGGTGGCAACACATCTTCATCTGGCTACTCCGGCGGAATCTCCCACACGAGGGTACACGCCGAGGAGGACCCAGAAGTCGACAAACGGTGGAAGTCAGCATACGAAGCCAACATCTCGCCGTTTGCAGCATTCCGCGGCAAAGAGTCAACTCGAGCTTACAATCGCATGAGCCTGCCCGAGCGCATGATTTTCTCCTTGACAAGGATTGTGCTTGCAACACGGATAAGTCGGAATATCTTCGCCCTCTATTGTGTGGCTTTGCATCTGCTCGTCTTCTCCTTGCTTTACTGGACGGGGACGGCGGACATCGAGAAGCATATGGTCGGCGAGATCGGTGCGGCGGGCGCCGCTGTTGCTGGGGCGGCTGCCAAGGGAGGAGCAGCAATGGGCGAAGCTGGTAGTGAGTGGCAGCAGGAAGGTTTTGGCTGAGGCCGAACGAGGCTGAGGGCCGCCTTCCGTGCGCTCGCGCACCGTTGGGAACAAGTTTCCCAGTGCTCGCTGCTGAGTGCCTTCCACCACGGGGACTTGGGTCTTCTAGACATATTAATATAATTCCAGCACTATTTCAGGATGTTTCAGAATGCTCTGTGTCAACGGTAAAGAGTCGATTCCCACGACTTTCTGATTGCCCGCTTAGCCGCATTTCCGTGATCAGGAAAGAATTGCGAGTCGACGGTAGTGCTTAGTCGATCTAACAATTGCCACATGGAGTGGACACCCTAGCTAGCATCTCAGGTCGGGCGATGGTTCGGTAACGAGCTTGGAGTCGTCGAACTTGCTGCCATCGCATTTCTTGCTATATTGGGCGCTGCGGAATGCGAGATCCGATATCTAGAGAGTCGGCCGAGCATCAATTCATCATGCGCAAGCTATAGGGCCAAGGATCAAGTCGTCCTCCACCCCAGCATTTACCTAGCTAGATACCTGCAGACCGTCTGATGTTCTACTACTGATATGCAGCTGCTGCATTGCATTGCATGGCATACTGCTATGCATGCATCGTCCGGAGAAATGCCTATCCGTTCGCACATGCCTCACGAGATTCTGCCTATTCGTGTATGTGCGAGCGAGCCTGGCCTGCAAGCGCCGTGGCCAATCCTGATCTCCGCTACCCGTCCAGGCTGAAACGCTTTGCAGCACAAAGAGCCGCTTGAGCGGAGAGACTGGAGACGAGCTTTGCTCGTGTGGGAGTGTGGCCAGCAAATCCCGCGGTGACAACGGCATAGTGCATAACGTACAGTATCATCCACGTGGCGAGTGTGAGCCAGAATTGACTCACGAAGTCTGCCAGCCGGTGGCTCGTCTTGTCATGTCGCACAACTTGATGTGAAGGCAGGCATGGCGTGCTTCAATCCTGCCATGTCCATTATCATTTCTGCCCACCCTGAAGGACTTTGAGTGCCCCTCCTCCCTGCACGATGGAGGCTCCTCTGAACGTGGCGTTCGTCGGTCTTCGAACCGACAGGAGGACCTCATGCGCAGCAAATGGGATTGATCGATCCGTCGGATCTTCAGATTCCATGCAAGTCATGCAAGCATTTGACTGAAGACCCTTCAAGTTCGTCGGACCTCTGAGATCCCGTCAATCTACCAAGCACTCAATGCCTTCAGATGTACAGATATGGACATGAGATTGGCGGGCGGTTAAGGCACCCCGGTTTGCTTGCGCAGCCAATCCGCGCCTGTCGGTTCATCGGGGAATGTTATATTTGGGTGTACACTACGATGAATTTGGGATGGTCAGTGCATTGACTGCCGCCCTCGGCGATCTCCCTTCGGTAACTTCGCGTCAAGCAAGGGACCTCTCGGCGAACGTCGCTATCCAGCCACTGATGTTGCCTCGTTTTCATCGACAAAACACGGCCACCCAGGATTTGTATGCCAAGGTCAGCGCTTCGCTCACCCAGGATAGAAACAGCCGCCTCCATGAATCGTATGTGGGCCGAAAATGGTCTGTCTTTAATTCTGTATTCTGTAATTGTTACTGCTTACCCTAGCCCGAATGCTGGGCTATGCCTCCATCCGCCATAGAGCGGTGCTAAATGCGATATCGATTATGGCGTGTATGGAAGATGATCTGCTACCGCCCGTTAAATGAAGCTTGAGCGGCTCTGTGGTGGTGTGTCTGGTCTATTCTTTCCTCTCCTCCATCCAATCCCCATCTCGTAGCCAGATCTATACACCACAGCAAACATCCACAATTTCATCCAAGAGGTACCACCACTCATTTTATTCTCGACTGCTCCCACGTCCCAGCATTCAGCAATAATAATACATTTCGACCACCCCTCCAGCCTTCTCACCTAAGGTTGCCTCCCTTCCATTGCGCCTTCCTTCTTGTTCGGTCTGCTTCCTGCAACTGTCGCTTCTGCTGGTCAGGACTCTCATTAATACAAGCACGCTCGCGTGCCTCAATCTTGAATCTCGACCTTCCCCCTTACCAGCAGAGCCGGTCCTCATCAGACAAGATGAAAACCACTACTCTACTGGCATCATTCTTCACAGCCGCCCTAGTCTCCGCACGTCCTGGCCGCCAACGAGCTGAATATCCATGGACGCCAGCGCTCGCAGGATACTATGAGAAGGTAGCATTGCACATCCAAGAAGCCAAGTCATCAGGGCAAACACCAGGCTCGTGCGATCTCGCTGGGGCTGCACCTCCCATTGCGCCTGCACCACTACCCACTCCAGACGGCCTCGTCCTTGCCCACGTTGCTGTTGGTCGAGGTGTCCAGGTAAGTCATCAAGTATCCAATGCCCTCGCCAACACTTGAAACTAACAAACACAACCAGAACTATACCTGCACATCCAACGCTGCAGACGTGAAACCCGTGGCGGCCGGCGCGCTCGCTCATCTATACAACGCCTCCTGCATGGCGGCATCGTACCCAGACCTACTCTCCCTCATGCCCGACCTCGCTCTCCAATACCCGCTCGAGAACCCGGGCATTCCAGATGACTCGTCCAGCGACGGCGGCTACACCACCACATCCAACAACCTCCTGAGCGTCTATGCCTCCGGCGACCCCAGCGACGGCGCCCTCTCAGGCCACCACTTCTTCGACGCCAAAACGCCCGTCTTCGAACTCAACTCCAGCCCTACGGGACCTTCAACCCATTTGGGCGTCGTTCGGGGGAAAGCGAACAGGAACTCGACCGCGCCTGCCTCTTCCTGTCCAGGTGTGGGTTGGCAGGGGAACGGTGCAGTGGCGTGGCTGTACTTGGATGCTACCCCGGAGAGCCAGACGACGGATGTGAAATTTGATGGGGTGAATCCGGGTGTGGCAGCGGGGGCTGAGGAAGGGTGGAAGCATATTTATCGGGTGAACACTGCGGGAGGAATGCCGCCAAAGACTTGTGCGGAGGCTGGGTTGGATGTGGGTGGGGGTGTGATTAGTGTGCAGTATGCGGCGAATTATTGGTATTACAAGGGGGCGCCGGGCTCATCATAAGCGTCCAAGTCGATGGTCGGATGGGTGTGGTGTAGAGTGGAGAAAGTTGTCTGGTCGATGTGGCTCTGGGAACCCGAAGAGGAAAGGTCAGCGTTCCGATTTTCTTTCTGGTGTGGTTTTGGTGGTGTGGTCGAGTGCATACAAGGCCTTTGCAATAAGAACAAGCCGCACCAATGACACCACCATGATCAACGGCCATATTCACGACCATTTGACTGCGGATAAGCAGATCGAGTCTGTCCCTACCGCTCGAGGGTGGCTTAGAATCAACATTGCCAGACCAGTCTATCTATCTGACAAGTCTCGGCTCATTTTCGCAGTAGTTTACAATTTCAAACGCTCCCTAATGGAGATCTTCGAGTTTCAACGAACTTTGCGGATTTCAGAAAACTTCACTGTTTTCCACGTTGCGTCCCCCTCCATTGACCTCCCTTAAGCTCTCCAAGCAGCAGTCAAAGCCTGAGTCTTACGTAGCCGCAACTGCGCCTTCCGACCACTGCTGACTACCGCACACGCACCCGCATCCTCATTCCATCCCCTACAACAGCCGTGACTCGATGCGTAGTCAACACCTCCTTTTCTCTCTCCTCCCCTTTGCTGAGTACAAGCCACTCCCGCCACCCGCCTTCTCAAACACGAAGCCCCTCGCGACCGCACACACCACCACCACGGCCTCGAACGTCGCTAGGCTCTGGCCTACACAATTTCGCGGTCCGCGCTCAAAAGGGCGGAACGCGCCCACGGGGATTCGGGACATGTATTCTTGGTCGAGGAAGCGATTGGGGTTGAAGAGGTAAGGGGAGTACTTGTCGAAGGTTCCCTCGGGAAGATTCGGGGTGGCCCAGATGAGTGGGTTGCGCTGGATGAGCCATTGGCAGATGTAGACTCTCAGCCGTTGATTGTGGCGGTGGTTGTGCTGCCGTCGGCGGCGTTGGTGATGGGGATCTCGATGGGCGGATTTTCTGAGTCGAGGGGAGGGGGCTTGGCCCAGCGGGCGGACGAGGCGGGCGGGTGCAGGCGGAGGGCTTCTTTGACCCATGCGTTTGTGATTGGCAACTGTGAAGTAAGGGCTGTGTCATCTTGGGAAGCGAGGAGGGTGAGTGCGGAGAACGGGTCGCCTTTTCCGAAGACGGAGTCGTGCTCGTCCACTAGGGCCTTGTAGAGGGCCTTGTAGTGGTCGTAGAGCGGGTCGAAGGGCTGGATGTCGGTGCATTTGGACAATTCGTAGAGCAGCCATTGGATTAGGGTCGCGGTTGTGTCTTGGCCGGCGAAGAGGAAGGATTTTATTTGGGAGACGGTGTTGCGGATTAGGGCGGGCGTTGGGTCAAGTGAGTCTGTTGCGAGGTTGACGATGCTGCGAGCGGGTTTGGAGGTGGATGAAGCGCTGTTGTGCGAGTTGCTCGTGTTATCTTGAGTGATCTGCTTCTGGATGAAGTTGTATAGGCGCCAGTCGAGGGTGGTTTCGTTGAGCCAGGAGAGGATGGGCCGGATGGGGTCGAAGTACTGAGCGGCGTTGAATCCTTGTCCGACTTTGAATGCTTGGGCGCTCAAGGCACGGCTCGTGGTCAGGATACCGAAACGAGACTTTTCTCCTTGACCGTCGGGAGTGGTTTGGGCGCCGAAGTTTCGCTCCATGCAGACCATCGTGATGATGTCTGTAGTCAGGTCCTGGGCGAACTCCTGTAGCTCGAAGACGGTCTCATTCCTGGCGGCAGTCTTGAGGCGCTCAACGAAGATCTGTGTCTTCTCGAGGATGAGCGGTGCGAGTGAATGCAAATGCTGGGGCGCAAAGCCCTTGTTGAATCGTCTCCTGAGAGCCCGCCACTCTTCGCCGTGGACTAAGATCATGGACTCCTTCCCCAATAGTCCATTGAGAGATTGGGTAGTGTCAGATTTGGGCAAGGAGTATTTCAGACCGGGACGGGGCTCACTGCAGAGCTCTGCGATAGCTGGATCTGCAATTACTAGGACGGTAATGTCGACGGGAGAGAAATCGAGCCAGAAGCATGACGGCCGGCCCAGCTCGTTCCATATCTCCTCCATTCCCTGGTCCGGGTGCCTCCCGAGGCCGGGGTCGAGCTTTTGGCCAGCATTGATGAGGTTGCCGAGAAGCCAGTGTCGAGGGAGGGAAGGCACCTTGTCGAATTCTTTGCTGGTCCGGACCCATATGTTGAATTGTACATGACGTGCGAACTTGTAGAGGAGATATGCGGCGTACGGCGCTACCACGTACAGGCCCAGTAGCCGCAGGAGCTCGGGAAGCGTCTGCATTGTCGACCAGCTCCAGAGGTTGGAAGACAGAAACGGAGAAGGTTGCACGTGGAGGTGTTCCACGTGGTAGGAAGTTAAAGATACACACGAAATCTGCAAAGTCTAGGTATACAGGAAACTCGCAAGCTCCATGGAAGCTTGATCAATTTGAGCCGTAGGAGGATCAGCGCATTCATACCTACCTAGAGAGGTGCTTCTCCGCTCCACAATGCGATGAATGCTTCCTGATTTTCTGAAATGGCGGGAGACCACGTCCTGCCTAGGAAACAATGGCGTGTGATAAGTCGCCGACTCACCGGTTGTCGTTTCAAAAGTACCCAACGGTGCCTTAGACAGAACCTTCCGCCCCACTACGTGCGACGGTGTAGCAGTCATCGTCATACACCCTTCAGATGTAGCCCTCCCCTTGGCGATTCTGGATTCTGGACATGATAGACCTATTTGAGCCAAAACTCGTGTTGTCGTAAAATAATCACCGTGCCGGTAGTTGCAGCAGTGTCAAACATGTAGGTGACCAGTTGAAGGTGCCATCGTCGTATATCACGTATCATGCGAGCCTGCTCAAATCTGGGGGTCAAAACATAAAGGCTGATATTCTTTTAAGAACTTGGCTGCGTCGAGGCGAGCCAATCATGGTGATAGCGTTCCTGAGCGGTCACCAACTTCGCAACAAGAATACGCGGATGCAGAAAGTCGTTCACGCGTAACCAGAACGACCTCCCTAGGCTCAGGGGTCGGGAGTGAATCTGACTGCGAGTTCATTCGCAGATGATAAATTCCCACTGCCGCTTTTTCGTTGGTCAATAAATGGGTATCTTATGTCGTTACATGTCGTGTGAGTATGGTGTCATATACAGCCCATCGCCATTTCCTTCGGCGCGGTGTGTATCCAATAGCACTCAAGTTCCCTCAAGTCGTTGGATCATCTCCAAACAGGTATCTTTAGTCGCGCCTTCCACTCATCGCACAAGCTTGCTTCCAGAACTCACAACTTCAAAATATACATTCCTTCCCACAGCATGCCACTTCTGGATCCCTCCTCGATCAAGCCACGGCTGCAGATTCTTACACTGGCTGACATCAAACACAGTAAGTCGACCACATCCTTCCAGCACACTGTCAACGCCGACGCCAGTGACACGTACACAACCACGCACTGCCAGCTGTTCGAGTCTGCTGAGATGGAGTCCCAGAGAGCGGAGCGAGGGATCAGAGACAGCGCTTCCGCAGAAGGACAAGTTCAGATGTGTCAGGCTGGGGCAGCCTAGGGCGAGGACTTCGGTTGCTGTGTCGGACAGGGCACAGCAGAACGACTATTAGCACTGTTAGTGGCTTGCAGTCAGTATGATGTGATAGACTTACCAAATCGAGCTCTCGAAGACCAGGCCCTGCGCCATTGACAAGCCACACTATACTCTGATCACTCAGGTATGTGCAGTCCGCTAGGCACAGACGTTTGAGTCGTTCGAAGCGTGCATTGCCCCAGTACTGGAAACCAGTATCCGTGATAGTCGTACATCTCGTCAGATCGATCGACTCGATACGTGTGGCGGCGTGATTCGCTATATGATGCATGGTGCGGTCGGTTATGTGCTTACAGTAGCTCAAAGATATCGTTGAGAGATCAGGACAGCCTAGGACTGTACCAGGTGCTGGTATCACAGCATTGGACGAGCTCACTTTCGTGTTGAGTGTCGGTCGATTGCCATTTGTGAGCTTCTGACGATTATTGAGCAGGTTCTGCTGTTGTAATTGGGCTTGCGTCTGTTGCGGTACAACCCAGCCAACGATTCTAGCAAGCAGTGTATCGGACACTTTGCGGCAGTTGCTGAGATCGATCGACTTCAAGCCTTTCGCTCGATTTGACATCTCAAGAATAGCGGGAGCGGTGACATCCCACACACTCTTCATTCGCCAACTCGTAGCTTTTGCACCGCATGCAGTCACAAGCGTGTTGAAGCCTTCATCAGTGATGTGAAAGCAGTTGCTGATGTCTATGATCTCTGGTCTCTCACCCACAAAAGGACAAATCTTCTCTGCTAGCACGCTATCGTTGACGAAGCGGCTGTATCTGGATAGGTCGAGTTCTCGGAACAGTAGAGGTGATTTGGTAAGCACATTCTGCCAATGCTGTGAAACTACTTGAAGACGCATACATTCGTGCAATTCCAGGCGGTCGAAGACCAAGGGAAGAATCTCATCGCTAATGGTACCTCTATTCCCGCCAAATGTGAGATTGTGTTTTGGTGAGGGACGTTTCGCGCCAGCAAAGGGGTCTGAAAAGGGGAAACTTGAGGATTTGTGCTCTGATATTGGCGACGGAGTTCCTGCCGCGGAGCTGAAAGGAGAAGAACTCTGCGAGTTCGTAGGCGAAGCTCGTGACGATCGCCGTTTGGACATCTGTGAGACTTCTTCGGGAGACGGAGGTGCAAGCGATCCACGTCTCGAGCGCGATTTGACCTTGTCGAGGCCGACACTCGAGAAGGGGTCGGGATCAAGAGGCTCGAGATGACTCGGCGCAGAGTCTTCTGTAACAAGCTGCTTGCTTTCTGCGTCACGGAATGTGACTCTTGGTAATGGAGATGGTTTGGGAACCTTCGAGGTTCTCTCGCCAATTTCCAGCTCACCGATTGGTGGTGGGGACCCAATATCAGCCATAATAACGTCGTTCTCTGAAGCAGAACGTAGTCGTCTGCGTGCTGTCTCTTCGACTTGAGACTTGATGTCGGCAGGACACCGACGCCAGAACTCAGACAGCACATTCTCGGAAATCATCAAGCATTCTACCTGCGTGACAGACCGTACTGTTGCAGTCCTCCGATCTGCAAGAGACAGACTGACGACTTCACCGAAATACTGCCCAGGTCGAAGCCGAGCTTTGATGAACGGCGCATGACATACACCATTTGGCTGGTCTTTCCGGCGCCCACGAGGCGCGACATCAGCCTTTTCATCCAACACTTCGACTTCTCCTCTTACAAGGAAAAAAACTTCGCGACCTGTACTGTCTTGCTTGACGATATCGGTGAATGGTGGATAGCCCCGAGGCTGAGCGTTGAGGCCCAAGAAATGCAGCATCTCGGCGGGAAGCGTCGCGAAGAGAGGAAGCTCCTTCAGTGTGGCCCGGATGTTGACCAGGCCGTGACCTAGCGCACTCGCGGTCGGAATGTCTTGTGTGCCAGGACTGGGTGACTTGCGTCGCTTGCTTGTACCATTGACTGAATCACTATCACTCCACTCCATTTCATCGCCCATCAATTCTCGCGAGCGTTTAGACCCTCGCCGTTCTGGGACAGGTCGGTCTTCCAGCCCAGCTCTCAATTGTCGTTTCTTCTTTTCTGTCTGCGCCAGTCTTTCGAGCGCTTCTTCCCTGATTGCGCGCTCGACGTCGGGATAGTCTGGCAGTATCTTCTGCAGGTCTTCTTTCTTGAGTATGAGAGTCAGACATCTTGTCCTTGCGACGACCGTGGCTGTTCGGGGCCTGTCGAGCAGGATGCCGATCTCACCAAAGAATGCGCCGGGCTTGAGTTCCGCGTATGTGCTCTCGCCATCCCTCGACGTGACTGCAACAGCTCCGCGTATGAGCCAGTACATGGACTTCGCATCGTCTCCTTCGTTCAAGATGTAGTCATTTGCCGAGTACATCTGGGGCTTGAGCACCATTCCCAGCTGCGCCAGGAAACTATCAGGCGTAGACTGAAACAGTGGGAACGATCGAATGCGGTCAAATAGATCCAGGGGCATGCCTTGGAAGCCAGATGTCGCCAGCGGCGATTGTCGAACAGGCTTGGTGGGATTGATCTTCTGGTCGAAGTCGCGAACTAGTGTGACTTCCGCGGACGGAGGAACCGCGACTCTCCCAGCATATGGGGACAACGCCCGACCATGGTGTCGCCTCATCTTGCTTATCCGATGCGGTGAAGTGGCTCAGCCGAGTCCTATGTACATTTGGTTTTGCGTCCCAGACGGGAATCTAATGCATGCACAAGTGGCTATGCCATGGTGGAGGGTCGGTCGACAGACCTGGAGCTCTTGTTGACTCGCGCCGGTAGGTCTGTCTTCGCGTGCGTAGACCTCTGCCACCTTCTCGACAACGCCGGGAGTTAGAGGAATGTTGACAGTCTCTGGTGAATGACGTCGGATTGTGATAGAGCTCGCGTGCGAGGTGGTCGCGATCAATCAGTGGCCTCTGTGGGGAACGCAGATGCGTCGGCCGCGATATCGCTTGGGCGGGGAACAGCCGTGAGTATGCGGTCTTCTATAAATTCATTGGCCTCGCTTTTCGTCTTCTGGGTGCAGGTGCAATGCCTGTGGAGATCGAGACGCTCGCGATACGGCTGAGAGATGTATAGTAATGATGTTATTGTAAATCGAGGAGAGTTTCAGATTAGGAGGGCTGTGGCAGAAAATAGACAAGGTTGAATGATTAATGGATGGTCCTGGCATGCCCACTATCCGGTTGTGGGGTGAATTGGATTAGGTATGCTCCCAGATTGTGGCTTGATCTCAAGGAAGTAGTTTCCTGTCCACCCAAGACGATGGTAAGGTACTTCAGATTGGCATGGGCTAGTAACTACAATGTGCGTCAGTCAATTCTCGATGGCTCCGAAATGGATGATCAAGAGGCAGAAGATCAAGCCATAGAGCGTGAAAATCGTGTAGTGGCGGCTATATCCAGAGGTCAGTGTTCCGGCAAGTCAAGTCAGCGGGGTAGCCACTGATCTTCCCGGCGTGATCGTGACCGCCTCAAATTGTTGTACTCCCTTCACGTTCTGGCAGTGGTCCTGCCCGGGTAGCGGGATGAAGATAGGCAGCACCTCGGGCTATCGTTTCGATCACAGTCTGGACGGCTTTGGAATAGGAGGTACTCACCAGTCCACTCCTGCTTCACCGCTGCTGATGCAGACTTGCAGATTGCGCATGTGGCCCTGCACTGTCATGACAGGCTTCGCTTAGGTGAGCAAGGGTTCTCGGAAATGAAAAGCGCACGGGCGCCATTTTTTTCCAGACGCTAGAGACTTGTCAGAAGCTCCAGCAGATCGCCTTCTAGTCGGTTTCTAGAATATCGAAAAGCTTCCGTGCGTGACTGTCGATCTGTACCTTTGTCATGTCTTCGAAGCGCAATGCGGCTGTGGTCGTCGTGAAGTCGAGGATTCTATTGACTTGCAACTAGTGCAGGTGCAGAAATGCGATGACTACATGGCCATATCGCTGCTCTTGAATTGAAGCTGTCGCAGAAGCGCCCAAACATTTTGCCCAGGGCTGCCCTCGCCTGCGCAACGCCACGAGTCAACTCATGTAAGCACTTGCAAAATAGCGCGCTATTCACGTCAAAGTCTTGACCGTGCGGGAGATAGTGTACGAGCTTTGGAAGGTCCAGCTCAGTGAAGTACGGTTCGTGCGATGGGACAATATCGAATTGCTGCTGGTTCCCTCAGAGCTCAACAAAGTGGACGTCGATTCAATGACAGGGCGCGTGTAAGGTAACTAGGTAGGAGTCACTAGCAGTTGATGTTTGGACATTTGTAGCCACGCCGGATGACAGCCGTGGTACATTCTGGGTAACAATTGGAAGCGTTTGACACACGGAGTTGGATTCTACAATGAGAACGGTTGAACGATTAGATACATTCGCTAATGCCTCATGAATCTCCTTCGCTATGATCAGAAGTGCATGTTCAGCTTTTGTCCAGATGATGGTATCTGCATGTGGAAGTCAACCACAGTCAATTAACGATGGGCGACAATGTGCCTTGCACCGTCCATGCTTATCGACTCCCCATACGGATGACGCCTGCAGCAACCAGCTTCTGGATCTTGCTTCGTACACCCGGATTGCGCATGTGCTCGTTGAGAGCAGCGGGATCGTTCTTGGCTTGCTGAAGGATGGATTGCATGACCGGGTCTGCCACTTGTTAGCTGTCTTTGATAATGGTATGTTCAGGAGCACTCTTACCTTGCAGAACGCTCATGATCTCCGGATCTCGCTGAATGCGAGCAGCGGTCTCCTCCTCCGTCTCGCCAGCTCTTGCTGTGTACATCGCTTCCAGTGCTTTCTGTTGCTGAGCCTCGATTTCACGATTGTTAGCGCCGTTCTCGTCATGCTCCAACGCTTCTGTGCATGCATCCAGACATCGATTGTACTCTTTCATGCCAAACAGAGCTTGTGCTTTCCGTAGGTACGCCTTCGTCATCTTGGGGTCGCGCTTGATGGCCTCGTCGCAGTCTTGGATGGCGCTTGGGAAGGCAAGGAGTTTGATCATGGCAGCAGCACGGTTTGAATAGCCTCTTGGGTCGTCAGGCGCACGCTTGGTCATCTCGGTATACGCCTCGACGGCACCGGGCCAGTCTGCTGCTTTCCACTTCTCGCCACCTAGAATTCGGGCTTCTTCTGCTTTCTCGGGGTCGAGGTAGGCGTTCTTCTCCTTCAGGGTTTTGGCCTTTTCGGCTTTCTTGAGTTTGTCGAGAACGTCAGGTGTGCGGTGTTCGGTCATGGATCGCTGGTAAAATTCGACGGCATTGGCAAGGTCGCCCATCTTTTCGTAAGCGGTACCGATGCGGCCGTATGCCTTGGCGATGAGCTTGAAGTCAGCAAAGACTTGCTTGCCTTCCTCGACAGCCTTCTGGCAAGCCTCGATACAGCCTTCGTAGTCGCCTTTCTCGAACTTGGCAGCGCCTAGGTTGGTCAGGTATGTGATGTCTTTGTGCAGCTCCCACGCTTTTTCGTAGTGCGAAATTGCCTCGTCGAATTGACGTTTCTTGTATGCTGCTGTGCCGAGTGATTTTTCCTTGTCTGCATCTTCCTTTGCCTTTTTCGCTGCGACAGCTTCCTCGTCCTCTGGTTCTGGTTCGGGCTCCGGCGAGGGCTCTTTAGCTTTCGCTGGCTGTGATGTTGGCCGTGCATCTGGCATGGGAACATCCTCCTCGACCTCGCCCTTTTTCGCAGCGTCTCCACCCATCGAGGATGGATCTCCGAACTGCATGTCCACGCCCAAGAGCACGCTCATCACCTGAAGGAATCTAGGATCACCCAGCTCCTGTCCTAGGTCATTCGGATTCTTGGCCAGCTTCTGCAGTTTGCCCATGAATTCTCTGTCAGCCAGCAGCGGAGCAGTTTTCGGATTCGCTGCCAGCTTGGCTAGCATCTGTGGGTCACTGAACATGCCTCCCATGCCACCACCGGGACCGCCAAAGCCAGGCATGCCGTCCGCCTCAGCCTCGGCATCCACGGCACGTTGGACAGCATCCTTTCCTGACTTTGCTTGGGCATTCGCGGGATCTAGTTTCAGAGCTTCGTCAAAGGCATCCATCGCTCCAAGCAGGTCTCCCTGGCCGTGGAGAGCGGTCCCCTTGCGGCCCCAGCCTTTTGACCAGTCAGGCTTGATCTCGGTAGTTTTCGTGGCATCTTTCAGAGCATCGTCGTATTTCTTTAGAGAAGCATATGCGCCGGAGCGATTGGAGTAGAGGACGTGGTTTGTTGGGTCGAGTTCAATTGCTTGTGAGAACTTGTCGCTGTTCACGAGTCAGCATGTTGCTGACCGCAGGGGCTATTGGACTTACACTGCTTCTTCGAAATTCTTTGCAGCAAAGGCCTTGTTGCCTTCGGCCTTCAAAGCATCCGCCATGATTGTTGCTCGCAGTCGCTGACGGGAACGATGTGCTCTTGTGTACGAGGAATTCAGAAGTAAAGTGCAGGAGGTCGCTGGACACTACCAAAAAGCAGCTACAATTGTACAATGAAAGAATTGAGATTCAGGCTACGTCGGTAGGCAAACGGAACTTCTCGAGCATTCGATGTCCCCATCTATAGAATTCTGTGCACAGACCACCTTCGGGTGTCCGTCGGGGTGCCGTGCCCCGCCGCTCGGCATCAAATTATGGCATTCTCCACCACTCAAAGTTCTCGAATATTGGGAACGTTCAGGTCAAAATTGCAGATGCTTCTTCACTTTTGACAGTGACTCACGACTGTCTGAAGAATGGTAGGGAACATGCGTCGGTGACCACGGTCGAATCGAAGTCTCCCCTTCACCAAGCTCGGCGGCTGTCTTGCACACAGCCATGCCACCTCTCTACTACTACGTTCATCGATAGCACCTACCCAAAATCACCTACGCTTGATTGAGAACACCAGATGGCAGCTGCGTCACGGGCGGCGAGCACCGCTCGTGCCGTGCAATCAGAACCGTCCTCACGCGACCGCATCGCTGAGGCACTCTACGAATGGTGTCGCAATGAGAAACCTGTTGGCCATGTTTTCAACCAGGATAATCTGCTCGACTCAGGCATCATACCAAACCGCGATGGAAATATACTTATGACGGCTATTCAGCATCTCACTCGCAAGAATCTCTTCCGGACGCACGATGTCAAAGGTACTGGAGGCATCGGCTGGGAACTTGTTTCGCAGGAAAGAGCCGCAAAGTAATACGCACTGTCTTCTAATTTGGTCGATATGAGCCTGACATATTCTGCAGCTACATAGGACTCACACGCGAAGAGACTCTCATTTTTCAGCACATCGACGCTGCAGGCAATGCAGGAATATGGACCAAGCTGATCTTGAAGCGCGTTATGGCGCATCAAAAAGTACTCGAACGGACATATAAGAGTCTGGAGGCAAAGGGCAGAATCCGACCAATGAAGAGCGTCATGTATCCGCAGAGGAAGATGTACATAGTCGCAGGTCTACAGCCTGGTGAAGATGCCACAGGAGGTGCCTGGTTCAACGAAGAAGGAAAGCTGGACACTCAGCTCCTAGACGGAGTTACCTTGTGGCTGGAGAAGCACGTCTCGGATCGAAGTTGGGTCGCTGTCCGCCCACCTGACCAAGATGATGATCGCGGTCAGACCTGGAACCAGCCTTCCCTGGGCAAGGGCAAGAGCACGGCCGCCTCGATCGACGACGATGGCTCGTTCGATGTCCCCGGACGCGAGCCGTCGAAAAGGTGAACACAAGCGGCGACGCCTACCGACGACATATGTGCCACACCCGCCAGGATATACTGGCTATCCTACAGTGTCTGGCTTGACGAATAGTCTCAACACCAGCCAGGTCGCCAAAGGTGCTCGCTTTCCTCCAACGGCGGTTGCCAAATTACTGGACGTCATGGTCTACGATGAGAAATTGTACAAGGTCTATCGACAACGTCACAGCAACGAGCTCGCCGGAGATGCCGTCGATGATAGAATCGTCATGTACCGCTCCTACCGAAGCCCTGGAGAGCTCGACAGGACCTATCATATGGCGAGAACGGCAGAGACTGCTGAGAGCGGGAGTGCGAGGAAGGCTGCACGGCGGCAGCTTGAACTCGAAGAAGTCATTCAAGGTGGTGGTGCAAGCGAGGTTCCTTGCCTGAGATGTCCGACTTTTGATTTGTGCGGCGATGGAGGACCTGTCAATGTTGCAACATGCCCTTACTTCGACGAATGGTATCTCCGAGTTGCAAGAACTGATCGTGACAACCGCTCAGAGTGGGCTGATTCGGAGGACTTCATCAAGATCGGTGATCGGAAGCAGCAAGAGCGAGAGCGAGTTGAGGCCTTATCCTTGCCGAAGCAGATGGTGCAGTTGTCCACTGAGGCCATGGACACAACCTGAGAAGTCTGGCCCGGCTTTTCCTACCACGATTTCTACGACTCATTTGCATAGCGTCGGCGTCCCAGCATTTCTCTCCTCATAGGATCGAGACACATCTATGGCCGATATGGCAGGACGGTGGAGTGCAAGGAATTTCCACCAAAGATACCCATGACAGCTACTGCCAGCTGTATTGAATCAGCATTAACCGACTCACGTCCTACATTGTTCAGAGGTCCCCTCGCACGAGCATGTGATCTTGCTTCTGATGTTTGTCCAAAGAAACTCGCATTCATTCGTGCAGGCTGTCGTACGCCCAAAGCTGTGGAACGATGTCTGTTGTCCGTCCAGAGACTCGCTGTCTTCCACGTGCATTGTAGACGGAACCAGCACAACCACGGCAAGTGTTCTGCTGCGCAAGTACTGTGCAGTATCAAAGACGTGAAGGTCAAGCTCCCTTTGTAACACACTTGCCGTTGTCGACGGATGTACGACGTCGCTAATTTCGACGTCTAGCAATCCTTCCTTCGCCTTTTGTGAAATTGACAGATAGTCGAATTCAGCCAAAAAGATTCTTGGTTGCGCAATACATAAGAGTATAGCGGGCTTCAAGAGTGGCGTGCGGTCAGCAGAACTCAATGTTCTGGACCGCTATACACCCCTGTCGACGAGACCGAACAAGGGTCCATTGCGGCGCACCTTCCCAAGACTCCAAGCATGGAGCGGGCCAATACGACCCTGAAGTCGAGGCTTTTCCCGCCCACAATCGTGCTCAAATTCTAGGCAACGCTTGGTGCTAAGGGAATCATGGATGCATGGCTGACAGCGCCATTGCCTGAAAAGCAACTACTTCATCCCTGGCATCCGAGCACACCATTTCTCGTTCTTCATGCTGTTCAACATCAGTCGACGCTGCCGCCTTGGCTTTGCATGCCGCCAGCGCCAGTGAGCGGATCAGCAGATCTCCATATCAACCCACACCGCTGGCTCGAGCAGTCTTCGTTATCAATCGTCCGGGGAAGGGGCTCAGACCCCGTGTCACGAAATTCTGCACGGGCGATGGTCGACTAGCCGCATGACCAGGCTCGTGCATTTGTTTACCGTGTCCAACTCGAGCATATGATATTTGTGTCGAAGCAGCGCCCCCCATCGGTGGTTGCAGCTCTTGGTCACCACCTCAATCATGGCCACCGCAACAGTCACCGAGTTCATTACTAGGACCGTCAATGCAACGGCGGCAACCTCAGCATCCTCCGACAACCGAGCCACGCCGCAGGGCGGTGTATTCGAACATGTCAATCCTTCACATTGGGATCCGAGCAATCCCATTGTCCTGTTCATTATACAGGCCTCGCTGGTCATCATATTGACCAGGCTGTTACAAGTCCCCCTGTCATATCTCCGACAGCGCGTGTCATCGCCGAAGTCATCACGGGGATATTGTTGGGACCGTCAGTGATGGGGAGGATTCCTGGCTTTACGGCGGCGATATTTCCACCCTCGTCACTACCCAGCTTCAACCTTGCCGCCAATTTGGGACTCATCCTTTTCCTGTTCCTCGTGGGGCTCGAGGTTGACCTGAGATTCCTTCTCAGCAACTGGAGGGTTGCGTTGAGCGTTGGGGCACTTGGCATGGCTGTTCCATTCGGTCTGGGAGCCGGGATAGCTTGGGGTCTTTACCACCAATTTCGAAGCGACGATGGCATTGTGTCTATCTCCTTTGGAATCTATCTGCTGTTCATCGGTATTGCTATGGCCATCACAGTGAGTGCATCGGACTATCTTTGCCTTATACGTTGCTGATCACACAGGCCTTCCCCGTCCTCTGCCGTATCTTGACTTCCCTGGAACTTCTGAGTACCCCTGTTGGTGTCATCGTCCTTTCAGCCGGCGTGGGCAACGATGTCGTTGGCTGGATTCTCCTTGCTCTTTGCGTCACGCTGGTGAACTCTGGCGCAGGACTAACGGCACTCTGGATCCTTCTGGTCAGCGTTGGCTACTGCCTCTTCTTAGCATTTCTAGTGCGGCCAGCGTTCATGTGGGTTCTACGTCGGACAGGCAGTCTGTCTAACGGACCGACACAGATGGTTGTTGCTCTCACTATACTCCTTGTGCTCGCGTCATCATTCTTCACTGCGATCATTGGGATCCACGCTATCTTCGGAGCGTTCATGATCGGCCTGATATGTCCACACGAAGGAGGCTTTGCCGTCAAGCTCACAGAGAAGATCGAAGATCTCGTCAGCGTCCTCTTCTTACCTCTCTACTTTGCGCTTTCTGGACTCAGGACCAATCTTGGACTCCTTGACAACGGCATCACTTGGAGCTACGTCGTAGGAGTCTGTGCAGTCGCATTCTTCGGCAAAGTATTCGGTGGCACCGTTGCCGCTCGACTGAATGGGCTCGTCTGGAGAGAATCGCTGACTATTGGCTGTTTGATGTCATGTAAAGGTCTTGTTGAATTGATCGTGCTGAACATTGGGCTACAAGCACGGATCCTCAGCACCAGGACTTTCACGATCTTTGTCGTCATGGCACTCGTCACTACCTTCGCTACAACGCCACTTGTGGCCTGGCTATATCCGCCGTGGTACCAAAGGAAACTCGACCTCTGGAAAAGGGGCAAGATTGACTGGGACGGCAAGCCGATACCGCAGGAGGAGTCAACAGACTCTAGCGAGGGAGATTGGGCAGAACACCATGAAGCCGTTCGCAAAGTCATCGTGTACCTGCGTGTCGATGGCTTGCCACGGATTTTTCAGCTTGTATCGATGTTCGCCGCGAAGAGAGAAGAAGTTGAGCCTGCTGGCCCTCTCCTCAAGCCTGAGGGCGGAGGCGTCTTCAAGAACTCAAAGGCTCTGGCGTCCGTGGCTACTATTCGACGTCCCGTACAAGTTGACGGCCTCCGCCTCATGGAGTTGACAGAGCGAGAGTCTTCGGTTATGCGAGTCTCCGAGCTGGAAGAATATGCGACGCGTGATCCGATCATCAAGGCCTTTGGCACATTCGGAACATCCCATGATGTGGCCGTCGGTGGTCAGGTCGCTGTGGTGCCTGGCCGCAACTTTTCGACGACACTCCTGAAGCGAGCCAAGGAGCTGTCGGCCGACTTCATTGTTATACCGTGGTCCGAGACAGGCACGATGAGCGAGCAACCATCCTTCTTCGACGATCAGTCCGGTGGGCCTCTGGCCAACCGCGAATTCGCCAGATTGGTGTCCGAGACCTGCGAGAAAGCTCGGACCTCCAGCAATGTCGGCGTCATTATTGACAAGTCAGTCATATCTGCAGCGACACAACCAGGAAGCCCTAATGATGACCGACCGGCATGGCATCTCAACAGAACCAACACTGGAGTCAGCGTCCAGGATCGCAAGAAGTCCGTCATCACTTTCCAACTGGCAGACAGCGGACGGCAAAGGCTTATCGTTTTATACTCTGGCAGCGAAGATGATCTCTTCGGCGTCAAGCTCGGTTTACAGTTTGCCAAAAACGACAATGTCGATCTCAAGGTGATCAAGACCCCGACCACCAAAGACCCCGAAGACGACGATCACGACGGCACATTCGACTTCAAGACTCTTAAGACGAGTGTACCAGACGCCCTGAAGAGCAGAGTGCAGTTCGTCGAGAGCGAAGCAGCTCCAGTTGAAGCCGCCTTAGCTGCTTTGAGGGAGCCCAGTGCTGCGGACACCCTGTTGATACTTGGTCGTGGGTCAGCTGATCTAAGTCTAAGCGTGATCAGCAGTGCTGGCAGCATCTCGAGCCCGGCTCTGGGATCAATAGCGACCACCGTGGTAAACGAATTGAGGCAGCGGCATCTCAATGCCAGTCTTTTAGTTGTGCAGAGGCGGTTGAAAACCCAAGCTGGCGGCAATCTGAGCAAGGCCGCCACGCAAGAGGAGATGAGCTGAAGCTGATTCTGAGCATTTGCAAACTTTAGGCGTTGCTTTGGTTTATATTGAGCGTCACTTAGGCTTCCGAATTGGATATACTGTAGCACTCTGATCTGGTACAAATCTACTGCTATTGCTTGAGATCTGTGGTTTCCTGCTACTGTAATCGATGTACACTCCCCGAACAGGCTTTCGTGGGCTCAACTTTGTCTGAATAGATGCCGATGCTAGTGTTGCATGTTGCTAGACTAATGATCTAGCAGTACGGTGTGCATCTTGGCTGCAGATCCATCTGAGACGAGGACAAAAGGAGATGGGATAAGCACATATTCTATTCTGGGCGACCTCTAGGTACGGCTGTCTGCAGTTTAGGCTGCTCAGCGCGCGAATGGTGCTCGTGGTGCTCTGACCAGCTCCTCTACAGCACCGGTTTCCAGCTGCCCGTGCGGGACCAGTTTTAGCGATGCCTACACTGTCTCATGAGCTGACAGACTTCTCTTTCCACTCTTCCTCTTCCCATTACGTTCAGTCTCGCTCCTTTGCAAGCTAGGTCGTACAGGCACTCTACCTAATCTACAATTCAATGCGGCTTTTCAAATCTAGCAACAAGTCGCAGGCTTCGGTTGATCGGTTACCAAGTTCGCGGTCGTCGAGCCCGGACCCATCCCACTCTCACTCGCGCTCCTCCTACATTGCCAGTAGTGGAGCTCAGACTGGCCCTGCTTTCGCTGACCGCCCAGCGTATCCCTCACAACCGCAGCCCCTACAAGCCGCCGACGACCACCGTAAAATTCTCCCCTATCCCCAAGATAGTGTCGCTGGCGTTCCTCACCCTGCACACGTCCTTGCCAGAGACTCTGCTGAGGGGGCAGGCTATGTTGACAACGCGAGACGGCCAAGTGCACCCATCACAGTGATCCCGCCCACCTCCCCACAACCACCCCCTCAGTCCTTTGGTCCAGCGCCGATACCAGGACAGACACATTTCGGCCACTCTAAGCAAGTGCATGTACCAACCGAGAAAGAACATCGATCGAAGAGAAGTATCTTTGGTCTGAAGAGCTCAAAGGATAAGGACAAGGACAAAGATAAGGACAGCCAACACTCTCCCGTAGACAAGAAAGGAGGACTTGGTCGCTCCGGATCGATACATCTGCTGAGGAGGTCACACCACCAGTCGCAACCTGCTGAGCTGGGCAGCCCTTCTTCGCCTGTTGGCAACCCAAACATCAGACAGTCTGCCTACTTTGCACGGTCCGACCAGTCTCTAGAAAATTCACCAGAAGATCCTTCTCACTACGAACAGTATCGGGGTCAACAATATCAACAACAAGGCCAGCCACCACAACAGTCACAGGAGAACTACGATCCCTCGCCGACCAGTCAGTATAGCCAGCGCTCGCCCGAAGACGCTCGCTACCATCAGCAGCAGCAGCAGCAGCCACCGCCGGGTCAGAATCACTACCCACCGCCGCCAGACAAGTATCTGCCATATCAACAAGCCGAATCCGCGAACAACTCTGAGCACTACCTTCCGTACGTGCAAGGTCCAGCCCAAGGTCGACCAGCAGGAGCCATCATCGCCGAGCAATTGCAAGCCTTCCGCCCTCCTTCTCAAACCTCTCTCCACAATTCGCTGGGCCCGCCCTCACCTGTGCTGGGCCAACAAGATTCGCGGCCCTCGACCGCACAGACCAGTCGCTACTCAGCGCAGTCTGTCGGTCAGCCCACACTACAACACCCGCAACAGATGGCCAGAGGTGACCCACCAAACGGCAACACTCGACAGCAGCAAATGCCACAACGAGATCCACGTGACGAGCACCTCTACCAACAAGACCCTCGAATGAGAATGTCGCAACACCAGGCTGACCACGGCCGAAACACGCCGCCCCCAAGATCGAGCAACCGCGAAGACCTCCGAGACCTAGACTACAACCAACTCCTCCAGAAACATGAAGAGCTGCAAGCGAAGTATTCCAAAGTTAAGCGCTACTACTTCGAACGCGAAGCCCAAGTCACACAACTCCAAAATACAGTTGCAACACAACGCCTATCCATGTCCAAAACCAGTCTCGACGACGCCCAATACGCCCAACGGTTCGAACGTCTCTCCGGCGCAATCAACAACCTCGCCTTCAATATCCGCAAAGATTGGAAAAAAGTCCCACCCTGGCTCCAGCCCGTCTGCAACACCGATGCCCACAACATCGGCACAAAAGAAATGACCGCCGTCGGCCGCACATGCATCACGCGCTGGCTCAACGACACCCTCTTCCGCCAGACTTTCCATCCGGGCATCCCCACCGACGTCTCCGCCTACCTCAAAGCCGTCGAGCAGAACCTGCGCTCCCAAGCCTCCTCCGGCCTGGTGTTCACAGACGAGCAACGCGACGACCAACTCAACAAACTCACCTCCTGGCGCCTGACAACAATCGAAGGCCTCGCGCCTTACCTCAACAGCAAAGAGGCAATCACCTACCAAGACAACCTCACCACGTCCCTAACCAACGCCCTGACCGGCTCGCTCCAAGCCAACCTCAAGGATCCCCCTCCACCTGGCCTGCAAGAAGGCGTCGCCACCATCATCGGGCAAGCGCGTGAGCATCGCAGCCAACATCCCCCTCGAGTCCCGCGACGTGGTCATCACGTACTTCATGCCCGGCGAGCAGATTAACGATAACCTCATGAAGATCGAGAGCGGCATGACTGCGCTTACATCGCCTGGTCAAGATCCTTCGCAGCAACGTGCGTCGATAGCGCCATCGTCAACAGAGTCGCCCTCAAACATGCCCGGCGCAGGCGACAGCCAAGATGATCTCGACTCGGTCGAAGAACAGATCCGTGAAGCCGCAGCTAAAGCTACACAAAGTGGCCGAACAGACAGCGTTCCGAGTGTGGCTGGCGGCGCCAAGGTGAATAATAACACCAACGATAAGGGCCGGGACAAGCAGCAAAAAGGATCAAGTTTCTTGGGCGGGTTCGTGAGTAAGAAGCCGACGCCGCAGCAGCAGACGAGCGTGCCACCTGGAAACCGAAGCGCCGGAGCAGGTGTTTCGCGGGAGCGACTACAAGCTGAAAGCCAACAACAGCAGCAACAACAAGAGGATGCGCAGCAAGGTGGTGGCGGGCCTGGTCCGGTATCAATCTTCCAGCCCGGTGAGGGGAGGATACGGTTCGCGGCGTTCTTGGCTGTTGAGGTTCGAGGGAAGGTCGGTGGTAGTCAGGCGCCGAGCACAAAGGAGGGCAGCGCTGGACCGGGCGAGCAGGGGTCCGCTGCAGGCGCTGGCGGTGGGGAAGGTGGGAGGGTGAGTGTGAATGTGTTGTGTAAGGCGCCTGTGTATGAGCTCTAGATTTTGTGTTCGAGCAGACCGCGCTTGGGTCAGGAGAGCGTTCATCTGGGAGGAGATAAGATACAGTGAGACGAAGGGCCCGAGCAGGGGCTGACTTTGGATAATACATCTACAGTTCTGCTCACACAGGCAGACGAGCGAGCGAACTAAGTAACGAAGGATCAGACAGCCAAACATGCTTGGGTTCAGCCAAAATGGAAAGCAAGAAGGCTCCTGTTGACATACTTAGCTCTATGTTGCCCGTAGCCCGAGATGCATTCTATGATGCGGCGTCTCCATGACTCTAGGGTCGGTCTGGATGATCGCTGCATCTTTTCTAGTCGTTTTGTACACGTCAGACCCAAGTCTCCCTGAATTCATCGAGATCGTCTGGTGTACGTTCAAAGTGCTGGTGTACAGATCCCACACAGAACTGACTTGTCGGCAGTTGCGGCCAGCTTATCAGGTGAGTTAGGTGGTATTCCAGCAAGACTGCGCAGCAGCAGGTCGTTTGTCAGCCGCGATTTGGACCGCCGGAGTGTGAATGCTTCCCGCTGATGGTTTCTCGCTGAGCATATGGTCCGCGACCGGAATTGCTGTTGTCCCTGCAGTGACCTATTGCTCGATGTAGTAGCTTTGGAGATTGTTTGCGTCGAGACTATCGGAACGTCTCGCCACTTTCCCGGCGCTGCTTCAATCCTTCGTCTTCTTCGTGACCTTTTCGTTCGCAACAGCAGGAACCTCGACCTCCACGCCGTCCATCTCAGCATCGTCCCCATCACCGTCCATCGCTTCATCCTCCTCAAAGCTCGGCAGCACCACATACCATCCCTGATCTCCCTCCATATCAACTACTACATCTCCATTCTCATCTACCGACACGTCATCACTGCTTCCCTCCTTCTTCACCCGATACGCCAGCCATGAACCATCAGCGAGTCCAGCACCGGCTGGGGTGTCTGGATCGTCCTTGGATGTAGCCGCTTTAGCCTTGGACTTCGTCGTCGACTTTGGGGTAGCCGCAGTGGAAGAATCAAGCAGAGTCCAGCCTCTACTCGCGTCCTTCTTGTCGACTAGCACGCCAAGCTCAATGCCGTCCGGACTCGAGGGAAGTGAGGTACTGGTGCCGTCTGATGATGAGAGGAGAGTGATGTTCCGGGCTTGTAGGGCGGAGAGGAGGAGAGACTTGATTGAGGTGAATGGTTGTTGGGGTGACACGGACAGGAAGACTGTTGACTTGGCGTGTTTGAGGAGGAGGGTGATATGTGAGGGTTGTGGTAGTGTGGTGATGGAATCGATGGCGGGGACGGCGGCTGTAGACATGGTGCGCCGATTTATGGATCTGTCAACCGGAGACAGAGGCTGGTATGTCGATTGTGATGCGAGAAAATTGCTGATGGTGAGAGATGGGTGCGGTGGTAGGGTATGGGTGTGGTAGATGTAGCAAACAAGTTGGAAGCTTTTTGTATCAGGCACTTTGAACCACTTCCAGGCAGTGATCGCCGTGGAAATAAAATTTTGTGGGGAAGCACCCGCGTCATTTGAAGGCAGATCAGATCAACTTCACGAATCCGTTGCTTGAACCCTGTTGCGCTTCACTGCATGACTTGACGATACAATATTGATGTGGCCCTTCACAAGGTCACCGCCGCAGCCACCACCTTCAGCTGCCAGAGATGCTCCCACTACGACGGCCGCAGGCCACCCACCCATCCCCGCTCCACCCACACAGCTCGATCCATCAACGGTAGAGGTCGAATCGCCTGCTTCTCTGGCCAAATCGCCTGGCAAATCACCGGATGGCCCAACGAACGCCTCTCAATAACCCCGAGCATTCGATGGCAGATCGTCCTCCTCGCCTCCTTCACCTACGGCGCCTCATTCGGCGTCGCCAAGGGCGGCCGCATCGCCGCGGATCGCTACCGCGCCATGAACTCCCACCGACAGCCTTCGACACAGGCGGGTTGGTACCTATATCATCGGTCGAAAAGCTATCACACGGTCGTGGGCGGTGTAAAGGGTGGGATCAAGCAGGGTGGAATACTCAGTTTCTGGACGACGGTGTTCATGCTTGCGGAAGAGGGGTTGGATCAGGCTAGAGGCAGGCTGTTTGCTGGGAAGGGGGAGGAGATGAGGACGGGGCAGAGGGATTTTGTGAATACGACGGTGGCGGCGTTGACGACGGCGGGAGTTTATAGTCGGTGGAAAAGGATGGATAGTTTCGCGACGGCCACGATGGGGAGGGTTGCGTTGGGGTATGGGGTTGTGTATGGGTTGGCGCAGGATGTGATGAGTACGCTGAAGGGGGAGCCCCCGGGGTATGTTAGTTGGGTTAGGAGAAGGGTGGCGGGTGGTAGGGATGAGGGTGTGTTGTGACTTAGGAAGTCTGGTAGAGAATGAGGTTTAGTGCTCTGAAAAGATGGCGCAAAGCTCCCTTTGTTCATCGGTGTAGTATCAAAACTTCAAGTCCTGACATGTAAAGATGCCTACAAGGTTATTAACAATCATGAAAGGGGTAAGACAACCACGACGAGCGCGAAAGCCCGACGGGAATGGGTAGGTCATGTGGAAACTTGTCCACGTGCGACTGGAAGAGAGACGAAGGCAAGTATGAGTATGAGGTTTCATAACGAGCCGGAAGCAAGGCTCATGTCGAGGATACGGCGCACGAAGTATCTAACTCCAGCGAGAAATGGGCCATCCGAGACCGCAAGAAGAGATACTTCCAGATCTGCCATGCCCCCCTGCTTAAAAGAAAGTCTATCCTAGGCACCTGTGCCTGCATAATCATACATCGTTGTCCGTCTCAACGGCATGAGGTGCCGGCTCTCCACTGTCGAGGGTGGTGGGAAAGCCAACCAACCAATTCAAGATTATACAGAACAAAACTCGCACTGAGGCTTCGACAGCACGGTCTGGCCACCTTACTTAACGGCAACATTCCCACTCAGAATCGGCAGCCCGCTCTTCTCTTGTACCCTCCTCACGCTAGCCTGCGTAGCCAGACTCCCCGCGCCTTCTCTCTCCTCGACCTTCTCCTGCTGTTCCCTCTTGCTCTCATTCAGTCGCGACTGGCACTCTTCCCGCCAACCCTGTATATCGGGCGGGATCTCCTGCATCTGCACACTTGGCGCATGTTTGATGTATCTCAACTGTTCTTTGACGTGCTCGATGATCTTCTGTATGTATTTCTGATCGTTTAGGTTGTCTTTTCTCCAGGAACCTAGATTCGGAAATAATGTGAAGCCTTCCTTGCGGAAAGCCTCTCGAAGGGGCATGAACTCCGGTAGAGCGGGGTTTAGAGTCTTGTCGGCGCCTATACAGATCGATGTCTCGTGCGCCCATGCACGAGCGACGTTGCGTGGGGTATAGCCGCCTCCTCCGACGACGAGTAGAGGGATGCGAAAGGACTTGACGAAAGTGACGCACTGTCCGTGGCCTTTGATGTTGAGATTAAAACATCCTAGGCGGTCGTGGCCCAATGAGTCTGCGCCGCATTGAAGCACGATGGCGTCTGGGCGGTAGACGTCGATTGTGTCGCCGATGATGGTCTCAAAGAGGTGTTGGTAGCTGGAGTCATCGATGCCGTCGTTGAGGGGGACGTTGATTGTGTAATTCTTGCCTGGGTTGTTGGGGTGGATTGGTCCGGTTGATTCGAGGGGACCGGTGCCGGGGAAAAATACTTCTCTATCGTATTTGTGGAACGAGACGCACATGACACGGTCGGATGACCAGAATGCTTGTTCGACGCCGTCGCCATGGTGGACATCGATGTCGATGTACAGAACGCGGGCGTGCACACGTAGGAGCTGGAGGATGGCGAGGACGATGTCGTTCACGTAGCAGAAACCTGAGGCTTCGCCTTTCTTGGCGTGGTGGAGGCCTCCGGACCAGTTTATGGCGATGTCGGACTGTTTGCTGCATAATTTTCGGGCTGCGTCGATGGATGCGCCGGCGTAGAGGGAGCAGTAGTCGTAGAGGCCATCGAATATGGGGCAGTCATCACCGACGCCGTAGACGGCGGATGAGTAGCCTGGCTGTGTATCAGCTCAGGATGGAGGGTGTAGATGTTGTTCGGTGTGACCTCGTGGAGAAAGTCGATGTATTCGTCCTTATGGAATGCTTTCAGTTCTTCTTGAGTGGCGGCTCTTGAGAGATATAAGTCCATGGCTAGGTGCATGCCATACGACATTACCAGTTCCTTGGTCAATGTAAGACGCCATGGCTTCATTGGGTGTGTCTGGCCAAAGTGGTGGTCCTCCACATCAGGATTGGAGTGCCATGAAACAGTGTAGCCTTTGGGTCTGGCAATCTGATTTTCCTCAGCCTCCTTCTCGATCTTTCTGCTGTAGTAGAAAGTCGCAGCTCGGGATTCATCGTACTCTTGTACGATCGAGCCGCGTGCCATGCTTGATGCAGGCGCCGGTGCGCCTAGTTGCTGTACTACTATGCCGCCGGCGGATGCACAGCTCGACGATTCTGCTAGGCGTAGATTACATCCGTCAAAAGCCTAAGACTTAGAGGCACCTAGTTCCGGCCAAGGTATTTCGAATCTACTGAGCTGTTTGCAACGAAAGCGTCGGTCAGACCTCAGGACCCGATCGGGCGGCCTTTGTTGATGTTGCTGATTGTTGAGATGAGTTATGCCTGCCAGAATTGATGTTTTGCTACAATGTCGAGACTAAGTAGATGAGTTGCGGATACGAATGGTGAAAGCGGCGTGAGATCAAAGGCGACGGAAGGCAGTCGATCATGGGTTTGCCTTCAGCCCCACAGCGCTAGCTCTCGTAAAGCTTAGTGAATCGTACCTGCATGACTGGCGAGCACGGTGCCTTCTCGAAACTCTTTCTCCAACTCAGGCTTCAAGTTGTCGCCCCTTTGTGACTTCTGCCTCTGCATCCTGCATACCACCTTTCACTTCATCAATCGAAGTCGCAAAACTACACTTTCCATCACAAAAGTAAATACGATATCTCGAGTGATGATTGTCGGTCTGCTCGACATTATCTAAATGCATACTGCAATCCGTTAGCAGGGCCTGTAGCTACTCTGGGACCTGGCCCAAAGCTCTTGGCAAACGTTGCTGTTTTTGTTTCCAGAATCGCCTTCCTGGTCGTGCCTACCATGGCTGGCCAAGAAGATTGTGCTTCTGTTCTCGAGCAGTTCATCTATGATGGAGCCAACCTCCCTGCAGAGATCAGTCATATGATGGAAGAGATCGAGGCCAAGAGCACAGAGATGCAGAAGCATTTGACTCTCATTCATACGAAGGATGCAAATCTGCAGAAGAACATCAAGGCCAATGGCGTTCTGCAAGCTCATCCCAAGGAAGCCGAGTATCACGAGCAAGTGAAGAAGCACTACGACGCAGTGGCTAAGCTCCAGCAGCAGAAGGTGCAGTTGAGTGAGAGGGCGGTCAGTATGCTTGAGCGACAAATTCGACGGTTTGATGGCAAGATCCGAGAACTTGCAAACGACAATCAATTATCTACTGAAGGATTACCGAGCTCCTTCAATCGCAAACCTGACAGGCCGTTCGTGGACACTGGTCAAACTGTGCCCCTACAGAACTCTTCCATCAGTGCTCTCAACGCGAATGCACATCGTGCTAATGCAGAAGCTCAGGCGAGAGCGCATCAAGCCCAAGTCACCGCAGCGAAAGCTACAGCCCAACGTCCGTCACCTGTCACACCGATTGCTGCCCAAGCGCAGCGCCAGCGCGAACGCGAAGCTTCTCAGGGTGCTGATAGCAAACGACGCAAACTGGGCAATCCTTTGGCTAATGCAAACATTCCAGCTCAGCCATCTAATTTAAGGCAGTCATCCCTCGGGCCAGGTACACCTAAAGCAGGAACCCCAACTGCAGTCAATCCTGCAGGCAGTCGAGCAGGTAGTGTCCCTCGTACAACCGTGACGGCACCACAACCAAACACTGTCGCGCTCAAGAAGTCGGCTTTGGCCAAAAAGGTCATGACGAACCAAGGCATCAAAGCTAAGAACAAGCATGCCAAAAGAATGTCTTCAGTCACTGGTCGAAAGAAGACGCACTCGCCATCTGGCCGAAGTGGCCGCGCTGGGACGGCTGCTTCCGAAGAAGAATCAGTCCTGTCTTCAGCAGATGCATCAGAAACAGACGCCTCCCAAAGTCGCTCTAGAGGTGGTCGTAAGAAGAAGCACCTTGTCAAGGAAGAAGCTACCGAGGAGGCTGAGGTCGATGCAGGAGAGGAAAACCCATACGACGAGGACGATCCCAATCTCTACTGTCTATGCCAGAAGCAGAGTTTCGGCGAGATGGTAGCGTGCGAGAACGATGATTGCAAGTATCAGTGGTTTCATCTGGGTTGTGTGAAGATGAAGAAGGCTCCGGCTGAGGACGAGACTTGGTACTGCCCTTTTTGCAGGAACAAACCCGAAATCCTCCAGCTTCTCAAGAATCAGCCGGCTATCAAGGCATGAAGTCCGCCGGGAAAGTGCCCAGACATACGTTCTCACCATATTCATCACATTTACAACGCTTTTATCTGCCGATATGATCGTCACACTTGGGCAAGGCAGCTGAAAGGGAGGCAGCAAACGACACCTGAGCCACAGCGCGACAGGGTGGCTTTGCTGAACTACTTGGGAGCGGTGTGGCTCTCCATAACCGTACTATCTTCAGCTGAGCAGGGGTCTGCCGTCTGCGATTCTAGGCCCGATCCCACCAGTTTTCTTAGGCAGCACGTCTTGAAATGAGTAGCGAAGACCACAGCATCTATTCAAAATACATGAATTGACCAAGTCATCAACCAAACAATGTCGTCGGGTTCCTCCATGTAGTCCAAGTCAGTCAGCCGTAATAGTGAAGAGCCAACGTGCAGATATTCTTGGATCGACAGTGCAAGCTCTGGACTCTCGACTGTCACGGTTGGAGTTTGTTAGGCGCAGGGTTGCCCTAAACGTCCTAGCTCCAGGTGTTCGTAATAGAGCTAAGATCTGTGCAGGATCCGCCTATGACGACGCCTGGGTCTTCATTCGCTGCCAGCTTCACTAATTGACAGCGGCGAGCTACACATGCATCAAGTTGCGGCATCGTCAAATCTTACACGCCGCGCCTGCTTGAAGACGTCAAAACTAGCCGTCTCGCCGGGCAAGCACGACGGCGTCCGGCAGGTCCAGCTCTTAGATACTTTGTGAAGCGTCCATACCGCTCGAAGTACGCCCGAACAACCTCTAGCATCAGCTTGCTTCACATCCGTTTGCGCCCGCATTAATTGAAACGCATTCACTCGTTGCACCGAAAACACGTTAACCCACCTGCCATCTTTCCCACCCACCCTGCCACCATTACGAGATCGTGCTCGTTGCACATATCTGCCGCTTGTTCAACCTCACCAGTGCGACGGCCGCTGAGGTCGTGAGCGGCCTTAACACTCACCACCTCATTCGACCTTTACGCGTCGAGTCTGAAGAGCTTAGACGACCATGGAAGCCTTCAAGAGTGAGCAGAAGACGCAAGCTGTAGAGGAGCTTGCACGAGATCCGCATAGCAATGTCTCCTCGTCTGATGTCGAGAAAGTCATCATGGACGAGAGCAAGAAAGCTGGAGCTGTCGCATTGTCCTTCGACCCCAATGCTAGTCCTGAAGAAAAGGCAGCACAGGCTCGGGCAGTAAGTGCAGTGAAGGAACGTCTCCAGTTCGTACTGACAGCAGGCAGGTCACCAATAATGTCAAGGCCGGTCGCCCGCCGAAAGCAATGGGCATAGCTACGGACCTGGTAAGGCCTGAGTGCCATGTATGGGAGCGTTCTCTAACTAGTGGCTAGGATACCAAAGGTCCGGACGACTATAAGCTCCCGCCTCCCTCGATCAATGGAGCCATCCCGGCGACGTCCAACGGCGATGTAGCGCCCAACGGGGTACCCAAAAGTCAAGAGAGCGACTGGGACAAAGTTGGCTGGGAGCCACGCTTCGGCACAGGAGAGACCGCATCTCAGAAAGAGGAAGATGACCGGAATTTGCTTGACCACCAGACTTGGGTTGAGAGCAAGCTCGAGGACAAGTTCTTCGGTGATTGGTACCACAATGCCGCCGTGATAGTCTTTGCCTGTCTCTCCTCCTGGCTGATCGCTGAGCTGGGAGGCGGCCTGGCCTGGGTCTTCATAGTGATGGCAGCTTGTGGCACATACTACCGCACATCAATCAGACGAGTCCGCCGAAACTTCCGGGACGACATTACTCGCGAAATGGCCAAAGCGAAGCTGGAGACCGACCACGAAAGTCTCGAGTGGATCAACAGCTTTCTCGTCAAGTTCTGGCCAATATACGCTCCACAGCTGGCCATGGGCATTGTCCAATCTGTCGATCAAGTGTTGAGCACATCGACTCCGGCGTTCCTCGATTCTATGCGGCTCAAGACCTTCACCCTAGGAACGAAGCCTCCTCGACTAGAGCACGTCAAGACATACCCTCGTGCGGAGGACGAGATCGTCATGATGGACTGGAAGTTCAGCTTCACGCCTACTGATACTATGGATATGACTGCTCGCCAGCTGAAGAACAAGGTCAACCCAAAAGTGGTTCTGGAGATCCGCATAGGCAAAGCCATGGTCAGCAAAGCCATGGAGGTCATCGTTGAGGACTTTGCAATTAGCGGCTTGATGAGAGTCAAGATGAAGCTCCAGATCCCGTTCCCGCACATTGAGCGAGTCGACATCTGCTTCCTTGGCCGCCCAGACATCGACTATGTCTGCAAACCTCTCGGTGGTGATACCTTCGGTTTCGACATCAACTTCATCCCAGGCCTGGAAACTTTCATCAAAGACCAGATTCACGCCAATTTAGGACCGATGATGTACGATCCCAATGTCTTCCCAATCGAAGTGGCGAAAATGCTGTCTGGCAACCCCATCGACATGGCAATTGGTGTCTTAGCTGTCACCCTCCACGGAGGTCAAGGTCTCAAGAACCCTGACAAGTTTTCTGGTACACCCGATCCGTATGTCATTGCATCGCTCAACAACAGCAAAGAGTTGGGCCGAACGAAAACCATTCACGAGAACGCAAATCCGAGATGGGGCGAGACGCTCTACATCATTCTTACGAACCTCACTGACGCGCTTACGCTGGTACCATATGACTACAACGAGTTCCGCAAGGACAAGGAGCTCGGCGTTGCCACCTTCGCTCTCGACAAGATCGAGTCTGGTGAGCATGAGCACGAAAACTTACAACTCGAGGTTTTGGCCAGTGGCCGGTCGCGAGGAGTCCTTCAGTGCGACGTAAGATTCTTCCCAGTCCTTACCAATCAGAAGCTCGAGGACGGCACAGAACTCCCTGTCCCGGAATCGAATACGGGTATTGCGCGTATAAGCATCGAGCAAGCTAAAGAGCTTGACGGGAGCAAGAGCTTAGTTGGACAGCTTAATCCATATGGCGTTCTTCTACTTAATGGGAAGGAGATCCACGTTACTGGAAAGTTGAAGCGCACCAACAACCCTGTCTTCCCGGACGCAAGCAAGTCCATTCTAGTCACGGATCGCAAGAAGGCGCGGGTTGGCCTCGTCATCAAGGACGATCGTGACCTTGCTGCGGATCCTGTCCTCGGGACGTACCAGGTCAAACTGGACGACATGATGAAACTCATGGAAAAGGGCCAAGAGTGGTTCAACTTACACGGCACCAAGAGCGGCCGAGCCAAGATGTTGATCGATTGGAAACCTGTCGCACTGAGAGGAGTCACAGGTGGCAGCGGCGGCTACATCACCCCCATCGGCGTCATCAGGATTCATGTGAAGAATGCCACTGACCTTCGAAATGTCGAGAAGTTTGGCAAGTCGGATCCTTACGCCAGAGTGCTGTTGTCTGGAATAGTCCAAGGCCGGACAGTGACGTTCCAGAACGAGCTCAACCCAACGTGGGACGAAGTTATCTACGTTCCAATTCACGCAACTACCGAGAAGTTGACGCTTCAGGTAATGGACGCCGAGTCACTTGGCAAAGATCGACCACTCGGTCAGGTCCAAATCAATGCCTCAGACTACATGCAGGAATCCGACGAAGGCGGCTATCTTGTTCACGACGAGAAGAGGTCGATGAGTGAAGGCCTGCGCATGGGTGGGCAAGGTGTGGCGAAGGGTATGATCCACTTCACAGTCTCGTTCTACCCAACGCTCAATGTTATTGATCCCGAAGAGGAGGAAGAAGAGCGCAAGGCGGCCGAGGACCTTGAAAAGACCGCTACAAATGGCACAAGCGTCAACGGTACCGCCCACAGCTCTGCAGGATCCACGCCACCGACCCCAACAATAGCGCATAGCAAGAAGTCATCTGTGGACGTCAAGACACCCACAAGTGCCACACGCCCGAGCCTGGATGGTCGCAAGACGTTGGATGCTGCTGGAAGACTCTCCACGACATCTTACCGAGCCCCGTCCATGAGTGGAAGCTTACTCTCAGTCAAGAAGGAAGCTCCCAAAGTTCGCGTCAATGTCGATGATTTGACTCAATACGGTAAGTCTACTAAAATTCATGATCTGCACGAATTGCTAACATATCACTCTCAGAGAGCGGATTGCTCATCTTTCAAATCATCGAGGGCACATTTGCTCATGATGACGTGTACTTGGAAGTAGTCATGGACGACCATATCTTCCCATCTTATCAGTCTTCGAAAGTGCGGAGCAGATCGCACAAGTTCATGGAGACAGGCGATGCTTTCGTTCGAGAGCTCGACTTTTCGCGAATAACTGTGCGACTGGTCGAAAAAGCGGACCGAGGAGGCAAGGGCACGGATGAGGACCACATCGTTGCGAAATTACAAGGCCCACTCCTACCGACGCTGCAGCAATGCCTGTACAAGGAAACTGCACTCACCATCAAGGGTACCGATGGCACCAGCAACAAGGTCAGCTTCAAGATGCGGTATCTTCCTGTGAAAATGAAGCTGGACCCCAGCGAGAGTATCAACAACATGGGCACATTGCGTGTGGATGTTCTTGACGCGACTGATCTGCCTTCGGCCGATCGAAACGGCTTTAGCGATCCGTACTGCAAGTTCAAGCTGAACGGCAAAGATGTCTTCAAGACGAAAGTGCAGAAGAAGACACTTCATCCGGCATGGAATGAGTCTTCGAAGTGCCTGTGACATCCAGGACCGGAGCAGAATTTCGATGCGACGTCTACGATTGGGACTTTGGCGACAAAGCTGATTTCCTCGGCAGCACACCAATCAATCTCGAAGTCTTAGAGCCGTTCCAGGCTCAGGAACTTCATTACACACTAGATGGAAAGTCAGGGGTCTTGCGGCTCAAGATGGTCTTTAAGCCAGACTATGTCACACGGTCGCGGCAAGGTACTTCGACCTTCTCGGGTACATTCGCGCCGGCCGGCAAGGTCGTAGGAGCACCTGTGAAGGGTGTTGCCAAAGTTGGTGGTGGTGTCATCAAGGGCGCATCTTTCTTGAAACGGGGACTGACCGGCCGACATAGTAGTAAGGACGAGAAGATGGAGGTTAATGGCGCTTACGACGAGACCCCACCTCCGAGCACACCAGCCGGCACACCACAGCGTGCAGGCGCGCTTCAGGACACCGCCAACTCAACGCCGGGCACACCACTAACGCCGCATTCACGAAACAAGAGCGGCAGTTCGATGGTAGGCGGCACACCCGGTGGACCGGAGACAGGAACAGCAAGCTTTATCATCGTCTCAGCGTCTGGATACCCGCCCGATGCCGACGTGCGGGTACACGTCAAGATGCTGGGCGCGAAGGGCAGTAAGGAGGTCTTCAAAACCAAGGCCATTAAGTCGTCTTCGGGCACGGTCGAGTACAACGCAAGCCACGAGAACTTCAAAGTCAACTGTTCGGCCGATACTCAATTCCAGATCTCGGTCAAGGACAAGGGAACGTTCAAGGACGATGATCTTGGCGAGGGCATGTTCTTCGTCTCGGATCAGGGTGAGGGGTCGGAGCAGAGTGTTAAGGCTGGGTCGGGTACGGTTGTGATCCGAAGCAGTTTCAAGGCAAATGAGGGACCTGGTGGTGCGGATGCACAGAGCCTGCGTCCTTCCACCAGCGGCAGAGATAGTCCTGATGCGAAGCGTGACGGTGGACATAGAAAGAGCTTCTTTGGGCGGAGGGATGTCAGTGGAAGGCATGAGGCTGCGAGTAAGGAGTAAAAGAAGCATCGACTGGGAAAGTTCAGGTAGTCCTGGAGTTGAGACCGATACCGATATCCAAGGGGGGAAGCTTGTGTGCTTGCAGGTGTACAGCAGTGCTCAATAGCTGGGCTGGGGAATGCATATTCTTATGGTGGACGAGGCATTCGGCGGCAGTGTCCAACTCTTGTGGATATCCTTACAGCCATTGGCCGAGAGCAGAGACAGATTCAGCTCAAGATAGCTGAAGAAGAACATTGCATCGCCGCGACGCTTCCGCTCTCTACAGAACACCGGATGACAAGCCCGCAAGGTACAGCGAGGTATGTACCAGACCGGATGACCAGCATAACTTACACAACACCGGATGACAGGAATATGACAAGGCCAGTTCCAGTTCCCCTACAATGTGTCTGCCCCCAAAGCAATACTTTACCTCATGCACTCCTGTTGACATAAGCCTGAGCCGGTCACACTGGGCACCTAAGGCTCGTCTTTGAGACCGAAATAGCTAACCTGTGTCGCATATGCAATTCTTCGTCCCTTGGCTGCAAGAGAGGCCTATCGAATATATCTGCAAGTGTAGAACTTTTCAAGCATCACCAAGCAGGTGCCCCAAAGATCTCAAGAATGCCCGTTGGCAGTACTAGCACCTGCTTCCTCAGCCTTCTTTTCTAGCATGTCCAAGTCCACCTTTCCCTTCGCGTCCGACCCTTGTCCAAGCTTTGAAGGTGTCGACGGCGAGAAGTCGTGTTGCTTCTCGACTGATGTCGGCGTAGCATTCCCATTATTCGTACTCAACTTCTCCAATGCCTCGAGCTCTGCCTCGGAGAAATTCCTGAGATGCTTGGGCCTAAAGGGCACAGGCGTCGAGACTCTTGAGGTGAGGAACTGGAAAAAAAGATGTGTTAATAATGCGCGAAGGTAAAGTCGCCGCACTGCAAAACAAGGCAACAAGAACTTACCGAACTAGCCGCGCTCAACAGCGCAATCAAACTCGCCTGCACCACATCCTCATGAATCCCGACGCCCCAGACCTTCTCATGCGAGCTTGTGGCTGTACACTCTATGTACGTTGCCGCACGCACCTCCTTTCCGCCGCCGATGGCGTGCTCGTGGTAGTCTGCAACATCCAGATCGATGCCCAGGGTATGCAGAGCATTCGCCAGAGATGAAATTGCACCATTGCCCTGGCCCACGATCGGATGCTGCTCACCATCGATCGCCACAATACCTGCGAATTGTCGCTTGCTGCTGGCTGTGCTCTGCACTGGCGCGCCATTCTCCGATTGTGGTTGCCGTTCTGGCCGCACGGCTGTGATGTTATAGTCGACCAGTGTAAACCTCGGATTGCTCTTGAGATGATATGACTCCTCGAAGATAGTTTGTATCTCTCGGGGGAGTAGTTCTCGACCTTTCGCGTCGGCTTCTTTCTGCACGATCCGGCTGAACGCGACCTGCAGGCCTCGCGGCAGATCAAGCTCCAATCCGCGGAGGATGACCCAAGCGACACCACCCTTACCGCTCTGGCTGTTGACGCGGATGATGGCTTCGTAGTTGCGGCCGATGTCTTGAGGGTCGAGGGGTAGGTAGGGGAGCTGCCAGGGATCCTCCCGAGATGCTTTTGACTTGTCGCGTGCCATAAAGCCCTTTTTGATGGCGTCCTGATGGCTGCCGCTGAAGGCGCAGACGACGAGCTGGCCGCCGTAGGGCCAGCGTTCGTTGACGGGGATCTTTGTGCTTTCCTCGCATACGCGGATCACTTTGTTGATGTCGCTGAAGTCGACCTCGGGCCACACGCCTTGGGTGTATAGGTTTAGAGCGAGCGTGACCAGGTCGACATTGCCTGTGCGTTCGCCGTTGCCGAAGAGGGTGCCCTCGACTCGCTCTGCACCGGCCATTTGTGCTAGTTCTGCGGCTGCTACGGCGCAGCCTCGGTCGTTGTGGGGGTGGACGCTGACGCAGAACTTTTCTCGTTCGGTCATGTTGGTGCAGAAATATTCGATTTGGTCGGCGAAGACGTTTGGCGTGCTCATCTCCACCGTCGCCGGCAGATTGAAAATGATCTTGTCCCCCTTCTCCGGCTCGGGTCCCCAAGCCTCCTTGACCGCTTCGCATATCCTGACGGCGAACTCTGGGCTCGTATCGCTGAACGTTTCCGGGGAAAACTCGTACAGCCACTCCGTGTCCTTCTGCGCGGGATCGTCCTTGGTTATGCTTCTTGCATATTTTGTGCATTTCACCGCTAACGCCAGACTCTCGTCTTCGCTCATCCCGAACACGATCCTCCGGAAGCACTCGCTCGTCGCGAGGTACAAGTGCAGAATCGCCTTCTTCGCGCCCGTCAAGCTGTCCACTGTCCTCCGAATGAAATCCTCTCGACAGGGGCTCAACACCTGTAGATATACATCATCCGGCACCACGCCCGGCGTATCGACCAGGTGTCGCGTAAAGTCATAGTCCGTCTGGCTGGCCGAGGGGAAGGAGACCTCGATCTCCTTATAGCCTAGCTCAACGAGCATCTTGAAGAAGCGCAGTTTCTGCTCGCCGTCCATAGGGTCGACGAGGGATTGGTTGCCGTCGCGGAGGTCGGTTGCGAGCCATCGCGGAGGCTTGTCGTTGGTCTTGGATGGCCATTGCCGGTTGGGCAGGTTGAGAGGCTTGAATTGCCGGTACTTCTTCCATGGTTCGCGGAGCCTGTGCGAGGGTCAGTGATTAGATCTTTGGGCGAAGGTCTAAAGTGAGAGAGAGACTTACATAGGCATGTCGGAGGGTGTTGTGCCCGAGCTGGGCGGGCTTGCTGCAAAATGTCAGGGTCAGCGTTTTGTTGCACAGTGAACTTGTGGCACAGTCCGTGCGAAGTCGAATAAAGTGAGCTACGATTAAAGGCAGTGATATCCAATGGAAGCAGTTTTGACTCAGAAGTTGCCCATCTGCAGCGGGCGTCTCGAGCTCCAGCGTCAGCGCATAGACGCGGAGGGCGTTGTCATTTTCGCTAGACAAAATTTCACTGCATCGCGGGGCTCACGTAAAAGTGTGGGGTTGGAAAGCCGAAGATTGGAGAAGCCCTCGAAGCCCTGCAGGTGCCAGCCTGTGACTGGGCAAGCCGGGGAGTCTTGTAAGGGTCCGATGCCTATAGTCTCTATAGTCAACTGCTTAGGGCTGTAGAGGCTATCCGGACAATCATTCGTATAGACTTGAATTGACACGGCTATCCAGTAAAATTGAGAGTCGAGCGTCTGCCCTGGGTCGACGAAAGCGGCAAGCATTCGATCAGCCCACGGAAGCTACGACGATGTGTCCTCCCACTCATCAATGCCTAGTAAACCAATTCTGCCCCTTCACCTTCTCCGTCCTCTCAACCTTCCGCGCATGTCGGCTCTCCTTCTTCGCCAAATGACTCTCCTTCTTTTGCAGCTTCTCATCCTCCTTTTGCTTCCTCTCATGGTACTGCTCAATGCTTTCCAGGACATCGTATTCATGAACCGGGATCCCCTCGGCAGCCTTGACCTTCTTTCCCTCGATGAAGACCAGAATACCAGCAAATATACCAGTCAGACAACCCAAAGTAATCAGCAAGCCAACAACCCAACTCGGACGTGTGAATCTGTTATATGCCCACATGAACGTAGCCAGCAGGATCTGCAAGATAGTGTTCCACATGTACATCCAGATGATGAAGTCCAACGTCCAGCCTCTGCTTGGGTTCGCTCTGACGCCTGTAAGAGGGGGCTCTGGCATGCTCGTGGCTGGTAGAGGAACGGCCGGGTTGGTCTCCAGCTCTTGTAGCTCGACCTCGCTGTAAGGCGGAGGGCTGTCCACGGTCTGTGGGTGTTTCTTGTTGTACACCGGTGGTGGCGCAACGTGCTCTGGCAGATCTTGGCTTCCTGGTAGACGATACCAGCCACGGTACAGACCTGCAAGTCTGCGGTGCGCTGACTGGTCCTTCGACAGCCGCCATTTCATCAAGTAGTAAAAGTCTCGGAACCGCCATGGTATCAGGCCCAGACCGGTGACGCAGAATAAAGCGTTGAGGACCTGCGAGTCTATTTCGATCCAGATTTGTCGTGCAGATGTGTGCTTGTCGCTGCAAGAAGGGTTACACATAGCGGGTGCCGCATTGAGGAGAAGGAAAAAGATCATCGCACCCCAACCCACGACATTCAAGCCGTAGAGTGTAATGAGGAAGCCGAATGGCGTCATGACGAAGCGGCCGAACCCTTTCGTTCCGATGACGGTAGACTGCCACCAGGTATGTTTGGCTGGGAAGCGGTAGCCATTGGGGTACGTGCCTGTCTCATCTGGTCCGCGAGGATGCTCGGAAAGAGATTCCATGGGCTTGATCGGTGTAGATGTCTTCTCGTTCTGGACAGAGCCGTCCACTGCTGATATCGGGCTAAGCATGAAGTCAGTATGAATGTGCGGTACAAGGAATTGTGATACGCACGTCGTGTTTCCGGTGTCAATCTTCAATGCCTCGGTTCGATTACCTGAAGATATGACCGTCGCAGCTTCCTTCTCTTGCTCCTCCGGCACTACTTCTCTCACAGCCAGACTGCCTCGTCTGGGAAAGTACTGCCTGGCTTCTCCGTGGTCTTCGCTGTGTCTTTCTGCAATTGTCGGAGTTGCCGGAGTGGGCGGCGCATTACTGCTGCCCCATGTCCTGGTGCTAGCCGAGCTTGTCCTTGCGAGCCTCTTCCTATGAATATCGTGTGGATTTGCACCTCTCTTCTCAAGCTGCCCCTCATGGTTCCAGCCTTCCGGCGAGAAGCTCCCGTTGCGTATCTCGCCCAGTGTGGGTACTTTGGAGGCTACTTCGCCGGTCGCTTGCCACATCCCTAGTGGTGGGTTTGAGTGTAGGAGAGATTGGCGAATTGAGGAGGTTCGCCTCCGACCGTTGGGAGAGTTGGTGGATGTGGTGGGTGCGCCATCGCGAGTGGTCTCACTGGCAGCAGTGTTCGCACGCGGAGGAGGCGATTGTAGGTTAGTGGGAACCGAGTCAATCGGGGACAGTGCTGGGAATGGTTCTGCCTTGTTGTCGGTCGGGCTCGCCATGGTTGCGCTATTGATGCTGCTGGACGCTATGACATACACATCTAGCAAGAAAATGAAAGCACTCGGAGTAATAATATATCGTGCTGCTGAAGTCAAGTGCAGTAGAAAGATTGAGACAGGAAGGGTATGTACACTTATCAACAGGTCGTCGCGGCAGTGTAACGGGAATTGGGTTCACGAGGGTCCAAGAAGTGCTGGGAGAGGCCTAGCGATGGGCTTAGTCAAGCTAGCTAAAGAACATCATAGGCAAAAGCAGGGCAAGTTGCCACGCCGCTAGAGATAGCGTTGATCAAGTTTCTAGGCTCGAGCATTCATGCAGGAGGGTGGTCATCCGTTGGAAGTTTGATGAGTGGCTGCGTCTGCAAAGTCGATACGACACGAAGAAGTTTAATCAGTCCTTAGGTAAGTTAGGTCCAAAGCTGACTGTGCATCGTGTCTTTCTTTGACTGTGGGACATCGGCTTGCCAATCTCGTGTCTGCTGTTGCGAACTCGTCGCAACTCTGCACGACCTTGGTGCAAGTATGAGAAGATGAGTAGCAACGCTGGCGCGACGAGCAACAGCAACTGCACGGTATCGAGAATTCCATGCATGCGGCTCACAAAGCAGAGACAATCGGAGTCCTCCCAGATGCAGACCTGCTAGTGACCGACAAAAAGTGTCCGCTGTACGCCCGTATGCACCGTCACCGAGATCCGAGCCCGTTCGGGTATTTACACTAGGGGCTCTCCTCTTGCAGGCCTTGTCGGCTACCAAACACGCGTTCTCATGTATGACAATTGTTGAAGGGCTTCACAACTGGAGAGAGCGTTTGGATCTGTAGGTAGGTGGCACATGCAGTGTACCTATCCATGTGCTCAGTTCGCATTCCCCGTGGCGAGGTATCTAATGAAGTACCTGGAGGTCTGCACTTTACGCGTATATACTGCTTGTATCAGACTCAGCTTGGTCGAGGCCCATAGGAGGGGAGCCTCCAGTCTTTCCGTCGAGGTGTCGTGGCGACTTGTAGTCCCAGCATATTCAATCTATCCATACCACCTACAAGATGAAGCAAGCGCCCAAAAGTGATATGCCCCAGTTAGGTCTCATCGAACATCTGGATGAGGCGAACTCTGTCGAGACACTTGAAGACCCTGTGTTCAGTGCTTTAGGCCCGCAGCGACACCCCCTGTGCACTGGATTTGCGAGACTCAGCCTTGACGCCGATCTCGACATCACTTCCAGAATCAACATCGTCGGCCAATATAGGCTTGCCTCTGTTCTGCGTCTCCGCAGGTGGTGTTGGATCCCGCAAAGTCTCGACGCGAGTCAGCGACGGTGATGGAGACAGAGTGCGCTTTCTCTTCGAGGAGCCGGAGCTGGAGCGGTCCCGGCCGATCATGCCAGTCGCCTTCATCGCGCGTGTTGTCACTCCATGCCCAAGACCCCGCAAGTTGCTAGCCGCCGGGCCACCGAGACCGTCTCTCGGTGTCTGCTCAGCGGAAGACCCTTGCTGGCTTGCCTCTGCAGTAGTCGGCGTGTTGATGGGTGGCTGAATACCAGAACTGGAGCTTTTCCCTGGGCTAAGAGCGCTGAGGAGCTGGCTCTTTCTGCTTGGACTGAGAGCTTGCACGATCTCATCGACGGCGGCCTCGTCCATGTGCTTCTGGAAGTCCCGTCGTGGCCAGGTGATCGCCATGTCCGAATACGCTTGGCTGTGCTCGGTGCTGTGTGGAGCGGAGTCCTGCATCGTCTCGTCTGTGCTTGACTTCCGTGTGCTGCGCCAGCCAAGGCTAGACTCTGGCACAGGGGCAAAGAATGGGTCGTTGCTGCCACTAAGGCTGGCGCCGGGGTAGCAGTAGAATGAACAGCGCCAAAAGCCGACCGGTAGGGATACTCCTTGTGGCTTGCTTCGACCTTTCTCGACATACGTGTCCACATATCTTCACGACCGTTGCTGGGCAATCGCTGTGGAGAGTGAGCGTGCGCCTCTGGGCCAGTAGCAGCAGAAGCCAATGAGCGAGAACTCAGTGCTGTATGGCGGCGGAGACTCGAGCTCTTGCTTTCGAACAATCTTGCATTGGGCCAAGCGATACCGGAGTACTCGAGGACGTCTGATGTAGCCGTTAGCAAGGTTGAAAGTGCAGTCGAACGAGACAAACCCTGTGGCGCATGCTGGAATGCAAATGCGATAACGTCTCTGACGCTGTCGAAGCTGACTCTTGCAGTATGTTGCCCGTTCACTGATTCCTTGAGGATGCCTTCAGTCAAGACCACCTGAACACGTCCAAGAGGTTCGGCGGGATCCCATCGTGGCTGCTGAAGAATCTCAGGATGAAACGCTGGGAAGGACAGGTCCGTGTCAGGATCGTGAAAAAATCCATCTGATGCTGTTAGTGCAGTCGGAAGGAATGTCTACAGTCGTGCGACTACCTTTAATGTCTGGCGTCTTGTCAGTAGTGATTCACTGAGTGATTATTACCAAAACTCACCAATGACCTCTGGCCAAGCTGTACCGTCTTTGAAGACCCGAGTACTAATTGTAATGAGCTCCCGTGTCATGCTGCGTCGCATGACCTTACCTCTGTAGAGCTCCATCCACGAAAAGCCTGACCTGAATCGCAAGAGTGCTGTCTCTGCTCTTACGGCTTCTGAGAATAGCTGAAGGGGTAGGTTTGGTCCAGCTGTGAATCGAGACCCGGAACGGACTTCCAGAGGGTAGACTGGGGACGAAGCAGGTCAAGATCGGGGTCTTGTCTGCCGACTCAAAGCTGGTCGTCGAGAAGGGATCCTGGGACGAGCTCCATTTCGACGCCGCAAGGCTTGCTGAGGTTTGTCAGTAATTCGTCCGTCAGCATTGAGGTTGACCATACTCTGCTTACTCTGATCCGTGACAACGTGACATGCTGTGTTGAACTCTTGGATAGGGATGCGGGAGTTGCCAGGAAAGAGAAGCACATCCCAGTTCTGGTATCTCATACTGTGATCTTGAAACGAGGGATGGCTGAGACTGCTTGCAACGAATAGCGTACCAGACGGCTATCGACTGTGCCGTTCCCTCTTACGCATATGTGCTGCTTGGTCAGAGCAGAGAACTTGGATGTCGACAGCATCGTGGGAGATGCGAAGTAGGACTTATGCACGATCGTCCCTTCTGCACTTTGAGGAAGAATATGAGTGCAGTCGCGACTGAGGGTCGAAGGAGCCAGGGAAGATGCGAGGTGGTGTTAGAATGGAAAGGGCCAACAACCATAGGGTTTTGTCTGGCAGGAGCATTCCAGCGCACATGAAGTCAAGATCGAGCGACGCCTGTGGCTAGAGTGATGCCGTTGTTCATTACCTAAGTAGATGTCGCATATTTCCACACATCATGATATTTCATGATACTCAACGCCTTATGTCCACTTTTCTGTTTCCAGAACGTTCGGGTATAGATGACTCCCAGCATCGGCGCCGTGTAAAAAGCATTCAGACTTCGTCTCCCCTTGTCAGCAGCCGCCATGCTTATGCAGCAACAACTGACTAGCACCATCAACAACAACCTTCAAAACAAGCTCGGGCAGTAGAACTCTAGAGCATGATCTACTAATCACCTCCAGCGTCCAGGCTGAAGTCATTACCAACACCCATACCACCGTCGCCAAAGTTGAAAGCGTCGTCGGTTGATGTATTCAAGAAGCTGTCAAAGTCGAAGTTCTCCAGAATATCGGTATTGTCGTTCAGAGTGCTGAAATCAAGGCTGAAGTTTTCGGAGCCCGGATCGAAATTGCCGAAGGTATTTTGCGACAAGTCCGGTTGCATAGCAGGTTGCGCTGCAGGCATCTGCTGTGCTGCCGGTGGTGGTACACTTGTGGCAGCTGCTGGCGTATTTTGACCTGTGACTTTGTTAGTCTTTTTCTGGTGTACTTGCTCGGTGCGCAACTCACTATCGTTAGCAGTGTTCGCTTGTGAATTCTTCTTCGCTGGCTTCTTCTTGTTGTTAGCCGCATTGTTTGCGGCATCGTCCTTGCCCTTCTTGTTCTTGGGATTGGCCTTGTTGGTCTGCGACGGGGTGGGTGGCGCATTGCCACTCTGCGCAGGTGATGATGCGGTTCGCTGAGCGCCGCCAGCAGGAGCCTGTGGCGGTGGCATTTCATTACGCTGGCCTGGTGTACCCATGGGTCCTCCACCCTGCGAGGGATTTTGAGCCATAGGCTGTCCTCCCTGGAACTGAGCACCCATGCGAGCCTGCATACCTTGCATTGATGTTGGTGGTCGCATGTTAGGACCCGGGCCTCCCATGCCTTGCTTGTCGGCCATGAACATGGCGGGGTTGAAATCACCGCCGGGCATGGCGCCGCCGTTCATGAATTGCATACCAGCTGGCGAGCGGCCTTGCATATTTTCGCCGGCGGATGGCGAACCTGGTAGACCGCCGAGTTGTGGTGTCCGCTTCATCTGATCAGTCGGATTCGGCGAAGTGCCACTTCTGCTCCCAGACGGCGACATTCCGGTACCTCCCATGCCGGGCATTGGTGCACCCTCACGATTGACCTGGTTGTCTTGCTCTTGACGGGCCATCATGAGACGCTTCTTGTTCTGTTGTTCCAAGAGCATCAACTGCATCTGGTAATCTTGTAGAGCATGATTACCGCTTTGGGCGGCAGCAGGTCCGCCTTGCATTTGACCTCCCATGCGGCCAGTGTTGTACATTTCCATTGCCGCATCGTTGCCGAATTGGCCGTTATTCATACCGACCATCATGGGCGAGCCGGCGTTCTGCATCATATTCATTGCACCGTTAGGCATACCAGGCTAGAATGGTCAGTAGGAGTTCGACTCAGAGATGGCATGAGACTTACCGGCATGCCGGGCTTTTGCTGCTGCATCGCACCATTGGGCCGAAATTGCTGGTTCATCTGTTGAGGATTGAACGAGTTCTGGATCATCATGCCTTGAGGGACGCCGGCTTGCATCGGACGGCCGTTAGCCATCATGTTGCCCTGGAATTGCTGTTGACCTTCAAGCCGAGGTCTCTTAGATGGTGAGCCGCCATTGTCGCCTTCTGTGGGTGTGCCCGGGCGGCCGTTTATGTCAACATCGCCTCCTTCTCGTTGCATGTTTTGCTGCTGCTGGGCCTGCATCTGCTTCTGCTGCATCATGTTCATCTGCTGAGGTGTCCTGTGATGGGTCAGTTCTGAACAGGCATGATATCGAAACTATAGCACTGACATTCTTTTTGCCATCTCAGCATTAGCCATGGCACCGTTCACCATGCCATTCTGTCGCATATTATTCGCTCGCATGGCATACTGGTTGTTCATCATTCCCGGCCGCATGACTCCCGGATTATTCTGTTGGCCTTCCCGCATGCGTTGCAAGTTCTGCAGACGGTCAGCACGAGTATCGCGCGACATCAAGTCACCTACCTGAGCGTGCATGAGATATTGGGTAGCCGGGTTCATGCCACCCTGCTTCTGTTTGTGCGCTGCGGTGAAGAGATCAGAGAAGATGCTGAACCACTCGACCAAGAAGCCCTCGCCTTGGGCGTTGAAGTCGACATTCGGCAGTGGTAGGTCGTTCGGGATGTCGAACTTATCCACGTCCATGGCGTCTGTATCGCCGTTGGCTTCGGCATCCTTCCTACGCCCGGGACTTTGCTTCGGTTTTGTATCAATCTTAAATTTGTCCTGTGAGTTGTTGAGAGCACGCGCTACGTCGTGCAGACCGAGTTTGAGGACATATTCGTAGATGTAAGTGTTGAGTCTGCCCTTGGTCTCTTCGGTCGCAGCGGTGATCGGCATACTCGTTGCGCCGTCCATGCCTGCCATCATCATATTGGCCGCGCCGCCGACTGGACCTCCAGCCGTGGCTGGATTGACCGCAGCCATGTTCGCCGCGTACGAGAGCCTCGAGTTGGTGATACGAAACGAGCGATAAAAGCCTCAATGGTGGGAGGTAGTTGTGTATCTGGCCTGACTGCGGAAGTCTGGCGCAGGCTCGCGATTCAAGCTTTAAGGTTATAGACTGACGCTTGACATGGCGGCCGTGCGGGCGCCGTGAAGAATAATCGAATGTCGAAGCAGCGAACGATAGAGAATCCGCGCACTGGTAGAAATGAGTCGGCGGCAATCCGAAAGAATTTCGTCTCTGAGGGAAGGCTGAAGTAGAGGCGATAGGTGGTAACGATCAAGTCAGCAGGACTCGGGGGACCTGGGTCGGATCGACCGTTGTCAGGCACGTCAGAATACGCTAATCGACTGCAGCCACAGGTGGTACAAAGATACAGATGAGTTTGATAGGCGATGCGGCATAAATTCAGCGCAATATGCGACTGTGCGATAGCCCTGGTCGTGGAATAGATGCTTGCCAGCGCTCGATTATTAGGAGAGCGAGACGAGACTTGAGACTGAGAGTTTAGAAACGGGGAGGGCGCTGGGAGTTCACCATTCAGGATCGCCTTACGAGAACCTAGCTGACTTGACAGCCGTGGCTAAGATGACTTTACAAAACTGTTCAGGCACTAGCCACGAAGAACACCATACTGGGTACCCACAGAGGCGCCTGTGATATCGAGATTGGGGCCTTCTCAGCCCAGCCACCACCTTATCAGGCAGACTGATGAATCGATAGTACTGTATTGATCGCCTTGGCTGCTCCGAAATACCGTCATGAGGGCCCTGATTTACCTGCGGAACGTAACATGCTGAAGTCTGCGCTGCATGACTGATCACGCAATGAGGCAACATCACGTGATCTCACCTACAATACTTTGAGCAGTACGCTGCGCATCAGGTCTGCGTCTTTGGCCTTGAATTCGACCAGAGGCCGTTACTTCAGATGCTCTGGCACAGCAGCTGTCGTTCCTGGAGGATGCTCGGCAGAGTGGCGTGCATCAGCCCACCTTGTTCCGCGAGTGCTCTTCGCCATGTTGAGAAGGGCGTTGTCGAACTGAGGCCGGTACGGTCGCGGAAGCTGTGACGGTCTGGGCCCCAAAGCTGTGCTGTGTGTGCCGTTGAACCAGAGCCACAAGTGTGCTCAATGCTGTTCGGTGCCGCGCCGAGTTCGTAGCATGTAGTCTCAGAGGGTTCAGAGGGTACACCAAGCTGGGCGAAGCTCGATAGTATGTGGAGTGCTATTGTGCGATCTAGCCGCACGGGATTCTGATCAACAGCCACAACGACGCGACGTGCGGCATAGAGCACTTTGAGGCCCTTGGCCGAATCCGAGAGAATTCTGAACATGTCGTAGTTCATATCGTGGATCATTCGTCGTCCGGTGGCATCTCGTCATCGATATACCGAATCAGAGTGACGCGGATTTCTGTTGTATCGTTACCTCGTAGAATATCGCTTACGAAGCGGGCTTCTATTGCCATTTGAACCTGCTATGGTAAGCGACAGTCGAAGGGACGCAACAGCAGAACATACCATCTCCAATGCCCCACGAAGGATACCGCAGAGAATGTTTGAAAACCACAGCTCATCTTGAGCCCTACCATCATCCGGCAGTTCGACGAAGTCGGCCAATGGGTTCTCGTCGAAAAGTAACGAGAAGGACTTATTGTCGGCGGTCCAGTTTGTGACGACAGGCGTGATGTTCAAGAACATCTTGAAGCCAACCTTTGAAATCATGTCTGCGGTCTCGCGAAAGTTGCCGCACCTGGGAATGTTTGACTTGGACAGGAAGTCCTCAATAAGTCGCATGCCTATGTTGTAACCCATCTTATCGAGTTGCTGGTTGACCTGCACGTAGTCTGATTCGTAGTCGGCACATAATTGCGAAACAATTGTACCATAAGTCAAAGTGACCAGTTCTGCATTCACTTTGTCCACCCGAGTTCTGCACAGATCAGTCTGGAGAAGAGGCTGACGCCGTCAAAACTCACTTCCATATACTACAGACCGTCAGCAAGGAGTTGGTACTCAATATCGACAAGACTCACTCTTCACCAAGGCGCGCAGCCTTCTGCGTCGAACTCATCACGACAGGATGGGTGAACGCACTTTCAAGTCCCAGGCGATCATGAGCGAATCAAGAATGTTGAGAACGGAGCAGTAGCCATATCAACGTTGTTGGCAATTCGTAAGCATGGACGAGAACAGCAAGTACATCGAAGCCAAGGGGAACTTTGGTTGAGGTCAGCCTTGTCGGAGAAATTGTGCTTCCGAACTTGAAGTACAGACTGCCGGATATTCATCGCATGTGCTTTTCTTGAGTACTCTGCAGTACTACTAAAGACACACCTCGAGAAGCGACAGACCGCCACCATCCGCTCCGGCGCACGACTAGGACGCAGTCATGATGCCTTCCATCAAGCGGCAAGCATCGGACAGCTTCAGTGGTCCCAATCAAGCCCTGGTCAAGCGCCAAAAATCGAATTCGGATCTGAAAGAGAATGGCGCGTTGACGACCACTGCGAAGGGCAAAGCCCGAGATGGTACGCTCATCCAATCGGTACGTTATCCCTCCGTATCCTACAGCAAGTGACTGGCGCTAAAGAATGGAACAAGTGTGGCTAATTCTCCGCGACGACCAGATACCCAGGACGACCAGCCTACAAGCACCGATACTCGAGTTAACGGGACATTCTGGCGAAGTGTTCGCTGCTCGGTTTTCTAGAGATGGCCAACATATTGCCTCTGGCTCCAAGGATCGCAGCATCAGTAGGTCATCCCCTTCCTTGTCTGATCAGGTGGCTGACTCAAGCAGTGCTATGGAATACATATGGGCAGTGCGACAACTACGGCACGCTCACAGGCCATAAAGGCGCAGTCCTTGACCTACACTGGTCGAGAGACTCTCAAATACTGTATTCGGCATCAGCAGACATGACAATCGCAAGCTGGGATCTCGAGACCGGACTTCGAATTCGGCGGCACGAAGGCCATGAAGAAATCATAAATTGCATAGACATCGCGAGAAGAGGCAACGAGCTGATACTAAGCGGAAGCGATGACGGCTGTATAGGAATTTGGGATCCCCGACAGAAGGCCGCGGTTGACTATATCGAGACCGAATTCCCCATCACTGCTGTTGCACTCGCCGAGCAAGGGCACGAAATATATTCCGGCGGCATTGATAACGACATCAAAGTGTGGGACGCACGCAAGAAAGAAGTCATCTATTCTCTCAGGGGCCATACTGAGACCATAACATCTCTCGAAGTATCGCCGGACTCACAGACGCTGCTTTCGAACTCGCACGATTCGACTGTGCGGACGTGGGACATCCGACCGTTCGCTCCTCAAGATCGAGCAATACAGACGTACGATGGAGCGTCTGCTTCCTACGACAAAAACCTCATCCGGGCAAGTTGGGCGCCGAAAGGGGACAGGATATGCGCCGGATCGGGTGATAGATCAGTAGTGGTCTGGGATACTCGAACAGCGAAATTGCTGTACAAGCTGCCTGGACACAAAGGCACAGTGAACGATGTTCGCTTCTCCCCGGATGGCGAGCCGATCATCGTCTCAGCTTCGACAGATCGCAATATCGTTCTGGGAGAGCTTGGCAGGTGAACGCCCAGACTATAGAAGCCTGGAAAGTTATTGCATCCCGCATGCATTCGTCGCCATACGCTGTGCCGGAAACGCTGCATGCAGTAAAGTATTATTGCTCGACACATATCGGCCCAGCGAGGCTAGCGTTGTGGCGCAACGCTTGACAGTATCGTTATCGGCGCCTTCTCCGGATGCTCACATCAGCAATTTATTGCTGCGAGGTCACTTCGACTGGCAACTTCAGCGATGCATGGCATGCACACTGAACCGGCACGCCAGAGATGAAAGACTTGGCGGCTGAAGATATGCCAAGACAAGCATGAAGCTAATGCAAGGTACGCAACGCTCCGTTATTGGACGATGCGCCAGTGTTTCAGATGAGCGTGGTCAGTCCAGCTGGCTGTGGCTATGAACTTTTCTGCCACGAAGAGACCGCATATCCAACCATGCACCTCGAGTGCGCGTTCTTCGACGATTTGTTTCACTGTCCAGATCTAAAGCTTCGTTCCGAAAGGGACCCTGCGACCGTTTCTTTGGCCACAATTCGTGGAAAGTTCGGAGGATCACCTAAGATGTTCCGGACTTCTGCACTGCGGTCGGCACCCTGCAGAAGCCGTTCTGTAATAATGCAACTTGTATGAGGCGATCGCCCAACGCGACATCGCCTAACGCGCCGCATGGCTCGAACGAAGGTAAACAGTAGTAGGTCTATTTCTCTCCGTGGTCATCCTCCTGAGGACCGCATTGTGTCGAGTTCGTGAGGAAAGTGAGAGTGACTCCAAGTCAATACTATCCACTGTGTTCTGTCTTGATTGCATGAGGTTCGGGTAGCATACATCTCTACAACGACTACCATGGTGCTTTCCAGAGCTGCAGGCACAGCTTCCAAATTGCACGAATCGATATCAGCTTTTGTTCCGTTCTTCCTCTCGCACAGAGCCGAATCACGTGTCTCAGCTGCCGAGACCGCCCACAACGTCTTCGATCACGTCGAGTACACCGGCTCAGCAACGTCCACGGGTGGTAATCGGAGAGAGCCCGCTCTACCGACAGTCGAAGCCCGAGCCACAGCCAACATGCCGCCCCCAACCATCTCACGATCACAGACCTACAACTCATCAACATCCTCCTCCACCTCCCAAAGCAGCCGTAAGCAACGACCACGGTACTACAAGACCCGCCCCGTCCACCACAGCCGCAAGACCTCTTCGTCAACCGCCCACACCCGCTCGCAGACACACTCGCATAGCTCCCGTTCCCGTCCTCGCCGCAAGGTCACCGCATTCACACGCCTTCGCCTCGCCACCGAGTCCAAATTCCGCCTCACTATCTCCTTCGGCCTCGCCTTCCTCACCGCCTTAATCCTCTACCTCGGCCTCTTCCTCAGCCATACCTCCAACGGCGCAACCTTCCACGTCTTGTCCATCCTCCTCCTCATCTCCTTCCTGGCCATCTTCTTGCATTCTCTACTGCGCTTCCTGAACCTGAACTCAGAGCTAAAAGCGATGCGGGCACATCGCGCGGGCCTCAAGAAGACACCGAGTGCGAGGGGTTGGAATATAAGTCGGCCGTTGCCTCAGTGGGGCGGCAACGATGTCGTTGACGATGAGAAGGGTCAACACCACGACGACGACATTGGCGAGGGAAATGGTGGGTATGAGCACGATGGCTTCCCGATCTTCAACGGGACCACGGCTGCACACCACTATGACCAGGACTCCTACGACCACGACATCGAGGCAGACGCCGCCAACGCAAATCATCCGGACGTGATCGGTCTGCAGGGCCGACACGTGGTGTACCCGCCGCCAGTGTACGGGAACACCCGAACATCAGTCGTACGTCCCCCTCACCCCCTTGCAAAACCCACGATGCCACGAACTAACGAATCCGCACAGCGCCTCTCCCTCTCCCGCTCCCAACCCAATTCCCCCAATCTCAGCATCCCAAACGGCCAAGCAGGCCACCCTTCCATCACGGCCCCAACAAACGCCACTCTTGCGCCGGGCATGCCAGGCTGGCATCCACCATCCTTTCGGTCGGAGGGCGGCATCACCGCCGTGCTGGAACGGAGGAGGGCGGAGGTGCAGGAGCGGCTCGGCGGTGGGAAGTCAGCAGCCAAGGGAAGGGCGCCAGGAGAAGAAGGGGTTCTGCTTGGTAACGCGAGATACGAGCCTGGCGTGGAGAGAGCTGGTGGTGGCATGATCTGAACTTATCAATTCTGAGATTCATTTTTCCTGGTGACGGTGAAGACAGTTTTCTTGCGATTCCTTTGGCATGCCGGTGCCGATTCAAGGGACGAGGACGAGGCTGTTCAAGTTTGCTCGGTAGCCTTGCGCCTAGCGCATGTTTCTACTGCAGAATGAGAAGTCACGAATGCACGTTCTGATTACAATTGCATTGCACATGGCATCTTCACGTGCTCAGGCTACTATCGTAGGACTGTGCACTGCATTCTCGATGCAAAGAATGGGAACACTCGCGGAAGATCCTATTGTTGGAGTAGCGTTATTCATGATATATGCCACACTTTCACGTGTCTCAAAGCACATTCAACCTAAGTTCCAGAGACAGTACCTGTCAAGAGTCAGACCTCGTGGATTCGTGCGATCTGTCCAACGATGGAGCGCTTGCTGTCCTACTGCGTGGTGGTGTGCCTGCGATCCCTGGCATCGGCAAGCTCAGGGATAATGGCGTTGCAATTTCGCGAGACCTGGATTCATAGGACGAGATGATGTCTTCTCGAGTCATGGTCCCAAGCTCATGGCTCGTAGAACACACAAATGTCGCCGCTCCGCCACAAACGAGGCTCATGAGTCATCTGCGGCTGGGGTAGTGATACGAGAATCTTGACTAGACGACCAGGACATCTCACCCTACTATCGCCTAGTACCTGTTTTCCGAGCCAGATATGCATGATTTGCTGACCCCACCCCAGCCGACAGGAAGCCGCAGTTGTAGTGCTCCGGAACGATCTCCGTCGTATCTGGAAGTTGTAAGTGGAGCCGAGTGAATCAGCGTCTCGCAACGATTTGCAATGCCGCCACATAGATCATTGCTCGCGGCAAAGCTGATCTGGAGGCGGCTGCTTCAGCAGCGGCCCCAATACCAACACTTGGCTCAAGCATCTGTGCCTCTGCGGCCGTACCCTCCAGCAAGCACAGGCTTCGCAGGATCCCACGGTCCAATGACCACATTCTTGTACCGCTGAAGGCCAATAAGCCACCAGCTACAGGCGCCCATGATGAATATCGTAGTGCCTCCGAACAGTATCATGCCCAAAATACCTCGCGAGGTTACGTGCCACAGCCAAGCCCAGCAGTATCCGCAGTCGCCATACGTGTGTGTGTAGGACTTGGACAGGATAAGATTTAGCGAGGCAGTGGATAGTAAGATGAGTGCCATCGTCAGCAGAACATGCAGAGGCAATGATATACTTCGTAGGTGCCGGCGAAAGACCGGAAACAGGCCAAAAACCTGGATGCTGAAAAGCGTCAAGCTGAAGACTGAACTCGTAGAGGGCAGTCGAGACGCCAGCACAGTTGACGCCATCAGTCCAGCATTGGTCGAAAGCGACGAGGGGAAGGGCGGGGCGCGGACAGGAGAGGGAATACTGGCTGATGAGATTGACTCTGCGTCTGCAGGCAGGGTGAGGCCGTCGGGGTCAGTCCGGGGCCGCGTGAGAGGCGGAGGTTGTGCACCTTTCGAACTCTTGCTCGGCGTGAGACTACGATAGTCGAAGAAGAAGATGTTGATAATAAGCAACCATGTTGCAAGCGCCCAAATCGAGTCTGATGACGTCGACTTGGTGAGCGACTTCAGGATTGGGGATAGACCGAGTAGTGCAAAGTAGATCAGCAGTGCCGACTTGAATGTTTTCAGCCTCGCCTGATTGCGCGGTGAGATGGACTGCGGCAGAGTGGTCGGCGATGTAGATAGTGCTGGTGTTGGGAACGTGCGTGAAGTCGTTGGCTCCAGTCTGGGGAAGGGTTCAGCTGCTTCGGTTTGCGGACTTTCGATAGGAGAGATCGATTGAATAGACGGGTTCGACAACGAGTGACCATGACCTTTGGTCTCGCCAAGTTGAGAGGCCAAACTGGTAGTCGATACGCTTGGTCCATATATGCCACCTTTCGGCTTGACATACGCGTGACCGTTAGCAGTGCCATTATTGGTCACAGGCATCGAGACACCTCCGGAGCTCGTGCTCGACGCTTCGTCCTTGTCGTGTGTGACCTTCGCGACGCCCGTCCCATCCATGCGTGCATCTCGCTGTCCCGTCCAGCCATCCCAGAGAAACCAACCAAGGACCGTCATTGCCGTGCCCCATGCGACGACTGTCGTTGGTGAGAGTCGGTCTTGGTAAATACCAGCATACGCAGAAACGAATATGGTGACGGAGCAGACATGCTGGACGATGACAGTAGAGTCTGCGACCAAGGGCCAGAACTCGTAGGGGCGTAGCTTGGGATTCAGCTGCAGATGGTCCAGGAAGGTTTCAGTGTCAGTGTAGTTGTCTGGAAAGCCATGCTGCTTGATCCACAGCAGCTTCTTCCAAACTCGAGGAGGTCTCCTGCGCCTGCTAGCATTTCTTCTTCTCTCCTCGGCGAGACGAGCCGCAACTGGAGGTATGGCCGGAGGAGCACGCAGTGATGCGACCGCGGGTCGAAGAGCTGCGGCGGCGGCGGCAGCAGCGGCAGATCCATGTATCTCTGTGAGCGGCTTCAACCGTGGCGGGGAGGTTGTCTTGTAGGCATCGCCTGGCGCAAGTCGGGCAGTGACAGGCCCGGCAGGCTTGGACTGCTTGAAGATACCACGATTTGGATGGGTCTCAACGGGTACTGGCGGAGGTACCGGTGACGGACCTGGAGATGTCGTGGGCGTTGCAGTCGGGCTCGACACGGGCGCGTCTTGGGCATGTTCAGGGCTTGCCATGCTAGCCCTGGCGGCTATCTTGGCCTCATAGTCGAGCGCAACTATGTCGGGTGGCGTCCAATACCAACCAGCGACGGCCACCTGGGAAAAAGTGTGTCATTCGCAAGCAGGTCGCTGATGTCAAAAGGACGGTGATTTCTGGAGATCGCCATGTACAGTGGTAGCGAGAACCTGACTCGCGTTGGGGTGGCCTCGTTTAGGTGCGAACTAGCCCAGAATTTAAGAAATAGCAGCCCCCAGCAGATTTATTAGTAAGCCGTGCCTGTTGCCTCTCCCCACATCAATTCGTGCAGGCGTGATCAACCTCGATGAGGCAGCAAAGTCATCTACGATGACAGGCGTCGCTTCACTTTAGACATAACGCTACTGTCTACGCTTCTGAGTCGCGTGCAGGTGTAGCCTGCTGTCCTCATGCCATCTACACCGGAGTGGGTGGCGAGTTCCGTGCCAGTGAACACAACTTCCTTCTGTGGACAGAGTTGCTTCTCGTGGACATTCTCGCGACCTCGCCGGGTCACGTATCTTTGTTCCGCCCCCATTTGACATTGTCATGACAGGTACAGTTGCCATGAACCAGCTACGAGCTTAAGAGACCTCACCGCTCTGCTTTGGGCGGTCCGGGAAGTGGGTTTCAGGACATACGACAGCCGCGATCATTTGTGTCGTTGAATCACCGTGAAACTGACAGTGCTGAAATGCCAGCATCTGCAATATGCATTATGTCCTTCAACTCGATAGTATCTCAGCTCACACAAATCGTCATGGCGGTCTATATACTATGAGGCCAGCTTTCGGACCGCATATGACCCGCTACCATACTTCAGCTGTACGGATAGCAAGCGAACTTCCATACGAGGTTCCAATGGACGCCCCGTAAGGCGACAGAAATTGACTGACAAGCAATCAGGCACCCACCTCTAGGCTTGATCTAGTCTCGATTTTACCAATGCGCAACCGGCCGAGTTTCTAGCTGGCACGAGATCGTGCGGAAACGAGGAAAGCTGATGTTGCGGCCGAGTTTCACAGCAGCTTGTTCGGTCTTTCGGGTGCCTTGGATTTACGGCACACACATATGGTGGGTTCGCCAAGCGCTGAGTGTCTTGATGATCGTGCATTGTGTAGCATTCAAGTGTCTGAATAGCGATGAGAGATACTGATGCTGACATTTCTGACGCTATCTAGCGCAGGTTTGCCTTCTATAGCATGGATATCGCTGACATAGGGCTGAAAGGAGTGCAGACGAGCGGCAGTATACCTGACCTAGGTAGGTAGTAACGCAACAAGCTGCCAGTGCCACAATTGGTCACCGCCACGTTCCTGTTGGCCTCTTGCCACTCCGAGTTTCTCTCATTGTTCTCATCAGGCGTACGTGCCAATCATGCTCCTGGCAGCAGAGTTAAACGGGTTGAAAGAGGCCCGAGGGATTGGACTCATTCGTCGGTCGCCTCCAGGAGGCCCCCATATCTTAAAGACCGTTCCCCACTCGTAAATTAGTTTGGTTAGAAACATACGAGACTAGATACTCTCCGTACCGGAGTGTGCCCTGGATGCAAGATCATGGTCGGTATTCCTTGAATGATAGTCGTATAGCTTGACGCCCTTACGGCTGGACTTAGAAGAAGCTCCGTCACGCCCACCGCGATGAGCTTGTCACAGCAATCCGTCATCGTAGTCTGTTTCTCAGATTTCTCAAAGATCCAGCAATCCTAATTTGTTAATCGCTGCGCATATCCCCGAGCCTGGGCTGAACGGCATCTGTACGGCTCACCGAGAGGGCACCGAATATTTGCATGTGTCAACCCACTTCGACTTCTAGTTGCGCCTGCCTCGCTGAGCGTGGCTCAGATCTTGATGCTGTCGCCGATAGTGCTACTTGTTGAGCGTTGAATCTGGTTTGAGGCAACGACGGTCTTAGAATAGCGCACGAGGACGGCCACGAAGCCCTGCGCCATCGTTCAATTCGGCGAACACCATGGTCTACCATGGTCCGAGTCGCGGATGCATGGTATGCCGGAAGAGGCGCGTGAAGTGCGATGAGGTACGACCACACTGCGGCAACTGTGTCCGTCGAAGACAGCAGCAACTTTGTGTATACCGCAGTGGGTCCGACAAAGGTGGTCGGCGGGGCAGTGAAGAGTCCAAGACCACACATGAACACTCCGACCATTCAGTGAACGAGGAGGATGATACAATACCATTTGGTGGGCTCAAACCCATCCTCGTCCTCCGATCATGAGTGCTAAATCTCAGTAGAGCCGAACGTAGTCCTACCGTTTGCGAGCTTGCAGCGTCAGAGCCACGACGGCGAATTCGAGTCGTTGTGCTTCTTCTTCACGAATTATGTCAACATACCACGAGAGAGCCATACAAACCTTTTCTTGGAAGCATTGCAACCTGTGTTCAATGCCTCGTCGCCAGACTCACCACTTCGACACGCTACTACCGCCGTGGCAGTCACAATTTCCGACTTTTGGAGGACGCTCGGGCCTTACTCTGGCAATTCGAGGAGGTCATGGGCTCGTGCCGTTGCAGCAACGCGAAGTGCGATTTTTGACCCGGAGCTATCTCGCAGCGATGAGTTGCTGGCCGCGATATTCATGCTTGACTTTTATCAGGGCCTCAACCGACGGTATGTGAACCTTCAAGAAGATCCAGACCTGCATCAGAAGGCTGCGGTTGCGTTAATTCAAGCGCGTGGAAAGGACAACGTGAAGACAGACTCTGCTCGACGGTTGTACACGTCGCTGAGGTCGAAATACATCTTCTCGCATCTGCAGGCACGAAAACGCTTGAGCTTAGATGGAGCACTGAACCTACCGATAGAACCAGGAGACTGGCCGACAACCAAACTGGATATGGTGATGCTGGAATTAGCCAACCTTTTGGCCGATATCGAGGACTTCTCCCAAAGGAGCCTTGCGTTCGGCGCTTTACATGCCGACATGATCGAGATGGACGACACAACAGAAGCAGAAGCGTTTCTGACGAGGTGCTTTGAGATCAAAGCAGAGATGGGATCGTGGAGGCAAAGTGTTCCGCCCTCGTGGGAGCCACATCGAATAACAGACATGGAGTCAATCCACCACTCGATTCGTGCCGTTGGCCTGTACAACGGACTGTGCGACGTATACAGCTCTCATACTGTGGCGCAGATGATGAACTTCTGGCGAACGATACACATCACGTTGCTTCGGGTGATCAAGCATCTTTCTTGGCAGGTCGGGCCGCAGTTCATGCTGGAGAGTGCGCCAACGGACGCCGAGATCGACGATGAGATCCAGAAGCTCGCGGACGACATATGTGCTTGTGTGCCATTCCACGTGGGGAGTCGCACAACGTTTTGTTACCCATACGAAGCCCAGAATTACCCGCCAGTGCCAGGCTGGCTGAGAGAGTCAGCCGATTATATTGACGGGTTGGGCAATCCGACTCTCTTGACCGATTCAGACCATGCAAGAAGTGCTGCAGCGGCAGGTGGTTGGTTTCTGCTGACTCCCATGACGACTTTGATGGAATACAGCCAGCCGTTTCCCTTAACGCCAGGTGCTGACAAGAGGTCAATTTTGGAGCCGATCAAGTTGCGGCCGGGCCAACTGCGGTGGATCACATCGCAGTGTCGGCGCATCCACAAGATCTACCTCATTCCGTGGCCATACGGAACGACAAATCCAAGCACACTGGGAAGCTTGTCAACCTTGTCGCCGTACTGGGCGTTTCGAGAGGAAGGTTTTGCAAATCCAGCCGCTGATTCGATATCGGTGCCAGTCCACGAGATTGTCGTGTGAGCGTGCAGGTTTGGATCCGTAGCTTCCACCGAATCGCCTAGTCGTCAACTTACAATCATCTCCATTGCATGTACTGAGTGTTAGTGAAGCTACTTCGGTAATCGTGATACAACGCGTCGGATTCTTTTTGCGATGGACGTGCTCGGACTAACAATATTCCGTGCCGAATAGTGATCAAGACTCCATCGCCAAGCAGCTGTGCCAAGAGTTTCGACTCCCACCAAGAGCCTGCGCAGTCTGCAACGACACACGACTTTCCGCAACCACGCCTTCCACCCCTTCTCACTCTATCCTGGCCAGCTAATACTCCGTCACCATGACCAAGGGTACTAGCTCCTTCGGCAAGCGCCACAACAAATCACACACCCTCTGCAGACGGTACGAATGCCTCGAGAAACACCGAAGAAAAAAGCTCGAACTAACACCCACGATCACAGATGCGGTAGAAGATCATGGCACATCCAGAAGAGCACCTGCGCGAACTGCGGCTATCCCGCTGCTAAGGTCCGGAAATGTATGGAACAACCACCAAATCAGCAGTAAAGGAAGCAAAAGACTGACAGACATCAGACGAATGGAGTGAGAAGGCCAAGCGCAGAAAGACTACTGGCACAGGTCGCATGAGATATTTGAAGGGCGTTTCTCGCAAATTTGCGAATGGTTTCCAGACTGGCGCGTACGTCGACTCCTTCCGTCTGGACTCAATGGTCGCAGCAGCAAGAAAAGCAACGGACTAACACATTTCACAGACCCAAGGGTGCTCGTGGACCAGCAAAGGCATAATTTGATTTGTGGACGAGGCGAACGAGATAGCATGATATTCTGCGTCTGTGAGGCTGCCAATCGGTGATGGGAATTCGACGATGAGGAATTGGTACGAGCATCATGCACCACGGAGAAGGAGCCACCGAGCAGGCAAATCCTATGTCCTTAGCAGGTTAAGGAGCGCCAGCCTCCTTGCAATTGAGCAAAGCAGTCACAGTCTGAAGAGGTGGCGGTCGCGACTGCGTCTGTCCGTGATTTGAGCCGGCAGGCTCACAAGACACTTCTGCCTTCTGCACATCCCAAAAACCAATAAAAGCGAATTTCGACCGCCCAAAAATTCTTGTCGTTCTTCTTACAACCAACTGTACGATGTAGTCATGTCGAGAGACATCATCCCTCCTGTGCTTGTTCCATACATTAGACGTGATGGTACTGGCGAGTCTTCGCTCTCTTTGGTAACTTCGACCTTGACAAATCCTCCACATTGGCTGCTGCTTCGACACCTGTATGCTGGTCTCACATCCTCACCACCAAACGCCACATCATCCACCAACACCGTCGTGCTCGTCAGCCTTCTACAATCGAGGGATTGCTGGCTTGAGCTATGTAAGAAAACAGGGGTGGACCTCGTATCCCTGACCAAAAGCAAACAGCTCGTCTACATCGATGGCGTTGACCTCGACTCGAACCCATCCGAAATCAGCAAAAGCATCTTTCCTGTCATAAAATTTACCAGCCTAGATCTAGACGACCTTCTAAGAATAATCACCACCACTATTTCCTCCATAACGCACACCAAGTCTCACACAACTCTAATAATTGATGGCATCGACTTCCTCCTCGCCTTACAACCAGATACCATAACGACCGCCCAACAAACCCTATCCACCCTCTTCCACCTCGCTACACACACCATCGTGACGCTCCACGCCGACGGCCCTTTCTTACACAACCACTCCTCCACGATCTCAACACCGCTAGAGAAGGCCCAGGCCTCGCTTCTCACGACGCTTGCGCATCAAGCCACTTATGTCTTTCAGCTGAGAGGTCTGAGCACGGGAGCGGCTAAGGGAATCACTGGTGTCTTACGTGTGACGCGCGGAGGAGGATTTGACGATGATAGTGAGGAAGGTGGAAGTGCAGAGGGGGTGGATGGGGAGTGGTTGTATCAGTGGAAAGGGGATGGGGGTGTCCATTTGTGGGTTCGCGGCGAATGAAAGACTAAGTGTGCGTCGTTGAGGTAACGCGGTCTGCAAGGTCAAGTGAGGGCATTGTCGTGCAGGCTCGGTCTTTGCGAGGATGATTTGCACTCGTGGGCTTGCTTGATGGCGCTTGTGCATAAGTATTGGCCGTTAACGGAACCGTAGACGTAGTGGAGCATAATTGATATGGTAGAGGCTCGAGGCTGCTACAGGCACCGACTACAGAAGACTGCATATTTAGATAGGTATCGAGACTTCTCGCGATTGTCGCGACGAGGACGAAGACCGAAATCACAGTCAAGTTTGTCTTTCCCACTGTCTGATGCGCCATGGCAAGCCGCTCTGACTGTACTTCCATGCGCTGCTGCATCGTCCTACCTGCATGCCCAAAGGAAGACTGAGCCATTTCCCCAGACTTGACCTCGGTGGTGGCTTGCCGAACGGCGCCCAATCATTAGGACCTGCAGTAACCCACAACGCCAACCCTAGGCGAAAACTTGAGCTCGGTCTTCCGAGTACCGAGCGAATCTGGCTCCCATGACGCTGTTCCAGAGCAGTCCGTGTCCGCGCTGCAGCACGATGTGAAAACACCGAGGAGCATCTTGAGTTCACGAGATCATCCTCGTGAGAGCTAGGGAGATTTTCTTGACTTGCCTCAATTCCCTTGGACGACGGCGGCTTCCTTTCCTTGTCTATACACATTCTCATATAGTATTGTTAATAACAGCGAAGCGAATCGTCACCATCGGTCACGTCTCGAGCCCACATCGCCCTTCACGATTAGAACCCTCCTACGCACTACCCAGGGGTATCCGACAGCAGTCTGATCAACTACATACTTTGCGGGCCCGCTGTCAACTAACACCCTGTCGATCCCAGTGTCGTAACGACCATATAGCGTGACCGAGCACCGCACCCACACGCAAGGACCTTCAGAATCTTCAGGACCAGAAGCCTCGGGCAGTAACAACCTGCTGACGGCACCTACCACGGTCCCGCCCGTTCTCTGTCTTCTCACCCGCTTGCAAACGGCGAGCGAACTGAATCGAGCAATTTGGACATAGTCGAACCCCAGAAATGACATCCCGCTTCGCAGGCCGTCGCCTCTTACGGCCACTCCTCTACACAGCCGGATTCGGCACTATAGCCACCGGCGCATTCTACATAGCATACAGACCAATATCCGTGCCGGGGTCAGAAGGAGCCGCTGTGGCCCTCCGATTCACAGAAGATGGCACAGTCATCCCACCCGAGTTCCCTCACCTACGCAGTCGAGCTACCATGCTGTCAGAGCTCCGGAGAAGCGGTGGGAACGTGAACGAAGACGGATCGACAGCTGTAGCCACAGAAGCCGCCGTAGAGGGCGTGAAAGAGACTGCGAAGAAAGGATGGAGTGGCATCAAGCAGCTCGGCAGACAAACTTCTGTGGACCCGCGACCTGATATTCCAGGCGCTGGGCCTGGAACGGTGATCACGAAAAACGAAGCAGCAGAAGCATCAGACGATGGAGAGTATGATCTACTCGTCATTGGCGGCGGAGCCACAGGCAGCGGCATAGCTTTGGACGCCGTGACAAGAGGATTGAAGGTGGCATTGGTGGAACGCGACGACTTCGCTTCAGGCACTTCATCGAAATCTACAAAACTCGTACACGGAGGTGTGCGGTATCTGGAAAAGGCCGTTTGGGAGCTCGACTACAACCAATATGCTCTTGTCAAGGAGGCGTTGCGGGAAAGGAAATATTTCTTGGATACAGCACCGCATCTATCGAGCTGGCTGCCGATCATGATCCCCATGCAGAAGTGGTGGCAAGCGCCGTACTTCTGGGCTGGCGCAAAGGCGTATGATATGTTAGCTGGGAGCGAAGGCATCGAGAAGAGCTACTTCTTGACCAAATCGAGAGCTGTGGAAGCGTTCCCGATGTTGAAGAGCGATGATCTGGTAGGAGCGATGGTCTACTATGACGGCGCGCACAACGACAGCCGCATGAACGTAAGTCTGGCTGCGACAGCAGGACTTTACGGCTGCACCGTTGCCAACCACGTCGAGGTCACAGGTCTCTGCAAGGACGAGACCACAGGCAAGCTCAATGGAGCATGGGTCAAGGACGTTCTCCAAGAGAAGGACGGCAAGCAGGGTGTCAAGAGCTTTCGCATCAAAGCCAAGGGAGTGATCAACGCGACTGGGCCCTTCAGCGACTCAATCCGCAAGATGGACGATTCATCAGTACAAGAAATTGTTGCACCGAGCAGTGGTGTACACGTTGTCCTACCAGGCTACTACAGCCCCCAGCAGAACAGCATGGGCCTGATCGATCCCTCAACATCAGACGGACGTGTGATCTTCTTCCTCCCCTGGCAAGGCAACACCATTGCCGGAACAACAGACGCACCTTGCGAGATCAACCCGAATCCGATTGCAGGCGAGGATGAGATCAGCTGGATTCTCAACGAGATCAAAGCTTACTTGTCCCCTGACATCAACGTCCGCCGTGGTGATGTCCTCGCAGCATGGTCCGGGATCCGGCCCTTGGTCAAAGACCCCAAAGCCAAGAACACCGAATCGCTGGTCCGCAACCATCTCGTCACCATCAGTGACTCTGGACTTCTGACTTGCGCGGGCGGCAAGTGGACCACATATCGTCAGATGGCAGAAGACGCCGTCGATGAGTCCATCAAGGTCTTCGGGCTGAAGACTTCCGCCATCACAGACGCCATTCGTGTCAGCGGCACCGAGATGATCGACGATGCCGCGCCTTTGGATGGCACATGCCAAACACATCAAGTCCGCCTCGTGGGCGCACACGGCTTCAGCAGCACACTGTTCATCAACCTGATCCAGCACTACGGCCTCGAGACAGAAGTCGCCAAGCATCTCGCTGAGAACTACGGTGACCGTGCATGGACGGTCGCGGCCCTCGCGTCGCCGACCGAAGAGCGCTTTCCTGTTCGCGGCAAACGACTATCCCCGTTATATCCATTCATAGATGGCGAAGTGCGTTATGCCGTGCGGCATGAGTTCGCGCAGCGCGCGGTCGATGTCATTGCGAGACGGACGCGGTTGAGCTTCCTGAATGCGCAAGCCGCACTGGAGGCGCTACCAAAGGTGATCGATATCATGGGCGAAGAGCTGGGCTGGGGAAAGCACAGGAAGGGCGTCGAGTGGACCGAGAGTGTGAAGTTCCTGGCGAGCATGGGCTTGCCAAAGAGTAAGTTAGGTCTCAGCAGGGAAGATGTAGAGAGTGGGAAGGCTGGGTTTGCGACCGAGTACGAGAGGAAGCTGTACAGTCGGCATGGTAAGTCCTGATCCCCTGCGTTTTGTGCGTGAGTTGTGTTCGCTGCTTGTTTAGTGGAGACGATGTTTGCGAACAGTCTTGGGACGATGCTGGTGCGTGTGTTTTTGCTAGCGTTGATCTACTTTGCAGTCTGATGCTGACCTGAAGATGGTACAGATGGTCCAGCAGATACATTGGAGAGCGACTCGAAGCTCAAGCCCGGGCAAAATCCCGTTCTCACGAAAGAGGGCGAGGACAAGGTCGTATAAACGCGCATAGCCGACATTGACTCGTGAAGCCATAAGGCTCTTCTTCGCGCCTTTAGAGTGCTCCTGCATTATTGGCGCCTTGGATTTGGTTGATTGTTGTCTTCGGTCTAGGATGCCAGATCGCATAGGAATTCTTGGGTGGGCGTAAGGAGTTGATATACGACGTGTGGTTCTTATGCGCGACCACCGACTGAGAGCATATTCGTTGCAGACGCTGGCGGGAAGAAAGTCCAAATCACTGCAGTGAGGCTGAGCAAATGGGTTTATCGACCATGTCGTTAACGGAATTGATTCTCAAAGCTCCTGCATCAGGTGTATCGAACGGACGGTCGAGGGCATTTACTGAACAAGAATCGACCGATGTCTTGGGGCTGCCTGCTCCCATCTGCAGCACCAAGGATCAGGGCACGAGATGCTCGAAGGTGATTTAGACACACGAGCCCACGACTCCATGCCTGACAGCACCGCAAAAAGTGAAAAGCAGACAACTATTAATTTGATACATATTTCAACTTGAACCTTCACGCCACAGGAAGACGTTACTGTCATGCACTCTCACGGGTTCCCCCAACATGGATCTGGTCTGCCTCCCACTTTAGTCCCACTGATCTGCCTTTTCCACTTTCGAAGCGACATGGATGCACCTTCGCTGGGCCGAGCACCTTCCCGGAATGAGCAATCCCTCGGACCTACTTGAATGAAGTACCACCTAGGTAGCACCTACCACACTACCCACATTGCGCCGTCCTCGGCTCGCTGCTGCCGCTTCTCTCCATTCCCTGCAGCTCCGCCTACCAGACAAACAGGACAGAAATTGTTTGTACTACCTAGATAAGAATTTCAGAAGCGTGAGGCATCACGAAATCGACATGGAGGAATATTTTTGGTGCCGGCGATCACTCCACGGACACGAGACCAGCAGCGTAGGCGGCTACGCAGTCCGCTACATGGGCCGAGAGGCGGTTGGCGATGTCAGTGACCGGCGGTTTTGGGCCCGCTGCTCGGGACCTGCTGACGCCAACTTGGCACATGTCTTCCTCGGTGCCCCCATTCACCGCGCGGTCGCGGACGTGTCGGCCGTGCAGAAGAGAGCAACACCGACGAGTCGGAGGGGTAATTCATGATGAGGACAGGGGCTCGATGGTGCGTCTCGACTGCTTCGGAGGACCTCCGAAACAGACATCCTTCGACAGCGACATGGACGAGGATACAGAGGCGTACTGGCGATAACGGCACAGTGAGAGGAAACTGCAGCGACAGGAAACTACAGCGACAGAAAATTACAGCAACAGGAGACTACAGCGACAGGAAACTACAGCGACAGGAAACTACAGCGACAGGAAACTACAGCGACAGGAGACTACTTGGCTACGGCGACAGCACACTACAGCTCAGACCGTCCAGTGGCAGCGACGTACGGCTCACGACTACACCGAGGGATTTTACTCATGACGAGGACAGGCGGAACAAATGGCAGCTAGGTACAAACAGCGACACACGTCTACAGCAGCGACAACAAGATCATCTCCGGCGACGACATGAGAAGAACACACCCCCGAAGGCTTCGCAGAAAGCAAAGCCAGCCGATGGTGCACACACATATGACTTCAAATACCAACATATCTCGTTGCTCAAGTATGGCAAAATTCGAAATATGGCAATATTATTCGACGTATGTTGTACAAAGGAAGGAAAGATCTTTCTGAGGAGAGCGAGGGCAGAGCCTGTATATATAGCGCTCTGGTTGTGAGAGCACATGTCAGTCTGAAGGGAACATGTGAGTCAGAAGGGTAGGAGCTGAATGTTGTTTGCTGTTGGCTGCACAAGCTGAGGTATGAAATGTGCTCAGGAGAGGTTTCCGCTCCACCCTGCCCCCCACTATACGCTTGTCCAAACACAACAATCGCTCAATGAGGCAGGTCAGCTTCCCACTGTGCTCATTCATCTGATTTGGCGGAGCCTCCGGCGACATCAGAGCTGAGTCACAATTGAACTGAGCAGGATTTCCGCTCCACCCCCCTCAGCTCCTCCACCACATTCTCCACCCAGCTCCAATTAGCGGCAAGACACAGCCCAAGCAGGCAGGCCAACTTCCCGTTGCGCACTTCTATCTGTTTTTGCGGATCTCCAGCGACGTCACCACCGGTGCGCCTGCATTTGTGACTCACATTAACAGGTTCCAGCTGAGTCGTCTGAATTCAGAAGCAATTCCCGCTCCGCTGCTAGAATCGCGAGCCAGCATGTGCACTTCCTATCCAATCGTGCAGCTGAACGGCTTGCCAGCATGCCGAGCATTCTCGTGGATATTGATGGCACTCGAGTAGATGCCCGCCACGAACTAGAGAACCGTATGTCAGTACCGCTGGCTTCGAATCGGACCAGAGCCCTCCTCAACAGAAGGGAAGCAACTTACAATGACAGCTCCAACAACAAAACATCCCACGTTCACCATCGTCAAGACAACCTTCTTCCATCCCCATTCCCATTTCCCTCTCCTCTTCAGCTTCGGGTTGTTGCCGCTTACCCCTTTCCACTCAAGTTCGTAGTTCATCCAAAGCCAAAACACGCCTATCACAATTGTCAGCATGAACCCTGTCTCGGGAGATGAACAACAGCCGGGAAGCTGATGGCGCGCCCAATTTTCAAGGGAAGCATACCTTGTATTCCGTAAGTGAACCAGCTCCCAAACAACGCCCCTGTCAACCCGACCAGATCATGAAACACAGGCACGATTTCCGCTATCAGCCACGCAACTATCCACAAAGTTGCCGCGATGGCGATCCAAATCCCACGAGCCTTGAAGGTCTTCTCATGCATGAGAGTCTGCCCCGAGGAGGAGGAACGGAGGAGGCGCACGTAGAGCCATTTGACAGCGACGTGGCCGTTGATTACGCCGGCGATGAGGATTGTGGGGAGGGCGATGCCGCTGATTGGTTCACGTTAGCTTGTGGTCAAGAAGATCTAATGAAGAGAGTTGGCGGAGTGAGTGCTATAGCTTTGCGATGAAACGGATTTGTACTTACAAGGCAATCTTGCGTGGCAGCGAAGAGGTGCTGAGTAGGCAGGTGATGCAACAGAATCGCCGGCGTAAATGTACTGCACGACCAATCAGTGACCCGGAAGCGTATGACACACCAGCAGTGCGATGCCGCAGCTCAGCACGGCAGGTATAGCGATGTGTAGAAATAGTGACCACGGCTCCGCCGTCGTGGTGAGAGCACTTACTGCCAATTGTCAGCACCAAGTCTGCCTCAGATCCAGGCAACAACCCTCACCAATGACGACTGCCGTAACAATATACATGCTAATATCCGACACCTGTAAGAACGTCAAGGCCTTGGGAAAGTCCTTCGGGTCCTTCAGTTCCGAGATGAATGCGAAAAAGGCCACATGCCCGGCGTAAGCGAAGACGATGTTGCACACCGCACTAAAAGCCTGGTGAAACTGCAGATCCTTCTTCGGCCACAGCGCAATCTGTGGCGTGTTGGTGGGAGCAAGATCTACACCGAGCCCGACAGTCGAGCTAGAGACCCAGCCCGGCCGCTCCATCGAAATGGCAATCATGGTGACAAGAACCGCCCCGATAATGCTCAAGAAGCTCGCGACGGAGTAGTAGCTCACATGCCTCAACGTCCTCGGTATTGTGAGGGCAAAGCTCAGCACGAACCCGCCGAAGAGATAGACCACAGCGCAGACACCCTTGCCCGTTGGTATCAATGTATTCATCGCCACGCCAAATGAGAGGATATGGGCGCCATGATGAAGACGATGAAGAGGATCTGGCCGGCATGATGACCTCGCTGAGGATCCGACCTGAGATGAGCTGGCCTGCGTCCGCCATAGAGTGGATGTTTTCGTGGCGCAGACGTAGTTGGCCGATCACGTAACCGGTATAGGTGGCGAGGATGCCGAAGAACAGGAGCAGGATCAGGCCTGGGATGAGGCCTAGGGTGGCGAGGGCGGCGGGGAGGGCGAGGATGCCAAGGGAGATTGTCTCTGCTACCATGAGCATGCCTGCTCGCCTGTGGCAATGTCAGTTGGGGTGGATTGCTCAAGCTGTTATGGGAGAAGGGCGTAGATAGAAGCGGCACTGTGAGGCGACCTGTGGACATAGCACCTTCGCGGCCACGCCTCAAAAGTGGGACAGCGTCTCCCTGAACTAAATGTAACCATAAAACAAGGAGTGATAGAACGTAAGGCTGGGCGGGATGAAACATGGACTTACCACCAAGTCAAACTCATATAATTGACCCCTCCCTCAACATGACCAGCAAAAGGATTGTCAGCACCCACCGCGCCACCAACTACTGGCTCAGCGGCGGACGAGAGAGTCCTGACCTGCCTGACAGCAGACAACTCCTCCAAAGTCTCCTTCGTCCAAGCAGAGGCATCTCGCGCGAACCTCCTCTCGCTAGCCCTGGTCTGCGCCGCAATTGTGGGCTTGGACATTCTCCTCGGGCCACCCTGAACGTCGCCAGGCTCTACAGGCTCGAACGCAGTCGTAGCGTCGGAATCATGTCTAAGCGCAGCTGGAGACTGAACTTTAGACATTCTTCTCGGACCTCCTTGCACGTCACCAGGTTCAGGCGTCGTCGAGAATTCCGAATGATGGCACAAATCTCCCGCGGGCTGATATGGTGTAGACGCGGTCATTGACTCCGGTGAAGTCCTTGGGTGCAGATTCGTGAATCGTTGCTGGCCGTCGCCGTAGGGGTCGCTCACGATTGTGGACGGCCCGAGAGGCTACACGCGCAGGAGTCTGCGGCGCCTGTTCCTGGTCCTGTGGGTCTTGCTGTTGCTGCTCTCGCTGTCGCTGATGCAAGTGATATTGTCGATTTCGTCTGCAGCGAGTCCGGTGTCTTCGAAGATCAGATGGATCAATGGGGTTGTTGAGTGACGCTTCACTGTTCTTTGTTCTGACGCTCTTGTTGGTGGTGAAGCTGGTAAGAGACAGACGAGAGGAGAGCCTCTTCAGTCCAATACTCTTGGTCTCGTCCTCGTTGTGAAGGGCAGGGGATAATTCGAGTTGCGAGCGGGAGAATGAATTGATGCACGCGGTAAAGGCTCCGGAGAGGTACTTGAAGATGGATCGAAAGAGCATGAGGGTTGCCTTGATGATGAGCCGTGAAACTACCTTCGAAATTGGCAGCGAGAGTACCTTCAGGATTAGCAGCTAATAGTCAGTTGCAATTCTGTGTTGTTATCTGGAGCATGCCTGAAAGATGTGGAAGGCACACTGTTAGAGCCAAGATGAGAAAGAGACGGATCAACCACACAGATAAGATCAGAATAATAACAATGGCTGGGGCATATTGCTCAAAACGAGGGGATGACCCCGTCAGATCACATTCAGCTGTATGGGTACCACGAAAGAGGTAACTTCGATGCCATTCTGGTGATGCTGCGGTGTTGCAGCCTCCGACCAGACTTCAGTGGGTCATTGTTGATTCGCTATCGGACTCCAGGGCCGCAGGCGTACAGGCTGCCTGCATTGCTGTGAGCTGAGACCGAAGTGAAAGGTTCTTCGAGCATGTATTGTATGCAGTTATGCCTTTCGCCGAGCGGCCGAGAAGCACCGAAGGCCGCCCGATGGGTGCATCGCCTGGCGAGCTGCTTCAAGCAGCCGTGTTGGAGCGTGACACTTGAGCTCCGGCGTCCATGCTCCTTGCAGGTCCTGCTTGTTGGTGCAGGACGCGATCCAGTTCGAGCGATAGCTTGATGAGGCTTAAATATCAGTCAAAAGCTTCTTCTGGCGGAGAAAGCTTCTGAGGGCGGAGCATCAACACTAAGCAATGACATGATGTCAGTCTCGAGAGCTTCCCCGGCACTCGCTGCAATCAAACGTGCTCTTTGTTGTACGTGCCAGCCGCCTCTTTGACGAGGCTGCCGTCCTTAGCACTCTATGCTTTGGTCGCCGACTTCTTCACGTCTGGGCCAGGCTGAATTCTCGCCATCATCTCTTCCCGTTGGATGAGATGGCCAACCCTCTCGAGCAGACCCAGAAGACCCTTCATGCTTCCAGACCACTCATCGAGCACCTCATCTGGACCACGACGAACCTCAAAATCGACGACACGTGCAGGCCGATCTATTCTGGCGAAGACTGTCTTCTTGGTGACCAAATCAGAGATGTACTTTTCTGTTTCCTCCTCGGTGAGATCAAGCAGCTCCGTCAACCGGGGGAAGGTGATGCGTGTGTAATATTTCGCAACGACTCGGACGTTATGTTCGATGACTCGATGACGGAGCGCCTCATAGCGGCCGTGAGCCTTCTCATCGTCCTTGTCCTTCTCTTTGCTGAAGATGTCGGTCGAGGTGAGATGTGCGCCGTATTGTTGCTCAACCATGGGCCAACGCATCAGCTCAGATATGGTGAACTGCTTCAGTAATGCAGCATCCTTAGAAACCTCAGCCAGATTGCGGGCGTCCAGATTGATACGGTGCAGCAGATCTGATTGTTCATTGTCGTAAGGTGCCAGGAGGATGAAGTAGATGACGCGCTGGAGCACAGCTCGGAGTTGTTCAGAGTTCTTCTCGACGGACTCTGTATCGAGCACTTGGCGGTAGTGTTTGCATGCGTCCAAGTATTTGTCTTCGTGTTTGGCCAAGGTGATCTGCTGCTCGTAGTATCTCAATTTTAGATCAGTAACATCGTCATCGACAACCTCGGCTGGAGGGTCGGATGGCTGTCGCTTCTTTTCCTCCTCTTCTCGCTTCTTGCGCTCAGCTTCGAGCTGCTCTGGTGTTTTTGTAGGTTTCCGTGCGAAGTATCGTGTCGAGATCTTTCGGGACAGAATCTGTGCTTGCGTCCAGTCTCCGCTGTCTATACAGAGTGCAACTTGCTCTAGAATGAATTCGGTCTTTTCTCTTCTTGTCATCGAGCCAAATGTCTCGACCTGTAACTCGCACAAGATGTCTCTGGCCTTGTTGATGTCTCCCTGTGTCTTCTTGATGTTGGAGAGGATACGGGTCACTCGGGCGCGCTCGACCTCAACGAAGATCTTGCCTTCGGTGACGGTCCGTAATGTCTCGATGACGCTTAGCTTCGTCTCCAGGTCTGGTGTGTCATCGATGAAGCTCATCACATCCTGGACCATCTTGGTGATGGCTTGCTTGAGTTGTCCATGCTTCTTCGACAAGAGGAGTACCTGCTCGTTGAGCATACTCCAGTCTCCTTGCTGCTTACATATTGTGACGATCGCTGTCAACGTTCTCGAGGTTGAAGCAAGATCTGAGGACTGGAACATGGGTCAGTCTGGGTGAACGTGACCTGATGGGAAGAAATGTACCTGTCTGGCTTTCTTCTCAAGGCCGGTCAATTGGTCGATGGCCTTCGAGAGGTCGGACTATTGGATGTCAGTACGGTCTGGAATGCCTGAGAGGACGTCGCAAAACATGCCTTTGCTGTGCTCTCCGCCTCTGGTATGATTCTGTCTGCCTCCTTCGACCAGTCCTTGTCGGCTTTGAGTAGCCCGTCCGACATCTTGACGGAAAGCGAAGACCTAGGATTGTTCTGCGGACCGTGGTGCGTGAAGTACTTGGGACGAGACGAATGAAAGGAGGCACACTTGAGAATGCTATTGCTTGCGAAAATGTAAATCTATGTCAACGATGGAGAAGGCGCGATGGCAATGCGCAAGCAAGTGAGGTAGACTACGGCACACTAGATGGGCAAGTGCGCACGTCATCCGGCTTCGATCATGCCCTTGACAAAATACGCTGACGCCTCCTGAACTTCACAGGTCCAGCTCTACCTCTGTACTTGCCGGCGTCGAAGAGCATATCAAAATCGTTCCTGCTCCGTCGCCCTCAGGGCCGTCGACTTCGCCCTTCAACAGCTTGGTTTCGCAAGTGCAACATATTCCGCTACGGCACCCGTAGTCAGGTTTGAGGCCTTGCGCTTCAGCAAATTGCAGAAGTGTCTGTGAGTCTTTGGCGTGCCATTTTGCAGTTTTCTTGGATTTGCAGAAGGTGATAGTAGCTTCCTCGATGTCGGCCATGTTCAGTCGACGAGTCTGTTTTAATTCGTGTTCGAGCAAGTGGACAACGAAACAGGTGGGCTGTTACTGATGAATTCCCGCCTTCTATGACGATTGAGGTTTGGCACGAATCGGTGAGAGTAATGGTCTTGTATTCGCCTGCACTTGAGGTCAAGGCGAGACTACTCGAAGCCTATCACGTCCGAGTCGAATAGGTATCGAATATCAGGTAACGTCGAGTGAGATTGCGATGCCGAGTGGGAAGCCGCCCTGACCATGATTGATTATATCGGAGGTGCCGACTAAGGGCGGAATTTGCCCGCCGAGCCTCATCACCAAGGCCTTTGACTCCGATTCTATCTAAGCATATAAGCCAGCACCTCACATGGGAGCTCGACAGTCCTCGTGGCTACCTCCTGCTCACTACCGTCAGACTATTTTATGAGATGATCCTGCCTGTGAGACGCTGCTCAACGCCAGGAGAGAGATTGTCGCAGCCATAGTTCGCTGCTCTGATTGAAGCCCATATCACAACATGGTCCCTACCAGCGCCCTTATTTGCACGCAATGGTTTGCGATCCACCCAGCTGTCCCCTTGCCGCAGCAACAAGCCTTCCAAGCAGCTGCCGCATAACATATCTCTCGCCTTCGTAGTCCATATCATACCAATAATTGACCGCAATACATGGCGCAGGACAGCCGTCGTCCCACTGCCCACACTCCTGCGAAACATGATGATACCATCCGGACGGCAGATACAGCATCTGTCCCTGCATCACCGTGACACTCCGCATCGATCCTGGATCCACAAAGTCTGGAGATAGGGGATCAAGGTCTACCCATGGTATTGCGTCCGTGTCATCATCAAGCACAACATCGAATGCATCACCTTCAGGTCCCTGGCGGTGGACGTATCGTCCCGTCTTGACCATCCTAGTCGGCATGCTCACTTCATCAACAGGTGCCCAAAGCCTGAACGTTTTGCTGCCCCTGAGCACCAGGTACAGATTCTCGTAGGGATCTCGATGCACACTAGTGACTGATCTGTGGTTGCCAATCCAGATATTTCGCGCATCAGGCTCTCCTAGGACGGCTGCTGCAAAGTCGAAGTTGTCAGGAAGGTCCTTCCGTAGTATAGAAAATTCTGGTGTGTCCAGATTCGAGTTCTGAGACTGTAGGTAGCGGACAAGCGCACCCACCTCTTCATCATCTCCGGGCCGGGGAGTCAACTCGTGCAGGAGATCAGATATCTTCATCATCTGGCTGGCGGGCTGTACGAAAACACGATCCTCGTCCTTCCCTGCTGCACAAACGTCATCGAGCTGCAGGTCAACCAGTGCATCCGCATTTCCATGCGGCGTCAGAGCAACCTCGACAACGTCCTTCACCTTCCCCTGCAGATCATCCGCTGTCCACGAGCATGCACGCCATGGTCTTCCTGCCGTCGTTGACCCTTCCGTACCCGCGTAGATATCGTAGACTACTGGCAGGCCTCGCACCACATGCTTGGAGAAGTCCAGAGCTGTCGGTGCTGGTAGAGCGGGAATTACTGGGAGATTGTAGTCGTGGTAGTCATCCTGCAGAGTTTTGAGATTCGACCAGATCAACTCACTGTCATCGCGCAGCGTCGTCATCAACCTTCGCTCAACGCGCCACCCTCATGCGTGACACAAGCGCAGTCGGTCTAAGCGTACGCATGCGCTGAGTGCGATGACACGGGTTAGTAAGTGAGCAATGCTATAATCTGCAAGACAAGCGAAAGGAAGGACTGGATCGATCAAGTGTAGCAGAATTCGAGATCAGCACTTGTCAACCGGTCTCTGACAAGATGGCTTATCATCCGGCGATAGCTAAGCCTTGTCGATGACCAGTCAGCCGGTCTCGTGGAAGGACTTGGTCGACCGGTTATATGAGAGCCTCTTCGAGATGATCGTTGTTATCACAGTCGACTCGTCGGGCGAGCTTGACCTAGGGTGACTGTCGACCTGCTGGACAGTGACGGCCTTATTCTTTGTAATGTTGCGATGGAGGACAAGAGCCCCAGACGTGCACGAACTTGCCGTAGATCGGAACAGCAGATGTCAGGACCATTTATATTCCTTCCCTCATTCTACACCAAACACGGCTGCAGCATCAGACACGTACACTTTTCATTTCATACATAACAATACATTCGATGGGCCTCGACAGTCCAACAATTTCGCTCCGCCGATTTTCAATGAGCCACGTTAGTATTGACCAGCAATCGTGAAAGTACCAGTCTTCGAGAGAGATACTCGTTGACTGCAACATCCTTTCCAGATTCCTTGCCATAACCACTCTCCTTAATGCCGCCAAATGGAGACTCTGCGGCGGACGAGTTGCCAGTGTTCTGTTGTCATACTGATTAGCAACGTACTCAAATTTAGCATCGGGATCGAAACTCACCAGACCAATCATACCAGCCTCCAAATTCTCCAGCATCCGCCATAGACGATCGACGTTCTTCGTGAAAGCATAGCTGGCAAGACCCATGCTCGTCTCATTTGCCCACTTGACAACCTCCTCTTCCTTCTCGAACTTGTAGATGCCAGCAACCGGAGCAAATGTCTCCTCTTTGCTCATCAACATATCAGGTGTCATGCCAGTAAGGATAGTGGGGTCCATGAAGTAGCCACCAACACCCTTGCCATTGCCAGAGCCCTCACCCTCGGTCGCACCCTTGTGCGCCTTTCCAGTTCCCAGCACGAGCTTGGCTCCGTGCTTGACAGCATCGGCCGCTTGCTCTTCTGCCTTCGCAAGACCACGAGGTGTTGTGACAGGACCCATAGTGGTACCCTCGGTTGCACCATGGCCGACCTTCAGAGCCTTTGTTTTCTCAACCAGGATTTGGGTGAACTTGTCGTATACTCCCGACTGAACATACAGGCGGTTGGCAGTGATGCAAGCTTGTCCGGCGTGGCGCCACTTCAGCGCCATGTACTGATTAGCAGCCTCCTCCAGGTCGGCATCATCGAAAACGATGAACGGGCAGTTTCCACCAAGCTCAAGTGTGCACTTCTTCAGACCCTTTGCACAGAGGCCAGCAACGAGCTTGCCGACCCGAGTCGAGCCGGTAAACGTGACCTTCTTGGTCAGAGGGTGTTCAATTAAGGCCTGCGACAGCGCCGGCGTGTTCGCGAGCGACGTGGTGAGAACGTTGAATACACCAGGGGCGAAACCTGCCTTCGTGGCAAGGTGCGCAAGTGTCAGACAAGTGAGTGGCGTCTCTGGCGATGGCTTCACCACCATCGTACAGCCAGCAGCGAATGCAGCGCCGGCTTTGCGAAGAATCATGGCGATTGGGAAATTCCATGGCACCAGAGCCACTGCCACACCGATTGGCTGCTTGATGACGAAGGTCCTCCGGTTGGGTGCTGATGGCACTGAGATGCTGCCCTGTATACGTTCTGCTTCGCCAGCGAACCACCATGTGAAGCCCAAGGAGTAAGTAAGCTCGCCATAAGCTTCTGCTAGAGGCTTGCCTGTCTCGTACGTAAGGATCTTTGCGATGTCATCTTTGTTGGCCGTAATGAGCTCGTGCCATTTGAGGAGCATCTCAGCACGCTTCTTGGGATTCAGAACCGAGTACTCCTTGAAGGCTTTGTGGGAGGTCTGGATGGCATTGTCGACGTCGTCGACATCGTTGTCTGGACATGAGGCCCATGTCTTGTCCGAGCCGGGGTCGACGATGTCGAAGCGTTTCCCAGACTTAGCATCGACCCATTTTCCATTGATGTAGGACTGTTGATGCAGCAGATCGGGATCGCTCAGCTTGAAAGGCAGAGAGTGTGTGCCGTTGGTGTTGCCGTTTGTGGCCATCTTGCGCTTCTTGCTAGGTGGTACCGTTGTGTATGAGTTCGTTGTACAAGCCGAGAAGATTCGAAGATTCAGTGCTCGCGCAGAGAATTTGAGAGGTTGATCAATGAGGTCATGGAGTGATGAGGAGAGAGTGCGACAGCAAAGTTATATACTTACTGGAATTCATCGCGTAGCCCCGCTCACGTTCTATGAGCCTCGAGCATTTGACGTGTCGTGCGTCCCCCTCCTCCCGTTCTCCGAGGTCGTTGTCGTTGGAGAAGCTCGAAAATCAATGGAGTTAGGAGGTAGGTTTAAGCAACGTCCTGACCCGGCACTCCGTTCACCGGAGCTGGTGCCGCATTGTCCCGCAGTCTCACGCTTCATCCGTGTATCTTACCAAAGCACGCCGTGATCTTTTGTTCGATAACTCGCTGAACTTCCCGGTCCGCAACTAGAAGTTGGCGATGTTAGCTAGGTATTACGATTTCTCGCTCCCGATACGGCGCGCATAACGAGCACGTTTGGACTAGGCTCTACTCAACTGTAGGGATGGGCGCCCCAGGACAGCAATGACTTCCAGTACGCGACTGATGGGACGACGGTGTGCAACAGGGAGGTCGAGATGTCGATTGTCTTCGAGTCCACTTTGGCGCGACTGTCATGGCCGAGAATGTGGCTATTTTACTCTTTCCAGAAAGCCTCCCAAGCCTGAGCTTCGTGTTAGGCGGAGAACATGGTCTTGGCGGCAGGAGCTAAAAGTCGCCATATGTAGACACGACGACTTTGCTATCTCGAGGTCATGGCACGGACGAGGGCGCGACAACTCATTTAAACACAAGGACGTATAACAGCTTCCAATGCTGAGAGACCAGACCAGCCTGTCAGACCATGCTCCCCAGGGACTGCGATCAGCTCTTCTTTCGACGTGCAGGTTTGAGCGATACGAAGGTCTCTCTTTCCTGACCACGCCGGACACGCGCCTCCAAGTAGGGACTTACGGAAGCATCTCTGAGTGCCACGCCGCTTCTGGTGAACTCCCTCACTTGCTATCGACATGATCAAACCCGTGGTGAATGCCGCGTCCTCCCCAGCCCTGGGCTTTCCAGTGTACTGCATAACAAGACGCTGAGGCTTTGTGTTCGCCGACCATTCTGTTGCCCTACCACTGACCAGCACTACCATGGGTCGCGTACCTAGTTGACGTGAACTCGCTGTTGAATTTCGCCATAGGGCCCACCGTGGTCCGTGGCTGCTTCCCAGAATGCCATCGAGCTGAAAAAGTCGTAAGTAAGCATCTTTTCGACTGAATGAGTTCCGGCAGCTTTTCTTCACGAGCAATTGCATCCGCCACCATGACCTACCTGTTAGGCATCGCGATGCACCATCAATTGACCGAAGTCATCGTCAACAGCAGCTAGACCGCCAAGAAATTCCGATACAGAAACGGCAAGCACTCTGTCACGTTGCCACGAGAGCTGCAGGAAGTGCAGCACTAGGGACATTGTAATGAGCAGAAGCCTCAGTCCTGACAGCGACAATGCAACCAGAACGACTCAACGACGAGTTGGTGTAACCTGTCAAGGGCAGCAGCATGACGCAAGTGTTGTCTGCTTGAAGGTCTATATAGATGGCACGAAGAAACAAACCCACAACAGCGAGAAAGTCTCTCATCATAGCGCGCTCTGCGGTGCACACCTCTCCGGAGTCCGCCCAGGTGTTCCAGGTCTGCCTACAGCACTGCATGTTGTAGAGTGCCAACGGCTCGCAACATTTACCAAACAAGGAAGCCGAATGAGCGCGTTCAGTTCTGGTGTATGGCCCTGGAGCACTTTACCACACCTTTGCGCGCTTGCATAGCATGATGTCGACCTCGACCATCAAACTCGTCTTCATCAAGTCCGCTACCCACGGATATGGTAAATCCGTGACATGATAACAAAGCAGACTCACCTCGCCAAAAACGCAGCTCGCAAACGCTAGACCGCCTTCGGTATCTCGCATACCACACCTCCCTCATGATACCTTAACCTCCGAACTGGAGTACTCGTACGAAAGAACGAGCAAGCAATCTAACAGAAATGACAAGACTCCTGAGTCACGAGTATATACGATGATGAACGAAAGCTCCGTACGCCGATTATTCAGGTCAGCAGGAGCGAGATGAACGGACGCTTAGGTACACGAAAACGATTTTGCTTCGCGACCGCAAAGAGCCTCGACGAACCGCTACGATCGCATCATGATGACCAACTCCGGACAAGGCTTCACAAGCCACGTTCGGCCACGCTCGCGAGAGTCGCATCCCGCTTCCGTTCTTAGCAGGCAATCGATCTGGGGGATCCACTCAGCAAGACCGATGGGTAAGGTAAGCATCTTACTGAATAATTGCTGATGAAATGCTGGGGCTTTCTGACAGGACTGTATCTGGTAGTTGCAAGGTCCCAGACATAATGACAGCTCTGGTACGTGAGTGGTCTCGCATAATAGTCTTGAATCGAATTGCTGAGTACTGCCTCTGCTTTAACAATGTATCACCAGATCGATTGTCGGCATGACTCACTGCCTGGTATGTACATCGGACGATGTTTCCGTAATCAGTCCACTGCCCGCGGCATTCTTTCGAAATGTCTCCATGTATCAAGGCAACCAGATGTTGAGCACAGTATACGGTACCCCTTGCAATAGCTGTCTGGCTGGCACTTACTTCGCGAGTCCCAGGGACGTCGATTGTTGGGTTTCTCGTAGGTAAACACGAACGCACGCGACTCAGACTCGCTTCCAATGATGCAGTCGCCGCCAAGGAAGTACTACACAGCAGGGAAGCGGCATGAAGTTGCCCAAGACGTCGTCATGACCGGCGCTAGGGCACCACGCTCACACCACTTACAAAATGAAGGCACATCAGCGAATCAGATTGACTCGTTGATGTTGCGAGCCTCGTCTGCTGGAACGAGCTTCGCTGCAAGTGATTGTATTGCTGGTGTGACAGTGGTGTCTGAATTGGCATATGTCGATCATGGAATCGTGGCGGCGCCAGCGGAGCAAGTGCTTGTCAAGCGATCCCGCTAGTGTGAGATCTGATGTGTGCTAAACCATGATACTGTTACCTACTGGTACCGTACTGATATATTGGTGATGTAGTAATACATGGAACATCAAGCACACCTTACCCGTGACAGGTGAGGCATTACACTCCGCTCAATAGTGGAGCCTGATTGACCGTGAATGTCGATCTTCTGCGTTGTATCGACACCTCCATCACTTTCATGTCGCCAGCCGCTGCGTAGTGCTCCGTGTCGAGATGCCATGTCAGATTTGCGTGTTGCCGTCAGGAAATGGCATACTGTGTAGCATCTCAAGCAGAGAGTCAGACATGCGCCAGATGAAACCGATAATGGTGATAGTCAAAAGTTCATGACAGGATCGAGCGTCCACTCCTCATCATCCGCCAACGCGCCGCCTGCCATGACATTATCACAGATAGCATAGCTATCTCGGAGAATCTCAGATCGCAGTCGGCGGTTGCCAACCCAAACTTGTCGTTGGCAGTATCGTTTGCGTGCCTGTCTGGTGGTAAGGATGGTGCTCTCACCCCAAGCATACATTTCCCAAGCCATGGCGTGAAAGTCATTGCGTCTCCTGAGGTGGTCATGTCTTCTGTGGTACTCAACATTCGCAGGCATATGGAACTCGTGGTCGGAAGGAGAGATGACTAGCGTGTTTAGACTTGCATTCTGGGCTCGTAGGCGCAGGAACATTGCGACTGCATCGCTGTCCGAGTCCAGTGGCTGCTTCTGGAGCGGACCCTGCGCAGTAAAGACGTTTGCCGACTTATAGGGAGGAAAGAGACGAAGGGTCCGAAGATGTTTCAGGTCAGCCAATGCGGCGAACCATGAGTACAGCTCCACGTCCACATCAACTCCAGGAACACTGGTGGAATTCCAGAGCTTCGAGATGTTGCCGATGTCAAGCTGTAGGCAGCGAAGTTGCGGTGCCAGAATGGCTAGCTTGGCAAGATCTCCAGGACTGCGCTGCAGCACGGCTTTGTCCGGGTAGTTTGGCCTCGGATGACGATGAAGCGTCAGGGATGTCAGCGAGGTGCCGACGATGTTTTCGATCGGAATTTGCCTGCGAATACCTTCGATATGCAGAGACCTAAGCCTGGGTAGGGATGCGAAGTCGATCTTGAAATTGTCATTGGTGGTAGCAACTCGCAAGGGACCGAGAGCGTTGAATCCAGGGTGCAGAGGATCGCTGGGCTGCAGTGCGTAGGCAATGCGTAGGCACTCAAGGGCTGGTAGATCAAGATCAAACACCTGAGGCAGATTCCAGTCTCCGATGATGGCGAGACGGCGGAGGAATCTCAACGATGCCAGACCCTTAGCAGGGAGAGGAGGTGCTTGTGGCGTTGGATGATACCATCGAACTTCACCCCTGCCAGTGTCCAGCACTAGCTCCTGCAGGCTGATAAGCGCCTCTGGCACTGTCCCATCGAGCAAACCAGCCAGCGATAGCCGAGGGACACCCTCTTGAGCTGGCTGGAGGTATCGATGGCTTTCAGTGCCGGCGTTGGCCAGAGTCGCGGCCGTCAACCGTTCAAGGAAGCGCCTAGCGTCTTGCGGAGGCGAACAACTCAGTATGAATTCAGTGCGCCTTCCGAAGGCAATGGCTTCAAAGTCTCCGAAATTACATGAGGCCCGCGAAGGTGGAAGTGCCCGTCGTAGCTGTGAGGAATGACGTTGCTCTGCATACAAGTTCTCAACAATGATCGTGAGCTGTCGGTGTTTGGAGCGCACAATTTCAAGCAGATGCTGCAGTGTAATCATAGATCCCCGATATCTAGTTCAATGTTCTTCGTTATCGGACGACTTAAGGAGCAATGTAATCCGGACGTCTACAACGCCCGTATTTCGAGAATTCGATGTATTGTGGATGAGAAAGGCTTACCTGATTTGTCGAACACCAGCCATCAAATGCCATGCGTCTCTGATAACCTGAAGATCGAATCGATACACATCAAGGCTTGACGCGCTTTCCGTGGGATGCAGGTTAATTCCGCGTTCGCCAGCAGCGACAGGGCGGCCGCCTTGTCCATCATGATCGCCTAGCGGATCGCGTACTGACAGCACGCGCACATGGGGAAGCAACGTCGGAGAGGTTACAAGGTTGTTGAGAGAGGTATGTAGCGGCCGCTCCTGGGTATGTTGCTCGCGGATCACGCATGAACAGTGCTCGAAGAGGAGGGGTAAGGCTGCTTGACGAAAAGCGCGGCACGTTCTCGAGATCGCTAAGATGAGGTACACGCGGCCGTGCTTTGCGTTGCTATAGTACAGAGCCTCAACTATGAGACTGAGCACCTCCGCCGGAAGATCCAGAACTGTGACCGTAATCGGTCGCTTCGTGGGATTGCTGCGAAGGGCGCCCAAGTCGCCTTTGAGAGCCAGCATTCTTGAACTTTGAAATTACTAGACCCCGAATGCCTAAGAAATCGTCAGGTACTGCGTATAAGATTACTTGATTCGTGATTCCGTCGTTCAGTCGTACGAGACGATCGATGCTGAATCGGGACGACTTTGCGATGTCGTCTGGAAGGCTCGGAAGCTCAGGTTTCAGGTTCGGGCAACGGAGAACTGTACTGTGAAATGCGACGTACCAGCGTAATCATGATTTTAGGTGCTTTTTCTTCTCTTGATGCAGATGCCTTTCGAAGTGAAAGCGACATCCGACAGCGGCTAGCGCCCGAGCCTAGGGAACGAGATGGAAGAGGGGAAGGCTTGTTGCTTCTGTAGAGAAAAGTCGAGGAAAACCTGTCAGGCCGATCTGCCGCACGCAACGCTCGCTACACTTTTCGAAGCGAGTCTGAACCCGTACAGGGTTTGCACGATTCGACGAATGGCTGCTGTCCTCTAAGGTGTTGCTGCAGATGCGGTGCCCATGTGGTCGTCCGCATTCATCTTTGGCGGTGCGCAAGAAGGAATTGCGGACAGTGCTGATGCATTCGGGAAGGAATGACGCGGGATCCCGTCGACGGAAGTTGTGATCTCATCATGCTGGAAGCCATTCAATAGTTCTTGACGGTATCCAAATCGATAGGCGCTCCTTGGTTTGTTAAAGGAGACATCGCCCGCCGAGGCTGCAACTTCCCATTCAAGTAAAATGCACGTTTAGAGCGCTTCGCACGCGCTACAAGGGGCTTGCCAGGGTGGGTATGCGCGGCATGGCAGCAGTTGCGGGCTGCGGATGCGGAACTAGGAACTTGACATTAATTTGCTGGCCGGCGACCAAGATGCGACTCGCAGGCTGGTAAGGTAACTAATGTGTCAAGACTAATCCCAGTCGCCAGACCAGACAGCTGAATTGCCCGTTGTGGTATGGTGGACACGATCCCTTGCTAGGAGGTCGAGCAACTCAAGAGCGCAAGTGGAACGTTTCAGTACTAGACCAACACGAGGACTCTAATGAGCTGTAAATGTAGAAACTACGTTGAGTTCGTACAGGCTCATACACAGATGCAGCTACAATGTGCGACACGCGCGTATTGGACCGGTCAGGCGCAAACGAGGTGTTGGCAACCTTGTTCTGGTCTCGTTCGTTCAGGTGGCCGCAGGTGACCCGACTGTCGCGAGATGGAACACATGAGTTGCTCGTCATCTTTGGTCGGATCACTAGATTGTTGGATCATCAGCAGGAGTCAGAATACGTGGAAATTCCTCTATCTTTATTTCCGCAAGGAGCGCAACGAGCGGGCTTGACGATAGTTCCCCGTCGAACGAGCGGCAAAGACACAGACAGGTCTCAGGCTGGCATCGGTGTCTCAATACCTGTGATTTCGCATTTCTTGATTTCGTCGTATCGGAACAATGCCCAGACCTATACCATCATGACAGGCTTGGGAGCTTGTCTTCTGATCGGTCATGCTTGCGAAATGTACGGATGCCAAAAGAGTTAATTGCAGGTTGCGGCCTTCACGTTCGTTCCCCACAAAACTTTTGAACGGACCATTCGCAGCCGGACTCGATTAAATTCCGACAAATGTTTGCCTTCGCGTGCTTCCCGTTTTGAAGCAAAGCGATTCCTTGACAGGTGTGGGCTGGCTGGAGGACTGTGCATTTTCAGCCCTGCCAACGCATCACTGGACAGTATAACTCTCCTTGACCCCGCTCACAATGTGTTCGCTATTGCTCTTCACCTTTTGGCATGAAGAGACTTTCGGCTGAGATCGACCAGCAAGATCCGCCCCCAAAGCGGCTCTGCTGTCGTCAAAGCACTGACAGCACCTTCGACGATGTCGTTCCCTGTAGACGTCTCGACCTCCTTCCAACTGAACTCCTGCTCATGATCTTGGACGTCTCTCTTGAGCCATCACTCATTCATACCTCTCGTCGGCTCTACCACTCGCTGCCATCATTCGAACCATTCAGCAAGGCGCTTGCGTTCTTAGCATTATCGCCAAAGCATCCAAAGGAGCACGAGTCCGACCCAGAACCGGTATTCAGCAGGTTACCAAAGTCTCTGGAGACTGAGCAGGGTCGCGTACGGCAGGCTGTTTTTGCCAGTTCCTGGTTCCTCGAGCACCATCTCCGACACGTCCACCATCATTTGCTTCTCAGCGTGATAGTCGAGGCATGTGCTCACTCGAAGGACGGCCCTTCTCGAGGGCAGAGGAAGCGGATCAAGTCATTCGTTGCCAAAGAGACCAGTTTCTCGACCCTAGAGCAATTAAACCTGAGGCAAGTCGACCCTACCCACTTGATGCTGGTAGCTCGGCGCGGGCCCGAAGCCAATGCCTTGCCTACTTCCCATCATAGATTCTGAAGCTGGAACCTGGTTGCTGACCGAACATCAGGTTGCGCGACGACAAGGATAGACCACTCAACTTACATTCAACGCCACTGTCAGTCAACTTGACGGCACAGCACACGACCTCAATACTTAGGCCCATCAATGCATATGTGTTGTCTTTCGAGGGCTCGGTCCCGAACTTTCTTCTCCAGCTACCACTGACAAGCAGCAAACTCAAGCTACTGCAGCACATCTCGGAGAGAACAACGCGATGCACCAACCGATCCCAACGGCTCATCACTTGTGACCGTCGCTTGCTGAGCAGAGCGTTTTTCAGCAGCATTGTAGAAGATAATGCGCTTGCATTCTTCACACTGTTCACAATCGAAGCTCTTCTCGACGACGCCGATGACAACGTGGTACTTGACAACGTCCATTTGGAAGCAACCGTACGCCGAGGCCAAACGCGAATGTTGATCGCGATCCTGAAGCGGATGTGGAGGTATCCTAGAGCCCAACGGCCGAGTGATGCCGACCTTATCGACTTGATCAACCGTGCTCGGTCATCAGCTTGGCCTGAATGGCCCAAGACAACCCGGATATGCGCAATGGAAACAGCCTCGGTCTGGAAGGCTAAACAGATCGAGGACGCTGGAGGCAAAGTCAGTCATATCCCGCATGCTTGGCCGCCTGAGCTCAAGATATGTCTGCCTGGGCGACGCGTGCAGACATGGTTCATCCCGCGGGATTATCGCTACGATGTAGACTGGGAAAATTCGTCGCTCGGGCCCTGGAGGCCACTGGGCATGTACAAGGACTTTACCTTCCTTGGCGCGTCCGCGTTCGCGGTACTTTGGAATGGGGTGCTCTAGGACCCATCATGATTCGAAGGGGCCGCCAGCGAACTTTCAAGCTTCGGAATGTTGACATCGAGCCAGATGGGCACATGGTCAGAATGAAGCTTGTCCGCCGCGTTGTCACAGATATCAGTATCGGTGATGGCGTGGGACTCGGTCAGCAACCTCGAGACGATGACATAGTCGACCCTATCACAGACGCTGCCATGGGCATGGGAGGTGGAATGCCAGGTGTACTTTCTCGCGTTCCCATGGACGTGTCTGAACAGATCGATACCCTTCATGCCGTCTTCGTCCTCGAAAAATCGCTCGTTGAAGTCTTTCCTGTTGACGACGTGTTGATGCGGCGAGGTCCGGAGATTTGGGTGTCCATCGATACGCGAACGTGCGACGTTCATATCCCCAACCAGAACAACAGGTTTGCCTTTTTTCTGATACGCCAAAACTTCTTTCAGTATTTCTCTGTGGTATCGAATCTTGAGGTCGTGCCGCGTTCCAGCAGGCTCACCTGTAAGTGAGTTCCGATAGGATGATCGGTGCCATTGACCCAATACCCGTTCATGACCACGAGTCCACACGGTAGTTCGTGTAGTAAAATGCGGCCTTCCAAATCCCACTCCGGCTTTCTGGTCCGAAAGGCGTCTAAGTCCTTACGATACAGCGTTGCAACGCCGTGGACTTTGCCTCCGAAGCCGCGAGCATTGAAACGATCTCGAGGCAATGAGAACACAGCCTCATAGAGTGGCTCATCTGGGAGCGCCGAGTCATTGGCGGCTTTGACGAGCTGGCGCTGTGAAGCCTCATCACTAGGGGCAATCTTCACTTCTTGCAAACACAGAAAACTAGGCCAGCCGTGCCGTCGAAGCATACAACGGAGCGGAGAATTTGAGACAGGGTCAGCCGAGAATGCAATCCGCTTCTGCAGCAAAGGCTGAATTGAATTCACGTTCCAACTGACAACCCTGAACTGATCATCGTGGACCGCAGCTGCTTCCCTGGATGCCACGTGAGGACCATTTTGATCCGAAACACGTGCTTTTCGTTGGGGAGGTGTGACAGATCGATCTAGAGATACAGGCCGGGGTCGCTTTCGAGCTGGTGTTGACATAGAACACCACGACCTGCGCAAATACAAGGCCTCATTTCGCGATCGTGCCTTCCATATTCCTACTAAGTGCCATGCGTGACAGATATCGCTCGAATCTCGCAAGTAGAGGATAGAGGAAAGTTGTCGGATCTCATTGATGTAAGAACCTAGGGGGCCTTATATGATTTACCACTGAATGGCGCTAGAAGGCGGAAGCTTCCAAGCTCGACAAGATCCGAGAGCTCTCCCCGGTGCGGGCGGTGGAGTACTGCCTGGGGGCCAAACCTTTAAGCTAGCAAACCGCGTGGGCGCCATGCGCAATGCTTCGAACTCATGAACTCGAACTTCAGCGTGTGGCATACTCAAGTTTCTAATTGCTGCTCATACGCACCGCTCCTCGTTCAATAGTCGCTACATCCCAATAGCTGCAAGTGATAAGCTGACAGCGCCCTTCTGTCGCTGGCCTGTTCTCACGTTTATCATGTACGTTGCATAAGGCGTACTCTTGCCTGCCTGAGGGTACTCTACAGAAGCCTTGTCTCATTGGACCTGGACCACAGTTCAAGTACTTAAGACAACGGCGCTTTCGAATGTTTCGCCTACGCGGCACCAAGACCCTCTCGATATCTGAGCATACACAATGAGTCCGTCGCCAGAGCTGTACCCGAACCTACATCACATCCCCGACCTCGATCAGGCAACGGAGGATGACTTGCGGCAAATCATCAGAACTTACCCGATCATCGACAATCATGCCCACAATATCCTCACCGAGGACAATGCCTATGGGAGTGCCGATCACCCGTTCGAGACTGTCACGTCTGAAGCACAAGGCCATGCCTTGACAGATCATGTGCACACCAGCCTGGCGCATACACGGGCAATGAAGCAGTTGGGTGAACTCTACCAATGTCCGGGGACACTGCAAGATGTCAACGCATGCCGATATGAATGGATACGACGAGACTACGACTCTCTGGTCAAGCGTTGTCTCGAGGGCACACACTCCCTACTGATCGATGATGGCCTGCCAGCTCAATTGGTCCATCCCTACAAGTGGCACGGCGCATATGTGCCATCGGTGTACCGAATCGTCCGAATTGAGGCTGTAGCTGCCGAACTTCTCGAGCAGCTCGCCATAGCTTCCGGCTTCCTTAAGGTGGGACTCGATGCAGATTGGAACATTTCGCAGACAGAGTCCTTCATCGTCCGCTTTAATACAGTCTTCAGAAACCAAATCCGGACACTCGCAAACGATCCAGATGTTAGGGGCTTCAAATCAGTGGTCTGCTATAGAAGTGGCCTCGACGTTCAGCTGGACTCGAGAACGAACCTCCGTCCGCACCAGTCCCTCACCGGCTCAAATCTACTAACAGCGTTCCATGATTTCATTCAAAATGCAGTGCGCAACCACAACTACCGCATTCAACGAAAGGAGGTCAACGATTTCCTCGTTGTGTCGGTCTGCGACGTTTTGGACAAGCTAGTAGACACCGATGGCGAGTCACTACCGTTCCAGTTCCATACGGGCTTGGGAGATAATGACATTGACCTTATCAAAGCAAATCCAGCATATATGCAGCCACTAATCGAGGCGTTTCCTCATGTCGATTTTGTCATCCTGCATTCCTCGTATCCTTACACACGCGAGGCTGGCTATCTGGCATCATGTTACAGCAATGCGTGGCTGGACATTGGCGAGGTCTTCCCAATGCTCTCGCGCGATGGCCAGGAGTCGATGTTGCGGCAGGCGCTGGAATTGACTCCTGCCTCAAAGCTATTGTGGAGCACTGACGGACACTTCTACCCAGAGACGTATTGGCTGGCAAACAAACAATTCCGGTTAGTGCTCGAGAAAGTTCTTCTGGACTATGTCGCTCAGGAGGACCTGACGATTCCCCAAGCTGTGCATGCTGCAGTTGATATCATGTTTTGGAACTCCAGCGGACTCTACCGACTGGACGAAGAGCGAAAATATCCCGAGCTGATGCGTGCTTTGGGTCAGCACAGCGCTGGTAGCATGAAGACAATTGTGAATGGTAGTTCGAAACCCGGTTCTTACATCTCTGCTGCCAGTACCGCTGTCGACGGTCCCAGCAGCTCGACTGGAAGGCCAGGAGTGCAGAACCTGTCAACAACCAGTTCTCACTCCGACGGTTCGAATGCCGGGCAATCTTCTGGCAACAGCAGCATTCTGGTCGAAGACGACTCACTTCCAAGTCGTGACGATAACATGGCCAAGCTGAAAGCATTCCTTGAAGCGAATCCTGAAGTCAAGTACATCTGGATGCAAATGCTCGACTACACGGGTACCATGCGGCTACGAATGACACCTATCGATGCCTTCAAGAAACAGCTGAGCACAGGCAAGCTATCCTACACAACGACTGCAATTACACGAATCATGCAGGACGATCACCCTGCCACTGGAATGGTAGCAACTGGGCAGTTCCTTATGCTACCAGATTTGTCGGCTTTGACCATCAATCGAGGCCTGTCGTCACCGTCCGCTTGCGTCCCTGTCTGGTGGATGGAGGACACACTTGCAGTCCCCGCCAAGCATCATTGGGATCGCTGTCCGAGATGGGCTCTACAGAAACAGGCCAACAACCTCAAACGCGTATTTGGCATCGATGTCCTCCTCGGCTTTGAAGTTGAGGTCGTGTTCACGCGTCCGGTGTTGGATAAGAATGGTCGCGACATCATCGATTTTGAACCACTGTCCGAGGTGCATTCTTGGTGCAACATGACGTTCCAAGATCTCGACTTGCTGCCAATGGCGGAAGAAATTGTGGACGCTCTCGGGGATATCGGTTGCCCTGTTGATCAATTCCACACAGAGAACGCGACTGGCCAGTGGGAGTTTCCACTCCCGTGCTACACTCCCGTAAGAGCTGTGGACATGCTCTACAAAGCTAGGGATGTCATACGCAATGTCGCCAAATCCCATGGTCTGAAAGCAACAGTGTATCCTAGACCATACAGCACAACGGCTGGATCTGCTCAGCATGCGCATTTCAGCATCAATGGTCCGAACGTCGTCCAACGCTATGCAAATTCGTTCTTGGCAGGAGTGCTCAAGCATATGCCAGCGACCACAGCATTCAGCCTGGCCATCGAAGAGTCATACGCGAGAGTAGCTGCTGGCGTGTGGTCTGGTGGTGAGTGGGTGACGTGGGGCCATCAAAACAAGGAGACTCCCATTCGCGGCATTGCACCAGGCCACTGGGAGCTCAAGAGCATAGATGGGATTGGCAATGCCTATCTGTCCATGGCTGCTTTGTTGGCTACAGGCCTCGACGGCGTCGCTAATCAGTTGCCTCTGGAGCACAAAGACTGTGCAGAAGATCCATGTAAGTTGGATGAAGAAGGAAGAGCACGACTGGGCATCACGACGCAGTTGCCGCACTCCCTCGAGCAAAGCTTGTCTGCGCTGGACAAGAGCAAGTATCTTCGCGAGGCACTCGGTGAGGCTCTTGTGGAGGACTATCTGGCTGTAAAGAGATCCGAGTTGCAGAAGTTGCAGGCCATGGACGAGCAGACGAGGCGCGTATGGTTGATGAGCCGCTATTGAGGTGGTGAGACCGCGCTCTTCAGTTGGAAGATCGCAAACTGGGCTGGTTTTCAACTGAAATTTTGCGAGCCATCGGCAGACACTCTTTTCGGGTCATTTGGGACACTTTGGGTGGATGAAAACCATTATTGCTGTACAATGAGCGAGGCGCAGGAGGAGGATCAAGCGTGTGATCCGCAGCGCTCGACAAGTGTCAGGGAAGGCAGGCACGATTCACGCTGGTGGTCTTTGCCTGATAGACACACACCGACGGTGCAGGCAGACTAGGTTGGCTATACTACCCAACGAAAGCGACCAGACTCTGGCCTAATACAATTTGTAATATTGAACTCGAAGGCCAGATGATGAATGACCCAGGCAGGAACTCTGCCTTGCCACCTATGCTCGGGCTTCTCGGGCGACCTGTAGGCAGATTGTATCCCATGGCACCTGCAATTCAGGATCGTGCAATCTGTCTCGCGCTCATCACTTGACGCCTCGGATGGACTTCCATCTCTCGTGTCACCTAGGTCTTCAGCACAAGACAATTACGCTAGGTTAAGTCTTTGCTATCAGCATTGGACACTCAAGCACCTGCTACCACTAGTAGGTACCTAAGTAACCTCCAGCCAGCTTCCAAGCTCCTTCCCTGAAGGTTCCTCGCCCCCCAACTTCCAACCCCACGCGTTTGTACGGGAGTACTTTTCTCCAACTGCATCATCAACCACGAAATCCATCAAACGCAAACACGCGACATGTCATCCTCCGCCAACAAGACCTCGCCCACGCCTGCCCAAAAGAAAGCCAAACACGAACACAGCTCATCAGAAGAAGTATCCCGGGCACTCAACCAAACGTCCTTGTCCACACCGTCGACCGGTCCCCCGCCCACCACCTCCAACACAACCACCATGTCCGACACCGAGATCGACCTCTTCCCCTCCTCAACCACCGATAACAACACAGCCAGCGGCCCGCAAACACCACCTCACAATGCTCTCAACGCCGCCGCACCAGGCGAGCTGTCCCCTCCGCGCTCCCAACACAACAATACTGCTGCACACACTACAAACGGCACTACCTCCCTGAACCCAACCACACAGCCGAATACCTCGAGCATGCTCTCCAACGGTCCCACGGGTCTAGGCTCCTCATTCGGCGGCATCGGGAGCGGTATGAACAACAATACCAACGCAGGCGACCTAATGAGCATGTCCAATGTGGTCGAACAGCAACCAGGTGGCGAGACGAATGGCAATGGCAATGGGCCAGGGGAGTGGAAGAGCAAGAAGGCGCAGGACGAGATGCAGCGGGCGTGGGAGATGGTTGCGGACAAAGACTGGAGTGCACGGGAGTTTGGGGATGTGGTGCTGCGGGGACGGGCCGCGAGGAGTCAACAGCAGGGAACTTGAAGTCGGTATGGTTTTTCTACAGACCGCAGCGTGCTGAACGATATCGGTCCGAGAACTCGAGGCACGAAAGGAATGCCTGAGTCTGGACAGGAATGGCAGCATTATCACAACGTTTCATGTCTCCTCAGTGCAGCAGACAGACGACTATTTGGCAAGAGGCCAGAGTCTGACGTGGAAGCGAACAGACCCGTAGGGGTACCTTAATTCGCTCTCAGAGGAACACAGCGGCTTGATACCGGCGCCAGACCACCAAATACCAAGAGCCCTTCGACCCTAGCCACCGTTCCAGTTCGGTCAATCAGCGATGTCCAGCAGCACCGGTGAAGTGTCTCGACCAGCACGTTGGGCCAGCGACGAGGTTTGAGAAGAAGAGCGACTGGAAGCAGGATTACAGCAACCCAGAAAAGCTAGCTGGCTGAGAGCGATTGCACACGAGGTAGCTAGTCATCGGACGCAGATAGGGCAGATATTCCACGGTACTGGTGTGGCTCGCTTCAGAGAGAGTGGCAGACTTCCTTCCGAGACTGGCTAAATCAAATCTTCCGATCATACCTCACTCTCCTCTTTCCTGCTTCTTGAAACCTACTCACGCTCCTGGCTCTAGAAGCGAAGCCTGAAAATTGCATCCCGAGACACAAGCACAGCAGCCCGCCCCACCAGGTAGCAACAAGTGCTATTCAGGTATGGCATGAGTACGCCCGGTCGCATGGCTCTGGAAAGAAAAGGAGAATAAAGGTCGTGAGGGAGACGTCTACCTACTTATACCCTTTCGACGAAGTGGAGGGTCCGACGGAAGCCGAAACGATCACTTCAATGACTCATTTACGGAGTGATGGCTGGTCGCTGCACGTTGTGGGAGGAGTTTTTAGGTGACTGATGGGAATTCGCTTCACTCAACGGCAGGTGTGTACCGATATCGCACAAACGGATCAGACAGGGTTTCACCATCGCTGGACGAGAGCACCTATGAGGGTTAGCATAAGCTGAGCATATTCATTCGGAGACGATGGACATGATCGGCGGTATCGTCGAAGCACGAGCAGCTCAAGAAACACATTCGCCAAGATGTATGCTGTGCAAGCGATTGCTCATCATTTCTTATCCCCAGTCTACATACAGTGCCCTTGAAGAGCACAATACGCCAACGCTATGCTGTCGTCCGTCGTCCGTCTGTGCTGTACCAAAGGAATGATTTTCTATCCGTTGCTCCGATCGTGATGCGGGTGAAGTTCGTGAACTGCAATCACTTTGGCGAGATAAACAGTGTGCGTGAGAGCGATCGTATGTTGCTGGCATATCGGCAAACAAATCGAGGTGGCTTTTTTTGCTGGATGAGGTTGCCATGTCCTTTTGAGGGGAAATTTGGGGGTCCTGTACGGCGTGCTCCGAGTCGATGACGAATGAGACATGTCCAACACAACAGAGCGGTCGCTGCACCTTGGCCGGGTGGTGAACGTCCGGATAGGCTCAGCCGGTGGATTCTGCTGAAGAATCTGAGAAGCCATAGAAATCTGGTGCGGCCGTGCTGGACAACTCGCGTTTCCTCTTGCGAGGGCTTGAAAAGTTTCGCACTTCCTCAGCAACAGCCTCAGCACGAGCACGAGCTTCAGCAAGTGCGTCAGCATGCCTCGCGCGTCTCTGCCGCGTGGAATCCAGCTGTCCACGTCCCTCCTAGAACGGGAATCCGCCTCGGCCACCGCCTCCTCCACCAGACTGGAACGAAAAGCCAGGCATGCCGCCGCCACCAAAGCCACCGCGTCCACCGCCCATACCTCCACCCATCTGCTGGCCAAACATCTGCATGAGGATCTCAGGATCGATCTGCATGCCGCCAGCGCCACCACCAGGGAAGCCACCGCCCATGCCTCCGGGACCCATACCGCTGGTTGGATCGTTAGGATCGATGCCCTGATCGTACATGGTACGCTTCTGCGAGTCTAACAAAATCTCCTTCGCCTCCAAGCAGTCCTTGAACATGGCCTCTTTCTCCTTATCGCCCTGCGTCTTGTCCGGGTGCAGCACTGCAGCCTTCTTCTTGTACGCTCGCTCGATCTCCTTGTCGCCGGCATCCTTGTCGACGCCGAGAATCTTGTAGTAGTCTTTTCGCTTGGACTTCTTGAGCTCGATTTCGGCGTTGTGGAGTTCGCGGGCTATATCGTTGTCGCCTGGATTGTCTTCGGCCAGCTGCTTGAGATCTTTGACGGCCTCCTGCCAGTCGCCGCCTTCGCCCGTGGCTTTTGCTCGTGTCCGCTTTGCTTTCATGTATGTGGGATCGAGCTTCAGGGCCTGGTCGCAGTCTTCTTTGGCCAGATCGTACTCTTTGAGCTTCATGCGGGATAGGGCGCGGTTACCGAGAAGTTTGGCGTTAGTAACGCGGTTCGTTGGGTCGATGTCCAGAGCTGACGTGTACGCACCGACGGCTTGTGTGTAGGAGCCTCGCTTGAAGAGATCATTGGCGTCGTTCCGGGCACGGTCGAGTTTCTTCATTGTTCTTAGCCAGTTTCGTGCATCTGAGTTGTCCGGGTCCATTGCAAGGGCTTGTCGGAAATGTTGCTCAGCGCGCTCGTAGTCTGTCTTGCCACCGGTCTTCTCGTCCTTCAAGTAGTATGCTCGTCCGGCGAGAGTGATAGCCTCGGCGTCACTAGGGTTCTGCCTCATTAGGGCCTGCGTCATGCTTTGCGCTTCTCCTAGAGCGTTGACTGTGCCGATCTTGAGGTTGGCTTTGGCGCGCAATATCTGCCAGTTCCGCGGCATAGACGAGCATATCCGAGAGTGTGCTTTGCCTGGTCAATACTCCAGAGAGCCATGTTTCCATTGCCATCGTCGGCATTGATTTGTTTCTCTGCAAGTTCTATCGATGACAGGGCTTTCTGTGCCGAGGCCTTGTCTGTGGATGAAGCATTGGGTATGCGAGCGTATGTGGCCAGCGCATCTTGTGGTCGCCCCAGCGATGTGTAGATACGTGCCAGTCTGTGAAGGATTTTTTCATTGTCGGAGTCAAGTCTGTTGGCCTGTAATGAGTCTGACAAAGCGAGATCATATCTGTTGGCTGAGATGTATGCGGCAGCTCTGTTGGACAGGTAGGTGGCATTTGTGGGTTCTGCGTCAACAGCTACAATTTTGTTAGCATTTGGATCTTCAGGCAGCGACATGGACATGTACCTTTTGTGTATTCCTGAATGGCCCGGTCATAGTCTTTTGCTTTGAAATACTTATTTCCTGCCGCCTTGCACTCCTCTGCATTCACTGTGGGTTTGGGAGCACTTTGCGCACGATGTGGTGGAGGTCTGGGACTGGCTTCGGGTTCAACTGTGCCATTAGTGGTGCCGTTGGTGTGTTCATCCGGGAAGGCGCCTGGTGCATCCTGCGACGGTGTGGGCTGCGGCGATGCCGGCCCATCGTCTGCATCCATGGGAGTCGAATTACGGGCCTCGTCTCTGGCCATGGCTGCTGCGGACAGACGTCGATACTCGTCGGGTGGAAGATTTAGTGGGTGAGTTGGTTCTGCGGGTTTCTGTCGCTTTGACTTTGGCTTTTTTGGAGACGGCATTACCCTAGCGGAAGAGATGCGAGAAGCCGATGATGATTTATGAGCAACCTTCCCGGCGCTCTCGGCGGCAGACTTCTCCAAGACTTCGAGATGTTCTTTGAGATTCTGTTTCGTCAACGGTGCAGGAGGATAAGCCAGCGGTGTTGAATCGAGAAATTCGAGAGGAGCAGCATAACTGGTCGATCTGGATTGGCGAAGGTTCGGCCTAGTTGAGGTGGATCTTTCGACTGTGTTCCTGCCTGTGTCGACCTTTGTGCGCTTTACAGGGGGCACATTCTTAGCCATTGAAGGCACAGTCGAGCCTCCGTAAGATGTGTTTGAAGAAGTGATGGAGTTTCGTGGCTCAGAAGAACTCTCACTTCGAAATTCTGGGTGACGGACTCGATCAATCACTGGATTTCGCACAGTTTGTTCACCTCGACAACCACTTCGACACCCCCCACAGCGCGGGCACTTATGCCGGTTCAGATCCGCCAGTTTCGCAATTCGTGTTAGCTTATCCACGCAGGGAAGAAGTTCAAGTCGTCTAGGAGGTTGAGCCAGGCATTACGATCCATGAGGGTTCATAATCGAGGTCGAACGTTTGAGGCGGGCAACGAGATTGGGAATTTGAGGTGAGTGAGAGATCAATGTAGACAGGAAAGATGAGCAAGTCGATCACAGAAGGCGTCGAGAGGTAGCGATCGCACCATCATCTGTTCATCCGGGCAATTATCGTACTAGTTATTCACTGGCGACAGCGTCCCGATGCAATGATCACAATAGGCAGGAACATGTACAGACTGGCAAATACAATGCGCCAGCCCTACTAAAAGCCAGGCCCGGCTTCATCCAAGAGTGCTTGAGAATTGCTGTGCATCAGGCATGTGCCTCTAGACTGAGGCTGCTCGAGCTTCTACTATCAACTATTGTGATGTTAGAATGTTTCCACCTTACTCAGCGGGTTATGCAATGCCGCTTGCAGCAACTTCCACAGTATCATGGAGGGAGGCTGTGCACGAAGATATTGGGTAGACATCTTTGTTCAATGCTGACATCTAATCTAAGACTGTGCCAGTCAGTTGCCACTGTCATATGAGCGTGCGATCAACTGTGCTGTGCATTGAAGCCAGAGCAGCTATGTCTCGTAGCAATAGCAACTGCTGCCCGTTGGGTTGAAGTTATCCATTGGTTCTGAATTGTTCTTTGCAAGATCGACTCCGTCAACTCCGTCCGGCCAGGCTGGCTACCTGCGTATTCTGAGCAATCCCTCATCGCAGCATTTGCGTCGCATCGTCAAACATCGATCTGAGACAAGATCTGCCATCAGTTCGAGCCGAAGGTGTTCTCGCCGGAGTATCTGTAGCTTCGGTCAGCATGTTTTCCTCTGTGTCCAGGGTGGTGTAGACGTACGTGATGTACAGGAAGCCGTCCTCATCCTTGTGCTCTTCGTAGATGCTGCTCATGAGAGCGGCGGTCGGCGGTAGAACCTCATCGACGAAGATGAAGATGGCTTTCTCGGGGCTGAGCTTAATTCGCTTGCGAATAACATAGACGAATTGGCCAACGGTCAGATCAGCGGGAACCAGATATTTCTTCTTGTCGATAGTTGCAATATCTGACTTCTCGACCTTCTCGCAGATGACCTAGAGCCGGTCAGCTACATCGCCGTGAAAGCAGACGGCGACAAACGTACAGGAATGCGATCAGCATACTTCTGGCGAATGCGTTCAGCTTCGGCCTTGCGCTTCTCGAATGGGTGCTCGTCCTTGAACTTAGAACGCGCCATATCGACTATGATAGATGGGTTCGTGTATTGAGGATTCTCGATGGTTTGCGATAGGTGCGTGGGCGTTTGAGAGATAGAGGTAAGTGGTAGAAAGGAAGGACAGAGTGTTCGTTGACGAACGCGGTGAGGTTGAAGTACAGTGCAGGCGCCAGGCTACCAGGTGATTCGCTCCAAGGTGGGGTAAAGACCAGCCGCACTTCAAGTTCACTTGTCTTCACTCTTGTACCTCACACGCCACTTGTTCAAGTATAATCATGCTTCTTCGACAGGCGCATGCGTCACCGTGACTTGCGCCTACCGAAGGCGAGACGAGGCCTGGCCGGTGACCGTCCTGAGTCATTATCCCATGGCATCGTCATCCGGCTTTGTTGATGTGGCTCGGCCTGCCACCCCGCACGTGATCGATATCCGGCTAGCTTATCGATACGGCTCTCCAACCACGTCGCTACAATTTGAAGTCGGCTCTCGTGAGACCAGCAAGGTGAGCACTGCGATGTCGACCCGGTCACAGCACATAGCACCGTCGTGAAGATGGGTCAATCATGAGCTATTTATTTGTATGACAACAGCTTGCTCGAAGAATCAGCCGAAGCAATGTCTTTGCGTCCTTCGAGTCGCAGTTTGCGCTGCAAAAGTAACTGCATTTCAGGACCTTTGGCTCGACCGTTCGCTCCTTCCTTACGACCGGCACCGATCTCGCAGCGATGCTTGCATACTGGTCGAAGCTACTCGACGAGATGGACCGGCTGTACCGTGGCTGCTGCAGTTGCAACCGCAGCCGCTTTGCTCCTGGCTTTGCCAGCCTCTGAACCCGTCCATATGGACGGACCTCCTGTGCAAGCAATCTCGCTCGCCGAAGTGGACGAGTTCACAAAAGCGAAGCAGCCGATCACACGGCATTCTCCGATGCGATTGCGTATGGAGAGTCTGATCAAAGAGCATCAAAATCGTATTGTCTTCGCTCTCGAACATATAGACGGCAAGAAGTTTGAGCGAGACGAATGGACCAGAGCGCACGGCGGAGGTGGCATCTCGTGCGTGCTACAGGATGGAAACGTGTTCGAAAAAGCAGGCGTCAACGTGTCGGTCGTCTATGGAGAGCTGCCACGTTCTGCGATCGAGAAGATGAGGGCTGACCATAGATCATTCGTTGACAACAACGTAGAGAAGCTCAACTTCTTCGCAGCCGGCATTTCGTTGGTCTTGCACCCACACAACCCGATGGCGCCCACAGTGCATTTGAACTATCGCTATTTCGAGACATCAGATCCTCGAGATCCTGTCAACGCGACGGGCTCGGCACCGCAGAATTGGTGGTTCGGTGGAGGGACTGATCTCACGCCGAGCTATCTGTTCGAGGAAGATGCGAAACACTTCCACAAGACTCTGAAGGCCGCTTGTGATAAACACGACCGAAGCTACTATCCCAAATTCAAGAAATGGTGCGACAGCTATTTCAAGATACCACATCGAGGCGAGTCTCGTGGAATCGGCGGCATCTTCTTTGACGACTTGGATGCCTCTACACAACCGTCGTCGAAGACACCACAGGAGGATCTGTTCCAATTTTGCGTCAGTGGACTTGAGTCCTTCCTGCCGTCGTACCTTCCTATTATCAAGAGGAGAATGGATATGCCATATCTGCCACAGCATAAGGAATGGCAACAAATAAGGAGAGGCCGGTACGTGGAATTTAATCTGATCAATGATCGAGGCACCAGCTTCGGGCTGAGAACGCCTGGAGCTCGCATCGAGAGCATCCTGATGAGTCTTCCATTAACGGCTCGTTGGGAGTATATGCATCCAGTGTGTGGCACAGGTGTGGAGGAGATGGAGGAAGCCGTTGACAGCACGACGGAGAAGGAGCAGGAGATCATGAGTGTGCTACGCACTCCTAAGGACTGGGCTTGATTAATGTACAATATGTTGCAGACTTGGGGCTTCGAATGCGAGTGCTACGTGCATGGCGCTTGCTTGCTGCACAACTTCCCTCAACAGGATTTGACCACAGCGATGACTTCCTTCCTTGATCTAGAAATCCATGGATGTATTGGGAAGTCACAAACGACGAGAAGTGTCCCCGTGCCCAAGGCACCTGAGGTAGCCCCGTAGAGCAATGAATGTAGCACATGCAATCCGTTGCTCTCAGGCGGCCTCTACTGCAGCCTGTCCGTGTTCCACAACGCGGTGAGCTTCACCGGTGAGTCGGTGGCTGCAACAGCCTGCAAGGCATCTTCTACGCTGCAGCCCCGCGGGAAGAACCCTGCCTAGAACTCCATTTTGGCGGCTTGGACCCTTGCGCTTTTTTGCGGGGACAACGCATCAGACCCAAACTAGCACTTCCAAAGTTCCCATGAGAGACACTGCGCCTGGCTGCCTGGATCGCACCTGCTGTGCAATGAGCGAACCTGAGCTGATATGGAAGGTACAGGGCGGCCTTCAAGTCTTTAAACGTCGTCAACGCCCTGCCGCAGTGGCGGATTGCCAAACTACCTGCAGTGGATGACTCCGGCTTCACGTTTCCGTTGGCACATGTCAGCTCACCTGAACACATAGGTATGATGTCGACTTGAGTCACTCATTGACTCAGAGTCCTCCCGAGCATTGGGGACGCTCCGTGAAGACCTATTATGGCTTCCAGGGACCAGAGTGGCTCGCCGGTCCTCACACAACACGCCATCCCTCCGCATCTGCTCTCGAATACTGAACACCACAACCTACTGCTCGATCAAATCGCACAGAGTCCTCCTCAACCAGCCGAGTCGATAAGTCTAAACCTGGCGAATGAGACTCCCGCTGGGGATTCCGCAGCAATGTCGAATGTCGAGTCTACCACAAACGAGCTGGTCTCGCAGGCTGAGGACAGTGTGCTACCACAAGCGCCAGATTTATTACCGAACGCAGAGTACCCGCCTCCGCCAACCTCTGGCGCCGACGCACCTGAAGATCAAGCGCCGCAAGAACGAGAGGAGACAAGGATACCTACAGAGGCCACCCCGGAAGACTCACAACCAAATCTAGAAACTACGGCAGGTGAAAGTGCTCAGCATGCCATACCGGAGACAGACGCAATGGAGGACTCTACACCTCATTGGGTGCTCTTCGCAGATGACATGTCTGAGCCCACACAAGCTGAACTGGAAGCCGTCAAAGACACCGAGATCGAGAATGACGCCACTAACGTCGCTGCCCATGAGAAGGTAGTATTTACAGAGATCGATGACCCCGACCAGCGACCCACCAAGAAACTGCGACTGAGCTGGATCATAAATGGTGTTCGTGGTACCAAAGACCGCCCCAACAGAGCCGAGGTCATGCATTCGCCGCCAGCGTTTGTAGACGGGCTTTACTGGCGCATCAAGTTCTTTCCGCGCGGAAACAAGTGCTCCTCTATCAGCGGCTACATTGAGTGCTCAAAGAAGATACCGGAGCCGGACAAAGAAGAGCCGGAAGGCCGATTTTTGCATTTCGAGAGCCCGCCCAATGGCGACATATCATTTGATGCGATCCCGAAGAAGCATATCAAGATCAAGACACGACGAAAAGACTCGCCGCAAAATTCCTCGTCAGAAAGATCCAAGGCAAGACGTGACGAAAGTTTCAAGGCCAATAGCGACACTTCTGAGACCATTGAAAAGGCGGCCCAAAGTCCAACAGACAGTGAGACCACTGAGCAGCAAGGCGATGATGAATTCAGAGTCTCGGCGCAGCTGGGTATGGTTATATACAACCCTAATGAACCCAGATCAGCGACCTGTCAATCATCGGAGCACCTCTTCTGCGCCTCCAACAACGACTGGGGGTGGTCAAATTTAGCTGGGAAATGGGACGAGATTCACCAGCGTCAGCCAGGTCAACGGCAGGCGCTTCTGAAGGGCGACACCATCGCGATAGACGCTTATATCAGGATATTCGAAGACCCTGCCCAGTCGCTATTTTGGCATAATTCGTCAGACGAGCCTGAGTGGCCTTCGAAAGCTTTGGCTGGAGTCCTCCCGATGGGCACACCCCCGCTGTACTACAGTCCTGGTGTTGCAGGCATCACAGCTCTCCTCTTCCTCAAGCCTTTCCGAGAAATCCTACAATCTGTTGATTGCGAAGGCTGGAGGAGGAGCTCAGAAGTTCGGCCGCGTCCATTCATCGCCCGGCTACAATGTGTTCTTCACGAAATGCGACATGGAGGCAAGTCAGACTTCGTGGATGTGTATCCTGTCCTCGAAGCGCTTCGGGAAGTTGGCGAGACATACCAGGACGTCGTCACTTTCTGGGAAGTATTTCGACGCGCGATTGAGCTGGAGCTGGAAGGAGAAATCGAAATCCTGGCCAAAATCGCAGCCATCTTCGACCTCCCAGGAGGACGCTGTCCACCTTTGGAGATACCAGTGAGCTCTGTTGGGTCATTACAGGAGTCTCTGAACAAGCTCGGTCTCCCCTCACAGGACTCTCTGAAAGAGCTCCATCCCTCGTCACAAGACTCTCCAAAGGAACTCCATTTCTCATCACAAGCCTCTCTGAAGGAGCTTGATTCCTCCTCACATGACGCTCTGGACAAGCTCGATTCCTCGTCACAGAACGCTCTGGACAAGCTCGATCTTCCGTCACCGGACGCTCCTGACTTTTTACCGATATTGCTTCAGCGACAGGAGTTTGACCAAACCAAGCGGGAATGGGTACTTCGGCACGAGAAAATCACGTTGAACGACGAGATCACGCTTCCATTCGGCATCGGACAGAAGTACATCCTGTATGGGTTCTTGGTTCACGTCGGTGCTCGCAATTCGGGGCGCTTCTACACTATTTTACGCCCAAATGGACCTAAGACGCATTGGCTCGCTTTCGAGGACAGTGATGGGAACAAAATCTATTCCTACACAAGGAAGACTTTGGAGACATATGAGGGTCTGGCAGGCGACGACCTTAAGAAGTTCTCTTCAACACGAGAGACATGCTATCTGGCGATGTACATCAAAGCAGATAAAGTTGGCGATTACCTAGGTCCTCTGGAACCATATACAGCTCCCGACTGGCTTAAGGCACCCATGAGAGCCGCTTTTGATGCGACAGCAGCGCCGTCTGTGAATCTTGAGTTCTATCAGGAGAGCTCTATCGTTGGATGCCGTGGTCTACTCGACATGTTTAACGTCAAGCAGGAGGGCCGGTATGCCTGGTGTTGGTCTCTATCACCGAAGACGTCTTCCCATATAGTCCGAAAGCAAATCGCCGATCATCTAGAAGTCACAGATCCGAGAAAGGTGAAACTGTACACAATCGGCTATGGAGAAGCTGGTGAGTACGGCAATGCTCGCTGGTATCCCATCAACTTAAAGAAGCCCCTTAGTAGCTGGCAAGGAAGCACAGCGCCGATCTGTATTTGGGTCTCGATTTTGCAGAACGAGTCGGACGTTGAACGCTTTGGCGATCCGGACCCGCAACCGAAGAAGAGCAAGAAAAAGAGTAAAACATCAAGAGGGACATCCGAGCCTGCCAGCGATATACTGAGGTCGACGCACTCGGACCGCGTTCTTCCAGCCCCGGTGAGTAGCGAAGAAGAGTCTGGCGACCATCTATCTGCTCCGGCCTTGCTTCAGACCAGCGAAGGACACGAAACGGATGCAACTACAGATCAAGCTCCGAACGACGACGATCTCTCTGCCGAGCTAGACCAGCTCTTTGTTGAGGAGTTGCCAGATCTGGCTGCGGCCGAAAGTGGTCAAAGAGCATCTGACCTGCTGTCCACAGCTGACATAGACGAGAGCATAGAGGACGTCGTCCTGGCGGACTCTGACGGAGCTCTGCAAGCAAATGCGACTGTCAGTGTTCCCATTGAGGACCTCGGCCCTTTGACTGCATTTGCACGGGAATGGGCTGCCGGGTATCAGCCAGAACCAGTCACACCGGCGCCTCAGGCTGCGAATCAGCCACCCCAACCGGCTACACTTGGGGCTTCGTTAGATATTACATCGCTTACACCTGAGACTTCACCAGAAGTCACACTGGCTACGATTGAGGCCTCATCAGAAGCCCCACGGAGTGATCTAGCAGCTTTCCAAATTCTGGATGAGATGTCACTTGCCGTAACTCATGGTCACCTTGTGGACGCTTTCCCAGGCGTGGAAGAGGTCATTGCCAATGCAGTCGAATCACAAGATCGCGCCGCGCAGCAGTACGCAACTAGCCCCGAAGATGAGGCCGCTATTGCTGCGTTGATAGCCGCCGACACCGCAGAGCTCTCTGGCATGTCCGAAAATGGCGACCAGGCTCCCGGAGATACACCTGTCCCATCTTCCAGAAATGCGAACTACGAAAACTCACAGTCCTCGCCAGCAGGCCCAGAGGCCTCCCTGGCGTCAAAACCAGCTGAACAAAGCAAGAAGCGGAGACCAATCGTGTATGGGTTCCTCCAGAAGTTCGACACAGCAGAACAAACGTTTATCGCTTCGGGCAATTTCTTTGCGTACCGAAACGAGAACGTAAGGAAGGTCATGGAGAGATGCCTGCCGTTGCACAAAGTAGTCGAATCTCACCGTATGGAGGACTCTAAGGCCATGGACTCTGACATCGAGGAATCAGGGACCACATTTTCCGATGTCAAGCTTTGGTATCGCACGTCCACCGTCGACGGCACCCCTATCAAGGACAATGAGACGTTCGACCAGATCGATTTCGTCAATGGGGCGGATCTTATTTTCGGTTTGGAGGTTGGACCATCAGCCAAAGCGAAGCTGCGTACAGCTGGTCTCTTCTGGGATCCGTTCGAGCTGTCCAAGTTCCTCCAACTGCAGAGCCGCAAGCATCCTCGAGCGGTGACAGTCAATCACACGACCATCTTCGATTACGGCCAGGAACAATACGAAGGCCCACTCGTCAACGGCCACCGGCATGGTGCGCTCAGCAAGTTGACCTACTCGAATGGCCAGACCTACGAAGGCCCTCTTGTCTGCGGCATGCGCGAAGGTCCCAACGGCTTCATGACGTATCAGAACGGTGATACATACCGAGGTGATTGGAAAGAAGACGAGAAGGACGGCCAAGGCACGCTGATTGAAAAAGGCACAGGCAATAAATACGAGGGCGGCTTCCGCAACGGCAAGCAATGGGGCCGTGGCGTGACTCACTGGGCTGTTGCTGCTGATGAAGCTGATCTGTGCCAGATCTGCTATACTGACAAGATCAATGCTCTGTTCTTCGATTGTGGGCATGTTGGCACCTGCATGGAATGCGCGAAGCAATGCGAGTGCTGTCCGATTTGTCGGAAGGAGATCAAGCAGGTGGTCAAGATGTTTAGGTTTTGATCATTGAGAACATGAGGGCGTTGCAGTTACGATTCCTCTCGATACCACATACCTAATCATATCTGGTAATCTCCAAACATATGTGCTGATCAAGTCTTCATTCCCAACCACTTGTGTTTCTCAGGCCTTTGCGGGCCGGAAGATACTGCCTAAAACGAGTATCTACGATAATACTCTATATGTTTGATTGGTGCAGGTTTGCGCCAACATCCGACCCCGTCGGACACACACAATTCAAACCGTCTTTGTGGTCTAGGTAAATTTATCTACCGCCCATGAAGAAATCCAGCAAGCTAATTCCTTGCCTAGTGGTATGATTCTGTATGTGTAAACCGCCTCCCAGTCGTGGGAGCAACCTGCTAACAATCATCGCAGCGCTTAGGGCTGATACCCTGAGTACTCTTGATTGCGAGAGGCCCCGTAAGTCGTGCCCAACTCTTCAAAGCATTGGGACTGTTCATCTGACAATTCAATCAGGTGTTCGAACCACGGCAAAGACCTTCCATTTTTGCTTTTTGAGCGACGACCGTCAGACGAGGCGAGTGTCCAACGTCTTGTGTGGTGAGTCACAGGCGACGTGGACTATTGCTTGGTGAGTCCTTTTTGGTGATTGGCTGGGGAGTGGATCTAGGACTGGTCTTGGAGTGTCTGCGACTGCTGAGACTTCGGGACTGGGTAGCGACAGAATGGCAATGAGCACGACAGACATTGAAGCAATTGCCTACGACGAAGTGCTTTGTCCAGTCCAACACTATTCTTCGTCGGCGAGATATGGGTATCGTCTGCTTTCCCTACTAGTACTACACGAAAGCTGCTCTATCATGTCTCTGCAGACACATTCTCTGGCTTCGATGGCTTCCCATCTGCATCCGCAAAGTCCTTTGCATCGGCTTCGGTACCTGCATGTTGGTCGGCCTCCTTGACTTGCGTACTTTGCGCTGAGACAGGACTGCTGGCACCCGACGCCTCCGACTTGTGACCATCGCCCCTCATCTTCGCAACAATGTTTGCAGCCTTTGCGATCCCCATCTCCAGATACCTGCCTGTCGCTGTATCATGCTTCCCAGCTTGGTGAAGCTCTTCATCAGGACTGACATATGCCTCCCCCTCTGGCCCATGAGGTTTAGTATTCTCCACATCCGACTCAGGATCCGAATCGATCAAGTCGGTATTCTTCTTGTCCGTCACGACCTTCTCATCTGTCGGTCCATCAACATCCTTTACACTGCCTGCGACACTGACATCAGCACTACCGGGATCAGTCTTCCTCAGGCCGAGCTCCTTGGCAAGCTGAGAGGTGCCTTCGCTCATCACCATTCCGACCGTTAGCGCCGTGCCACCCGGACGATTACTGTCGACGCCTTTCGAAGGGCTCGCTTCGTCTTCCTTGTCGCTGGGTTCGCCCTTCCAATCCGCTGGCTGTGCTTCGGGCACCGGCTCGCCGGGTTTGGGCTCTTCGACGATCTTTTCATTTGTGCCTTCTCGGTACTTCCACACGATTTTTAGACGTTCAAATGCTTGGACGCCTTTCCTCGCACTTCCCTTGATGCCGTCCATTGCGGCCCATTCAATCTCGAAGAGGCCGGACTGGTGTCCCTCAAAGCCACCTTCGAACCAGGCATTCCACCATACGTGGGCCACGCTTGTGACCATAGTAAAGCCAGTATAGCTTGCCTTATTCCTCCTCTCAAAATCGATATTCACATCACTCGTTGGCAGAATCAGATCTTCCGTCGGCCTCAGCACCACAGTCTGCACTGGCCCTTCATACGTCTTGCTCGTCAGATTCAGTCCACTGCTTCCAGGCGAGGATCCTGCCACGGGCGACGTGATCATTTCCTCATCCTTCTTGATCTCCTTCGCCTGCACCGGCGCCTGCGTAGTGGTAACATGACCTTCGTCCACAACGGTCTTCTCTGATCTCGTAAACGTGTGGAACGTGTGTATCCTCTTGCCCTCATCAACATATCCCTGCACAGCGACCTTGACCCCATCCCTCAAACCCCAGACATGCACCTCCATGATCTGAACCTGCCTGTCGATGTATTTCTTCTTCATATCGTTCGTCCACCGGTCCACATACCGCACATATCGCAGCTGGCTGGGTATGCTGACGCCCTGGCCGAATCCCGAGCGCATTCGTCTGACCGTAAAACGATGCAGTGCCTCCTCTCGCTTCCACCCCTCCTCACTGATCAGATATGAACACGACACCGTCCCGCTGCGACCCTTGCCAGCTTTGCAATGCACAACCGCAACTCTGCCTATCTTCCTATTCGCCTCACCACCCTTGAATCCACCATCGCGTCCCGCCGCGGGACCCTCCCCCTGTATCCAATTCCGCATCCCAGCCATGATATTTGGAATAATCCCAAACGGCGGGGGATGATGATCAGGCCACGGAAAATGATGTACCCTGCCATACACCTTCTCGTCCGGATATCCCGTCCCCTCTGCACGGAACTCAAACACAGCCCAGTCTTCACCGTGTTTCCGATCGAGGAAGCCGACGAGTTGTTCTATGGGGTTGCGGTAGGCCTTTTTGGGCCACACGGAGGAAGGACCGGAGGTCACGACGATGTTATCGGTGACGTAGCAGAGGTCGAGGCCTGCTTCGGGATGGCGGGCGCGGGGGCCGGAGACGATTTGGCGGAGGATGGATGCCATTATGGCTTGTGATGTGGTGTTGAGGGTGCTGCGCGAGAGGTGGTTGAATGACGGAGGAGCAGCTCGTTGCCGGGTGCTGTCAGCAGCGCGAGACACGCATGGTAGACTTCCTCCGACCAGTGGCACCTTCCACTGCTGTGGTGTACTGTAGTTCACCTTAATGAGTGTGAGAGCAAAAGCGCACGTTCGCGATTGCCAACTTGCATCGAAAACCACAGATGACGTCGATGCTGATCAGTGGCTGTGTGCCTGCCCGCACGGGCGGTGGATGGGAATCAAGCATCGCCTATCTGCTAACCGTGCATCCGACAAGCTTTGCCTATGCAGCGCCTACAGGCTTGGAAGACGCTGTCCATTCATTCGACACTCATGGGTGTCTGTAGGGTTGGAGCACAGAATCTTGGTCACGGCGCTCATTAGTCAAGCCAGCGGTTCATACACGCAGCAGTGGATGGAACTCTATGGAAGTCAAATATCGTAGTCGCGAAGTTCAGTCTGTCTCAACATGTTCAATTCGACCTCTATCTAGTACAAAACAGCATCACTTCGTGGTACCAAGATGACTCGCTGGATATTCATCACATCTCGTTCGGGGACCGAACAAGGACCTGGCAGTGATTCTGCACACGGCTAGACCTTTATCCAAATGCTCTCAAACAGAACTTAACTTGCAACGACCACGCTCGTCGTGCATTTATCTGAAATCAATGTCTCTCATCTTGACTCGCAGATCGAAAATGACTCATGCCGTAGGCAGGATGAGTGCTCTGCCCAGGTGGAGGTGGCTGTCCCTGCTGAATCGGCTTCAGCCCACTCTGGGAAGCATGGTGATGGTGAAACGAGCCTGGCCTGGAGGAATGCCCAGGAGGTTGAGCTTGGCCATAGGGTCCGGGTGGTGGCTGCTGCTGGTTGTGATGGGCTGGTGGTTGAGGAGTATAGCTTCGCTGCAGCGGGTCGTGGGGATAGCCTGCTGGTCGCTGAAGGATCGGTGGCTGACCTTGCTGGGTATGTTGCTGTGATTGGCCAGCATGTTGAGCTCCGTGGCCGTGTGGATTGATATCGGCCTCTCGAGGCGGCGGTGGGCCATAGCCTGCGCCCAAAGGTCGTCTGAAACCGAATGAATCCCGATCTGCAAGTCCGAATCTGTCTCGTTCAAGGCGCTCTCTTGCTATTGCTTCCTCCTCCCGGGCTCGGGCCTCCCGCTGCTGCTGCATCAACTCAAATTCTCGCTCTTTCATTAGTTGCTCCCGCTCTTTTTCCTGCTCTCGGAACGTGGCCGCCGGATCACCACGTTGCATGTGCAACTGCTGCTGAAGAGGCTGTCCGCGACCATAGTCGATTGATGATCGCCCACGATGCATGCTTGACACAGGCGTCGAAGCTGCGGAATGAGGATGGCTTGGAGGCAGATTAGATGACTGCCCTACCTGGGGCGCCTGCCCAGGGTTGGGCCGAGGCTCTGGAAACACGCCAGAGCCGACGCGAGAGTGAGGGTGCTGGCTCGATGCTGACAGAGACCGGTATGCAGGCGTCTGAGATGGTGGCGGAGAAGGAATGGAGCCCGGATGCGACAATTGTCCAAGGAACGTGCGGCGGTGGTCGTTGGCTTGTGGCTCAGCCGGGCGGGAAGAAGACTCCATACGAAGATTGCTCGATCCAGACATTGGTGGTACGACGGAATAGGGAGTAATCCTTGGCGATTGATGGAGGCTGCGCTGATCACCCAGAGCGCCCTGTGTTCGTGGGTCCAAGTTGTTTAGCCAAGCTTCGTGCTGGCTTGATCCTTGACCTGAGCCATAGCCTTGCTGCTGCTGCTCTCTTAGGGGATGCGGCGCAAGACCAAGAGGTGTTCTCTTTCGATCAATATCGACAGAACTGCCGTCCAGGCGTAGAGCACCTCTGCTGGGATCATATGCGGAACCAGCATGAGGCAAAATTTGAGGTGACAGTATCGATCCACGATTTTGAGAAGCGCTGGAAGGACGATTGACAGGTGATGGCTCAGGCGGGTCATCGTTAAGAAGACTCATGATATCGGATCGTTTGGCAACAGGCGGCTTAGCTGGTTCTGCAGCCGGTGTACCACTTGGACCAAATGCCATTGAACGGCTATTTGACGCCGACGTTGGGTGTGCAGCGATCTGATGCTGAGGTGCCAATGAGTACCGTGGTAATTGATCGCCTGGTCTCGAAGAAGGCAGGTTCCTGACCTGTTCGGGAGCTGCCTGGTTCTGGCTGGCTGCGTTGCTGTTGCGTACTTGCGCAATCCCTGCTTGTGCACCGTAGGGATTGCTGTTCAGACCGGTGCTGGAGATAGGATTCTGGGCTGCCGCAAGGCTAGACATGGGTGCAATATCTCGTGGCGGGCCAAGATTTAGTTGCCTAGGCGAGCCGGCGGGCAGACGGTGACCAATATCGCCGAAGCGATTCTCTCCAGGCCGTAAAGGATGCTGATGAGGCGAACTATCTCGAGAACCAATCTGGCGCGGCCCGCCAAATAGTGGACCGTCTTCTCTGAAGAAGCCCATCCTCGGTCCCAAGCCGGCGGCTGGTTTGGAGAGCAGCTCTGGACGGCGCAGTTCCTCCTGCTTCGGCTGATGGAGAGGAGCTTCGGCTTTCGCTTTCGCCACGAGATCTCCAGAGAAATTGCGTGAGACAGCATTTGACGGAAAGTCGTCCGTATAGCCTTGCTTTGTGGCTAGGGGTGGATAATCTGCTTCGAGAGGCTGCTGATCGAGCAACGGTCGTCCCATCTGAGCACCGGAAGCAATGGAAGGAGTTGCTTCGTAGCGACGTTTCGTCTGAACTGCGGGACTTGGAGGCCTGCCGATCGTCTGGCCACCAGAACGCTTGGCTTCAGCCTCCTTTGCCATAACCTCGAGGTCGGGTCTGTCCACCAACTGCCGATTGTAATGATTCTTGATCTGGGGGATATTAGTGTTGACGTAGCAGACTAAATCGACAACTTACCATTGTAGACGTCTTCGTCTTCATGAAGTCGGCAATTGCTGCAAAGTCACGACCAAAGTACGCGACGAGCTGCGGAAACTTTTGTTGCTCAGGAACAGACCAGTAGCTTGTCGGCTGATTTGTTGCCTGCGCTGCAAGAGCCAGAGCATTCTTGTCGTCTAGACCAGCATACTGCGGCTGGTCAAGATCAATCGGCTTACCCACGGGCAGAATAGGGTGGATGAATTCCTCAGCACGCAATAGTGTGCGAGCGCGCTCTCTTCCAGAAGCGATGACTTTTGGTGAGGACTTCTCCAAACTCTCCATTGGAATTTGCCCGACACCTTGACCAGCTGCTGCCAATTGAGCATTAGCCTTGTCTTCCAGCATCTGGGCCTTGGTGCGTCGAGTCTTCGTGGCGGTACCTGCCTTGCCTTTCCGTACTGCTTTCGTGGGTGTGGCGTCACTTGCAGCATCTTTGGCGACAGCGAGGCGCTTTGCTGGTTGTGATGCCGCAGCCACGTCTGCTTCGGTGCCATTGTCTCCAAATGTAGGAGCAGCAGCTCGTCGCGGTCTCCCAGTATCCGTCACCGCAACGACACCTTCTTCCCCATCACGATATGTAAGCTCCGACATCAACGCCGTGGACCGTGGCTTCGTTGCAGGAATTCGGCCTCTCTTTCGCTTTGGCTGCGCCCGGCGCCAGATCTCTTTGTACTTGGCTTCTCCTTTTGTGAGATAGTAGTGGCTTATGCACTGCTTGAAATCCCGGCCGGGCAGACTCTCAGCCATCTTTCCCCATTTCTTCGGAGTCTGACAGTATGCTTGGGTAAAGGCAAGCTGCTCTTCGTCGGTGAAGTCATCCTCCGGCGGATCGTATCGTAGTAGGTCCAGGGATATCTGCGGAGTGATGATGCCACTGGTGTCAAGGAATTCCTCCAGACGGGCATCGTCCTTACTCAACATTGGGAGCACTACAGCTTCGTGATCATAGTTCGGAACAGCGCTTTCCTGGGCCTCGCGTTCTCTGCGCTCTTCTTCCTCCTTCATAGTCTGCTCGGATAACGCAATGGCAGCTTGCAAATCGGCCTCTGTTGTATTGCGACCGCCTCGTGTACGCTCATGGCTGATCAATGGTGTAACAGAAGGTGCTGCAGAGGGAGCTGGAGATGCAGGTGCGGGTGTCATGTGCATGTCGCGATTTGAACGATCCAAATAGCTGATGTCGTCTTTCCAGAAAGCATGACGGCGGCGATACTCTTCGTGCATCTGTTGCAGATCTGCCTGACGGTCGAAGGCGGATCGTTCGAACTCTTGGCGGACGAGCATGGTCACAACTTCCTGCTGCATGTCATCATCGGATTCGTCAAACACAAACGGCTCTGTAATTTTCTTCTGAAGATAGGGCAGATTCTCGATTGGCGGCGTGGGAATAGGATTAATTGGCGGATCGCGCAGAAACCTGCCGTGAGGTACCTTTTCCTGTGCTCCAGCCTTGTCATCATCCTCCGATTGTTCTTCAGGTGATGGCAGACCAAGTTGCGACTTTGAGGTAACCACTTGAGTTGGTTCCGTGATGTTCTCTGCTCGCGGGAATTGGGGCACCAGATCGTTCGCTATCATGTTCAGGAATTGCAGACGGATGAGGTGTCCGCGTATGACCGAGTCAAGGAGGAACGATGGCGGTTTTCCAGCTTCTTTTGCTTTGATGTTCCGCTGATGCTGGGCTTCAGAAGCAGCATATTCGTCCTCGTCAAACTCATCCTCTTCCGGTTCGTCATCGCTTGATACTGGTAGTGACATATCAACATCTTCTGTCGTGCTACCGGTCGTGCTGGGAGCATTATCTGAGGCTCGAAGATTGCCAAGAAGTGTAGGTTTGGTGGACAACATGGAGTTGGCGCTATTCATGATAGAGGGTGGCTGCGGTCGAGCTTTGTCACCGTATGGTGGCAGGTTGGACTGCGATCTCGGCCCTGTTGGAGGTTGTACAGGTCCACGGCCAATAGGACTCATGATGGACGGCTTCGCGCGGCTGTATTCTGGAGAGACCCATGATCGGCTAGAATTGTTAGGCAGTCCTGCTTGCCAGCTACCTTCTCTGCCATCTCGGCCATCTCGGGTGCGTGGTCCCGTTGGTATCTGCGAGGTCTATTGTCGGAAGGAAGCAGCTTTTGTGGAGTGAATTGAGGACTGACATCCGAAATGGGAGGTCTACCACGGAAAGTTGAACCAAATGAGGATGATCTTGGCCCAGACGGAATATTTGGTGGCAGTGTAGGAGCAGAAGCGACGGGCTTAACGTCCGACTTCTGTTCTAATTTCTTGGGGAAGAGCTCAGTCGGAGCTTTCGAAGTAGGCGCTGGGCCGAAGGCCAACGATGGTCTCGGCTGTTGTTGGTCGGTCCTGAGCGCTTCGGTCGGCTGACTTGGCTTTGGCATTGAGCCTGACGGAGCACGGTCAGCTTTTGGCCCACTGGGTGGCTGGAAGGGCGCCGATGCAACTGAGGGCGAGATCGATTTAGTAGATTGCGTTCGTGGCGGAGGTAGCTTCTCAGTTGGAGTGGCAACAGGAGCAGAGGGCGGCGGCCCATAATCCAGACCAGCTGTCGCCGATGTTTGCGCGACGGGAGGCTGATGCAGACTTGAGTACGACGATTCCCTCCGAGGCTCCCCGCGCTGGAAGTAGTCAGCATCGTTGTCACGTCGCCCTTCTCGTATAGCTGTGCCGGGCGTTGCAGCGACCGAGGTGCGCCGTGTCAGGTCATATTCGGCTTTCGGAGGTCTTTCGACCGCTGAGACATGATGGCCCACAGAGCCGGCAGGGCTGGGTATTCGAGCAGGTCCAGCGCCGAGTGGTCGTCCAGGCGAATTGTCGCGCTGCCAGATGTCGTGATCTCGTCGCTCTCGACTTCGTTCGCGAACGGGATATCGATCATTGCGGTCTTGGTCAGGACCCACAGCCCGACCACGATCTATGTCTCGGTCTCGCCAATTGCTATCCCTGGACGGACTGCGGTTGCCGAAGAGATCGCGATCTCTATCGCTCACGAACGACGCACGATCTCTCTGTCTGTCCCAATCACCTCTCCCTCTACCTCGAGCAAGGCCACCTCTGAAAGAGCTGCCAGTGTCACTTGGTCGAGTCGACAGCGGCGGTATTGATTCTCGAGAACTGCGTCGCCCGCGCAGTGGTGAGGCAGAGCGGTCGCGGTCGAAGTTTGGAAAGTGTCTGCCAGTGTCTCTATTTGTGAGTGGTGGCCGCTCTGGTGGTCGCTCACGGGGAGGGTCTCTATCTCTTCGTGGCCAGTCGTCATCACGACTGCGGTATGATTGAGACGGTCGAGCATCGCGATCGCGATCTGGTTCCCTCCATGCATCGCCTGGACGGGGAGGAAATGTACCAGCGCCGCGACCTCTACCAGCAGGGTTGTACGGATATCCGCCGCCACGAAAGTTGTCCGCACGAGGTCCTCTTGGCGGGTCTCGGTCGTTTTGTGTTTGCGGATCGCCGGTACCGCGATACGAAGACCCTCCTACTTGGTACGAAGGCCGTCGGTCATAGCGTGGAGGAGATCGATCCCTTCCAGGAGGTGCATACCGGGACATGCCTCATGAAGTCGAGTGCTGGTGACTCGTGGGTGTGTCAGTGAAAAGTGGGTCGCGGATCTGAATTAAGGTTTGGCACCAAAGCGGAGCGAGTCAGAGGCGCAGGAGCCCGAGCCAGGTTGACTGGGAGTGAGGAGCGTTACGCTGCAGCCCAACTCTCGTCGCCGTTGATGATGTATGATCAGTACTTCTGCTGACTGTTGATATCGATCCACCCCTTCCCATACTTTAACGAACGACAATTTGCGACTTGATCGCGATTGGAATGACAACACTTCTCTGGTGCTTTTCGTCGTTCTTACTGGCAAGCCTCGTCGCGGACACGTGCAGTGGCGTGAGGGAGATCTTGGAGGTTTCGTTTTGACGTATCCGAATGGTGAATGATCTTTCTCGCAAACCGAAGTCCAGAAATAGAACAAAGTACGCGCGAGCAGAGACTCGACGCCGCAAGGAGCGAATTGTTGAAGGCAAGGTCGTGTTGGTGAAGTTGCCACGTGAATTGGCGATGTGTTGCGCGTGAATCGTTAAAACGGCACCGTAGAACGGAGTAGCAAGAAGCGCGCGCGGATCCAGGCAACCAGATAAGCTTCACTGAAACCGCAGCCCCTGAAAGTAAACAAGCCGTAGCCAGGAATCTGGAAACTGAAATAGATGGGTAAGGCAACTGCTCGTCTGTTGCGTTGAAGAATTGATAAAAGAACGTCGTGAAGAGAAGTGGCAGATTCGAGACAAAGCTAGGCAAGCAGCTCAGCGGAACGATCGAGGAGAGACGACAGGGATGTGGGTTAGCGCTGTCCAGGCCAGCGCAAGAACTTGATCGAACATTGGCGAATGGTGATTGGACACCTGAATTTTCAATGCGATTTCTTGGACCCACCTCCATCGACAGTCTGTGGCTGATGTCCTTGAGTATGGAGTACCTTGTGCAGCACCTGAAAGAAAATCGTGATTATACATGTAGGATGCTTTTCCGTTGCTGTTTCTGACGCTGCGGACGCTCAATTCTACACTTTAATGTCTTCAAGTGATACTTAATCTCTACGACACACCATGACAGCACCGAAGGGCACTGCGCCGCCATCGAAAGCCACTGACGCCGTCCTTGTTCAATCAGATCCAGTACCCGAGGATGCCGTACAAGTCGGCGGCATTGACTGGACTGCTTTACCAGCCGAGCAGCGCACCATCATTGCAAATTTTGTCGGAAGCCTTTCGAAGCAAGGCTTTCAGTCAAGTTCGATCGGAGAGGCGGTCGATATCATCAATGATATGGTAGGATTGTAGCCCTTCTTGCCTACGAAACTGACTGACCCTTCCCAGCGGTCTTGGCGGGATAGCGAAACAGGGCAGAAGACCACCATATTCCTAGGCTACACATCAAATATGATCTCGTCCGGCCTGCGCGACACCTTCCGCTACTTGGTCCAACATCGCCATGTTTCAGCGATCGTGACAACGGCAGGCGGCGTCGAAGAAGACTTTATCAAATGCCTTGGCCATACTTATCACGGCTCCTTCTCGACCTCAGGCGCAGCCCTCCGCGCCAAAGGCATGAATCGAATCGGCAACCTGATTGTGCCTAACAGCAACTATTGTGCCTTCGAGGACTGGATCATCCCGATCCTCGATAAAATGCTCAACGAGCAGGAGGCCGAGTTCGAGCGCACCGGAGAACGCTTCATGTGGACACCAAGCCGCCTCATCCACCGTCTAGGAAAGGAGATCAACAACGAGGACTCGGTCTACTATTGGGCATACAAAAACGACATCCCTGTGTTCTGCCCTGCCATAACTGATGGCAGCCTCGGAGATATGCTTTACTTCCACACATTCAAAGCATCGCCACGGCAGCTCGCCATTGACATCGTGCAGGACATCAGGAGAATCAATACTATCTCGGTACGAGCGAAACGCGTCGGCTCAATCATCCTCGGTGGTGGTGTGGTGAAGCATCATATCTCCAATGCTTGTCTGATGCGCAACGGAGCTGAGAGTGCGGTCTACATAAACACAGCGCAGGAGTTCGACGGCAGCGATGCCGGTGCTCGGCCTGATGAGGCTGTCAGCTGGGGCAAGATCAAGGCGGATGCTAAGAGTGTCAAGGTACGTTCTGCTGTTGCGGGTTGATGTCCAAAGCATCACCTTCCATATGCTTGCGATATCTATACTGATCCATCCCACAGGTCTACGTAGAAGCCACCGTCGCCTTCCCACTGATCGTCGCCGCCACTTTTGCAAATCCGAGCACAGCAGGCGTTACCAATGGACAGCACTCTCAAATCGAGTCGGCAGCCTCAATACAGAATGGCGGAAGATGATTGAAACACACAAAATGCATGTGTCTATATCCTGCAGAACGCCGCGCAATGCATACTTCCCAAAAAGCTATGAAGCACACGCGATCCGACCAACCTTCTTCTGGTGCCGCTGAGGACGCCACCGGTGCTTATACCTTCATCTTTAAATCCTTAGCCAGACTCAACCTCGCGACAAGCACACTGGCTGCACTTAGCAACGCAACGCCGCCCGCATAGAATATAGCAGGCCTGTACATTTGCACATCGGTGTTTTCTCCGTCGGCACCGCCTGAGGCTTGCAACAGAATTCCCGCAATAGGTGTACCCAACAAATAGCCGACCATCCAACCAGTGGTGTTCACACTCATAGCCACAGCTTCTCGACCAGGTCCCGCCACCTTCGCGACCGCAGTCGGCAGCACAACGAAGAACGCTCCGTTAGCTACGCCATTGAGGATCGCAAACAGGATCAAGACTCCTAGATTTCCTCCTGCAACCGGCCAAATCGCCAGCATACTCAGCGCATTCAAGCTCATTGTCAGAAGGAACGTGTTCGTCGGACCCGCGCGATCACATAATGGCCCTGCTAAGGTGCGACCAATTGTGGTACATGCATTGAATCCCGCCACCAAAGCTGCGCCTGTCTGGGCCGATCTCCCGGCCGACTGCGCGAACAGCGGCAGAAAGAAAGGTGGTATGAACAGCGCGAACGTGCCAAGCGCAGAGCTCACGAACAGTGCGCTGAACGGCACTGATCCGAAGAGTGACAGATCGATCAGCTTGCGCTTCGAAAATGGCTGCCTCTCCTTTACAAGCCAGGCGGCAGGCAAGCCCGTCAGCAACGTAGCCAGGCCAAGGACGCGGAACATCCAGCTCGTGCCCACCCGGTCAATGAGAGCCTGCAGCCCGATGCTCAGCACCGTCGCGCCAATCCCGCCTCCACCTTTGACCAGCCCATTCGCCAATCCTAGGCGTCTCGAGAAATATTGCGGCGGCACAGAATTCGAGATCGTGTAGATCAGACAACATCCTGCACCGACCACGAGTGAGCAGGTCGAGAACAGCCCTCCAATCGAGCCTGTACTGAATGATGCACCGACTTCGCCAACACCCAACAGCGCTACACCAAGCGTTGAAGTCCACCGTGCGCCTAGATAGCTGATAAGACGTACTCCGAAGATCCCAAGTGCGACGCTGAGGCAGAGATATAGACTGCCGACGAACGTGATCGTGGCGGTGGGCGTGTTGGTCAGCGAAGTTGAGAGGAGGGCTGTCTGGATTACGCCCCATGAGCCGGAAAGACCATTGTACCAGAATGTCATGATGCTGCACGAGGCAATCACCGTCCAGCCATAACCTCCATCCGGAATCGCAGTGGTGTAGTTTGGTTGCAGATGCGAGTGGACTTCGTCATCTGCAGATGACGGTCGATTGATGTGGTCCGTAGACTCCATCGTGGCTGTCCGTGGATCGCCTGCGCGGTATGCTTTGGCATTGGTTTGCAACTCGATGGTCTGCGTTGTTGTCGACATGTTGGTTCGCGCAAGGTAGGTGATGATATCTGGGGTGCGCTTACCATGCGCAGATATCTCTGATGGCAGATACTGCCTCTTGTAGTATCGTGGTTTGCTGCTGGATCATCAAAGGCGGCGATCCCCGTTGACCTTGGTCGCGCTGATTTAACAGGGCGTGCATGAGAGTTTGGAGGTATGACTCCCTCCCACGGAAATCTCTCCGCGGTACGTAAGAGCTGGACGCTCAAAGACCCTCCATGTCCGTGTCCAACGAGCCAGACTCCCCGTCCATATACCCGTCAGTGACTGCCGCATTCAACATAGGAAACTCCAGCTTCCTACTATCAATACTATCAGCCGCCTTCAACAGACTCCCCACCGCACTCTCCAAAATCCCACTCGCAATCTCCAAGAACTCAGCACTCTTATTACTGACTCTCAATGTCCATCGATACTCCATGAGCCTCCTTTGGTAGAACTCCGCCTCTTCCTGACTAACAGAAGTGACAAAGCACAGCCCCGCAAACGTGCCGATGAGCGCAAAGTTGAACTTGGAGCAAAAGTACCAGAACGACTGCAAGTGCTCTGGCTTGAGGCGATTGAAGAAGTCCATCGCGCTGATGAGGCGCGCTTTAGCTGCTGATCGGCAGATTTGGACGAGGTAGGGATCTGTGCTCGGCGATAGAGATCGGAGGATCCGTCGATGGAGGGTGATCTCCGTGGCGAAGTATGCGAGGTGGAGGTAGCCGACGGAAGACAATGCACCTGATTTGGTGGCGTCCATGCGTAGGTTGTCGGGCAACTCAGCCCACCAGGATTTGAGGCGGACTTGAATGGGTTTGGCGCGTTCGAGGACGGCTTTGGTGGCGTCGTATGAGTGTTGGATGTCGAGTTCGGCCTGTAGGGAGTAGAGCTTCTCCAGCACTTGGTTGAGCATTTTTGACAGGCTGATCAGCTCGTTGAAGAGGGTGCGGCCTTTTTCAACTTCGCTGGCGATGTCTTCATCTTCGCCGACGGCGTCGTCTGGGAAGTCTTCGCTTGAGACTGGCTGGACGGCCCAGTTGTTAAGTGAAATATGGGGTGGTCGGGCATAGATCAGTGCCGACCATGTGTCTTGGTTGAAAAGCGCCCATGCTAGTCTCCGCCGTAAAGCCCGCTCCCATACTGGTATTCGCCAGCTCGAGCAATCAAGATGTAGACCGAGATCTTGTGCGATCGCAACCACCTGGCAAGTGAGCTGCCATGACGTGATGTTGCGAGGTCGCTGTAACAGTAGGAGACCAGCTTGCACAGTGGCGATCTTCGGTCGTTGTGATGTCTCTTGGAGACTCCGGAAGGCGACCTCTTCTAGGATGGAGACGTCGGGTTTATGGTGCTTAGCCAAGTCCGCTTCGTATGACCACCAATTCGAGGCCAGTATATACACAGCAGCGAGTAGTGGTGGAGAGAAGACCCGATAGCTCGAAGCGTACCGTTCCAGAAACAAATCTTTCTGCAAGATGGGGAAGCTGGGATGTACTATACGGAAGAAGAGTCGTATCAAGCCCTGCCATGTGGAGCAACGGTCTGCTCTATAGTGTCGAGGTCCTTCAGGTCCTGAGCCTGGCCAGGTTGGTCCGCGTCGGCGAATTGGTGGAAGAAGTCAGTTGGCCCGACCTTGCGAAAGGTTCCCGTTTCGGCGATGCTCTCATCTCGAGCATCGTCGTAAAGTCGTAGGTCTAATAGTGAGTAGTCATGCTCGTCGGTCGGGCCAACGTATTTGGCGTACTGTTGTAATTGGAGACTGCACATGCCTTAGTCCTGCGGCAGCGGCCATGTGAATGATGGTGCAATAATGCAGCAGCTGGGATTGATGGGGACGTACCCGAGAGTCTGGCGACTTAGTAGGTCTGGGTAAGCCTCGTCAGCTAGCTTGGAAGCCGGCTTCATGCCTTGGCCTTGAGCGGCGGAAGCAGGCATTGGAGGGGAACTATTGCTGGGGCTGTTATCGTTATCTTTCACAGCTCAAGATAGTGAAAATCGAACAAGAGGGATCGCTTACTATGATAGACGAGTGGATGAGCCTAGAACGGAGTTATTGCTGATAGCAGAGGCACGCATTCCGGAGTTCAAAGATTGGCTAGGTCGGCCCATCAAGGAACATGGAGTGCCATTAGACATGCATGGCATGCACGAGGTGGCATTAGGTGGGACGGTGCACTGGGTCTGACGTCGCCGACAGGGTTCGCAGGCGACAGCGGACGGAGCCACCGCGTATTCAGTGGATGAGGCCGCGCTATTGTTAAGGTGAGAGGTCATGTTGGTGGAGGTATACGTGCCTTCAAGATAGAAAGATGTCACCCGGGCGAATTGGCAGGAGCCTCATGCCGGGGCACTCTCTGGACCAAGCGAGCTGGCCGGTCGTTCCCCGTGAGATAGCCGTATGCAGCAAGAACGAGACATCGGCAGATAATGCAGGTCTGAGGATCTGGAACCATATGACTCGTCGTATGCCATATCTACGCTCGGCGGTACTATGTGATCAACCTACGCAGCAATAACAAAGGTCGAATCGACAGGGGACGGACCTCGAGGTTAAAGGTGGATAGACTTGGATAAAAGGCTCTTCAGCTGTCCTTGGCCACTCGTGTGTCACGTTTGTGTATCTTCCGAGTCCACCATGACCTACCATGTAGATATCGATGTCAGCGACCAACACGCAGGGCTTTCTTGGTAGGCATCTACCGAGAGATCTCGCTGATGTTCCGGAAGCACAATGGCGTATGATCGGAATTATGCTGGTGAAGCGACCCGCGTGGAGAATCGATCTCGTAATAGCACAGGCCTCTTATCTCGCCTGGAGCTAATTGGTTCCGAGGAACTCGAGTTACACAAAGGTTCATGCAACGTATATTCGTTATTCAACCGTGACTCGTTATCCATTCCGCTGCAGGTCAGGACTTTTGCAGCATTCATTAATCGTTACTCAATCATACTCCCTTTTTGTCTTGGTATAGCGCTCGGAGTAGTAAGACTTCCTGTCATCATCTTCTTCATCAACCTCGACGTCCTTCTCCTCCCTTCTCCTCCGCGATCGATGGCGACGATGCCGCCTGTGCTTCCGCTTCTCGTCTCGGTCAGATACTTCATCCGGCGACGGCGCTCTCTGTGGCGAATAGGGTCTCGACCTTTCGACGAAAGTATCATTGATGTGGCTCTCCGTCTCATGGTAGCGATCTCGCCGCCCGTAGTAGTCATCGTCGTCGTGGTGGCTACGGTGCTTTCTTCTCCTCCGGCTTCTGCTCCTGTCTCTCCCAGTACCGCTCGCAGCATGGCTAAAATCGTCGTCATCAATTCTCTCTCCACGATGATCGATCAGATATCGACCAGCGATCGCAGCTTCTGCTCCGGGCCGCTCGTGCTTCCTCTCCCAGACGTCGTGATTCTTGATTTCTGAACGACGAAAGCCAATGCTCCGAGATCTCCTCCGAACGTCTGAGCTTGGCGAATGGTCATGTCGGAGTGCAGTCGGTACCCTGCGCAACCTGTCGGGCCTGGCGCCAACCGCAACATCGACTTTGCTTCGCCTATCGCCGCGACCATAGACGCTCCGCTTGTCATCATCCACATCCTCAGTCACCCGCACGTCCCTCATAGCATCCACAATGCTCCTGCTGCGTACCGACCGTTCTCTTCCAGACGCCACCACTTCGTAGCGCCCTCGCCCTCCGCTCAGATCGTTCGCGTCAATTATAATAGCACCTGACTCAGTCTTCTCAGGCCTGATGATCTCCCAATCTGTCATTGCCCCATTGTCTCGACCTCGACTGTCCAGCACGATGACATTGCTGTCAGAAGATCTAGTAACAAAATCGTCTCTGTCACTGAGCATGTCGTATTCAGTCCGTGTCGATGCCCTGGGCCGTGATACCAGGGCGAGATCCCGGTCTCGATCCCTGTCTCGATCACGGTAGTACATGTCACGGTCGTAGACATCCCTATCGACGACTTGGCGCCGGTCAACTACCACATCGCCTTTGGCCAGCGTTCCTCGTCGTTCATAGCGTCGATCATCGTCAAGAGACCGCCTGTAGTCGTCTGCGTAGTAGTGGCCGTCCCGGTCTCGATTCTGATAGTCACGCTCGTAGTATTGGTCCCGATCCCGGTCACGATAGTCCTGCTCGTAGCGTCTGTCGTGGCGATAGCTGTACTCACGATCATCTTCCACTGGGCGTACGCGAGATTTGTTGGTTACTTTCTGTTCACGGTCCCAATCACGGTCCGCCATAACGCTGAAGGTATGCAGGCCAGCACCCTTTGGAACAGCACAATCGACGGCAGTCAGGAAGAATCATAGAGTTCCCCAGCAAACTGTGGTCAATGAGGAACACAAACTTGTTTGCTGTCAGGCTGAGAGTGCGGACTGATACCTTGTACTGGGCTTGTACGAGGGCTTGGAAATGACGTTAGGCGCTGGTGGTCAGTGCGTTGCCGTTGTGCCCAAAATCCACGACGCTATGCGCATGGCCATCCCATTGTGGAGCTGATTGATGGAGAGGGTCGAACATCTCAAGGTCTCGTTGACCGATCGATGCAATTTTGACAGACGGAGTTCAGCTCGGTCGTTTTCGTCGACAAAGAGGGCTAGGCCTGCTAGACACATCAGTATGCCTGTACATGCTAAATATAATTGCTTGCCGTGGCTTGACCCAGACTACCCCGCTCTGGATATCGAAGTTGCACAGTGGTAGTCAGCCGGCCTTCGGTAGGTCTTGGTCGCTGAAGTCAACCGGTCTGGTGAGTGACCGATCGTGAAATGAATGCGGGACACATGCCTATATGGATATTCCTCCTAGCATATCGAAATCGCACTTCTGGTGTGCTTGCAGACGCAATTTAGCATTGAACATAACTCAAGGAATGCCCAGCACGACCCCGAGAGCTCCTCGCCAGTATTGCCATCGGCCATTTCGACCTCGGCTGCACAAGTAAGACGAAACGCTTCATCCTTCATGGTAAAACGATCGCTAAGGACCTGGGCCGGCACGATGTGTTTGAGACGTCAAGGTAACGGCCGTCCCCAACTCCACGCGTATCGAAGACATAGTTGTGTAAGCCATCTTGTCTCAGCTTTTTGACACTCACACGACCGACTATTCTCGTTCTTTGCGATCTTTACGTGGAGCTGTTCGTCCCTCTGGTAGGGAATCTCAGTCCATTCTTTCTCGTTCACGTCTCTCTTCTGTCGCTGTACATACACTATCACTATTACCCCCTTCTGCCAACGACTCCACGGTCCACCAATATGCACGCTCAAACACTCGCCACCATATCCCTCCTCATCATCACCGTCACCACCGCCAGACCCCTCACAACCCGCCAGACCAACGCCTGCTTCATCATCGGTGACACCGCCCTCCCCGCCGAAGTAGCCGACACCGCAACATCAATCTCCTCCTCCATCACCTGCTCCTCCTCCGCCACAACCCTCTCGGGCGTCCCCGACGTCACCTCCGGCTCCATCAGCTTCTCCTCCATCGACTTCACCAAGTCCGCCCTCTCCCCCCTAAGTTTCGCACTGAACGAGTTCGCGACAGCAACCCGCTCGCCGACACGGATCTGAAGCGGTTTCAGGACAGCTTGAATGTCTACCTTGCTACCGAGGTTGGGGTGCGCAGTGTGGATGGTGGGTTGGCGATCAAGGTGCCCAAATTCTTCTTGGAGTTTCAGGTTAGCAGGATACAGACGGCGCAGGGGAACGCGCCGGTCGAGGCCGGGTTGCAGGTGGATCATTTGAGGGATAAGGTGCTGAAGAATGCGGCGGGTGAGGATGCAAGTTTGTTGGATGAGGTGAGGAGTTTGGCTGGGGTATTGAGCTAAGGTCGAAATGTTTTCAGAACCAGAGTAATTTGGTACAGGAGCAACTTAGCCGAATTTTCGTACAAACAAACACGGCGCGGAGCACAAGGTTCAACAGCGAAGGCATCCTGTTCCCATCGACCATTTGCGATCACCCAGCCTTTCAAGATCTGGGCGATCTCACGGACCAAGCTCGCGCTTCCCGCCCTTCTCCCAGTCCCTCAGCACATTCTTCCTCACCTTGCCCGTGCTCGTCTTCGGCAGCTCCTCGATGATCTCGAGCTCTCGAGGCACCATGAATCTCGAGATCGCGCGATTATCTTTACACCATTGGATCATCGTGTCGTTGTCGAGCTTGGAGTTGCTCTTGACTGTGATGTAGCCCTTGGGCCGTTCGCCCCATTTCTCGTCCTTCACGGCAACGATGGCGCATTCGAGTACTTCTGGGTGGGTCACGAGGATTGATTCCAGTGCTACTGAGGAGATGTTCTCCCCGCCTAGATTCAGGATTAGTAGGTGATTGGAGCTCTAGAGTATAGCCTGACATACCAGAGATGATGATGTCCTTGGCTCGATCGAGGATCTGGATGGCCCTGCAAGCGCGTCAGTGGTCATGTAGTCAAGCAGAACGAGCAAAATTACCCATCAGGGTGCCACACAGCCAAGTCGCCCGAATGGCACACACCACCCAAGAACAGCTTCCTCGTGGCCTTCTCGTCCTTGTAGTAACCTCTTGAGCAAATGTTCCCATCAAAGCAAATCTCGCCAATCTCCTTCCCATCCTTCTCAACATTGATGATCTCACCACGCTCGCCCTCTTCCTGTTTGATGACTCTGCAAGGCAGGGACGTAATGAAGCCGTGTCCTTGCCTTGCCATCTTCGCGAATTTGTCTTTTTGATTGGGAAGGTCGTCCCACTCGGGCAGAATGTAGCCCTTTGTGATGGGACCATATGTTTCAGTCAGGCCGTAGACATGAACGGGGTGGAGGTTCAGAGAAGTCATCTGCTCGAACAGATGGGCCGTTGGAGGCGAAGCTGCGACCGCGACGCGGACCTTGTGAGGCATCTTCTCGGCATTGCTGTCGTTGCAGAGCAGGGTATTGACTGTAGGGGCAGCGCAGTAGTGTGTGATACCTTCCTCCTTCAAGAGACGCCAGATCTCTGGATAGTCGATCTTGCGCAAGCAGTAGTGAGTTCCGCGGGCAGCTGTGATTGCCCAAGGGAAAGTCCAACCCATAGCGTGGAACATGGGCAAAGTCCACAGATATTTCGCTCGTTGGCCATCGTGGAAGTTGAGCCCTGCTTCAATGACATTTCCTAGAGCAGCCAGGTATGATCCTCGATGGGTATATTCGACGCCCTTGGGTCTGGAAGTTGTCCCTGAGGTATATGCCAGGGCATTGACCGCCAGTTCGTCAGGTGCCTGGGCAAACAGGCCTGCCCAGCCGTGGGATCCCAACTCTTTGTCATATTCGTAGCCCTCCAGTACGGCTTTATCGAATTGTCCAGAGTCAGCATCGGTGTCGGTGTCGACAATGATCGGGATGTGAGGGTGCTTCAGTCTATATTCGTCGAGGAGGTGCTCGTACTCGGCATCCACAATGATGGAGTCTGCATCTGAGTGCTCGAAGATATATGTAATGTCATCAGCCTTCAGCCGATAATTTATAGCAATGTTAACAGCTCCAGCTGCGCCGATCCCAAAGATTGCCTCCAGGAAAGCCGGGGTGTTGGTGCAGAGAATACCGACACGCCGATACTTCTTCTTCAGCAAATAGTATGCAAAGGCTCTTGCTCGATCCGCGAATTGGGCATAGGTCCGGCGCAGGATCTTGCCATTGGCGGTCTTGTGGTAGATTGCAGTCGCCTGCGGCTCGATAGCAGCAGTACGGGGCAGGAAGAATGCCGGTGAGAGAGTGTGGAAATTGAACCAGCCGTTGGTCCCGTTCTGGCGGCCATCGATGTTGAGGTTGTTAATCGAGCCCGGGGGACTGGTTGCGGCTGCGGGGAAGAGGTGGCTGAATAGCGAGGCCAAGCGGGATGTCGCTTGGGACGCCGACATGTTGCGAGGACTGCTCAGACAGGTCTCTAAGGGTCTGCCAGCTCTTCGCGCGGTTCACGTCTCGCGTCGACAGAGCCTGACCAGCAGGTGAACTCTGTACGGGCGATCATCGTGGAATAAATACTAAATGCCCTCGGCCAGTTGGGACAGCTAACAAGCTTCAAGCCTCCCCTTACCCCGACCCGCCAAGCAAGCATCCAGATTGCGGGCTGCATTTTCCGATCGGAGGCTGCGGCCTCGACACTTCGGGTACAGTCGGCTTCAGAAGAGACAAGTCCGAACGATCTATGGAATACGAAAGCACTGGTCCAGTGCCAGGCGGTCTACACGACGCTCACTGTCGTGCTCGCGCAACTCGTAATTGCTGTAGATTACACATGGCTGGTTCCATGTCCATGCCATGACCCAATATCCTGCCCGTGCAATGATGGTACACAGGGCCGCCCTGGCGATGAACCTCATCTTGCTACACCGGTCGTAACCAGCATCTCTCCAGAACCTGGTCTGCTGAGCCTATCAATCCCCAGGTGCTCTTTCCCGTCGCGTCCCATGTAGACACCAAATGCGTAACGAGCTCCTGGTCGTTTCTCTCGCCAGTCTCCAGTCAAGCCAGCAGGCGTACCCACCAAGCGTGCCACGAGGTCTGGCTTCGTCCGGACGTTCCACAGCTCTGACATTAATGGCGATGCGTATAGATAGCTAAGCTGATCTGCGATGGTGTCGATTGCGTGAGGTAGGTAGCGCTTCCGCTTGGGCCAGATCACCGTGAATGATATGGCGTAGATGGAGAGGAAAACGCAGAGAGCATAATAGCCAGGTAGACTGGCCTTCATGCGCACGTCCCCACTCTGCAGCAACTGTGCTGTGAATACGCCGCCGGCGAGAGCAGGAATGAGACCGGAGAGGACACTCACAGCGGAGGTCAGAGCCACTTTGTAGTCTCGGTTTAGTATCGCCTCGACCGTCACCCACAGTGGGTAGCTAGCTTGGTAAGATAGAAGCAAGCTGCGTTCAGCTGATGCACCCCTCGGGCTCGCCAGGTTGGCATACGGCTGAGCTGACCGAAAGAAGACATCGATGGGCTGCCAGAGCAGGAACAGAATCATGCCAAGTAAGGATGGCAGGAAGCTGTAGAGGAAGTTGGACGACGAGAACCCGTCCAAGCTCGTGATGGAAGGCAGAAGAGGTCTGAAGCCGTCCTGAACCGCACGATTGACAAAGCTTACCACCAGAAAGGCAGTGAGCAAACCCGCGGCACTCACGATCCACGCGATCACAGCGATGTCCCGCAAAAACCATGGAATTCGGCGATATCGGGTAAATGGTGAGTGCATGCTGCGAGTGAAGGCGGAATCGTAGGAGTAGCGTTGTCGCTCCACATCGAAGCTGGAATCTTGGGACCCAGGCTCCTTTTCGGTGAGATTCGCTTCGACTGAAATCCTCTTCAGGAGCGCGTTATCACCGCCAACGGCATAGAAGACGTCAGGAGTTCGAGATGTGGTCCAGTATCCCAGCATCAAGGACATGGCAGGTATATGAGGTCTGACCTGCTCCGCAACCTCAGTTCTCTCAAAGTACTGTGCAACGTTGCTTCGAGAGAAGAGCACAAAGAGGTCCGCCAAGGAGACTGGATCCCACATCAGACCTGACTGCGCACGCCAGAAACGCAGTAAAAGTGACGCGATCGCCGTCGCAAGGAGCGCGTAGAGTGCTACCAGTGTCCACCCAATGGCCTGAGAGGCGGTCCATCTCCACCGCACTGGTCCATCGTCCGTCACGTACTGCGTCTGATACATGCAACTCAATAGAGGTATTGTAAAATTCGTGATCCAGAAGACCATGAAGGCCGCCCCAAGCCATTTTTCTCGAATGCGAAACCATCTTAGATCAGGTAGTAGAAAGTTGCGTGGCGTTGCGCAGAAGTCTTGCAAGACGTATTCCTGAGTTCGAACGTCCGACATGCTGAGATAAGGAGCGCTTCTATAGATCGCAGCTTCGATCGAGAAAAGCCAGAGTATTAAAGATGTGCCCAGTAGTTGGGGTAAGTATTGAAAAACAAAGTATATCGGTGTCGTGAATCCGTCATAATCGTACAAGCCATGATTTCGTGAAGCGTAAACATTCGAGAAGATGAGCCCGGCAAGGAATAATAAGGATGCCAGCAAGAATAACCCGAGCCAGAGGGGACGTAGTGGCCGGGGCTTGTAGCCAAGGTCGCCCCATCTTTGCCCCTCTGGTGGTTCGATTGCCAGCATTGTTTCGTCGGATGTCGTCTGCTGCTGCAAGCGGCGCGGTGCTTGGAAAGAAGGTGCTGCCGGTGACAACGCAGTGTGTGGTCGAGGAGCCGCAATAGGCGCAGGTCGGTATGGCACTTGTGGGGAGAGCTGTGGGATAGTAGACGAGACGTTCTCGTAAAGCGGGCTGTTACGACCACGTCCCAATACATCCTCGTCGCGAGTCAATTGGTCAATAGCAAATCGGATGAACTGCGCGTCGTCGGCATTTGGTGTCGGAGGACTCATATTCTCAAAGGACGCCAGACCACTTGCCCTTTGGTGGCCGATCGTCATGTCAGGTACTTGGGTAGGATGTTGTACAATGGGTGTCGATATTCGTGATGGCGGGGTTTCATAGCTGGCTCTGCTGTCGTCGGAGTGCTTGCTCGAGACTTCAGAACCATAATCTGAAAAGTATTCACCAGTAGCCGCGGACGACTGAATAGACTGTGTTCGAGATACTCGAGGCCTTACTGCTTCTCCATGTCAGCACATACCCAAAGTCATTTTGAGGATCCTGTCGAGGGTGCTTACACTGTACATTGAGCAGTTGGACTCGATCAGGGGTCATCACTTTCGTGGAATGTCATCAATGCATTAGCTCAATGCAGGAAAACAGATACATGCACCGCGAATGTAGCAAAACAAGAGACGACAGGCTCTGAGAGCCACTCGTAGAATAAGAAGCCATCAGCAAGAGAGGTTGGTGGTGGCTGGCCGACACAGCACTGTTTTTGAAGCCCCAACCTCCTCAATTACCACGACGCTTCGTGGTGCCAGAAGTGTAGCAATGGGTAGTAGATTCGGTGCCATCAATTCAGTGGCCAACAAGTTTCCATGTCACTGAGAGCGACAGCGTGTTTGAGAGTCTTGACGATACGGAGGCAGCAACTTGTTTCTTGCATGGTGTTGAAGCAGTAGGTACGGCGAGTGTTGAGCCCGACCAATTAGCAGGCTCGAGCCCGAGATACGGCCCGCTTTAAGTCTCCACAGACTTGACTCTCAACACTGGAACTCTGTAAATCAAGTTGCGTTGCTGGCAGCAGCAACACTGATGGACCAAGTTGACGTTGTTCTCTTCTGACCACGCCGAACCAAATATTTGGCCACTCAGGATGGTGTAACAGCGTCGCAAAAGTGAGATCAGGCTGGCTCGGAGGGCGAGCTGGCTCTACACCCTCTGAATGTAGTAGCTTGTGATTGGCATGTCCTCTCCACCTAGGCCACCTTCTAGGCATGCACACCCCAGTGTTTCCAAGGGTTGTAGCCAGAAGAAACGGGGCTGCGAAGTAACCTGTAAAACCCAGACCTCGCGCCCAATGTCTCATGATCCTGCATACCATCATATCCTTCTTTGCGAAGCGTAAAACTTGCTCTTTCGAATGTGTTCCATGCCAGATAATACTTTGTATTGCAGAATCGCTGGCACACAAAGTAGAATTCTTTCCCTTGACTGAGAAAAAGCATCAACCATAGTCGGAGAGTGCCTCGAGTTCAGTGGGAGTTGTAAGCAGTGGCCCTTCTGCGGATTTTGCGGTCGAGGTGGCTCCGATTCTCATTGGCTGAAACAATCCTTTTCGACTCGACACCCTCAGCCTCGCAATATAGGGGCTCAGTACAACCGAGTCCTGACAATGCGTCCAGTCCGCCTTAATAAGCAGTCCGGACATCTGGTATGGATCGGGACGGCTCTATGCTGCTGCCGCGACTCCTGATGGATTACTACCACAGCCAGCTCGGGTGACCGAAGTGTGCGGCCTGGCAATACCGTGGGTGCTGGGCACATTGGGCAGTAATACAAGTGGTATTTTCCACAGTCGACACAGAGGAAGGTAGCGGGAAGCGGCTCCTGTGGTTGCCTAGGGGCTATCCAACTGCTCGCTATCCCAAGCTTATCCTGACCATTGTATTCAGCACTGGGACGGGCGTCCTCCAGGAAGTTCCAGCTTATGGCCATTGCCCCGACGTACGGTGTGAGTGCTCCGCAGAAGATGCAACCATAGCCGAACGTGATTCCGTGCTGCTGGTGCTGCTGCAATGGCGGCGGCATCAACGTCAAGCCAGAGTTGGGCATACCAACCCCGTGATGGCCAGAACCGCCAGCAAGAGACTGCAGGAATTGTTCGTTGGGTTGGAACCCTGCCGCGTAGTCATACGACGAGCGATGAAGAACAGGCGCCGGAGCGGTGAGTGTCTGAGCAGCAAGTTGTGCCGCGTGTGCGCTGGTCAGATCTGCATAAAGGCCATCTGCGGGAGCCGGAGGCTGAGCAACGTTCTGCTGGCGGGTTGGACTGACCGATGCCCAGAAGGGCGGCATGGACAACAGCGGTATTTCTGGCGCATTGATGGCTGTGGTCGTGGTCGAAGGCATCGCGTCATATGGAAACGCCAGGAGGCGTTCGATCTCGTCTTCCGTCATCTCGAAATCGGATATGATGAGAACTGGCAATGGAAGCGGAGGGACAGGCGGTCGTCTTGGTGCGAAAACGACTGAGGACGAGTCAACGGAGGGTCGTGGTTGGGTCCAAGCCAGGTGAGACGATGGTTTGATTGAAGAGTGCCGATGGATCGATGAGAGATTCAAAAGCAGTACTCGTCGATTTCGAAGGCCTAAGGTACTCCCGCGGAATCAGAGGCCGGATGCCTAGAGTACACCGTGTCAAAGCTGAAAGACACCCTACGCACTCGATGGGAAGGCCAACTTGAAGGAGAAGACGTGGTCGATCGGAGAAATCGCAGTCGTCGCAACAAGTAGGGGCTGTGGATGGTACGAAGACTGAATGGCCGATGCCCAGATCAGCGAGTGCAATTGGAATAAAGATTAAAGAGAAGGTAAGAAAGGAAAAGTCTTGCGAGCGGACAGAAATGAAAGGCCTTCGAAACTCAGGTGTGGATAGGCAGGCAACTCCCGCCGTTTTCTAAGGGCTGACTGCTATTAGCAACCTAGAAGCACCCATACCGCAGCGCTAACAGAGGTCCGTAGGTTCCTGCCCCTGGTGCCGACTGGGCTATTCTTTTGCAGTCGTGTCTGCGTCCTGGGAACAGCAGAACCTTTCCCCCATGACTTTACGCGAGAGTCTGCCGTTGCATTCAATCATTGCGACTGGGCTTCCCTTCCCAAACTGTTGATATCTCTTGTCACATCACTTATCGGCCATCGAATGCACGCCAGCACTAGCGTCTAGGCTGTGATATCAGTGTTCTAACAACTGTTGCAAATGCCTGAGGCTCTTTCAGAGTGCGACTGTGTCTGGTTCCGGTTCCTGAGAGCAATGGCAGCCTCGACACCATGGCGTCTCATATTTGCCTCGTCCCAGTAAGAGCTGTGGCAACAGCCAACGACGGACTGCAGCAACTGGCTACTTCTCAGTGTCAACAATAGGCTCGTTCACAGCGACCGGCACATCACGCACTGATCTCGAGCTTTCCATTTCAAAGAAAGGGAGATACTCCAGTATGACACTGCTAAGCTCAGATGAAGAGCGTTCAGATGAACCGCGTCCGCTAGCACGAACGAAATAGTCATACTCATTGACAGTCACAGAACATCTCAATGCTATCGCATCCCAGATGAACACAGGAAGGCATGACGGGAATTGGACCTTGTACGATCGAGGATCATTGAGGCCATGTTACAGCTGCGTCAGGCGCACAGATGAGACTTTGTCGTGTCGAAAGGAGCGTCTACTAATCCGATGCGACATGCGAAGAAGCCAGCCGTGGCGGCTTCTGGCCAGCACAAGTTCGTAAAGTCCTCACTAACTTCTTGAAATATTGTGTTTAGAGTAAGTCCTCGATACGACCATTGTCAGACAGTCGTGATTCAGAAGCACAACCTGCTTTGAGCTGTCATATGGGCTCGCGACAAGGCTGTGGACGAGTGACCGATTAACTAACCCCGGATGACATTGAATCAACCTCCTGCCTGTTTTGCTTTGCTTTGTGGACGCTCATATCGACCGCGGGCTTGTGGGAAAGCACAGTGCTTGCAAGTTAACGCCGAGGTATGGGTCTGAGGGTGGATGCTTGAAGGTGTCGACTTGACTGTCTTCACTGTCTGCAACCACTCCATTACAAGCAGCAAAATTATTTCAGTCAATTTTGACCGTGCAACTTTGGTACTTCTACTACCATCTTAAGGACTTCACTTGCCGCAGAGTAATACATAGCAGCACCCTTCAGCTGCTAACAGACCATCACCCAGAACCCAACGCAGTGAAGTCCAAAGCTTACACATCCACTCTTCACGGCCTCCAACATGGATAGCAGTGCTGTCACAACTTCACGCAACGCCCCGAATATGCCCACTAGGCGCCGGGAATCCTCTCCTCCTCCTCATCATCTTTCTCCAGCACACAATAGCCACTGTCCCCCACACATCACTACAGTTCCTAAGGCATCGAAGACCCCGACACCATGAACCAACAACTCCCTCCTACATATCCGAAGCGGCGCACCCAGCCAGCCTACCTTGGAGAACTCCAGCGACCTCCAGTTCCAATGCCCGACCAATTCCTTATCAACGGCAACTTCACCGGCAAAGAGCCTACCAGTACTGCAGAGGCCGCCCCATTAGCCACCACCTTTTCAAAGGACAAATTTTGGCGCGTCTGGTGCGAGTCTGGAGTCGATGGACTCCTCAAGACGTTCTCTGCTGGCCAGCTACGCGTCATGCTGGGTGAGAAGGTGCTGTGGGGGCTGCTGAGCAAGCAGCAGCTTCTTTCCCTGGGCATGAAAGACATCGTTGACAGCAAGGGAGGCGAGCAGGAAGGTGAGCGGAGTTCGGAGCAGGAGAGCGAGCAGGGAAAGGAGCGAGAGGGCGAGTCAGAGCGTGAGCCAAATCGCGAGCAAGAGCGGGAACAGACAACGCTCGACGTGGCCACGAAATCCTAGAGCATTGTCATTGGTCGGGCGTTGTGGGACAATGGTCCAATTCATGAATGTCGTGGCATAATCATGCTCCCTCGATCACCACAGACGACCGTCCTGATCGGATCCCCAACCTCAAACAACATCTTCACCTCGATCGTGAACGGCCTAGCCTCCATATCCTCCCATTCCGAATGAGCAAATTTCACCTCCCTATAATGCCGCTTCAGCTCCCTGATAATCCCATTCGCGAGGCGCTGAATTCGAGCTTGATTCTCCGACTCGCTGCTTTTCATACTAATGCTGAACCCCGTCTCCTCGCCAGAAGTCGAGTACAGCGGTCGATGGAGACTCATTCGCTCACTCGTGACCTTGAATGCCGCGATGTGAGCTGGATCAATCTGGTTGGGAGTAGACGTGCGATTGTTGAGGATGTGGTTTATCGCCCGTCGAAGACACATGAAATCGCAGACACGAGCGATTAAGGGCGGCAAGCTTGTGTGACGTTTGATTTCGTTGTTGGCTTGGCGGCATATCAGGCGCAGCGGTGTGCGCGGATGAGGGTACGTGAATGTTGTCAGGGCTGAAGAAGGATACCATGGGTTTTCGGACAGGCGGCGCGATGAGTTGGGAACGGCTTGCTCGCAGCAATCTGCTTCTGAATAGGGGCAGATGCAGAGCTTCCAGATGGCTAGGCGGATTTCCAGAGGTAGTGTGAGAAAAGTCATCGGTTCATGTGTCGTCGCCATGATCGAGCGCGATGTCATTGTCTATACTGGATTGATGGTCAACGAGGCCAGAGAAGACAAGGTACTTCATGAGAGGTTAAGTCGTGCTTCGAGTTGCCTGGTTGCCTTTCAAGTTATGCAGGGTTCCCAGTCCCGTCGGCAGGCTGATGTCATTGACTCCGTTGACTTGAGTAGTGGGCTCTTATTCCAAGGTTGTACGTCTAAGTGTTTCGAACATGATCAGCCGCCTTTTTGCAGCTACTCAAGGGAATCTAGCTATGTCACGGCCGCCCTCAGCTGCTGCACGCAGCACAGTCAGTCCCCGCTGCTAATTTTGTGACGAGCCGTGTCCTCAGTCTCGCACCGTGCCGCACTCTTCCCGAGAGCACGACATATGGTTGCGCAAGAAGCATTGTCGTTACCGCGAAGTCGTGAGAAGAGTAGCTGAATCGTCACATTTCACTGAAGCCGACACCCTGTCGCTCTCCTGTTGAGTTGTTCCCACTCCATCATATGAGCACCAGCCTGCATATACCAGGGGTAATAAGACCAACACGTGCACGCGCCTCGTAAATTGAAGCATGCTGCGATCTCCGTTGCTTGAAATCCTACTCCTTCCAACTCGAGCGTCGTCTTGCCGTCCCCGTCATAGGGCAGCTCGACTCTCTCAACAAGCGTCCAGCACTCTCTGAGCTTCGCCTCCACATCCTTCGCCCTATCTTCGTTCGCAATTCCCCGAACCAGAAGCTTCCGGAACCAGTCCCTCTCTTCGACCCTACGCCTTCCGATTTCTCGATCGAGGTCACTCACGTGAACAGTCGTCACTGCCGTTGGTTGCTCGAGAGTAAGCGCCTCCTGGCGGATCTGTCGCGAGACCAGTAGCAAAGGATTGTATCCGTGTAATGGCATTGATGGGGACTCTGTGGCCGGCGTCGTATGGAGTTGTGGTGTTGCTGCGGCCAGGATTTGTAGCCGGAGCTCGGTCGGCAGACCTGCCAAAGAGGCCTTCGCCATGGCAATCCGTTCGCGCTCGTCCACGTTTACGCTCGCGTGTTTGCGCTGTGTAGGGGAAAGTCGCAGACAGGCCATGCACGGTGATTTGGGCGCTCCGTATATTGTCGAGTAACAACGGTCCGGGAGCATTAGTCATTCAATACGAAGAGGATTTACCACGCAGGAATTTCGGTCTGCATGCCATCAGTGTCAAAAGGCAGGTGCAATCGCTCAAGTAGACAAAGAGCGACGAAGCGCGTCAAGCAAACTCATTGCTTCTAAAGCGGTCAAAGCGCACACGAGGTCTTTCGATGGTGACACGGACGCCCTAAGCTCCAGGAATCTCAATGGCATGTCAGCGCCGCGGTGCTCGGCGGAAGAACCCATGACGTTGGATCGCGACAGAGGATGAGCTATCAAAGCTGACGCGAAGGTGGTGCAGCCCGACCACAATGAAGGTTGCAAGCTGACACTGGGCTTCTTGCCTTGAAACTTTCTTGCTCGGGCCACGGCATCGCGCAACAAGGATCAAGCGTGTTGCGAATGGTAACATTGCGGGCCTGTTGAACAAGTCGTTCGTTCTGAGTAATCGCGGAATTGAATCGGTAGGACGCAGCTGACAAAGTGGCCGTCGCTTCAAGTTATTCGATGAAGAGATGCGAAACCCCAAACTCGGGCTCTCTTGCGCCCTAAGATCTAACTTGAAAAGCTTGGCGCGCTTTGGGGTCTGACAGAAACTTGAAAGGTTTAAGATCACTATAAACTAGGTATGAAGAGACTCGTGCTTCCAGCGAAGTACGGGTGTGTATAGCGACAGAGATACATCATTGTCGATGACTGCTGATTCTACATTGCTAAGAACGGAGCATCATTTCCATCATCAGAATCGAGCCTGCACCTTGGTCTGGATATCCTGCAGAGCCCACTCACTGCGGCTCTTCTTACTCCGTGTCTTGTCGACCTGCTCATTGGTGAAACCACGCGCTTGGGTCGCAGGGTTGTAGCCCAGGCCGTTCCTCTTGCCAACCTCGGCGTCGGAAACAGGGGCAGCAGCCTTGCCGTCGGCACGCTTGTACACTGTGCAGACAACAGCGCCACCAAGTCCGAGATTGTGCTGCAAGCAATATTTGGTGTTCTGTACCATGCGGTTGTTCGCCCAACCCCGAAGATGCCACGTCAACTCAGCACATTGCGCAAGACCAGTGGCACCTAAAAATTGTTAGTCGGGAGCAGAGGTCAGGAGAGGAGCACACGTACCAAGCGGATGGCCCTTAGAGATCAACCCGCCACTCGGGTTCACGACATATTTGCCTCCATACGTAATTCCTCCTGCGCGAACCAACTCGTGGGCTTTGCCCGGGGCAGATAGGCCAAGAGCATCAATCACACACATCTCGTTAGCAGAGAAGCAGTCGTGAAGCTCAACGACGGACACATCTGCAGGCGTGATGCCGGCTTCTTTCAAAGCCTGCTTTCCGGCATATTTGCTCATCTCAAAGCCTACCAGGTCGATAGCGCTGCGCGAGAACAGGTCTGGAGAATCTGTAGCCATCTGTTGTCCGGCAATAAGGATAGCTTGTTCCTTGAGATGTGGTCTAGCATCCAAGAATTCTTGTGAAACAACCACCACGGCGGCTCCTCCATCAGATGTTGGGCAGCACTGAAGCTTCGTCAAAGGCGCATGAATCATTGTGGAATTGAGCACCTGGTCCAAGGAATACTCATCAGTGAACTGTGAGTATGGATTGCGTTTTGAGTGCTCGTGGTTGACTCGTGCGATCTCAGCAAAGTCCTCTGCTTTTGCACCATACTTTTCCATGTATTCCCGGCCAGCGTTTCCGAACAGCTGGGCAGCGCCGGGAGCATTGGTGACACCTCGAGTCTCCTTCAGCATGACGTTGGTAGTGCCTGTGGGATTTGCTCGGTCGTTGAAGTAAGCTTGTAGGGATCCGGGGTTCATCTTCTCGAAGCCGACCACGAGGACGCAGTCAGCGGAGCCGTACGCGATGGCCTGTCGGGCCATGTTAAGACCGGTGCTGCCGGTCGAGCAGTTGTTGTTGACATTATAGATGGGGATTTGTGTCATGCCGAATTGATAGAAGACCCGCTGCCCGCAAGTGGAATCGCCATAGCAGTAGCATGCAACACCCTGATCAACATCGTCGTATGAGATCTGGCGTCGAGCATGGCCTTGATGCCAGCCTCGAAGCCGAGCTCGGTGTAGTCGACTTTCCCGCGGGGCTTGATGAACTTGGTCATGCCTACGCCCAAGACGTAGGCTGGTGCTGGTTTTCGTGGCGCCATGACTGATGTGAGTGTATACTGCGAACCGTGTTGGTCTCGACAGGGAAGTCGCTGACGGTGATACAATTGCTCTGAAGTCGTGACAGGGTGTATCAGGCAGGAAAGACGGAAGGTGGTGCGTTCGGTTCACTTCTTGAAGGATTTCGAAGCCGGTCTGGAAGCGATCTTCCTCGGTCCGGTCAGCGAGTCAGTGTTAATGATCGCTTGCGGGGAGCGCAGGCAAAGAGATGCGACTTGGGGAGAACGGCGACCGAGTAGAGCCGAGGCATTGAGAAGGAGCATGATTGGCAGGAGTTCACTTAGGCAGGACTTAATGTGAACAAAAACCGGGAGTTCCGAAGTCCAAGTCGAAGGATGGGCAGGGAGAAAGTACCATCACAACCTCGTTCTACCACACGCGTGCAACAAGCAATATCTTTGCTGACAATTGGCTGAATACCCTCTCTAGCCATATACTCCCAAGTACGTTCGCGCTTTGGTCCATCTCGTGATCGATCGGGCTGCTCTTCGATGCGCGCTACACCTCCACGTAGAAATCTCGGAATCAGAACTTACTTGGCGCAGCTCCCTCAGCTCTATTTGCTTCCAACGAACAAGTCCAGGTACCATCGAGCCTTTTCATCCCACTGGGATTGAGTACTCGTCAAGAAGCGCTTCATTCAGTGTGGCCTCGATCGATCAGAACACATGAAGAACCCTGGACTGCCAATGACGAACAACGTCAGAAATATGCATGCAGCCAGAGGGGCATCATTTCCTGTAAGGCATGATTGGACGGTTACTACCGGGGGCAGCCCGCAGCCTCAGTGGCTGTCTCTGGCCTGGAGATCATCTCAGCATGGGCCTCCCACCGCCTTCTGAGATGTCCGGTATGGAGAACTGCTCCACCTATGACTGCACATGCTTGCTTTGCTTGCTGCAACAACTGAGCACTTCATCACCTCACCTTACCTGCAATCCGTCCTTTGTCTCTTACCTGTCTGGCTCCCACATCTTCACCATCTTGCCTTTGTCTGAACTTCTATGCAAGCCTGGCTCACTTTTGTATGAGCCCAATGACACACAGACCTGACTGTTGACGTCAAAGAAATGATTGCCCTCAACAATTTCTGCCCCTCAGAAAGTTCGGAATAAGTCGGTGTCAGGATCACCTTCAGCAGCCGCCTCTGCAAGTACCAACGCTCTGGTTCTAGGGACTCACACAGACTTCTCCAGAGCATACACAGTCAACGTCACCGCCAGCACGCACCGGCGCCGCTTCTCGCTTCCAGCACTTCTGTATCAAGGGTCGATCCGACGATTGACGGAACAGGAGTCTTCACAAAATACACACAAAAGCGTTCAAATGGGTTGTGGAACGTACAGAGATAGTCTCATACCCTGAGAATCTCTTGCGTTCCATCGGGTCCACAACCCACTTCTCTATCAGTGGTTCAGGTGGAGATCGAGGTGTGCTGGGAAACAACGACGACGAGCACGAGCAAGTACTCAACGCGGGGCTTTGAGTCACTTCGGCTGCGCTTCCCATTGCGATGAGCCATGCCAAACATTCCCACCAACCTGTGGCCATGACATCTCCTTACACTCTTGATCGAGATGCCGCGGTTTACTGGGCGAAATACTACCGCCAAGGCTTAGCGACTGCCCCAGCGACAGTCATTGCTATCTGCGCCGGCTCGCCTTTCGAGAATGCCAAAGTTCGCATGCAGTCGAAATACTTCCCTTCAGCTCTCGACGCTACCAAGTACATGTACAGAACAGAGGGCTTACGCGGTTTCTGGGTTGGAACTTGGGCTCCTCTGGCGTCGTTGACTGTGACTAGAACAATCTCGTTCAGCATCTACCGGCGAGCGAAGTATCAGCTTGACTCGATGATCGAGTCTGTCACCGGATCGTCCCCATTACAACACGTCAACAGAGTTGGCAGCTACCCAAACCTCTCCACTGTGGTCTGCTTCACGGGATCCGGTATGATTGCAGGCGCCGCACTGGTTCCGTTCCTCACTCCGATCGAGCTGATCAAGAACTGCACGCAATCATCTGTTCTCATGGCAGCATCCACGAAGACCGATCCGAAGACGAAGAATGCTGGAAGGGTTTCGTCCGCTGCTGCAGCTCGTCAGATCATACGCGAGAGAGGATTCCTCGGTCTATTCACTGGCTTCCGCTTGCACTTCTATCGCGATGTCGCTGGGACCGGGTTGTACTTTGGCATCTATGAAACGTTGAAACAGACCATCAACTCAGCCTACGGCGCGGACAAAGTCAATGCTCCAGGAGCTGTCATGTTTGCAGGTGCAGCCTGCGGAGTACTATCGTGGACCATGACCTACCCGCTCGATTCGATGAAAACCCAGGCCCAGAATCGGCTCGTCGGAGAAGGTGCAAAGAGATCTATGGCTGAGGCAGCGTCGGCCGAGCTGCGCAAGACACCTGCAAGATCGTTCTCGAAGTGGAAGGGACTGGAAATGGTCATACTTCGATCTGCGTTGCAGAACATGATTCAGATGTCGCTGTTCGAGTACTTGAAGGAGCGTATAGATGCGCTGGCCTTCAGTAACGGAAGTAGGACGTTACCAGAGATTGAACGAGAACTTGGACGAGATCAGAGGAGGAAGCATGAGCTTAAGGAGCAGTCCAAATGAGCATTTCAGCGTGGTCAAGCATACCGTCGGCGTTCCGTGAACAGCATAAGGTGCCTACCTAGCAGTACTTTGGATGACCGGCAGGCTCAGACGGTCAATAGCGACGCAGTCTCCGCAGCTTTATGAAAATATTTCGTCAGACTTCAGCTCACCCCATTTGCTCGAACGTGGTCGTGTGCTTCAGTTTTGCCTGTGTGCCGTCTCTCCTGTGAATATCTTTATCTGCCCTAGAAGAACCAGACCAACATCTGCGTTTCGTTTCTTAGCTACCAAAGTCATGCTAGCGGCACGATCCAAACTACTTCTGACCGGGTCAACCTTTCTAAGCTTTGTTCATCTGCATCTATAACGGGGGCCTCGAATGATTACAGCCATCTCACTAGGCTGACAAGTAGCCGCATGATCTTGCCCAATGCCTAGGTATCCTTGGTGATCCGCAGCTTCCCCGAGGCGCAGAGTTGGGGCGGAAGGCCAAAGTGGCTCGCATCGGTGGGAAGCTTCACTGCGGTCAGCGGTGTGTAGTGGCCCGTCCGACAGCCTGAAGCAGCTTAAGGCATCGCACAATGTTCCTTTCGGCCCCAAATCAATCATCTCATCTATCGACTTTAGGATTGCGGGACGAGCCCGACGTCTCTGTCCGAGTGTGACTAGACCAGGAAAGAGCATCTTCGCGTACGCCGACGGGAATGCCTTGTGATGCGCAGCTTCCCTAGCAAGCGCATGACCCTTCCACCTTCCCCATCTAACCTTTCTTGCAGATACTGATTGACAGTCAACATAGCTTTTGCTGTTCTTGTCGGTTCAAGTGGGACGCCTACTGCCGTCGGCGGCGATCTCGGGACACTCCATAAGCACTACTTTCATGCAGCTCTGGGTCTCGGTAGCCACAGCCTTGTCGCATCGCAAGCACTGCTTGTTCTGAGCGACAGGACCCACTGCAACATCCACAGTGAGCTCACCTCGTCCGCTATACATTGATACTGCTCTCTGAGGGCGTCCGGGCCGCCAGACGCAAGTAAAGCACATACCATATATCGAACTTGGCTAGCAGCAATCCGGCAGCATACTAACACCTACATACATCGTCGCTGTACGATTTCGAGATCTGCTCGCTTGCTTTCGATGCGTTGAGGCCTAGACTGTGCGGTAGGTCCGATCTTGGAGGATGGAAGGTTCCCTCATGGACAGTCTCAGGGCCAGACTCAACAACCGCCGATGCCATAGCACGCCGCCAGTCGCAGAAGGTCAGGGGCGAATGTCATCCTATAACGCTGCTCCCGCGGAGGACCACATGCCCAGTCCCCATCTAGAACGTCGACTTGCTTTGTCCAACACGCCACACGCAACGCCGCCGCCGTCTGTCAATCCCCACGATCCGTACGTCAGATACGATCCGCGGGCCTACCAACCACTTAACGTCCAATGGCGCGGCACACCGCGCACCAATGCTGTTCCAGTGGGCGGTCCGCCATTGACAATTCCAAAGAACTCGACGCCACTGCTCCAGCTGCCGCGGCCTCGAGCTCTGTGGCGTCGGTCTTTGGATGATTTGTCACCAGACTCACCTCAGGCGAGAAGGGCAATCAGCTGGCATGAAGGCGACGGGCGCGCGAATCGGGGAACGGTCGACTTAGCCTCTGCCCTACCGCCTGAGTTCTTGGACCTACCTCCGGAGTACGAGGCAATCGAACAAGGCTCAAATCGCCGACAGCCACATTGGGGGCTTGATCAAGACCGCAGCCTGGCCATGAGTGGGTCTGTAGCATATGAGGCGAGAGCCGTCCCGCAGATTGTAACGCCTGAGACCTGGGAGAGGCAGTCTGTGTCAGGAACATCTCTATCGGCTTCATCGGCGTACACGTCGCCTCCGCAGTCGCTTACAGTCGACAAACTACTACAGCACCCGCTTTTGCGATAGTGATAGGTACAGCTCGTGTTCTGACAGCGGCAACAGGAGGCAAGTCGCATGCTTGCCATGTGCTCTCACCCTTCGGCACACGTGGCATGGGACTGAATTATTCGAGAATCGAGATCATGTTCGAAAGTCCAGCTCAACGCCACGCTTTACAGTGCCTCGCCATGCTATGTCACAGATCGGCATCTGGAAAATGGATGCGGTGCGGAAAGTTACAGTGCTTCTGGACGGCAGAGCTGGTTGCCCCTTGCGGAGGGGAGGAATGATCGATATCTTCTGTGGACCTCGTGGCATCCCTTGCTCCACGACGCGTGCACCGCGTCACGTCTTCATACAAAAGAGCATGCCTCGCCACCTTGCTTGCCAGCCTGAAGGAACAATCCACGACATCCAACCTACAAGCTATTTTCGAAAACGCAGCTTAGTTCACTCAGCAGCGCAACTTCTATTCCCACCATATACCTCCAATTGGTCCGATAGCAGACCTGAAAACACTCGAAGACACTTCCACCGAATCACTGTGTTGAAGCAGCTGCACAGAGCTTGAGATACCAAATCGTTCCTCGGGACAGCTCACGATCATACCCACAGCCATGGCCCCTACTTCGCAACCCACCTGGCTGACGCCGATCCCTACCAAGCGTAGCCTCTTCCGTCGGGACATCAATGACGGCTCACTCGTCAGTCTGATCATCACGGCCATAATTCTGTCCATCCTCGTCGTCGGCATCATCATCTACCTCTTCCGCAAGACCTGGAGCAAAATGGTCGAGCCACGACTCAGCCGAAGCAGCAACACAAACAGCGCAAAAGTCAGCTACAAGCTCCCTTCTCTGCGGCCAAGCCTCAGCAGCACCAAGAGCTCGCCCGTTCTGCCCACCTATCGCCAGAGCATGCGAGCCAGGTCGTGCAGCGACGCTCTATGGTCTGAGAAGCTAGACCACGAGGTCGACTACTTCTCCTCCACGGATGGCAGCAGCAGCCACGACGAGACAGCCTACCTGCCCCGCTACTCTTCGCGGAAGACATCGTCGGCATCGTCGCTGTCGCTATCACGACGACATTGCCTGTCCCTCTCCCTCACCACCTCTCCGGCTTTCCAGCCGTTGGACATGTTGCCTATCTACGAGGGGACGGAATCTGCCGCTGCGTCCCCAGTGTTGGGCCACGAAGCACGCCCTCTCGCGCCTCGACGCTCGCTATCCGAGACGCAGATACAGCGACCTATGTCGGTACCTGCGAAGTCGCGGCCATTGGGTAGCCACCCAGTCAACAACGACGACAAGAATGCCACCTCAATACACCGATGCAGCGGTTCCTTCGATGCTGCTGGGCGAGACATGCTCCGCCGACAACGGAGTGCAGGGCGCTTAGAGCAGGTGGATTTGATCTGAAGGAACTGGCGAACGGGCGAAACCAGCAGCAGATTGGGGGCGGACTTTTGCTTCATTGTACGAATATCGAATACGCGCAGCTCGCGCCTGTCTTGTCTGAAGGACTCGCAGGGATGGCAGAGTGGATCTCTGCGGATGAAAGCGAAGGAAGGCGCGAAGGAAGGGAGAGGAATCCCCAGTACAAATTGGAAGGGATGGCGGGTCAAGTCGGCCGATGAAACTCAGATACCCATGGGGCCACGAAGAACATCGTATTTGTTAAGTTCCGTATTCAGGTATACACACCGTATTCCTTCGCATCGTTCAAAACCTGTCAATAATGTGCCAACCTCGTGGTTTTTTTGCTAGCGATTCATTCCGATCGGACTGCCTCTGCCGAAGCCCGCCTAGAGGAATGCTTCGCGATACTCCTCCAGCTTCGTGAATGAAGAAATTCCACACGTGTTTGGCAGCGGGTTGAATACGAGGTGATCTCGATCAATGTACAGCGCTCTCCTCAGCATTGAAATTCACAGTCGTATCTTGCACGAACTCATGCCAAGCCCCTCAACTGGCCACACCGACCGTTCATATCCACAGCCCATCAGTACCAACCCCCCTCAAAGCCGCACCCGCGCCCCAATCCCCCGTCCCCGATACCAAACCCGTTCCCTCCACCGCCCGACCCTAACCCCTACCTGCGCCTCACAATCCAATTTCAATCCCCCACCCAGCGCTTCCCGCACCGTATCCAACTGATCCAGTTCCCACTCTACAGGCAACCTCGGGCTTTCTGACTCGCCCTTGGGTACGTCGAAGGGGTAAGCGTAGTCGATAGTAGCGATTTTTGTGCCGTTGTGGAAGGCGGTTGCGGCGATGGAGTCGATTGCGAGGGGGAGCGGGGAGGCGAGGGTGAATGTTGCGGTTGAGGAGAGGATGTGCATCTGTTTTGGGTTTCTCGGTAAGTCACGATGTGGCGATGTGGTTGGCAGTTGTGCAGACAGAGGCAGGGCCGCATGTCCTTCGTGGGACTCAACTATGGGCGTGGAAATGTTGCGGGCAAATTCACTTGTGGCTAGCAGAGCGAGTAGTTCAACAGTAAAGAAAAGGTTGTCAACGTACTGTGGCTCCGCGAAGGAAATGGCCGAAGATGTCGGTCGCGTGCGGAGTGGGCACAGTGAGGTTGAACTTGATGTTTGGTATGCCTGGCACTGAGCCTCGTGGGTCATTATGGTTAGAGTGGTGTTGTAGCCAGACAGGAACCGACTGATCCATTCACGGCCTTCTGCGCTTGTGTCCCAGGAAGCCTGGACCGTGATGTTGTTTGGACCGGGAACAACGTCCGCTGAGCTCCATGCATAGCCGACGAGCGTGTCGTTGACAATGATACTAGCGTTGACGTAGGGCACGTGAGCCGAGTAGGGTGTCGGGTTACTGATATTGGCGTTAGCCTGGAGGGTCAAGGTACTTTGGGAGGAGTCCACAACTTTGATATCGGATATGGAAGGCCTGGAGAAGCTGCCTGGGCGGATTGGGTTAATGAAGATGCTACCTTGCGCTGGGATCTGGCGGACGACGAATTCGCCTAGGGCAGTGGCTGTGTTGACATCGACGAGGGCATCGACGTCGAGGTGCACGCCTTTGCCGCGGAAGATCAGCTGTTGGATGACTTCGGTAAATACGTCGCCGTCGGTGATCTCGAGTGGGACGTCTTTGATCGCGGCCTGCACGAGGAGGTCTTTGCCGGCTTTGGTCGCGTTGGCTGGCTGCCAGTGTGATAGGTCTAATTTGCCCATGGGCTTGCCTCTGTAGTAGACGTCGGCATCGGCGCGGACACGATCGACGTCGAGGTTGACATTCATCTCTGCCGGAAGTCCGACCAGAACTTTGACCACGGCTGAGATCTTTGGCCTGGTATCATCCCCAAACTGGTCGCCGAGGCTGAAATGCGTATCGGTCAACGAGAAATTCTTTATGAGACTATCGAATGGATGGCCAGGCAGAGTGAACGGTAGAGTGGTGTCCCTGAGGATCTTCGCGATCCAGTCAGGCGTCTCATGCTCAACCTGGTCGGCACCACGGACGAAGACTGTGGCATTCTTGCCGGCGAGGTAGTCTGCGACTAGTCTGTCCAGAGGTGAGCTGCTCGATTGGCGGCAGACTGAGGTCAAGCTAGATGGCAGCTGTTCGATCAGACCGGTGACAGAGGCATTGATGCGCTGACGAGGCAGGACCTGTATGACGTCGGTCTGCGCCGTTGCTAGCCGAACATAGTCCTTCTCGCAGTCGGGCAGGAGGATATCGAAATTGAGCACAGGCACATCGAAGTTGACTGGATAGTCGTTTGCAATGGAGACGGTGGTTTTCGCACGGACGCCCGTGGGATGTCCTGGGGGACCGTACTCAGCAAGTCTCAGGTTGGTGATGTTGAAGTCTGGTTTCGCAGGCACATCGCTTCCCTTGAATGACATGACTTGCTGAACCGTCTGCGTACCCAAATCAATGATACCGCTGCGGATTGGCACATGTGCGACTGCTTTCGCTTTCAGCTCGGTCAAATGCCCGTCGAGGAAGTCCTTTGCAAGCCGCCTGATGCCATCCACATCTCCAGGCTCCAGATCTGCCAGAATATCGAGGTGATTGTAATGCCTGTTGCGGATGTTGACCACAATGGGCGGGACTCGAGCCTTACCGAGCAGGACGTCCCCATAGTCTGGCAGGTAGACATCAAGCTCGGATCGGTCGCTCTTAACTTCTCGAGCAATCCATGTCGCCGCCTTTCCGAGATCTCGGACGGCTTTCTTCTGTACTCTTGAAGCATCGAGGTAGAAGACACCTTTTATTCTCGTCCTTACTCCAAATGATGTGAAAGAGTCTATCGATAACCGATCCGGCTCAAAGACGAGGGCTTGTTGCGCATATTCTTGCGCTATCGATGGCACGGCAAAGCCGATGATGGCGAGGACAGTCGCCAGACATAGTATGCTTAATGCGACTATTGTAGGCCACCGCCGTGTGCCCTTGGCCGACTGCGAATCTAGCGATGACAAAGTGTCGCATTCCGAGCGGGGCGAAGTTGCGCCATTGTCACCGCCGGTGTATGTATTTTGCGACTCCTCGTCCTGGTGGCCGAGGAGTGGTGTGTTCTCAGACGCCTGTGATGAGTCCTGCCTTGCAGACATCTTGCAGCAGCTTGCTTTCAGAACTCAGGCCGCAGTAGCTGCGGTCCACCGGGCGTCAGCGCATCGATCGGTGGGCAGGCAGAATTGTACGATTGGTCTGCTATGGATGCGGTCGTCGTTATTTGTGTCGTGTATTCATTTCCATGATTCAGTACATGATGCGCAAGCTCAGAAGGAAAAAGACCAAGAAGTAGTAGTAAGTCATGAATTAGACGATTCGCCAATGAGGCGGTGCTTCGGAAGACCGTGTACCTGCAGCACACCCCGCAGCACCGCCGAGTATGTCTGTAGTGGTGTACTGCTTCACGAGAAATTCGATCTAGGTCAACACAGAGTTCTCGATTCATTGCTTTTCATATTCTTCGTACAGATTTTGCTGTTCAATGTTCTCCTTCAGTTACTCAGCCAGTCGAGAAAATCTGGCGTGAAGTAGGAGATAACTATTCCGGCTCCGGCTCTCAAGATGCCCTCCGTAGATTCGAAAGCCATGGTTTTGAGATCAAAGACTCCCGCCTTTGCACCTGCATGAATCATGCAAACTCGCCACTGACCTGATAAGCAGCGATTGGTAGATCTCGCGCCAACTCTTTAGCATCTGAGATGATGTCCAAGTACTGCGAGGCCGGCTTCACAAGGATGATGTCAGCTCCCTCATTCACGTCTCGCAGAATCGCTCTTCTCGCAAGTCCTCGGCCTCCTGGGGGTAATTGATAGCACTTGCGGTCTCCGAACGATGGGCATGACCCTGCTGCGTCTCGGAAAGGCCCATACAGACAGCCGGAGAACTTGGCGGCATAAGACATAAGGTTGACTTGATGGGACAGACCAGACTCGATGAGCTTCAGCTTGATCGCCCGAATACGTCCGTCGTTCATGTCCGAAGGCGCCACACAGTGCGCGCCGGCGTGTGCGTATGCCATTGCTACATCAGAGATTCGCTCCACCGACATAGCGTTGTTCAACGAGCCGTCTTCCCTCAGTATGCCACAGTGTCCATGTGAAGTGTACTCGCACAGACAGACGTCACAGACGATGAACATCTGCGGGAAATGCTGCTTGATGATCTGAATGCCTTTTATGACCGGTCCTTCTGGGTCGTCGGCTGAGGTTCCCAATGCATCTTTTGCGTTGGGCGCAAGAGGCACTCCGAAGAGGATGACTGACTTCAGACCTTTGCGGACTAACGGCGTAAGGAAGGGTATGAGCCGATTGATGCCCCGGCGGTGTTGATTTGGTAATGACGGGATCAGAGTCTCTTCGTCTGGGTCGTCTGTGATGAAAAGCGGATAGATGAGCATAGACTATGCAAGTCAGTGAATTTGCCGCGCCCGCCTGCTGATGGATCATCATACCTTGGTCAGCTGTCGTTCTGCTTGCCATGCTCGAGACAGCGGGTGACTATACCCCGAATGTAGTTGTGAGGAAATATCCCCTGCAATGCTCACGCTGGTGGCAGCAGTGGAGGTGTATGATCGCGCTTGCGAGGGAGCTGAAGGGCGAGATATGGTAGACCGCTCGTCGGTGCCCTTCGCATCGCGAAAGGCAATATCTTGAACCAGACTTGAGAAAGACATTGTTGTAGTAAGCCTCCACTCCCGGGCTGGCAATTAAGTCAGAGATCCCTCGACACTCGATGGTGAGCCTGCGTATGGGAATGCAGTCGCGGATACTGTCGAAATGATGTTGTTTCAGATGGAATGTACACGCTTGTTCACGGCGGATACTCCAGGGAGGGTCAACAGCGCACAGACGTAAGAGCAGTAAGCGGTCAAGGTCAACTTCGAAGTACAAAATTATTCATGCCGCGGCTGGTATAGGTCCCAATTCGGGCACCCGCGATTGGCTGGCTCAAGCAACTGCCGGATCTGATCTGACGTACATTATTGGAAGTCATTTATTGCTGAAGTAGTACCAGTACTCGTTCTATCGAGTCACACAATCCGCCCGGTCAATTTGAAGAGTGTAGACCAGATCTCGGGATTGTTTACACAGTACTGCGAATGGCACTAACCGCCACAGGATCATTCGACGCATCTTAGGTCTGTAGATCAAACCAAGCAGTCGTATGCGCATCTTCATACTCCATCAAGAATGGACTCTCGAACCTGAGGTAAAGATGCCGGCGCTAATAGGTAGGAGCGTAATGATCATGAAAATCAGGTCAGGGAGGCCGATGAAAATCCAAGCTTAGGTCAGCAATGACCCATGGATTGAGAGCATGCTTGAGATAAGCGTCACTTGAAACTTTCGATGAACAAAACCTCGCCAGTGAGGCCGCTGTATGGATTTTGGATGTGCTATCAGTACAGGTTCAGGCTCTGCTCTCGAAGCTCCACGCCGACGCTTCCAGGTCCTCATCGGTCTTCCGGACAGGGAGTACGCTGTGGGGAATTTGGGGCGAGGTATATGAAGGATGAAGAACACGCTCATTTCTTGTCCGAACAGCTTGGGCGCCGCGTCACAGCTGCACCTCGTTGTTCAAGATCGTGACTTCTTCTCCGGGCTTGAATGCTGGAAGGCCGATATATGGACAGCCGTCGCATCGGAAAGCATCTGTGTTCAATTAGCAGGCAAGTCGCAACGTGATGGAGCACGACTTACCACCAAGACTGCAATTACCACAGCTCCCGACTTTGCCTTCCACTGTGAAATCAACTTCAGCAAGATCGTCGGACTGCAACTTGAGGGTGTTGAGATTCTTGTCTGCCTGGTCGCGCTTTTCCTTGTCCTCTGCTTCAAGTCGAGCCGCCAGACCACATGTGCAATCTTTGCACGCTCGCCTCCGCTTTGCTTTCGGTGCGCATTCCTTCGGGACAGTGATAGGTCGGCTTAGATCCTCGTCAGCCATCAACTCGTCCTCGTCTATCAGCTCATCATCGGAATCGTTGCCGTCATCAAAACCCACTCCGGCGGGCAATCCATTTGTGACTTCGTCGCTTTTCCTCTTCGCCGCGAGTGGGAGCGACACGGAGCCAGTTCCGCCGTTTGTAATGCCACCGGCGGCTTGCGCCACCGCTTTTCTCTTGCCACACCGAAGCGGAACTGTCTCTTGACTGTTGTAGTCTGGCTTGACGAAGCCACGACCAGGCTCGTATGTCAAGCCAGCCAGAATGGCTTCATTCTTCTCGGCGCCTTCACGCTGACCATAACTTTGATCTTGGCTGTGCAACACACCCGTAGGCTTCATCGACCTAACCAGCAGGCTCATCATGTCTCGTGTGATCAACGAGGAGCTCTCACGTCTTGTCCCATCTGCGTCTGACAGGATCATGACAATCTCGTAGGTTGACTCTGGCAGCGAGACCAGGCCCATTGCAAGTCGGTCAAGCATCTGCAAGTCGGTCTGCGACCGATCGTGCATTTGCAGCACATTCGTTAATTTCTCTTGGTGCGAGGATAGCGATGGCGGCGAAAGCAGAAGAGTTCGTCGCGCGACCTGTGGCGGGGCAGTCTTGCTGGGCAGGACGAAATCGTCGGATGTGTCCATGATGAGCGAGGGAGCCATGGCGAAGGAGTCGCAGCAAGTCCAGCACCAGAGAGAAGTTATCAATCCAAAGTTGAGGCTGAGGATGAGAAAAGTACAATCGGATTGAACATCTCCGGAAAATATTGATGATTGCGGAATAACAACGAGGCCCAAAGGCTCGCAGTCACTCGCTTAGAAATCGGCCAATTGCCCCTCACAGGTTCCGCCATTCAAGTGTCCCTCGATCCCTAGAACTATGCCCTACAGCACACGCTACTGTCACAATAGACATCCGTTGTACCTGAATGCCTCAGGCATATTCAATCATCGTGGTGATGTAGTTAGACCTCCGTGTCTCGCGTGTTTGTCGGTGCTATGCATCGCTGTATCGCTGTGGGCATTGCAGTGTCTGGAACCACGAGTGACGTAGCCATCACGTGTCTAGCGAGTCCCCGAAGTCGGCTCGGCTTCGATCGAGACAACAAACGGCGAGGGTGAGACTCAATTGACTCTTATCTGCTGGGTAGATGAGCACAGCAGTGACTGGATCCGGGGAGATGCAGCAGCTGGTCATAGTATAACGAATGAGTCCTGATGATAGTGCCCGCTGAATCGAAGCAATCACATCACACCACTGCGGACGAGATGGCTGCCCCATCTCAGCCGCTGTGCCGATCTTCAAGCACGCATGAACCACAGATGAACACGACGTGTTCCTGCCTACGTTTATCTGCGCTGCGATGATGGTCTACACCATCACTATACACACCGTCAGTCTACAGCTTGTAGCATATAGTGAAGTGGGCACAGCATACATGAGATGCGTATTTTGCAACGGCTGGCCATCAGGAACCCCGCCAATTGACGCGATGCGTCACGCTATGTGGGCATCGAGTCCGGGGAAGGTCTCCACAGAAGGTCTGACTGGCAGGCCGTTTGAATGCTCTCGTGACTTGACTATGCCCCAGTGAATTGCGCATCGGGACTCGTTGCAAGGGGCAAGAACCTCCAGGAACTCTGACCAACGAGCTCACTCTCCCGAGCATACACCCTGAACTTGTAATCTGATGAGTGTCTCTCGATCATCCGCCTGAAGCATTTCCGCCTTTCCCTCCTTCATCGTCCACCTCAAGCCATTCTCTTCCCACCCACGCCATCAAACAGACACCTCTCTTGTAATTGGGAGCATTAGAGAAGGTAGGTGAAGCTGTCTGAGATTGACTACGAGTGATATCCTTTGGTCTCGTGACCAGCACGCCGCTCCGCTGGTAGTCACGGCAATGGTCCGAGCTTCCTTTGAACTTCCCGCATCTTCAATGACAATCTACCAACCAAGCACGCCATTTCATACTAACACTCGCAAGCACACCGTGTTGAACGAAATATCGAAGAACCTCTCAACTCCGACACTTCATCGACCTCACCCGTCTCCTTCACATACACTGCAGTCACTACCTCTCCAAGAGTAAGCTGACCCTGATCGTGACCCTTCCTCCTGCCCCGCGTTCGCCTGAGGGCAAGTCAGACAAAGACTTGTGCTCGAGGGACACTCTGCAGCATGATGACGTACTCACTGTCGCTGCTGTGTACGAACCATGCTGACACCGTCCGAAAGTGACCCGTTCCAACAAAGCCAACGACCGCAACCACGTCGCCCTCGCCGATGGCACTGCCGTCGCCGAAGATCGTCTTCCTCGCTACTTCGCCAAGTCTGGTCACGTCGACGCTGACCCTACTGGTGTCAAGAAGCACGGTGGTGGCCGCGGCAACTGGTAAGTCACAAAGGCTTCACTGCAGTTCACCTTCCCAGGTTCGTCGACATGGTAACTGACACGACATCTGAACATAGGGGCAAAGATGGAGTTGAAGCCGAAGACTTAGGCTACAGCATGGCCAAAGACCGCCGTCGATCCAACTCGTCCACCCAGGTTCTCAGTGACTTCAAAACCAAGTTCGAGACCAGCGATGTCGATCCCGTCTTCGAGGAGGAACTCCACGGTCCGACCGACGAGGACTACGAGAAGGCCAGCATGGCTAGCATCGAGAAGGAAGACTCTACCGACAGCGCTCGTTCCGTCGACCTTGATGGCGAGGACGCTGCTGTCAAGAAGTAATACCACACTTCACTCCATCACATCAGCCCGTCACGTTGTCGGCTCTGCGACTCACGACGAAGGCTTGACCAACACCTCTACACCAACGAAAGTCCATGTTTCCATTCTTCCACAAGAACTGGTTTCAGAAGACGTTTGCTGTTGCTGCTGAATGGTGTGGGGTATCTCAGCAGATCGAGGCGCGATCTTTACATGGCGTTACTCTGCAATGCACGGAGCTACAAAGCAAAATAGCAACTATCGGAGTATGTATTAACAGCACAGCGGGAAAGGCCTAGCTGGATTGCGTGGATACCGAGCTCTGGATGATCGAGCTACATGCCTGCAAGGTGTATAGCTCAAAGTACACAGAGAGTGGATGGAAGCGTTATATCATAGCTAGGACCTCGAAATCATATGAGTCGGCGCAGCCGTCGACTCTCCAAAGTAGCTTTTCCTTCAGGGTGTCTCGTGTGATGTCGACCTGTACATTTCTGAGCGTGACTTACATCAAACCGGATGGTAGCAGTTGGAACATTCGAGCCCACCGCCAATCTTCCATCCTGTGTGAAGTAGGCAACACTTGTAGAGTTGAATCATCAAATGATCTGAAGAACGGGATCTATTATTGAGTGACCTAGTATGCAAATATAATACGCTGAACGCTCAATGCTGACGCGCTTCATTTCCTCGAAATCCGTTGATGTTGTACACTATCCACACCTCCACAGCTCATGTTCTGTAATCCATCCTCCAAAGCTCTGTAATCCATCCTGCAAAGCTCTGTAATCCATCCTCCAAACCTCATCCTCATGCACCAGCATCACTCCTAGTCTTCACCCGCTCCATCTCCGCTCTCTGCCGCTCCCGCCTATGCCGGGCCCTCCGCTCGATCTCCTCCGTTGTCTCATAATCTTGTCCCTGCTCAAGCGACTCCTCATCGCTATCGCTGTCTTCACTACTCGCCCCGGACTGTCCACTCTCCCGTCTCGCACGACGCTGCTGCTTCTCTTCGTCGTCACCTCCTTCTCCGACTTCCGTAGCTTCCGAGTCGTCAGACGCGTCCTGTTCTTGCTGAGGGGCTTTGTCCTCGGTAGGTGCGAAGCGACTCTTGATCCGGATCGCACGGCCATACTTGTAGAAGACGAAGGGGATGGGTGCGAGCAGGACGCGACGCCGCCGATCAAGCTCCCTCCGCCACCGACACCGAGGGCGTTGAACATGTAATTAGTGAACAACGGAGCAGCGGCACCGCAAGCGGATCGAGTGATCGTGTTGGCTGCCATGGCGGATGCGGTGAACATGAGGTATGTATCTGTGAGGTAGTTGAGGTATGCGACGAAGACCAGCATGATGCTAGTGGAGAGAAGTGTTCCGGCGATGGTGGGGACGATCCAGTGAATGCTGTTGTATTCTGCCGTCCATGCGAACCAGAACATCGTAACGGGAAAGAGGATGCCACCCAGCATGGCGAGGGGAAGGCGGTCTTCAGCTTCGAATTTGTGGCCCTTGGCCTGGCGCTTCTGCTCGTGGCGCGTGAAGGTGAGGACGATCATGCCACCGATAACGGCGCCGACGACGGTGCCTGCCAGAGGAAGTTCGCCAACGCCCGCGTTCCAGCCGCGTTTCTGCTGGAAGACGATCGGGTAGATTGAGAAGAGCATGTAGAGGAGGGTGTAGACCACTGAGATGTAAATGGCGACCAGGAGCGCGATAGGATCGAAAAGAATCTGCCACGGTCGAAGCAGGGCGACGCGAAACATGGCTCCCAGGTTGCGACCATGAGCTTCGGCGGGGGCGGTGACGTCGCCATACTTCTCTGGATTGACGCGTCGGAGGCGTTTGGCCTTGTTCAGGAGCACAACTGGCGCGTAGGTCTCTGGCAGCGTAAACATAAGGATGGCAGTCCCACCCCCAAACATGTTGAGGACGTAGAAGATCCATCGCCAGCCATCGTCACCTTTGGTGACCTGGAGAAAGCCGGCGACGATCGGACCTGCCGCCGGACCAACGAAAGTCATCATGGAGAACAGCGCTATGGCATTGGCCCGCTCGTTCGGGCCCCAGATGTCGGCAACAACCCCAGGAGCGTTCGTGAGAGGCGCAGAAGCGAAGGTGCCACTGAGTAACCGGCCGACGAGCAATGATCCGAAGTTCGGCGCAAAGGCGCAAAGAAAATTGAATGCGATATAGCATAAGAACGTGATGTAGAATAAGTATCTCCTTCCGAAGAATTCGCTGAGTGGTGCAAAGACAAGAGGTCCTGCGCAATAGCCGAGCAGGAACAAAGTGATGACCAGACCAGCAGCCTCCTCGGATACATGAAAGTATTCTGATATGCCGACCAGAACTCCGGACGGCGCAGACGAAGCGAACGTTGCGTTAACAACCATCGACACCGCTACAACCGTAATGTAGATCCGTCGTCCGACTGACCAGTTCTTTGGGTTTTCGACATCGCCCTCCTCGAAATCCAGATGGCCATCTTTGTTAAAATGGACTTCTTGATTGGGATCGATCTTGCCAGACCGATATGGCTTGGCCGTTGGCCGGCTGAGAAAGCGGTCCAGGGAATTCATTGTCAGGGTTTTTTGGCGAGTGATAGAAAGCTGGGTATCAGTTGAGTCTGGGCATTTTCTGAATTGATATTTGGTCCTGCAACATCAACAATATGGCGAAATTTCCGCGCTCTATGACGGACTTAAAGAATTGTGGGCATTAATAATGACGATCAAAGCAGCAGGAAGGAGCAGGGAGGCTTGAAGTTTAACCACATGGAGGTATGGCGTAGTTGCCTTCGGTTGTTCGGCATTCGCCATTCATCTTCAGGAAAGAGTTTCTTTCTCTCGATTGACTTGTCGAATGATGTAGTCTGTTTGTCGGTCTCAGTAGCAACAGCGCTGGCGTACGCGCGATGTGTGATCGATACAAATTGACCGAAAGCGAATGTCTGAACGCCTCATCGGCGGCCGCCAGCCCTGAACGCCTCCCGGAGATCATCTCCGGTCGGCATGTTAAAGGCGCGAGCGCGGTTGACACTACCGCAACAAAGCTTGTTTGAAGACATTGTGGGAGATTTTTTGATACGCGTCGTGGCATTAGTTCCATGTTAGGCAGTTGTCGATAGGATGAGTCAACGGCTTAAGGGTATATACGTTACTTGCGGATACCATAAAACCGCCCGGAGCCGCCAGATGTTTGCGACCGAGATGCCCCAGGCTTTCACCTGGCCGGGCATGGCGTCGCTGTAATGCTTTAGCCTTTTCTGTTTGCTGATTGATCAGATTCAGTACGCGTCGGCAAGGTCAATCATTAATGGAGGTGCGCCTATGTTATGCAAGCGCAGTATGAAATCCCTGGAGCACACCCTTGATGCTCTCGGCCGCCGGAGTGTTCGTAGATGCTCCGTGCCGATACGAAGTATGGCAACTCGCTGTAGAAAGAATGCTGATTGAGGCGACGACTGGAAGGCCTCGCTATCACCAGAAGACCGTGGTGGTGGTCGAGTGCAGAGGTGATTGCAGGATCATGTATTACTGCCATCACCCATCACTTCCTTTCCTGAATGGGACGTGCTTGCCCATGGCAAGGACGATGCGTGCTACCTGACACAAGGAAGTGGCTCTGGAATCTCGAAAGCGCTTTGATCGACGCCTTGTCCGTTTTCTTGTAGCACTGTAATAAAACGTCTGACTTCGTCGAGGAGTGCTTTTGATGTGTTGAAGACAAGGCAACTCAGGCGTGCCCCCCATTGAGGCTAGCGCGGTTTGCTTTGTAGACGCGCTCCAAGTTGGACTTAAAGGCTTTCGAGTGAACATCAACATTTCGCAAATAGCACAATTCCTCCATACGTTACAGCCGTTATTTGCATTCTATTCGGTCGGCAAGCGCTTCGATGTCGTTCTTGCTGCGATAATGTTTACTCCCAAGACACCCAGTCACAGCCACTCCCTGCGGCCGAAACGAACTCGCCAGGCCACAGGCAACGAAGACACACTTCCAACCGCGAAACGAAAGCGCCGCTCCGCTCTCCGGCGCGACACCTTTGAGCCTCTGGCCGAAGTCAGCGTCAACGAAGTTGCTGCCCGTCAAGAGCCTGAGGTCAATGGCCATGTCGATACTACAGCTTCCAAACCTGTCGCAGCAAAGCCCAAAGAGTTGACATTCCGAGGTCCAAAAGCTGAGCGACGGCCGGACCGTGTACAATCAGCGGCTGTGCTAGCCACGAACGACTTCTACACTGTCAGCGAGCTCCCCTCACTGCCTCAGCAAGTACGCGACTTCGATCGCGGCGGTGTATCGTACACATGCACTTTCTCCGTCGAGCACGGCTATGCCCTGGCTATAACCCACAACGAGGTCGTCATTTGGCCATACAACACAAGCGCACCCGTTCCGTCACCAAGAGATCTCATCATTGTGCCGTTGGCTTTCCTCCAGACCTCTACCGCCGATCCTCTGCCACTCGCAGCCTTCACCAGGAACTCCGTCGACAACGAGCCAGGACTTCTGGTTGTTTCGGCGAAATGGGGCAAGATCATCTACTGGGACACATTGACCAATGCATCCACGATTGTTGCAGGGTCAGAGTCCAACGGCGTGCAAGGCTCGATTCCAAACATGAACGGAGAGACAGTGAGGGATCTCATCAATGCTGAACCGGCAGGGTTTGTGGTCTCGCTAAGTCGAGGCCGCGTTTCACACATCAGTGTCCGCGATCAGAAGGGGAGGCCGTCCATAGGCATTCAGAATCTGAACAAAGCACCAACTACCGGTCTGATGGGTACTATTGGTGGCAGTGTACGAAAATTGGTAGGATGGAGCTACCGGCGAGGCACTCCGATAGTCAAGGCGGGCAATGCTCGAAAAGGACAACGCGATGTCTTGATCATGACCGAAAACGCTGAGGTGGAGCTGTGGGAGACCAACATCACTGTCGGGAACAACTCGAAGCTCCAACGCAGTTTGCTAGACGACCTGCGACGGGCACTCGAGCCATACGTGCAGGTTGAGAAGTCGATACAGCATTGCAACATCAGTATACTCGATGTTGACCTTGCACAACATGGTCAGGAAGTATCGTTCAACCAGGAATCATCATGGACATCGCTTGTTACGCTGGTCGCTCTCTCTGACGGAGACGGTCAACGCTTGTTCATTGTCGAGCTGCTAGCATCCGATGCAGAAGTCCAGGTCACGGCCATACATCCAATTCGCTGCTATGCGCCGAAGCGTTCAAGCAACACGGGTTATCGACCACGGCTATCTACTGTCAAGTCTACTGCTTTCGCAATCTTCGAAAATGCGGTCGTACTGTATTCCCTCTCCAAGATCACCGAGTCGCCCTCTTCACAGTTGATGGCAGAAGGTCATGCACTTCCTGGCCCGTTTCAAGACGTGATCCAACTCGATGAAGACAAAGCGTACCAATTTTTGGGTCATGCGGTTGACGGAAGAGGGGACGATGCATCATGTGTTCTCGCTGTCTCTATGAAAGGCCTCATTCGGATTCATTCCCACAAGAACGATGCCACGGTCGACGCCGAGGATTACTCCAATAAGATTGGCGCGAAGAGCCGCGTTGAGCAGGCGATCTTCTATGGCACCAACAAAGAGAATCCGTTGGATCTCAATACAGCATCTGCCACTCAATTCAGCCAAGATGAGATTGAAGAAGCCGCAACGCAAGTCAGCGCTGAGATCATCACTGCAAATTCCAAATATCTGCCTAAGAACAGCACTTCGATCACGAAGCACTTACAGGATCGAGCCAAGTATTTGAATTCACTTATTCACTACCTGGTCAGATACTATCCAGACAAGTGCTCAGAGAATCTGCGCGACAGACTTTTGTGGAATGCCGAGAAAGTGGCTACGGCTCAAGCTATCTGGAAGGTGCAGGAAGCCATTCAGCAACACTATCCTCACGAACATCGCGAGCAGAGTCAAATGCAATTCGCTCTTCAAGCTCTGCATGAGACTAAGCAGAAGTTTGCTGATGAGGAGAAAGGTCAGAACGATGTGGTCCGACACTTCCTCCTGAACGACATCAGTAATATTGACTCTTTCTTGGTACAAGTGGTGGACTGCCTCAGAGAGCTTCCCGAATTCGATGTCACTGACCCTCGAGACGTCGGCGAGCTCACTGTGGAGGCCGTCGATCTGTGGACAGCGGCATACTCTGCCGTCTTCAAATTCCGGGAGGACAATGCATCCTGGTACGGCTTTGGGGATCGTCCGATGGACAGAGGCGTTTTCGTTGATGGCTACAGTCATGACGTAGGCCGACCATGGACTTCAGACAGCATGGCCTACAAATATGCACGAAAATTGTTGGACTACGTGTGCAGCTTTCTCGAGGAGTGGTCAGACTACAGCACAGACAATGCGAAGTCAAAGAAAAAGAAAATGCCTGTCAGCAGCCGCGGCGAGGAGCACACTGCACCACCGAAGTCTGTGAGCAGTGATCTGATAGCAAAGCTACCAAAAGAGGTCGACCTGCTCATTCGTGTCACCTCAGAAGAGGTCATATGGGCAGCGAACGAGAAAGCACGCAAGGAAGGCAGCCACGAAGCCGAAGCCGTGCTTGCCATCAAAGCGGAGAAACAGCCTCGGATAGCGGCAGCCGTCGAGCAAATGGCACATTTCAATATGGAGAGTGCCATCGAGGTTGCTGAGCATTTAAAGGACTCATACTTGCTTGTCGATCTATTGACCGAGCATCTGCGACACCTGAGAGCTGAAGCACTTTCGCGCCCTGAACTCGCTGCGAAGAACGAGAAGAAAATCGTCGACCTTCAAGAGCATGCAGAAACGTACTATGATACGCTGGGCTCAGGCTGGGCTCTAGCAAACTTCAGCAGAAAGACAGAAAGCGGTGAGCTTGGTACTTTACTCGGCGAAGCCCAGGAAGACAAGGGCAAGAAACAGAGCTACCTAAACAATTTCTTGAATAGAGCCAAGAAAGCTGGTCAGCCTGTTGGAAAGATCAGCTGGATCAACGACATCCAGGGCGAGGGCAACTACCAACGTGCGGAAAAGACACTCGTGCAGGTGGCAACGACGGACGAGGACGATATCTGGCTCAGAAGACCCAATTCTGCCTCGCGAAATTGGTTGGTCTCGCCGCTGCCGAAGAACGGGCGATGTCCGAGAATGCTATCGAAGCCACTGGCGAATACGATGACAAGATTGCTCTGATCGAGATCCAGGAACGGCTCGCAACACATGTTGATCTAATCATCGGTCGCGCCATTGACATCAAGGCTGCTGAGGAATTGGCGATGAACGACTTCTCCGCCAGAATTGTGGCAAAAAGCCCAGGTCTCAAACGACTGCTGAGGACTGCCATTTCTGCTATTGTTGCAGATCAGCCACTGTCACCGGAGGAGATGGTCGATTTCCTCACGCTTGCGGATCCTCACAGCTACGAGCAAGACCCCGAGAATGATCCAGAAGTCTTCGGACAGGAATTTGCTCTGGCCTTCAAGGTCGTGGACCTCGCAGGGCTACCACCTGCTCACGACATTGCGCTTCGTCAAGTCATCTGGCGCCGCGCCATGATCCGCGATGACTGGACCGAGCTCAACAAAACTGCCAACAAATCCGATCATGATGTCCAGCACCAGATGCAGTTGTCAACGCTGTTCCAAACTCTACTCAAAGTCTTCTACGATGCAGGCCAACAGGAACCAACCAGCCTCGGCGAAATCAAGGCTGATGGCACGCTCACGCCTCTGCATACAGAGCTCGCTGCCAAGTTGCTTTCGCCAAACCAGATTCTGGAGGAGAATGCATTCCCTGTACTGCTGCAAGAGCGCTTCCAGGGCGCGGAGAAAGAGGTTGACGCTGTGAAGAAAGACCTTGAGAAGGAGCAGGCAACTCTTAAGAAATATATCGAAAAGGCACAGCTCGAACTGCATTGGACTGGTCTGAAGGACAATGCCCGGCAGGCGGTCGTAGAGGAGTTCGAGCGTCGGACGATGACAGTGGTAGACGATAACGCGGAGCAGGAGGCAGAAGTGGCTTCGGAGCAGGTGGCTCCTGTCGCTGCACCTGAAATTGATATGGACGTTGAGCAGGAAAGCATGCTGGCTGCCTAGGGAGCTGCCGCTTGGGCCATATGCATAATTGAGCATCAGGCATAGTTCAGTAATTGCACATTGGAAGACAGATCCCGTTCCGACTGCCTCCAGTCCGCATTTCTTGCATCATAGAAATTCGTTTGAGTCATCGTTTCTAGAAGGTCTGCATACACATCCAGAGCCATAAAGCGCTGTGTCAGCGTGACTCGTGCCAGGTAGGGGCTCACAGTGTGTTCCAGGTCTTGACCTCGTTTCCAGGGCGTAGTCTCTAACAAGGCACCGCTCCTTAGCACAATGTGAGTTTCTCACATTCCACCAGCCAACCAGCCAACATCCACGTCAATCCACTCAGCCCTGATCCTCCTCCGTCAACCGCTTCCTCACGCGCATCAGCGCCCTCCCCAGTCCATTCCCACCCCACCCCTCCTCCCCCTTTCCCTCCCTTAACCTCTCCCTCGCCTCCTCCGTGCTATACCCGATCCCCCAAACCCGATCATCCGGACTCGTTTCAACAATCTTCCTATTCCCAGTCCCAATCAAGACGCTCCTCAAATCCCGATTCCTCGCGTCCGAGAACTTCGCGTAATTGCCTTGCTCTACGACCGTATCACAGTACGCGTCCCATACCTTCTGATCGAAATTCTGAACTTGGCGGCCTAGTTGTTTCGCTGTGCTGGGGTGAGGAGCAGCGATGATGCGCTGCGCGGTCTCGACGTCCCCAAACAGCAAAGCTTTCGAATGCATCATGAACTGCTCCGCCGAGCTAAACAACAACGACTCGCCTCGTGATTGCTGCGCGTCACGATTGCCGGCTTTGGCAGCTGAGGAGGCCTCTGTCCAAACGGCGGCGTCGAACTGGCAGGGGAACCATTGCTGGAAGCACACGTGTGGGTCCTCGCCCTCGTAGCCGAAAAATAGCACGTACTCGTCGTTGATGAAGGGCGGTTGCTTGGCTGCGGCGAGGAGGGCCTCGGAGAAGTTGTAGGGGTTCGAGGGGTCGAGGCTCGAGGGGTGGGAGCGGCGGGGCCGCGGGGGTGGACTGGGGTTGTGGATGGGGGAGGGTTCATGGTGGATTTCTATTTGACCGCTGTGGAGGGCTTTGTGTACTCAGGATCTGTGTACCGCTGTGCTTGGCTAGGCGACGTCTCATAGTCGGTCGACTGTTCTGTACAGCTCACCTTTGGGTTTGCTATATCGTCATGCCGTGACCGCTGCGCGGGGAGACCTCACGTCCTCATGACGTGGGTCTCGCTGTGCTGGGCTTGAGCAACGCTTGATACCTTCCTGTCATCCGAGCGGACTGTACATGTCATCCTTGATCCTGCTATACACCATCATCATCCTGGGCGATGCCGTTCTATGACGGAAATCAAGCAAGAGTTAAAGCACCTCGCACACCGTAGATTGCCCGAATGTCCAGAGACATAAGTTCCGCCCTCGTGAACAGTGAGTATGGGGCGCAAGCTTAAGTGCAGATAGCCGAGCGCTACGATCTTCAACAAAGTGGTAGTAAACGCTATGTGCGATTCCATGGCCGATGTGTTATCTTAAAGCAGCTGCTCAGCGATACGATGGAAAGCAGCGGCGTGGCCGTCGCCTAGACTCGTCCATCTAAATGGACTGCTACGTATGGCGCCTTCTCCTCCAAAGTTTTGTCCGCGAGTGCAGCCTCGGCGTTCGCTAGATCGGGTACTTGAAAGACTGAGAAGTCTCTTGCTGGCACATGATGCAAGAACATGTAGTCAATCTCTTCCAGGGATCGGCGAGCAGTTTCTGGAAGGAAGAAATACACCCAAAGGCACCCCAAGACCATGAGACCGCCATAGAGGAAGCCAATCTTTGATCCAAGATTCGCTCCGTCCGGATTGTATAGGTAGGGAAATGTGAAGCTCACCATCCAATTGCTTCGTTCTACGTCAGCATGCATCCGGACGTGAACAGGAAGTGAAGGACTGGGTTGGAGAGAGAGACGGAACGGGAGTGCGAAGATGAAGACGGAATGGGAGTGCGAGACAAAGGCATCGGAGACAACTCCGAGACCTTCAGTCTTTACTTCACTCCCCCAATGTTGGAAAGAACACTTACAAGAGCCAGTTAGTTCCTGTTGCGAGTGCAAATATCTTCCCCCGGTTTGGACCAGTGGCGATCTCTGATGTGAAGACCCACGTAGTTGGACCCCATGCAAGGTTGAAGGCGAACAGGAAGATGAAAACCATGGCGACGATCGTCTGTTCCAACGTACGCGTCTTTTCAGGCGCAAGTGCACACCCTGCCATGACTAGCAGTACAGCTGCAACGAGTGAGCCGGAAAGTAACATCATTGGTCGACGTCCGAACTTTTCGATACCATATTGACTGATGAAGATGCCCGGCAGCGTGGTGAGGTAGAGGCCAGTGCTGATCAAGTACGGGTTGTCGATTCCAACGTCGGCAAAGAATACTACACCGTAGCTGACGATGAAGTTGATGCCCGACGCTTGTGACCAAGCTGGATCTGAGTGTTAGTGACAGAGGCTCACGAATTTGCACATTGACTGAACTGACCTTGCATACTGCACGCCAAGTAGGCTTTGCGCCCTTCGGGTCCCCAGCTAAAGATAGATCTCCACGATGACTCCTGCGCTTGTTCTTGGGTAACGCTGTTCTGCATCGCGGAAAGCTGCTCGTCGAGCTTGTTGTTGTCGACGTGCTTGCCATACAAACGGGTCAAAGCTTTCTTGGCTGGATCAACTTTGCCTTTGCCTAACAGCCAGCGTGGCGATTCTGGAGCCAGGAAAAGTAGCGTCGGTACAAGGATCATTGGGAAGACAAGCTGTATGGCCATGGGAATTCGGAAAGAGCCAGTGTCTGTTCGTGTGTGAGAGCCGTCGTCAACAACAACGCCCAGAATGAGGCCTATTGCGATGAAGAACTGGTACATGGTGACCAGAGCACCCCGGAATTGAGCCGGAGCACAGTCCGCCACATACAGAGGGACCAGGCAGGACAGCAGGCCCACAGCGTAGCCTATGAAACGGTCAGTCAAGAGCGACCGAGGAGATCGTGGAAACGGTGCTTACCAACGACCAGTCGTCCTGCGATGAGAACGCCAATGAGATTTGCAGCCAGCTGCAAGATCGTGCCAAGCACGACGCAAGCCATAGCAACCAACAGTCCAGATCTTCGGCCAAGCATGTCACCGACGATGAAGGAGCTCACAGCACCGACGAACTCTCCGACATTGATGATACTGGTGATGATGGACTGGACGCGTGAGGTCAAAACGTATTTCGCGGTGTCAGCGTCGTAGTGCCCGTATATCGAGACGAAGGGTTGCATAGCAAGGATGCCACTGAAGTATGAGCTGTCATATCCGAATTGGAGCGCGCCAGTGGTAACCAGGACGCATATGAGTATGACTTTCCAGTCACGCTGAAACGTGTGCGAGAGAGGTTGGGTAGCCATGGTAGAGTTGTGTCAATAGCGACAGGTCCTTCCAGATGGTGAGTAGAGTTGTGCGGCCCAGGAATGGTGTCAATTGTAGACCGTCTGTTGGACTGCTAGGACCATTATATAGGGTTGTCGCGTGCAGCTCCAGGATGGTCTCATGGTGAATATGCGGAGAGAGAAATTAGCCGTGTCATGAGGGACTGCTACCGCCGACAAAGTTCGCATCCCTTTGAGCGGAAGATGTGGGGACGACCGGTAGTTTAGATCTTGTTCGCGACCACGAGATTGAGTGCGACCTCTCACGTGTCTCTGTGGGGAGTTTAACCACTCATACTATGGAGAAGGTTTCCATGGTGGATCCTAGAACATATTAGCCGTGCCTTCAACGAAGAATTCGCCGACACAGTTTGGTGACCTAGACCGCTGAAGCGTCTCTTGACCTGGCTTTTCGGGGCATAGGTAGAATATGCAACGTAGTCTTGCCTAGTTAGACGACCATTGCTCTGCATAGCGATAGCAAGGGTCGAGTCGCCTTCAGTCAATCATGTTTGTTTGTGTTAGAACCAAGGTGGACGTCCTTCAGTCCTTATGTTCGAACCTGCCTCAAATTCTTCCTCAGTAAACTTGTTCCTCTACTCCTTCATACCTCAGCTTGATGCACCATGTCTATGATTGTGAAGAGCAAGTTCGGCCTGAGCGGTGTTTCGGATCCAAGCCCATCGCAATATCCACAAATCGTTCTGTTTGGCGACAGTATCACACAAAACAGCGTGCTATCCCTTCAGCAATATCTGGCCACCCAGTATATCCGACGCTTTGACGTTATCAACCGAGGCTTTTCCGGGTACACTGCCCCTCTTGGTGTTTGTGCTATCAAGAAGTTCCTTCCAAAAAGCCTGTTGACGTTGGGCGAGGCAACGCCGCAGGTCAAGATTCTGACGCTCTGGTTCGGCGCCAATGACGCTTGTGCTCCGACTGGACTGGCTGGAGATCAGCACGTACCCTTGGATGAGTTCGTGTCAGCATTAGAGCACATCATCGACTATGTTGTTCTCAAAGCTCACCACACGAAGATCATCCTGTTGACGCCGCCTCCAGTCGACGAACATCAGTTTGATGCAGAGAACCCTCGGAAGGCGACACTGACAGCACAGTATGCTGCGGCGGTACGCGACCTCGCTGCACGATCGCATCTGCCACTAGTCGACGTATGGACAATGTTCGCGGCTGAAGCAGGTCTTCAGCCGTTAGTTTCGGACGGCTCTACCATGCTGCCAGGCAGCAAGCTTGCGCCTCCTGTCCAGTGCTTCACAGAACTCTTATGGGACGGCCTCCATCTTTCGACCAAGGCCTACCAGCTTGTTTTCGCAGAGCTTATGTCGACTATTCGCCGCGACATGCCTGAGCTGGCGCCGGAGAACTTGCCTCTTGAAATATGTAAGAAACATGACCCCTTGCACGTTCCTGCTCGTTGTGCTGATCTAAAAAGTCAACGAAGCGCCTGGATTTGGGTACGAGCGATGGGTGGCAGATCTGCAGATGACACAGGAAGGTTATCCTACTCAACAACAAGATCGCGACCGGGTCGAGCAGTCCTTTAACGGCTTCGCTCGGGACAGTTCTTGATGGCTAGCAAAGGCAGTGTACCTAGATCTGCTGTGAACATCGCTCCAAAATGATGGAAGGTTCTCGGTGGCGATGGACAGCAAATTCGAATTACCGTGGTGGTCTTGACGCATATTGGTGTCAAGAACACGGATTCTGAGATGCGTTAGGTGTCATTGAAAGTATTTGATACTCCAAGTACCTATAATGAAGTAGACAGTAGGTGATGGTCTTTGAATCCTGGGGACCCCACGTATCACGTCAGTACCTAGGTAACTGTGCAAATTGCTTGGCAAGCTCGATGCCCAGGCGAGGTTTAAGTAGGGTAAGTACCTACCTCCTCAAGCATGCTGCTTTGTCCCTTGCCTTCAGTGATCAATCCAAAAATTCCACTTCCACGCCAGACGTCCTAATGCGATTATATGTGCTAGTAGTCCCACACATCCGCGACAGAACGATTGGGCAAATGCACTAGTACGCAGAGTTCAATACCTTGACCTACTTCGGGCATAACCATGCACCGGGAGTCCTGAGTCCGCGGGTTCTTTGATTCAATGGAAGGCAATGAATCAGACTCGTTGAGCCCTTCAGAAGAGTGCGGCCTGACTTGTGGTACTGTGCAAGCATGTCTTTGCGCAACCATCTAGCTTGCGATGCATGCCATCTGGTGAAGGTCAGGTGCGACTCATCCTTGCAGGGCTGTGCGCGATGCACTCGTAAGTTGGAATGTGACTTTTGCCATCCAGGAGGTAATATCGCTGATAACGTCTCTTGCAAGGCTTGCGTTTGGTGTGCAAGACCCAGAGAGATCTGCCGAGGCGAGGCCGTAAAGCCCGGACAAACCTCGCAGGCTTGCCGATGAGGGAGTCACAGGTCCGTATATGAGTGTGGCGACACGGGAATCATGGTGTTGAAGACGACTAAGCAGAGACTAGACACCGATCTCGTCTAGTCCACTTTATCCCATCCTAGTCCAATTGTCATCTTCCGATATGTCTCGCGAAGAGGACTTGGTTAACAAAAGGTATGCCTCCGTGCACATCGGTCGAGGCGTACAATAACAACGTTAGGGAGTCGTTGCTGACTTGGAGGACGGCCTCCACACTGCTCGAACATTTCTGCCGGTCTCCAAACCGCGAGTTCCATACTCGCATCGTACGAAGCAAACAACTTTTGAAGCTCGAGAACCCACGTCGGACCTCGCCTCTACTGCTTCTGACGATCTTGAGTGAGATGCTTCGCTGAAAAGGTTGTCCTAGCTATATTGCTGACATGATTTGCAGCGTTGGCGTGCTTCATGCCCTCGCAGAGCAACGAACCGCTTGTTCCCTACATCAGTCGTGCTGAATTCCTAGCCCTGCGCCGTGGGCTGGTCGCCCGAGCGGTTCAGATGTTCGATGACCAGACTTCAAGCGACCCGAATGTGTCAATCGACTACGCCATAGCTTCTTTCATGCTGACGATGATCGGACCCAGTGATCAGTCAGTTCATGCGAATGTGCCACGGTGGGTGGCGATGCTGAAGTTCACCACGCAGAAGCTTCAGCTTGCGATGGCCCATCAAAGCCTCCACGGAGAAGAAGCTGAAGAATGGGCTAGGTGAGTCGCTGACTCCGTTTCAATGGCCGCCTGCAAACTTCTGACGCTCCCAATGACTTTGCTGGGCCAGTTATGTTATCGATCGTCACTCTGCTTTGTCCTTCAATATTCGACCGCAGTTTCTTGACCGGGAATTCCTCCGTATTCATAGACCATGTGCAGATACAGTATGGGACTCAGACTTACCACTGCCCCAGTGCGCCGTCGGTGTGGATGATAGCTACAACATACACTCTCCCGACATGTTCGGATTCTTCATTCCGCTTTCAAGGTGAGTCTCTTCGGCCAAAGGTTGTGTCACTTCCCCATACAGGCTTTACTGACTCGAATCGCAGAATACTGGGCGAGATTCTTGACTATCACATCATGAGCCAGCACCACATGCTTGGACGTGACAGGGCCTACTTTAGATTCTGGAAGGACACGATGAAGGAAAACCTCGCTTCGTGGCGAACGTCCTACGAGAGGCACGTCCCTCAAGAAATGTGCAGTCTAGCGCTCTCGGCCTACGTTCCACCAGCATCGTACAGTCAATCCGTCGTAGTCTACTACGCTGCTCATCTGTATCATTGTATGTTTATACTGCTGCACAGCAGTAGCATGGACCCATTGGAGATGTACTACAACTATGAATGGCAAGCCTCTCAAGACTTTCTGGATGCTGGGCAACATGCCATGGCCTGTGGACAAGTGAGCTGCACGAATCCCAGAGGTTTCCCTTGCTAATCATTCTTTCTTCCGTAGATCGTCAAGCACATCATGCGCATCGATCCTAAGTTGGACTTTATGTACCGATACTTCGGGACGTACTTACTCCAGTCGTCATTCATCTTCCTCATATTGGCACAGAAACTGGGCAAGCAAGCTGACGATCTAATTCTGGACACCTGCACAGCGAACCTGAATATGTTAGAGCTCTTCAACCGTGTGACCAATATCGACTATCAAAAAAGCTTTGCGAACTTGCTGCGCCAGACTATCAATCGCACAATGCCAGAACGACAAACGGATATAGGGGTAGCTCCTGACGGTAGCGAGGATTGTTTTCAGAATGACTCCTCGTATGAAGACCTCCTTAGGTCAGAGCTTTCACGATACCGCTGGACTGAAGGCTATCGAGGACTGTGGATAGCTAATAGTGAGTACCCGGGCGAACTGGTGTCTGAGCATGAGTGCCATCTTCCCTCCGGTCTTGAGCAAATGTCGCGGAGCAGACAACAGAATCACCTTAGCGAGATACCCACCCCTACTTTAAGCGTACTGCCCCTCGTCAATACCGGACTGACCAGCTCGCAGTGTGAAGCGCGCTCGAACAGTCCTTACTACACAATGTACAGGACGCTGTTTGGGAGCAACAAACAACGTCAAGCTGACGGTTGCCCGTGATTGTGACTCCATGGGCCCGGCTGCAAATCACGCTGCCTCGTAAGGCAACGTCTCGGATGATACGGCCAACCAAGCTGGCCAGTCGACGACATCTGCGCCGGCCGTAGCCACACGCACCGTCCTTTCATGGCTTGCGCGTGTTCAGAGCTGCGTCTCGTGCATGACAATCAATCCTTAACAGTCAATCTCCAAACCATGTCCTCAAGTCCGCGCCGGTAAAATGCTTCTGATGGAGAAGTACTGCGAGAATGCAAGTCAAACGATCTCTTGCCCATCTAGACGACGCGACGCTAGAGAACGGCGTTGTCTCGGGAGGGGCATCGTCGATTCGACAAATAGACACATACGGCAGTTCAACAATGCTTTCGGATTCGTACAAATCCTCCTGTTTTGTGGGATCTCCAAGTGCCTGCTGCAGTGCCGCGTAGGCGCGGATCCAACGTCAGAGTTGATATAGGCTCTCGAAGCTCCCCCAGGGGATCATCTATCAGGCTGTCTTGCAGTTGACTCTCCCTCCAAAGTCAGCCTAACAATTTCCCAATTGGCATGTTTGCACCTTCAGCAATGCCTGAAACACTGGTCCTACAAAGACAGTAAGTGGATAGAGACAGGCGAGAACATTCCCGCCGATCATAGAAGGAACAGAACTTCTAGTGCTGCTTACGGGGTCCATCATGCTCCTCCAAATCCCCACGCTGAGGGGCCTCTTGGGGTGGTGATCTGCACATCTTAGACAGTTCTAGGCATACCGTGCCGCCTGGACAGCGATCGTGTTCCACTGTGTACCTTGCAGGGGCTTTCGCGACTTTCGCCAGAGTGCTGCAACGTCAATCATGGAGAATTCCTACAGCGACATGGATGGGGATTAAATATGACGAATGTTCGTGAACTCGAGATGTTGTAAAGTGCAACTCTGGCAGTTCATTGCAAGACACTATTTGGACCGTCGCTATTCGGCCGGACGCCGAAGGCTTGCATGACCAGCAGAAGCGGGCGCAGCCGCCGCGGATCACTGACGCCAATCGTGAAGAGGAAGCTCATGCCGGAAAAGGGACTTTCGTGGGCTGTGGCTTGAGAAGACATCCCACAGTCATTATTAGACACTCACGGCATTTCCCTGCTCACGAGTCACGAATGAATGTATTGACCACATCTCAACAACAGGCGCTTTCTCACGCGTTTGAGACGAAGCAATCTCACAATCAAGTGGTCCGCGGCGTGCTTTGCTAAGCGTCGATTACCAAAAGTGGTGCGTGCCCCGGGCACTCTTCGTCAGCCACCATCGAGAAACGTTGACACATGGAAGTCTGCAGACTTGCAAAGTGTGTACTTCAACCCACAAGTGCTGTGTACTCGACCACTGGCACCTCTCATTGGTCCTGCTAAGTAGAACGTATGAAAGACTCCTCTCGTCGTAGGAGTGGCGGCTCTAAGTGATCCGTACGAGGCGATAGGATCGCTTGATTGCCCGAAAATCCCGTGAGCGAAGCACGTCTAAGGAAGCCTAAGACCGCAAAACTTACTGGGGGCCTCGGCGTCGATCCTAACCCAAACATCAAACCCCCTCATGTCGACAAATTTGAATCCTTCGTCGTCTTTTAAGCAGTTGACAATACCTGTTGGAACACGCACACTTACCACAGACAATTTGCGGTCGAGTGTGGAGACACCCTCAAAAGTAGCGACACATTTCTCACATCGACTCGGGGTCTCTCATCTTATATCCGAGTCTCATATCTGCAACCCTTCCAGGATTCAGTACGGAGTAAGATACTACTCATCAGCACGCCTTTACCGATCTTTGCCCTTTCCCCAGGTTTATTCCCAGGACGTGTGCCATTGGCTACTTGTGCCTTTAACGTCATCCTGCTCCAAGGCCTGCCTTTTCGATAAGAGACCCAGCGGTTCCCGCCACAGCCTTAGATACTCATCAAAGAATACTTACCAAGTACTTCGACGCTCTGAACACTGGTAAATTCGCAGAAACTCACGCTTTCGTCGTTTTCAACATACGCGCCGACCTACAGACGCCCGCCAGGAGCTTCGAACACGACGATTGGTCATCAGCTGTCAGCAGGCAGCACGGGCGCCAGGATTTTGTCCGGGCTGTCCCAGAACGGTAGCGGGTAATTCGTTTCTGGCTGGTCAGCTCTGAACTTCATCTGTACGGCATCGATCTGGCTTACACTCATTGAGCACGCAACGCATCAGATATTTTGCGACCAGGAAAAGGCGACGGTGTTGGCACTTGACGAAGCACCCTAGACACCTCTGACAGCGCAAATTGATGGAGGATGAAGGGCACTGAGAGCGAAAAGCCCCCACAGCTGTTTCTCTTCGTTAATAAGGATTCGAAGTCAAAGTCGCTTTCGAAATCGGAGGGCGACCATGCCAAAGAGATCAACCGCCATGCCCAAAAGGTCCGAAATCGGCGCCTGGCTGTCCAAAAGGCCAGTACAGCACAGCAAACATCGGCCTCTGCCAGACGTATAGCCCTGGGAGGATGGAAGAAACGGGAAGGCGAGGTCGAGAGGTATGTGTACCGAGTTGCACCTGTTTGGAGCGGATGTGTGGCTTACCATTGCAAACAGTCCTATCACTACAGGTCTCCTGCCAGGGTCTCCCGAAACTGTGATGAATTTCAACAACATCCTCTCCGACCAGAATTGTACGCCAATATCGCATTCAGGATCCGAGAGCTCATCAAGGTCATCTGGCAGCCCTCCGGCGACGTCACCAGATGAGCCTCCAACAGTACTTCCAGAACTCACGACAAGCTCCAAAGTAGCGCCTACCGACATACCTAGAAGCGAGCCGGCGGTACAGGAAACCACCCGAAATCCATCAACGACGCTGCCACCCTTAGAACTACCAAGAACTGCTCCAATGACTGCAACAGATCATGAGCGGAGTGGCGAGGAGGCCGAGCGTGAATTCCAATACAACGCTCTGGTGATAAGACCTCAGCTCACTGAGTTCGCGCCCAAGAGCCAGATCGATCCATTCAACCAATTGCCGGTCCAGGTATCATATGAATTCCACCAAGTCCTACAAGGTGCTTTACGAATATACCCTTACTCTGGAAACAATTACAAACTAGCGCACCTACCTGATCATATACGTCGGAATATCCGTCAATTCCCAATCGGAGAAATTGTCCAGCGCGCGCCCACTGCGTCGCACCACCTGTATAGCTTGCTGGCATGTATCAGTGTACGACTGAGGGGAGCCTTTCGGGAACAAATACCCATGGACGTGCCAATCGAGTTCCAAAACAAGGCATCCCATCACATCCACAAGGAGCTGTTGAAGAGTTCTCGGAGCGGTCAAGTCGATGTCAACGTCATCATGGATATATTGTTCTTGGTCGTCAGCGAGATGGGAATGGGGAACCTGGAGTCCGCCCGCAAACACATGAAGGTCGTCTCGAATTTCTACTATATGCTCGATCTCAACAAGAATCTCGACTTCTGGATATCAGAGTCCTGTGCGCATGTCGATAATCAGCTGGCCCTGTCCACCGGCCGACCTCCTATCTTCAAGCAGAGTTTCGATCCTGGTCCGCTGCTACCTGAACGAAGAGCTGCCTTGCAGCGGGAACTTTGGTGGCTGTTCAAGAACTTTGACCAGCCCACTGCCTTCTACCCATCGCCGGTATCTCTTGCTGTCAAAGCACCGCCAAGAGGGCTCACAGACGCAATTGCCGATTTCGCAAACAACCTTGACCTGCGCATGGGCTTCGAGTTCGAACGCGCTCTCAAACTCGGGATCGTGTCCCCGCTCCTAACGCCTATCATTGTCGATATTGTCGACTGTGCCGCTATCGCGAAGGTGGTATGGCTGTCACCAATGGCCGTCTGCTTCGATGCCGAATGGTTATGCCGCAAAGCTCGCGCTGTTCTTCGTCGGCTTCTGGTCATTGCTCCTGAGAACAACATTGGTCCACTGGACGTCCTCGGCAAATGCATGGAGGTTGTACGATGCACACTGTTGATCGCCATGGCGCACGCCTGCACGCTGATCGGCTTTCAGACCGCCGAGAAGAACGTCATCGCACTTCAAAATTCTCTGGCCTTCGCCCTGAAGTTCTGGGCGCCGGCAATGGGCCTATCGACAGAGATGGTACCTTTAGACAAGGAGACTCCATACCCAGATGTGGAAGTGCTGAAGCTGCAAATCGGTCACATCCTGTATAACTCTATGGTGGGACTCTTCTCTGCCGACGTGCCAGGCTACGAGTCCACGCAAGAGTTCTTCATGATCAGGGTACTGAATTGCTGCAAGCTCATGGGCATACGAGACTATTTTGGTCTAAGAGAACATCTTGTGAAGTTCTTGTACTCACCCGTTCTGATGGAGAAAAGCGTGGCTCGAGTCGCCGAGAGACTTGGCCGCCTGAACGACCAGTGGGCCAGCGGAGTGGATGAGGTCCATTGAAATGCGTCACGCACTAATTTGTGCTCTGCACTCAAGATGTGTGGAAAACATGTGTAGAAAAGATTCTGCTTGGCGATTAGTAGCATGTATATTCAGAGAGACTTAGAATGAGCGATGGCTTCGACTTTGACTGCACGGACAGATCGTCTTTTCTTTATCACACATGAACTTCTTAGTAACGCCAGTTCGGACCGACGGCGACCTCAACTCAACTCTCCATTCCCGGATCTACGATGCTCATAACTGTGTCCACGCTGGCCACAGCTGATGTCGATGGAGCCAGATCTCGGATGTGAGACGTTGCCCGATCCCACAAGTTACTCAGTCTTCCACGGAGCTCGATCTTGGAATTGCTGCTTGCCTCGAACCATCGTTACGCCATATATAGGCTCTGACATCCATACTGTTCAGATGGCATTTCGTTGTGGATGCCGCTGTCCCCGGATCGTGGACGGAACCAACCACGTCTAGCCCCGCATTGTGCACCTGTGGTGGTGGGACTACTCCGCCTTTCAAGATGAAGTCCCCCACATTAGCCGGCTGGACAGAACCGGTGACCAACCAGCAGGAGCACATTGTCGCCCACGGAAACGGGCAGCTCTGGAAATGTGGCGAGGCGGCAGTAGACTAGAGTTCATGAAGCTTGTGGGTGTCAGGCCAAACTTGCGACGAGGTTCAACCTTCATCCTTTTCCCATGCACTTGTTGAGCAGTGTCGTCGATCACAATACCTCCAGGAAAGGTCTGCCAAGGGGATAGCACGATGGGCAACGTCAAGGTGGAAGGCAGCAAGGCGCCAAGTAGGAGGAACCGGACAGCAATGTCTTGCGACAAGTGCAAATCCCGGAAAACGAAGTGCAATAATCCAGTGCCTGGACCTTGCGACTACTGCCGAAGTGTTGGCGCCACCTGCAATATCGATGCCGGGAAACGGAAACAACGGCCATACTACTTCGTGTCGGAGGAGCAGTATCAACATATGGCCAAGCTCGTCAAACATCACTATGGTCCCAACGTCGATCTAGAAACACTCCGGTCGCTTACAGCGAATCTCAATGACGGCAACGACAGTAGCCCAACAGATCCTTCAACCTCAAGTCCTAACAATGCCTCGCCAAAGAAAGGGACCTCATCACACGTGGAAAGTGCGCCAGGATCTGTCCCGAAGACAGAATCTCCGGATGGTGTGCCATTGGAGGATATCGACAGTCTCCATGAGCAGCTCGGCTGTATGATGCAGGATTCGACTGGTGAATACCGATACATGTCAGCTGTGACGGGCTTCTCTTTCAATGCTGCAGTTCGCGATCTACATCCGTCAACCAAGATCGCGAGAGGACCAGATCGAGACGTCATACCGCCAATGAAAACGATGGTCTTGCCACCAGCAACCCCTCAAAGTCCTGCGGCAGCGAGCTCACAGATACATATACGCATGCCTCCGAAAGCGCTTGCGTACCATTACGTGAATCGGTACTTCAGCCAAGTCCACTGTCTGTACTGGCTGTATTCAACAGAGCAGTTTCACACGCGCTTCGAGAATTCATACACCGCCTCAAATCAGACAGCATCGTGGGCTTGTTCGCTGTACTCAATCTTTGCATTAGCGTCGCAGCGGGCGCCCGAGAGCAACAGCGAGCCAGACGAGAGGACTGCTTCGGACTACCTGGCCCTTGCCAAAGCAACAGTGCCGCAAGTATGCGACGAAGCGGATCTCGACAGCATTCGTGCTCTGATGTTGCTGGCTACCGCATTGCAGTCACATTGCTATTCCACATCAGCATACTTACATGTCGGCATTGCAGTCCGCATTGCGCAGTCTCTGGGCTTACATATGGACAAGTACTCACTCACACATGGCTTTGTGGAGCGAGAGCACTCCCGAAGAATATGGTGGACTCTGTACATTTACGATGCAGAGACAAGCCTGCGATGCGGAAAGCCGCGAGCAATTGTTGTTGAGCCAAATACGAGACAAGCGCCACTGCCGTCGGAGCAAGTTCTGAATCCTGGTCCGAACATGCCTTCGGGGTACCTGGAGGTGTCGAAGTCACTCACCGAGATGACCGAGGTGACAACGCAGACCCTATACGTCGAGCCCTTGTCACCGGCCAGGAGATTGCTCTCGCCGAAAGTCACCTCAATACTTTCTTCGCTGCAGACGTGGGCGAACGAAGTCCCTGCACATCTGAGCCGGACCGCCTTAGTGGCTCCCTCGCACAAGCGGTCAGTGGCACTATTGCACGTGCGGTACTGGAGTGTGGTCATTCTAGCCACTCGACCATTCCTGCTCTGTAGTGTGCTCAGAGCAGCAGACCTTGACAGTCCGGAGAAGCGCCGGTGCTACGACGAGCTCAGCAATATCTGTATCGATGCGGCCCAGAACTCCCTCAGCGTGCTGAAGATGATGTCCGATGAGCACATCCTGTCGAGTCTCTTGTTCTCCGAGTTCGTGTATGTGTTGGAGCTGGTTCAGTGCTTCCTCATCGCCTATTCCAAAACGAAGCAAGACGAACACATCCGCAGCGTGCGGACCTGCATGACAATTCTCAAGGCAATGGAGGAAGTGGGATGGGTGCAGAAGGCGCGGCCGGAAGTTATGCTGCAACTGCAAGAGCTGGGAATAGGGGAGGAAGGATCAGAGTCGCATGCTGCGGAGCACTTGCAGGACTTCAGCAACTTTCTGATTGGAGAAGATTCTTCGGATCCGTACGATATGTTCTTTCCGAATGAGCAGGCTGGGTCGTACCATTTTGCGGACATGGAGCTGCCTGATCATGCGACTGCGGATGAGATGTTTGCGCAGATATCGAGCTTGTCGATGCCGCAGTTCTTGACACCTTGAAAAGTTTGGTTGATTGAAGAGCACTGGACGGGGCGAGTAGATTAAGACTACCTACAGAGGTCACACTCCAGTCAAACGTATCGTTGCTATTTCTAACCGAGGCCACTCTGCAATCATGGAAGGAGATAGCGTGCCTTCCAGGACAACAAGCCAGATCACATCATTTGGCTCACGATGTCAAACGTTGGATGACCTTCCTTTTCACCTTGGGAACGGAACGTTTAACAGCAGCCCGGGTATCACTAATCTTGGTCGCATTGCTTTCAGGCGCTGACTTGCTCGGTCTTTGGTACGTAAGAGATCACGATGGAGTGGCTGGAGGCTCTTCCGGTCGCATCGATGTCAGGAGTTCGCTCACAGTGGTGCCAATGCGGCACGTTTGTAGTGAAATCATTCCATAAACACCGTCATAATGATCCGACGATGCGTAGCATGCCTGCACGGGACGATGCCCATCTTGAAAGAGCTCTAACAAGCAGAGGGACCTGGGTAATCGGAAGCAAAGGTGGATCGAAGTGCGGCTCCAAAAATGCCAAGCCGGGTAGCCGCAGCTCCACAATCGCGAACTTTCCGGCATCAGCCTTGGCAAAGCCGCAGCAAAAATTTCCCACACACTGCTACGTGCTGCTACACCATGATTCCGGCTTACCCAACGTTGAGACGACTTCAAAAATGCAAAAAGAACAGCGCCATGCGCTTAAGATGAAGAGAGTGGGATTCGAACCCACGCGGGTTGCCCCACCAGGAATCAGTGCTGTGTTAAGGTATAGCCTTAACCTGGCGCCATAACCAACTCGGCCATCTAGGACAGTCAGTTTCGTGTATAGGAGATTAGGTGAGGGATAGTACACACCTCTCCTAGACAGTCGAGACACAAGTTGTGCTCGGTTGTTGAGCCAAATTTTCACATTGCAAATAAATATACATTTATGGAAGCTGCGGCTTGGGCGCCGAGCGGGGCATTGCCCCGCACCGAGACCGGCAGATATGCCCAGATATCCTCAAGGTCCGAGGGTGAGGTCGGCTGTCTAGCTATTGCTACATTCATGGTGTTTGGACGGGCAGGAACGAGACACACCGCAGCCGTTCATCAGAACGCCGCTTTGATACATACCGCGGAGTTCAGTGAGTGACAGGAAGTTGCTGCTGCTTTGGTGCTGCGTAGAGATGTCCAGGCACAATGACCCTTGAACTCCTCAATCGACCGTCAAGCTCCTTACCGCAGGACGCCCCTTTGCATACATGGGCTCAATGCTATGGTCCAGGGCTCCTTCAATCCCCTTCTGCTGCCTGGCTTCAGGCTGCAGATGCATGACCTGTGAGGTAAGCTCAGTATCATACGCTTCTGTGGCTCATGTGCGCGTCCTGTGAATTATGGCAGCAGCGGGGACCGTCGACAATCAAGTACGGTATGGACACCAGCTCATACATTTATGCGAGGAATGTACATTCGCTCTCTCTCAACTCGAGCTCGAAGTTCAGCACGCCTCAACTCAACTCTCAATCTGACTACATCCATGACATCGTGGAGGAAACCGCAATTCTAGCTTAGCTGTGACTGCATGAGTTCTTCTGGGGTCTACCGATGCGGCGCTGGACCAAGCTAGAATTGCAGCATCGCAGTCCGCATCTGGAAATGTTTTCTCGGATGCCACGAATGCTGGTCGACGAAAAAGCACCCTGATCGACACGGCAAGCCACATCCGTACACGCAAAGGTAGCCACGCGAGCAGTAACACATGGCAGCCATGCATGGTGGCTGAATCTATCTGCATCTCATGCTTGTGACACTTGCTTGCGTTCGAAGGCCCAAGATAGACATCGAAAACGTGGGCTCGCCTCCGACTCCAGCAACAATGGTCATCGCGTTTTGAGGTCGCGTAGCACGGGGCATGCGTCAGTCGATAAGTCTGACTCGATCGTGGCTAGAACGTTCTGCTATCCTGGCTTCAGATCAAGACTACCGCATATCTCGCAAAACTCGCGTCGTGAAAGCGAGCCCGTAGAAATCAGATGTGTGCCCTGTAATTGCCACTAGTGCCCCGGCAAGATCTGTCAAACGTTGCCGAGCAGAAGCGAAGCCCTTTTAGACGATAACGCGTTGCTCGCTTCGACACCTGTCTCAACTTCTGGTCTCTCCCGCCCTTGTTTTGTCAGAATCAAAGAACAATCTCGACATCTCGAACGATATCCGAAGCGCGCTGCATGGACCTCGTATACCAGTTTCGACCGCCACTTACCTCAGTGAGTCTCGCTTACGCGCCTGGCGCAATCTGAGAGGCGCGCTGGATAGCCAAACCTGCGCGTCAAGTGCTCAATGTCTCCCGCGCAAGCTGCCCGGATCAATGTGCGTCCCGAGATGTATGGCTCTGTAAGGGATCTCATTCGATGCCGCATCTTCACGAGAGTCTGATCATCCACTTGTCGACGCGCCTGTCAACTTTGCCAGCATCGGCCACATGGCTCGCACGTGGCGTATGACATCCTAGGCCTGACCAGCCCTCAACTGCAGACACGAAGCAATGTCAACTCTTTCAGCGATACCTCATTCGTCAACCCAGCGCCATTCGTGACCTTCTCACCTGCAGGCTCGGCAATGTTTCTCTCGGAAGGCACAAGCCGTGCGGCAGGAACCCTTAGCCCTGCGTAGGCATCGATTTACACTGTACTATTCGAGTACCCTTGATGATGAGGTGCTCGGAAGCAAAAGATGCGCCACAGGAACATCATTTGCATGCTGACCCCATCGTCGCAGACTCGCGATGACACCTGCACGAATTCATCATGAACTTCTGCTGTTGCGTGATTATGCGACTCATATACGCGGAAGTCGCAACAGTGACTCCTGCCGACGCAACAAGTCCTGGGAGCGAGCGAAGTGCCCTGCAAGTCGATGGCGGTAACTCTACAACATCTCGCATCCGTCCTGCAATATTGATAGCGATGTCGAGCTTCGTCGTACACCAACCTTGACCTGAGGTGTCCACGTACAGGAGCGCATAGCCTGAAGCGCCGATCTGACGACAACAGATCAACACACTATCCGAACTCCTAGAGCGAGACTTTTACCTACTGTTCTCCAGCATCTGTCCAGCGTATGTCCATCTAGGCGGTCCCATCACGATTCTTTCCCAAGCCCTCGGTGTTCCTGTGTTGTCCGGAGACTGGCGAGTTGACTCACAATCGCTCCTTCTCACATTATGCAGAGTCCTCCCAAACCACCAGATCCATTTCAAGCGCCGACCACGCCTTTGTCACAGCACTCTTCCGACCATATGAGTTCTACAAATCAGCAATTAATGCTACAGTACTTACAGCGCCCACCTGAAGGCATATTCGCGATAGCACATCATTTATTATCACCACCTAGCATTCGTCGTCTGGACCGGGTGACGCTTTTCAGCTGGTACCACTCTACCGGGTCTGCTATATACTGGTACAACCGCTTGGCTCGACGAATCTCACAGCCAGTCTCGATTACCTTTTCTCGGAAACTGAAATCAACAGCGTGTTCTCTTCTTGCCACCTCGAAGGGCACGCTCCTGTGCTCATTCACCTTTCCTTTGTCTCAATACACATCATACTGCGGCAACGCATCTGCGAAACCCTTCACCACTCCTCTAAGATCGTTAACATACTGGTCATCCATCAGGAACGCTGTTGGCTGCGCTTGGGCTCGACCACTCGAGGTACTCAGCTGAAGAACATCTGGTACCTTCCGTCATTGTACCAGTACAACACACAACTTTCTGCAGTCCAAACGACAATCATGCTCCAAGGGATGGGTTCCACGGATCAAGACTTCGGCGAGTTCTCGTTCCACGATGATGGAGTTGACCCATATTTCAACGCATCAAGCAACGCGGGCGTATGGAACCAGACTGTCCAAGACCTGGGAGGAGAACAAGACTTGGTGCACGCATTCAACCATTCCAGCGTGCCAGCTGTGTCAGACAGCAATTGGCATGAGCGGGACGTGGCACGGTCCACATCGACAAGAATAAATACCCTCGCTTACGATCAGACCACACCGACAAGGCCGACTGCGTATGCACATGTCCACGATGCTACACCGCCGACGACTGCAGCAGCGTACGCGGCCAGTCACACCACGGCACCAACAACGACTTCGGCTACGTATACGCCCATCTACGAAACGGCACCATTGGCGTACGCGGGTATCTACACTCAGACAGCACCAGCGACTGCGAATGCATATGCACCTCTACAGGGCACGGCACCACGGATGGCAGCGACTGCATATGCGCCCGGCTACACCACAGGACTGCCTGTACAGGCTGCACCATGTGACTCGCAAGCTTATCAGTGCCTACCATCGCCAAGCCCGACTTCGAATGGGTCTTCCACTGTACAGACGGCGTTGCCATACTACTCGGCGACGAACGCACACCCATACTTTGTGAATACCTTCGACACCCGGCCCCAGCGACTGGAGCGCCAGGAACCGAGATATCGCCTGCAGATAGTGCAACATCCCCAGAACTCCAGATCTAATGCAGTCAAGATCAAGCACCAGAAAGCGTTGGGTGAGCTGCCATTCACTCAATACCTTGTCTGATACATTACTCACAACCCCTCAGATGCGATGTCCACATCAGATCTCGAGAACGAGTCCAATAAAAGACAGCCAAGAAACAGTAAGTCTGCCTTGACGTAGGAGAGCTCCGCTGACGTTGTGTAGTCAGAGGCAACTGCTACCTTAATCCTGTACCAATCGTTGAGGTCTTGTGCTCCAACGACGGTTCGGAACAGTGGTGCCCCTTTGCAGGAAATAGTCACATGACTGTTCGTGCCGAGTTGTTCAGACGCGACGGCACGAAAGCTGTGCATCAGTCGGGCTTGACGGGACCGGCATGTGCCCATGGGGAAACTACGAAACTGCGGGGCGAAAGAGGTGCGTATACTTGCCACCCTCGAGTCAGGTCCTGCTAACAACGAACAGCGTATCGGACTTTCCACACGTTCAAAGACCTTGAGGTTGAGCCCCAAGGGACATTTTTCCTGCGGTTCACGCTGTGCGAAGAGCGACTGGAGTAAGTTGACCACGTCGGAGTCTCGACATCCTGCTGACAACAAGCAGATATGAGCCCGTAGGCACTTCGGAAGAATACGACTCACGGCTGAAATTGGTCAAACTAGCAGACGCTTGCTCTACTGAGTTCACAGGTACGTGGTTTGTGCCAGAAATCTTCATCTCTAACTTCGACAGTATACAAACCTAGTGCGTCACTGGCTACCGCCGCGCCTCAGCTGATCGCGCAAACGCTGCAGGATTGCGGGATCAAGACCAAAGTCAAGAGGAAGCCTGTCAAGAAGCAGAAACAGAGCTTTTCGATTGCCACTCGAATCAGCCCAGAATTTGGTGGCCAGCCAATAGATGAGGGACACGACGGGGACTTGACTCAGGAACTCGATGGGGACGGACGGTATGGGAGCGGATATTAGTTCGACCAGCTCAATATATTCTCGAACGGCGCGGACTGGAGCGAGGCACTTGATCCAGAGACTTGGTACTCTTTTCAAGGATTCGTCGGTGGTGAATGTGTTGCGAGTGGATCCTAGTCGGATTTCGTCAATCAAGGTACACCCTGAGTGCGAAGTAGGAGACGCTCTGGCTTCCAATTAGAGACTATGGAACTCACTAGATCATGTGTCCTTGACATGCAAGGCCAGCTATATCTTACCGTAGAACAACGCGCTGCGTGGATGGGAGTCGACTTTACCTTTTCGCCCTTGAGACAGGGATCGACAAGGGTGCAGCGAAGCCCGGCCGGGGCATGCTTGGCACCCCGGCACCTAATTAGGCTTGTGAGATACCCGTATTCACATGTTGGACACTGAAGCCCGCCAAACCGCACTTCAGATGTTTTGAGCACACTTTAAACACATTCCAGAGCAAGATGCCTGTTTAAATTTGCGCAATGGCATCTAACAATGTTACAGGTGTGCGGGACTCACATTTCCTTCGTTCGCAGCGCTAATGGCTCCAGAAAACAAAACCAAGAAGAAACGGAAACCGAAGAAGAAAGCCACTGCCACCCCTATAAATGATGCCGAGGGGTCGATCGAGAATGGCAAAGACAACGATGTCGCGCCTGCCGAGCTTGCTGACGCGCAGTCCGGGGAATCAGACATCGAGACTCAGGCAGAAGATGCCCCAACTGGTGACGCGAAGCACAGCCCTGTGACGGAAGTCACTAACGGCGTCGGCGATGTCCAGCTCGAAAACGATGTCACAACACGCTTCGATGCCCTCGTGGAAGAGCGAGATGCCCTTCGGAATGAAGTCACGCAATTAAGAAAGTCCTTAGAGGACTTGCAAGCAAACCATACGAGCCAACTGACTGACGTTCAGACGCAGCTGGAGGAAAGCCAGGCTGAGAAAGAGAATGCCGAAGAGCAATATCAGAACTTACTGGGCAAGGTCAACACCATACGATCTCAGCTGGCCGAGCGCATGAAGAACGATGCCGAGGATCTAGCCCAAGCTCGTGTACAGATCGAAGAGCTTGAGGAACAGAAGGCCGGTTTGCAAGAGCAATGTACCGCGAAGGCTGCAGAAATGGATACGCTTCGGACATCTGTGCAGGAACAGTCGAAGGAGCTGTCTAGTCTACGGAATCGATCTACGCTCTCACAGCAGAATTGGGTCAAGGAGAGGGAGGAATTGCTCGAATCTGAGGCGTATATGAGAGAAGAGTACGAGAACGCGAAACAGGCAATGCACGACTGGGAGGTGCTGGCTATGGAAGAGCGCACGATTCGAAAAGACCTCAGCGATCGAGTCAAGGACTTGGAAGAACAATTGGAGAACGTCAAAGACGGTTATCAGAGAGCGAAGGAGGAGCGCGACACGAATTCGAGTGCCGTAGAAGGCCTGCAGAAGGCATTGCAGGAGATCCAGACGGTCAGAAAGACTGAGCTGAAGGAAGTCGTTGAAAGCTCGCAAGCCGAGGTTTCTGAACTTCGTGATAGCATACACACGTTGCAGACCGAGTTAGACACGACCCGCACCGACCTGGCATCAACGAAAGGTGAACTGGAGCGCACATTGCCGTTTGAGAAAGAAGTCAAGGAGAAGAATCTGCTCATTGGCAAGTTGAGGCATGAAGCAGTTAACCTCAATGACCACTTGACCAAGGCTTTGCGTTTCTTAAAGAAAGGGAAACCAGAGGACAACGTCGACCGGTAAGTGTTCCGCAGGAGGGAAAGGCTCATTGAACATGTACTGACAAGCTGACTTCCAGACAAATCGTGACGACGTATTTCATGCAGTTTCTGGCTTTGGACCGGTCCGATCCCAAGAAGTTCCAAATTCTACAGCTCATAGCAGCCTTGCTTGGGTGGAGTGATGACCAGAAGGAACAAGCAGGGCTCTCAAGACCAGGCAGCAATACCGGAATACTCGGAGGCGGGCGAGGGCTCACAATAAACAGTCCCATCCATCGAACTCCCAGCACTCCCGCACTGTCCCACGATTATTTCCCAGATCCAGGAAGTGCTATCAGTCCTGCCAGCAAAGAGACTCTGGGAGAGCTTTGGCAGAATTTCCTGGAGCAAGAGGCGAATGCTGCAGCGACAGGCAGCAAATCTCGCACGGCAAGCTACAGTGCTGCCCCGAATCCGCCCAAGTGAGGGCAGTTGCGATCAACACGAGATGCTTTCAAATCCATGGATCTCATTCATCTGTGGTGTGCACTGCGGCTAACATGTCGTATTCATTTCGGCGCAACCTGGGTCAACGTCAAAGACTGCGTCGTAACGTCTGGACGATCAGACCATATACGATCTCGTGGTTACAACAGAGTCATAGACCATGTTCTATGCGGCTAGGAGAAAGAATTAGGCGCCTTGCTTGGCCCGCGCCCCGATTGCCTTTATTCCCCCATGTCAAGCATTTTTGACAGGGGCCCTGGGCCAGGACCAGAGCGTGGGTTGCCCTAAGCGAAACCTCGGCCCTAGTTCACGTTTACTCACCTGCCAAAACGACACCGCCATTAAGTTCAAGTCCCAAAGATAACCTCGAGATCTGCAAGTACAGGCCTCCCGTGCGGCTACCGATCTGTTTCCCGATGGCACCAAGTCTTAGCTAATAACGGCGGAGTCGAGATACGCTACTCCGGCGAAGCGACAGAACCACATCGCGTCAAGCAATGTCACTGGCCGTGCGGCAGACTGCTAGTGGTTCAGGACTGCTGGTAGGCTACTCGGCCTGCCATCGCTACACAGCAGATGCCGACTTGGCATAGACATGCCCGACTTGTTGGTTCGAGATGTTTTGAGCAGCGAATGAAGTCGCTGTCCCGCCGCTTGTATGCTGGCTGCACTGCCGACAGGTGTCTAGACCAGAAGATGTCCTTTTGAACTCAGTCGCAAGTTTGACTAAGCTCAGGCCTTTGCAGCGTACGGCGTGCGCGAGGGATTTCCAGCATACTTTCCAGGAATCTTTTCGGTGTCACTATCCGGTGCAAACACGTGGAGCGGCTTACATTGCAACCATCCTTGGCTTATCATTTGTCCTGCCTCTACTAGTAAACCATGCACTAGCCAATTGCAATTGCCGACACAAACATCAACTATGTTCGTCTCGATGCAAGCCATAGCCACATCATGTCTAACAATTGGGAGCTCTAGATCACGCTCTTAGGCCAACCAGCTGAAAGTATGATCGACGACCTGCTTTGAACACACCGCTCGGGTATACAGCCTCGTCTTGAAGGATGCATGCTTCCTACTGGACGTCTCACTACTCAACACTGTCCCTCACTAGCTCATGTGCTAATGATGAATCTACATTCTGCCGAGTTATCACCACAGATGTTGAAGAACTTGGTCATTTCCACAATCCGGAGCCCGCCGTATCTTTGCGACCTCCTACGCCCGTCGAGTAGCTGCCGGACGAATGACCCATGTCATTCTTCTGCGCGACTCCTGGTCCCAGACTCTACGTCAGGCTGTCCGCGTCTTTCGGGTAAGGCAAAGCAAACTAGCTGTGCTGCATTTGGCAATCACCCAGAGCTGCTCCTATCAGGGAGAGACCAATGCTGGTACATATTCAACCGTGGCACCTCCATGAAGTCATCATCGCTTCGGTTCCTATCCAGACAGCTACACACTATCCACAAGAATATGCAACAGGACGCTGCGGAGGCATGGCATCAGAAAGCAAGAGAGTGAAGAGATGGGCGCGTGAGTACACCTCGTGTTCCCTGCAGAGCTTCGGTCAGAGCGCGGCGACATACCAATTGTATCTTGCTGTGTCTCGTCGCTGAGCTCGAAACCATTACATTTGGGGCAGGCGCTCGAGTCATCTGCTGTGCATAGGTGCTCGCGGTGTCTCCCAAGTGGCAGGCCTGCAGGCGCAGACCGACGGCGCGTCTTAGGACAAGAAACAGCTCCAAAGCTGACATCATCAACAGCGAAGGTCTTCAGCGGCTGTCAGACATGCAAACGGCGACGTGTCAAGTGCGATGAGACGAAGCCTACGTGTACGAGATGCGCTCGCAGCAGTCTGCAATGCGAAGGTTACGCGCCACCCCAACCTCGAATATTCGTGCCCAAGCAGAAGAAAGTCGCACGCTCACCTCAGTCCGTTTCGAGCCAGGACGACCTCAAAGAACGAGCTTCGTCTGCTGCAAGCTCAAAAGCCGGCACTCCTGACCCGAAAACAGTCTTCACGAGTCCTAGTGAATTGCAACACTTCGAATATTTCATGAAAGAACCCGCAATCATCTTTTCGATATACTCAAGCAACTTCTGGACAGTCGTCATACCACGAGCAGTACACAGTCATGTTGCCGTACGGCATTCCGTCATTGCGCTGTCAATGGCATACCGATCACTTGTCTCACCAGATGGCTTTAGTGTCTGCGAACAGCAATTGGTAGACCACTACAGTGCCGCCATTCTCACACTGACTCAAGGCCAGGCAACAGTAGACATCGTCCTCATCACCAGCATTTTGTTTTACAGTATCGATTTTCTGCGTTTTAGTGCGCATGAGGCTGCCTTGAGTCACCTTGAAGCTGCGTATAACATACTACAAGAGGTCAAAAGTACCCCAGGGTTCAAAAGATCAGAATACTATGGTCTCATCACCGAGCATCTGCAGCCAGTGATAGAGGGCACAAGATCCGGTCTCGATCACGACGTTCTGGACAATGTCAATAATGCCGCAGGCCTACTGGCGAGCTACAAGCTACGATTTCCGGAGACGACAGCTTCGAGGCCCGAGGCGGCGGTCGATCAGCTACAGGCAATGCTACGGTTCCTTCTCGGTCAAACAGCGGACATCATTCCGTCCGAAGCAGATGTAGCGCACTGTCTCATGGAGCTACCTGCTCTGTTCAACTGCGTGGCAAACCTGGGCACTTTGCCAGGCTCGCCACCTTTACGTGGTCGTTTGTTCTTCATTCATCACGTCACGTACACGATCCTTCTGCGCGAATTGCGACAGAGCCTTGGGGCTGCGGACTGTGGACCGGAAGACTGTTTGCTCACGTCTTACAGATTTGTCGTTGAGCAGATGCAGCAATTCCTCTCAATACCAGACTCGGAGCTCTCACAGCACAGCACTCCTACTTGGGATCGACTCGGTGTCATTGGACCACTGTTCTTAACGGTTGTCATGTCACCAAACGAAGAGCTCGCGGCAAGGGCACTGGAACTATTGCGCTCTGCGAATAGAGTGGAGGGACCATGGACTTCGGGGCTGGCTGCGAACATTGCAGAAGCACTGGCGCAAGGTGATGCGCAGGAGAATTTGGGAATGGGTCTGGGCACACTACGCTTCGAGAAGATGTCCAGTACTCTGCACATTTTTGACGACAGCCCGGAGCCTATGTTTGACCACTATTTGTCGGTACGTCCTGCAGAGCTTGCTGCATTGGATGTGGTGAGTCATGCACTTGATCGCGGTCGCTTTTGGGCTAACGATCTGTTTCAGAACGCTGTTCAATGTGTAGTCCACCTGTACGGCTACCAATTGCCATGACGATCGATTCACGACGCAGAACACGGGACGTACGACGACAGCTCCCCACGCAATCAATGGATTTGGGCTCAGTTCCGAGAGACATGACACGATGAGGACAGCACGAGTGAGACGCAAACAAGGACGTGCTTCGGACGCTCTCTTACATGACACTGGGGTTCCGTCGCGTGGAGCTTCGAGTGCACAAAGCAACTACATATGGCAGGCACACAGTCACGATCCGCGAGCGTAGCGGGCCAGCTTCGTTTGGGCAGGCACGCTCAATGCCTGGGCACTTACCTGGTGTTGGCTAGATGTCGCGCCTGCTCGCCAAGTCAGGTCAGGAAGTCAGTTTGGAGCGGCTCGCGCTGGCAGTCTCGAAGTACACGGTCACGCCAGTGGTGCGCGCCTGCCCATCAGACACGAGAAGTTCCATCCTCGTCTAAGCGCGTCGAAGGCAGTCGCAATAACATTATGATTTCCCCATCTTTTACTGCTTCGTTATACTACCTGGTGCCTCTCATCTTGCAAGCTGGCAATCAGGCTGCGCGTTCTCTCTGTCGGCCGACAGCCTTCGGCTATAGATTCATCCCGTCCTTTTGCAGTCTCCTAGCCAGCATCACTGATCGACAAGATTCACTCTCAACACGGCCTCCCGCCCCGCTCGCTACGCTGGCTTAGATCATTAATTCTCCGACTGAACGACGTGCAGAACCAAGCACTCGGATCTTGTCCATCGTGCAGCCCTGTTCGAAGGGCCCGCCAGTATCGGCGCCGCATTATGCCGACTCCTATCAGTGAGTCTCCTTGCCTAGACGACCTGTTAGAGCCAGGCACACCCTCAGCTCGTGTACTATACCTCAGACAAGCAGGACCCCTGTACTGTACCTTACCTTAGCTCAGTACAACGAAACCCTACCAACAGCCCCAAGCTCCGCTCAGTATTTCAGGCTTGGCCCGTCTGGGTACTGCCACTACCACCAGACAGGCAGTGAGAATGATGAACGAACCTCGCGAACGTCAAAGCAAAGCAGATCGTGCGTCGGCACCGAGAATAGTCGGGCCGCAGACTCTGGCGCATGTGCTTAAGTATGCCGACACTACTCGGACTCTGGGACAGTGCTCAACTCCTACTATGGCCACTGTGCGAGCAGCGACATACCTGCATCAGGCAATTACGACCCAACGTGGCCAATGTGGTGGGTCAGCAGCAGACAGACTATGACGCGAACAACCTGATTTGCTGTTGCTACAAGATCTAATACACAGAGATTTGCTTCCATCTGCAGAGACGTGTTTGTATGCGCGGCTCAACTACCTAGCCGCATACACGAATCACGAGCAGCTGAGGTAAGCAGTTGCCTTCTTATCATTGACGTCTGCCACAGCTGGCCCACGGGAAGAGTAGTCTGGCATCGTCCTTGTCGATGGGTTTTGCCAAATGCCAAAAATTGAAATCCCATGGCACAGGACGTATGCTGAAGTCTTGTGGTCAAGAACGGTTATGTTTGTAACTTTGGTGATATGATGGGTCAAAATGGTCGTATACGGGTGGCCGGATGATCGGATCATCGAGCTGTCCGTCCAGTCTTTGCGAACCTAGTCGGCCGAACCAGTGTCTGGTCTTTCGCACCTAATGAAGCAGTATCCGTCGTGGAAGACGCCTTTGCGATTAGGCTGGCATGCGTCCCAGCCACGAGCCACTCATGCCATTTCAGCAGTGGGTGTCCTCTACCGTTCAATACTTTGATGCCTGCGTCACTTTGTGCGAGTCCTCGGACTCTTTTGCGGGGCTGCAGTACCACCGACAGTGCTCCTTTGGTAACGGTGCCACTTGCCTCATCTATGGCCTTGCTCACAGCATCTCCAGCATGTCTGGCCTTAGTCCTGGGATTTCGCTTCTGCGTTCACTGCCGAGAGTGCCATGCTGTATCAGGGAGGTGCTGTGAGAAATGCAGATCACGACAGTAAATATTGGTTGCTGCACTTTTCGTGATCTTTGTCTGTGGTCCCATCCCACTCCTCCACTGAAGACGATGGTCGCACCATGACGTGGAACTATACAACATTGATGACTCCTGGACTTCCGCGCCAGCTGCGAAAAGTTGGGACTATCGCATGTGCTGACAACGGCTGGCCCATCGCTTCGAGGGAAGCTCCGCACGTACTGACGGCTGTGCCCTATGTCTCTTCGAAACTGCAAAAGACGTCCTTGCATCCTTCTGTCTGCGGCCTCCCAGGCTTCGCAGACGTCCTGTGACATTTAGAGCCTTGCGGCACATACGTCGAGGCCTGACTGGCATGTTAGCAACATGTACTTGAGTGAGTCCATACGATCAATAGTCTCCGTTCACGGGAAAAGTCACCTTGGGTGACATGCGATCGATTCGACCCCGGCTTACTCTGGCGGCGTTCCCAGCATTAGCAGCGTCCAGCACAGCCGGAATGAACGGCCGGAAGCACATGTAATAGTCGATAAGTCATTCCATTCCAGTACCTCATGATCGCCTCTCGCAGATCAGACGCTCCATCTCCATCTCTTGACCTTCAACACAAACCGCTTCGTCCTAAGCAGCTACATCTAAACAGGCTAAAGTAGCACCATAATAATGCCAACAACCGCAATCCCACCTACCAGCGCCATCACCACGTTCTCCGTTCCAGCCAGCATACTGTCTCCTGCCGCTCCTTGCACGACCGCTGCCTGATTGTTGGCGGCGATCACGTAAACAACACCCGCGCTCGTGGTCGTGATGACGTTGTTTTGCGCGGGTTGGCCTGGGGTTATTGTTGTGTAGAGCGTTTGTGTTGTCCTATGCGATAGTCAGGATCGATCCCGCGGGAAAGAACTGAGCAATTTGGTTCGAGCATGGATAATATGGATCGTGGCTAGAAATCGACACGCCCACAACATGCCACAGGCAAAACGAGCAGAAGGAGAACTCACACGCCAATATTAGTATCCCAACACGTCCCACCAAACTGGTTCCGACAGCAGTTGTTGTCATAGCAGCAGTTTTGCGGGCAGTCGGTGGTGTAAACTATGATGGTGCTAACTGGCGGACACGGTACTGTGGACGTGATGTACACGATCTCGCCATTGTTGGGGTGTGTTATGGGGTATGTCGTGTATGACGTTGGCTGGTACCAGGCTGTGGTGTAGACTGGTTGCCATTGGCCGTTGTTGCTGTTTCGAGGGTGTTAGCAGGGGATTGCTGCGTGTCAGGATGAACGGGTAGGTGCATACTATGTCGCTGTCTGTGAGTAGCCGAAACATGTATGCACAGCTAGGATGAGCAAAAGCTCGAAGATGCCCGCCATTTCGGCCGGCCGCTGTTGACTTGTGCGGTGGCCGATACGATTACCAGGTACTCAAGCAGCAGGTTTGAGCAGCCGGTGAGGGCTTCTTTCGAATCTCGATGGCCGTCTAGTGATCCTGCTCGTTGTTGTTTGCTCTACGCCTTGGACTGAAGCACTCAAACGGCCGTCGGAAATGCGCGCGGGACAGGCGGGTCAGCACAGCTATTGTTGCCTTGGTTTGACAGGGGCGCCAGGTGTTTGCTGTCTTGACTTGTTCTGTTAGAACGCTTATATTGTCGTCGCTGCAACTACAGCTATTGTCAATCGCACGGCAGAAGCACAAAGAAAGAGCCAAAGAAGTCACAACAAGCTCCGGGTAGTCCATGATCAGAAGCTCCCAGCTTCGGCATTATGCAGCAGCTCTCAGTCCCAAGCTTCCGGGCTTGAGGCTTCTGGGCTTGAGGAGGCCGGGAAAACGACAAAAGCGATAAAGCTGCAGGACTTCGACCATTCACGATCAGGGCCAGACGAGATCGAAATCTGGATTTTGATGCAATGCGTGGATGGCGTGAGACCTGTGCATTAGCGGCGAACGATAGTGGGTGTAAAAAGAGAGGAGGCTGGGAGGGGATGGAAGACGTCAGGAAAGAAGGCGTCCGGGTGGGGGCTGGGGCCTCGGCTTCTCGCCAATAGCGTGCCCACGGACACCACAGGCTCACTCGTGGTCTCTGTAACTAAAGCCAGATACTGCTTCGACTTCACTCAGACGTGTGTATGGTGTCGGGGCGGTAGACGCGCAGTGTTCAAGTCGACGCGTGTCTTGTGTGGACTCTTCTCTGATCTCGAACCAGCCTAGCTCAGGCTCTTATCAACGTTGTAGCTAGGTCAGGCAGGTAGGTACAGTGACTTGCACCCTACAGGACATCTTTCGATGATAGGGTTGGGGATTTCCTTAGTGATGCTGTCGATCTGAAGATGTCGCCACTGTTGCAGTGGGATCGTACTGGATGATGGAAGGAGCGAGGGAGACAGAGGGAAGGAGCCCGGAAGACGGAGGGAAGGAGCGAGGGAGACAGAGGGAAGGCGAAAGAGATAGAGGGAAGGAGCGAAAGAGACAGAGGGAAGGAGCGAAAGAGACAGAGGGAAGGAGCGAAAGAGACAGAGGGAAGGA